CTATTATTTTTCTTGTTTCTATAGTGCACACTACAAATATAATAGTTTCACCATAGTTAATACGAAATTTTCAAAAAACTATTCGAATTTATACGTAACTTTCTAAATTCTTCGAATTGAGTGGGGTGGGAGAGAGAGGGATCGAGGCTCCTCCAAGCCAAGCTGTACCTCCGCCCCTGTATACGATTAACTTTTTAATATGAATTATTTTGCTGAATATGTATATCATATATTAAATTCTCAACTCTAAACTAACACTAATTTTCATATGAGCATGAAATAATAAAGATTTTTTCAAAAAATTAAAATAAAACAATAATGATTTTGTTTATTTATTCCTTTTTTAGTTAACATTTTAATATTGAATTATTCTATTGAATATGTATATCAGATATAAAATTATCATATATCAACTAATATGAATTTTTAGATGAGCATGAAACAATAATAATTTTATTCAAAAAAGGGGAAATAAAAATAAAGAAAAATGGAAGATTTTCATAACTTTATTTTTATGATTTTGTTTCTTTATCTCTCCAATGTCTTTCTCTCCAATGGTTAACCTAATATTAAATTATTTTTATCGAATACGTATATCATATATAAAACTATCAATTTCTAAACTAATACTAGTTTTTTGATAGACATGCATCAATTATGACAACAAACACAACATACCAAAATCAATCAATACTGTGCAATGCAATACAGTACAAGACCTCACTTGAATTCTATTGAATTTTGAACCTCAATTGTAGAGCTAGAGCCCGCAACCTTTCGTATACCTCTCAATTGCTTATGTTATTCGATATGATCAAGAATGGGGCAGAGACATCTACAACAGGCTTGAACTTGGCCAGAGAACGGATGTTATCTTTTGTCTTAACAGTCATCATTGTGAGCTGTTGCAACATTGTTGTCCCCTGAGCCCTCAGTACTGCAATGTTATTGTTCATCTGCTGAACCTCAGGGTCTGATTCCATCATCGTTTAATCGTTGAGAGCTGTTGCAAACATTGCTGTCCCCTAAGCCTTCAGTGCTGCAGTGTTATTGTTCACCTGCTGGATCTCAGGATCTGATTCCATCAGCGTCTCAATTGCCTTGCACTACGCGACCAATTCTTTGAGCTTTGCCATGAGGTAATTGAATTCGTTGGGCTCCACTAATGGCCTTGAGTTGGGCGGAGGAAGCCTGTACTTATTGACATACTAAGTAATCTAATGGTGTTTTCAGGCCAGCAGCTCCGGATCCTGGTGATGTGCCCTCAGGAGCCTACTGAATTTCACCTTATGCTTAGCTATCTCATGCGAAGCATTAAAATGAAGGAAACACAATGCAAATTAATAATTTAACATTCTTATTGGTCAAGACGACTACTTACGTGCTATTAACTGAAATAAATTAAGCTTAATGTTATTAAACAATATAGTATGGTGGATGTCCATTGGATGCTACTTTGGATTCCATATAAGTTGTTACATTAGGAGGTAATTATCTCCCTACGTTGATCATGGAAATGAATCCTCTTCATGGTTATTATATCACATTTATGTGCATTGATAGAGGAGAATGTGAAGGTTATGTATATGTGCTTATAAATAGAGCTCTCCATTGCACAAATGAATAAGATGAATAAGAACAACTCTCCCCCTCTCTTTTACCTTGTGTCTTTTCCTTTTCATACTTTCTCAGTTGTTTATCTATTTCTTTAGTTTCTTAACACTTAAGCTATTTTGACTCAAAGTCTAACGTACACATTGGATAGCGCAAGGTGGTGCACTAAGAGCTTGAACATCCAATAATACCACGTAGAGCAAGGCATCCGTTTTGAATCTGTATATCATATGGAAATTCTCAATTTAAAACAAAAAAGTAATTAGATGAGCCTGGAAAAATAATAACTTTATTAAAAATTAAAAATAAAAACAAAGAAAATGGGGAAGTTATTCATAATCTAATTTTATGATTTTGTTTCTTTATCCTTCTATGGTTAACTGTTTAATATTAGTTTTTTATATTAAATATGTATATCATGTATTAAATTATCAATTTAGAAACTAATACTAATTTTCAGATGAGCAAGAAATAATAATTATTTTATTTAGAAAAAGAAAATAAAAAAGGTAAAGAAAAGTTATTCACAACCTAATTTTTTATGATTTTGTTTCTTTATTCTTTTCATGGATAACTTTTTTAATATTGAATTATTCTATTGAATATGTATATCAGATATAAAATTCAAAATTAACACATATGAGCATGACACAATATTTAATTTATTCAGAAATGGAAAACAAAAATTGAAAAGTGAATTTATTCATAACCTAATTTTTATGATTTTTTTCTTTATTCCTTCTATAGTTAAATTTTTAATATTGAATAAATCTATTAAATATTTATATGAGATATAAAATGATTAGTTTCGAAACTAATACTCATTTTCAGATGTGCATGAAACAATACTTATGTTATTATAAAAGGAAAGTTAAAAACAAAGAAAAAGGAAGTTATTCATAACCTGATTTTATTATTTTTTTCTATATTTATTTTATGGTTAAAATTTAATATTGAATTAATCTATTAAATATGTATATTACTAATTTTCATATAAGAATGAAACAATAATTATGTTATTATAAAAAAAATATAAAATAAAGAGAAGGAAAGTTATTCATAACAAATTTCACTAATTTGAGAAGAGTACAAGATACAAACCAAATTTTGGAATGGACAAACCAAACAAACTAACATGATTTTTCTACAGATTAGGGTGATGAATAGTATTTAGGCTAACTCCAATGGGCACCTCATAAATGGGGAAGCCTCCATTAATGGCGAACTAAACGCTCCAATGCATCGCCTAAAATGGCGAGACCCGCAATTTATGGGGGTCATCGGCAAAAGGTCGGCAGTTTTGGGGTTTCATTTGCCGATTGAGGGAAAAAAGCGTTGGGCGTGCTGGTGGGCGGGGCAACTGCCAACCCGGGTCTCTAGCCCACCCGCTGTATATTTTTTTTGTTTAATTGATAATTAGTGGTTATCTGATTAATTAAGGATAATTAAACATTGTATTTTAGGGTTGTTTAATTTGTGTTTCATATTTTGTTCAATTTCTTTTATTTGTAAAATGACTTAAATTCATTCTATTTAAAATTTATGCTTATCATCTTGAAGTTGTGCATAAACAAAAATTAGACCGATGTAAGAATGAAAAATATATTATTGAAATGAAAATGCGTTCTTGAATTACAAAACAAATTGTCACCAACTACATCTTGAAGTTATTGCTTTAGGCATACTTTGTTTTGATTTATGGGAGATTGTGGTTTGATTTTGGTTAATTTGGTAGAACTTGAGAAAAAATGCTAATGATATTGCTTTAGGCATACTTTGTTTTGTCTTAAATTGTCAATTGATAGATCGTGGTTTACTATATTTGATTGTAAACTAAATTATTTTAACTTTGATTTTAGACGTGGTTCAATTCTCTTTGATTGAGTGACTAATTTATGAGTGATTATGTAGTTGTGTGTATCGAAAAATGTTTGATTTGCAACATAAGCGATGAATGTATTTAAAAAAAAAATTGCATATGAAATATTGTTATAATTCGTAGTAAACATCACGTTGTCAACTTATAAATGAATTTCCAGTTATTTTTAATAAAATTTTATTTCATTATTTTATTTATTATAATTTTTTATCGGCGATACCCCTCTTCAACAATCCTGGGTCCGCCACTGCATTTGAGCAAAGCCACGACATTCGTATCCAACTCTGCCAGGAAAGAAAAAGGAAAGGACAGGAAACTGTAACCAGCCGCTTTGTACAAGTCTCGATACTTGGCACACTTTCGCTGACTAGAATTTGCAACAACTTGATCTTGTCAAAACCTATTATCCCAGTCAGAATCAAAAGTTAAGATCCAGTCACATCGACGACGATAATAATAATAATAATAATAATAACAATAATAATAATAATAATAATAATAAACACAAGTTGTTGACAAAAGAGGAGGAATTTAAGTATTGGCAATAATTATGGCTTCCAATGATTTGTGCATGTGCCAGAACCAGACATCAGCTAGGGCAGCTGCCTGCGCGCATATATCCAGCACATTTAATAATATCTTCTTTCATTCTCATGCATGCGCAGTTCATCGTTTTATTATTATTAACTGGATATAGCACAAGTTGAAGATAACAGAAACAATCATTAATCTATATTTTATTTATTTTTCCTGATTGTACAGAAGCTATTTGTCATTCTGAGTCATCACTCTCAGAATGTTGGCTGGGTGTGGACGTAAATTTGCAAACGAGTTGAGAGCTTCAGTATCGAACATTTTCTAGCTAGTGTTCTCGTTTGGCATTCTTTATCATTAATTTTGTATGTTCGATCAAACTAATTTTAGGAAGACATAATACCATTTTATTAGTACTGCAGTATATTTCGAAAAATTAGAATCCTCGATTATTATAGAAGGGATCAAACACACCACCTTGAGGTGGCATACACGTATTTACCCACTACATTAAAGCTCACTTAGCTTCTTGCTAAATGTATCAAATATTTATTTATATATTAATATTGTGGAAAAAGAACACATCTAGTTTCAAGTCCGGGTTCCAGTACTTCAAGTTAACTGGGGTCCTAAAAATTTGCAATACTAGAATCTATGCCTTGAATAGAGTTTGAGTTGATTGGAGTTCTTAAAGATAGCTAAAATTAATAAGAGTATGGGGTCCTAAGTTCGAAGAATCGGCTAAAACACCTACGTATCTACTGGATTTTTTTGCCTAATTTTTCTGTCAAGTGGGGTCCTTGGACCCCACTCCTCAACACTTGCCTCCGCCACTGCCTGGTTCCGCCACTGAGAATTAGGGACTATAGTTTACCCATTAGAGGTGAATTTGTGGGTACCCAATATGAATTTATAGGTGTTGCATACCTTTAGTAGGAAAACACTATATAGCCCTTGAATTAACCGGATATTGGAGCACGGTACTATACATCAATCCTTAATGAGTGAACTCTAGTTCTTAATTTTCTAATACTCGAAACACTAAGATTGTTTATCTAGCATGTTGGATGTATATCGATGAATTAGAACCGTGAAACTACTGTTTCTCATTAAATTGATCTGATGGTTATATGATTTCAAAAATTAGGGCATAGATTTTGGTAGGAATACAGTTGTACAAAACCTTTTATTCCTTTTTTTAATTAATTTTACTCGACTACATTCTGTTTGTTTCTAATTAATTTTTTTAATTAATTTTTCTCGAGGTTGGATTGCGGCCTTATGTCTAAAATTCCTCTTAGAAGGCCCCTGAGGAGCGATTCTAGGGTCTGGACTGACTCAGATGATGGGAAGTACTCGGTGAAATCAACTTATAACAGAATCTTTGAGAGCCGTAACCACAATACAACTTCTCGCAATTTTATCACAGACGAGGAAACTAAGTTCTGGATTAGTCTATGGAAAACCTCTATCCCTCCTAAGGTTCGAATGTTCATTTGGAGGATGGGGAGGAACATCTTACCAATGGGTTGCAACATCGAAAAGTGGAGTGAGGATGCTAACTTGGATTGCCCTTTCTGTGAACTGCCTGAAGATCAATTGCATGCTCTGAGAGAGTGTGGCTGGGTTCGCCGCCAATGGAGCACATAGGAAGGAAAAGGGTTATTCGAAATGGGAGAAGGAAGAACTTGCATGGAATGGTTGAGAGAAGTCTGGAGCATCTCAAGTTTGGATCAGATACAACAATTTAGCGTGATTCTTTGGAATCTCTGGAAGGAAAGGTGCAATCACCTGTTTAACAACCGCAAGATCGACGAGGACCAGATTATCCCGGAGGCTATAGGCTGGTTGCAAGCGTTCTTGGAAGCTCAGGACCCACCCATCTCTAGCTATGTGGCCCAGAATCAGCAACGCAGTTCCAGTGCTTCTTCTGGCTGGATCCCACCCCCAGAGGGAACCTTCAAACTTAATTCTGATGCGGGTGTTCTGAATCAAACGGGTGTTGGCTTTGGCTGTGTCATCAGAGACTGGGAAGGGAAGTTTTGTGGTGTGATGGCGAAGAAAGAAAGAGGATCGTGCAGACCCATTGAAGCAGAAGCAAAAGCAATCGTGATGGGGCTTTGTGAAGCGAATAGAAGGGGTCTCGGCCCTTTGATGGTGGAATCGGATTGCCAATTGTTGATCGGGAAGCTGGAGAATGGTGAAACTAATTTTTCGGAACTCGGTGTCTGTTGCGAAGATATCAAGAAGCTGGCAAGATGCAACTAAGGATTTTCTGGTGTTGCTGTAAAATGGTGTTTTACACCAAGGAAAAATAACGCTACGGCCCATTGGTTGGCCCATTCTATTTCGGGTTGGGACAGACAAGTTGTTTGGGTTGACAATCCCCCTTTGAACCTCTTATGTTTGTTGGAGGCTGATTTGGGTGGGCTTGATTGTAACATGTCTTAATCTCGTTGGAATTTAAAGCCCACGGATTCCCATAAAAAAAATTATGCACCTACTCCAGTTGTAAACTCTTTTGTAACCATGATATAAACCCAACGGCAAATGGGTTAACGATCCAAAAATTCTCTCATCGTCAGGTTTTACTCATTAGAGTTTAACTCCAATTACTTAAGCATCTAGATAGTTTTTTTTTACTGAAGATATACAATACATTGATATTTTACCCACGATACCATAGAACTTCCCATATGTGTGGTAATACAAACCAAGGATGATTAGCCTAATTTGTAAACTAAACATATCCTCATCATACTCCTAAAAATTGGGATTGGTCGAATTTCAAAAAAAAATTGTGTGTGCGTGACAGAATTTCCTTAACCTATACATATAATGTCCTGATCATTAGTCGTCTAAACAAAATGATATAGTACTAATTAAACCCACTTGAGGCTAAATCTCTTGACAAGGAATGCAGAAGATATCATTAACAAGTAAAAAATTCGATTCGGTCGTTTCATATGACGATAAGGTGAAGGCCAATCTTTGAACATATTCGACATGTTCCCCAATGGTGTGTGTATATATTGAATCGAATCCATATTTGGTAGGCATGGGATTGAAACTCTTGCCTACACGACGCCGTCTTCATCATTAGCTAGCTAGCTAGGTAGGCTAAAATATGTATATGCCTATAGATTCTCGATATAAAGCTGCTTTGCGTAAAGTCTTTGAGAGGGAGAGATCGATCGTCCTGTCTATTGTTGTTTAATTAATTAGTGTTTGGCGTACATTTACATGTAGCAAAATGGATCAACAATGGCGGAAAGATCATGGAGCCGTCATTATCTGAAGATAAATAAACGACAGGTACAGTACTTTCTGTTAATCTCCTCTCTTTTGGGACCCGTTACTCTCAATTACTTTAATAAGGATCGTTTGTTTCGTGAATTTGAAAAATGAAGGTTTTGGTATGATTTGGGTTTTGATAAACCATGGATATACGAGCGTTTTGGGTTCATTATAGATTTGAAAAAAACCGTTATCTGTTTCAGGGATTTCATTATGGAATTGCTCCTCTGACATAAACTATGCATCATACTTTCTTGCTTGGCCCGACGTAAAATTTTGACAGTAAAATTGGACGGTCAACTCCATTGACCGTTAGTCAAGCACCAGGTCACTTGCCACATCAATAAACCCGAAATAAGAAAAGTTGGATTTTTAATTATTTTAATTCATTTCGTTTTCTAATAGAAATAATAATTAAACAAAAAAATTCAAAATTTTGGATAACGAAAAAATAATTCCAAAAATGCCAAAATCCAAAATTTTTATTTTGGGTTTGCTGACATGGTAAGTGACTTGGCGCTTGACTAACGTCAATGGAGTTGACCCTCTAATTTGACGGTCAAAATTTGCGTCGGACCAAATAGGGAGGTATGGTGTATAGTTCGGGCCAGGGAAGCAATTTCAGAAATCACAGGACAAAGTAGAAAGTTTGGATATAATTTGGGCCAAAATAAGGTATTAACCCTTGGATCTAACTAATTGAAAGATCATGTCTAACTAGTTGAAGAAAAGTAAAAATAGGAGAAATATGAATACATACCGCAAGAAATTGAGATAGAAAGGACCAAGAACGGGGTGGGGTGAGGCAAGACGAGTCGGAAGTAGATACGCATTCCCCACCCCATGCTACTGCAGCTCAAGTAATACCCGCCCCATAATACCCGACAGGGCGGGTTCAAATTGCCATCCCTACATTAATTATGATTATTTTTAGGCTATTAATGTTATAATCGAGCGTATGCTTTTTCGGTCACTGCAGTGTTCAGTATTTTTCGTCGAAAGATGTCTAACACAATAATGCCAGTTCCTAAGGTTCGTTCTTTAATTTTGGCTTCTCTTTGTGGGTTTTTCGAAGCGGTGTTCAAACGAATTGGTTACCGTGGTAACCATATTAACCGGTAGCATTCGGTTAATTTGGATAATTGGTTTGGTTTGGTTAAATAATTTAAGCTTATTTGGTTTAGGTGGTTTGGTTTGATTTCAACACTGCTAACCAATGAAACCAATTAATGATACACCTAATATACAAAATTATTTGTACTTCCATGCAACCAATCAAACCAAACTTTCGTGATTCTCTATTTTATTTCTATGTACACAACAACCAAAGCATTATGATTCAAAAATTAAATGTGACTGCCTATTTACTAAACCAAAACATTTTGGACAACTATTAGACTTTAGAATTATGTACAATACCATGACAGCCACCTAAAACTATATATAGTTTAAGTGTTTTGTAGGAGAGCTTTAACTTCCTGATGAGTGGTATTGGTATGTATTTAATATTTATGTTAAGGGTTTGTTGTAAGCTAACTATATTAGGTGCAGAGATGATGAATGATGTATTGACTCGAATGATGCTGATACTCGTGGATGGTTAGTCTTATTATTATTGCTTATACATCATGATAGTTTATGACAGTAATAACATATAGTTATATTTTATTCATTAACAAGATAATTGTTTTCATGTAATGTTATGTTATTTTTGGACGGTTTGGTTAAGACATTTTATTCCATGGTTAATTCAATTTAGGCTTAATTGGTTTGATTATTACCACGATAACTATTTGAACACCCCTATTTTTTCACCACGTGTCTTGGGTTTTGAGTTTTAAGTTTTAACTCTTTATCGCCTTCCTTTCTAAGTTTGACATTTGCTCTTGAAAAGCATCATTTGGACTTTCTTATCTCTTATGCTACATTACAATCAACAAAAGTAGCAGTGTGAAAGGTCTTGTCCAATCCTCAAAGAATATATCTTCCCATGACGACTTTCATCAAACATGTAGCACTAATGTATAATATTATAACCCGCATGACAAGCTGAGGATTCAGATCATAGCATATAAATTTCCAGTTCACATTCTGGGTAGATCCTGCATTAGGGATGGAGGAATCGAAAGAGCAAATAATGGCAGCGTAAACAATCCCTACCTTTTCATTAAAGAAAATGAATGATAATCATTAGGGATAGGCGATGGAAGAATAGAAACCATGTTCTCTTAACTTTTGCTTCAAAACCGTATTGGGTTGTGCCAAAAAAATCAACAATATGATACTTGATGCTGAAACAGGGGTTTAACAGTTTCATATCGATAAAAACTACTTACCGATTTAGCTTCCACTAGGAGGTTTTCCCGGTGGAACCGCGTGTACGATTTTATGAACACTGCTGTTAATGTACAGACATGCCTGAGTTGACTGACACCAACTTCTGTGGGTTGGGCTGCGTGGCCCTAATAACAAAATTCTGCCTAGTACTTTCACTCTGTAGCATATTGTACGGAATGCCTGTTGCTATCCAACCTAGCTTGATGGTGCCTCTGATCACTTAGGGAGACAATTTCATTATGTCACTCACTGGACCTTAAAATGAGTAGGACTACATCGAAAGTGAAAGAAGGAATAAAGAGGATTTCCAGTTGTAATCAATCACAAGGGTGTCTGCAACTAATGGAAATACACACAACACAATCGTGAATCACATCAAGACTTCTACTCGCTGGAAAAAAGATGGAAAGAAAAGAGCACCTAGTACCCAGAAAATTATCAGTCTTCATTTCCATACATAATGAAATCAGCATGTAACCCCTAATTAACTATCTATGATATCTATGACAGCATCGATATTGGGAAGCACAAAGATCGGTGAATAAAAAGCTTCATTAGGGTTTGGCAGCAACAAAGTGCAAGTGCAATTTTACCTTATGTATGTCCTCACTCAAAGTAAATAGCACAGCACTAAGAAGTTTCTACATCGGCCTAAACATTAAAAACACAGTTTCAATGTTGTTTCTTTCCTTTGTCACTTCCTATCAGGTGTCCTGATAACATCCACTGCTTTATGTTGGTGTGGAAAGCAAACAGAACAAAGTGAGAGAAGGAGAGAAGCATTATCAAAGCTTCAAATAGAAAAGGGTATCTCTCTGGGGGACGGACAGTCAAGTAAACAATATGAAGCACAAGTGAGCCTAGATAAGCAAGGGTCAAGAGAACAGAGACTAAAGAAAGAGGGGTAGAGCCTTGCCTCGTAGCTTCATCCCATCTTCCACCAGGTGGATGGTAGAGGAAGATACAGAGAGCATACAAAGCAATATATGGCAGAATCAAATTGTCTCTGCATACTAGAGGGAACATCGAGAACAAAGCGTAGTGAGTCAGTAACTTGAATGGACGAGGCCATTCCATCGCCAGGAGTGTTGCAGGAAGAAGAGGCAGCAGAATAGACTTCTCATGTACTGCAGAATTCGCATGAGTTATGATGCAGTCTAGATTAGACTAAAACTGAATGCATTCGAATCAATGAGTGAGGACATAGATGAAAATAGCTACCAACCTTGGAATGAAAACAAGTAGAACGAGAGAGAACTATTCAGCAATCCATAAAGGAAACCTTTGCTGCTGGGAGCCAATATTTGCTGAACCATTGAAGGAAGACATGCTAATATGGTGGCAACCATGCTGAAAAGTCTCAGTGACTGTGTTGGAAATAACCTCTTCCACTTGATGAGAACAGAAGAAGTGCACCAAAAGTTGGCTACATAGTCCTCATATATCCCTCTCTCAAAAGGAGCGAGGCGAGAGAGAACCTGCAGCAAAATTTGGACATGTAGTCAAACCAGTCCAACTCTAATGAAAACCCACTAGAAAAGAATGATAATCAGATCACAACCCTTAAATTTCTTCTAGTTTCTGCAATAGACATGTCTCTCCCTACTAAGAGAGCATTTTACTCTAGATCAGTGTCTTGAATGTCCCCAAAGCAGTAGTTAGTTGCTCAATTGCTCTCTTAACAATATTACAAATGTGATAATAGTTCGTGTCATACATAGTGGCTAAGAAACACTCAACTCTAATTGACGAGACACAGGAAAGAGAGGCAACTGCCTAAAGATTGCCTACAAGCTTATGTAAACAGAAAAGAATGGTCAAATTGTGTATCACAGGTCACTCACCAAGACAAACCCAAAATCACTCTATCAAGTTTTGGTAATAAAGCAGGAGGCTTTCTCAACAAATGTTAGGTTACCCCTTACCTGTAAAGCAGCATTTCTGGAATGAAGATAGGGCCACCAAACCATTGCAAACGTTCCCAGGACCACCATCCCCAATTTTGAAATCTCAAGCAAAGGATGTTTTCGTCTCAGGCACTTACCCAAGAGGTGGCTGAAAAATGCTGGTGCAAAATATGTACTCATCTGGAGAAGAAAAATATGAAGAAAAAAAGAACTTTATCACTAGAATAACATATCCATAAGAACCAAGCAAAAGGATAACATATTTTTTTCAGATCATCACACAACTACAAAGTTCAAGAAAAGGCACCATCATTCAGTTGTTCAATATTTGAAGGTGGAAATTCTCAAAACTCGAAATAGTATTTTATCAGCTAATAATGTATGACGGCCTCAAGTAGTTAACCAGTTCCAGTTGCACTGATAGCATTATGCCTGAGAAACACCTTTTAATAGCCTCATGTTTGACTGTCGGAATTTTAATAGCACATGCAATATCAAGGGCGTAGATAAACTCAGAATAACAGTATGTACATGTACCAACCAAAGTACAAAATGCAAATTTTACTTCACATGCAGAATAAATTTACGTAATGTTGCAGCATGACTGGAAAAATCAGTGAACCAAACAAGCAGAATAACTATGAAAAAACAGAACTACAAGAGCATTCAAAAAATCAAAATTTACAAGACTCCTACTAACTTTTACAGGGAACCTGACATCAACGCATCAGTGGATTGTGCAAAGGAATTGAACAAACAGTTGCCAGGAAGATGACAGTAGCTGTTGATTTTACCATTTCTCCCAATCCCTATCTATTATTGTAAGCTCTTCCGCAAAGAAAAACCTATCTCCTGACGCATGAACTTTCCATGAAAACTTAAACATGTCATCTATCAATCCAACATTTTCCATAAATTACAAACCAGTTCTTTTGCATAGCAGACCAAAGGAAAAATGTTACTCCCGCAAAAAGAATACACTTCCATGAGGTGTGGTGGCAACATGTCAGGGATAAAGGGCATAAAACAAGATCCTAGAACATGAGGATTAGAGACAACGAAGCCTCATCCTGGCCCATCTACTGCCTAACCTAATTGTGTTGAAAATAAGAGGCAAAGGGATCAACACCTGACAACCAGAAAAGGGAAACTTTCGTTGGATGCAACAAAAACAATCACTCAACCGTCAACCAAGTATAAACACAAAAATCACCAAGTTTGCCATTTCCTTAACATCTACCAGGTAAAGTGTCAACTCCCTAAAACCTTTCTAGTATACTACCTCCGAACATAATCAATCATAACATGGCAGGCAGGCAGATCGAACACAAAGTAAAAAGGAACATTTGACATTCAAAGAGGCAGTAATGAGTTACCTGTTTATGGTTGAGAGACAGACAGAAGAGAACACAAGCTAACAGGTCTCTTTGTGAGAGAATGGCAGCAACAGCAGCCAAGGCCAGGCCCAAGCTGATGCAATTATACTGAAAGAGGATAGTTCTGAGGTGAGGATGCATACCCCCAACGATATACCAGGTTAACAAAACAAAAGGACAAGGGGGAAAGCTTAAATAAGAGAGCACTATTGAGTTTTATAACCTGAAAATGGCCATGGTCAATCAAGACCAAGCACGGATTGATCAGAATGAGTAAAATATGCCATGCAACATCAGCTTTACGGCCTCTTGAATGAACATCATAATAGGCATGAATAAAATAAAGGACCGAAGGAAAGAATATCAGGAGATCAGATGACAGAACTGTGAATCTCATGAGTAGCTTCCTGTACATGAGACACAAAGGGAAAGAAATTTAGTTTTTTCCAAACAACTGCAGTGCGAAAAACAAGATGGACACGCTGCTTGAATCCAGATAGGTCAGAAGAGAAAATAACATTTAAGGCAATGGTGCTCACCCAATATATGATTCATAACCACGCGAGGTAAAAAGGGTAACTGATTCGGGGTCAAAGAATCGGAGGAAAAGTCCATGAATATAGCTTTGGTAGGCAGTAAGAGGGGGGTAATCAAGGCCCCAGTAACTCAAATCATTTTTTGTGCTATTAATATACCAATCTTGAGCAGGAAGGTTAACTGTGATCTCCATCCAATGCCTCTGTGCTTCGTAGTCGCCAAACTTGGGGGGATTTCCAGCACCAGAGTATGAATGTAATGAGACAGTCCAGCGAACCAACAATCCGAACATTGAAATGCACAGGAACAAAGATGTAAGGCCTTTATGCAACAACCACCAACAGAGATCACCATTTTTATTGCTATCCAGTTCTACGTTATCCTTCCCCACTTTTCCTCTGTTGTTTCTGTCCATTTCTCTTGATCCTACAGGGTCATTCGGTGCACTTTGCCTTAAAAACTCATCTCAAACAAGCATCTGCACAATCAAGTAACAATGTGGATAAATTAAGCATCAGACTGTCAAAGGGGTAAGAAAATGATAGAGCTCCGGATTAAACTCTACCGGGAGATTGGGGATTGGTGGATCAATTAGGGATTGATCCGGGTGAATTGGGAATTGAGAAGGGGGATTTGGGGAAGTGGGTAGCGAAGGGAAGGGGGAAGAAGAGAGGCTGCCGTGGGCAGCTTTGAGAGGGGAGGGAAGTTCCGTCGGCAGAGAGAAAGAGAGGAAAAGAGAGAGGGAAGAAGATTAGTTTTTAGGGTTTAAACTTGGCTACCTCTTCCTATGTAAACAATAGGCTAAATACCCCAAACACAATTACTCCCTAACTACCCAAAAATGTTCCCAATAACAAAATAAACCCAAACTGAATAATTCAAACCGAACTAATCCAAAATAATTAAAAACGTCTATCATTCCCTTCCTCTTCAACACAACCTTGTCCTCAAGGTTGGTAACCTTCCACTGCTTCATCTCTTTCTCTCGCGTCATCCTCCGCCTCATCCTCCCACCTGCCAACCAGCATCATCAGGTCCGGACGTGCACACTTGTGGCCGATCGTGAACCGCTCGTCGCAATTAAAGCACTTTCCTTCCCGCCTCTTCTGCTCGATCTCCGCAGGGGACAATCGCACGAACCCCTTGGGTGGCGGTCTCGCCCCACCCTTCGCGGCAGCTACTGGCGCCGGCGCCGTCATGGTTCCCCCAGCTCCAGTCGTGGCTCCAGCCAATCCTCCCCCGCTACTGCTTCCTGCGCCGCTGGCTCGTGGATAGCGGCCTAGGGTGCCCCTCCAGCTTGCCAGCTCCTCTTCCTTGTAACCTGCAAGACGAAAAGCAGATTTCACAGAATCCGGTTCAAAGATCCGGACAGCAGCAGCAATCTCCGGCTTCAGTCCCGCCATACACAGCCCCACCAATGTCTCCTCGGGGACCCCATGGCATTGATTGCCCATCTTGAAGAACTCCGCCCGATAATCCGCAACTGAGCCGGTCTGCTTCAACTTGGCCAACTGCTCCGGGGCCCACCCTTCTGATATACCGAACTGGTAGCGCAGCTCTTCCTGGAACAGAGGCCAGGTGATCAGGGTTCCCACCGCCCCATATGACCTCTCCATCCACTCCCACCACTGCAACGCCTCTCCTTCTAAGTAGAAAGACGCCAGATGCGCCTTCCTCTCCTCCGGTATGGGATGATTTCTGAACCACCTCTCTGCCGCATATAACCACAACCTGGCATCCTCCTGGCCATTGAATTTTTGGAACTCAATGGTCGGGGATTTGGCCCTAAAGACCACCCCATCAGTCCCATCATAAGCAGGGTGATAGGATCCATACCTGTCATAACCCGGTTCACCACCCGGCTGGGTCTGGTAGAATGGTGACCCTCTTCCTCGCCCAAAACTGCCCGCGGATCCTCGCCCACCCGGTCCCGTTGCCGTCCTTGCTCCATACGGCCCTCTCCACATGTCTGGGTCCATACTGGCCGACCTAACCAACCCCGATTCGAACCGGTTTGGTCCATTTCGGGTTCGGCCAGGTTCTGGTTCGCCCGGTTGGATAAGACCCAGTCCGGTTCGTCCTGGGTCAACCCTGCCCGACTCAACCCGGCCGGGGTCGGTCAGCACCTGGTCGGCCTGATGGTTCGGCCCACCTCCTCGGCCCAGCCCAGCTCCACCCGGCCCGATCTGCCTCTCCTGCCCCGGTCCAACTCGTGCGCCCCTACCCCCTGCCATGTCTGGGCCCCAGTACTCCTCTGCATTAGCCGGGTCGGCCCACGGTGCATTTTGGCCCACCAGGCTGAGCTCCTCATCGATAAGCTCAGGGCCCATGTTCAGCCATCCCAACCCCCTGGGCTCGTAATATGGGCCCACTACATCCGTCCTGCCCATGGGCCTACGCGGACCCAGACCAGTCGGTTGGGCCCCGCTGTCGTACCCCGGCATTTTGGCCTTGCCCTTGCGAGCCGCCAATTCTTGGGCCGTGGGTGTTGGTAAAAGCCCTGGCCCGCTGTTGCGCCCTAGCGGCCCGTGGCCCGCTCGCGCCGGCCCGATCGCCCCCACCACCTGCAGCCACCATCTCCCCGGCCTCCGCTGCCGCCGTCGGCGGCGGCGTGTCCACCACCACCATCGTGCCTCTCGGCGCGCCTCCCGCCGCCACCGCGGCGCTTGCCGCCCCGTCACCGGCCGCCGGCGGCTCGTCCGCCGCACCCCCGCCGCTGCTCCCCATCTCGCCCGCGCCGCCGACGCCGCCAGGATGTTTCGTGGCTGTCTGCGCGGCGTGCACCGCCTCCAAAACCACCTGCATCTCATCAAACCTCTTCCACACCCTTCGCGACTCCTCTTCCTTCTCGCGCTGGGCAGCCAGCCTACCCTTGCGCTCAGAGTCGAGCGACAACACCAGGCGATCCAAGGTGGCTTGGATGGCCGCTAGCTTCCCAGCTCCTTCTTCCCGCTCGCCGTCCCGTGGATCCGGGATCCCATGATCGCCTTCTTCAGCCGTCGGCAGTCCCGATGCGGTGGTGATCACGGCTTGTTCCTGCGCCGCTGCTTTGGCGGCCTTCTCAGCAGCTTGCATCGATTTCGTCGACACCATCGTGCTTGTCGTTCTTTGATTGCTTCGGAGTCTAAGAAAGAACCAGGCTCTGATACCAAATGATAGAGCTCCGGATTAAGCTCTACCGGGAGATTGGGGATTGGTGGATCAATTAGGAATTGATCCGGGTGAATTGGGAATTGAGAAGGGGGATTTGGGGAAGTGGGTAGCGAAGGGAAGGGGGAAGAAGAGAGGCTGCCGTGGGCAGCTTTGAGAGGGGAGGGAAGTTCCGTCGGCAGAGAGAAAGAGAGGAAAAGAGAGAGGGAAGAAGATTAGTTTTTAGGATTTAAACTTGGCTACCTCTTCCTACGTAAACAATAGGCTAAATACCCCAAACACAATTACTCCCTAACTACCCAAAAATGTTCCCAATAACAAAATAAATCCAAACTGAATAATTCAAACCGAACTAATCCAAAATAATTAAAAACGTCTATCAGAAAAGGGCCACTATATCATCACATTTCTGTTCTCGTATATAACTGGAAAAGCTGTGGGCTTGCCATAGTTTCCATTTTTACTCCCGGAACATCCAGCACTCAACTGATCTAGAAGTACACATACTGCACCATCAAGCATGTACATCACAGCAGGAAACTTATCCTCTATCCATCACGAATAGGTTGAAAATGTGGGAGGCTGGTGGTAACAGTGGGTTACCATTTACTCAAAAGGGATTAACCTAATGATAGTGAGGGAAACCCCATTTACCCTGTCTGCACTCTGCAAACCTATAGAAGCACTGTGGATAGCCATTTTCTGCACTTATAATTTATAGGTGAAATGCATCATCCGAAAGAGTTAAGGTCTTCAGCTTCATTTATGTGACCACGAAAAACATGGTTCTAATCCAATCGTAAGTTTAAGTTATTGTTTTCTAGCAACCTAAATAACAACGGAACCCAAGTCAGATTTTTCCAATTAACACGAACTTTTTTCCTCTTCAGACTCCCGGATCAACAAACACAAACACCAAAAACTACCATTCTTGCACAAGCTTCCATCATAAAAACAAATTTGAACCAGCAGCCTCTCTCCACCGGTTGTTAATCTACTAACATCGCTCAGTTTTATTATCATCCCACGTTTGATCAGCCACTTCATCATGTTGTTCAGTTATCTCCTCGAATCCTAGATACGCTAAACCGAAAATGTGTTCTGCTTATCACAAACCATGCATTATCACATAGTTGTCGCAGATGGAATTGGCGCGAAAAGGGGGTTAGGACTGATTTCGTTCCCATTTGCCAAACTAATGTACAAAACTAAATCATAAAATCAAAGCTTTTGTAACATAGGTCTACGGAATGCACCATTACAAAGAATCAATTTTGCACAAAATTAACTTCACTCCAGTGGGAGAGAAGTTCGGAGAGCTGATGCAAGGGAAGAAAGGCCACGAGGATCCATTAAGCTTAGAATGAGGCTACGCCAATCAACAGTCTATAGCTTTCTGTTTGCCTTGAATTGAACGTCCTCCATCCATACCGGGTAAGAAAAGGGGAATATGTTTACCTCGTCAAATACAGGGAAGAGAAGTCTTGGATGAACTGGCCAAGTTCTTGTCAGCGCTGTCGGCTCCAGTAGATTCAGCGTGCTCCCCGGCGTTGATTAAGATCTCAAAGGCACAAATTGTCTAGATTCCCCTGTAATTTGGAATCAGATAGGCAATTTATTACAATGCATGGTGGTAAGCATAATATGACAATAGTGACAAACTCCTGCCCATATTGTTGCATTCACAGATATGCGTTATACCCCCATTTTTTGAATCTAAACAAGCAAGCAATTCTAGGGTTACATTATCTGAGCCCTAAAGTGAAAAACTTTATAATCTGTAAGCACCCGGCCAAGAATCCCAGCACCACGAGTGTTCGAAATCGAATTAAAAAACAATTCAGTGAAATTCACTTAAGGCGAAGAAGACCCAATTGAGAAATCATGAGGGTTCTGCATTGTTTACTACCCCAACAGAAAAGGTCGGCTTTCGAGGCGTAAACGATAGGAACTTCATTTTCAGGGAACTACAATAGAGTTAATTAGAAGATGAACATTTGAAGTACCTTCAACAATGGCGGCAATAGGAATCGCGAAGTGAGGACTGTGCCATAGACACTCCAGAAGAACCGAGCTACGTTTAGGCGAGTGCGGCCGTGCGGGAACGTTGGGAGTTGCCGCGTCTGTGAATTGGGGAAGGGTGGATCTGTGTGTTTAGTGTGTACTGTTTCGGGCTTCAGCTTTTCGCTCCATTTTATTGGAGAGTACAATTTGACCCTCCAACTTTTCAAATTTGATTGTTTCGGTACACGTACTTTAAATTGAGTCGAACTGGTACACAAATTATTTTCTTAATCATGTAGATGCATGAACTTCCTATCTAATGATTAGTTCGATACCTGAACTTTCATATAGGTAGTAACAATTATGTCAATTAATCAAGACAAACATTTTTTTTATGTAATCTTCTAAATTTGAACAATATGCTTTTTTTTGCTAATTCTGACGTCATTAATGAAGAAAATACAATAACTGATGGACGTCATTAGGGATGGCAATGGGGCGGGTTTTGGGCGGGTTTGCCTAAACTATCCCCATCCCCATCTTCAAATACCCAAACCCATACCCGCCACATACCCATGCGGGGGAATGTTTTGCAAACCCATCCTCATACCCGTGGGTTTCGGGTACCCATGGGTAATACCCATCCTAGTACATCCAACATTATTATACCTAAAACTTACAAGAAAAGTTTTAATTATAACCATAAACAAACCTATTATATCATGAAGTCAACAAAACACGGTCATTTTCTAAATACGATTCAAAGAATATGATCCTAAAACATCCATTAATACATAATATAGACTATAATATTTTTAAATTATTAGGCTCTAACTCTTGATACATTTACTAAGTAATAATTAACTAACATAATCTTGTTGACAAGGGGGAAAGTGAAAGAGTGGAAGGAGAATTGAGGGAAATGAATTAGGTTTTGTTTAAGGTGGTTACTCAATTGCATTTCTACTATTTATTTTCTCGAGTTATCATCATCATTGATAGATTACAATTTAATCTACATATTTTTTGATATGTGAAGAAATTCTCTTGGGGGGCGGGTATGGGTATGGGTATGGGGCGGAGGAGGCTAAAACCATACCCGCCCCATACCCATCAAATTTTTTGCGGGTTTTACCCATACCCGGTCAAAGCGGGGATTCCCCGCGTTGACTGGGTCGGGGGCGGTCGGGTACCCGCGGCCATGGGTTTGATTGCCATCCCTAGATGTCATATTGAGTGTGTGTATAGGCTGTTTGGTTTTGCTGAGTGTGGATAGTTACCGTAATGGCGATAAGTTATAGTATACGTGACCGAGTTTCGATTACTGCAAAAATTGTGTACAATTTCTCAAGCTATGAAAGGTTTAACTAATTCAACGAAAAAATAAATAAATACAAAAAACAATACCGAATGGCAGGAGTTCCGCTATCGATATAACGAATTTGTTCGATATGCGTGTCACCGAGCCGAATTCATGGATTGATTAATCAGATAGAACGACTATCTCTTGTTAAGAAACTATTGAAATGTAATTAGATCTTCAATGTGTTACTTAATTAATGATCATATATATTAATACAAACCAAATATAAAACTATTAATGACCATGTAGCCCACTTCACTATAATTGACTAGTGAGTCAATTCCCTCCAGCTGCCGGCCATCTAATATTTATTTTTCCTCCATGATCAACGTCAACCTCCTCGTTATCATAATCCTTTCCCTTTCAAAGGATAAAACAGACGTAAACTACAATAATAAGCCACCACCTCTCCCCTCTATCAACAATAATAATAGATATTCACTAGGAAATTAAGGATCAGTTTAGTTTTGCAGTCAAGAAGAAGAAGAAAGACGATGATCAAGAAGCTGCAGGCTCTGCTGGGGAAATCATTCAAGGCGTCGAGGTACAAAACGCTGTCGGATCTGGTGATCTCGAGGATCGCGTACCTCGAGAGACAACACAAAGCACGCTGCTCCCAAGCCAGAGACGACGTCGCTCAGCTCCTCGCCCAAGGCCACCTCGACCGCGCTCTCCTTCGTGTATTAATCTTACTTAGTCTCTCACTAATTACATCGTTTAATCTAGATTAATGATTTTGACTCCTGCAGCATGCTTGATGATCGATCTTGGCCAGGTGGAACACGCGATCAGGGAGCAGAACGTGCTGGATTCATACGCCATGATTGAGAACTACTGCCATCTCATCTCCGAGAGGCTCATCGTCGTTGAAACCCATTCCAAGTACGTATTAACTATACGTGGTTCACTAATACGATGATATATGAAGATGTGTGTATGTATGTAGGGAATGCCCCGAGGAGCTGAAAGAAGCAATATCGAGCTTGATCTTTGCAGCGGCCAGGTGTGGGGATTTACCTGAGCTGCAAGAGATGAAGCGGCTGTTCACTTCCAGATATGGCAAGGAGTTTACAGCTCGTGCCACTGAGCTCCGCAACCACTGTGGTGTTCATCCTGGGGTACGTATATACCCAATTGATTATGATGATCACCCAGTTAATTCGGACCATTTTCCTTATAAGCGGGAAAAAAAATTCCAAAATATACTATGGTTAATAAATAAATAAAAATTCCCACTCCAGATTCTAGAGTTGGGACTCCAGCGAATCAGCTAGTAGTTCGCTTGAGTATTTGCGGAACCAAAAACTGGATCGTGGCTGAGAAGCATACGACAAACTTTTGGTGATCGCCGCGCGACTGAAACTAACCGAACTGCACTAAAACATAGGTGAATCGCTGGACGCCCTTGCGATGTACACCTAATTACCTAGGTAAAAAACTTCTGACGGTTATAATTTTACGCCCTGGTTATTCGATCTTAATTAGAGATTTTTTTTCCCGATTTCGCATAACTTTTCGAGATTAGATAACCGAGTACAAATTTACGAAACATTGGAAGTTTCACCCTAGGTAAGGTGTGAATCGTTGGTGGTGGGTGGGGGGGGGGTGGGTGGGGGGTTAATTATCAGCTAGCTGATGTAGTTCGCTAGTGTGACCCATGTTGTTTCGAGGATGGTTCGCTTGAATCGACCGCTATTTAGGCCCTTTGAGAGTAAATCGCTCCATTGTCGCTCAACACTGGAGCGAAGTGCTCCACGTCGGAAAATATTTTGCAAAGCTTGAGAATTTTTTTATAATAACTTTTCTTTAGGGGGGAAAATCATAAGCTATGTCGTCATTGAAATCATTCTCACAAGTCTACCTATAGTAACCCTACATATATTTTTTTTCTTTCTTTCTTCCTTTACAGATGGCGAATAAGCTGTCGACGAGGCAACCAAGTTTGGAGAGCAAAATCAAAGCGCTGAAGGAAATAGCTCCAAAGAGTGAACTCATCACTCAAATAGAAGAAGCGGCCGTCTCCACAACAAACCCTAAACCAGCTGTAGCCAACCATCGTCATCATCATCATCATCATCATCTTCAGTCTCCTAAATCACTCAACACTCCTCCTCCACACCATCCCAACAACAAGTACAAGGATTTCGAGACGGCAGCACACGCAGCGTTCGAGCTGTCGGCTCAGGCAGCCACCGCGGCTCGAGCTGCCATGGAGCTGTCTCGTCCGCCTGCTAGTGGCGGTTCGAGCTCGGATACCAATGGTGGTAGTGGAACATTGGTGATGTTGGGGAGAAGTAGTAGCAGTAGTACTGGGAAGTCGACTAGGTTTGCTGCATCTAAGGACTATGTTCCCAAGCTATTCAACAGGAGTGCTAGTGTCACAATGCTCGATCGTCGCCCTCCAAATATTGGGAGGTGATGTTGTTTCTGTTAAGTATATTAATTGAAGTATGTATGTGTTTGCGATAATAAGGTGGGTTTGCGCTCTAGCTGGCTCGAGCTTTGGTGTATAGTAAGGGAGAGGTTTGTTTGCATGTATATTGGAGTGGTGTGGTACGATTAGGCAGGCACGACGAGTCACACGACATATATAGGACAATCGCCATTGAAGATATTTGCGCGTAAGAACACCTATATATCAAAGTACTTGGGAGTCGTTTATATGAGTCATTTTGAAAAATAAGTCGTTTGGTCAAAATGTAGACATTCGCAAATTTATTGTTTGTTGAAAAGTTCTTTTATGGACATTTATAAATGGGTTGTTGTATATAATGTTACAATTTTGCACTTACATGTAATAATGTTTCATTATCTTCTTTACTATCATGATATTATAAAACCAACCACACAAACAAAGTTTGCAACCAACAAAACATAATGTTGGGTAAATGCATGCTTAAATTACTTTCCAATTTCCAATGATAATTTCATGTTAATACCTTTTTTACATAAGGTAACGACTCCAAAAGTCTCACATTCGAACTAATTACAAAGAATCATGTTAAATGCCCTTTAAAATGATGGTATTTGTGAATGAAAAAGATACACCATGGGTAGATAATCAGCGAGACGGAGGCGTCTATCTGGTTTGGGGAGCGTCAATTGCTAAAGAAGGAAAAGAGAGCTCTGATGCCTGGAGAGAATTGCGACTCATTTTTAAAGGCGGCAACTCTGATGACATGACGAGCTGGAGTGAAGAGATATTAATGAAGACAATGAGATGGCGACCCACTTCGTTGTCTATGAAATTTTGGGGAAAGAATTTTTATATAAGGATAAGAAAGGTTTGTTTTTTTTTTTATGGTTAGGTGATACTAAAAATATATAACCATATGACCTCCATGTTAAAGCTAGACTAAACCCTTATTTGCAAGAAAAAAAACTTGTGGGGAGACAAGAAATGACAGGGAAAACAAATTATAGAAATGAAAGGATAAAAATGGGTTTATGAAAAATAGACAAAGACATAATTGAAAAATCAGGACTAAATAATGAGTCATTTGGAAATGACTCGCGAAGATAAGGAATTTGAAAGTGACTCGATAGAGTCCGTTAAGACTTTCATATGAAAAAGTATGAAAAAATTACTTAAACAAACAATCCCTTAACTCTTTTAATTTGACGCGTAGTAGCTTTCTTATTAATTTCTTTTTTATAATTTTATTATTCATTACAGCTGATCTATCTAAAGGCAGAGCTATAAGATTGGTACAAGTGTGTTCTTTATGCCAAGGATGCCACTAGAGTGTAGGTGTAAATCAGTGGCCTTTGATAACTCGCAAATTATACATGTTTTCACTTTCTTTTGTACCGCCTTTCCTTTGATATTTTAGAAGTATTCATTTGTTTTGGCAAGTTTTATGCTTGCTTGTTTTGTTTAAATGTGTTTTAGGTCATTAGGATTGAATTTGACGATATTTAGACAAGAAATGCAAAAAGTATGAAAGTTTTGGAGCATTGGATGACTTGAAGCGCACTTGGAATGAAGTTAAGAATGGACTGGCGAAGTGCGCCAAGGTAACCTTACGATCGTGGAGCTGGCCATGGGCAAATTCCATCGATATTCCAAATTATGACTGAAGTTTGAAATTGTCGAGGGCTTCCAAGAAAGACCCATGATCGCAAGGCAAACCGTGAGGAGCCCACAACCATGGCGCTGCCTTAGAGCCATTCGACAATAAATTTAATTAAGGAAAAAGTTATGCATGGGTCAGTAACAACCATGTTACTTACCAGATCCGCTCCCTCCTCTATTATGTGGGTTTATAATTAGTGCTTCAAATGAGTCGAGGTTAGTCGAGTTTTGACCTAACTCATCCTTAGTTCATTAAATAATTAGTCAAGCTCAAACTCGGCTGGATTATCAAAACTTTGGCTCAAACTCAGCTCAATCTACTTGAGCTCTGATTAAGCTCACCTCATTTGTCGTTCTAAATGGTTGAAGCCCTAACATAAACTCTAACATACCATATATGATACATATGGTTAATATACTGATAAGAAAATTAATGATATTAAAATTTTCATGAATAAACACTCTCACGCTTGTATACTATATTGGTATCATAATTCTAATTAGTTCATATCATCTTATTTAATAGTAATTAGTATTTAACAATTTTATGATAAATCATTTTTGTTTTCAAATGATAAATAATGACACATATTTGATCATGTACTTCAATTTTTAAACCATGCTATGTTGTGAAATATATAGTCTAGCAAATATATGAACCATCAACAAGCCAATTCATAAACTCTAGATCAATTTTGCTAATAAGTTACTAGTTGAGTTGGCTCGGTAGCCCCACCGTCGAGTCAGCCCATGAACTCAGGGGTCGTTTGGAGAAAATGAGTTTAAATCTATAGATTGTCAACAATCTAAAGATTCTAACTCTTCGGATTGTTGAAAATAGATTTTAAAATGTTTATTGTTTGGTAACTGTGATTGTTAACATTCAATGAAAATAAAATAAAAATTATTTTTGTATTAAATTACGTGTTTATCCTCAATAAAAAATTAGAGTGGTTCGAGAAATATTAAAAACTTTGTTGATAAATATATTTAATATGATAAATAAATAAAACAAAGAGAAAAAGTAGGAGGAAAAAAATCTCACGAATCAAGATATAGAATCTCTCTGATTATGAGAGATTTGATATCCGTAGATTTTAGAGATTTGAAATCTCTAAAGCTCAAATCCACAATATAAAAAACAACAAAAAAACATAACTTTCTACAAAATCTACGGATTCAATGAATCCATGCCCTAAATCCCATCCTCCAAACGACCCCTCAAAACGAGCTAGCTCATGAGTTGAGCTCAACTAGCCACCGAGTTGAGATAGCTCACAAGCTTCACGAATTGAACAAAGTCTAGCACAATCTCGAACCGTTAGTAAACAAGGTGAGTTTTGAACGAGATTTTTTTTTTAATCGAACATCAAGCCGCTCATGGGACCACTTGTCTCATTTGGAGCACTAAATATAGTATGTAACTGGAGGGGTTCCCATATTTAGTCAATGTAGCCAAATATCAACCATATAGTTGATGCTCCTGCTACCCTTTTGTCCCCTTCTCACTAATCTCTACTTGTTGAAGAAATCTTCTTTGACGTGTACACACTAAGTAGGTGCCAAAGGGAGAGCCAAAACCGAAGCCTGCTGCCGATTGCATCCATCCTTCCACTTGCATGGCATCGGATTTCACATCACAGCTCTCTCAAAGACAAGACTCTACCCCTTCTCCTTTGTCTTTTGGCCAATTCCTTTGGCACATCCGATGATATAACAACACTAACATCAACAGGTTAAACAGCCGTTGCAGTTTACATTAGTTTACCACTTTTACAAATATTATTTTTATCACAATTCAAAGCTGGATGGTATGGAGATAAAAAGACCTTCCACAGAAGACACCAGAATCCAGCCAATTGGTCATTGAAATTGCTGTCACAAATAAGCATACTCAGGCAAACGACTGTGATGGAAGATAATGGTCACAGACGACCAAGTTCCTAATTGTTATTAGCCTAGACAAAATCTGAATGCCCCCCTTATATATAACAATCAAGTAATCAATAACTTAACCTCACTAGCTAGCCTGGACAAAGGCCTGAAGTTTTGACCAGACACCATAAGCAAAACAAGGAACAGAGGGAGACATGGGTAGAAAACTGGATGCTCTTCTGGGGAGAAATTTCAGAGCCTGCAAATTGAAGGTTGTAACAAACCTTGCTGTCTCAAGGATCACCATCCTCAGAAAGCAGAGGCAAGCTCGGTATTCACAGGCCAGGTCTGATGTGGTCGACATCCTGAAACTTCAACAACACGAAAGAGCACTCATTCGCGTAATCTTCATTCCCTTATTGGAAATTGCCTCCACATCAGGATCTTAGTTTCACCATTTTTTCCTTTCCCACTTTTTGCAGGTAGAGTTTGTGGTGAAGGATCGAAACATGCTCGATGCGCTCGACATGATGGAGAACTACTGCAGGTTCCTGATAGAGAGAGTCATGTTTCTTGAGAAGAACAAGTTGGGGGTCTCAAACTTGCTTTGTTTGTTTAATGTATTCACGTTTGCTGATTTCCCACATGTTCCGACTGGGTCACTAATTTATGATCACCTTGTTTCTGTTTGTGAAGAGAATGCCCAGATGAGCTGAAGGAAGCAATCTCAAGTTTGATCTTTGCATCTTCGAGGTGTGCAGAGTTCCCTGAACTGCAAGAGATTCGTGGCATCTTCCAACTGCGATTCGGGAAAGAATTCATTGCTCGAGCCATCGAGCTGCGTAACAACTGTGGAGTAAATCCAAAGGTATGTAGTAAAAGAGGTACCAGAAAGATGGTTACGAAGCATTTACTTAAACAACAGTTCTGAAACAACTCTTCTCTTTATTGGCTAAGATCATCCAGAAGCTCTCAGCAAGGCAGACAACCTTGGAAAGCAGGATTGAATTGTTGAGAAGCATTGCTTCTGAGGTCCATCTCACCCTCGATTTGAAACTCCATGATCATCTACCACATACAGCTGAGATAATGAGAAAGGACATCGCCGATAATCATCAAATGAAACAAGAAAATTCAATCCCAGATGAAGAGCTTTCGTCTGAGCCGTTAAGAGCAAGAAACAAGTATACAGATGTAGCAGCTGCTGCAAAGGAAGCTTTTGAATCAGCAGCTTATGCAGTCACAGCTGCTAGAGCTGCAATCGAGCTCTCGAGATCCAGATCTCACCACTACTACCAAGATGATCACGACACTAGCAGCTCAGAATCGGAAAGTGATGAAAAAAGCACCGAGCTTGATTCTGCTACCAATGGAAAAGTTGCAGAGTTACCCACAACCATGGATAAACAAATTGTTTTATATGAGGCCTACGAGGAAGAAGAGGTTGAAAATAATCAGCAGCTACATGGGAACATGCCAGCAGTACTAGAGCACCATAACTTGGACCAAGAAAGTGGAGAAACCCTAAACTGGGATGGGCTAAAAGTTTCATCAGATATACACTCAAGCAATTTGGAAAAGCAGTTACATGTTCCCCTATCTAGGAGAGTGAGGAAGAACTCACATCAATAAAACACAATCCTTGAAGGAGAGGGATTCTTCTTTTTTCCTTATTTCTGTTTTCTTTCTCTAGCTTCTATAGTCTAAAGATCCAGTAACTGTCAAGAAAGAGGGCAAATAAAAATTATCAACTAAGATGAGAACTTGACCAATTCTCCATTACATGGATTACTCTCTTTTCTAATCAACACCATACTAGCTTGGACCCTGCCCTTTGGCCAGGTAATTATTTTTTTCATTGGACACACACTATTCTGCTTCAAAGAGAAACTAAAAAGTGCAGCTGATACATGAGTGGACTCCAGAGTCTCTCATTAGAGTCATTCTAACATACTCGCAAAGGGAAGCCCGCCTTGTACTCAATTTGGCAAGCATTCAACTTTTACATCCGAATGACAAAAGAACAGGATTCTACGTTCACCCTTATCAGATGCACCAGGTTTAAAGTACAGAAGCTACTAGTATAAGCAGTAACCAAAATATAAAGTGCGAAGAGTATGCCAGCACTATCTCTCAGACGAACCTTAACCTTTTTTCATTTCATGATCATAGTTCAGTTGCTCTTCAGCATCAATATAAACCATTCAAGAGCAGACCATATACTGTTGAAATTTCAAAAATGAACATAGGATGACAAAGGAATGAATAGAAAACTGCTTACAACGTCAATGTGAAAACTTGGTAACTTCGACGTGTTGTTAGACCAAACCTTTTCTCCTAACAAAAGGTTCCTTTGCCAAGTTCCAGCTTTTTCCTCTGTGTCAACCTCAGTATTGATGTATGGTTGTGTGGCTGGCTGAGAGCAATATCCATCTGGTGTTACATGTAACCCGAATTAGAACTCACTTTGAGCTTTTGTTGGTGGTGGCTTTCCCCTTGCTGATTAAGTCAGAAAGCTGGTTTAGAAGGATGGCCATCTGCTTATGTGAAATCCACGGCTTGCTCTCCAGCAACTTCTGAAGCTCCACCAAGGCATCTTGATGCGGCCAAAAATGGTAAGGCGTTAGAGGAATGGTGCCATGCCTTGGTACCACTTGGTTCAACGCCACACCAATAACATCCTCCATCCACAGGAACTTCAATACTATTCTTGGTTTCTCCATCGGCTTCACCACCACTCTCAGCTTCTGCCAAATTGCAGCAGAAGATTGGCACAAAAAAAGCAGTTAACAATGGAGAAGAAGTGTGCCCAGTTGGGTTTCATGGATACAAATGTAATGGAAACCATTGTGGCAAATTCCCTTACCTCTTTAAGCGACGGGGCGTCTTGCTGTTGAGAAAGAACCGGTTCAGCTGCCGACGCTGAAATCCTGAGTTTTGCAGAGACGAAAGAAAAGATGGAGGGTTTAAGGGGTTTAAGAAAGAGGGTTTCTCTGTTTTGGTGTTGCGGCGAAGAAGGGAACTGGGACAAGGGATTGACAGAAATTTCTCTGGAATTCAGCTCCATAGCCATGGATGCTGTAATGAAAAATCTGGTCGGGTGGTTTGCGATTTCGTAGTCTCTACCGGGAACAGGATTGCGCCACTTCAGAGTTCAGAGACCGTGGAGATAGGAAATTGATTTAGGGGTCGTTTGCTTCATGGATTTAAAAATGAGGGTTTTGTAATTTAAAAACCCAAGGATTTATCAAGTATTTGAGGCATCATGGATTTGTAACAATCCTTTGTTTGTTGGGATGTTTTTATCATGGATTTAAAGGTGTGGGATTTACTACTTGAATTCAAAAATTACATTACTACCCTTTTCTATACGTTTGACATGTTTATGATATGTACACAAAACAAGGACACAACTTCAAAATTACCTTACTATCATTTTCTATATGTTTGACATGTTTATGATATGTACACAAAACAAGGACAATACATACTAATAAGCATAATGTTGCCACATGGACAATAATAATAAACGAGAAAATTCTGTTTTAACTTTTAACGTAACATAATCAATTACCAATTCTTTGTCCTCCTTTTCAAAAGTGACATATAACAACATATATTAGAATCGGAAGAACAAAGAATTACACGTTCCATGAAAAGGTCAAAGAAAACTAGAACACAAGAAATGATATAAAAAATCTAACTCATGTTTGCACATTAATTGAACGTTTATATTATTCATTTATTGTTAATTATAATGTATAATAGTTAAATTTGAGGGCAACCTTGGAATATTAAAAGTGCATGAGGGTATATGAGTAAAATCTCATCAAGGATTTATGCCATATTCCAAATCCCACATCAACATGTGGGATTTATAAGTCCGTGGGGTCCACGGATTTGGACCATTAAAATCCGTGGGTCCCACGGATTTGGTCTCCAAAAAAGGTGCAAGCAAACAACGGATTGTACCTAAATCCTTGATAGTTGGTTTTTTTGTACCAAATCCATGTACCAAATCCTTGAAGCAAACGACCCCTTAATCAGAACGGAGGAAAGGACCAAATTGATACATTTGTAATTATCACGGTTTCCCATGAGCCACGTCTACAATTTAGACAAACAAGTACAAAATTCCCAAAAATAAACCAAGAGTTAGGCTGCAATGCAAATGAGTAGAATTTTGGCTTAATTTAGACTCGACTTGTGAATAAACGAGTTAAGTTCGGGGACGATCTGTTTAATAAAATTTTGAATTGTGTTTTAAACGAATTCGGTTCATTAATGAGCTCACGTGTGTTATTCGAATTTGGCCCATCAATTAGTTCGTGAAATCGTCTCCATTTAAGATATCATATCATTTATTTTATAGCTTTTAACGGTTAATATCATGTTATTTCATAGTAATTAGTATTTGAGATATCTATTATGCATCATTTCTGTTTTAAATTATAAATGGCACATATTCATGCGCTCAAATTTGTAAACATCATATGTAGAAGAAGAAAAAAATGCAATTTAACAAACTTATGAATTATCAACAAACCAATAATAAGCTATTAATCAACTCGCTCATAAGTTGCTAGTTGAGATGGCTTGATAGATAGCTCGCTAGCCGTACTATCAAACCAACTCATTAGCTCAAAACGAGCTAGCTCACGAATTAGTTCAACAAGCCACCAAGTTAAACTAATTAATGAGTCTTGCAAGACGAACAAGGTTTAGCTCAATCATCCATTATGAGCGAGCCGAACGAGTTTATCCCAAGTTGAACTGCTCGTGAGCAATTTGGCTCATTTACAACCCTACAAAAAATTGGTCTAATGCAAGGTGAGATGAGAACATCTAGTATATTTTAAGTTCAAATCTTAGACCAAAAACCATCTAATAATAATGTTTCAATTTGTTCCACGAAGTTATAATCAATGTAGTCAAATGCGACATCAACATATAGAAACCGAAAGATAGGTAAAGATAGGTAAAAGCATAAGCCATAAAGTATGCATGGTGTAAAATTATTAATGATATGCAACATTTATCATTCACCAAACGATTTTAATTGCAATTTTGTTCGATTTTGTACGCCATACTATTTTCATCGACTCTAAAACACAAAAACCTACCCATTTATGATTGGAATATCCATGAGAAACCCTCCAGTACTAGTACTACACTCAACTTTCCCGAACTTCCAAATTGCACTAAACAAAGAGGGGCTTTTGGTTTCAAAGCCAAATTAAATTATGTATCTAAGTATCTAACCCAGCCTGATTGATAGACCTTGAAATCTAGGGTGCAAGTAATGCGGTGGAATTGAGAATTAGGTTAGATCAATTAGAAATTGATCTAGGGATTGAGAATAGGAAGATCAAGTTTGATAGAGAGGAAGAAGGGTTTCGGCCGAATCCTAGAGAAGAGAAGGGAGGTTTCACTTTTCAGCTAGAGAGAATTAGGGTTTTAATATTCTTAACAGGCTTGACCATAAACGTGTCTTACATCGATACTTATACTAATCGACAATTATCCCATTTACACCCCAAAATAATAACCTAATCGTAATACTCCCCCAACAATAAACCAACATAATAATCCGATTAATAAACCGACAATTAATAGAAATTCCTAATAACTATAAAATGTGTTCATCACTGATTCTCTTCCAAAACAGTCCCGTGTAAACCGAAACATTGTACAACCGAGGCCACGGTTGGTTGAACGAATGAACTTCAATGCCATACAATAAACCACCAGACTTAAGACCATGCTTCCACATGGTATTTACCATCCCTCTCCAACCTTCTTATCAGCGCTGCAGCTGCTTCTCTGGCCACTCCACCCTCTTTCGATATGATTTCTTCCACAGTCAGCATCACATCAGAAGGCATGTTCGTGGAAGAGCCTGCAACGTAGATGGCAGCGCCGCCTTCTGACAGCGCTGCCCATATTTTCTGGCTCTGCTCCCGCATCTTGTGCTGCACGTAAACTTTCTGAGGCTGGTCTCTCGAGAATGCAACGTAGAAGCCTCCGCCTCTTGCTTCGGAGAGCAATCCGCCATCACACGAGTGAGATAGCCACAAGTCCCTGTATAAGAAGTCATCCCCTTCATTTCTGCAGCCAAAGAAGAACAGGATGGGAGCAGCTGAGCTGGACGTATCTTGTGCAGCTCGCTCTGCTAGAAAGCCACGGAAAGGTGCACAGCCTGTGCCAGGGCCGATGAGGATAAGTGGAAGTGATGGTGGCGGTGCAGGGAGAGAACCCTTGTGAAACCATGCTGGAATGGTTACACCTGTTGATTAAATATAAAAGTTTAAGAAGTTGAAGCAAGACACCAACAGGTGTAAACCTGTTCAATCATGTGGTTCTGGCAGTCTTACCTTGTAGAGGATCAAGACTAGCTAACCATGATGAACAAAGACCCATCCTTTTTCTTTTAAAAGGTGTCGTCCATGAGACTACACTCACTGTCAAGTGGACTTGGTTGGGATGGGCTGAAGGAGAAGAAGCAATGGAGAAAGCCCGTTTTCTCAATGGTTGAACCAACTCTACCAGCCATTCAAATGGCATTTGCACAGAAGGGAAATCCTCTAGAACCTGCACGTAAGAAGATAGAAAGTTTCAACGCCTTGCAACTCTAGATTTCAGAAGCCAGACTTTGCATATCATGCTTCACAAACAGGAAAACAAGTAGCTGTAATAGAAGGATGAAGCAATGATAGATAACTAAAAGTGTCCTGTTTAACTAGGTGTTGTGTATTGCATTTTACTCCCAGTAAGTTACTGCCCGTTTGGGGTGTCAGATCCAAGCATCTTATAAAGTATTTGTTGGGATTATCATGCTTCAATTTTTTAAACTTGAAGTGCAGAACTGGTATAACAGACTTATAATCATGATTACAACAACTGCAGTCAACCAAAATTATATTCAATTCAACTTTAGTGTCTTCTAAAACATGGAAACGTCATTTTTGTCGCATGGAACATGCCAAGATGCAGTATATTTTCCCTCTAATTGACAAGATTATCAATGCAAACGAATCAGTAAGGCTAAGAATTGAGGGTGAAACCAGAACACAACCATAATACAGAATTACATTAACTCAAAAGGTTTACCTCCAAAACAGTCCTCCTTTCCATCTGGTTGTATTGGTACAAATCATCTCTACCTTCAGGTGATACGAAATACTCGAGTCGCTCCTTTTCATGTTCTGCAGTTGCAAAGTAGCTCATAACCTACAAAGGATAGTAAAAAGTAATTCATCATTTGTTTACTAACTGTTAGAAAGACACATGAGAACACATTAACTCCATAACAAACTTCTGCGTCAAGCCCTCATGTAGTATTAAAGGAACATATCAACATCTTGTACAACAACACTATTACAACAATTTGCAGTCAGGGGGGCTGTTAGAGAAGAATTCAACAGCCAGAGGTACTAGCACATTTTCATAAAATTTAGCTTTCCGCAAAGGGGCTGAATGAAAACGACAATGGTAAATTAGTAGTCTGCATGAGAAATGCACAAAAGAAAAAAAAAATAGTTAAGGTCCTCGCCTCAAAGAAATAGCGCCTAGGTGAAGCTGAGGTGACATCCATAGCCAGTTCAACATATTTTTTTTAATTTATGGGCAATGCTTGGCCACTTTTGGAGCCATCTAGAAGGTGGCTTCCCCGCTTCTTGGGGCACACCTACAGGGAAGAGAAATTGCATATTATTAAAGCAGAATGGCGAAAAGAAGAAAAGATAACTTAATATAATGTCGACCAAGTTATTTAAGCATCCTACACTCAAAGAAGCAAAGACAAACAAACAAGTGAAAAATTATGGATCGGCCAAAGAATGGAACATGGAAGAGAGAGAGAAACGAAACTAATGAAATGGACCAGCAGCTTGAGTGCTAACTGCTAAGTACTTTCAGCACAATCCATGCCATAGACACAGAAACTTCCCCATTGGAATAATAGAAGTGCCAGTGCCAGTGCCAGTGTCAGTGCCAATCTAAGAATAATAACTATTACTCACAGTGATAAATGCTTCAGGGTCCAAATTGCAGCGCTGTATGAACGCATCAACTAAATCAGGGTTTTGACTGGGGAGAACTTCAAGGACATCACCGACGTCATAGCTAATTGTCTACAAAGTTCAAAACATAAACAATATAAAAAATTTGACAGATTCAGCTGAAGTGCTAGACAAGGGCCTGAGAGATAAACTGGAAGAGAAGTCAAACTGAAAACTTACAGATGGAAAAAATTCAAACTCGAAATGCCGCACATCTCTCCCACATCCTTTCCTAGTTAGTGGCTCATTTCTGACCTACATGAGCACGCACAGTTACTCAGATAAAGAACCACAATAGAAGCGGTGGCAATGGAACTACAAAAAGGAGAGACCAGAGCAAAGACACCACTTTCTGTTGCAAGAAATCGTCTGCAAACACAAGCCGAATATCTCTGAAATTAATTTAACCATAATACCCAGGTTACCTTCTTACTATTCTATATATATATATGAGTGCACCTTCGTATTCTTTTGATGACTAAACAACACCATCAATGCTCTTTTTTGTCATCATTCAACATATTGAAATATATATTATACTTTTCCCCATAGTTTCCACAACAGTCTCAGAGTACCATAACCTCTTCACAGGATACAAGTGTAACTACATTTCAAGGGTCCAAATATATAAAAGTTAGTGGTTTCACTATTTTTGGATACATAACATCTACTCTTTAAATTAGGGAAGTGTATACCGCAAATAAAAAAGGTGTACCAAAATCTATCATGTTGCAAAAGTAGAATATAGTGAATAACTCCCAGAATAGTACTATTAAGCAATGATGTGGAAGTGCATACTGCAGCATCTAACATTTTAACAATATTGAAGCATACCCTATTACTAACCCCTACCATTTTAAGAAAAGCATCAGGAGTACTCTTGTCATAAGAAAGTTTTGCAGGAGACATCGAGCGAGCCCTCTCAATCTCCATTGCAGGACTTTTTGGATCTGAAACAACAACCTCAGAAAACTGAGTCTTTTTGAATAAACAAGAAACAGTAATCGCTGATTAATTCCTCCACAAAATCAACTTGTGTAAGCAGTTACAGCTTCAAGCACTCAAGTATTCGGGCAATGAAGAAACTACAACAGCAAATATATTTTAAAGTTGACATCTATAGCACCATAAATCACGTCAGTAAAAGCAACAATAATAGGATGCAGGCTGTATCGCCAAGTGAACAGGGCAAATCTATAAACACAAGGAACTAGCAGCTTAGTTAAGCTTAATTAAAATAACATTGGCACCTAGCTTGATGCTAACAGTCTACCAAATAAAGGAAGGATAATTTTCATCGCAGCGAAAGAAAAAAAGAGAAATTCTAATTGATTCAATCACCTGTTACTGACAGCCCAGCGCCTAGTTCATGGTATACAATTTGGTATTTGGGTTGATCAAGCAATTGTGATGTCGGAGGGATATAATCAGGGCCATGCGGAAAGAAAGTTGGATTAATTTGATACAGGCCACGCCACAAGGATGTCATCCATGGGTCCAAAGCACCTTCATACCTGGAAATAAGTCAGCATTCACTATTCAGAATACGTTGGAAAATAGTGGAGACAAAAACCAGAATCAAATCTTATTATATAATCCATGCAAACCTATTCGGTAGAAAAATGACTGCTCATAGAGGTACTAAACGAGAAAACTGCTTCTGTTCAAGTTAAAGTCCTAGCATCTTCAATGTTCTATGGACGAAATGATGGATTAGGAAGTCAATCAACATCTGAAATACAAAAGTCCCAGCAGTTCACTTTTGAAGAAAAAGGTTTGCACTGTACATTAGTATACCCTGAAGGATGTTGGTCATCTCCGAGACCTCTCTCAACAATAGCACTTGCCCCAAGATCATGAAGCCTCCTGTCCAGCTTCTTTGCAACAAACTGCAGCAATAGCACCGAAACAGTTTTCAGTTAACTACTACACAGTATCTAGATTTCAGTGAAGTACAAAGTCCGGTCCTCATGAGGATTTATAACTCAATCCTCAAACCTTGTACAAAGTTCTTTGCTTTTACCGATATTGTTACTATTAGTTACCCATTGCAAGTTAAACAAACCTCACCACGATTATTTATCTGTCAATTCACAGTGCATTTCACCCCAGATTTGTATGGGAAATAAATTCACCGCGACACAGATTCACCCGAACTTGAGTAGCCAATGTGATTACCGCGCATTTCTTCAACACTATATAAAGAGAGATATTATCCAACACTGTTGAAAGATTTAGAAGATTACATTGAACTTCTGGTAACCAGAATCTCCCAATCCAAAGACAGCATAGTGAACTCCTTCCAGCCAAGACTTAGGAAGATTTTTCTGCAGCAGATACTTCCAAAAAACCTACATGTATTGAACATAGAAGGATATCAGTAAGAACTACAGACCCAGATGATCACAATAAATACAACAAACAAGAGGATTCATTCAGTTCAGAGTAACCTTCATCGCATCGGGTGCATCTCCCTGGCCTGTTGTAGAGACAACAAAGATTATGGTCTTCTCCAAGGTTAATGAATTCTGCAATGTAGGAAAATGGACGCACTTTAAAGTACTGGTTTTACAAAGATTCTTGATGACAAGAAGACGGAAGATGATGGATAACAGCCTATTGTTCATTCTACGGTTTCAGCTAACAAGCAGAAACATGCTATCCTCAATATTATCACATGCAGAAATTCAGGAAATTAGTACATTCGAGCAATTTCCTGAAACCTTCAATTGGATCAATTCCTACTTCTTCTCTTTGCATTTCACAAAACACAAAGCAAACTGCCATTCAGGGTAACAAAGTAGACCACATGCATGATGCATAGACTGGTCTCCTTTACTTCACCACAGTTCCACCATAAGACTAACTAGATTCTAGCTGGCACAAAACCCTTTTAGAGCAAACCTAAGTGACTTTCTAGATAGCAGCGCGGCTGTTCCTCCCACTTTTTGGCATAGCAAATAGCCAAATACACACACCTCAAACAAGAGAGGATTCGCAGAACAATTTTCTCTCACCTTGCCTCCTAAAAAAGAGAGAAAGCAAAGCAAAAGGAAGAGACTTTGGTGGAGAACTTACAGCGTCAAACTCGTCCATGGAACTCAGGGTGACGGGGCAGCCTCTACGTTCAGCCTCGCGGCCAACACGCTCTGCGGCGTCGAGGGCATTCCCAGTTTGACTAGCATAGAGTACCAAGAGAGGCTTTCTCGATTTCTCTCCCATGATTATGATGAAATTCGGTTATCAATTGGCATAAATTTTGCGCCTTTCTGCTATTGCTATGCTACGATTCTACGAGCCAGAACTGCTCCAACCTCCAAATCGGCAAAGTCCCTCTTGATTCCTTCCTTCTCCGTAGGAGATTCTGCCAAATCAAGTCCGGCTAGTTTGGTCCCGACTATCTTCTCACCTGCCCTGCAATATCCTGCCAAACTTCCTGTCTCCAGTCTCCACAATTAGACCTAGAATTTCGAAGTTCAAAGAAGGAGACAGGAGAAAGTAACAGGATTTTAGAGATATGAGCATAACCAGTTTACTTGTCATTCAGTTTTCTACTAGACCACAACAACAAAAAATTAAAGTAAAACGAAACTGTTTTGTTTAGATGAGAATATTGATGAATTCTTAAACTGAATTTTGAAAATAATAATATATTTAGTTACTTACTGTTTTATATATTTTTATTTTATATAAAAAAAATAAGAGTTATACAAATAACCCAAGGCTACAAGCGACACCCTAGTGAAGCCACCCAAATAAAGTCGAAAGACTCTAACTCTACTAGAAACAAAAGCTGTGTTTTACGTGCCACTCTATGAGCAACACTATTGGCGGCTCTAGGAACCGCCCTAAACTATATATACAAACTGACAAAGTGTCTATGATCTGACGACATACCCCGAGCACTAGACCTCCAAAGGAATCTTCTAGGACATCATGACGGATCTGGTAACGAACTCCTCGGAATCACCTTCCACTATCACGAGAGACAAGGGTCTCGAGGCAACGATGGAGATAAATACTCTTACAGCTAGGAGCTCTGCCATGAAGGGATACACTACTCCCTGGTGACGCATATTGGCTGCAGCACCACATGCTCGTCTGACCCATGGATAGCAAGACCAAACGAGCACCCTGAGTCACGAACAGCTGCATCGAAGTTTATCTATAAATAGTCGTCTGGTGGAGGCTCCCAAGTGGCTGGAGGAGGAATTGGAAGGAGCGATCTGGGGGGAGGGGTGGAGATTGGAGACTTCACGGACCTGGTTGTAGAATTTTCTGGAGAGAGAACGGACATGAGGTTGGTAGAATTCAAAAATCACTTTATTTTTAGACTTCCAGATTCTCCAAAGTAACCAGGTGCATTGGAGAATGTGGAATGGGGAGATCTTAGAGATCATGACATGTCGTCACCATAGACTAAAATTGATAGTCGGGGCGGAATCAAATAAGTTGCTCAATCCCACTAAGGTCCACAACTTAGTGGCTAGGGGGAATTTGAAGAATAAGTGTTCAATGCTCTCTTGATGTTGTCGGGACACAAGGCATCGATTGAGGCAATTAACTCCACGGGTTTATAGGGCTACCACTATTGGAAGAATAACCTTGAGGCATTGCCCTATGAAGAATGACCTTGAGGAACGACAATTAAGTTCACGAGAAGTTAAACTCCCCTACATCAAATTGTAACATCCAAAAGTCAAAATCCAAAAAATCCATCATCTTTAACTAGTATGGTTGTTATCTTTCAAAAAAAAAATAAACTAGTATGGTTGTTACCAACGAGACTTCAAGTAAGGCGCAAAATTAAAATAAGAAACTTAATTGTTCATCAGTACTTAGGAAGAATTAAACATGTATAGCCGTGCTATTAATTTATTAGTTAACACCACACCGAACGTATGAGTCATTAATTGCATCTTGTAACCGCCAAAAAGCCAGCGAAGGTCACCAGAAGCTTGCTCCGATCACACCCTGGTTGAACGCCGACAACCACCATAATGTTTTATGGTACTTGATTACCACAATTTTGTTCATTGAGTATCATACAATCCTCACCATGATTATACTTTTTAATACGAATCACGAAGTATTTAAACTACTAATAAACAGAATACAAACACAACGTCTTGTATAAAATAAGAATTATTACAACATCAAATATCAAATAAGTCCAACTTGAAAGTCATTCCACCACTTGTTTGCTAATCCATCACGACATACAGCCATTGCTCGAGTTTGGCTTGAATTGAGATCTTACGCTTCTCTTTCTTGTTCTCCTTGCACTCCATTGTACGACATATGCTAGTAAATTTTGTACAAATTCATAGTGAACTTACTTTTCAATGTATATTCATCATTGTTTCTCATCAATAACAAAAAAAATCGCCCCTTCTCGTAGACGTTAGGGTCGTGAAATTCCAAAACAATGGTCTCACTCATGTTCATACGTCAGTCTTCTTAGTGCGTTGCACAAGACAAGATCGGTGTATCAACTAATAGTGACAAATTCATCTTAGTTGAAATACCAGACAATGAGATAGATCCAAAAGAAACTGGAGTAGTAGAAAATTTTATGAGGATGTGGGCTACCTACTCTAAAAACTATGGGTGAAGTTCGGTTTGCAATTTTTGGATCACCCGCAAATCGCACCAAACCGCACAAAGAAAATTTGATGATTCTAAAGCTGATTTCCTTACTCGTCCATTCTCTCAACAAGAAATTTGGGTTGCTTTGAGTTCTAGTGATGGATGGAAAGCTCTTGGGTCGAATGGTTTCTCCTTTGAGATTTATAAGAAGTGTTGGCAAATGATGGAAAACTATATCATGGATGCATTCAATGAGTTCCATTCTACAGGGTGTTTTCCTAAATGTATTGCTCATTCTTTCATCTACTTAACTCCGAAAAATGATGTTGTGGAATACGTTTGTGACCTCCGACCCATTAGTCTAATGGCCAGTTTTAACAAGCTCATGAGTAAGGTCTTAATGAGAATGTTGATGTCGAAGCTAGTCTATGATAACTAACAGGCGTCGGTGTTAGTAAACGGTATATGACTCACGATTGGACTTCTCCCAACAACTCGAGTTATTGTGATCAACTGGTTCTTGACATGGTATAAGAGCCTAGTGGACATTAGAAGGAAGAGTAGAAAGTTGGGGTTGATGTTCAAGCTTGATCTGGAAAAGACCTTCAACAACATTAATTTGAACTGCATGTTCAATATCATCCTGAGTCTAGGATTCCCTCTTAAGTGGCAGCAAAGGATCCTTGAGGTCATGTGCACTTCGATCATTTCCATTCTCATTAATGGTGAATCAAAATGTTTTGTCCCTAGTGTTTGTCCCGTGAATGTACCCAAGGCTAACATAGTAATTATGGGGCTTCTATCTGGACTCCCTCGTCTAATCTCCTCGGGAGTGGAATAACCTGTGAAGAGGAGGGGCGGCCCCGGCATCTACTCTCTGACGCCCAAGTTAGTATAAGAATAGTGTACTGGCAAAGTAGAGAGATATTAGAGATAGAGACCTTAAAGTAAGAGTGTGGGAAGAGAGAAGTCCTTTGGCTTGGAGAGTTTGGTCTCCTTATATAGGATTTGGGCCTCCTTGAGTGGGCTTGGGCCCAAGATGCCTTGTTGTGGGCTTGAGCCCATTAATAGTCGTTTGTCAAATTCGGCAGATTAATCCATATCCCAACACCTAGCTATAATGGTATGTGTAAAGGTGATCTGCAATCACTTGGGCTATTTGTGTTAGTTATGGATAACTTCTCCTTTATGCTGGCCAAACTCAAGGAAGAAGGAAGGATTTCATGCTTCTTTTTTATGGATGAGAGGAACCATCGTGGAGAAGTCACTCACTAGATTTTCACTGATAATACTCTTATTTTTTGTGATGCTTCTCACGAGCAAGTTTTGAATATGTTGACTACTATTGCATGCGTCCAAGTGGTCATCAAGTTGAAAATCAACCTTTATTAGTTTGTATTGTTCCCTTCTTCGTGCTCCTGACATTATGGTCAATTGGATCGATCAAATTCAGAGTCATTTTCTTTGGAGTGGAACTAGTGCCTCTGGTAAAGAGCACCTTGTGAGATGGGACATCTGCAAAGCTCCAAAGAGGAAAGGAGGTCTTAGAATTATCGATGTCGAAGCCTTCAATAAATCTCTCTTGGGAATATTGATTTGGAAATTTTCTAATGGCAAGGGGAATTTGTGGACGAACCTAATTGAGATTAAGTATCATTATGACCTTTCATCCGGGGGTACTGGTCTACTAAGGCATAGATTTTCTACCTAGTTTGGGCAAACATATCTAAGAAGCATGATGACTTCTGGAAATTAGCCAAAGTTGATCCTAGGGAGGTGTTTGGGTGTCGTTCTGGCATGATTAATGGATTTCAGGTGTGGTGCTCGCTGATACTTTTCCTTGTGTTGCTACAGCAGTTGCTAGCCCTAAAGTTTGGATCACCGACTTTGCTTCCGTTACTGGTGAGGGTGTGAATTGGGATTTGAATATGTCTTTATCTTTGGGGAGGGGGTTGAGAGAAAAAGGGTATCGTTGTTAGATAGGCTTAATTCAATAGGTGCGAGCTGTTTGATTTCTAGTCTGAATAGGATGAAACTGCGGGTTAATTGTATTAGGATGAAAGTTCTCAAGTTATCAACGAAAGTTCTCAAATTTATCATCTTACACTTGAATCAATTTTGGTTCTCAAATCTAATGTATGAATCACATATACCAAGTGAAATGTCTACTTCTTATGAAGATTGAATCGTACAAACCAAACAAACGTTTATATTTGATTCAAAATATCACATTTGAAACAAGCATAAAAAAGAGAAAATAATTTTTTTAAAACAATTCCATCCGTAAAGAGAAAGGAAAAATGAAATAAACCATTAAAAGGTTGATGTAGTGTTGTGACTTGTGAGTAGTGCAGAAGTGGTGAAAAGTTTTGGCTGTAAAATTTGTAGCATAGTAGAGAGTCAGTATTATTAAAGTACGGGTGTTAGCGAAAGTATTTTTCGTGAAGCTTGTTAATCAAGCAAGAACTAATAAAAGAGACTGACAACAATTACTGGGGGGAAAAATACAGAGAATGGGTCTAAGATGAAAATAAAAAGGTGAGAACAGAACTCGCGGAGAGGTGCTTTGGTGGAGATTTTTGTGTGGAAAAACAACATATATAGTCATTAGAAATAATTGACATAATATATACTTTTTGGATTAGTAACAGCTGTTATTAGTAAAAAGTGGTGATATAACTAATTATCCAAAAAAAAAAAAAAAAATACTCTCAACGAAACTTTCAAAGTAGAAGGACAAAAAATCAACAAGGAGAAATAATCGTGGCTTACTACTAATGCGGGTGGCGGAAAGTAAAAATAAATAAAAATAAGAAATGAACAAAAGAGTTGGAGGAAGGAAATAATTTAATAAAATTATCTCTTTATGATCGAGATTACGCCATTATGGGGAAGCATAATATATTTTAATAAAAAAAAGATAGTAATAAATGAAGAAAATCATAACGGAAGAGAAACTTACGGATGCTTATTAGGAAATAGTTACAAAATGAGGTGGGGCAATTAGTATTAATTAAATTACTGTAAGGCAAAGGAGAGGAACATAAAAAGAGTGACCAAATCACAGAACACAAAATTAGGAAGTCGAGAGAGAAGAAAGACGGCGGCGGCGAGAAAGAAAGGGCGAGGGGAGAAGATCGATCGGCGGCGCCATATTGGTCTAATTTTGGGAACTGTGAGGTAAGTAATTAGTAAGTTCGGGTATCAGAATGAATGATTTGCAACTCTCTCAAAATTGTGAAAATTTTCCTTGTTCTCCGACTAAATTGTGAAAATTTTTCAGGTGTTGAACAAAATTTAGTGTAGAAAATAAAAATGACACACAAAAGGGCAGCAGCAAATGGACCGAGTAATCAACGGCAGAAGAATCACGTTAATGGAGGATCATCGTATAATTCTTATATGGTACGACCATATCAAGGTTTCTTCGAGGTGATAGGAAGGGCTGCTGTTGAGGGCACCACAATGGTAATATCTCGAAACTCCTTACATAAAATTAAACTCAAATCTTTTTCAAATGTGTTGAGTATTAAGCTCTATCGTTTCATGTTTATAAAAAAAAAAAATGCCTCGTTTTGGTCATAAGCAGTGGACATGACGCGTCTCGAGTAGGTTGTGGGTCCGACGGCACTTAGTCACAACTGAGTTACGCCTCGAAACGATGTTATGGTGTACTTCTTTTCTACCTCGTGATATGCTACTAAGTTAGAGAGAAATCATGACCATCCTCCTTTTTTTCTTTTTGCCCTCCCGAGTGTTGCTAGAGTTGAAGTCGACCATCTTTATATAGCTTTTTTTTTTCCTGCTTCTTCTCTCTCAATCTACTCGATCCGCTATTTTCTAGATTCTCCTTCCTTTTCTCATTTCTCTACACTATGTTTTACACTCTACCATGTGTTGTTGATGAGTGTTAAGAAGTGAGAGGTAAACCAGATGATATTGGTTCTTAACCTTGTGATTCTAAACAAGTATGAGATATTATGTTACGTTTACATCCATGGCTTTGACACATTTAAACAATGCTTAAGCATATGTTAGGTTCTAGGCAGCGGCGGATCCAGGAGGGCTCAGCCCTCCCCTGGATCTCGAGCTGGTATAGCACATGTAATTTTTGATTTTTGGTATTCGTTTTAGTATTTTTCACGTTACGGCCCACCCCTCTCCGCCTTTTTTTCAAATGTGACCTAGTGCTCTACCCCATCTTGGATCCGTCGCTGGTTCTAGGCAGAGTTTCAATGCCGACTTTACGCCTAACACTTTCTTGAACCTTGAATACAGATGCTTCCAGAAGATTTCGTGAGAAAATACGGCGACGAGCTCTCAGACACCGCCAAGATCTCCGTCCCCCATGGCTGCATCTGGAAACTCGGATTCAAAAAGAGAAACAACAACGTCTGGTTCGACGATGGATGGCAGGAGTTTCTTCGATACCATTCCATCAAATACGGATACTACTTGGCATTCACGTACAAGGGCATGTCACATTTTAAGGTCAGAATCTACAAGGTCGATGGCTGCGAGATTTCATACTCCAATGAAGAAGAAGAAGACCCAATTATGATGAACCAACACGATGATCATCATGTCGATCATCGCGTTTTAGATACAGAAGAAAATGATGATGATGACAACGATGATGATGATGATAACGATTCTATTGAGGTTGTGGAGACCAGAAGGGGTTCTTCCAGCAAGCGTAAAACACCATCATCGCCGCCACGGCAGAAGCAGCTGCCGCCGGTGCTATGTAACAGCTCTGGTTCTTTGAGTGCGGAAGCGAGCAAGTCGCAGAGGAGGAGCAAGAAGGGGAAGAGGAGGACCCATCATCATCATCATCATGTGAATGAAGATGATGTGGTTGTTGATGATGAACACGACCTGAAGCATGCCAGGTTTGCAGAGAAAGAAGCTCGTGTTACTGGTAAGATTCCCGTTTATGAAAGTATATATGTGGATCTCGATATTATTTTAGATGATTGATTGATTTTTGGGGTTTATTTACCAGTCAACCGCTACCAGCAGGCGCGCTGGAAGTTTGATACGGGTATTTGGGATGAACCGAATATCGTATCGAATATGTTGAGATTCGGTAACACTAAAAATACACGTATTATTTCTCGAGATTGAGATTGGGATTGCATTTCAAGTGTTATTTGGTATTAGACATTACGGGATTGAGATCGGTATATAACCGATCTATACTGGAATATAAGCTTGTGTGTATTATTCCTCTCAACTAGACTCTCTCGTTCACTTCTATCATACCCATAACCGTCAAGATGGTCACTTAATGATACATAGCTCGTTCCCTTCACTATTTGATAACTACTCATACCAAACTCGTTTTGTTAATTGTAGTATGTTTATTAGTTGTTTATTCCTCCCCTTGTTTCTATTTGTTACTTTAATTTGTTAATGTGCTTTTTAGGCGCCACATTTTTCTAGTGTGTTGCTATTTTACTTGGAAATTTTTTCCATTTGTTTTGCGCGAGAGTGTTGGCATCACTCCATTGTTTGTTTTTGTTTATATTTTGATAATGGTTTTTGGAGCTAGTATTTGTGTGTAAGTATATTTGGTTTGTAATTTTGAAAGAAATTAATTTTTCGATACTATACCGATTTTGACCCCTAACTAGAAAACATCGTTCATCCCATATCCAATTAATGTCTGAGTTTAATTATGTTTGAGTTTATTAATGTTTTGAGTTTATTATTATGTTGTAATTACGCAGAGGAGAACATGTTGCTTCTGAAGCGCCTAGGAGAAGAAGGGATCATCACCAACGAGAGATTCCTGAGCAGCTTGTGTGAGATGTCGCGGACGAGCAGGAAGGCAGTGCACGAAGCAATCATGATGAAACCCAGACACCCTTGTTTCTTGGTCTTCATGAAGCCGATCAATATATTTCAAACCAGAGTTGTGAGTTTGTCATTTCTTACCTTGATCGTTAGTTTTAGTGTTTTACATTGGAAATATATATATATATATATATATTACGGTTCAGAAAGGCGTTAGGCGCTAAACAAGTGTTGAGCGTACTATCTAGTGTCTAGCATGCGCTTAAGCATTGCCTAGGCGACAACCAGGCGTTTTAATTAGTTTAGCAAAAAATAGCGGTTTTTAGTTTAGTTCAGCTTCAAATAATTAATAATTTAGCTAACCCTCAACAACAATCATAATATGTCATAACCTAGAATTGAAATTCCAAATCGAGGAATAAGTGAGGAATGCGTTGAATATAGGAGAGCTGGATATGTCGTTGTTTTCGAAATATTAGCTATAGATCTTTTAATCCTTGGTCTGCAGTGAAGGAGCCACTCAAGGCCAAGGTAGGTCATTTGCACCACCTTGGCCTAAAAGATGCAGAGTAAAAAAAAAATATATGTAATTGTGGATTGAATACAAAATATTCATATTTTTGTAGATAATTTTACGGAAAAAATCATGTTTGTGATTTATATTTAATTTTTTCATTCATATATTCTGTTAGTGAGCTTAATATAAACAAAAACTCGAAACTTAGAAGTGGTTGTTGCTATACGGTGTCAATGCAAGTGTTGAAAGAGTGCTTACTGCGCAATGAGCAGAGTGAAGAAACACTTCAGAATAAGATGAGTTGTGAAATCATGAACGATTTTTCCGTTGTGGTATCATAACATCGCTCATAATTTGCATGATGAATGTATGTTAAAAATGTTTCAGAACATAAACACATCCTGAAACTTAGGTTATATTTTTTTTTTCACGTTTGACCTACCTTAGATAAATTTCTGGCTACGCCACTGTTGGTCTCTGATAGTGCAATTAAGCGTGCCTCACTTAGGTTAATCATGCCTCACACTGATAAATCGTGTATATATAGCTTTGATTAAGTATAGCTCAATCGTTATTGACGCCTGATTGTCAACGTAGGGCTTAGGCGAGGCGTTTTGTCACTTGGGAATTACGCCTTTTTTAAACCTAGCTAGAACTCATCATCAAATGGTGTGAAACTTTTTTTTAATTAATTGTTTTTTTTTCGGCATGCAAATGCAGTACATCCCGGCGAAGTTCATGAAGAAGCACATGAGTTCGCCGCCGGAGACTATAAGGATCATTCAGCCGCCGCAGTTGGACGGAATGTCGACGGAAGAGCAGCAGGAACAAGGTGGCGGCGGCTGGACGATCCACGTGTCGGTGCAAGATCGCGGGGGGTTGACGTTGACGAAAGGGCTGGTGGAATTTGTGAGGGAAAGTCGTATAAGAATGGGGGACATCTGTGTTTTCGAGCTCATTTCGTCGTTCCCATTTGTGTTCAAAGTTTCAATATTGCGTGGTGGATCTGCTGCTGCTGCTGAGTAGATCGTTATAAAATCACATGGAGTAGGTTTGTCGCAGACGATGGATGAACAGATTTTGTAATTATGTGTCGATCTACTCGATTCGATCGTTAGGGTTTGTTTTATATCTTAGATTGACTTGTGTTTTCATGGGAAATTACTTTTTCATGCTTGTTGAACATTTGTTACTCAAATGGCTCCCTAAATTAAGACCACAAGGTTTGGCTCGAGAGGAAATTTATTTTTTATTTTAACAATATTTATTATTTTTTGAATTTCCTACAATACCTTGAAATAAGGTAACTTGCATTTGTTTACCTGCTAACTATAGCAGGTTTAACAGGTCGCATTACGTATAATATAATAGTTATTATGTAACGATTACCTTACGTACCTAAAATTTGTAAAAATTTATTACAGATAGGGGTGGGCATTCGGTCGAAATCGAACCGAAATTTATGAATACCGGGTTCCCGAATTCTCCCAAACCTCGAACCGAATTATAATTTGGTTCGGTCGGTTTAAACAGAATTATAATTTGGTTTGGTTTTCACACAAAAAACCGAATTTGTGAAGCTACTTGTATCTTCTCACTTTTAAATTATTTCTCACCCCTAATGTAAATAATAAATGTGTAATTATATACATCATCAATGATAAAATCAAACTTTTCAACACATAAGTCATAAAATATTTCAAATATTTAAGTCTAAAAACAACTGCAAACATAAAAATCCACCATTTGGAGCTTGCAATTATAGTATTACGGTTTTTCGGTTGGAAATTTGGAAATTCGATTCGGTTGAAAGAACCCTGGTTTCCAAACTATCCACGAATTCCGAACCGAATAGCATTAATTCGGTTCGATTTAATTTGGTTTCGGTTCGAGTTTACCGAACCGATTGCCCACACCTAATTACATAAGTGTGTTATATTTCATAAAATGGGAGTGCAAGCACCATAACTCCTACAATTTTGTTACAGGTATAATATATTTAGTGTCCATTGTTATTATGTAAATTTTTTTCCCAGAATTATATTCCTTATTAGACGGTTCATTTTCGTACACTTTCTTAGCTTTCGTTCCTCTCTCTGAGAGTGAAACTGACAATGAGAGAGCAACAGCTGGGTTTCTATTATGAGATTGCAAACGGAGGAACACCAATACAGTGTTCGCAAAATCGTACCGTATTTAGCGGCTCAATCGGAGAAACCGCCTACCGGATTTCAAGTCGATAGATGGTTTTAGCCATATCAAATGGTTGAACCTCGGTTAAATCACGGTTTCGGTACAAAATATCATCTCGTCTCACCTGGGATAAAACTAGGATTTTTTTTCTTCTTATTGTGAGAAAATTCAACAAAAATATCATATTTTTAACTTACATAAAATTTCTGACTCGTATTCATGAAGTTAATTAGAAAAAAAGCACTTATAAGGTACAGGAATAGAAATGACCTTTTTTCTTTCCTAATTAGGTTTCAAGCATTTGCACATTCATCTTCCAGTTTGGTTCACGAAAACTCTCTATCTTGGCCTAGAAATTGAATCTTTGCGACAGCTGTGCTCCTCTTTGACTAATGTAGCAAAGCATATCTCCAAGCACAAAATGATTCTGGGATCCAATAATGGTGGGGAAGTCCTTTTAATTTGTCAGTACCTGTTTTCAAAGAACCCTGAACTGAATCGCCTTTCTTTGATCGGAAGTGCGCGAATAAGCTCCATCCTTTTCCGTGTCGTCAAGAAACAGTTTGATCAGAATAATTCAAATTGTTGAAAGTGCTTCACTTATAGATTATATATCATTTATTAACACACCGATCGATCGATCAGATTAAAACCAGTCATGCATATTTTGAAGTTTGTCCAAATCTAAATGTATACCATATACTTTAACAAAATAGATAGACGTTACTGAAAACTCGATAAGAAAGACATCTCCGATGACTCGATCACATAACTATTTTCTCCGCTTTGATTGCGTTGGATCTTCATCCCTCGTAGCTCATATCCATTTGAAATGCTTTTAACAGTGAAGAAAGTGGCGATTCTCTTCTATTATTCCCAAAAATGCAACGCAGCCAGTCGGTAAGGGATCAAATTAATTCCTCTGCCCATGCATGCATGCACAAAAATACTAGTAAAGTCCAAACTTGGGCCGCCCACCTTTCCGCCTTTCTCCCCCAAAAGAAAATATTCTTCACTTTCCTTCATTTCTTCTTGTTTTTTTTTTTCCATATACTAACATAAACATATATCATATATAGCCATACAATTGAATTTCACATAGGGTGATTCACAAATGGTATATTTTGAATGTAATTCGTGATAATTAAATCGAATTTGAGCATAATTGATCATTTTAATTACTTGATCATCGAGCCCCAGCTTAACTTTCAAATGGATTTAATCGAACTCGATCAAACACGTTCAAACTTGTCGATTGTATCTATTTGACCAACCCATGATGAATCAGCCAAACATTTCCTCTCTCTCTACTTTTTTCACATACACTATCTTCTATATCCTTTTCAACACAAATTTGTGCCCACCAAGAGATTTTGATTCGACCAGAAAAATCTTGACCCACTTGTTTGGTTGAGTCAACAACCGGAGCCAGTTTGACAAAATCCCTCTTTGTAGTCATACGACAATGACCAAGAAACATCTACATTGATATAATAACTATAACGATATAAATCTTTTTTATAATTTTGGTATATCATCATAAATATTATTCTTACTATCACAATAATAATAATAATAATAATAATCCATGAAAAGGTAACACAATATTTTTATCTATAAAATAATTATATAACATAATAATATTACACAAATCACATTCATATTATCTTGCACTCAGGTTTTGACCAAAACCTTTAATTTTCAAATCCATGAATCAAACGACCCGTAAATTCATTCCCCCAAACCAAACATAGTGTACATACATATATTAATAAGAAAGAAACAAGTAACAATGTAAAAGGCTAATTCCAAAAAATACACATTAGTCATTGGTGAACGAATTTTTTGATGTGAGAAACCATCTCTTGCGCCCTAATCTGCGCCACGGCAGAACGCTCGAGCACATGAAACGCATGCCCAACTCCTCTATAAACAATCGCCTCCACCGCCGCCTTCTTCCCGCCGACGACTGTCCCCGCCGCTCTACTCGCCGCATCACAAAAATCCAAGCTCCTATCTCTCAGCACATCCATCTCCGATATGCAAACCATCGCCGGCACCGGCAGCAGCAGCCTCGGTTCATGGACCTTGGCAAGAGGGTTGCAAAAGGGATGGTCGCGGTTCGCGCCGAAGGGCAGAGACAGCCTCCAGTAGGTGTCGGCGGCGGAGAGAGTCAGCGGCGAATTGGGTGACATGTCGTGCGTGTTTTTCTCTGATGGAGTCCTGGTTTCGCCGCCGAAGAAAGGCTGGATTAATACCAAGCCCTGGATATAACGGAGTTTTGATGATGATGAGGAGGAGTTGGTGAACAATGTTCTGGCCACGTTGTATGCGATGTTTGCGCCGGCGCTGTCGCCGGCGAGGAATACTCCGGTTGATAAGTTGCATCTCCTGCTCCACCAGTATTGAGACGATCTACTATCCTCGCTATATGATTGGGAAAAAAGATAAAAAATCAGTTGGTCTTCATAATTCGAGTTGTTAGAAAAAGGTTTCATATATGAATTTTAACAACTGTCTTATATGCCATTTCAAACGAAAGTCAACTCATACAGTATTGATATTTGTACAGGCTCGACATATCATGTGCCTTAATTAAGACAACGGTTAATATCGTGAGAATTTTGAAAAAGTGATCTCAAGGTTAAATAAGTTGTTATATCATCACGTTCACAAAATCTATTGGTCTCAATAACTCGAGTTGTTTGGAGAATGTTATTTAGTTATTAATTATTATGATCAACTGGTTCTTGACATGGTGTCAGAGCTAGCCTTCTGTAACTGAGAGGTATTTTGTCTGAATCCTGATGACTCCATTTGTTAAGCACATGATATTCGGACCTGTATATGAGTGTGTTTTCTTTGAAAGATCGTGTTAATATATATGATATAAGATCCATTATTGAACATCTCTCAACAATTCGAGTCATTGGGACAAATTGGTTTACGACATATTTAACCCAAGAAAATAAGATACGCGAGTTTAATTACATATCGTAAACCAACTTATTCCAATAACTCTAGTTGCGTGGAAGTTTGTTACCTAGTGATCCATGCAAGGGCTGTGAGGCCATCATCGTAGGCAGCAGGGAGGCGGTGCTCCGGAGCCAGCCGGTAGTTGACCGAGAAGATGACGCAGCCCAATTCTCCGGCGAGGCCGGAGAGGAAGCTGTGGTAACAGCTCCAAGCAGCCGAGCCTACGCAGAACCCACCGCCGTGAAAGTAAACCAACACCGGCAGCTTATAATAACTGCTGCTGCAGTAGCCGTCCTTCACGGGAACATACACGCGCGCCCACAAGTTGGAAGATCCGTCGATCACCGCATCCGTGGATGTCACGCCGGCGGCGGCGGGTGACGTGCAAGGCACGGTAGGGATGATGGGCGGCCTTTCCACCCGCCCGTCTTCGTATACTCTGATCAACCCTGGGATCTCGTCTTTGATCATGTTGTTGTTGGTCGACTTTCTTCCTGCGGCGGTTTGGAGCTGTCGGTTGAACCGTGGGTCGATCCAAGTGGAAGCCATTTTGATTTGTTTCCTTCTCATGCACTAATTTGATCAATGAAGAGGTATGTTTTTTTCCTTCTTCTTCTTCTTCTTTGATCTTGAGTTGTTTAATTTAGTGTGGGATGGTTTATATAGAGGGACTTTGGCGCGGGGCGTGCGTGTGCTGAAAAGGTTGGAAGGTACTTTCAAGAACCAAAAAAAGAAAGATTATATAGCTAGGGATAAATATTGTACGTAGATCACTCTTTCAAAGAATTCAGAAAAGGGAGGAAAATATCATTGTTCCAAAAGAAACAAAAAAGAAGGAATATTATGAAGAATTATCATCAATTGTGATTCTCTGGTAGAGTACTTCTATTATGTTTTAAAGTATTGGTGTTTTAAAGTATTGGTGTTTTAAAGTATAATTTGAAGTTGTATTATAACGTTAAAGGCACAAATTGAAATTGTACCATAAGGGAATTTGACATTTATATTATGGTACAACTTCAAGTTATACCATAACATTAGTATACAACTTTAGTTTTGTACCATAAAGGAATTTTACAAAACAGTATAGGTACAACCTGAAGTTGTACTACAGGATTGTTTTGAGCCGTGATAATTGCAGATGGGCGGGCGGAAAGAGAGTGTAGTAGGAATAGGATGGTTCCAGGGAGCGATCATAGACCGGGAGGAAAATTGATAAATTAGGTATATTAGTTATTGGTAATGAAATTCAATACGTGTCTTCTCTAATCAAGAAGTCTTGTATTTAAATCTTGGCAACTCAATTTGCTAAGCATGTAGTATTCAGATTTGTGCAAACTTGAAACTCATATAAGTTGACTTTCTTTTGATTGAGCGTGTTAGTAAATTGTATACGATTAAATTACATGACATCTCCCAACGACTCGGGTTATTTATACTAAACGATTCTCGATAAAAAATATCATATCGAAGTGAACGACTAACTAAATAAATGCATAATTGTTTGATATAAGATATGTTATTAAACAACTCTCAACAACTCGAATTATTGATACAAAATGGTTCTCGACAAAGCACACCATTCGAAATCGAACGACTAGCTAAATCATGAATAATTGTTTGGTAACAAAAGAGTGATTTTGTTTGAGCTGGAATGACCCTACTTTCGTGCCACGTCACTCCACCCCTGCACTCTAGTGCCTTGCCTGCACAACACACACAGAGGTGGGCGTCTGGCCCGTAAATCCTCCGACGCTTAAGTTAGCAAGATATCTTTTAGAGAGAGAAGTAGTCCCTCCTTGTTTCTAGTGTGAGAAACGGATCCCCATAAATGTTACCTACCGACACTATTTATACTTACACAACCTGAGACCATGCTTTTACCTCTTTGCTCCACGTCAGCACGCCATTAAAATGCATCGTACTTTGTTTAGGCCAGGCGTCCCGACCAACTTGTTTAGGCCATAGGCGCCTCCCTTCCGGGACCACTGTCAGTCTCTACATTCTTGTTACGTGTCAGAATCCCCCAAATTCTGTTTGGGACCGGTCCATCGGGCTTCTCCAACGGCTACCCTCGGCCCTGCACGTTATTTGGGCCCGTAATTCTTTCTGGGCTTGAACTTGGGCTTCCCTCCTAAATCATACCCCCAACAGATTTTATTAATAGTCTCAACTATTAATTTATTTTAATTTTTCCAAATGTTTAAAAATATAAAATTATATCATGGATGATAAAAAAAAATTAACAAAATTTATTTTATCATGTGTGTTTTTTTCTAAATAGACTCACTTTAAATCTACGCCTCTAAAAATGTAGTTAAAATCTTGTCGACCGTTCTATTACCTAAAAATTTTATAAATTTTGCTACCCTTATTCCAAAATTGAAACGACAATATTCCAATTTTCTTCCAGAACATATCCAACTTTGTTATCTGTTAAAGCCCAGAAGCCATATGGTACTCCTTTTTTTTTTTTTTTTTTTTTGGTAGGGAAGAAAATTATCCAAAGGACATGCGGGGGAATTTTAGACCAAATGGAAAAAAATGAGCTCAATATGGTACACAAATGCAAAAGGAAAGGAATAAAGAATAAAGTTTCACAAACTTTTTTTGATCTATTATTCAAATGGCATAGCAAATCCGCACATCGGTTCCTTTCGTAAAGTCAACCATATGGCCAAGGTTCATTGTTCTTTATTCAATTTGTCATTACATTGCGCTTAAGTTTTAAACTCGATAAAAAGATATTCGTAAGCGGCTCGATTTTAAACTCGATAAAAGCTCGTTCGATTAAAAAAAAAGAAATGAGTCGAGTTTGAGCTCTACCTTGTTTGGCTCGTGAAGCTCGTGAACTAGCTCGATTAGGTGGCTCGTTGAATACAACTCATGAACTGTCTCGTTTTGAGTTTATGAGATGTCCCAACATTGTGACTAGAGAGCCAACTCGACTACAGCTTATGAGAAAATCAATCTATATTATATGAGTTGGTTTGTTAATGATGCATATAATTATTAAATTGTATATATCACCTCATATGGTGTTTAATTTATATTAGGGTATTTATATTATAAATTATCTTAGAGTTGAGCTCGAGACCAACTTTCGATCTTAATGATGTGTCAAGATTTAATAAATGAGCTAGCTCGTGTTCGACTCGACTCAGCTCGTTTAGCCGAACATGAACAAGGTAAAGCTCGATTCGTCTCCAAACGAAACCAAGAGACCATCTATTCTCAAAGGAGCTCATATGGTTTTTCTGCGTCTTTTACCCAAACCATGGAACTAAGTTCGTGATAATGAATATCAACGACCAAGGTAAAATGCGAAACACAAGATAAGCCAAAACTAGAGATCTCAAATTTTAAGCAGAGTTACTTAATTACAGCAGGAAGCTGGTGCAGATTATGCAACTAGTAGCTAAGAAGCTTTATAGTGGTAACGGCTCCTTTCCCTCTTGCTGCTGCTGCCTGTTGTACTCTTTCTTCATCTCTTCCAACATAGCATCATTTGTGCTGCAGGGTTAAACGAAACTAACACGATCAGCAGTTTAAAACATCACAACCTACGCTAACTTCAAAGAAGCCAACATCATCGTTTTAAACGACGGGGAAAAGGATGCTTCGCACTTCCAGTTTGATCACAATGACAGTTTATGGAAAAGCTTGATCCATCAGTTGGGATATTAGTAAAACAAATGGTTGAAAGTTGAAGCAGAGAAGGTTTTGCAGAAAAGAGAACACCAATGCGAGACAGATAAGCTAAATACCATATTGATGCAGGTAGACCCTTCTTCTATACTTCTTACAAACACGTCGTCGAGTTTAAGATGGAGGCAGAATGCATATTGACATGATCCAAGTCAAACGACATAATTTTTCCGGTCTTCTAACATAATCAAAGGACATGATTTGAGAAACCAGTCTCGGCAATGAAAATCAGATGTTGCACAAAAGCCACAAAGAAGAAAATACGAGGCCGTTGGAGATTTTGAGTCTATATCTCGAGATTATAAGCAATCCAAGATTCTTACTCTCCTTACTGTTGAAAATGATTTTAAGAAGTTTGATCTTTGACAACTGTAATTGCTGACATCCAATGAAAAAAAAATCATTTAACCAAGATATAGAATCTCACAATTATAGATATTTGAAAACTCTGAACCTAAAATCTATGATACAAAAACCAGCAAAATAACATAATTTTATATTGAATCTATATATTCATACTCCAACTTTCATTCTCCCAACGACTATACAAGTGTTAAATCAAGTCTGCGACCTTGCTTCAGCCACTATGAAGTATGATTCTGACAAAAAATTGCTGAATTCTTTTCTCTAAAATTCTGATCAGCGTCTCTTATTCGACTATGGAATACAGCTTCTGGAGAACCACAGACTTATGTATTGCAAGATGCTTAATCTATAAACGTTACCATAGACCCCTCTTGCAATCTCCAAACTTCCTCCTCAAAATAGCACAGAGTCAGAAGTAACTCCTCATGATCTTCATTCATAAAGATTTATCATTCAGTTCTAGAAACGAACTGAGATCTCGTAGAAGAAAACTAACTACTTGGGGCTTATTATCCTTTTGGACAGTCAAAACCTCCAATCAACTTAACGAAAGAGATCTCGCATTAACAAGAAAGACTAGTTTCTTACTGGAAAGTTTGAGCCAAACCCAAGTAGCCAAAAGACGTCTACCAACATTAAGTCAGTAAGGTTATTTCCCACCAGTTATCAGCTGCATCAGTATCACGTCTGCAAAATTGTCTGATCTGGACACAATCCTCAACAAAGAAACTTATAATCTTACCACTGCAACAAACAAAGAGAGGGACCTCGATGTAGTCATTCCAGGTTCAAATTTCCTACTCCCCATCGTCTGTAATCAACCATTAAAGTCCTATTGATAACAGGATGCTAACTAAGATATAGAAACTCATATTCCTTCTCCCATCCATGCTTATTATCTTATTCCAATAGCAAAACGTTGTTTTCGATCCACTCGTTTGAAGTAAAACGCCTAGCAGACAACTCAGCCACAGTACCAACAAGACCAACTGAAAGCACTCACATTGCTAAATCAACCTACGCAAGATTATCACATTATGCACTAATCATATTAATTAAGCACAAACATCACTGACCTAAACAAAGGCGACAGACAAAGTAATTGGCGAGAAGCAACAGTTACATTGCTGAGAAGTGAGGAACTTACTACTGATGGAGGCAAGCGTTCAACTCTTTAGCCTGTTTTCTGCACTGCCACACAACCGACAGTGTCCGACCAGCAGCGCATTGTGCATACTTGGAAGCGAGATTGTCACATTCCTTGAGTGCCCTCTGCTTCATTTTGCTGATCAAAGCTGCGAAAGAATCCATGATTTCAGATATTGGAAGCTCACATATCGCATTTCGAAGGTTAGCGAGAAGCAAGATAAATGCTCGGAACCCAAAATTGCTAAATCAATTTCTACGTAAAACCCCGATTCGATTGCGAAAGAGGGTTTTGCTAGGGTTTGTAGATTGAGCGGCTGTTTTGTATATACCTTCTTCTACCTTCTTCTTTACGTGATTCTCACGAGCTTCCTGGAGGTAACCCATTTTCGACTATCCGGAGAGCTTCGCCTCTGCCCCTTCAAGCTCCGAAGACCGTGTTTGTGTTTTCTGGCGTAGCAGTTGCAGTTGCCACTCGCAAGACTTGGCCTCTTGAGTTGTGACTCGTGACTTGTGAGTGAACCGAAAGCCGTACCAAGGCCAGAGAACAAAAACTAGAAGCAAAAGTTCAAATCAACCCCAAATGTTTTATCTTCTGATAGAATTGGTCTTTTGAACTTTCTTTGGGGTCGTTTGGATTGAGAAATGTATAAAGGAGAGATTTGGATCCAATTTCCTGATTTAAAATTCCAGAGATTTCTAATCAGGTTTTTGTTTAATTATTCCGTTTGTTTGTTGATCAACATTTCATTTGTCAGCATTTTAATTTTTAATGATAGATAGGAAAGTACAATATTGCCCTTCCTCCTCCTCTCCTCTCCTCCTCCCCCAACGACCAAAGTCCATCATCGACGTTGGTGAAGAAATCAAGCTCAATAATAGACTCAATCTCTCGTCGTCGGTTGCCTTCCTCCCGCTACCGATTGTTTCTACGACGAAAGTCCTTCAAACAAAGCAGATTTGGAATCCAACATATGGGTTTCCAATAGAGCTGCTCTACTATTGTAACCTTTGTAGAAGCCAACACCCATTTCCGATTCTTCCCCTGCCACTTACCGTCGACTTTCGTTGACCTCCACCGACATTTATTAATCGACTTCTTCGTCGCCGGAGACTAGCATCAGAACGCCCATCATGCATCAAGCCTGGCGCCACCCAGCTTCCGTCCACACATACCTAATTTTCTTCATACTTTGTTCCCCATCCCCAATCCATTCGCGGCCGCCGCCGGTGACCAATGAAAGCCGGTGGGAAATCAGCCACGCCAGACAACAAAGGGACTCAAACCCATGTCGAGCTGACGACGGCAAAGCCGGAGACTCTCACTCCCAAATTCAGAGTCCCCCATGCCTCCACTTTTCCCGATTCTCCAGGGACGTCTAAGGTCCGCGATTCCCTCCCCTATTTCGATCCATTTATATGCTGTTAATTTGATCTCTGCCCTGTATTCACAGAACTATAAAATCTCTGTAATTAGAAACCAAATACGCAATATGCAAGCTGAAGCATGAATGGAAGTGGCAGGGGATGCGATTGGTGAAGGAAGGCAAAGCTTTGTTCGAGGCAGACTATGGGCGGTCGTAGATCTAAATTCGGGTTGCAGATCTGAATTCTTCGTTGACCGGCGTAGGGAAGAGGAGAAAGGAGATGAGTCAGGAGCGGCGGTGGAGGAGGATGTGGTGGTGGTCGTCTCTCTCGCGTCGTCGATCTCTCTCGCATCTAACTCTGGCGAGATTGGCTCTGAAGTCTGAACACGCTGGGACGCAGCAACGCAAGGACAAATCGTCGTCGTTCATCTCTCTCGTAGCCGCGCAAGGACAAGCTAGGAAGAAACCAAAAAATTGGGGCAGGATTTTAAAATACCTGGGTGCTGGCAGCTATTTCTAATTCCGGGCTAGGCCAAAATTTCAAAAACCCGAAGGCCCAAATCTCGCCAAACAAGAGAATGGGTTAAATTCCTGGACGGGCCAGGATTTGGGCCGAATCCCTGCCCACAATTCTGAATCCAAACGAACCCTTTAAGTTTTTAGTAGATAATTCAATTGTCTAACTCATAGTTCGTTATTCTTAGGGTCGTTTGGAAGTTGTGATTGTTTACATGAGATTGTTACTATATGTCTATACTCATAAGAAAATGGAGGAGAATTGCGCAGTGTAGGCAATGACAACGATCCTCCGAACGAGTCACACTCTCCCTCTTTATTTCTCGCAATACAAATCAATGTAAGCTCTGCCTTCAAATTCATGATTGGTTTAATGAACTCGAGTGAGATTGTATGTTTCGATTGACCTAATTTATGACTCTACATGTCGTTGGCTATAGGTTGTTAAGTATTTTTTTTTTTCTCAATATCTGAATCTCTTGTATGGACAATGAGAAGGATACAAAATTAGTTTCAAACTCTCTCTGATTCATGTGATTTTATATTATGGTGACTAAATACCAAACAAATACCTATTTTACTTTTTTTTTTGGGTAGAAAATACCTATTTTACTAATAATACAAATACCACATCACCAACTACCCTATCAGAAGACCCAAACGACGTTTGCGAGTGCCATAAAACGGCAGCAAAATAGAAAAACAAAAAGAAGTAAAGGGTACTGAAGTCTGGAGGGAAGGTGCGGCCATTTTTGTAGTGTTCGGTTCCAGAAAGACCTAAAACCCACACCCCAAGAGCCCCGCTCAAGATCTCTGTCGTTGGAGTTTTGAAGCTTGAAAAGCTTTTCAGCATATATACCTCAAACCATTCCCTCTCGTTCTCCCTCCAGTAAACCAGCCGCAGCAGCCAGCAGTAGCCAGAAGCAGGAAAAGATGTCGCTCCGAGTGCTGAACCCTAATGCGGAGGTTCTCAACAAATCGGCGGCACTCCACATGAACATCAATGCCGCCAAGGGCTTGCAGGACGTCCTCAAGACCAATCTCGGCCCCAAAGGCACCATCAAGATGTAAATCTTCTCTCTTCCTTCTTGTTTTCGATTTCCATATGCTTCCTCTCCTCCTTCGATATCGTCGTGTATGAAGTTTGCCTCGCTGTAATAACTCAGGCTCGTTGGCGGGTCTGGAGACATTAAGCTGACTAAGGACGGCAACACTCTCCTTAAAGAAATGGTAACTTTTACTTTCTTCCTTCTTTGTGTGCTAGGCCTGAATTTGTTGCTCAACGGAGTGTAGGGTTTATGAGATCTTTTGATCTGTGTGACTTTATTCCCCATCTTACTGGCCCTGTTCCTCTTTTCTTCGCATCCTAGGTTTTGGTTATGTATACTACAATTAGTTTAGCATTTCAATGTATAGATCGTAGTTCACTTGTCCTGAGTTCATTTTTGTAAATGCATTAGTTTGGACTGTCAGAGTTCCATTTTTTTTCCCCCTTTATGAAGTCCCTCGGAGTTGATCCGATTTGAACTGGAGAGTTCTAGGTGCAATCTAGATTACTTAGAACTCGACGTAGACGGTGACAGTGCATGGAGCATTAGAGTTATGGACTGATGAATTGGCTTATTTTTGTTGGATGGTTGCAGCAAATTCAAAATCCCACAGCAATTATGATTGCACGGACAGCTGTTGCCCAAGATGACATTAGTGGTGATGGTACAACTTCTACTGTAATCTTTATTGGGGAGCTGATGAAACAGTCTGAACGTTACATTGATGAAGGTTAGCAATAACCTTTTTACTCTCTAGTTTGATTAGTTTGATTTTCTCAACCTGTTACTCTGGCGAATTGATCTGTTTCTATTTCAGAAAACTTATTTCTTTTCCTGTTTACCTGCAATTTTGTTGCTTAGTTTTGCCGTTTGCTTGTGGTCATGCTTCTAATCATGTTTTGGGAACAATTTCTTAGAAGATGAGAGTTTAGTGCCCTGTCTGCTTTTGGATCTTTGTATTTGTCACGACTTTGCTTCATCTCTGATAAGTGCGAGATGTATTCTTCCGCCATTCACATTGATGATGCCCATCATCTTGTTATTAACAAATCATATCCTTTATACCTTCATTGTCGCTTGGGCTGTGGTTCTTCAGAGCCACGGTTAAGCATTGGTGGCCTTGAGGTACAGTGCAAGTAGCCATTGTCTTATGTGTACGAGGCTGTTTCTTATGTATGTGAGGCTGCAATTTTATTGGTATCCGAGATTACTGCAGGTAGTCATTGGCTATCATAAGATACAATGTTTACCAGTCTGATATGGGATTGCTTCATGCTCACAGGAATGCATCCAAGGGTTTTGGTTGATGGTTTTGAAATTGCCAAAAGGGCTACCCTCAAGTTTCTTGAAACATTTAAGACTCCTGTTGTCATTGGCGATGAACCCGACAAAGAGATTTTAAAGATGGTTGCAAGAACTACAGTGAGAACTAAGGTATCCTGTTTTGCGGGAACCATTGTGAAATTCTTTGTTTGTTTCGTAGTCTAGAACTTATCTTGATGCCATGCTCATGTTTTCTTTATTCTTATCCAGCTGTATGAAGCTTTGGCTGATCAATTGACCGACATAGTTGTCAATGCTGTAAGTTTACTCATTGCTTGGTGTTCTTATTCCGTAGTTCAACAGTAATACTGCTACTACTAACAATAATAATAATCTGCACCTTGTCCTAGCCGAAGTCTTGTGATTAACAGCAAATCGATTCGAATGACAGGTTCTCTGCATACGGAAACCCGAGGAATCTATTGATCTATTCATGGTGGAGATTATGCACATGCGCCATAAGTTTGATGTTGATACACGGCTGGTGGGTTTTGTTTTCATTTCTCATTTAAAATTGATTTTTTTCTGGATGTTCTTGTGGTTCTGGTTATGTTCCATCCTATGACATAGGCATGCTTTTAACCCTTATCAAGTTTGGTCTTTTCATTATTAGTGTTCTGGACCTGCCGTAGTAGTTTGTTCTGTGGCATCCTATGTTGAACATCTATATTTTATGTTTGTTTTTTCTCTGTGTGTAGACTTCTACCCTTGTTGGTTGTGCTTAAGCAACCACCTTTTCATGTATAGCCTCTTACCCTGCATCCTTTTATTAAATTGTGGTTTCTGTTAGGTCGAAGGTCTTGTCCTTGATCATGGTTCTAGACATCCTGACATGAAGCGAAGGGCAGAGAACTGTCACATCTTGACGTGCAATGTCTCTCTGGAATATGATAAGAGGTAGTATTTCTTCGTGCAAATGTGTATCAAAACTGATCTGTATAGTAATAATATTTGAGTTAAGCTAATCCACATACTCCTTTTTAAAATTACAGTGAGATAAATGCAGGATTTTTCTACTCAAATGCTGAGCAGAGGGAGGCAATGGTTTCTGCTGAAAGGCGTCAAGTTGACGAAAGAGTGAAAAAGATTATTGAACTAAAGAATCAGGTTGTGCAAAATCAACAAAACTTGTTGATTTCTCTTTGCTGTTTTGGTTTCTAATTACGCATATGCTGTTTGGTAACTTGCAGGTCTGTTCCGGTAATGACAATAACTTTGTTGTTATCAATCAAAAGGGAATTGACCCTCCGTCTCTGGATCTGCTAGCAAGAGCAGGGGTAAGTTCATTCTTTTTAAATCTTTTCTTGAGTAGCCAACTGCATACCATTTTGTAATGCAATCCTTGTTCATTAGCTAGGAATGCTTATTACAGAAAAAGTTTATGTTCTACTTGAGGGATAGTCGAGTGCAGGATCTCGTCTTTAATATCTAGTCCTCACTTAAATTTCCCTCGGGGGACAGTCAAGTGATGGCTGCTTAATTTTTCTATTCTCTAGGTCCCACTAATTGTTAAGTTAGTGTTCCAATAACTGAAATCAGATAGTTTATCCAACTATAGAACACATGGGTAAATAATATATGCCATGAAACGCTGACTCTGGTTTCTACACAGATTATTGCCCTCCGAAGAGCAAAGCGTAGGAATATGGAACGGCTGGTATTGGCTTGTGGTGGGGAGGCTGTTAACTCTGTTGATGATCTGACTCCTGATTGCCTTGGATGGGCTGGTTTGGTTTATGAGCACATCCTTGGTGAAGAAAAATATACTTTTGTTGAACAAGTAAAAAATCCCCATTCTTGTACCATCTTAATAAAAGGTATTTGAAACACATCTTTATATTTATTCTTGTCAATCTTTGTCACCATATGGTTGTTCTATCGGTTTCTCATTAAAATATGTTGCTCCCATAATCCTGTAGGCCCCAATGACCACACTATTGCCCAAATAAAAGACGCTGTACGAGATGGCCTGAGAGCAGTAAAGAACACCATCGAGGATGAAGCTGTTGTACTTGTAAGTTATTGCAAATATGCTGTTCCTGCACAGCTTCTGTTATTTCTGCTTTACTAGTAATCAGTTTAATTTAGGCTGCTGGTCTCTTCCAGTGGCTATCCAAATAGTTAATCGTGTACTTTACCAACCCCCTGCGTTGAGCAATTCATCTGTTGCTCTTCATATACACCGACTAACCTAATACTTACTTAATATAATTGCATTGTTAATGATAGATGTAAACTTTTGTCTGCCTGCCAAATGTTGTTTTTTATACAATGTTCTTTTCCTATAGCTAAGGTTTTTATTTTGTGGATGGAAGATATTGATTGTTCTGAGAACCTGCATCTAACCATTAGAAGTTACTGGTTGATTTAGTTGACAGTAACCAATAAAATATTTCTCACATGCACTAAAGAAGAACGAACAAAAGATTTGTTACATGGGTGAATCATTGTTTCCTACAAGTTTCTGATGGCTCGATCTGTTCTATTGTGTAGGGTGCTGGAGCTTTTGAGTTTGCAGCCAGAAAATACCTACTCAGTGAAATCAAGAGAACTGTTAAAGGGGTAAGTAGAATCGTACTTTTCTTATGTTGGAGTGTCTTCTCATTCTCCATTCTGTACTGATGGTTGGTTCTTATAATGAATTTAATGCAGCGTGCTCAACTTGGTGTTGAAGCTTTTGCCGATGCCCTTCTTGTGATACCAAAAACTCTTGCTGAGAACTCCGGGCTTGACACTCAGGACGAGATAGTTTCCCTTACGGTATCTACCCCATAGAATTGCTTTTATAAATTCTCAGTTCCTTTCAACTTTAAATGTGAATTTACATGTGGAATTTGATTTGAACTTGCCATCTTTGTTCAGGGAGAACATGACAATGGTAACATTGTCGGAATCAACCTCCAAACAGGAGGTCCCCTTGACCCCCAGATGGAGGGTATTTTTGATAACTACTCAGTCAAACGCCAGCTTCTTAACTCAGGGTATATGCACCCATCTTTCGTTCTTGATTATTTTCAGTATTTTACGCATCTATGCATTACCTCTATGCATTACTACAATCTCTCCCTTTCGTCGCCATCCTTCCGCTGCTTCTGTTTCTTGACGTTCTCGATAATTTGCAGGCCTGTGATTGCATCCCAATTGTTGTTGGTGGATGAAGTGATTCGAGCTGGGCGTAACATGAGAAAGCCAACCTAGGCGGCAGAGCTTCTTTCCTTGTTGCCTTTGGATGAGTCTTCACAAGTCTATTGGGCGGCCTTCCTTTTGATGTGATGTTATGTAGGAGACTTGTGGTTTTGGAGGATTGTTGTGTATTAAATCGTCTTGGAATCAGCTTGTGAAATTTTGCTCCTTGTTTCTAACTGTTATCACCAGTACTTTTGAGTTTTGACATTCTTGAAAACGGTGGATAATGGTAGGTAGCAGTGTTTCTTGTCCCCATTATTTTTCACTCTTCGACGAAATCTTGCCTACCTGATTAAGAATTGAGCTTCTTTGGATTTTATAAATCCCACAACATAACCCTAAGATGGATTTTGGGATATGAAATTATATGCTAATAATCTATAATGAAAGAATCCTATATCATAACTCTCTAAATCCCACGACCTAACGCTGATATGTTGTGTTGAGTTTGGTATGTTGGATGTATTTCAAATAATCGTTGGTTATCTTTTTCTAATTAATTAGATCCTAGGGTGTATGATTCCAAGAATAAGAGCTTAGGGTTTGCTCATTACTGTTTATAGTATACCTCTATGCTCCAAAACACCAATTACTTAACGGTCAAGATAATGTTTTTCTTACTGAAGGTATACGTACATATTTATTCTAGTTACAGTCGTGGCTAGAAGTGAGCGTTGGTCTGATTTGACTAAAATAGAACTGAATTAATGTAATATTGAAAATAAGAACCAAATTTAAAATATATTCTAGTTACAGTCGTGGCTAGAAGTGGGCGTTGGTCTGATTTGACTGAAATAGAACTGGATTAGTGTAAAATTGAAAATAAGAACCAAATTTAAAATCATTGGTCTCTTCAATCAGATTAAGGCCGAATTAAAATCAATATGATTTGGTCGATCGAAACACAATTGATCTAAGTCAATATTTGAACAAATAAATATAATAGATGTTTATTATCAATCTTATAACCGTAATTTGTTTTTTTTTTTTTTTTAATCTTTGACATGTTTTCGAAGTGCTAATATAGTCTAGTGGTTCTTGTTCGGGGACTTATTATACAATATTGGGAAATTCTGATTCCCAAGCTTTCCAAAATCCAAACCCTAAGCTAGTTGATAGTCAGATTCCGTTAAAGAATTTATGGCATATATTTTTTTTTATAAAATAAAAGGAAAAAGGAGAGGCGGAGGGCTGATTGGGCCCAGATTCCAGAAAAAAGGCGTGGCCCACGAACCCACCAAAAACACCACAGCCCACGGACAACCGTGGGTGAAGTGAGCTGAACCATATCCGATTCCATCGTCATGTGGGCCCATTTTAATTTAATTTCCCTTTTATTATCTTCCCCCCTTCCTTTGAATGGTCGGTGGTGGCCCTTTGTCAGAGTGACTGACTCGTAAATTTCCCAGCGTTGACCGTCAACCCTACGCGCTCTCTCTCTCTCTCTTCATCTCCGCCACCCACCACCTGTCAGCTCCTCATTGGACCTCCCTCGCCTATCAAACCCTCCCTCTCTTTCCACGCCTTTTTATTAACCGCCTCCTCGAGCTTCTTGTTCTCTCCCCGCATTTCTTTTTCACTTTCCTTCTCCGTCGTCTTCGTTCCGCATCCATCTTCCCTTCCGCCCCCGCTCCTACTGGTAAGCCCTAGCTTCTTAACGAATCCCTCAAGGTCATTTGTCTGGTGATTGATTATAGTTCATTTTCTTGTGTGTGTCGGATCTCGATTCCTTGATTTCCCCTCCCGAGATCTGTAGTTTTTCTTATCATCGTGTGACTGGCCGAGTGTTCCTTTCCGCTGCTTGATTACGGCTGGTAAAGGTTCCGTCGTTTTAATGGCTGTGTTGATCTTCTTTGTCTCGCGGGATCTGATTGCTTGCTGTTGAGTTGTTTTTTGGTTGTGGGGACTGGGTAGGCGTTGACTTGGTCTTTTCCTGAATTTTGATTCTTGATCTGTTAGATTGGGGTTGGGAGAAGATAATAGTACCAAGGGTAGAACGTAATTGTTGATGCCAGATTGGGGGTTTCTGATGATCCTGAAATTGCATCTTACAATGCTGTGGTTGCTTCCCCTGGTTGGTTGTGTGCCTTTGCTTGCAACTGTTTGGAGTCACTATAATGGCTGATTGGGAGTAGTGGTGGGTTTCATGACTCATGTGTTTATGCGAAAGGGGCAAGAACAAGTTGCTTTATAAATTGTCTTTTCCATTGATTGCTGTGATTGATGGAAATGTGTGTTATTTAGTGCATCAAAAGCATTAGGCAGCATAGTTTCGAATTTCGATAAATCGGGTAAGAAATAAGCACCAGGGGAGGTGTAAAGATACCCCCTCTTGCTGCTTGGTGTGGCTTTGTCAGGTCAGGTTTTTCAATTTGTGTAGGGTAAAGCAGAATGGATGTGGTGTGTCCTAATGTTTTGTGTGTTTCTGTGTTGTTAAGCGATAGATGTTTTGGATTTAATCGTTATATATATTAGACGGGATCTTGGAATCGGTTACTGTCTCATTCTTCTTAATGGTGCTTGTTTGTAATCATTTGGGCAGGTTTTACTTTTTAGATTAAGAGAAGATGTCAGGTGAAGCATCCCGCGAGGAGAATGTCTACATGGCCAAGTTGGCCGAGCAGGCTGAACGCTATGAGGAAATGGTGGAGTTCATGGAGAAAGTTGCAAAGACAGTTGATGTTGAGGAGCTGACTGTGGAGGAAAGGAACTTGCTTTCTGTGGCTTATAAGAATGTGATTGGGGCAAGAAGAGCTTCATGGAGGATCATTTCTTCAATTGAGCAGAAAGAAGAGAGCAGGGGAAACGAGGACCACGTGTCTATTATCAAGGATTACAGGTCCAAGATTGAAACCGAGTTGAGCAAGATCTGTGATGGCATCCTGAACCTTCTTGAGACGCATCTCATTCCCTCTGCCTCAGCTGCCGAGTCTAAGGTGTTTTACCTCAAAATGAAGGGTGATTACCACAGGTATCTTGCTGAGTTTAAGACTGGTGCTGAGAGAAAGGAAGCCGCAGAGAGCACCCTGGTGGCTTATAAGTCTGCACAGGTGGGTTCTAAAGAAGGCTTGTCTTCACAGCTCTTATAATGGCTTTTTCATTCATGTGTTTTTTTTTTGGGCACTATGTTCTCTTATTGCTTTTTCAGTGTTCATACGAATAGTGTATCTTATTACATGTCAGAAGATTCATATATTTTTTTCTTTGGTGCAGGATATTGCACTTGCTGATTTGGCTCCTACCCACCCGATCCGTCTGGGACTGGCACTGAACTTCTCTGTTTTCTACTATGAGATCCTTAACTCACCTGATCGTGCCTGCAACCTTGCCAAACAGGTACATTTCCATGGGTTCATCATACAGAGCTAACCTCTCCATATCTTATTGGAAATTGACATTGGGTAACTGTTATTGGGTTGCTATTTTGGTTTTAATATCTTTGAGTGACGGGCTTGAACTTGTGGATTGCTCTTTTTTACTGTAATACTTGCATCGCATATCCTCTTGATGCTTAACATTGCTGTTGAGTTGACTATTAGACTCTCACGACTTAAAATTGTTTTGCAGTATTGATACTTCCCATCATATCATATCATATCTTCATAACTCATCTTTATATTTGTGCAGGCTTTTGATGAGGCCATCTCTGAGCTGGACACATTAGGTGAAGAGTCATACAAGGACAGCACTTTGATCATGCAACTTCTCCGTGACAACTTGACACTGTGGACTTCTGATATCACGGTGAGTTTTTCTCATTTCCTGTCTTCATCCGTTAGGCTAACTCCAATGGAGCCTCTATATTTGGGGGAGCCTCTATATTTGGGGGAAAGTTGGCTCCAATGGAGCCTCTATAAATGGAGGAGTCTCTATATTTGGGGGAGATCTCCAAAAGGATCCCCAAATTTGGGGGTGGAAATGGGGGTTCCCCCAAATATAGAGACTCCCCAAAGCCCGCCACGTGGCATTTCTTTTTCTTTTTAAGATTTTAAGGGTTAATTGGGGTTTAATTAGGGGATTAGTTAGGGGTGTAATTAGATCAATAATTTTCAAGTGTTGTGTGTAAACCCAAATTAGATCAATCATTTTTTGTCAACAAAAATTTGGTCTCAAAATTAAAAAAATTTCTACCGGAAAATTTGTATTTAAAAATGATGACGAACTATACAAAAATCAACATGAACAAATTATATTAAGACTTCGATAAGTACATTTTTAAGTAAATGGAAAACTTAAAAAATAGAGATCTCCAATATAGAGGATGTAGCATTGGAGCAAAAGAAGGGAAAATTTGGGGATGAAGATCCCCAAATTTGGGGGCTTGCATTGGAGTTGGTCTTATTGGTTCAACTGCTCGCATCTTATGCCATGATGTTCTAAAATCCCCACTTGCAATCTCCATCCATTGCTGTGGATGGTTATACCTCGCTGGTGTTTCCTACAAAACCGTGACTAATGTGTTGTCCTCCTTTACAGGACGATGCTGGGGATGAGATCAAGGAAGCATCAACGAAGCGTGAATCGGGAGAAGGGCAGCAATAGTCCCTTTCATTCCTAGGATGATGATGTGTCTACTCTCTTCTCTGTGCTATTATCGTTTGATGTCGTACCGCGAATTCCATGATATGGGGGTACTGTAGTATCTGATCTGATGATATGAATTCAATCTATGCTTTGCTTCCTCTAGTGTGGCCAGCCGGCACTTAGGGTTTCAATCTCAAATTTATTGTCAAAAGCTTCTGGTAGTCGGGTTGAGATAGCGTGGATGATGTCAGCTTTTTAATGGTATGCATTTGATCTTCTTTACCCTTCTTCCACTTTTGAGGTTGAATTCAATTCGACAGCTGAAGTTTGATGGTGTATGAATAAAGTATTATCTTCCTTCGGAAAGAGGCTGATAGACTGTCATGGTTGCTGATATAACAGGGACAAAATCCCCAGTCACGTCCCATAGGTAGCGACGTGTTTTAGGAACAAATTTAGGTACAAAACTTAACAGCAGGCCTAGAAAAGACCGAACATAGAACTGCACAACCTATTTAAAACCAAACCAAATCGTGTAGTTCGGTTCCAAGGCCAATCTTATCCTTGCCATGATTCCAATGCTTGGGGCCAAAATCAGATGACTTTGGCATGTAAGGCAAATGTGATCTGTGATGTATATTAGTCTGTCTAGTGATGAACCTTTTTTGTTTTGTTTTGTGATGGAAGGCAATGATTTGTGTTGTTATACTTATCTAATGCCAATTGGTCTGACCTGTGATGTAAATTCTGTTTTGGTATGTTGTAAGTAGGATTAATCAGTTATCTAACACCGATAATCAATTATAATTATAAGTTAGCGATGTGGTTACTTGTAAATTGAAATAGTTTACGGTGTAGGCAATAATCTGAGCAGTCGGTTAACTGTTGATAAAAAATTAATCGAATATAAATACCTATATTTCTCACTAGAAAATAGCCATGGCCTTTCAAAAATCCCATGAGCTTTCTATAACAAACAATCCCCCTCCCCCATCCTTTCCTCCCATTGTAAACCTTAAATTCAAAGAGGTAAATAGCATCATTTTTTTTATTAAAATGTCAACATCCGTATTGGATGGAAGACGAGATAACTTATGTTGGAAGAAAGATAGACCGTACTTCCATTTCTTCTACCAATGACTTCTCTCACTCAGTTTGCACTCATAACTCTTTTCCTTTCTCTCTTCACTTTCTTCTCTAAGTCCTAATAGAGACAATGTAACAATGATAAAAAAAAAGTAAAAATACAGAAAAGAACACATACATATGTAGAGAAAATCTACAAAAATGTACAATTAAAAAAGAGAGGCTGGAGCATCTCAACGCTTTTCTGAGCAAGATATTGTTCGCTTTGGGCTAGGTCTACTACTACTCTTGGCCTCAAGCTACTATTTAATCAACAAGATGTAAGGTTTGAATGTGAATTACACCAAACTGACAAAGAAAAGAAACAAAAATTACTACCATGAAGATCACTAAAGGTATAAGTATTCCTTAGGGTTAATTAATCCCTCTGGCAAAGGGTTGATATGGGATGAATACGAGTCAATGAAGACTTCCTAAATTGCAAGGAATCACCTAGACTAGTGATTAAGTCGATGGTGATGCACTTAGTCACAATTCTAGGCAGCTAGGTTTACTCAATGGTTATGTAACCAAATAGATGCCTAGAACACTAGGGTTAGACTCCTTAAACATATGAAAATGAAGTTGCAACCCAATGATCATGCAATTATAAGCTCACTTTATTGATGGGTGTTCTAAATCTTGACCTAATTAGATGGTCTCTCTTAGGTCAAGAAACCCCAAATCCAAATACTCAACACAAGCACAAGTTGAAATGTCCGCTCAAGTCATGGCCAGAGTCAAGCAGTCACCTATGCCATGACTATGTTCACGAGTTGAATCTAAGTTCATGGTTGTACTTTATGTCGCGTTTGTGATCTTCGGTCTGTGAGTGTGCCTGTGAGACTCTCTACTTATCATTCTCCATTTTGTTAGGCCCACAATCAAAAAACGCTCACGATGGTGACATGTCAGGATGTGATCTTCTTGTACCATTTGTTCGTATTGTGAAAGACTATTCCACAAGCTAAAATACTCAAAATACTAGGATACTAGTATATGTTTGCATATAATCCTAGAGTCATGGTCATGACAATATTATAGTTGTTTTTGGTGCATCTTGACGAATAGGCTTCATATAATAGTTGTTTTTGGTGCAATTTCACATATTGTTGCACAAGTTTATCAATGATCGAAAAACCATTGGACAATGTTGTCCGGAGAGAATCGATTGTCGGGATTGATAAGTGTATAAGCAGTGGCGGACCCAGAATTACCGGAGAGGTGTGTCGCCGATAAAATAAATTAATAATTAAAAAAATTAATTAAAAATTATTAAAAAATTAATAGAAATTACTAGAAATTAATTCATAAAGTTCACAATGTCATGTTTACTAGAAATGTCTGTAAATACATTCATTGCTTATGTTGCGAAGCAAATCCTTTTCGATATACACAACTAAACAATAATTCATTAAATTCGTCACTCAACCGATTTCGAAGTTCATTCTTGATTATCTTCATAGCTGAAATCTTTCGCAGCTTTCAATTGCAACAGGTAAAGTCAACACCAACTTCGAAAAGCAAGTAAAACTAAAGGATAAAAGAAAAGGGAGATGTGGTAGTGGCTCTCGGTAATTAGAAACTAAAACGGGGTAAGGGTGAGTTTTTTATTTTCAATAAAGGAAGGGTCAAGGGGTGGAAACGGTGAGTTTCAAAGGATGGGGTTATGTTTATTTTTTCCATTGTTGGGTTGTGGTAGGGATGACAACCAAACCCATGGTCGCGGGTACCCGACCTCCTCCGACCCAGTCAATACGGGAATCCCTGCATTGACGGGGTATGGGCCGAGTATGGATAAAACCCCCCCAAAAAGGTTGATGGTTATGGGGCGGGTATGGTTTTTAACTCTCCAGCCCCATACCCATACCCAAACCCGCCCTACCAAGGATATTATGTTATATACATAAAATATAAGGAGTGTATGGTAACTTGTCAATCGAATGAAGAGTAATTAAAAGAAAAAATAAAATGTTAAAATGTAATTGATGGCAACCAAACCTTAATTTCATCCTCTTATGTATTAGTTCCATAATTTTGGGTGGGTAGTATCTGTATTTGTCACCATATTCTATTATTAATGGTGAGTAGTTGTTGGGGCGGTATTACCCATGGGTATCAGAAAACCACAGGTATGGGGATGAGTTTGTAAGACCTTTCACTGCATGGGTATGAGACGGGTATGAGTTTGAATATTTGGAAATGGGGATGAGGTTGGTTTAGGCAAACCCGCTCTATTGTCATCTCTAGGTTGTGGTGTTGGTTACTCTAAAACAAGCATACTTATTTGAATTTACTTATTATTGTGTATTACTCATTAAGATAAATAACTTTATAACAAGAAAATCATTCTCGTATAATGAAGGTGTGTCGCTCACAATTATTTAAGGTGTGTCGGAAGTCCCGAATTAAAAAAATTTGTACAAAAAATATATAGGTACTTCACAAAATTTTCGGGCGAGAGTGTGTCGGACGACACACCCTGCCCTTTACTAGGTCCGCCACTATGTATAAGATGAGAAAGCTGAAGAAAAGAAGATCAAGAATTCATCTTTGTATCATATACTTTAATGGAAAGTGAGCACTCTCCCATTCGCCATTCCCACTCGAGCATAAAAGCCAAAAGCCCAACAAGCGCACAACCATCGGGCCACGACGCCATTGGCGCATTCTAGAATCGAACCCGCTGCTGTGTGTAATCCCACTATAATCTTTTCTTTTGCCTGCTGACATTCGGCTTCAGTTGCGCTCTACTTTCCCCCTTTCTGTTTACTTCCTCTGATTTCTTCCATGGCTACTCAAACCTCGGTCATCGCCTGGTCAGCAAACTCCCTAACCTCCAACTTCCACTTTCCCGCTTTTACTTTTGCTCTTCCTTTCGTTTTCGTCATGGTTTAGTTGGGGAGTCGCAGGGGCTCGGGCGAAGACGGGCAACTGGGGATAGGCAGCAATGAAGAGAGGGAATGGGTTTGCATAGTCAAAGCACTCGAGCCCTATAAAGTTCGCTCTGTTGTTGCTGGCAGTCGCAACTCTCTCGCCATTTGTGATGATGGCAAGGTTTATGTTTCTTCAACCACTAAAAAAGGCTGCTTCTTTGTCTCTCCATTCTTGCCCCTCTGAAATTTGGGTTGTTTTGTAGTTGTTTACATGGGGTTGGAACCAGAGAGGAACGCTAGGCCACCCACCTGAGACAAAGACTGAAAACGTGCCTAGCCAGGTTAAGGCCCTTGTCAATGTCAATATTGTTCAGGTAACAATCCCAACTCTTCAACTTTAGTATCCGCTTGTGTTGACTGACTGCTATTTTAATTGAGGGGTTTTCCAACTGTTATAGGCGGCTATTGGTGGATGGCATTGCTTGGCTGTTGATGATCAGGAACGTACTTATGCTTGGGGTGTGTACATATATGGCTCTATTGTATTCCTTTATCTGCTTACCAATTTCTTCTCAATCTCGCTTGTCTGTGTTGCGAATTGAACTTGTATGATAAAGTAATGCTTCAAGTTGTATCACCCATGTATTTGTCACTGTAGGTGGGAATGAGTATGGGCAATGTGGTGAAGAGCCTGAGCGGAATGATGAAACTGGGAGACTACTTAGGAGGGATATAATGATTCCTCAACGTTGTGCTCCAAAGCTTGCCGTTCGTCAGGTACTTTACTTTCCCTTCAGAGGGTGTAGTTGGATGGAGCTCAAAAGAAGCATTCTTCATCTTCTAGTTGTGAGAATGTGCTTTCAAAGCTAACTTATCCACATAGTTCACAAGCTGCATACTTAAAAATATTATTATAGGTGTCATATCTGTAAGTCACGAAGGGAACACGCTATGGCCTTTCCTTACCTAGTATGGTTCTTCTGCTTCTTTTGGATGATAAAATGTATTTGTATGTTTGATGTTACTGACATTAAGGAAGGGAGCTGGTCTAAAAGCTTGCTTAGTTTAGCTTCAGCAGCTCCATAGAAACGGGGAGGCATATTATGCTCAATTTTGATATAAAGTAGTTTTTAAGCAGGAGCAGTGAGACTTTGGTATAAAGAATCAGAGCAGCCTCTCTCGGAATAGGAAATTTCATGAGGACCGCCACTTACATTTCATACATCTCTTTGTTGTATAGGTAGCAGCTGGAGGTACACATTCCGTGGTGCTTACACGTGAAGGTCATGTATGGACGTGGGGCCAACCATGGCCTCCTGGAGACATGTACAGATTCCTTCTCTTGATATTTATAGTTTCAATATGCATATGCATTAGATGCGTTTTCCTAGTCCATTATGCCCTACAGGCCTGTGAGGCTGCTAGATCATTTGATTTGTACTTATCTCGAGACTGTTGGTTTACTTGTAGAAAACAAATCTCTGTTCCTGTACGTGTCCAAGGGCTTGATAAAGTGAGGCTTATTGCAGTCGGAGCATTCCATAATTTAGCGCTTAAAGAAGATGGAACACTGTGGGCATGGGGCAATAATGAATATGGGCAACTTGGGACTGGTGATACCCAGCCAAGATCACAGCCTATTCTTGTCCAGGGACTTTCTGGTCTCAATTTGGTATGTGCTACTTAGTACTTATTAGTTTAACTTCTTCCTGTTTCGCCTCTTTTTTTTTCTTGTATGTGCTTGGTTCCAATTTCTATTTCTCTTGCTCTACAATGATGAGACTTGTTATTGCTAGGCATGACTGGAAGTTGATTGTGATCCAATTTTTTCTCTGGAATATGATCCTTCAATTTAAAAGGTCCCGCGTATTTCCTACTTCCCTGCAAGTTCAGTTTTCTGGGGCTGTTTCCCTGAGGTTTCCCTATACTTAAGAGATAGTGGTTCCACTGAATCCCCTGCCCTCTTAAATAAGCTACCTTTTGGCTTTGCCTTTATGTTGTAGGGCTGAATACTTTCCTTGCCTGACTAACTGCCAAACAGATAGAAAAACATATGGAACTGATGAAGCTGATTGAGGAATCTCCAATCTGTAATCCATTTGCTTTACTTACAGCATTTACCTCCCAAACTGATACATGTGAAATCATAGATCTGGAATATATGAAGACATGATGGTTTCCTATACTCAAAATTCCGTGCTTAATGCTGGCTTCAATTCCTTACTAAATTGTACCTTGATGTTTACTAAGCCTTGATGATATACACATCTGAATACATTCTTAGGTTGATATTGCTGCTGGCGGATGGCATTCTACTGCTTTAACTCAGGATGGAGAGGTATTCTTACGCTCTATGCCTTTTGCCTTTGTCATAAAGATTATTTGACCGGTCTTGTGACTTGCTTACTTCCATAAATCTAAATATAGGAGAAAGTATAGCAATTAGGCCTGTCATACGAAGCTTAATGTGAAACCGATAAACTTTCTCTCGTTCTCTTTTTATTTCAACAGAAAGAAAATCTTTCGTAAGATATCGGATTCGGAAATGCCATCTGAATTCCTTCTCTTTTAATGGGTGCTGTCAATATTGCAGCGTAGTTCCTGTAAATGCCATCTAAATTCAATTGCCATTGAGGGTTGGAAGTTTGAGTTTGTCAGTGCAGATCCTGTTGCAACTCACAATTGACAGGATAAGCTCCTTATACTAGCGCTGTTTGTTTATCTCAGGTGTATGGTTGGGGAAGGGGTGAACATGGAAGACTGGGTTTCGGGGACAACGATAAGAGCAGTAAAATGGTACCACAAAAGGTTAATCTTTTGACAGGGGAGGACATAGTTCAGGTAACAAAAATCATTTCTACTTTTTGATGTTCAGACTCTAGATTGATTGCCGAGTCGAAAAGAAGTCCAAACGGTATTCCCTGAGCAGTCAGGCTACAACAGTGAATGTCATTTTTGGATAATGATTCAGGTATCCTGCGGTGGGACGCATTCAGTAGCAATGACACGAGATGGACGGATATTCTCGGTGAGTAGTATAATGTATGCTTGATGAGATGATGCCTGCAAAAAACTAGAATAGAGAGTGAATTAGCTTTGTTACACAATGATGGTAACAACTGTGGTTGGCGTGCAACAGTTTGGGAGAGGGGACCATGGCAGACTGGGACGCGGGAGGAAGGCTACAACAGGGCACCCGATTGAAGTACCAATCAACATCCCACCTCCAACTGGCATTGTGAGTGTGAAAGAAGATGAAGGAAAATGGAGGGCAAAGCTTGTTGGTTGCGGGGGTAGACACACATTGGCAATTGTAGAATGGAGCAGCACATGAGCGGCTCTTAACTGGATTCTCTCTGCAAAAGTTTTTATGTAGGCAAGTGACAATAAGGGTGGTGAACCCAACCCACCTATCCACCCTGGAAAACACCATGAACTCTGGGTTCCTTATGAGTTATTATATATATAAACTTACCCTGTTTATGGGGGTGTGATGAAGATGTTATGGTATATGGGTATATTTGTGTGTCAAGTTCCTGTTTACAGTGTATGGGATGTGAATGTGTAACCATTGTTTCATTGTTCGTATTTAAGTCTGGGGCTGTGGGACAGTGGGAGTGGGTGACCAGCTTCCTCACTCTACTTGTCTGCCTTAACTGGAGAAGATGGAATATTTCAGGCAGGGTTCAGAATGAATGTAATGCAAAAAATACATAAATCTGTGTCTCTGAGGCAGAACTGGTGCAGGCTTTGACGCGGAGGAGCATTGGAGATTGGTTCTCTGTTTCTGTCTGCCGGTGGCTTTATTATTTATTCTGAATGCTCAACGGAAGGTGTATCCAAGATTTGCATTAATTTGACAGAGGAAGTGGGTGGTGGTGAAGGAAGAGCTCGTCCAATCCAGACATGCCACGTAATTCTGCCCCCCATATAGAGATGTAATAAGTGATAAGTGGGGCAAGAATGACAATTGGGCAGGTCCGGTCGGGTATCTCAAATGGTAATCGGGTATAGGTCCGAGATGGATATCTCGATATTTTTATCCGCCTCGTAGCAGGTCAGATAATTCATCACAGGATGCAAGTTGGAATGGGTCGATCCATATGGGTATGTAGTCTGAAGGAAAACGTTAGAAATACACTTTTTCCATTAAAAAAAATAAAGAAACAAACTAAAATATGAAAGTAGTTAAAATTATTCATAAAAATGAGGTTCTCACCTATTTACAACTTCATATAGCTAAATCATGATGTAATAAAAGTAAAATCGTAAGTAATTGAATAAAATTACATGCAACTAAATACCCACTTGTTTCGTACTAAGTGTGGGTCGGGTCGAATAATACTCCTGCCGATATTGTGCACGGCAGGTCGACATATTCTCATATGATATTTGGAAGGAAAAAAAAGAAGGTCGATATTCAACTATTGTACAACGATTATATAGAAAAAATACTTCATAAATAAATGAGAAATATGGTAGAAGGAATCATTTAAAGACAATCTTATTGTCTTACAATTTCTTTGAAATTAACATGTGATTTAAAAAAGATCAAAAGAGGAGAAATACATGTAGATATTGATGTATATCATGATAGAACCGATCGAAAACGGGCCGGAGTAAGATAGAAGCAATACACTTACCTCATCTCACATCACTTCAGGTTAGATAATACCCACTCCAAACATATCAGAACAAATCGAGTCACCTAGATCACAAATTTCCATCATTACGTGCAAGTGCAACAGCAACAGAAAGAGAGATAGAGAGAGACCACTCTTCACCGGATGGGATACCGTCACTTCCTCCTAAAGAGTTGTAATTTTCGCTACCCACATTTTAACCTTCAGTTTCGTTCTCTTTCTTTCTATTTTCAAATTAACGGTATAGATTGGATTAAGGGTATTTTTTTACGAAAAAATTTGCCACATTAAATCTCGCCGCCCTCCCACCACCGCTGCATCGCCATCCCTCCGATGGTGGAGACGCCGCCTCTGTCTCCCACCACCACTGCCACGAGGTCCCTGCGCGATGTCACAAACTCCCCCTTTCTCTCATCCTTTTTTTTTTCAAATCTGATTTTTATTATATTTTTAGACTAGTGGTACTGATTTTCATCTGATAGCGTACCACTAGCATCTGATATGGTTGTGGTACTACCATATGGTAGTGCCCAGATCTTAGTGGTAGCGTACCACTATCGTTTGGTACCACTACCGTCTGATAGGCGCTAATAGTACGCTATCACTAGTCACTGGTACGGTACCACTAAAACTATATACCATTAAAGGGTAGGTAAAGTTGCTTGCTTTGCTTTCCTTGGTAAAAGATTTGATTGAAATGGGGCCATGAATAATGATAATGATACGACGGTCCCATTTTGTTAATCATAAACCCTTGATAATGACAAATTACTTACCCTCCTCTGTTGAGTTCTCTTCCTTGCTTTCTGCATTCAGCCATTAGCTCTAAGTGGTTACTGCTACCGTCCCTTTCTTCTTCCACCTCTCCCCCTTCCATCCAGATAGATTTCCTTTTCTTGAATGCTTCCTCCCCTCCCTCCCTCCATCCTTGTCTATCTATCCATGGAAACCATTGATTCGACGACACAGAGCTAGCTGCTAAAATCTTCCTACACTTAACAACAAGATTCGCATTCCGCATTCAGATTCCACGACCGTAAATCCTTTCTCTTTCCCCCGACTCCCACAGAGCCAAATTAAGTTTGCAGGCCGCTCTCGGTCAGTCAGTCAATTGCTGCCGACTTTGCAGTCATATTCATCATCATCTCAGAGACGAGACTAAATCCTCCCCCTTTCCCTTTTCTTTTCTTCTTCCCTCAGCCTCAGGTGATTAATTCATTAATTTAATTCTCATTTTTCATTTATTTTCTACATATAGTACCGCCCTCTTTCTTATTCTACAGTCAATTTACAGAGCACCTCTCCACCGTCTTCCCCTGTTTTCCATTTCCTCCTCCTTCATTCACTCCAGCAGCAGCAGCAGCAGGAGGAGGGAGAGAAAACCCTCAATCGGCGCCAACCCGTGAGTGAGATTCTTCTGCCCGGCAAGAAGATGGGCTCCTCCTCCCGCCGACGGCAATGTGGCGGTGGCGGTGGCGATGCTCTGTTTTTCCATTCTCGCCACCTCCTCCTCATCCTCATGTGGTAAATTCACTTTCACTACACCTTTTTTTTCTTTTCCTCTCTCTCAATTCCATTCACCAGCTTTTGCTTTGCGTGTGCCTTTCCTTTTTTCTGCTTTTTACTGTTGTTTCGATTTCAAGTTTTGCTCATTTTGGCCGACACCATTAGTAAATTTTGATTCGCCATCATTTCTTCTAGCACAACAGAGAATACTACCATAAAGAAAGAAAAAAAAATCATTGCTGCAGTTGCTAGAAATCCTCCCAATCTGTTCCCTTTTTCGCCTCCTCTTTCCCCCTTTCTCCGGCACCGCCCGGACCCTGAATTATTATTTGCTTCAACATGATCAGAATTTGTGAGACTTGTGTTATCTCTGCCATGTTTTCTCTGTAAAGCTTCCATCTTTCACTTACAGAGCCTTCCCACAAGAAAGAGCAAACAAAGAAAAGTTCGGTCATCTTTCAACGACAACAAAAAAAAAAAAAAACAAAACTTTTGACTTTAAATTACTATGTTTGGATACGGACATGACTCTGTATCTGCGTCACTAGAATTTTTAACAGTGGTCATGGTCATTTCTCCGATTTTTATCTTTTCCTGAACACAAAATCGCTTTGAATTATATTGCAACAAGTTAAGGCAATTTTTTAATTTATTCATATTCCAAATTTTGTGGTTATATTTTTGTTGCTGTTTGATGATGATGAATTTTTGCAAAACAGAGTTCAAATCATCTTTAGACGTCATTGGAACTTCTACGCTCAATTCATATTTGTTTTTAATTCAGTGTTCAATCAAACCAAGCAAGAATTATTTCTGTCTTCTGATCACCAACTTCTATTTTTATCCCCTGCAGTTTCAACCTGCTCTCGTCGTCATCATCATCAGCAGCAGCTGCAATCGCATCATCATGGCCGTCGGTAGACGGCGGATTCGCCTCCGGAGCAATCGACCTCGGCGGCGGCCTCCACGTCTTCCAAACCGCCTCCTTCGACCAAATCTGGTCCACCCATCAGGGCGGACCGGACGATTTGGGCGCCTCCTTCTTCGAGCCTACCCAATTGCCTCCCGGTTTCCACATGCTCGGCACCCACAGCCAGCCCAACACCAACCCTAACCCTAATCTCCACGGCTGGATCCTCGCCGGGAAAGACGCCTCGACCGCCGACGCACCAGCAGCATTGAAGCCGCCGGTCGATTACACCCTAATTTGGACCAGCTCCGACGCCGTAATCGACCAACAAGAAGGAGGAATCGCCTATTTCTGGCTCCCGGTCCCGCCCGCCGGCTACAGATCCGTCGGCCACGTCATCACCACCTCCTCCCCTGACAAGCCCCCGCTCGACAAAATCCGCTGCGTCAGATCCGATCTCACCGACCAATGCCAGGCCGACGCGTGGCTCTGGGGCCCAACCGACGCCGGCGATCCGGATCTGACTGGATTCAACGTTTTCAACCTCCGGCCTGGCAACGGATCCGACGCCGCCGGCGTCCCCATCGGCACATTCGTCGCCCAATCCTCCGGCCTTCCCGGACATCCAACTGTCGTGGCCTGCCTGAAGAATCAGAATTCCGTCAACGGGTCGGCATCTTCGATGCCGAATTTAACGCAGGTGGAAGAACTATTCAAAACATACGCTCCCTGGATTTCTCTCCATCCCGACGAGGAATTCCTCCCGTCCACCGTCGATTGGTTTTTTGCAAACGGATCGCTCCTATACGAGAAAGGGAAAGAATATAACCCGACCCCGATCGACCCGATTGGTTCGAACCTCCCGCAGGGAGGTTCGAACGATGGGGTATACTGGCTCGACCTGCCGGTCGAGTCGTCGGATAAAGAGAGGGTGAAAAAGGGACAGCTGGCAGGCGTGGAGGTGTATTTACATGCGAAGCCCGCCTTGGGGGCCACATTTACCGACATCGCCGTGTGGGTTTTCTACCCGTTCAACGGGCCGGGGAGGGCAAAAGTGGAATTCATCAAGAACGTAAAGCTCGGGAGGCTCGGGGAGCACGTGGGGGACTGGGAGCACGTGACGCTCCGGATCAGCAACTTCAACGGGCTGCTCCAGAGCGTCTACTTCTCCCAGCACAGCGCCGGGTCGTGGGTCGACTCGGCGGACCTGGAGTATCGGGGCGGGTCGCGGCCCGTGGCGTACTCGTCGCTCCATGGGCACGCGATGTATCCCCGCCCCGGGCTGGTGCTGCTGGGTGGCGGGGAGAAGATTGGGATTCGTGACGACACGGCGGAGGGCGGGGCGGTGGTGGACACGGCGGCGGGGTTCGTGGTGGTGGCGGCGGAGTATCTCGGGAAGGGCGCGGTGGTGGAGCCGTCGTGGTTGAATTACATGAGGGAGTGGGGCCCGAAGATCGATTATGACGTGGATGAGGAGCTGGCAGATGTGAGGAAGTTGCTGATTGGGAGGATGAGGGACGAGTTTGATAAGATGGTGAGTGGATTGCCCAAAGAGGTGCTTGGGGAGGAAGGGCCCACTGGGCCCAAAGTTAAGGCCAGCTGGGCTGGGGATGAAGTTTAGTTTAATTAATTAATTAATTATTATCAGCTAAGGGAAGCTGGTCATTGTTTTAGGGACATGCATGATTTTTAATTAATAGATTTAATTTGATTGTTGTGTGTAATTTGTATGTTAGTGTGAGATCACACGATTAAACTAAATGTGAATAGTCTTAAGAATTGTAGCAACCAGTTGAGAGATTGAGTGTGTCACACTCTTCCTAGAGTTGGTGAAGGAGGTAGATATAAAATGGACTGGTTCAGAGCTATATCGAATTTTTTTCCGAAATATATCGAAATTGGATATAACCTTGTAAATCACAATAAACTTGTTCACTCCATGTCAACAAATTTAAAATTCAAATTAAAAACAATTAAAAAGTCTTCAATCTCATCCATCAAATATGATTCCAGTGAAACTCAACAACCAACTCTAATTATATGTTATATATATGCAAAAATGTATAATAATAATTATTATTATTATTATTATTTTCCCTTCCCATACATCTGGGCTCTGGCTGCTGAGGTGAAGGCCATATATCATATACTTGTTTACTCATTAAATCAATACCTCATTACTTGTTTTACTCACAGAATCGCCAATAATGAACCCTTTAATTTCTTTCAGAAAATACACATGCAAAAATCTCGACCCAGCAGACAACGTATATAATCCAGCTACCATGTCTACATGCTTTGACTTCTTTGTCCTATGTCCGATCGATATCTTCTTATTGTTATCGTTCATTAATCCCTATGGAATATTCAACATAAGACAGCATGAAACGGGAATGGGATTAGGTGTGCTAACCCTTATAGGGGTTAGCACCGTGATAACTAGCAAAAATCACTACGGAGTATTATAAAATCAATACAACATCTAAACTAAATCACTACTAATTCAAACTAGTAGTAGTATTCCCCTTGGTTAGGACGGTGCTAACTATTGTACAATTAGCACAGTAGCCGTTCCCCATGAAACGTGGGGAGAAAAAAAAACACACTTTGTTGGCGCGATTAACAAACGACGAGTTGCTCCCAATAACTCGAGTTGTTGGGAAAGGTTCAATCGTGGGTCATAAGGGCTTTCGTTTGCACAGGTCTGAATACAGTACACGATACCATGTGCTTCACAAATGGGGTCACCGGGATTCGAACACAAGATCTTTCAGTTGCATAAGACTCTGATACCATGTCAACAACCAGTTGCTCCCAATAACTCAAATTGTTGGGAGAGGTCCAATCGTGTACTATATACCATTCACTAACATTAGAACCCTCTAAGCTGGTATCTCCAGTCTTCATCGGTTAGCATGCTAACCCTTCTAAGGGGTTGGAAAAAATGACACCCCTATTAATTATAGTTATTTTTTGTATTAAATTCGTGTTGCGTTTAATAATTTTTGGAAATTAAAAACTCATTTTAATTACATTCATTTTTTTAACTACCATTGCACATGTATACTAAACGCGTATTAATTACATTACCTTTTTGGAACTACCATTACACTGATACATCTACCATTGCACATGTACACTAATACCATTGCACTGATACAACTACCAGCGCACTGAAAAAATGAAAGTAATTAATATGTGTTTTTAATTCATACAGAATATTAAATGCAACACAAATTAATTATCTTAAAAACCTATAATTAATAGGGGTGTTATTTTTCCAACACCCTTTTAAGAGTAGGCATGATATGCATACTTCGTCTTCTCGTAAATTCGCATATGATGATACATTTGTTTAAAAACATATATACACATGCAAATATCTCCATCTAACAGTCAACGTTTATAATCCATCTACCATGGCTACTTTTGTTTTAGGGTTCGCTTGGAGAAAACATTGAATTCAGCGAATCCATAAACTCAATAGAAAAAGTTATAAAAGTGTTTTTCTAAAGCTCCAGTTGGGGTGTTCAAACGGATTGGTTATTGTGGTAACCATATTAACCGTATTAACTAGTAGTATTCGGTTAATTTAGTTTGGTTAATTTAAATAATTGGTTTGGTTAAACAATTTAGCTTATATGGTTTAAGTGGTTTGGTTTCAACACTGCTAACCAATGAAACCAATTAATGATACACCTATACAAAATTATTTATACTTCCATGCAACCAACCAAACTAAACTTTCGTGATTTTCTATTTTATTTCCATGTGCACAAAAAACCAAAGCATTATGGGTAAAAAATTAAATGTGTCTACCTATTTACTAAACCAAAATATTTTGGACATCTACTAGACTTTAGGATTACGTACAATATTATGACAACCACGTCAAACTATGCATAGTTTAAGTGTTTTGTAAGAGAGCTTTAACTTCCTGATGAGTGGTATTGGTATGTATTTAATATTTATGTTAATATTGTTGTAAGCTAACTATATTAGGTACAGAGATGATGAATGATGTATTAACTCGAATGATGATAATTATCATGGATGGTTAGTCTTATTATTATTGCTTATATACAATGTTAGTTTATGACAGTAATAACATATGGTTATGTTGTATTCGTTAACATGATAATTGTTTTCATGTAATGTTATGTTATTTGGTTAATCCGATTATCCAATTAACCAAACCAATTAAAATTTGGTTTGGTTAATTTGGTTTTCGTGTTAATTTGGACGGTTTGGTTAAGATATTTTATTCCACGGTTAATGAAATTTAGGCTTAATTGGTTTGATTATTACCACGGTAACCATTTGAACACCCCTAGCTCCAGTTGTAAGCTTATTTTTCAAAAAGATACACCAGAGCTAAACTAGTCCATAATTTAACAAACCTATGAATCATCAACAAGTCAACATACATAAGATATAGATCCATCACCCGCTCATAACTCAGTGGACGAGTTGGCTCACTAGCTACAATGTTGAGATATCGCATGATCTCAAAACGCGCCAGCTCACGAGCTAAGCTCAACAATCCACCGAGTCCAGTTGGCTCGCGAGCCTTGTCAGCTGAACAAGTTTTACCTCAAGTTTTGACTTATTAGTAAATGAATTGATGAGTTTCGAACTAATTTTTCTCGAATCGAACGTCGAGCAGCTCGTGAACCGCTTAACTTCATTTGCACCCCTACCTCAAACTATACTTATAACAGTTCATAGGATAATTACACATAACACATGAATCTGGATGAAAGGTGTCTGCCGTTGAGCAAACTTAAAAAGGAAGAGCATTTATCAGTTTCGTACAATATAAACACGGCGTGTTCAGCCTGAAGCTCTATGAACAATTCTTAATGTGTGAAAAAAAGGCTTTATTCAATTGATTTAGATATGAAAGACGGGCACGCTTAGTGATATGATGAATTCCTTTTTTTTCCTGAAAGTGTTAGCGATGATGACGCATAGCTGGCCGGAAGACCTGTATATAAAAGGGAGATTGTATTGAAAAAAGTTAGCGATAAAGATACTAAGAACTTTATACTAAATTTGTGATTCAATTGTTTTGCACTGCTAAATACCGAATACCAATTTAATATCCGATCGGAGGCATTGCTCATCGATAGAGAGGATTTTACATTATCTCTTATATGACCTAACGATAACCAAAAAATAAAAACTTCGATATATCCAAATCTAGGGTTGCTTGTGGAAGAAAGCGAAAGTGTCTTACAAGCAAGAATGAACTTATTAAAAGCCGTAGACATCTTCCTTCTCCTCAGTCCTTTAGATTATATCTATGGCTGTTACGCAAAACAGCTCGAAGTTGAACCATATCAGGAAGAAAAAAAATACTGGAAACCGACAACCTTACTCCATTATGTTTCTTTCTTTTATTTATGTTAGCTACTAATAATCTTATAATCAACTTACGCCACCGCCAAAGCATAAAATATCATACATAAAAAAAAGACCGCGCTAAAATAATTCGTCGCGCCTTAAATTAAACGTGGATTAGTACTTCCTTCTACTTCAGATTGTCTTAATTATACCCAGTGCAACCACAGGCCACGTTCAAGTTTAATTACACATTTAATAGGTCTAGCTAGTCAGCAAATTTCCAAATGGATCTCATTAAAATCATAATTTGTGACGAGTTGAGATCAATACATCGACATCTTTTGAAGCTCGATAATTTTGACCCTAGTTTCTTTTCTTTTGGAACAATGAACAAAAGTTAGTCAATCATTTTTAGCACCCACAATATGAATCATTGACATAAAATAAATAAAACGAACACTCATAATTATGCGTGTACAACAACAACAACAACTCCAATGATGATGATATTAAGAACTTGTAGTTTTCATGAGCTTGGGAGATTCAAATTAAAATAACGTCATTTACGCACACACATGCAATGCAATTATTAAAAATCTCCCCTATTCTTCCTATGTAGTTTCGCCGCTCTTCAATCGTGAAGCTATATTCCCATAATATATGAGTTTATTATTATATATATGTAATTATGTATGCAACGGTTGTTAACCCGTGGACTGACCCGAACCCAGTCAAGCTAGTGGGTCAAGGGTTAATGGGTCAGTCATTTTAGCCAGATTTGGCCCGAAAATATGGAAAGACCGAAAGAGTCATTATATTGTACTTATCATGATAAATTAAATCAAATCTCATCTAACATACGAGTTATAACATATAATATTACACCAAAATAACATGTCGTACTTAGATGCAGCATATCATGAAAATTCACACACACTTATATAACATCAACATTCAAATGTTCAACTTAGGATTCCAAAGATTGAGTTAGGCGAAAAGAAAAATCGAAAAATAGGTGCATTTCGCAAACCAAAGAAAAAAATGACACAATTTGACCTCCAACCCGGTACCTTGTAGCGATCGACCCGGCGGGTGCGTGCGGCCCGTTTTTCTCACCGGATCAGGGTCATAGTGGGTCAACTCGCAGGCCGACCCGCAACGTACTAAACACCATTGAAGAAACTGATATAATTTTTTATTTAACCTTATTAATTTCCTACCTATCCAATTATTGTCCCCATCCCACAATTGAGGACCAAGCATATTTATTTCTTCCACCATAAATATATCTTCCCATTTCCCATTCGTTTCTTCACAATTCACACACTAACCATAATTTCCATCGTCTCCCTCCCTCCAAAATCTCCTCAAATATGGGCAATTGTCTTACCCTCTCCACCGACAAAACCATCGAGCCCGCCCTCCCCGTCGAGACCACCTTCACCCTCCCCTCCCCGCTGCCCACGTGGCCATCCGCCGCCGGCCGCTTCGCCGCCGGAACCATCGACCTCGGCGGCGGACTACAAGTAGCCCAAGTCACCTCATTCAATAAACTCTGGTCCATCTTAGAAGGAGGCCCCGACGACCTCGGCGCGTCGTTCTACGAGCCCTCCCAGCTCCCTCCCGACTTCCACGCGCTCGGCGCGTACTCCCAGCCCAACAACTCCCAGTTCCACCCCTGGCTCCTCGCCGCCAAAGACACCACCACCACCGGAGGTGATCAACCACGCGCCCTCAACCCGCCGGTGGACTACACGCTCGTTTTGTCCACCGCTGACTTGGACGCCAAGCAACAACCCACCACCGGCGGCTACATCTGGCTCCCGGTCCCACCCGAAGGATACAAGGCCGTCGGCCACGTCATCACCACGTCCCCCGACAAGCCCTCCCTCGACACAATCCGCTGCGTCCGATCCGACCTCACCGACCAATGCGAGCCCGACGCGTCGGTATGGGCCGCCGGGCCCAATGGGCCGAACGTTTTCACCGTCAGGCCCAGTAATAGGGGAACGCAGGCCGCGGGCGTACCGGTCGGGTCATTCGTCGCGACCCAGGTTTCGACCGGGGCAGCCGTCGTCTCGATGACGACGCTGGCCTGCCTGAAGAACGCGAGCTATCCAGCAGGCGACGTTGCATCGTCTCCGATGCCGAGTCTCGCCCAGGTGGACGCGATCTACCGGGCGTACGCCCCGCGGATCTACTTCCACCCGAGCGAGAAGTACTTCCCTTCCTCGGTGAACTGGTACTTCTCGAACGGGGTGGGTCTGTACGAGAAGGGGAAGGAGACCGAACCGGTACCGGTCGAGCCAAACGGAGCGAACCTGCCACAAGGCGGGTGGAACGACGGTTCGTACTGGCTCGACCTGCCCCGAGACGAAACCGAGAAGGAGCGGGTTAAAAAGGGTGACCCGGAGAGCGCGGAGGCGTACCTCCACGTGAAGTCGATGTTCGGGGGCACATTTACGGATATAGCCACGTGGATCTTCTACCCTTACAACGGTCCCGGGAGGGCAAATGTGGTAATTCCCAACATCCCGCTGGGGAGGATCGGAGAGCACGTGGGGGACTGGGAGCACGTGACGCTGCGCGTGAGCAACTTCGACGGCCGGCTCCGGAGCGTGTACTTCTCGCAGCACAGCGCCGGCGAGTGGGTCGGGGCTCCGGAGGTGGAGTTCGAGGACGGCAACAGAACGGTGGCGTATTCTTCGCTGAGCGGGCACGCGTGTTATCCGAGAGTGGGGCTGGTGATGCAAGGGAACAGGGTTTTCGGGATTCGGAATGACGCGGCGAGGGGCGGGAAGGTGATGGATACGGCGGCGGTCGGGTTTGGGGTGGTGGCGGCGGATTATCTGGCGGGGACGGAGGAGGCGGTGGCGGAGCCGGCGTGGGTGAATTACATGAGGGAATGGGGACCGAAGATTGATTACGGGGTGGTGAAGCTGCCGCTGCCGATAAGTTTGCCGAAGGAGGTGTATGGGGAAGAAGGCCCCACCGGTCCCAAATCTAAAGGGAGTTGGACCGGAGATGAACGTTGAATTTAATTGCGCGGATTGAAATACGTTATCGGAGGTTGTATCGGAAAAGTCACCGGTAGTGTATGTTATGTTGAAATCGTAGTTAAAACTGTTTTATGTCGCTAAATGTCATTTATCGGTTTCGTTTCTGATAGTAGATTTTTTTGGTCGATACAGTTTTTCCGATCCTTGTTTAATAGCCCTTTCTTTTGTGTTTTTTTTCCTTTTTCCGAAATTTATTTGTGGAAAGGGGGAAGCATATATGTTTTTCGTGTTAAACAAGAGAAGGTTGGATTATATTCCATGTGATTAATAATGATGTTTGGATTTTTTATATCGCATTAATGAAGATTAGCTAGGGTAGGGTTTGTTTGTGTTTGAGAGGGTCAGGTTGCTGACCAAAACAAGTTGAATAATTGTTGGATAGTTTGACGTTGGAGATGGGATCGGTCACTAATGAGCCTAATAATAATAATTTTCTGACGCTAATAACGCCAGGTAAGTGTTTTCCATGTTTAATGTTGTATTATGTTAAAAGATTCTATAGGAACTACATATGAATAATAATAAAAAATACATGGACATTGATAGGACAACAACTTAATGGCTTGTTTGGAAAATTGGAGTCTCTATCCCAAGATCTAAATAATTCAATAATTCTAACTCTCACGATTATTAAATATAGATTTTAAGTTTTTCATTGGATAATCTTGTATTTATAATAAACGAGTTCAGCTCGAGTTCGAGCTCGTTTATTATGAGTCGAGTATGAATATCAAAATACACTCCAATTTCATTTGCATTCAGGGGCGCTATAAGTCAAGCCGAGAATCCAAATATAAAAATTTTGAAGCTCAGAAACATCATCCCCAAATTCACTCCATTAATTTGCAGGATGTTTCTATCTAACAATTTCACCTCTCCATAAACATTAAACATTCTCCTAGTATTGCGAACTTCTAACCGTTTTCCATTATCTTAAGTTTCTCTTGGGAATCTCTTATTATTCTTTTCACTGTCTCATACAACCCCACTTTTAGTTGTTTATCATTAGGGTTGAATCTAAATCCTTTCCATGACGAACTTGTGGATTCAACCAATGAGCGGCTAAGTACAAAGGCCTACTAATTTGATCTCCACAACTCTTCTCAATAATTTTCGATATGGGTTTATATCTACAAACAAGAAACTCAGGCTAGGGTTGTTTTGTCCATGATGTTGGATCGGGTCTAGGAACTAAGAAGCGAACTTGACCAGTTCATGGCAAAGCCGACCCAATCGGTTGGATTTTGCTTCAATGTACATGAACTTGGAAATCATACAAATCGTAGATTTTAAAGATTTAGTAGTTTGTAATCGGGATTTTGTAAGATTTGAAGTTTCAAATATTAGTAGCAAAATCACGATCAGAACCAACGGATAATATTGTAAAATCATTAAATTTTAATATTAAGATCGAGATTTTGAGTACATTGAGTCTCAGTTGACTATTACCACTACTTTTAGTTATGCTTTTTAATCAAAATAATCCAACCAATATAAATCATTCACACAACCAAAATAAATTATGATTATTATAACTTCTATGACTAATAAAAAACCAATTAAGTACTCCCTCTGTCACATTACAAACAAAGCAAGTCTAAGAATTATTGTATATCATTCATAAAATTAAAACAAACCATTAAACTATCTTGTCCTTCGAAGGGCTACTACTAAATGTCACTATTGCAAGTCTTGGAAGAAAAAGAGACTTCACTACTAGCTACTGGAACTAATAAGTCTTAAAAATCTCTTGTAGTATGCATGTTAAATGAGTTTAGTCCAAGAAGATCGTAAACTATAAAATGGTACCACAGTTCTTATGTCTTTTGTATAGTTTTAAGCAAGTAGTGGCATGAAAATTTCAATTCCATAGTATTGGTTCATGGGGTTTTACATGACTCTGCTAATAAGTGCATTTGTTCAAAATGCATGAAAGAGTATGTAATCAGTATATGCGTTTATGTGAATGATATGCTGATAATAAGCACCAACATGAAGGGTATAATTGACATTACAAAGTATAATAATCTCTTTCTTCCAAACGAAATATCTTGAGGAAATTGATACTATAGCATCAAAGTAATGAAATATAGTGGGTGTTTTGCTTTATGCCAATCATATTGTGTTGGGAAGATGCTAATAAAGTTTGAGCATTTGAAACATTAAAGAAACCGACACCCCTTATCATGCTTCGTACAAGTTTTGTGAGAATAAGGGTAGACAATTGCACAATTTTAGTTTTCTAGTGCAATATGAAGTTTGGTGTGTGCAATGAGTTTTACTAGATTGATGTTGCATTTTTTGTTTGCAAACTTTCTAGACTCACTAGTAAACCAAGTCTTGATCATTTGAAAGATTTTAAATGAGTTTTTGGTTACCTAGAACAAACAAAAGCTTTTGGACTCTTTTCTAGCAACTTTCATGTTGTCCAATATGCCTACTCTGATGCTAGTTGGATAACTAGAGATGTTGATAATAAATACAGAACTTGATGAATTGTGACACTAGGAGATCGCATTGTTTTCTGGGCTTCCAAACAACAAATGTATATTACACACTCCACCATGTAAGCAAAATTCTTAGCCCTAATTTAAGTTTGAAAAGAAAAAAAATCACTAAGGAACATGTTATTACATATAGATTGTGTCCACAATCGATGCCAACCATTTATGTCTTTTGTGATAGCGAGATTACTTTGTTTGGAGATTATAACAAGATTTACAATGGTAAATCTATACATATCAGGATACGACATGATCATATCAATATTTGATTAATAACATAATAATCATTTCTATTGTGTATGTTAGATCATGCAACAAATTGGGAATCCACTAACATTGGGGTTAGCGAGAGACATTATCTATGAGACATCCCAATGAATGAGATTACTAGCTCTTAAATAGTTAGTAGAGATGAAACCCAACCATGCTTACTAGTTAAAAGGTTCATTGTGGCGAGAGACATTATCCATGAGACATCCCAATGAATGAGATTACTACCTCTTAAATAGTTAGTAGAGATGAAACCCAACCATGCTTACTGGTTAAAAGGTTAATTGTGGTAATAACAAGTTATTGTATCTGTCGTGCTAATTTGTCGTACAAAAAAACCAGTCTAGAGAATGATGAGTTATAGAACTCTTAATAACACTCATTTAGAATGTCACCCAATTGAACAATGCGAGTGTACGGTCATGAAACCTGATCAACACGTGGCCATAACACATGTTTGGTAACTCCGGTTCCAAGTTCTAATCATGACTTATAGGCAAGAGCCTATCATTGATATGCTTTTAGCTTTCAGTTTCTTACATTAACACTGTGTTCATGTGGGAAAGAAAAGGAGGGGAGGGAAAGAAAAGGAAGGAAAGCACCATCTCTAAGAAACTTTCCGCAGTTTCCGAAATTAGTAACAGTGACAAGGTGAAGGAAAGTGGAGGACATGCTACTGTGTAACCCTACCCTCCATTTTGGAGAGAAAACAACAATTAACCAACAAAATTCTTTCATTTATTTATTTGCCTTCTCTCATCTCTCCTCCATTTTAGTATAAACACAAGTTAATTATTTAACTCTTACATTATCAATAAAAAACAATATCTATCACTCTTCCCAATTTACTTTTTATCTCTTACCTTTCCCTCCACTTTCCTCCATAAAACAACATTTTCTTTCCAATTATCTCCAACTTCTCTCACCTCCAAATCTCCCCTCCCCTCCTAATTTTCCTTCACCTCCCCTCCCTTTCCTCCCTCACTTCGGAAACATAGTGTAAGTAAATGTTCAAATAGTAAATGTACCTTTATGTATGCATTGATTATTGGACTATGTATTCTTTAATCATGTTGACTAAGTGGGGATTGACATAAATAGTCTTAAAGTATGTGAATTTCCACATTGGAACAAATGTAAACTGAAATTATGTTTATAAATCCACTTTTCACTCTATTTTACTCATAAAATGGTTAATAGTTTTTTGTGAGCGGTGTAGCGCTCACTTAGCACTTTTTCATTGCGGTTCGAACTATATTTTTTGATCGGTAATAAAATTAATTATTTAGGGTAATTAGCTATTTATTTTTATTATTGTGAAACGACACATTCCCTTATAAGGGACTATTTTTACAATAAAGTGTGTTGTTGCCATAATTTCTTAGTGGTTCCTTTTCCCCAGTTTCTTATCCAAAATCACAATGTCAAAAATCTAATGCCCTGTTCACTTCCCATTTTGTTTTCTGTTTTTTGTTTAAGAAATGAAAATCAAGAAACAAATGCCAAAAAACGTGTTCACATGTTCATTTCATTTTCGTTGGAAAAATCCAATTGTCACAAACGAGAAATCAGTGGGAAAACAATAAATAGACGTTTTGTGAAAACAGAGGGACGGGTTATTCCCCGTTTCTGAGCCGAGGAGGCTCACTATTCATTAATGAGGTTTAGTGTTCGATTCCCCTCGTCCGCTTTTTTTCTTCTTTTCTCTGCTGCTCCTAGACGCTGACTTTTTGTGTCGTTTTTGGCATTGGAAGTTGGAACCTTAGCTCCCTCCGGACAACCAGCAGCCCCGACTCTCATCTTTATCATTTCTCTCCGAGAAGCTGCTCCAGCCGGCAAAGAGAAGAAGCAGCAGCAACAACGAATCGTTCCCTCGTCCAGCCTCTCTCCCACCTCCAATCGGAGAACATCAAGCAATCGTCCTTTCCCCAGCTGCTACAACAGCCTCCTCTCCGGCGTGAAGCTCCCTCGAAACAACCGAACTTCCCTCTCCCCAGCAGCCTCCTCTCCGGCGTGAAGTCAAATTATCACAATAGAAACAAACACGAGATTAATTACAACGAGAGTAGGTAGGGGAAGTGATTAATTAATCTCATGTTAATTTTTCTGCTTTTTGGAGCAAACAGACTGCGTGGTGGGTTGGCATGGGAAGACTCTCAATTGGGTTTAGAGTTGGGTTGCAGAAGAATGGTTTGCTTCTTGTTTATCATTTGGTAGACCTTTTGTTTGTTTGCAATTTATTTTCCCTTGGTTCTGCATACTTGTTGCTAGAATGATACATTGCCAATTGGTGAAGTGTTTGATATGATTTGTCGTTTCTTGTTTGTTCCTAATTTGTTGAGGGTCTCTTGTTTGAATGGTACTTTGATAAGAAATGGAGAACAATGATGGTAAAAACAATAATGATTGTGTAAGGACTAGAAAGGGAAGTGTATAATTTCAGTTCATGCCAAACTCGAGCAATGGATTACGATACGATGGAATGACGAACAAGTTGTGGGATGACTTTCAAGCTGGACTTATTTGAATTTTTATGTTGTACTAGTACTTAATTAATATAAAATGTTGTACTTGTATTGTGTTTATTTGTAGTTTAAAAACTATTTAATTCGAATTAAAAATTATAATCATGGCTAGGGTTGTATGATAATCAAGAATCAGAAAACAGAATGAAGCAACTAAACAGGTTTTCATTTTCAGAACTCGGCTTCGGAACTCACCAAAATTCTCAGCTAAACAAGGTTTTTTCAGGTTTTGTTTTCCAGGAAATGACAGCTTCATTTTCGTTTTAATTTTGTTTTCTGTTGTGGCAGCTAACAGAAATGGAATGGCAAGTAAACGGCCCATAAAGTTGTTGCTTCAAATTGTTTATTTGAAAGGACTTATGGGATGGGATGCGTATGCCTAATTCCTGACAACAAACTGTAGTGGAGCAACTAATACTTTAAGGAGAGTGAATCTATCAGACCTTCGTATTGTATTTCTCTGTATATTCCTAACACACATGTATTGTGAGAGAACCTTAATGAACACCCTTTTTGGGTATGCGAAGAGAGAGACTTAGCAATGATGAAAATAAAATGGGAGAATGGATCCTCCAATGGATGCCTCTTGTGAGTTGGAAAGACTTAATTGGTTGTACATTAACTAACATCGAAATAATGGAGTTACCAATGTAGTCAAAATCGCGATTTTACCTAGAAGCGGAAAAGGGGCAAAATCGTAAAGCGTAGAATTAAAGTGTTGTTAATGTTGTGGTATATGATCTACGATTGAACATTTCCCAACAACTCGAGTTATTGTGATCAACTGGTTCATGACATGGTATCAGAGCCTTCTGTGACCATGAGGTATTCTGTTCGATTCCCGGTGACCCCCATCTGTTTCTGTTAAGCACACGGTGTCCAGACTTGTGTCTGTCCAAACTCCAAGCCTATCTGAATGGCTTGAGTTTGAAGGGGGGGTGTTAGTAACAAGCGTAAAAGCGTAAGTTTTTTACGCATGTTGTAAAATAGCAAAAAAATCTGTTAAATACAACACATAATATGTAAAATATAAGTATACATAATTTAGATAAGTTAATAAGCACATGATATATGCATGGTTACTCTAGACTGGTGATGGTGATTAGGATGTTAATCTGCCTCAATTGTGTTTCTTTCATTCTCAGGTGGGTTTGTACATTGTTGATCACTAGTACTAATACACTCTTGAAATCAAGCTTTCGATCTTCCATAGAAATCTATTGCTACCAGGATGTCATTCGATGATACAACTCAATGAGATTAGAAGCCCTATCCGGCTGAGTTTAAGCATCATGCCTCGAGATCCTCCTCAAAGACATTGTTTGAAGTGGTGAGAGATATCATGAATCATATATCGAATTCCTCAAACTGGGATGAAGGTTGTTCGCATTCAGAGACAAGAACGACAATATACACTATAAGTACAACTATAAAACAAGGAGCAAAATATAATGTCCAAATGTTCCATGATCTTTTGACCCTCATTCTTGTTGTGCTCCATATAAATTTCATACGTTTATATTCTATATAATCTTAAGAGTTGTAAACACAAAAGAATGCTTATAAGTATGACTCAAGTCTTCATATCAGGCCCCCACTCTCCTTCATTACGTAGTTTGTCTAATTGTAAAGATGTACATCTTGAACGTTCATAAATTCAAACAGATACCATGCAAAAAATTCGACCTTACAGAAGGAAAAAAAAATCCGACGACCAATATTTGTAAAAGTTTGCAAGATATTCCTTACCATCTTTAAATAAACAATAAGAAATTACATTTATCGATTTGTTTTAGTTCTCACACTATTGGCATGACTCATAACTTATATTACCGAAAAAATCGATTATAAGAAACTCGTGAAACTACTACTAAGTACTAACACCGCTAAACAATTAGTCTTTCAATCGTCAAATCTAAGACGAATGCAAAGAATGTGTATATATACATACATATGACAACAAATTTAATCATATTGTAAGCAATTAATCAACTGCCAAAATCCCCTCAAGCGAAATTGGTAACCAAGCACTAATTACCATTAATATTGGATTCTTCCAACCCACTTGTGAAATGAATAAGAACTTCTTCTCCCTCACCAGAATGAATAGAAGAAACTGAAAATACCTATTAGGTTAAGAAAATAAGAGAAGGAATTATTTGGCGCCTCGTATTGTCCCCCCTTCCAAAGACATTCCTCTCCTTTTTCTTTTCCACCATATTTCAAAAACTTTTCAGATTGTTTTCCATTCTCTCCCGCGCCATTGACGCGCCAGTGGAGTGGAGGGAAGAACCCAAAAAATATTTCGTCTCCAAACTGGATCAGCTAGCAGCCTAGCACGGACTCCCATTAAAACCCCTCCCGTTTTTTCGCGGGTAAGAGTCCGTCGTTTTGTAGCAGGCCGACGGTTGAGGCTTGCTTTGGATTTTGTTTCTTACTCCCCTCCCCTTTTTGCGCGGCTTGTTTGTCCGGAAGCCGGACGGAAGGGTTAGAAATTGTGAGCAGGCAGAGTTCAGTCGGCAGCAGGAGACTAGCAGTGTAGTAATGGCGTCGGCACAAGCAATCCCTGCCGTGGAAATCCAGAGCTCACCGGCGAAAGGAGGGAGGTCTCGGACTAAGGATCCTGGGCTTCGTGTTGTAGGTGGCAGAATTTATGATTCTCGCAATGGGAAGACATGCCATCAGGTGAACTTTCTCTCCGTCTCGATTCGTCGCGGCTCTTGTTATGTTCAATTTTGTGGAATGCCCATTTCTTTCAGCGATCTGTTTGGTTGACGAGAAAATGATAGGAAAATGAAACGGGGCTGACTTTTGGGACTTTTGGGCTGTCGAGATTTGAATACTTAGCGGATCTGGAATGCTTCTTGGTGTAGATCCAAGCTGATCAGGAATGCTTCTTTAATCTGTTAGCTGTAAACTGTGAATGCTGTTTGGTTGCATTTATCAGATGAAGCCAGGAGGGTAGATGAAAGGGGCGGCGAAGTTCAGATCTTCAATTTATGATGTCTGATTACTTGTTTGGCATAATGGGTTTTTGCTTAAATGAGCTGGATCTTTCGCATGCTCAATTTGAGTTCAAATTGATGATCATGTTCATCAGGTGCTAACGCATTTGGTTTTAGTTGGGGGAACGCTTATGAATTTCTTAAATTTTAGGGTTTGAGTTGTACTGTTTATTTATAAAAAAAAAACAGTCAATTAGGGTTTCCTCCACATTCAAGTTTAAGTTCCTTTCCTGTTGTATTGATTCTTGTTATTTTCTTTAATTGATCCTTGTAGTGCCGTCAAAAGACGATGGATGTTATGGCTCAGTGTAGGATTCTGAAAGAGCGCAGCAAACCATGTCCCATTACTTATTGCCATAAGTGCTTGCTGAACAGGTATCGGTGTCTAACTTTGATTCTGCATTAGGTTCCTTTTCAGGTGTTCTTGGCATAGCTAATGCATTTTTTTGCGTGTTGATTTCTTATCACTACTGTTTAATTACATTTGATTAGGTATGGAGAGGTGGCTGAAAATGTTTCACAGATGGAAAACTGGCACTGTCCCAAGTGTAGGGGCATTTGCAATTGCAGCTACTGCATGTAAGTATGCCAGTTTCGGGAGCTTAAACACGCGCGTTAGTTACGCTATTTGAGGAAAACTAATTTATTATCATGTTCTCAGGAAGAAGAAAGGTCACCAACCCACTGGTATTCTGGCGCATACAGCAAAGCAAAATGGGTTTGCATCTGTTTCTGAACTTCTACTGGTGAAAGGTCCTGAAAACTTTGTGTACACTAGGGCGAAGGACAAGGATGCTTCCCCGAAGAAAACTGTTTTGAAAGTGGTGTGTATTTACTTGCTTGTGTTACATGTGTTTGCAAGATTTCTACTCCCTCTTACATGTTCATTCATGTTCTTAACAGGAGCCGGAAGTTGGTTCACCAAGGAAGTCAGGGAAAGAGAATTCTTTGGATGGAAATGGTGATTTACCCTTGCATACTCAGAATGAAATCTCAAGTCCCAAGATTAACAAATCCAAGAAAACAAAAAGGGAAGGGCTGAAAGAAGTTAGTAATGGCCTTGCTGAAGATGCTGCCTCAATGGTTAAGAAGAAGAAGCGTAGGATGCATGACCATATTTCTGAAAATGATGATGCTGTTGTTCCAAAGGCCCATGATGATAATGAACCAGCCATGGCTTCAAAATCCTGCTGGAATCATAAAAAAGAAGTGGTGCATAATGAGATTCCTTTGCCTCAAGGCTCAATTTTAACTAATGTGGCAGGAGTTGACATGGGTCCTGAAGATGCTGGACATGCCTTACAATTCCTGGAGTTTTGCAATGCTTTTGGCCAGGTATTGATCTTGAGAGTTGATATTAAGATTTATGATTTGAGTTTTATATTGCCTGAAAGACGGGATCACGTGTTAATAAGTTGGTACGTAGTAGACAATAAATTTTCATCTGGTCGCTTTATTTATTGATGCATTTAGAACTTCTTTCCTTGTCAATCTCAAACAGTTTTATCAATTGATTAATTGATTTAGTTTGTTCTCTTTGGTCTTTATGGTGAAGGCTTTTGATCTGACGAAAGGGCATGCTGAAGCAGTCATAAGGGAAATGGTAAAGGGCCGAAGAGGATGTAGGACGCAATCCTCTCTTGTAATCCAGGTTCATATCCAGCTGCTATCACTGTTTCAAGAAGATACAGATGAAAGGTGCAGGATCCTACCTTGAAAAGACTTGTTATTGTTTTTACTGTTTGTTGAGACTTTATCATAATTGTGCCCTTATTTGCAGGTGTCCAACCCTAAGTCCAACAGATGGCCAGAATTCGTGGCTGTTATCTCTGGGGGAATTTGTCTCCAAATACCCTTTCATGTCGAAGGACTTCCCTCCTGACTGTTTTGACAGAGGGAATGGCACGTACGAGGAGTTGAACATCTCTGGAAAGCTCAAACTCCTTAATTTTCTGTGTGATGAAACTCTCAACACCATGTAAGAAATGAAAAGTTAAGAGTTGTGTAATTCTAGATGATTCACCTCTAAGATGTCTTGATTATTTTCTCCTTTCTAATTGTTTGCTTCTATAGAGAGTTGAGAGACATCATTGATGAGCAAAATTTGGAATTCCATGCAAGTAGGAAGGAAGCCAAGGCCAAAATTCTTGCTGCAAAGGACAAGGTATAGGAAGATTTGATGTGAATCCTTTCTCTAAAATGCAAACATTGCTCCTTGGATTATATGGATTAAATTTAAAAGTACTCCTTTGCTTAACTGCAGGAAAAGGAAGTGAAAAAGAAGACGCAGGATGAGATTGCGAAAGCTATACTTGCCAAAAATGGGGTTCCTTTGTCCATTTCTGAGCATGACGCATTAATGTCTCAGATTAAAGAGGAAACTTCTCAAGCTCATGCAGAGATGAAGGAGGCTAAGGCCATGGTGTCTACGGGTGAGTTCAGATCTTGCTTCCAGAGTAGCAGTTTGATGAATTTGTTTGTTTTATTTTCGTCAACAATGTTGGAAGTTAGTAAATGAGCCATTCAATACTCTTCTAGGTTATGTGGCATCAGCCACGCTGTTAGCTTTTATGGCTTCAGTACTCAGTTATAACCTATATCTAAATTACATGTGCCTGCTAGTTAAAGAGTGTTTTCTATCTTATTCTTAGTACTTAATCCACTTTCAGGAGCTCTACTGCCACGCTTTCTCACGTCGTGTAGTGATTAATGTTTTTTCTATCTTTTTTTCGGTGCCATGCATGTTGCACGTCGAGGTCTGCATGCATATCTTCTATATTTGTTTCATTGTTTGTTTGCCAGCATCAGTTACTAATTTGTCCCACTTTATTGCTGCCAACAATAAAACACAGAATCACAAAGATCTGATGCTATAAGAACGGTTCCCATGCTTTTGGATATCAAGGGTCGTGCATTTTGGAGACTAAGGAGCTACAACAATAGCAAAGATATCTTACTCCAAGGTTACTTAAACCAGGCTTGTTTCATGTTTATTAAATTATCAAAGAGTCTGGTCACTTATCTATTGTTTTCATTGAACAGATATGGGTGATTTGGGCTCGGATTCGCCTAGTGAGAAGTGGTTTACTTATGACGAAGCACAGATACCAGAAATTGAGAAATATATATCTGTCGTTAGGCAAGTCATGTAATTTGAGCTATGTAAAGAAACCATGTTTACTCTCCTCACTTCCTGTCTTATGTGTCCTTTCCTTTGCTTGGCTGTTGAATTTGGTTTTCAGGGCTAGGACAAAGGTCAAGGGTAGAAAAGGTTATGAACCAGTACCAGATGTCAACATGGAGGAAAGCTTATAGCTTCCTTCAAGTAAGAAAGCTAGGATCTTCATGTGTACAAAACTGGTACGAAGTAACTGCATTATCCCCCCAGTTTTGGTTCATGCTGCTGGACCTGTAACTGACTTCCTCTCTTTGTTTCTCTGTGTGTTGTTTACAGAAATGGTGCAGGATCCTCAATGTTTGGACGGCAACTTTGACAATGTAGTTGTACAGAAGAGTGGTGAGCCAGCCTGATGGCAGTTAAGGTTAACTACTACTTCACTTTCATGGATGGATGCATGTGGAATTGGTGTATTCCCCAATCAAAGTGGAAATTAGATCTTCCCATTTAGAGTTCTTTTGTCATTGGAGGAAGGGGTTAAAAAGGGGACTGTTGTATTACTGAAAGTCCTGCATTTTGTGGACATGGTTTTAGATGGGAAAAAGCTCCCTCCTTTCTGTTTCTTATTTGTTCTTTCTTGTAGAAATGACCTCAGTTTGAGACTTGTTATAAATCCTCCATCCATAGTTTGCTGCTTCAGTCTCCTTGTTACTTTCTCATTTTTTAAGCTTCTTCGTGACAATCATTTTTGGTACTAAAACGCATGACTTGGTGCCGTTTCGTTGTTTTCCGTTAAGAAGATTGAGCGAGGGAAAATGGTGACACGTGTAGTTTGAGAAATTTGGATTATCAAAGAGGACACTGCTACCTCTCGTTTCGCTCTTCTTCTTCTTCTGCAGAGAAATCCGAGTGAGAGCTCTGAATTTCTGCCGGGGGAAAAAAAAAAAAATGAAAGCATTGATAGCATCTCCGGTTGCGGCGGCAAAAGTGGGAACCGTTCCCCGGTTCCAGATAACTCGTCGTCTCAACGGAGGCTACCGTTGCGGCGGCTGCTGCTGCCTCCTCCCTTCACAGCCGAACTCTGCTTCTTCTTCAACACCGTCGGCGACAAGATTGAGTATCCAGCGCAACGGCCGAAACCTCAGGCTGGTTTTGGTCGCCAAAGCTGCTGATTCAACTCAGCCAACTTCTTCTTCTGCTGCCACCAAAACCCTTGTTCCTGACGATGGATTCACTCTCGCCAAGGTTGGTTTATTTTCCCCTCTCCCCTTTCCATCTGTTCTCGATTCATTTTCTATCAGGTTGAAGAAGATAGTTGATTAGCACAGACCTTATCTCCTATTCATTTGAGTGTTCGGTTGCAAAGCTGATAGCTTTACGTCTGGAGCAGCTATATCTGTTATTTAGTTATGATGTTCTGGGCTTGAGTGTTTTGGTCTTCTTTTGTATTAGAATCTATAACTGTCCAAAGCAGCAAATACTATTTTGAGTAGAACCAGAAAGGTCCGGATCCAAAGGAATTAGAATACAAACCGTTGCGAGGTTGAAAAACCACCCAAGAGGGAGAAAAACTAACCTAGCATCCAAGTAGGCAAACTGATTACACAATATATATGACCAAACCCCCAAAAACTGACCTGGTTCTACATCCTGCTGTGGGAATCATCTTATAGCATCTATGCAGTGGATCTTTCTTTAGCATGAAGATGATTCTTCTCTTTTCATATGTAGTATTCCTCGTGACCGTGGACTTATTAGTAGCTGCAATGCTGTGTAATGATATCTTAACTGTGGTTTTTGTTATCTTTACTAGATCAGTTCATCGTTTGGCTACCTCAAAATGACCTAGTAACATTCTAGGTGTCTTATCAATCTTGTTTAAAATGGGAAGCTAAGATGAGACTTCCCATTAAGGATAGAAAGTTTTTGTTTTGCTAGCAGATCAGGTCAAGAAAACCTATAATTGAGACTTCTGAGTCCCAGTTAACCTCTAGATTTATTGGGAGGTCAGGAAAGGTGGCATAGAGGAACATGGTGGAATCTGAATATATTTTTTTGTTTGTCCATATTGGGAACTTATGCGCTGCTGCATTCCTCTTTCATTGATAATCAAACTGTTCCTCCATATTTTGCAGATATCATTTGGTGTTATTGGGCTGAGTCTTGGCGTTTCACTCCTGTCGTGAGTTCTTTAACACTATATTGTACTAGTAAACTAGAAGAGGAACACTGATAGCGGACTTCTTTCTGATTTACAGATATGGGTTTGGAGCCTATTTCAATATCCTTCCAGGATCTGAATGGTCAGCTTTAATGCTCACTTATGGATTCCCCCTTGCAATAATTGGCATGGCTCTTAAGGTATTTATATTAATGCGTTACCCACGTATGCACTATTCATATGCACATCAATGCAAGATCTTTTTAATGGTTTCTTGACTTCTCATTTAGCTGTTAAAATCCGCCCCCCTTGAAAATGCTTCTTATAAATATATGTCATTAGGGATAATTGCTAAATGAAAGGGTCTAAGATGGCTAAAGGTCGACTTTGCCTTGGATTTCAGAATGTAATGATTGGGAAAATGTAAGAAATAAGGTTCTTGGCCACGTCCGATTCTCATGACAAGATAGGGTAGAAGAGAATTGATAGAGATTTAGGGATAATTGGGAAGAATTAGGGATTTAGGCTAGGAAGAACATAATTAGGGATTGAAGACGAAATTGTGTAGAATTTGGGAAGAATGTCCAGCGGCTTTTGGGGATAGGAGAGACGAGTTCAGAGGATTTGAGAGATTAGGGTTAAGGAATACTATTCTTATTTATCTTTTGCTTAAATCTGACGAAATAACCCGAGTAGATATTTCGGGACAATATCGGAAACCTAATAATAAACCAAACCCTAATCGGACACTAACCCAATTACCTCTAATAATAATAATAATTCCTCCTCCAAGCGTGTTTCTAACCGAAAATTAATAATGATGGTTCTTACTAAGGGAAAAGAATGCAGGAAATATTCCCTTCTTATTCATCTATTCATTGTGGTGACGTAATTTAATCCACAGACATCTAGTAGCATTCTTGCTGAGCCTGGCTTTAGGAATGACCCATTTTATGGCTGTTTAAATATAATTTTTAAACCCATTAGGAAGCGATGAATGGTTCTAAATGTTAGCTCTGGTGTTGGAATGGACAAAAAGGTAATTAAATTAATTCTTGAGTTCAACATACTGTATCCTTTGACCTGAACTGAAGTGACCAAGTTATACTGATAACAAAGACAAATATCCAACAAAGGGAAAACTGTAGTTGGGGTAATATATTCTATTGTAGCTATCCTCACTCCTCAATGAGCATGTTACATTGATATTCATCTAGCTGATGTTTCATCACTGCTAGATTTTGAAACGAGTTATTTAATTTGTGCTTTCACCAATATATGCAGTATGCGGAACTCAAGCCTGTCCCATGTTTGTCTTATTCGGATGCTGTTGCATTAAGGGAGACATGTGCCACTCCCATCTTAAAGCAGGTCATTAGCTTTCATTTTTTTTTTTTTGTCACCAGTAAACTGGTGTTATAATGTGCTTTAACTGAGTGAGAAATTTCAGCACGTCCTTGCCGTCTTTCTCTTATCATTATTCACATCTCAGATCTGGTGCAACTAATTGAAACTATTGTTTTTGGACATGTAATTGTAGGTTCCTTTTTTCTTGCAAGTCCTCCATCAACCTAGCTACTGCTTAGCACCCAAGTTATTCAAATCTCTGAATGACACTTAGTCAGTAGCTGCTCAGTGCAGTAGCCAATAGAGTGAATAATGAACATATCTTTTGACATTCTCTTCACCATACGAGCAACATTACTTTGTGTTTTAATTACCAGATAACATGCAAATATCATTCTCAAAGTCATTCTGGTAATTCAAAACTGAGGGAAGAGAATCACTCTGTGTTTTTAAGTTCCTTTAAGTTAATGTTGGAATACATGTTTGAATTTATATAATTATTTAGCATAATCTTGACTTTTGCAATTACTTTGAATTACCAGAATGACTTTTAGTTGTTTTAATTAGGTCAGGAATGACGTTATCAGATACAGATACGGAGATGAGCAACATTTGGAGGAGGCTTTGAAGAGAATATTCCAATACGGTCAGGTCTGTAGTGTTATATGTTACTTTGACCCCCATGTATTCTTCATTTTATTTGTCTTTCTTAACATCCGGCTTCATGCTTAATTAAATGTTTGAATCACCTAAACTTTGGTGCTTGAAGCTCTCTAGTTGATGTACTCATCATTACCATGGTAAATGCTTGCTAACAATAACAATAACAATAACAATAACAATAACAATAACAATAACAATAACAATAACAATAACAATAACAATAACAATAACAATAACAATAACAATAACAATGATGATGATAATGATATTATTAGAATATCTTTTTCCTAGAAAGCAAAATGGTGTTGCCTGAAAAATTTCCATTCTTAGGAGAAGATGAGGGGCAAAACTTTCAGATTTCTTTTATAGCATCTGATGTAGAGGTGGGCTTGCCTTTAATCTTTTGATGTTAAGATCCTGCTTGATTTATCTTGCTCTAACTTCCCATGTCTTGTGCATAACAGGGAGGAGGTATTCCTCGCAGGAGTGCACCTGTCCTACAAAAGATTCGTGAAGAAGTAGGTTCTTCAGTTTTGTGTTTAGTTTCAGATTTCAGATAACTTGAATTTATAGGCTCCTTTTGTGTTTCATCCTCCGAGTTGAGTTGATGTGACTTCATTCTTGCTTTGCTCATATTCTTGTCCTTTGTTAGGTTACTGATGATGGTAAATATTGCCTTGTTCTGGCATTTGAGGCAAAAGCTCTACAATTATCCGACTTCGAAAAAAGACAGGTAGAAAGGGATGATTCCTGTTTGGATCTTGCACCTCTTAGTTAATTACCTTCGAGGATTAGAAATCATGAACAGTACTGTTCGCTCAGTATCTCAGCTCAGGTGATGTTTATTTTCAGGCAAAATTCACTTCCTTCTTTGGACCAGATATCACAGCAGAAGTTGGTGAGTTATATAATTAAGTGTATTCATTCGAAAACCTTCACGATTTGGGATTCGCTTGTGCAATTACACAGTAATTTATGGGATGCTACTTATGAGAATGTAATGCATCACAGGGACGGGGGAAGGCGATCTATTCGAAGTGCGACTCGTTTCAAATTCAAATGCTGCAGTATCATCTTCGTAGAGAGTTTGATGGTACAAATACAGTTTCACCCTGCTCTTGACTTGTATTTTCCATCTCATATGTTTCGTTGCTTAAGATTTTGTAATGTTGAGATCTAATATATATTTTGGCACAAATGTATTTGCACAGTCCAATATAAATATGTACAGTTTTTGGGAAACCGAGAATTATGTAAAAAGCCCTTCAACTAGCTGGCATCTATAGTGAATTACCTTCTCCACCAGGGCATTGATTGTACATGAGTAGTTAGGATCTCTATTATTAAAGTTGATGTTAGAAACTATGAAACATATGCAACTGGTCCAGAATCACTTGCCCTGCCCCAGCCATTCATAGATTATGCTGCAAAAATGTCCCTCTTTTTATCCCACTTTTTGAAACTTTACCTGTTTACTGATGTTGACAGTTTTTGAAAAATAACATGAATGCAGTGAATATGCTATCCTGCTGAATGGGGTGTGCCTCCTCAGCCATCTGATTCACAACCGAAAGATTGTAGTGCACGCGAGATGTGTGCAAAAATGAGTCGTTGTGGTGTGTTCATGTTCAGCTCAGACCACGACAATCTGATCGCAAATATGATTGACGAGCTTATGCCTACCCTATTCAGCAGCCAATCGGGGTTGGAATGTGGTCTCTTCCGGCTTCCGCTAGCCAATTATTGAGACTGAAAAGCTTATACTTTATATTGCGAGTATCTACTGTTGCTTGATTATGGCCAATTTTTTTTCGTTTTCCGAATCTGAAACTACAAAATACTGAAGTAGCAGGAATGACAGTTGTGCTTCAACAACTATGAGACAAGCTGTGTGTGCTTGTGGTTCCATAAGCAGAACAGATGAGACGTCTATGAGAACGATTTAGCGAATACAGGGGTTCATTTTCTGTGTGTTCTGTCTCCTTGTTCCTCGTGCATTTCTTGATCTTTTGCAACTTGCGTGACAGGGGTGGAGCCTCTTCAGTTTTCTCAATCACTTTAGTTATTCGGTGAATTCCATGTTTCTGTTGAAAAACAGAATCTTTCTCCATACACTACCAGAAGCAAAAACCCAAAAGCTGGCAACAACCTCATTTTCATTTTTTCCCCACCCTTTGCAGAAGAAACAACAGAAGGTAGCATCACTTTGAGTCTGAAACTACAAGATCGAAACCACAAAAGATAAAGAACTGCAGACCCTCCTGATATTGTCACCACGGAACAGCTACTCTGTTCTTATAAAGACCATCTCATAAGCTTGTCATTGTTATTATAGCTCCCTTGCCCACTGCTTAGCTCTCTGAGCTCGCTGGGTTTCCGATATCAGCAGCCTTCGAGCTTACGCAGGAAGATGTTTTTCTTGCTTGGTGTTTTGTGTTTCTCTCTTTGCCTCTTCCTCATCCATGACAGGCAACCACCTTGGCTGCTGCTGCTGTTGCTGTAGCTACTGCATCTCCATATTACCTCCTCCTTTTTCTTACCGTCTGTTTTCGTAGATTCTCTTTCCATTTGAGGCTGCACACAGAAGAACACCACAAATTTTGCACATCAATGTGTCTGTTTTTTCACAGGTTGTGTTAGGTTCAGTTAATCATTGTTTATCCAACTCCAGGCATTAGTGCTTGAGGTTGAGAATTATGACCCAGAGTGAGATATTGAAAGAGTTGAAATGCCTATCGGTGGACCTCTCTTTGGATAGTTGATGTGCTAGGTTTGAGCTGGCAGGGTAAAAAGGCAGTTGAATAAGTGGGCTTATGATGAGGAAGTTGGTAACTGTTTTTCTTCTTTTGGGTGTTGAGAGTTTCTGGATATGAGCTAATTTTGGGAGACGAAAACAGAGACTGGGAATATTGGACCACCCATTTTAGGGCTGCCCTCTAGGTACTAGGGACCTCTCTGAAAGGCAGCAAGGAATATGAATGACATACAGATAATCCCAGGAATGAAAGGCCAAAGCTATGCAGGGAAATGGAAAGTCTAAGCATTCTTCGATATTATTTCGTTATGTAAACTAGGGTCACCATGATCTTTTTGTGTGGTTCCTCTATGGCTGAGCTAAACTATCATTCATCATTGCACTTATTTCACGGAACTGCCTAGGGGGAGGTTTTCAGGTCATGATGGTATGGCTCTAAATGCAGTGAATGTAGGAAAATTTGCAGCAAAGGACTAAGATTCCAATATAATGTTGGTCATGTTGTGGTAACGGCGTCCTCTGCAACACTTGGCAGTGTTGTGGCGTTCTCATTGACAACTACACACCATGGAAATCAGAAAGAAAAGCAGCAAAAAGTCATTAGAGGCACAGCTGAAGCATCTTCGTTCGTGCCACATAACAACAAATGCAAAGTGAAGGTACGTACTCTGCAGAAAGCTATCTTTCTTTCTACCTTTCTGCATGATATTTCTATCATCTTTATAGCTGACACAGGTTTGGAAATGGGGGAAAAGGCTGAAAGATAGGGAAGAAAGGAAGTGGGATTGATGTACATTTTTAACCTGATTGGCTGCAATCGCCTAGAAATTGCTTAACATATAAACTCTATGTTTGTGGGACATGCAATCTCTCCATTAGATTTCGAGAAGGGGGACCAATTATCATGACTATGAATTCTGGAGTGGCAGAGGGGGACCAATTATCTCTGTTTTCTTTCTCTGCAGTGGCATTTGTACTTGGACAGGGCCACGACATATTCCACCCATTTAACCCCACAAAGGTACCAATTTATTCTGTTATTGCTTCCTCATTTTGGAAGGCAGCATATCCATCTAGCCCTCTAATTTCTAAATCATGTCAATCAGGAAATACCTTAGGCCCAAGAAAGGAAAACGAACTTCAGCAATGTGACATCTAGCTATGGCACCTAAACTTCAGCAATTGACTTGCTTATGAATTGCTGATGAATGGTGAAATTAATTGAAAGAAAGTTCGAAGGTGGTTACCTTTTCTGCAGCTTTCAGAACAGTTGCCTTACAGTTGGGGGAATCTTCTCCACCTTCTGCTTCATGTCTCTTCAATGGTGATGATCTCTCCGTTACTGCAGCGGTTTGACGGGGGCTAGACCCACTAGAACTGAGCTCCTCAGGTGGTGGAGTGCTCTGTGTTCCAATATCTCTAGTGCTTCCTGAGCTCTCCGTCTTGCTTTCTGAACAAGATTAAACCAAAAGTACATGCTTCTCTCAGCTCTGGCAAAACAACAACAGAGAACCAAAAGTGTTCAAATTGGACTTACAACCGAACCTGGAATGGGTGAAGTAACGTGTTTGTGATGATCCTGGGAAGCTGCAACAACAGCAGCAGGCTTGTTGACCTGGATTTGCCTCGGATAGGTGGACGAAGAAGAGTAAACAAGAGGAGCAGACACTGTAATCTTGTTGTAAAACGATCTGCCACTCAGCGTCTTCGCCGAAAGACACTCCATGGGCACCTGCCCTGAGAGAGGATTGCATATGTACTTCTCAGCTTCATTCCACTTGGAGTGCAGAGCAAACCCATCTGGGGATAAACACTCCCCTGCCCAGCTGTTGCATTGCCCTGACCTAGTCTGCAGAGCTGCGCGTTTCATTTTCCACAAACTTACTGTGTTACCACCACTGAAGAGGAGGAAAAGTGAACACTTATTTGCACAGTTAGTAATAGTATGTACCTTTGAGAGCAGCAGTGAATGAGTATGTCGATGGGTCGATCTCTTCTTTGAAAGGGTAGCCTGGAGAGGAAGCAGTGCTGGAAATGGTGAATTGGGATGATCTGAAAGACTTGGCATTATTGGCCTCTTCTCTGAAGCTTCTGATATGGGAACCTGAAAACCTTCTGCTGGACCTGATGGTGTCACGGCTCAGTTGAGACCTCACGCCCCAATAGTCTCTTAGACTCGACTCGGGCATTTCGTCTCTTCGTCGCGAGCTGATTTGAGGGTTTTCCATTGATGAAGCCATATGATCAATGGTGATCCACAGTAACAAGTGGAAACACAGACATGGGAGGGAAATGCCGTCTCTTGAAGGTATTTCCTTTTCTTTTATATGACTTTGGGAAGGTCTAGTGTGCATGCGCTTCTCTTTCCAGACTAAGGGAGAGATAAATCTTTTGTCATTTATCTGTTTTTCACCATTCAGGGCTTGGCATATAATAAATGGTCGCCAGTCTGAGGTATTTTTTTTAATGCATGATTACCCTCTTTGAAATTTTTTTTCCCTTTAGTAACATCAGGATTTTTTTATTAAGATATTGTTCGCTTTCGATGCGTCCGTACGATTTTTCTTTTGGATGCATATTGTACGGTTCAAGTCTATCTCGCACTATTGAACGTTATTTGACAGCCATTTTTTCAAAATTGTCGATATAAAAATGTCCCTGGAGCCTGGAGGACTTTTTGCTGTTGTGTGGGGTGAAAATCAGTGACAAGTTGGTTTTGTTTTCAGAAAACTTGGAGGGGACATTCTATAACTTCTACTCATGCAAGTGTTGCATGATGTGGAAGAAAGTGATTCGAAAATTGAGAGAGAGAGAGAGAGAGAGAGATGCATGAACAGTAATCTTGGCCTCTGCTTCAAATACAGAAGTAGCAGAGCAGCCAAGATGGATGAATGTAACTAAGCTTTGCTTGTCTTGCTAGACTGAAAATGTGTCTGACCTAAACCAAACAATGAAACTGAGAGAATTGTGTGGACCAATGTTCTTGAATCTTGATCATTGAAAGGTAATGAGCATCGGACTTTGTTGTTCTAAGCATGCATGACACCGTCCGGAGTTAGAAAATCGATTTCGATGATAACGAATTTTAGGCTTCTGTTAAAGTAACTCGAGTTAACTAATATAGTCACGTTACTTGGTATTTACCATTCATTATAGATCTTTTGTCACTGATTTTGTGTACATGTTGGTTGATATAGATCAAACTGATTATAGCGTTCTTACAATTTTCGAATCAAGTGCGGACGCTCCGTAATCAACGGATGGACACGGGATGTTGTGAGCATGTTCTTATAGACAGACACCTTGTGATCACAATCCGATATAGAGGGGGGATAGATATGAAAAAAACAAAGAGGCAAAGTGGTCCACTACTGGATTGGGACTTTTCCTGATTGAGATATTATTCTGGACTGCAATTTACAAGTTGATAAGCAATGGAGAGGCTAGATATCCGACGTTGGGTTGTTTTCAGAGTGGGTTTCGACGCTCTAAACTCTAAAGGATAAGGAACTGCAGCTAAAAGTTTGTGAGACATCCAAAATCTATTTTACTTCTATTAAAGTTTCAGAGGTGTTGCCAAGATTTCGTTTAAAGTGGATTTATTTGAAAAAAACTTGTAATTAACTATTATACTCTCCCTCTGCCCCATTTCAGAAAACTTTTAGTGTAAATTTTAACAAAAACAAAATTTTGTTCATGAACATTTTAGTGACATTTGTAGCAATGTTGTTAAAATGGATTGGATGGTCGGACCAGTAAAACTAGGACCCAATCACCTAACCAAATCGGTATGATAAAAATATGTAATCTATAAACCGATAGGCTTGTGAGTAGTCCAAAAGGTTAACCGTTTAAATCGCTCAAATCGGTGTGCCCAACCATCCACTCGATGTGGCAACTGCCTGTTCCACCCTAGGGTCTCTAGGTGGACCATTACTCTGCTTCGATTTGTTATCTAGCCACACGAAATTTGAGATTAAGAAACTAAACTAACTAATTACAAGTTGGGAGCTAACTTAGGCATTGATTCCCCCAAGCCACTGACTGGATTAATGATTGACGATCATCAAACTTGATTCATGCTTCATTCATAATGAGGAGGATCCTTGACTACACATTGAATCTCTATTCGAGCAATCAAGGCCTTCTTGAGTGGGCTGCTTAGAGCCGGGCATACCCTTCTCTAAAACAATTGATTAAGGCGTTCGGCACTAGACGACTATTAGGTGAGGTTCTCGCACAATACAAAACAAAGACCTGACTCGGGCTTGTGCAATCTAGCCCTTACTCCCAATTTATGATGTTCTATTGCCCTAGTTAGATTTTCTCTCGCATATGGTCAAAGCATAGTCAATAATCTTGATCAGGAAAGATTTGAACATAAAAACATGCATAGATTGGATATGGACACAAGAATATCAAGATAGAGTACTCATACATACAATCATTCAATCAAGCTAAAAATTACTAGAAGTGAAAGGAGAACTATTGCAGAGAGAGGAGTGGGAACACAATATAAAAATCAAGATCTTTAATCTTCATGTCTAGGTTTGATCTTCTAGCTCTAATGGTGGTGGGTACCTCCAATTTAGCTCCAAGAACCTTCCTTGATCTCTCTCCCTCTCTTTGAGTGTTTTTTCTTTTCCCAAAACCCCAATTCTCCCTTGTGAAAATCACAGTAGAACCATTTATACCCGAAACAGTGCACGAGTCACGGTTGCATGTCACGAGCCAATGATGTTTGACGGGGACGTGACGTCGATTAGAAACGCACCGCACCAGATACACAAGCCACAACTGTCTTGCCCATGTCACGATATCAACCGTGACATGTGTTGGCCGGCCGCGACATGTGCAAAAGTTTCTTGAATGTCACAACTTATTATGTCAATGTCACGATTGAAATCGCGACTTTTGCAGCACCCGGAACATGTAGAAAAGCTCATAGAATCCATTCATAGCTTCTAGTACTCTTGAAAAACAAAAACCACCTCTCCCAGTTGAGTTTAAGATTTTGATTTGTGGATGAATTTTTCCGAGTTGGGTGCATAATCGGACTAGCGAAAGAAGAATGCAAGAAGCCACATGTGGTTATTAGGAATGGCAATGGGGCAGGTCCGGGGCTGGTATCTCGATACTCATACCCGCCCCATGGCAGGTCGGGTAATTTATCACGGGGCGCGAGTCGGGGCAGGTCGATCCATTGGGTATGTAATTTATGCGAAAAACATTAGAAACATTCGTTATTTTCATTAAAAGACCAAGAAAGAAACCATAATATGATAAAATGTAGTTAAATTATTGAAGAAATTGAGGTTTTCACTTATTTACAACTTTATTATATCTAAAATATAATGTAATAAGAGGAAAATCCTAAGTAATTTGACTAATATTATATGTAATATAGGCAAGAACGGGTCGAGAATGGGGCGGACCAGGGCAGGTCGGGTCGATGAGAGGTACCCATGACCGTAGGCGAAATGATGTCAGGTCGAAATTGCCATCCCTAGTGGTTGTGGGTGGGTCGATGTGAATCCAAAAAAAACAGAGTACGAGAGAGCGAGAGGTGAGGGGGAAGGAGGGTTGCGCATTATGTGGCTAAAACATAATACGATTGATTCAGCAAATGCGGGAAGTGGATGCATGTGGGAGAGACTGATTCATGATGATAGAAAGCGTCAGTTTTTGTTTTTGATTGGCAATGCAACGTAAGTTTCAATGAAAGGGAAAACCCTCTTCTTCCCACCTCTTTCTTTCCCCCAGTTCACTACATTTGCAGTCGCTCTTTCTTTCACTCCAGCCACTCGTTTCCTTATCGGTCCCCCTTTTCCTTCTGGGTTTCTGCAAAATTTTGTAGCTTGCATGCATTTAATCTCTAAAGTATCTCCAAACAGATTCCCCAGCTGATTTCTCTCCCCCTTATCTCCGTCCACCTCTGTCGTTTCCCTCGACTCTCACTCTCACTCTTGTCTCTCTCTGCGATATGGCTGCAACCCTATACGACTGAGTTTGCTTCCTTCCATTGTCTTTGTTTGCCAATGGTGTTATTGGGTTTTCACGGTTTTGTGCAACAAAGGGATGTATCCCTGTTTTAGTATTGATTGGGGCGAAGAACAAACAGTTTATGTAATGATGATGAATCCTCTGTTTTTGTCTCTAGTTTTTGGGGATTTTGAGAGAGAGATTTATATAGATCTGTGATGACCAATCTTGTCTGCACCAGTCCCTCCTGCCACGCAATAATTAAGACTTTGAAATTGAACAGCTGGTTTTGAATTGCAGCGATCGACATTCAAAATGGGATTTTCGCGGAAGCACGAGTTCGTTCTTGTTCAGATTCTGTTCTATCTGTATTTCAACATTGTTTTTGTTAATGTATACCCAGTAATATGACATTGTGTTATTAAGGTAAACAATTATATGTTCAAATTTTTTCTTGGAGCTTTTTTGAGGTATATATTCAGTATTACTTCGTTTTCGTGAATATTCAACAAACTCATTAGAACAAGCTATTTAAACTTTTAATCTCGATGGTTTCTATTAATGGGGTCGGTTTTCTTATAGATCATTCCCAAACAATGATTTTAAAATCATAACCATCTCCATGACATACCAAAACTACATCATATATGTAGTTAAGGGAAACCCCACTCTCATCATCCTCGAACAATTGTATATCAATGTTAATTGAAGTTCCTTTGATATATTATTTGTAAAACGAAAGAAAATGAATAGGAGAGGTCTAAGAGATAATTATGATGCTCAAGTGATTATGAACCGTCGAAATGTTGAAGCGAGTGAGTCTAGAACATAGTTATAACACATGTTCGGATAGAGCTGGTTATTTGGTTTGGGTTATTTGATTTTACCCGAAACCGGACCGTATAACTCGAACTGAGACCGGATAGTAAACAATCCAATCCAATCTTCAGGCTTAGATTTGAGGTAAAAAACCGTTCGAAAACCGAATAAAGATAGGATAAGAGACTCCAACACCCAAAACTTAACCAACTCCTCACCCTTTGAGTCCTCAGACAAGTCAAATTCCCACAAGCTCAATCTAAAATCAAGACAGAATTGAGACCAGATTGTATCCAATCCAATCTTTGGTCCTTATATTACCGAAAAAACCAGACTGGAATCGGATCAATTCGGGCCAATTTAACCGGACCGGACCGTATAGAAACCCCTATGTTGGATGGGTATGATCCGAACACTTAAAATACAAATCACACCAACTTCATTACTCTTTTTATCATCCATCTCCCACTACGACATACAGTGGCAGATTCAGAAATTTTTTATAGGATTGTCCTCGTCCAAAATTAAATTAATAATAAATAATTAAATTAAATATTCATAAATGAAATAATATTCGACTAGTACAAATTTAATAAAAGGTCACGACATGTTTTCATATTCTGAAAAAAATATAAAATAGACTCGATGTCTGTATTGCTCAAGAAATCTATATATATCCTACTAGACAATAATTCACGAATTGATCGCATCTTTGATTTCTAACCTTGTTCTTTATGTAACTCAGAGTTGAAAGACTCTTTTTAACTCTTGTCGTGAAACCATAAAATCAATTCAAATTAAGAGTAGCGCGTAATTAGTTTAACTTTTAGGTTTGAAAATAGTTTGAGATTAAGGAATAGAGGAATTTTACAATGTTATATAGCATTGGTGCTATAGGTTTTTGTCTTTATGGTACAACTTGAAGTTGTATCTTTTACGTTATGGTACAACTTCAGATTGTACCTATACTGTTTTGTACAAATTCTTTTACGGTACAATTTGAACTTGTACTTTTATGTGATGGTACAACTTCAAGTTGTGAAGTTGTACCACAACATAATGATACAAATTTCTTTATGGTACAACCTAAACTTATACATTTAATGTTATGGTACAACTTTAAGTTGTACATTAAAGCACCAATACTATATAGCATAGTAAAAGTGCTCGTACTGTGGGAAGAAAGTAAGAAACTCTAATCTGCTGCACAAAGATGAGATTGAGAGAGAGCTTTGTTACCTTATCCTTTCCCTTACATAAGCGCTCCCCAAGGCCCCATCCAATTTCCAATTTATGACTTCTTCTTATGTTGTCCTTCTCCTTCTCTTGTACTTAGGTTTGAATAACACAAACTACACTTATATTTTTTAATCATTCAGAAGCTACTGTCGGAGAGTAGGGTAATTATTTTTTTCAAAATTTAAGGGTGTCCCGATTTATTAATTATAATTTTTTTATCCGTACGAAACTGAAATCGAGGGTTGGATAATCGTTTTCTCAAATTTTAGAGGTGTCTCGTGTATTCGCCACTGACGACATAAGGCTACAACAGACCGCCTAAGACATATTCCCCACACTTCTACTATTCAGATTTCTTTTAATATTGGAGGAGGCACAATATGGACATAAGGGTCATCTTCTTCTGGGTTCCATTAACCTCACACTTTTATTCAGCAAAGACAGGAAATCAGCACAGTAACACAGACAACGAAATCACAAGCTCAGCTTGCTAAAATGTTTTATGGCAATGAGGGCGGCCAACATGCACCGCTTTATAGATGTTCATCACGCCATACATGTGAAATTTCTATCCAACAAAATAAGCAACAAAATCTGGCTGACTCCTACCGTGATGATCTTTCTTCAACCAACTGCTGGATCGGTTCTCGTCGACAGACAAGTCGCTATGCTAACTCCACGGCGTGGGTAGAACAAGCCAAAACACCATCTGCTGTCAAATAGAACCAACACAATGGAAGCTGCAGCAGAAAACGAGCAGTTGGTCTCAGAGTTGTGTGTCCAAGACTAGGTTTGCCCACAATGAGCAAATCCATAACGGAGAGCTCCCAACTTGTTCCCATTTAACCTTGCCAGCAAATCCATAAAACAATAAATTAGAGACTGATCACGAGATTGACACATGAGAATGATAATTAACTATACAGTTACTTAACCAACAGCATTATGATTAGTTTGCAACATCTGAGAATATTAGGATTACAGCGAGTTAAATGCAAGGAAAAAAGCTTTCCTGATTGCTATTATTCAACAGCTTGTTTAGGGAAACAAACAATTAATTTATTATGAGTTAGCTTTTCACTTACAGAATCAGTACTAGAAAGGACTAATGACAACACCATGGAAAGATGCATTTACCAGGTCAGTGTTAATCAGCAGTCTACAGTAGTAACCTTAAGAAATACATGCACAAAAACAGGGCGGGCCACGGTGCTAACCAAGATGATCTTACATCATTATTTCTTTGGCAAGTAAAAGCATATTAAATTTTGGTGAGACGCTAATTAAATATTTCTTTGGCAAAAAAGTAGACCATTTACTTACCTTGACGAATGCAATGCTCCCGCATCAACCATATCAAGTATTTGAGAAGTGAAACAACAGCAACTTCTGAATCGACCAACAATGGGGCAGATATAACCATTTTGCACTCACAGGTGGCCAACTGCACACCAGTACATAAGTCACACGATGATTGTGCTTCAAAATCGAATTGTAACGCCATAGCATTTCTGTAAACATATTGTACTGTACAAGACAGTTTTAGAAAGTGAAATTACTTTCTTTTCTTTTTTGGAATATGCATACTGTTGATTAACACTGACCTGGTAACTCAAAATACCACGGGAATCCCCTTGTATGGTCTGGTTCATAAACTTCCTGCAAAAGTGGGAGGACATTCAACAGTCACAGCAGGGGGACAGAACAAAAGACTACGCTTGAGAAGAAAAATATTAGATCCTTACCCTAAGCAAACAATTTCCAAGCAACTTCAAGGAATCGCATATGTATATGCATTTCCAGCTGAAAAGGAACAAACATTGTTAAGAACATCTAGGAAACAATCACATGGCATATCTAGCAAAGTATGTTAACAATAAAGATATTGTAGCAATAAGTCCTTAAACAAGCTTCTATAAGTATTGCAATCTACTAAAAGCAATCACACACCCCTGGCTGGTGTGGAAGCTGTGTTGTTCTCCTTTTCGCTTTTAATGACGCATTTCACCTTAAGGGAGAAAAATAATTTATTTTCTATAATATCCAAATAAAAACGACCAACACAACTATTTCAAGGCAGAAGTCAAATTGTCTTGTACCACCAAATATTAGCAAAGAATCTCCTCCAGAAAACCTCAAATTATCTTTTATCCATGGAGTACTAAGGTAAATGACGTGCTTTCTCAAGCAGACATAGACTACCACTCATAGAATTTTCTTTCTGGTATTTTTCTAGTTTAGTGGCATGCTGAAACAAGAGACATAGCTTGGAGGAGAGCTAAAGATTACCATGTCCAAGAATCATAACACCATTAGCAGCAGAAGGTTTAAGATCTTGTATCTTTTCAGCAGCAAAGATCACTTGAAGAACTAGCAAATGGAAGAAACAAAAATATCCTGGATCGCTTCAGTACCCCATATGAATGGATTGCAGAAAACAGTGCAGACATTAAGAGAAGAGAAAAGCAAAGATGATCAAAACTGTATGTTAAGTTTAACATAGGGCAGATGTTATCATATAACATTACATGGAATAGACAGCTGCCAATATGGATTCACAAGGTTAGCTCACATGAGCATGGAACAATCCTTAAAAGTCGTAGTCCATAACCTGTACAAACCTGAGAAGTGCACGGACATTTCTGGATTTGCATCTCCGCCAACTTTATTAGCAGCATCATCCAAGTCAGACACACTCATCATGTGTACAGAATGCAATCCATCAGATACCCAAACAGTTTGTGCCCCTATAAGACGCATACAAATTTCCTCATTTGCCAAACAAGTTTATATAATAAGTAGGTCTGCACTTCTCAAGAAATTTCCACCAAATAAGAAGCACAATGCCTCATATCAAAATGACAAAACAAGCAGTAGATATTTTCAATTCAAGCAACTATAAACTTTGCTTAAGCTTCACAAGAATTCTCAATTAGGTCCATCACATATTCAGAAGCATTGTTGAAGACCCGAGAAACGATATAACAGAACAATAAACCCCCCTCTCGATCACACGATTGTAAGATTCTTACAAGCACTTAAACGTCATTTTTTATTCAGTCATTATATCGCGCACTTACTTAAGTCTCACAGAGCAGTAGTCATTGTTCTACATGTGCATCCGAAAAAGACTTCTCATTGTTGTAGGTTGTCAATGTACATGTATGGTAGAAATTTACATCTTCATTCTGTCTCCATTACATAAACAGAAAAACTGGAACAGATATAAAAAAACTATAGAACTATTAGTATTCAATGTCTTTGGGTGTCTTTACATAAATGCATCCATCACTAATTCCAATATAATAGGCACAAAAATAAGGAAGAAACAGGACTCGAATATGTATCCAGAGGCTTGTTCTCAAAATTCTAGGCTAGTGACTCAATAATTAACGATCGGAACATAAAATCAGTAGCATAAAGGGCGACTTACTCGAGGAAATATCAGGGAGAATGGCAAGCTTTTGCACCTTCATGCTGTAAGGCATCTTCCTTATGTCAGGGACAATGTTCCACCCACCACCAGGAATAGACAGAGACAAGATATGTAAATCTCCCGTGGAGTTCAAGACCATAAATTTTTTGGGGGACAATGCCTGGATAGAAACAGCCTTCCCAGTGCTGGATCCCAAGCCCACAACATCCTTACTCTTAAATGGCACGAAGCATGAACCTGCTTCCCCGGAATCTTTTCCCCTTCTCACAGATCTCTGCTTCACTGCAATTTAAAGAAGTTAAAGTGCTATGAAATCTCTATGAGCCAATGCATATTCATTTGTAAAGGGTATCTGCTTCCGTCATAAAGACGTGCAAAAAGTTGAGCTTTTCAAAACTAGCGAATTAAAATAAAAACAGATTATGTCAACAATGAAGTCTCTGCTTAACCTGCAGACTAGGATAACAATGGGATATACTTTCCACAACAGTCCTTTACGAAGCTAAAAGTCATTGATGAAATGACAACTTGCTAGTTTGCAGCCATATTCTAGCAAAAACAAACTACAAAGAGCGCCTTCCAGATCAATAAGTAAAGAAGAACTCCACACATGATAACTCTCACCCTCCATATACAAAAAGTTACAAGCTTGATTAAAAACCTGATCAAGTAGAATTGAGTTTACTCATTGATTTAGTCAAGCATACAGATGCCCCTTATAAAAGAATGGGACCCAAAGGGATAAGTGGATTGCCTCCTAATCACTTCAAATAAACAACTTTTGAAACAGTAATAAACAGCAAGGTTTGCATCGATGTGAAGAATATGAAAGCCAACGAAAGAAAATAAATTCCCTTCAATTATCCGAATATGTCACTGAACCGGTAATCTGCATTTCCTTTGCAATTACTACGAATATCACCTTCACTTCTGATTCACTCATGTTGGGAGGCAATCACTTGATCTACAACTCCTTCCCAGCTCATTTTTGTTTAAACACCTTCCTTAAATGGCATAAATCATAGAAATTTATTTCTTTCTCAAGTCGTTTTCTCAACTTCCTCCCCGGTGAAAGTAGCACTAAAGTAAACAACTGTCAAGCTGCTGAGTTTAAAGACAGCGTAAAAGTGGAAAGATTCTAATCCACCACAGCTCAAGCAAAAATGCAATCCAAACTAATTCTGCTACTGTCTCCAATGGAACTTCTCATCAATAATTGAAGACAGATCCAACTAAATATGCACAACCATTCACATGATACAAGAGGACGCCATCACATATTGATATGGAGAGTCTCGTTCCCTGAGTACCATGACAAGACGGACTTAATCAATTGTATTTCATGATTCTAGTGCTACATTCACTAGCATTATGAGACCTTATCACTAATAGCATGAGGGAAAACAAACACTGGGAACACCAGAAGAAGAAGAAAACTAGTAAACTAACCTGAAACATTTTGCTTTTCCATCTTCACATTTAAGATGCCATTGCTTGCAACGCCATAGTTCAAACCACCAAGCTTCAGTCCTCCGATCACACCATTAGGCAACTTCGATACTTGAACGTCAACTTTCCCATTCAAGTCCGCCATTCCATCTGAACTTGAACTCCTAGCCTTGTTGACTTTCCCTTTCACCAGCTGCTTCAAATTTAAAACCCTAACCCCGCCATCCTCCCCCAAGATCAGGAACCCAAACGAGACACTAATAGAGAAAACCGGCACCCGACACTCGATTAACGCACACCTCATCAGCTTCACTTTCACAGCGTCACTGTCGCTGCCACCATCCTCCCCAATCAACTTCACCGCGAAGACCCAAACTTTCCTGCTGGAAACCGAGTATAAACTGAAGAAATTGACCGACCCAACAATCTTTATCGAAACCCCATGATCCACATCGAGCAGAACGCCCAATTTGGGATCGAACCCAATACCCTTCTGACTGCAAGAGGCTTGAGCTTTAGTAAAGACATTCTTCTTCTTGTTCAGAACATAGAACTTGAGAAGGATCTTTGCACCACCCATATAAGGAGCAGCAACAACGAACAGGACAGTAGGTTCAGAGCTTTGATTGTCGCGAAGGAGGAGGAAGGAGGAAGAAGAGGAAGGGGGAGGAATTAGGGTTTGGGGTTTGGATGGGAGGGAAGAGGGAGTAGGAGAAATTGAAGGGTAAAGGGAGATGGAAGAATCAGAATGCATAAGGGCTAAGGATAGGGAAAATGGGTCAAAGAGAATTGAAGTTGTTAAGGAAGGAGAAGAAGGAAGAGGGAGTTTTGAAGCTTGGACAAGTACCATCAGGGGAGATGGGGGAGGACGGGCGAACGAACCTTAGACAGGAGATTTGATTTTTAGGACATTGGAGGGAGATTTTGATGCGCTGCTCTTTCGGGATTCCCAGTTCGTTGAATTTGTTGGGTTCGTTCTCTGTTTTCTCCTTCTTCCCTTTTTACCCTTTCCCTTACTTTACATAGAGATTTATGAGGGATTTGGAACGTGAAATTTCCATAAATCTTCTTTTAGGTCATTTGGATGAGGATTTTCATCCTTCATTATGTTAACCAAATGAAAGAATTCAAGATATCTTTGGGAATTTAAGAATCTGATAGTATGGATTTTTAAATAGTTGCTTCCTCAATTATTTCGAAATCACTCTATTGTTTAATTTTCTTCTAATTTTGTCTCTTTTACTTTTGTAAAAAAACCAACCAAACCCTTGTTGGAGTTGGGGTTTGAAAGATGGGTGGCGGAACATTGACGTCAGAAGAAGAAGTTGAAGTTTGTGTCTGTTAGTCAAAACAATGTCGTGTAGGGTTATTTATGTTTAGTCACTTAAGTTAGTTAGTATGTTGTTCGAGTCCTATTCGTCAAAAACAACAGGTGTTGGGTTTAGTGAGTTGGTTAGAACTTAGAAGTGGAAGCTAATTTGTAGGGACGAGGGGTTAGGAGTGTGAGTTAGTTGCCAATTTTGTCGGACGAAAACTTTGTACTTATATCTTTCTTTGGTCAACTGAATAAGGTGTCGGTTTGCATTCTATTAGATTCTACATAATGGTATCAGAGCCAATAGCAAACTGTAACCAAGATTGATTCTACGAGGGAAGCACGAGTGATTGATTTTTTAAATTGCTTCTGGGTGTGAGTGAAACACGAAGGCATTGGTGAGTTTTGTCTTTGTAGGGGTGAGAGAATACGAGAGACATAAAAGTGAAATCCAATTGCTTGGATTGAGCTGTGGAAGAGTGAATCATGGGCGAGAACAACTTTGTCCAGGTTGGCATACCCAGTTTTGATGGTGATTATGATCACTGGGCAATGCTAATGGAAAATTTGTTGCGTTCTGAGGGGTATTGGAGTGTTGTAACTGAAGGAATAAATGAGCCAAAAGCTGAAGTTGAGCTCTTTGCTGCCGAGAAAAAGGCTTTGGAGGAATCGAGATTGAAGGATTTCAAAGCGAAAATTTATCTGTTTAACAGCATTGACAAGATGATTTTGAAAAATATTACTCATAAAGCAACTGCAACGGAGCTATGGGAGTCTATGAAGACCAAGTTCCACGGGAGTGCTAGGGTAAGACGTTCTCGACTTCAAGCTCTAAGACGGGACTTTGAGCTGCTAGAGATGAAAGAAGGTGAGACGATGAATGAATATTTTGGCAAAGTCATGGTAGTATCCAACGCTATGAGAAGCTGCAGATAGATTATATATGATGTTCAAATTGTTGAGAAAGTACTCAGAACTCTTACCGAGAGGTTTAACTATGTGGTTTGTGCAATTGAGGAGTCAAAGGATATAGCTACTTTGTTTGTAGATGCACTCCAGAGTTCACTTTTGGTTCATGAGTAGAAGTTGAATAAGGGCAGGAGTGAACAAGAAGATCAAGCCCTAAAACTGGTAGTTGATAGAAGAGGTCCAGACCGAACATATAATCAAGGCAGAGGAAGGTGTCGTGGCAGCATGTGGACAAAAGAGACAGTAGAATGCTTCCACTGTCACAGGTTAGGTCATTGCAAATTTGAGTGTCCTGAATGGGGTCAACACGCTTTCTGTATCAGTGGTTCCACTAATCCTCAAGCTCATATGAAAGAAGAAGAATTGTTGATGGCTTGTATTGAGTCAGAAGAGAAGGAAGTTGACACGCTTTCTGCATCAGTGGTTCCACTAATCCTCAAGCTCATATGAAAGAAGAAGTATTGTTGATGGCTTGTATTGAGTCAGAAGAGAAAGAAGTTTCAGTCCCTATGAGTTTAAGAGAACATACAAAGAAGAGTGCATCATGGTGGTTTTTGGACTTCGGTTGTGGCAACCATATATGTGGTAACAAACAATTATTTAATTGCATTGATACTTCCTTTACTTGCATTGTTAAGCTAGGCAATGGTACTAGAATTCAGGTGCAAGGAAAGGGCACCGTGAGGATGAAGGTGCAAGGAAAACAGTGATGATTGAGAATGTGTTTTATGCCCCTGGTTTGAGAACCAATTTATTGAGTGATGATCAAATGCAAAAGAAGGGAATACCAATTCTTATTCACCATGGAATCTGTAAATTCTTCCATGATGATAAAGGCTTCCTTTTTCGTACTAAAATGAAGACGAATGGCATGTTTGTTTTGCATTCTGACCTTGTTTCTAGCATGGAATCAAAATCTCAGTGTTTGCTAGCTTCTACAGTTTGTAAGCAGAATCTATATTTGAGGCACAACTCATTTAGAGGTTTAACAAAGATGTACAACAAAAGAAAGACACGAGAGCTGCCCCAATATGAAGTATCAAGGGTGTGTTTCCCACTTGATGAAGGAGTGTGTCTAGATTCTATGATAGAAGCAAAAACTGAAGAAGCTCATTCACCTTCATCAGGATCATTGATTCATGTAATAGCAACAAGTGTTTCAGCACATGTAACTGCGCGTACAAGTTCATCTGTCGACGAAGGAAAAGTTATGGATGAAACTGATGGTCTTGGGCTGCAAGCAGCTACGATATTGGAAGGTGTAAGAAGGGGTAACTGGAGGCAGGAAATGAGGTTTTTGTTTCAACTTATTGAGAAGAATGATCTATGGCAGCTGTCAAGAGTTGAGAAGATAGGAGCCAAGTTGATCGGCGATGTGTATGTGATGCAACCACAAGAAGTTGTAGTTGTAGGGGAGGAAGAGAAACCACAAGAAGTCGTGGTTGTAGCAGAAGAGAAGACAAACTCAATGTTTATGGTTTTATACAGAAGCATGTCACTAGAAGTCAAAAAATCTGTGGAAGTTGAAGCTGAGATGTGGCCACAAGAATTCAATGATTTTACACAGGCTGTACATGAGATGAATGTGTGTGGAATGATGAGATATCTCCCACGAGCTGAAGATTTAAGGTGTTTAATTTGGTATTCAGTTGGCTTCATCAACATGGTTTTTGGCGGAGTAGAAGTGATCCATAATGACAAGGGAATCTTTATACTTGATATAAAGTATATAACTATGAAGCTTGCAAGGTTTCAGTTGCTGTGCAGTAATGCTATGCTAATTCAAATCATGTTGGGTTTCAAATTTACAATTGGAGAAAGTGGAGTATTAATCATTAACTTGCAGGTTGCAAAGGGAGTAATGACATATCTAATGGGAATTGTGGAATTAGCTACTTGGTGCAGAAGAGGTGGGGAAGAGGAATGCTTGATGAGATTCATTAAGCATAGTTATGCTTATGATGTGGATGCTTGGACAAAGTCAATACATTATCTTTTGTTCTTGATGCAAGCTGTAGTGTCTTGGAAATTGTCCACCATAGAAATCAAGTATGTAGCAGCAGCTTATTGTGCAACAAACTACAACTGGTTGACAAGGATTTTGAAGGAAACGACCAGTTGGAAGGGAAGTATGGTTGAAGGGATCGAAATCCATTGTGGTATAAGGTCTATCATCAAGAAGTTTTCAAATCCAGAATTCATGGCAAAGTAAGCAAGTGGTTGTTGGTTTGCTACTCCTTAAGTAAGAGGATTAATGAAGTGGCGATGAAGCTGGAATCTTGGAATGTCAAAGTTCGAGTAAATAAAGGCACGAGAATACGCATGAAAAGTGAGAAAATGGGTTTGAGTTTTTCTCTCTTTAGCAATCTGACTTGTGTTGATAACTGGGAAGAACAGGATACATGTGTTGAGAACTGCAAAGAACATAATGCATATCATATCAAAAGCATTGGAACTAGTCGGATCTTTGAAAGGATACACGGAGAGCTGGAGATGGGCAAAGAGGATTCGTTGGAGAATATTGATATGATAATTGATGCTGCAAATTCTGAAGTAGTACTGCGAATTCTCAAGTTACAATTGTTGTTACTGGTAGGAAATCCGATGCTACTGTTTGTGGTTAAACTGAAACTTGAAACATTTTGAGACTTAGTTTCTTTTCTCCCATTTTTGACAAAATCACGGTGGTCAGTGATCTCACGAGTTCAACGACGTCACGAGTTTAACAACATCATTGTGGTTAACAAAGTCATAAGTCCAACAATGCTCAAACAATATCACGAGTCCAACAATGTCACGGGTTCAAATAGTAACGGTGTTCCATAAGAAACAATATCACTACATAAGCGACTTCACAATATTACTTGGTCACCACGTTGATGGGTTAGCCAATAGGGTGTTTCGAGCACGTGTTTTGTTAGAGTAACAATTGTTTTCACATGGGACTCGCAAGAAGAAGATTAAAGACCGGGGATTCATACAGTAGTAGACGTGGGTAAAAACAGGTTGGTTTTGCGACGACGACAAAGGAGTTTTCTACATGTATTAGTGGAAAGACAAAAGGGATGGAGAGAACAACCAAATCAACATAAACAACTCGATCTCGTTTATTTTGTTCTTTTGTAACTCCTAGTTGCTGAACTCTCCTTCCATGAAAAGTTCTCCATAGGTGTAGGAGTAGTTGTAGTCGACGAGCTCTGTAAAGAAATCTCAGTAGAGATAATCGTAATTTAACGTATATTTACTAATATAAAACAATCTCATTCTAACATTGTTTGAACGTGTATGAACCGTAATAGGTAATTATAGTTTGGTGTTATTAGTCTGACTTTTCCAAGTAAACGAAATAGAAGAGACAAAAATTAAAAAGATTTGTTGCTGAATGAGGCATTAAAAACTTTATGGGAAAAAGAAAAACGAGGCATCAGTAATATGCATAATGCATATGATATCGCACACATGTCTAGTTTTCTACTATTTGAGCTTAACGATCGAATTAGTTAGCACTTAACACATCTCTTAATCTCTGACGTCGTTAATGGAATATTGACCGTAAATATACAAATGGTGGAGTTCTCGAATATGATGATAGACGAACAAGAATAAATTGATAGATGAACATGAACGCTTCTATTTAGGGTGGGCTTGATGGATTCGGTCCAGAATCATATTAAATTGAGATAGGAGCGGACTACAAAGAAAAAGAAAATTGAGGATCAGAATTGAATCTAGAGCTTGTTTGGTTTATTTGGTTCGATTTGATCCGGTTCAAATTCAATTTTTATCCATTTTTATCCTTACTTAAAATAATTTATAGGACCAAAATCTAATCGAAATATATTCGATCCAATCCTATTCGGTCCATATATTGATTCGATACGATTCAGTCCGGTGTGAACTGGATCGTTGCCCAACCCTACTACTACCAAGTTGAAAGAGTATGCAATTCCAAAATGAATGGTATTTTTATTATCGTCATCAACTTGGAATAGAATTGTTAAGATCACAACTGATGAACTACTCCTAAAATAAGAAGTCAATTATAGGAAGAAAAAAAAAAGGAAGTTAAGATATGTGAATCAATAATGTGGCATTTTCAAAAGAATACTAACAAAATAATAAGAATGAGACAATGAGCTCATGATCCTCATACCTCAACGGCTCAACCATTAATAAATCGCTAATCTAGTTTACAGGTTTCCATCTCTAAACAATTTTATTTTTTTTGGTAATACTAAACAATTTTTCCTCTTCATGAAAATTATTTAATATGTCCTTTGAGCTTATAGAACTCAATATTTTTTTTTGGTAATACTCATATGTAGCGGCATCTATTGTAGTAGTAATGTAGTATACTAGTATACAGTTGGCTTTGCAATGCGAAATACTTATGAAATAGAGAACTTGCTTATGTATATTTTTTATGAGCTATTTATATACTTTTTATATTATTTCCAAATTTATAGGTCTTCGGTGAAGATCATGGTCCGAAGTTCCCAACTGTTATCTCTTCATGTTGTCTGTGAACTCGGCTCAAGTTAGCGTCCATAACCTTAGGGTACTTAACATGAGTAACTAAATCTGAACATTTCCTTTTAAGTGAGTTGCAGATCTAAAAGTGGAGAATTAAAGGCTTTTTATTTTCTCTAATTTTTTTAATCGGATCATATTTCTACATTCTAACTCAGATTTCATTTTTTTTTTTGCACAAATGGAACGAGTTCGTTGTGCTCTATAAAATGAGATCCATTTTCAATATTTTTTGAGAATTTTTTTTTCATACATCTCGTTACCAACTCCATACCATATGGTATCTCCTTCGTTTTTAAGTCGTTTAAAAAAAATTGCACAGAAGGTACGAATTAATCATGATCTATTGGATCCAAAAATTTATGGGTGAAAAAAATACTGGACCAAAAAATACCATACTATACCACTCTAGTACGGGGTGGTATCTTTCGTACCATATGGTATGCTCTTGTTAATACCAATCAATACCACCATGGTATAGACTGGTAAAAAATTACTCTCTTTTTTCAAAAAAATATTAAAGTTGCTATCATTTTGAATAACACAATTAATCTGATCTAACTGTGCAAAAAAATTATATTTCGATTTAAAACGATAGAGAAATCGTATGTTAAAGATTAAGGAGGAAAAAATTAAAGACTTTCCAAAAGAGAGAAAGGGCGTTGATGTGACGGATTGAGATTGAATTATGCATGGTTATTGTCTTGTTGACCATAGAATATGATCCTTTCCTTGTGAACTCCTTTTCTTTACCCACTTAGGTTTGTTGCCATAAACTCCATCCAATTTTGCCTAAACCAAAAAGATTCACACATAAATATGCTCATATGCAATATAAAGCAATTCTAGACTAAAATGCAAGGTGTAAAACTCATTTAAATCCATTAAAGACATGAAAACATCTAGGTAAGGAGGAATTTTACAATGCTATATAGCATTGGTACTATAGGTTTTTGTCTTTATGGTACAACTTGAAATTGTACCTTTAACGTTATGGTATAACTTCAGATTGTACCTATACATTTTGTACAAATTTTTTTATGATACAACTTGAACTTACACCTTTATTTGATGGTATAACTTCAAGTTGTAAAGTTGTACCATAACATAATGATACAAATTCCTTTATGGTACAACCTAAACTTATACATTTAATTTTACGGTACAATTTTAAGTTGTACATTAAAGCACCGATGCTATACGGCATAGTAGAAGTGCTCCCTAAATAAGAGAGGTTAATAACACATGTTTTAGGCTGAAACAATTATTGCAGCATAACTAACAGCATCGAAACAAACGAAATCCATTATTTATCGCATGTTCAATGAGCTTAACAAGAATCGTAAAATCGCAACCAGAAATTCTATCGAAAAAAATAAACCATAGAGTTCTTTATTCTGAAACCAAAATTTATTTACGACACCATCATTTCATACCACTAAAAACCTTCTACCAATTTTGCCTCCGACCGTCCTTATGATTTTACTATTGAGTATTGACTATTGAGTCCAATTTAAAACAATTTGTAGGTTGTTACTTGCTAGAATATGTGCGGGGCAAAATTCCCATTCTCCTCTGCCGGAGGACCACCGAGAAAAAGCAATATGTCTGCCACCAGAAGTCCAGAACACTAAAAAAAGGCCAATCTCAGTGCGCTTGCTCTCTTTTTTATTAGAAGAAAATTCAAAACGTGACTCCAAGTACTCTTCCGGAATCCGACTAAAAATTCATACAAATTCGTCGCCACCGCCGAATCCTAGATCCCGATCCCAACAACATACATACAATACATACACAATCCCCTCCGAAAACCTCAATCGGTGAAATTAGCAATGGCTCCGTGGGGCTCGCAGGCCTTGGCATGCGCCGCCGGCTCCACGGCGGGGCTAGGCGGGACGGGCGCGCCGAGCAGCTCCTCCGGCAGGTCCTCGATCCCCTTGAGGTAGAAAGTGTAGAAGAGCTTGAAAGGGAAGATCAGCTGCTGCAACTTCACCTGGCCGTAAACGCCTTCGAAAATCCCCGAGCCGCCGGTCACCGCCAGGTAGCTGTCCTCGTAGGTTAGGTACGGCCCCTGGACGGCGATGTGGCCGTAATCGCCGAAGTAGAAGCTGTAGATTGCCTCGTAGCGGTCCCCTTTCATCTCCGGCTTGTGCTGGATCAGCAGGCATATCCCCGACGTGATCCCGATCCGCTTCTTCAGGTCCCCGCTGTAGACCTAATTAATCCCCGATTCGCAGACAGTGTGAAACAGAGTGAGTAAGATTTGAATCGAGAATTTTTTTTTCTCTCGGCAAAAAGAAAAAAAAAGAGTCAAAATCGAAAGGGAAATCGGAAGAGAAACCGACTTTGTTGCTGAAAGGGACGAGATCGCCGAGGGAATTGGTCGGCTTCTGGCTCAATCGGAGGACGGCGGGGCTCCCTCTATCTCGCTCGTTCATCTCGTAAACGTGGAGCTCCTGAACTTTGGCTGCCAAACAAAAAAAAAAAAACGAAATTAATTAATAAAATAAAAAGAAATCCGAATTGACAGAGCAGTAAGAGAGAGAGAGAGAGTAGTTACAGGGAGGTCTGGCGTCGTCGGAGGAAGCGGCCTGGCTAGTGCAAGAGAAGGATCTCCTGCTTCCGGCGAAGGACGACGGGGAGGAAGCAGCGTGGTTGAGGGATCCAGGGTTACGGAGCTTGAGAGGTAGCTGGAGGAAAGTAGCCTTGCCGGCGGCGGCTGGCGATGCTCTAACAGCTGGATTGGATAGTTTGGAGGATGCGTCGACGGCGAGGAAGGTGGAGGCGGCCATTTTTTTTTTTCCGGCGGTGATTCTTTTTTCTTCACTAGGTAGGAGAAGAGAGTACAAAAAGAAAAGAGTTGGTGGTGTCTGCTGTGCTGAGTGGAAGTGGGGGAGAAAGTGGAATGAGGGAAGCCTTTAAATAAACAAAAAAATGGGAGATGCGGGTCGGGTTTTGGATTTGGGTATTGGGTCGGCGCGTGGGAATTGGGCCCGGGTGGACGGAGAGGTATGAATTCGGAAAGGCATTTTTGTTGGTCAAGGCCGCAGCTGATTCCCCGGAGTCAACATTTGTCAACGGCGTGTATGTGATAGAATGTCGTTTTTGCCCCTCTTTCTTTCTGTAGTGTATAAAACTATAAATAGACTATAGATGGTTGAACTTTCTCGTTGGAAACGTGGTTTTGGCTTTTTTTCTTTTGTGGGGATAGGGCTGCAAATGAGTCGAGTCGAGTCGAGTTTTATCCCAGTTTGAGCTCGGTTCATTAATAAACGAGTCGAGATCGAGCTAGCTTGTTATTAAAATCTTAACTATTATTTGATACTTCATTTTGTATATCATAATACATATGATTTATTTTGTTAGCTAATCTCATATTATACTTTGTTGGTATCATATATCATTTAGTTAATAAATTTTAACGACTCCAAATAATGTTATTTCATAGTATCGAAGCAATTTATGATGCATAATTTCTTTTTAAAGTAGAAAATAAGATATATTTGGTCTCAAACTCAACGTATTAAACTTATATATGGTGAGATAGATAATTTAACAACCATATGAATTAAAATCATAAGATATAGATTGATTCGTCCATAAGTTGGTAATCGAGTTGGCTCTCTAGCCACATGTCAAGACATATCATGAGCTCTAAACGAGCCAGCTCACAAGTTTAGCTCAACAAGCCACCGAGTCGAGCTAGCTCGCGAGCTTCACAAGCTGAACAAAGGCGAACACGTATTCGGCTCGTTTATTAACGAGTCGAGTTTCGAACAAACTTTTCTCGAGTCGAACGCCGAGCCGCTCGCGAGCAGCTCGACTCATTTGCAGCCCTAGTGAGGGAGGACCGTGCTTTTTTCCTGTACGGAGAGTGTTTAATCCTAATGGTCGGTTTAAGAGAATGAATATTTCGAAATGGCTTCATCAAGTTTTTTTTTTTAGTTTTCCAAATTTACACGTGTTTGGCAAATAGAGGGATTTGGGGGAGAACTCTATGGATTTTGCGCCTAATTCTGTTTGCATCTTGAATTTGGAGGAGGATCATGAGATGTTGAGAGTTTGCAAGTCCTTTTATACAGGTGTTTATCTCGTCGGCTAGGGTTGGGAAACATTTTTCGGTTTTCCGGTCAATGTATACAAAAATATTATGCATTTTGAATATGTTACTCTTAAAATTTACAATTTATACAAAATATTATGCATGCATAATCAGACGAGTTCGAGTTGAATAGTGATAAAACCATACCCATTCATTACTCATAATATTCTAGTTCGGATTTTACCCATACCACTTGATATTTTATATTGATCGGGTTTTACTCCACCCACTCGGGTCGGGTATCCAAAATTTTGGATATTTTTACCATCCCTAGTTGGGTATTCACTAAGATTTATGGTATAAAGCTTGTGCATGCGAGTTGAAAATTATGTTGTAAGTAAAATTTTTTTTATATTTTCCCAGCTATTGGTTCGATGATTCGTATGAGTGACTAAACAAATTATTTATTTTTCACTCAATATAATCTCCCTAGTCCAGACCGTACCGTACCGAATTGCACAAACATAAAATATGCTATTGAACATATAGTATTTGAGCTGATTTCTGATATATGCTCCAACTTCTCGATTTGAATAATAAAACTATACATATGCTCCTATTTGAACCAAACTGCATCGTTTCCCAACCCTTCGAACCAGGACTCCACTAGCAATTTGTCAAAGAAAGAAATAAAAGAAAAAAACTCCCGCTACTGACGAACTAAGAAGTATGAAGGCCGAACAAGGACCCATAAGGCAATATGGCCCGGCCCAGCATATCGTTGTCGTGTTCGCAAATATGCTGAGCGAATACGATAGGATAGCAAGCCCCGACGGCCCATTAAACATCTCTAGACCCTGGCCCAATCCACAATAATCAAAACCCTAGTGAAGCTAAATCCCTCGGAACTATATAAGCATCACATTTCAGCTCTTTTTCCCTTCTCTCACAGTTCCGTCTTCCTCCCCGTCTCCAAACCCTAGCCCCGCCGCAGAGCCACCCTGCAATCCGCCGCCGCGCCACCATGTCTCACGAACAGCTGGTTCTCCGCGGCACCATGCGCGCCCACACCGATCAGGTCACCGCCATCGCCACACCGATCGACAACTCGGACATGATCGTCACCTCCTCCCGTGACAAATCCATCATCGTCTGGGATCTTACCAAGGACGACAAGAACTACGGCGTCGCCCGCCGTCGCCTCACCGGCCACTCCCATTTCGTCCAGGACGTCGTTCTCTCCTCCGACGGCCAGTTCGCCCTCTCCGGCTCCTGGGACGGCGAGCTCCGGCTCTGGGATCTCGCGGCCGGAGTCTCCGCCCGCCGCTTCGTCGGCCACACCAAGGACGTGCTCTCGGTCGCTTTCTCGATCGACAACCGCCAGATCGTGTCCGCCTCGCGTGACAAGTCAATCAAGCTGTGGAACACCCTCGGCGAGTGCAAGTACACCATCCAGGACGGAGACGGCCACTCCGATTGGGTGAGCTGCGTTCGATTCAGCCCCAACACTCTGCAGCCCACCATTGTTTCCGCATCCTGGGATCGTACCGTGAAGGTGTGGAATTTGACCAACTGCAAGCTGAGGAACACACTGCCTGGACATGGTGGGTATGTGAACACCGTTGCTGTTTCCCCTGATGGGTCCCTGTGCGCCAGCGGTGGGAAAGACGGCGTGATTTTGCTCTGGGATTTGGCGGAGGGTAAGAGGCTGTACAATTTGGATGCCGGCGCTGTGATTCATGCGCTCTGCTTCAGCCCCAACAGGTACTGGCTGTGTGCTGCTACCGAGAACAGCATTAAGATCTGGGATTTGGAGAGCAAGTCGATTGTGGAGGACTTGAAGGTCGACCTCAAGGCCGAAGCCGAGAAATCCGAGGGTGCTGCACCCAACACTCTCAAGGTATATTTTTACTTTCGTGGATACTTAATTGTTATCGTGATTGTTTTTTCGTTCTCCAGAAGTCTAGAATTATGGTCAGAATTGGTTGCTAGTTAGAATGACGGATAATTTGCTGTGGTATGCTTGGTTGTGGGTTATAGTGATTGTTTATTCTCTTATTGTGTGTGGTACTAGTGCTTGAACTGCATCCAATCAGTTCAAGCTATCGTTAGTTATCTGGTGAGGCCATTGTCGAATGTGTTGACCGTTGTTGTCTGCTTGTATATATACCCATTCATTTTCAGGTGTTTTGGTGTTTGCCTCTAGTTTTGCAGGTTTACATTCATAGAATTCTGTAAATACATTATAAAAAATTATCTTTTAGTCAAGTTGGATCAAACTTCTGGTGCATGATTGACTCGAATTGGTTCTGGATAGAAATATGATGTAAGTGGTTGAAATGGGTTTCTGCTCGATGTAATGAAAGTGTGGCATCGATTCAGTAGTACCAATGAGTGTCTCGAACATGTATTGTGGTCGTTGTATGAGAGTTGAAGCCAACAAATTTCTATGTGTAGATATGTTTGTTTATAGATTGAAGCAGCTTGCTTGTTCCCTCTCCGATTTATGGCTTTGAACTTGTTTGTTCATCTAGATTTTGCCGCTAATATTCCTGCTGAATGGTTTCTTTTGTAACTCTGATCATATTTGGTCTCAGAACATCCATTGCACAAGCTTGAACTGGAGTGCAGATGGAAGTACCTTGTTCAGCGGATACACCGATGGTGTGATCCGAGTGTGGGGCATTGGTCGCTCATGAGAGCTGAAGCATTTGCTAGTCATCAGAGCATTAAAGGAGAGACCTGTCGTTTTTGTTCGATTGTAGGGATGAAGCGGTTATTGGGGACTTGTTTTTTAAGTTTTTTCTTTGTCATAGAAGTGAAGAATGCATTGAGGTTCTGTTGAAGTTGGATATTTTCGTTTATAATGAGCCCTAAGCTGTTATGTCATTGTGATCACATATTTATCATGTTTTTATTTTTTTTATTTTGGATTGATGTCCTGGTTTTGCAACATCCTCTGCTAGGTGCTGATAAATATGTTTCTGAAGTTGATGCAATGTGTCGTTGTTACTCTGTTCCTCTAGGATGCATTTTTATGGGCGGATTTTATCCTCTCCTACAAAATTAAAGGTATAATTTGTTTTGTTTGTAGGATTGGGTGATGGATTTAACACTCAAATTCTAAGCATCTTCACATAAATCTATTGTGTTAATTACATAAATCTATTGTGTTAATTGCATTGTTGGTCATTGAGTTTGCACAAAATGTTCATGTTTGGTTACTAGAAATATTTAAATCCATTAGTAGTCACTTGAATTAGTTAAATGGTTCAAGTCTCTTTAGTTTTCGTTAACACTGTTAGTCAATCACACGGCTGACAGAGCTTAAGGAGCTCTCCCTCCACTACAACCTCCTCGTTGACCAAATCCGAACAAGTTCGCGGGCAAAGTTCAGTTCCTGCTGCTCGTTCTGAATCTCGCCTCCAACTAATTGTCTGGGGATTTGAATTTCTTGAAGCATTTCCCCAATCTCGAAACGCTCTTTCTCTCCAACAATTTCTTCGCCGGCCAGGTCCCCAAATCAATTCGCTCCTTCCTCAACCTCCAATTCCTCGACATCACCGGGAACAGGTTCCTCAACGAGGCGGGTCGGGTTTGGTGACGTGGCAGGTTAAAATTGGATGAATCAACATTTCTGTTAGCCACGTAAGCAATTGACTGACGGTGTTAACGAAAATTGACGGAGACTGATGGAGAGTGACCAAACATGAACGTTTTTTGTAAACTTACTGACCAACCATGCAATTAACCCTAAATCTATTGTTTGCTAAAGGATACAAATTTGTGGGGCCTACGGATTTGCAACTCCAACATGGACAAATTCATCATAGATTTATGATAAAAATTAACTAAACAAACAATGTACTCTTTCAAATCTATAATGCAACAAATCTATCATAAATCCAAAGGTTTTTAAAACTCAAAATCTTCATTTTCAAGTCCAGCAAGCAAACGGGTCCAAGAGTGTTTTGAAATTCTGTAATCTATTTCCCTAGCAATCGACACGCTTTGTGTAGGTTGTACTGAAAAAGTTAGTGGTAGGGTACTTTAATAGCATACGAACTAGGCTATTGATTAAATACACTTCAAATTCATTTGTCATGATGGAAACAAGGATTGTGATGTAGAGGTTTTAATGAAGCTTTTGTGTTGCATATACTAAAGCTTTGACACCCCAGATGAAAATTAAATAAATGTTTATGACATATTGATTGAGTTTGTCAAGAAATAAGGAACAGGTGGAATTAGTAATATGAGTGGAAAATCAATGAGGTTAGAACTTTATTTTAGCAAAAAATTCATCCCTTTACTATGTTTAATTGTTTAGTGATTTGGCCATAAGCTTAAGTTAACCCTTGTTGTTGCACCTAAACAACATGGTGATGTATTTGTCTTCTTTCAAGTTGTTGGGTACTATTAGTCTATTACTAATTTAGTAGAAGGCTCTTCTAAGCGAACAACATTCAAGAAAGTCAAGTTATTAGAGTTGGTGAGATTATGAGGTCGTTTGCTTCATGAATTTGGACGATGGATTTGATATATAAATTCATTCTATCATGGATTTAAAGGAAATTCATAGTTTGTTTGCATTTCTTTTAGCAATCAAATATGTGGAGTCCACGAATTTTTAAGGGTCCAAGTCTGTGGACCCCATAGACTTGTAAATCCCGCATATTGATGTGAGATTTGTAAAACATGTCATAAATCTATGAAACAATTTTACACATATACCCTCATGAACTTATAAAATTCCAAGGTTGATCACACATTTACCTATTGTACATTATAAATAATCAATTAATTAACAACAAAGAAATAATATAAATATTCAATTAATGTGCAAACATGTGTTAGATTTTTTATACCCTTTTCTAGTGTTCTAGTTTTCTTTGACCTTTGCTTTTCTCTTTGTTCATTAATTGTTTGGATATCATTAGACAAGATGGAAATAATGGTGCGACAAAAGATTATGCGTCTAATATGTTGATGTTTACTCAAACTATTAACTTTGCATTCATCTTGAAAATGATGATCGGAGTACTTTCAAACACCAATGAATTGTATGCGGCATTGTAAAGGAAAGAACAAGATATAGTGAATGGTGTGCACTATGTTCGTGGAAAAAGTTTAGATTACAAGACACAAAGGATAATTAATGGGATTGGGTTTCCGGCCCTGATACGGCAGTATGAGCAACAACTTTGGGAATGAACTTCTCTGCCTAAAAACAATTCGCCCATCATCCCTGGGACTACCACTCCGCCCCCTGCCCAGGAAATGATGGATGGGGCTGTCTATCTATGGGATGGGTCTACCAAAAGTGAATCACACTCGGCAGGGGATGGTTATCTTGACCCCTGCTAGGGAAATCCTTTTGGTTCAAGGGGTCCAGTTTGAAGGCTTAGATGATCCAATGGTGGCAGAATTGCTTACTCTTAGTGATGCCGTTTCTTGGGTCAGGAACCTTTGTTTTATGGAGATGAGATTTGAAGGTGATGCCAAAATGGTGATTGAGAAGATTTTGCAGCGTGATACTCGGGATAACCAAGTGGGAGCTATAACTTCTCCTGTTTCAACCTAACTCGAGAGTTCCAGCTCGTGAGTTAGTAACCCCTCCAAAATTGGCCCAAAGGTTGCACCCAACAAGAAATCCAATAAGAAACACAAAAAGAGATAGCCCATTCCAGCAGCTAAATGGTAAGCCCATAATCCAGTTTGGGAGGCCGACCTCTGTACTTCATATTTTCATATTTTGCTCTCTCTCTCTCTCTCTCTCTCTCTCTCTCTCTCTCTCTCTCTCTGTTTTCCTGTCCGGTGCCCATTTCTCCGCATATGGAATGAAGTGGAACGAAAGCAGAGCAGATGCAGAGCACCCAAGTGTACCGTACAATGATGCTAATCACACTTAAGCGTCGCAATCTCCATTAATGATTTGCACAGCATAATCTAATCCCATTCTACTACAGCTAATTGCGTCTGGGTGAAGAGTCAAGAACATAGATACGCTGAGATTCTACGACCTGAGGATAAGCTGCTACACTTTCTCACTCGTCCCCTGAAATGCCGTCGGTGGAAGGGGAAATTGGGAAGCTAAGTTCAATGTATATAACATCCATCGCAAAATACTATACTTAGTCGAGAGAGAGACAGTAATCTTCGTGTTAACCAAGACAGGGATACGAGAATCAGCCTTTATTGTTATACAAATACTGTAATGCAGAAACAGAGCATTAGAAATTTAGAATTGGAGAAAGGGAAGAAGAAAAAAAAAAATGAAGTGGCCTCTGGGTTTAGCAAAATTCAAGGTTGTCTGTCTGGGATGCAAAAGGCAGCGACCATGCCTGACCACGTGGGAGTATGTCTTCCTTTCACGCTACAGCGTTAGTGATATTAATATGATTGTGATCTTTTTTTTCTCTTCCAAGTTCAGTGTAAAAGGACAACAAGAGAGGAAACAACAAACTCGAGTTGTTGGGAGAGGTTCAATCGTGGATCATATACCACAACACTAACACGCCTCCTCAAACGAAAGCCACCCACAAGGGCTTGAAGTTTGCACAGGTCTGAAGACAAGAATACCATGTGCTTAATAAATGGGGGTCACCGGGAATCGAACACAAGACCTCTCGGTCACAGAAGGCTCTGATACCATGTCATGAACCAGTTGCTCCCAATAACTCGAGTTGTTGGAAGAAGGTTATGCTGGATCTTATACAGGTCCGTGTGTGGTGCTTAACCACTTCCTTACACGCCCCCTCAAACGAAAGCCGACTCATGGGCTTGAAGTTTGCACAGGCCCGCCATACCATGTGCTTGAAGACAACGGTTAATATTGGAGGTCGTGAGGACTTGAACATGTGACCTCAAGGACAAACCAGCTCTGATACCATGTCATGAACGAGTTGCTCCCTATAACTCGAGTTGTTGGAAGAAGGTTATGCTGGATCTTATACAGGTCCGTGTGTGGTGCTTAACCACTTCCTTACAGTTCGCACAGGCTTATCATGCCATTTGGTTTAAAACAACGGTTCATATTAGGTGTGGTGAGGATTTGAACACGTGACCAAAATGACAAACCAGCTTTGATACCATGTCATACCTAACTGGTTTGGCCAAGAGGTCACGTGTTCTGATCTCCACGACCCCCTAATATTAACAGTTGATTAAAACACAAGGTACAGTGTGCCTGTTCAAACTTCGCGCTCGTGGGTAGCCTATCGTTTGAGGGCACGTGTAAGAAAATGATATATGATCCATATGTTGAATCCAACTGATTTACGATAATAAGTGCCAGCCAAACAACGCCTTGCTTTTGCATGGCATCATGCTCCATTGTTCTTGCTACCTAGCTTCCTTCCTATCATTTTGGGTATCTTATTATCTTCCTATAAACAAAACTCACAAATCAGATTTGATCATTGATTAACTTAGTGGGTTTTGTTTCTTTTCTTTCTTTCTTTGTTTCTTTCCTTTTGAATAGGTTTTCCTAGGTTGAAGTGTAGGAGAGATCAAAATCATTGGAAATTTTGTGTCTGGTTTTTGGGTATGGGGTGTGGTGGTTCATGTATACAATTACAAAGGAATGGCTCATGCATTGTCATTGACCCTACCCAACATCACCCATATACTCACCACCACCACACCCACAATTATGTCTTCTCTTTTCATCCTCATGGGCCAAGCTAATGCCCCCATTTGAAAACACTGCACTTTTTACTCCATCATTATGCATAATTGCATATGCTTTGTTACCATCTATTTTTTTTTTATACTTATTGTTCAACTCCAACTAGGAGGAGGAGGGGGAAAACATCCTAATAAACAAAAACTCACTTCATGCACATTTGAATTTTGACACCAACAACCATTTGTGAAATAAACAAATAAAATAAAATGAGAGGAATTGATCGGCTGATCTACCATCCAATTGTGGCCCCATTTAGTACAAATTTGTTGCTGATATGGTTGCAGTATAATTGTAACAACAAAATAAAGGCACAACCACAACACCATGAGAATGAAAAACAAAAACACGTTTAATATCAATGTTGAGAGACTTAAATGAAAGCAGGAAAATAACGGGAGGAATAATGTGTCATGATGAGATATGAGAAAATTGAGAGACAAGTATGAATAATATTGGCAATAATATTTCTAGGATGAGCTATGGAGAAATGGAGAGGGAAAAAAAATGTAAAAATTGAGTCTAGCGAAATTTGGTCATAGATGCTTCGAATGAAATTATTACAACAACTTATATTATCTCACAAGAAATTGCTTTCGGGACAACAATGACGCTACTTAAAGTTGTTTTCTCTATGTTCATCTATGTGTTGTCACAAGGTTGTCAAACCGGTTTATGCCAGTGTGTCGGTTTAGCAAGTGGAATGGTTCAACCGGTGGCACATACCGGTTTGTGCCGGTTCATGACGGTCAATATTACTATTAAAATTATAAATACTCATATTTAAACATAAAATTTAACGTCAATACCTAAGCATTTATACTTGAATCCAACAAATAACATCAATATTTAATTTTTGTACTCATAAAATAAATAATAAAATAATTTTTATCAATTAAATTCTCTAAAATAAAGTCATTTTACTTAGAGATTCGTATATCGATCATGCCGGTCATACCGGTAATGTCACGCCGGTTTTATGACCGGTACCGGTTAAACCCGATACAACCGGTGGCACGCCGGCCGGCGTGACAACCACTTGTCAACTTTTGTTGTCTTTTTATAACCCTCTCCAATGACCACAATTCAAATCCATCAGACTAAACTTTTCTAACCTCTCGTTCAATCTTCTTGCTCTGCCACTAATCAACGAAATGCAAGACACATCTTTTCTTAAATATGAAGTGATTAATAATGTCATACATGTTTTTTTTTCCCTTTCCTTTCCTTTTGGTGTCATATTATTTGGACAGCTGTTATACAATATAGGTTAGGTCAGTGGTGTCCAAAAATCACATCACTCGATTGTCGTCAACATCATATTACCACTACCCCAATTTGGGGGATGTGAGTTATGTAAAATTTATATTAAAATTATTATAATGTTTATTATTATATTTAAATCATTATATTTAAATAATGGATATGTAAATGATTATTGTTATAATGAAGATAGTAAGAAAGATTTTTATTATTATTATTATTTAATGATAAATCATAATTATAATAATAATAATTATTAATGTAAAATTTGTCTATGGTTCTTAAGTTTGTCAAATTGGCTCCAATTGTTGAATGTGTTCGCCAAAGTTTGACTCAAATTTGTCATGGAAAAAGTAGAACATGAAAATGTTTGGTTGAATTAAGTCAATTTGATTGACTCAATTTGGTTAACCCCTTGGTTGACTTAGGTCAATTGGATCGCAGTTCTCATGAGTTTGGACAAGTTTGAACCAAACCAAACCGAATTGTTGCACACCCCTACCTAGTTCGGGTTCACCCATTGACTTCGGAAGCAAGTTTGTTAAGGTTCGTCTAGTCGTATCGAGATCACCATATCGACAAACCAACGCTCAAGTGGGAGATATGAGATAGTTATATATATATGTCTTGGCTATAGGTTGGGCTTCAAGTTTCGAGATTGCTCGATCAATGATTATTATAATAAATTACTATTTAAGCATTATTGTCTAAATAATTACTTTATTAAATTATATTTATTAATATTTATGATTATTATATATAATAGTTTTCTTACTTTTTACTATATTTACACCCCCTACTTTTTCATCCAAACAATAATTTACCCCTCTACTTACACCCTCCATCAATTTGTACTCCTGCAATTTGCCTCTCAACTTGCACCTCCCGAATTTACACCGCTTGTTGCCAAACATAGCGTAAAACTCACCATTATAACAAACACATAAAACAGCAGCTTTCATGCACACGTACGCCCGCCCATTCCATCTTTCCTGTCTTTCTATCAATCGATCGACTTGATCCATGGCTCGATCTTCAAATTTAGTACTGTGCCACTACTGATCAAAAATCTTGCTTGGATTTGCTTTTGCACATATATGCACCGCCACTGTACAGTTTTAGGTGGACAAACACGAGCAGTTGTTCTCTTGTTTATGTTTTCATCCCCAGTGGAATATGGGTATTTTTTTTTAGTGTTTGTAACACCGTACCGTATCGAGGTACGATCAAGAAGAAAAAAAAATCTCACATCGAAGTTTAAATCGATAGAAGGTTTCAGTCGCGTATAAAATGGTCGAACTATGGTTTTATCATAATGTTCATATGACTTGAATCGTATCATTTGTCGTCGGCTGAAAGTCCACGGTGTAAATGGGTTTATACACGCGTTTGAGTTTCTGATCCATGTGCATGCATGGCCCGTAACCTTATTCTTTACCAGATTGGATTAGGGTTAAGCCGCATGGAGAAATATTATATATGTACGTACTTCTCGATCCCTCTGTAATCTCTTCAAATACAATGAAACTAGCTCTCTCTCCTGCCCGTGGACTAACTAACAAACGTGTTAGTGAACTACGTAAGTCTATATGTGTTATTTCTTTCTTGCTACGTTAGTGAATTACTTCGATCTATCCTTCACACATAAAATACTCTGCGGCCGCTGACTATTCGAATACAAGCTACCGTGTGGTTTTGCAATGCCCTGGTATTTTGTCTTTCTATTTTGGCGGGTTGAGTAACTAACTAGCCTGAATGAATGAAGCAGCAGCAGCTGGCTACCAATATTGTATCTAAATCTTAATTAGTCATGATGACTAGCTAACAACTTATTGTTACATACAAACGTCAGGATAATTAATTAAATAATTAAGAATCTAGGTAGGGCTGGGCCATATATGCAATCTTAATTAGTAGTACTATCAGATAAGCTGTCACTTGTTTAATTTGTTTTAGTTTCATCCAACACAAACATATTTACTAATATTCATTAATGGTGAAAGAAGGGGCTAATTAATTAATTAATTTCCAGCCTGGGTTTATCATTCTTTCACTATGTATTAAGGCAGTTCTTTGCTGAAGTTTATCAAAAAGTGGTCCTTAATTAGTTAGGAGTGAAGGGGACAAAATTGAAATATTATGTGTAAAGAGTGAAGCACAAAACACAACATGTGGAAACGTACTTGTGTTGTTGTGTGTCTGTATCTTGGCGCGGTTGGTTTGAGTTTGAGGTAGGGACGAATTCATAACATCTAAAAATGTTATCCGTTACACTACAAATCAATTGTTGTTATGTTTAAAACATAAATATAATTATAACCTAATAAGATTGATTCGATTTTATTCTAATGAGTTTGTTCACACCTTTCTCACTCATTTTTTCTACGACATTTTTTAGTATGATTATCATAGTGTCAAGAATGACGAGTTACTCCATGGATTGAAATGAATTAATGTTAGTTTAGTTAATGTTGTAGGCACAAGTATTTATAAAAAAAATGTTGAAAACACAAGTGAATCCATCATATTGCTCATCGACTTAATTATTTGCTTCTTAAACTTGTATTGACTTCAACGCGCGGTTGCAACCGCAAGGTTTGAAAAAGCTTCATTTTTAGCTTTGGGCTACATTAACAGCCAAGTTTTCGAAATCAAACAGACGATCGTTTTATTAACTGATTTCTAGTGGGATATATTGAAATATATTCATTGACCCAAGTAGACACTCAATGTATATTTACAATTATTTTATTTTCCAGAATACGAGAACACGTCATGGTATTTTGTTATAAGTTTACAGCAAAACACCTGCCAGGAAATTGTTCCCTTGCTTCCTTAACGTTGGGAACACTATATAGTCTTAATTTACAATCGAAGGATAGAATTAGTAACACAGAATCAATAAAGAAATGAAGATCCTAAAACAACATATCCCATGAATCATGGAAACGTACGAGCTAGAGAAAGGGCTGTCTTTGGACGATCGAGTTTCTGACTTCCCAGACCCGTTCATCGTACATGCTCCATGGACCATGGCCGATGCCACCACCACTTTGAAACAATCTCCGCGTTTCGTGTGTTCGAATTTCTACGACTCTTAATATTAACGGTTTATCAAAGTACAAAATATGGTCGTTGCAAGTTTCCAAGATCATAATTTGCTTGACCGATGATCCGTTCTTTCTTTTGTTTTTTCGTAGTCCCTGATTAATTTGCGTGGCCTTTTTTTTTATAATTGCTACCGACAAAATCCTAGGTTGATAAATAAAACAAGGAATTCCGTATTATCATGAGCTGAATCAATTGATTAAGCAGTCGTCAGATGTTGGATTACTACTGGTTAATTATTAATTCCCAATAATAACAATTAATTATGATTAAGCAGGCTAGGTAGATGATTACAGTGGTGAAATGAATTTGGTATAAACTAGGCAGCACAGCTTGAGACGTGTCAAGTACTAGCAAGCAAGTTAGTAAAAAAAAATTAAGTGGCTTAACCTTTTCACTGATAATTAACAAACTGAGAAGCATCACGGTAGTTTCCTTATAGCCACGGTACTAATCAGTCTTGTTAACCTTTTGTTATTATCTTAACAGGCACAATGAACATGGTAATAAATACCAATGTTCGAGAAAATCTATCATATAAGTCAGACTGGAAATGTCGGATTATCGAACCCAAAATGATAGGATTTTAATAAGTCAGTTGATGTTGTTTTATTGAGATAATGTTTGAAGAAAATAAGGGAGAATGATGAATAATTCAGATTTACGAAATGATTATATTCTTGATAGATTTTGATGATCAATGTAGAGAACTGCGAGAAAATCAGAAAATGCACAGAATCAATTGGTTTCGGTACTTGAATTGATACACTTCAAAATGTACCCACCTCACACTTTGGCCATCGAATTTGGGAAAAAATATCAGCCTAAAACTTGTATAGATTTTACCGTATAAACTTGATCCGAGTTGGATTTCCTAGTAATAAGTTTGGGGTGAAACTTATTATTTATGGAAGGTAACAAACATTTTTTCAATTTATTTTAATGAATTATATCTCATTTATTGTAAGTACGGTTGTCAACTCGCAAGTCGATCCGTCGGTTGACCCATTTTGATCTCGACCCAATAAAAGAAGGATCACACACTCGTGGGTTGACCTATTACAAGGTTACCGAATTGGAGGTCTCACGGTGTCGTTTTTCCCTTTGCTTTGCGAAATGTGCCTAATTTTCGGGTTTCTTTTTTATAACCGAGGAACCTCAACCCCACGTGCTACTTTGTGACAACAAGGTCTACTAAACCTGGGAGCACCTATTCAGGACACAATAAGCGGGTGCCACTTTGTTCCACCGTGCCTATTTTCCAGTTTTCTTTTCGCATAACTCCATCATTGGGATCTAATATGTTATTAGTGACCCGGTGAAAAAAATGGGTCACACACACTCGCGTGTTGACGCACTGCAGCATTACCGGGTTGGAGGTCTCACAGCGTCGTTTTTCCTTTTGGTTTGCGAAATGTGTCTCATTTCCGGATTTTTTTCGCCTAACTCTATCCTTGGATTCTAATATGAGATATGATGTAATTTATAAATGTATGAACAATATAATGATTTTTTCATATATTCGAGCTAAGCCAGGCTAAAATGGTCAGACCATTAATCCCCAACTTCACTTGCGCGACCGGCCCAACGAGCTAAACCGGGTTGACAATCTTGATTTTTAAGTCATAATTTTTTTTCCACAAATAAATCACATTACTTGTGGAACAAATTATGGAACCAAAAATTGAGACATTTATTATCAGTCCCCACATACTATGTGGTAATGTTTTGTAGCATACAAAATTATATCACATTGTATGAAAGTCTATCACGGTGTGAAGATATCAGAATTTAGAATGGTTGCATACATGATAGAAGAAATATACTAGCAGTCATTTACCATCTTTCATCAATGTATATCACCGGTTACCACCCCCATACCTGTAGGGTGGTCTGTGACAACATGTTTGATTCTGAAATTTTTCAAAAGAAAAAAATGTTCGTATTGATGATCAGAACTAATATTGACACAATGCTAACAAATTGGGTGCTATCCGTGTAAGGAAGTGGTCATAAGTACCATATATGGGTCTGTATAAGATCCAACATAACCTTCTACCAACAATTCGAGCTATTGGGATCGACTGGTTCTTCTTGACAATTCGAGTTTAGATTTTCCAGTAATGAGGTTGGGGGGAAAACAATTTTGTCATCTCCATGGAGCCTAAACCATGTAAATTTCATTAAAAAAAAGATTGGAGGAAGAATCTAAAATTGGAAAAGATTGGTTGTTTTCTAGTTTTTAGCTCTGGATTTTGTTATAGTGTTATTGTTTAATTGGTAGGAGGAGAGGTTGGGGATTATATCTCCTGGCAACGCGCATGTTCTTAGGGAAGATTGGACCACTCCACTCTCCCACTCTCTATTACACTTGACTCCCCTGCTTTCTATATAAACCAACTCCCCTGCCCTTCCCCTGCAACACCACACGCCCACAGAAAACCACCACTCTCCTTAATTACAGAGCAATTCCTCAACGCAAACAAAGAACACACAATCAGTGTCATCATCAGCAAACAAAGAAAGAAACAGACAAGGATGAGGAGCGGCAGCCGGAGCAGCAGCAGAGCATCGTCAGCTACCGAGATGCCGGCGGCGGCGTGCAGAAGATCAACATCTTCTTCTTCATCATCATCGACAGCGACAAAGAGGCCGAAGGTGATGATGTCGTGCAGAAAGCTGGGGAAGTACCTGAAGCAGCAGCAGGGGCGCCTCTACATTATCAGGCGATGCGTCGTCATGCTCATCTGCTGGCGGGATTGACTGACTCAACTTCCCCTGTTTTTTTCTGATAACACGAGACGACGAGATTGAGATCGCAGTGTAGAGTGTAAATAACATTCTGAGAGGCAGAGTACTACTACTAGCTATGGATTAACTAAGCCACAACTTGTTTCTTCCTCAATTGTTGGTCTAAATTCTATCGGTATGTAGAAGCAATCATCATAATAATAAGCTTGCAATAGTCTATCACTATTCACTGGGCATATGCTCTAGAGTTATAAGTTGATTGTGGGTTCAAACATTGATTGTGGACTACAATATATATGAATGAATATGAGCATCAATCAATATCAATAGTGGGAGATTGGATTTTGGTCCTTTGCACACACAAAAAAAAAAAAAAACATTCTACAAATGTTATCACTCAATTTTGGTTGGATCCTGGTCTGTAACATTTTTCTTTTCATATTAGATTAAATACTGGTCGACCGTAATATAATTTATCTCACATTTGTTTTAGTGTTTTGAGTATGGTGTGTAACATTTTCATTTCCAAGCTGGATTAGGGTTAGCTGGTATGGAGAGTGTGCTATATATATATATATAAAATTCCAATCTGTGTAATTTGTATATATGGTCAAGCATAGCGAGGCTAGTCTCTTCTGCCCGTTCATTGGCTAACACGCATCGTGTTGGTGAATCACATAAGAATATGTGTGTTCTTTACTTTCTTCCATCGTCGTTTTCTCAATCCGTAACAACACACGCACAATCCCCCTTTCATATTTTCTTATTAGACAAAACCAGAGTACCCATAAAAATCGCCTAAGCTTTCTCTCTCTCTTTAACCCGAGTCTTCATAAATACACAGCAGGCGCAACAGCCCAACTAACGGAATAGATGATTCGGTATGAAATGACATATCGCAAATTATGTCATATAAATGACAATTTCACTAATAATTTGTATTTTTTCAGTGGTATTAGCCATTAATTAAACTATATATGTTACTACTTTTTTCAATTTAAACACAACATTGAGTATATGTTTTTTTTATGTAAAAATGTGTATGTACTATGCCTCATATTCATATATGACTCTTCTTCTCCTATTGTGTTCTGTAGAATGGAAATTTCACCTCCCTATTTGAAAATATTGACTTCATCTCTGCTTTGTGCTATGAATATGATCAATCTCGTTTTTAACAATCGATCATGACAAGAGTTTGTTACGTATCCAGAATGCGCAATTGTTTTTTTTTAATGAACGACTTCCTCGTAATAAACCAAGTACTCCATCGAGACGAACTTGTTAAACCATTGATGACTACATTGGAAAGTGGTACAGATGACAATAATATCATTGTTTTTTTTTTAACACAAAGTTGTCCACTTCAAATTGTTTTCTTGCTGAGGAAACAGAGGCAAGATCGTTTGTATCCAAGTTGTCTGCAGCAGGAGATGAGCTAAGGTTTGTGACCGGTGTCTCAATTGATTGAAAAACTACTCCTCCGATAATCCGATTACCTGTCTTTTTGTACCTACATCTGCCAATGTACGTACGAGAAAAATACGATTCGTATACGCCAACAGTTATGGGCTCGAATCAGCCCAATTGTCTGGGTGGGTTGTTATGCCAACGGATGCAAGATGGCGGCCCATACCCTGTATTTGGCACATTCAGGCCTACCGTTAACTTGCGTCTCTAGCGGTAGGTCAACGGATAGTTCTGAAATGTCTTCATTATTAGAGTGCGATTTTATGAGTTTGGTTCGGTTAGGACGGTTGCAAGTTGCAACCCTACCTACCTATATTAGTATAGATCCAACATAACAGTAACTAGTGATGGCAATGGGGAGGGTAACTCGATACTCATATTCGTTTCGTACCGAGCGCGAGTCAGGTAGACTCATTCTTATGTATTATTTAAAAAAAAAACGTATATTTTTGTAGTGATAGCACAAAAGAATCTTTAGTTCATAAATGAAAGTGAGAGATATCAGGTAGCCTAATTAGGTCCAATTAGTTGTAAGATCAATTTTGCACATCTAAAGTATAATTGGATGAAAATTTAAGTTAAAGATAGTCAAAAAATGGAATAAATATTGAGTCAAATCGAGGTAAGACGGGGGAGGAGTAGGCAGAAAGTAGTACCCATATCCACACACACTAGTACAAATCGAATACTAGATGTCACATCGCGAATCAAGATAGATAATACTCAACGGTGCGAGTTAAATTGTCATCACTAACACAAAGAAATCGCGCGCAACTCGGTGTAGTAAAAATTCGTACATGCAAGTGAGCTTCAAATCAATTAATCTATAATCTCAGTGGCCCATAATCGAACTAATTCATGATCCGACAGCCCATATCCCAATTGAATCCGCAAGCTCATCAGGCCCAAACCTGGAAAAATATTAACAAAAAAAAAGAAATTGGCTTGCCCAATAAGTAAGACGGGTCACTTAAAAAGTCGAAAGCTTGACCTGAATCAGCGAAAGTTTAATCTAATCGAGTACCGGGAAGAAAGTGAAGAACAACGAGCGAATCGCTGATAATGGAAGAAGCACCGAAGACGTTGGCTCACCAAATCGGAGGGATCCAGAACGACGCCCTTCGCTTCGGCCTCCATGGCGTTAAGAGCGACCTCGTCGGATCTCATCCTCTCGATGTTGCCCACCGATCGGTAACCATCTCGTCGCCTTCACTATATTTTTACCAGCTTTTCTTTCTCTGTTCGGTTCTCGCGAAAATTTGGCTGGAAAATATGCTCCGATGACTAAGAACTTCAATCTGCGTTAATAAGAATTGAAGCTAAGCATTTCGAGTTTCATTCTCTGTCTTACCCGGTTCTCAGAAGTAGACGATAATCTAGGGTTTTCCATGTATGGTGCCGAATCGTTTACGGACTTGATGGTTGGGTTTGTGTGCACGTTTTTTAGCTTGGACTTGTGATTTTTAGGGTTTATTTTGCTCTATTAATATATATACCGTGATTCTGGTTTTGATTTTCTTTTTTGTAAACTGGTGTGCAGACAATTAAGAATCAAGAAGACATGAAGAGAAAGGTCCTTGCAAACACTTACGGATCTGCCTTTCCTTTGAAGATGGACCTGGATAGGCAAATTCTTACTCGGTATGCTTGCTGTTTACCTTGTGCTAAAATCTCCTTTACTGATAGCTCAGTGGTAGACGATGGTCTTATTTCACGTAATTTAGTATTGTGATATCGTCAGCTATCGCAGCAATAGTTGTTCTTTTAATTTTGGCTGTGTGGAATATGGCTAGGTTGGCATCTGGTATGGAACATTAGGTAATCGATCAGGAAATTATGTGTCGTGCAGTAAACAAGCGATGCAAGGCGCCTCCTTCCCCCCCAAGACATCTATTAGTAGTATCTTCAGGTAGAAAGTAGGAGGAGGTAGAATTGTGATATCTGGAGAACGGTTTTCTTTGATTGAATTCTGCTACAATAGTATATAATCTGAAGTAAGTGATAGAATGCAGCTCATTTCTCATGAGAAAACATTACTTCAGTTAGTTGGAATAAATAATTAGAGGGCATAGATTAACGGGTTCTGGGGGTAGTTTATTAAGTAAGATTGTTGAGTTTGGCTCCTGGATTGTTCAGATAGGTAGGAGGCATTTGTTCCTGTTCCCTGACCTGATTAAGTATGAGATATTTGGAAGACGTGGGTGTAAAAAAATGATTTGTCAATCTTTCATATGCTTTCTTTCTTTTATCTTGGAACCTTCGAAACTCTTTTATGGAATGAGCATCTTCCATCACGGGTCATTTGGGTGTTGTTATTGAGTTCTTGTTGATCCTGATTGATAATTTCCGGAGTCTATGGATACTTGGCATAACATTATCTATGTTGGAGCTTGGGGTTCTGATAACTGATGCTTAAGCAAATTGAAATTGAATCAGAGGTGGTATGTTTTCCGGGTGGTTAACTTTGGCATGTGACAATTATGCATAGCCATTATTTCAGTCAAGGCGTATCTGACTGGATTAAAGGAATCTCTATCCTGTGATCTACAGAAAAAAAAGCATTTCGAATTTCAATCTCTGAACACTCTCTAGATCCGGCAGCATTGGTCAATCGCATGAATATTTATGATACGCATGAAATTAACTTATCGCTGTTTCAGATTAAATATATTACTGCCCATATTTCCTCCCCTCCTTCACTTCCCATTCCAACCTCTGTTCTTTTTCTTCTCATCTTATCTTGGAGTACCAGAGTAAGAAATACCATTAGTTGCTATGTGGTTTCCTGTTTTCTTGTCAGGAGTGGTAATGGTTCAGTAGGGGTTGATTTTCTTGTGCACTTCATATTTTTCTCATCAACAAAACGTCTGCAGATTTCAGAGGCCACCTGGACCTATTCCTTCTTCAATGCTTGGTTTGGAAGCCATGAATGGAAGCTTGGATGACTTTGGTTTTGAGGATTATCTGAATGGTAAAAGTCCTTTTGATGAACCTCTTTTCCTCTTGAAGAGTACTTCAACGCGCCTGCGCACATGCAGAGATATACGTAGATGTTTGCTAAACCCGTTACTTTCATCTGACGGTGTATGTCGGGGCTCTTGTTTGATGCAGATCCTCGCGAGTCTGAAGTTTATCGCCCTCAGGACATGCACCATGGAATGGAGGTTCGCCTGGGGATTTCTAAAGGACCAGTCTGCCCGAGTTTCGTGTAATTTCAAGCTGTGTTTGACCTTTTGTTAGGCAGTACTGGGAATGGGGCACGCAATCGTCGTCGAACAAACATGATGATTCAACCTTTCCTGTACTGTTGGGATCTGAATGTTTTAATAGACCTGGGAGATGTACAACACTCTTTGCTAGCGTTTATCAGACTATTGCATCATCATCTGAATTCTAAATGTGGGTTGGTTTATATGGCATGTCTCATAGATCCTTTTACGAATTTGCTTGGCTTGATTCACGTCGATCTCGATTGCTTGCATTCGCGACCTGAGTGCTGGATGCAGCAGCTACTACCAGGCGATCTTGACATCGAAAGATATTGTCTATGCTCGATCAATGCGCATAGAGACAAGGCGTCTGCAAATAGTTTTGTTCGTTATATATGATACTGGATATGATGCATATTGCATAATCGTTCTTTCATAGTCGAGAACGTTGCGTAGTGGTGTTCAAACGGTTTGGTTACCGTGGTAACCGTTTTAACCGGTACTATTTGGATAATTGGTTTGGTTTGGTTAAAGTTTTTAGCTTGTTTGGTTTAGGTGTTTGGTTTGGTTTCAGACACTTCTAACCAGTCAAACCAAATTAATCAGTTAAGTAATTAGTCATATGTCTAACATGTATTATATACACATACTTAATACTTTGCATAACCACTCAAGAGTTAACGTTCATCCCTTTTAGACTCATAAAATATAAAGCTCAATATTGCTCATATAGTGTATATTTGTATATATAAAGTGTAGACCACAACATATGGACGCCTAATGTAGATAAATTTCATACATTATGATGGATGAAAACCTGAAAGGAAGGTCATTTCCAGCCTATGATAATTGCTAAGAGACTAAAAGTCAATTTACACAAACACAACAATTTATTAACCCATACCATTGTCATAAATTTCTGTCAGGTGAATACTTCTATACTAATCGTAAGATAATTGTCTTAGTTGCATGTATTTTTGTTAAGGGTCAACTATAACTACGTGTTGATTGTTATGTTTTATTCATTATATAAATTGTGAATTGTTGCATTAACCGGAAAATTTTCATCGTCAATGATGATGTGATTTTATATTGGTTAATCTGGTTAACCAATTAACCAAATCGATGAAACTTTAGTTTGGTTAATTTGGTTGTTGTATTAGTTTGGACGGTTTGGTTATGATATTGTATTCCTTATTTAGTTTGGTTATAACCATGGTAACTATTTGAAGAACCCTAATGGTGAGTATGCCTTTTTTCCATTTTCGAGTAGAAATGGAAAAAGAAAGTTAAAAAAAAATAGTAAGAAAAAGGGAAAGGGAATTTGGGTGCTGCATGGCGCAGGATGAGACTGGTGTCTGTCACTGTCAGTCATCGTCTCTCCCGCTCCCTCCGAGGCAGGCGAAGAATTCCCATAACAACCTGAAGCAATCTGTAACCCTAATTCCCAAATTCATTTCCCTGCTACAACAATCCCCCGAAATTCAACCCCATTGGATGTTCGCCTACTGATTTCCCAAACCCTCCATGGATCCTCGCCGACCTCCGCGCACCGTCCCGGACCCCAAGGTCCGCCACGTCGGCTTCTTCGCTCCGGGAGCCGACGCCCCGCCACCGCCGGACCGCTCCAACTCCGCCCCACCCGATCCCCTCTCCTCTTCCCCTCCCGCCGCCGCCACCGCCAACCTCGCGCCTCCGGGCACCTCCATCTCCCCCGTCATGATTCCTCCTCCGCGCCATTCCGCCGCTCCTCTGTCTCCTCGCCGCCGCGACTCCTTCATCGTCGGGAGTTACAGCGGCAAGAGGTTCCTGGATGTCGGCTCTCCGACCGCATCCACCGCCTCGGCTACGGATGACTGGGCCTTGCCAACTTCTGCCGACTCTGCTTGGGTGGGAGATACCGTTGGCGCGGCCGCCAGTAGCTTGCCCCCTGTAGGCTCTGCCGCCATGATTGCGAAAAGCCTGGCCAGCAGTGTGCCGGCGACAGCCGGATTGACTGCCGTTTCTAATGTCCACCGTTCGGCTGGTGTTTCGGGTATGTTTCTTTCTTGAACTTCGATCGTTTCTTCTGCTCCTACTTTTCGAGTTTGCATTACGCGAAGCCCGTCGTTAACGTCGTTATTTGCGAGTTCAAGAGAGCAGCCTTACTGTAATGTACGGGCTACGGAAGCTATTTTTCTAATGCAACCCGTAACAACCAGAATCAAGCGAAAACGATGGTCGCATAATCTATTGACAAGCGTTTTGTTTCTTTTGAGTTTCTTGATACTTTTTGCTTTGGATTTTTCTGGTAGATGGGTTAGTTTTTCTTGGAGTTTCCTGGGTGATATCACGAGTTAGCTCGCACAGCAGCAGTTAATACGCCCATTTGCTTACCCGTTATTCATGGAATCGAGTTATGTTTCTCCTTTAGACCTTTAGAGAAACTGAGGTTAAGAGACTACTGTTCGTGTTTGCTAGAAATAGTCCCTTCCCCCTGTGAAAGAGGTATATACCCTGGTTTGTGGAATACCCGTATGACTGCTGTAGAGGTGTTGATGTTATAAGTCATGTTTCTGATTAAATGAAGCACCACTGCAGGGAAGCCTAGTGGAGCAGCAAGTAAAGTACAAGGTGACAAGCCTAAACAGTCAAAAACTTTGAAAGAGAAAACCACCAAAGCTGAAAGGCGCGCACTTCAAGAATCTCAGAGGGCTGCAAAAGCAGCAGCTAAAGGTACATTCAAGCTGTTGTGTGCATATGAAGATCTTGATCTTTCCTAGGTTGTTAGTTATTTATGGTTTTAATATATTCAATTAACGATCACCTCACGATAGCAGGCGTTGGTGGCAAGGCGTCGGTTCATATGTCCGAGGTTGTGCTTGCTTCAGATGTGGAGTCCGTTGAAGTACCGAAGGCTCATTTCCAGAGAAACGATATTGCTGCAGTTAGTGAGAAGAAGGTAATTGACCGCCAACTAGAAAAAGACAGGAAGAAAGACGTCCCTCAACCACGCATGCAGTATGATGACAAGAGTCGAGTCGAGAAGGCCAAAAAACGTGCTGTGCTAAAACAGACAGAGGCTAGGAACAGAGTTGAGTTGTTCAGACACTTGCCTCAATATGAGCGTGGGACACTACTTCCTGATCTGCAGTCGAGGTTTTTCCAACTTGATCCAGTGCACCCTGCTATCAGCAAGGTAGATGCAGTGAAGTTTATATTTTTACTCGCACATCCATTGCCTCTTGTTGTGTGGCTATGCATGTTGGAAAAAGTCTTATTGAGTGCTGGATTGGAAGCTTTTGCTTTGATTAGGTAGATTACAATGTTAGGTTAGTGCCAATATATTCTACTCATGCCCTGTTTATTTGTCTTGTTATGCATCCCTAGGTTTAAGTAAAAACTGAGATGTGTTTCTGCCTGGATTTCTTTGGTGTTTCCAGGTTGGATTCCAGTATTTGTCAGGAGATATAAGTGGCAGCAATGCACGCTGCATTGCAATGCTTCAAGCAATCCGGGAGGCCATTATAGACTACTCTGTACCACCTGGGAAAGCTCTTGTTAGAGACTTAACATCTAAAATCGGTAGCTATGTTTCATTTCTTATCGAGTGCCGGCCCCTCTCAATCAGCATGGGGAACGCCATTAGATATCTAAAGAATCGAATTGCCAAGTTGCCCTTAACCTTGTCTGAATCAGAAGCAAAAGCAACTGTGGTGGCTGATATTGACCGGTTCATACATGACAAGATCATTCTGGCAGATAAGATGATAGTAAAGCATGCAGTAACCAAGATCAGGGATGGTGATGTTCTCCTCACGTATGGATCATCCTCTGTAGTTGAAATGATACTGTTACATGCACATGAGCTTGGGAAGCAGTTCAGAGTTGTAGTAGTCGACTCTCGACCCAAACTTGAAGGTCAGTTGTTGCTTCGGAAGTTGGTAGGAAAAGGCCTCAGCTGTACATATACTCATATAAATGCGATCTCATATATCATGCATGAAGTGAGTCGAGTTTTCTTGGGAGCATCTTCAGTACTTTCCAATGGAACAGTGTATTCGAGAGTTGGAACTGCATGTGTTGCCATGGTTGCCCATACTTTTCATGTGCCAGTAATGGTCTGTTGTGAAACATACAAGTTCCACGAGAGGGTCCAGCTTGATTCAATATGCTCGAATGAGCTCGGTAAGCTTCTTCCTCCCCCCTGTTTGTGATTTAATAGTATCTGTTTGCCGTTGCTCCTCGTTTTATAGTTGCTGCCCTGTGCTTGCAGGTGATCCTGATGTCATTTGCAAAGTTCGTGGTAGGGATGAGATTAACTTTTTGGATGGTTGGACCAATGGAAACAATCTGCAGCTCCTGAATCTGATGTAGGTTCCGACTAAGCATATGATTGTTTGTTGATAGTACAGTTAGTCAGTATCCTCAACTAACAGCTCATATGGGTTGGTGGGTTGATTTTTTGCAGCTATGATGCAACGCCTTCTGACTATGTTTCAATGATAATCACCGACTATGGCATGGTATATACGCCGATTGGAGCTTATGATTTTCTGTTATTTCGGCGTGTACAATACTAACTTACTACCACTCATGTGTTTGCAGGTTCCACCAACCAGTGTACCAGTTATTGTCCGGGAATATCGGAAAGAACAACTGTGGATATAGCTGACTCTCTGTGGGATCGCTATCAGGGAGGGTTCTCACACATTTTTCTCAGGGAGGCTACTGAATATCCATGTTCTGCAAGGGAAGCGTGGATGATAACACCAGTAAACTTTTCACAAAATTTTGATCTCTTTCACCTCAGTAATTTGGTCTCCCTTATCCTTTTGGTGTCGTTGTGGACGAATCCGTAAGAAATGGTATTATGAGTTTTCTGGGGTTCTAGTATAATCAACTGACTCAGTGAAGAGTGTATCTTTGCCTCTCCGAGCAGATCTTGCCATTCAACATTTCCGTTGTATCGTGTATCCCAAACACAGTTCATTCGGCTCACAAATCGGAACTGCATTCTGGGAAGTTTTGATTTTCTGTGGAGCTATTCGATCTGTTCGCAATTTTGTAAAGCGACTCGCTAGTTCAGCCTCTCTTCCTAATTGATCTGTAACCGGAATGATTCAATGTACACTCGTAATCCACTATGAAATGTAACAGTCGTTCGTTCTTGCTTCTTATATCTCCGAACCGGTACAGCAAAGTTTAGACAAATTCAGACACGGGAAAGGAGCAAACAGAGAGAGACAATTAACAGTAAGTAGCCAAACTTGATCAATGAATTACATTCATAAAAGAACCATAAAAGGTGCAAGTGCGAAAGTCTGCACATCCTTAAATAGCATTTCGGTGTAAGCCCGAGTGAGTTAACCTCACTTTCCCAGCATTCACACAGCTATCAAATGCAGAATGGTGCTAGAGGCTCCTGTAGTGAAGCCCGGTATGTTATGTGCAGTAGGCGAGCCTCGATCTACAGGACGATTCAAGGTGTGGTTCCTAATCAGTGGCGTTCCTGGGCATTTCTGCTTTGCCGTGAAGAGGACTTATCGTCGCCAGAACAACAAAGCCACCAAGAATGACGATCAAGACTCCCAATGAGTTCACCATCAGAGCTTCAGTTGAATAACGTGATATCACGTTGTTCACTTGAAGGAACGTGGCTTTCTCCAAGAGACCAGTTGTAGCTGTAACAATAGCAAGCGCATATATAAAGACTCCGAAAAAGACATGCCATGGCATCAAAGTCGCTCTGCTGGTTCTCGAACCACCTGGATACCAAAAGGTCACAAACCCAGCTGCCCACTGCATCAAAACACAAGAAAATCATTTCCTGCTAATTGAGTTGGGACCCATGAAAGCACATGATGGTGCGTTGTAACTTCAGAACAGGAAAGGACTGATGGAAGACAGACCTGAACGATGAAGAGGAAAACACATGCAAGACCTAACCACGAGTGGAGACTGTAGAAGTTGTCAATGCCCTTATCGTTGTGGAACTTCAGTGCTGCCCACACACCGATCAAGCTCAGAAAGAGGGCGAGAAACTGCACCGCGAGATGCACGAGTTTCTTGAAGTTTTTTGTTCCTGGGACTGTCTTGTAGGCCAACATGGCTGCAGCAATCCATACAACAATATTGAACATTGAGTTTCATAAACTACCCCGATCTGGGACCTACAAGGACTAAGCTTTCCATATAAGAAATGTGTCCATCAATGAGTTAACATAAATGCTATAGACATGCCTAGAAGCAAGCATTGTTTCCAGTCTGAGGAAGCAGAGAACTCAATGTTGAAATCCCTGGAAAGATGGACTTTCAGGTCGTCCAGCGCAACTCCTATTCAAGATGTTCTACTTCTTACTCTTGTAACACAACAGGAAAAACAAAGCATTGACCTCACAGAACACTCCAACTATAACGGAAACATAAAATGGAGAAACAAGGCTAAATGAAGAATCAGCGGAACATCCGACATATGATCAGCAACTCAGAAGGAACGTTGGCTACCTGAACATACCATCAACAACATACAAATCGGACCGGATGATCGAACAACGACAAAAGCATTATCGTTTCAAACTCTAGAGGCACTCAAGTTCAAAGGGCAACAAAAAGTCAACCAAATTCACCAGCAGAAACAAAAGAAATGCATATTAACGAGAACCCATTTACCTTCACCATTCATGAGTAGTAGCCCGATCACCATAAGAACTGGATGAACCTGCAATGGACAGCACCAGCAAAACCCAAGAAACAGTGAGAGATGAAGCATAATTACAGGTGGTGGGAAAAAGCAGAATTGGTGTTCACTGTTCAGTTATCTTCCTCACATTGAAGATGAGATCTTTGTTGTCGGAGACGAGAGCCAATCCTCCCCTGTAATGTACCGTCCACGTCAGAACCAAGCCGGCGACGATCGCCCCAAGCAGCCGGACCACGATGAAGATGGGGAACCTGGCCACAGGAACCGCCGCCATTTCTCTTTAACTGTGTTGCAAACGAGAGAAACCCGGCGTTTTGCCGAATGCGAAGACTTAGGATTGGTGTCGTTTTATTAGGGTTTTTGAGATAGAAGAAGTAATTGGGGGTGATTTTGGATCTGGTGCCTGCCTTTCTCCTCTCTCTTGTTCTTCCGCAGAGAAATTGGAAGCAAGGAACGTTCCCAGTTCAGTTGGCCACGTTACCGGAGAAAGCCCCACGTCAGGCGATACCTTACGCCGCGGATTTCACAAGTCACTAAAGAATTCCCCTTCCATTAGAAGCTTCATAGCCATCGAGGTACTAAGCCTGACAATAAGGATGGCAATTGATGAATTGAACAAGTTACGGTTTGGGTTTGGATGATGGGAGAAATTATTTGTAATTATGTTTATGGACTTATGGATACTCATGCATTCATGAATATACATTGAGTTCGATTGTGTTTGGAGTAATTCAATCGATTTGACATTGTATCGGGGATCATTCATGATAAGTTCTTTTGTTGCTGCTTTTATCAATCCTCGAACCACAGTGGCGAGTACAACGGTCTGGTAGATCACAACTAGCCTTCTCGCCACAATGTCAACAAAGGATCAATCATGATACGAGCACGAAACCGGTGCGGGTAGTTATCAAAATCACACAGTCTAAAACATGAATTAAAACTAGGGATAATGCAGAATTGAGGTGCAATCTCACATGTGGGAGATGGCTCTATCAATGTAGGGTAGAAGGTTGACCACAATCAAGGGGGAATGCTTGATTGACACAAATACACACTCAAAGCGATTGGAGTCCACCAAGGACGAGAGCAAATTTCACAAGGCAAAAGCTCAATGAACAAAATGGGTTTTCAATTAATCAAAGTCTGGCCTAAAAATTCGTGTTTATGCCTTTATATAGGCTAAGGAAACAAAAAATAAACAAAAACCCGCAAAGAAAAAGAATCCTAATTAAAAAAGGTAAATTCACTCGTCAGCTCCGATCCCCTATCACGACCTTCGGATCCCCGATCGGGGATTGAGAATCACTTGACAGATGCTCCTGATCCTCGGTCGGGAATTTAATCCCTCCCGGCCTCCGGGGACTTCTGTCTTCAACTTCCCTGGTCGGCCGTGCTTATCCCTGGTGGGGGAATTGGTCTTCATGGCCGAGGATTTTGCCTACTTTGGGCCTTCTTGCGTCCACGAGGTGCATCCTTCCTCCTGCTTCAAGTAGAGTGATTTTGGGTCACTCTGGAGGCTCGCATCAAGCCATTATAAGACCTTTGAAGTAAAGTTCGTGGATGTCAAATTGTCAATGGACAATGGGTAGAGATGAATAGTCAATATTCATTAACTCATTTTCGTTAGTTCGAATTTTATTCATATTTGGATGAGATTTGAATGAGAAATAAAAAATGAACACATACTTGATCGAGTTCAGATATTCATAAATGTTAACGAATAGTAATTTTGTTTTTGTTGTTTCAACTCATGTATTAACAATTTACTAGTATGTTTACATTACACAACTGAAAGAGTACATCAACAAATCACAATATTAAGACAAATTTTTAGAAAAAATTCAAACTAGCACTCCTTAATATCTTCTTTCTCCGCGTTCACAAGAGCATTTCGTTTAGGGATGACAATTTCGACCTGAACCTTTTTACCCGGTCTGTTTGGCCTGTTTTGGGGCGGGGCGAGGCGGGCATGGGTACTCTCATCGACCCGACCTGCCCTGACCAGCCCCATTCTCAACCCGTTCTTGCCTAAATTACATGTCAAATTACTTATGATTTTTATTTTACTACATCATAATTTAACTATAATAAAGTTATAAATTAGTGAAAATCTCAATTTCTCTAATAATTTAACTACATTTATCAAAATATTATTTGTTTTCTTGGTCTTATAATAAAAATAACGAATATTTATAATATTTTTTTATATAAATTGCATACCCAATGGGTCGACCGTCGACCTGCCCCGACCTACGACCCGTGATAAATTACCCGAGCTGAACCCCGACCTGCTATAGGACGGGTCTGCGTACCAAGAAACCAGGCCCGAACCTGGCCTATTGCCATTCCTAATTTCGTTGGCTGCTCCCTTCAACATAAAACTCCAGTTTGTGATTGTGAAACCCTCTTAACTGACAAGGATTGTTCTTGTCCACCATTGGGACCACACTAGTGATTGTCCATTTCCAAGTATTATCCATAAATCTTGCTCACAATGCTACACTCAATTGGCAACCCGCCTTACCTGTCTTTGAATTATTTCGTCTTGAATTCTGACCTTTCTCCTATTCCATTCCATGAATCCAATTTTCATTTCATCCAGGAAAAGTCATCTTTTTCTCAACAATGCCTTTGTCATTTGATCCAATAGCGTTCCGTTTGATAGGAACAAATTTGATAAATATTGATAACTCTCGGATAGAGTCTTCGAGCGGAAACATCGATTAGATAATGAACTATTGGTTCTAAGCTATCAGATTTGAGAAATATGTTTTGTGCTTGTAGCCAATGTAGTTAAAATCTCGATTTTAATCTTAAAATACTACGATTTTATGATCTTGCATATGCGTCTCGATCCTAATTTTACTACTAAATTTTTGAACGTTAAAATTCCAATTAAAAAATGTAAAATCCTTAACATTTATAAATGATTTTGTACGATTTTAAGGTTAAACTCAATTGAGCCAACATTAGGCCGGACAAGTCAAGTTTTGTGCACGAACCAGGTCAAGTTCGCGTACCTCAACCCAACATCACGGACAACACAATCATAACCCGCCTTTCTACTTTGATTAGGGAGCGTTATACCATGAACAAAAAACAATATGATCTCATAAGTATTGGAAGCATTGATTCTACTATTACTAGTGATTGGTTGAATGGTTGTTAGTAGAAGAAGAAGATTCATCTTCCAAAGGACAAGGACAAGGAATTGGATGTTGGCTAGCTAGATCGAGCATTAATAGATTGAAGGTTTGTGCGTGAATAAATTACGCATGATGTTATCAAGAACCAGTTGGTCCCAATAACTCGAGTTGTTGGGAGAGGTTCAATCGTGGATTATATACCATTTCTAACACACCCCCTCAAACGAAAGCCACCATATATGGGCTTGAAGTTTGCACATGCATCAGACACCATATGCTTAACAAAAACAAATGGGGGTCACCGGGATTCAAACAGAAGACCTCTCAGTCATAGAAGGGTCTGATACCATGTCAAGAACTAGTTGGTCCCAATAAGTCGAGTTGTTGTGAGAGGTTCACTCGTGGATCATATACCATTTTCTAACAGATGTGTATTCTAATTACTAATAATTGATAATAATTCTTACTTGTTTTCTCTTGTATTGTAGTTGGTGGTGAAGAAGATGAAGAGGAGAGTTCTAGAATGCAAACTTTTCTACATTTGATGTTGTTTGAAGATATAGATTTGATTACAAGTTTAGAATCACAGTAGTAGTTTCTAGTTTGAGTTTTGTAGTTTGTGAACGTTGTTGTTTTGCAATTGTTTCTAAACATGCACCTAGATGATTATATGGTTGATTAGATATTATGTTAACCTACCACTTCCACTTGTTATCCGGTACATTCTAGAACGATACCCTAATTCAGTCGGTACGATTTTTTTTTACAAACAATTTCATTCCAAAGAAAGTATCTTACTGGTACGAAAAGGTTGAACCACGATCGTCACAAAAATACCCACCTTGCAATGAGTCGCATACAACTTCCGGTGCGATTTCACGTCCAGCCGTAAAGTAACTTGTTGAAGGAGCTGTGATTACTTAGCAGGGAGGCAATGTGGTGAGAGGAGGCGGGAAAAGGAATATGCCGTTTTTGCCCTTATTGGTCTTACGAGTAAGATAAGCATCTGCTGACTTGTCCCCCATGTGCCCTTAGAACTTTCATAATTGCTCTTGCCAACTATTCCCAGCCAGCCACTTCACATATATGTATTCTTTTATTATTTAATTAATTACATCCCAGATCAAATGCATTTAGATGGTAGATCAAAGTGCTTAACATTGAGATTAACCAACCTTTTTGGCTCTTCCCTTTTAACTTTAATCTTTATGCTTACTTTTTTAATAAACAAAGAACTGATTACCGTGACAATTGTGCTTTTTTTGTTCTTCAAGGGGCATTTCCGTCCAGCCCAGAAAAGAGCCGCCTAAAATCTCACGTTCCAGACAAACAAATCCATCTTTTTGCCGAATTTCCCATACCACCCTTCTGTAATGTAACGCACGACGCCGGCGCACGGCTCGAAGTGCGGGGGCAAAACGGTAATCAAACACCAGAGCTTCGGACCGTTCGCTTGTGGGGCCGACCAATAAAGGCATATTTTTAGATAAACCGGAAAAATAAAACAAAAAGAAAAAAAAATGACCACCCACAAAACAAGAGGAAGAGCGAGAAAGAAAGCAAGAAAGAGCGAGAGAAAGTTCGTTTGGAGACGTTACCGGACTCCAAACTCCACACTACGGCGGAATTTGGGAACTCGGTTCACGTCCGGTCAAGGGTTTCCTCCTCCTCCTTCTCCCTCGCCGGCGGCTCAGCAGTAAGCATACGTCACTCGCAGGCCTTCACCGGACTGAATTGGTTCTCCTTGCCGGCGGAAAGTTGAAGAGGAGAATAGGTTTGTGGCTTTCAATTTCTGCCGGCTGTGCAACGAAATTCAGTTGACTTACACGGCCGAAACTGTGGATGTGAGATTTCGTCATGTCCTCGTCTACACCGCAGAGGAAGGCCTGGTCCGTTTGGTCGCTCACTCCGCGGAGGGAGGCGCAGAAATCTGCCGGCGGGATTTTGCATCAGGCTCCCGATTCCAATGGCACGCCTGCTTCGAATCCAGGAGACGGGAGCCGTTTGAAAGGGAAGGGGCTGCTTTTTGACGAAGCTGCTTCTCCCAATGGCTTGGGCCGTGCTTTGGATACTCAAGATTTGGCTGCCAAGATTTCCAGGCTCGAGAATGAGGTTGGCGCTGCTTTCTACCTTTCTCCGCAGAATCTTTGTTCTCTCCCTTGTTTTTTTTATTCTTTCGGCTTCCTCATCTTTTAGCAGGTTTTGGTATTCATGGCGATGGTCAGGTTTTTTTTCTTTCTTTAGTGGGCCCTGGTTGGATCTTAATGTATAACAGTTATCTTGATTTGCTTATATAGATGAGTTCAATTGGGAAGGCGAATGCAGTTTTCATGATGTATAACAGAATCCTTACCTGAAAAGGAACTGTAGAATACTGTAGAAACACAACCCGTATGCGTAGTTGAAGTGTTGCTGGAATGTAGCCTCATAGTATCTAGGTTAATGAATTTGATATTTGGTGGTGAAGGTTAATTGATCACTTCCATACTTGTATTCTTGATGAATTGTCATGCTTTCCCATTTGTTGTTTTCAGTTGTACCATACGTATGGATTCAGCATCTTTTGCTTATTGGGTTGATGTATAGTTGAAGTAGCGATTTGAAAGATGGGGGTCTCACTTTGTTTACCATGTTGTTTTCCCAATAGCCTTGCTTTATCTTGCTTCAAGGATTCAATACATGATGGTCAAATGGTAGTTCACTCCTATATTGCTGTTCTTATGTTCATGATGTATTTTCAGTAACCATGGTCTCTTCCATTACATCACTTGTAAATTTTAATGGCTAGGTGTGGCTAGATAACTGCATATTTCAGCTCCATTATATTGCCAATATGACTTCAAGTCTACGACCTGTCGGCTCTGCTGACAGCATTTGGGTTTTAGTCTGTTTTCTTATTAGTTTGCTGTCATCATTCCTCACTTGGTTGTGCTTTCATTTAATTTTAGACAAAGTGATCTCTGTTACTTGATCTTCATATGGTGTCATCTCCTTTTACTTTCGTTTCTTGTGTTGTGTTTATGTTTTATTGTTTATTCTTGTCATCTCTTTTTCAGTTATTTGAATATAGTATGGAGCTTCTTTTAGTTGAAAAGAAGGATTGGAATGCTAAAGCGGACCAACTCAAGCAAGCATTGGCTGATGTGAAGGATGCACTGAACCGGGAGCAAGCAACACACATGGTTTCAGTGTCTGATGCTGAGAAGCGAGAAGAGAATTTGAGGAAGGCGTTGGGGGTTGAAAAACAGTGTGTACTTGACGTAAGTATGGTTTTCATTGAGTCACATTGATATTGAACTTCTGTACGATCTGTTTTTTGAAGCTTGAAGATATATGTGTTAAAAGACTAGGTAGCTAATTGGTCACGTGCTCGGTGGGTTTGTGATCGTGAAACAAGAAATATTAAGGTTGGCTTTCAGGTTCGAAAGAAAAGCAACACATAATGAATATAGGTAGATTGAATCTTAAAGAAAGCATGCCAATTAGCATCTTATTTGTGCAAGTAATCAATTTTTGCTATCTGTTGATCTGGGGGCAGTGCCGGCAAAAAGTTTGATGTTAGCATTAGTAACATTGTAATTTGCTAAAAACACTAGTAACATGGTGAATTCTTGTTTTCCAGCTGGAGAAGTCTGTGCAGGAGATGCGATATGAAAATGCTGAAATTAAGTTCACTGCTGATTCAAAGTTGGCTGAAGCCAATGCATTGATGAGTAGTGTTGAAGAAAGATCTCTTGAGGTTGAGGCAAAGCTGCGGTCAGTTGACGCTAGGCTGGCAGAAGTGAACAGAAAGAGTTCAGAGCTGGAGAGGAAATCACAAGAGGTTGAGACCCGAGAAAGTGCAGTACGAAGGGATCGTTTATCCTTGATTGCAGAGTAAGAACTTCTATTAGAGATGTGAAGTTCAAACTTGTTTGCACCATGTTGCAGTTTAAGTCATTGTGTTGATCCCTTTTTCCTTTGTCTCAGGAAAGAATCACACGAAGAAGCTCTATCTAAGCAAAGAGAGGACTTGCGAGAATGGGAGAGAAAATTACAAGAGGATGAAGAGAGGCTATCAAAGGGTCTGAGAATCGTCAATCAAAGAGAAGAAAGGGCAAATGAGAATGATAGAGTCTCCAAGCAAAAGGAGAAGGACTTTGAGGAGGCACAAAAGAAGTTAGATGAAGCAAATTCAGATTTGAAAAGGAAAGAAGATGACATAACTAGTCGCCTTGCTAATCTGAATTTTAGGGAAAAGGTGTGTGTTACTCATCTTAGTTTGTGGATTCTCCTTTCCTTGCATACACTCACTGATAAATATCTCTCGGGTACATGCAGGAGTTTGATGCTACTAAAAATAGGTTGCAATTGAAAGAGGAGGAGTTACGTGCCCTTGAAGAGAAGTTGAACGAGAGAGAGAAAGTGAGTCCTTCACACTTTTATATAGGATGTGTATATGATGCTTTAAGTTATTTATCTTCACTTGCCCTACTAGTTTACTTCCGTCTTTCTATGATAGATAATGTGCTTCTTCGAAGTCCTTTTTTTTTATGGGTTATATATTCCTTTTTTCAATTTTCCATTGCGTGTAAATGCAATAGAAATCATATTCGTCGAAGTTCTCCTTGCATTCAGCAATTGATGTATATCTGGGCAATGTCATCATGAAATTCTTGGACGTGGGTGGATAAAGCATGCACTCTGCTATAATCTCATAGAGAAAGTAGAGGGCCTGAAATTGCTTTTGTAATTTTTAACTGTATGCTTTCTGCTTTCTTTGCCCTCTGAATTCTATGAATAATGGTGTTCTATTGATGATGTAGATTTTACTAAATATATTGGTGCATGATTCTCTTAAATGGCTCTGGATTAGCTTTTCTTATCATGCATTTGTGACTTTCGTCTGTTAGCTGGAGATTCAGAAGCTGCATGAGGAACATCAAGCTATTCTGGATGCCAAAAGTTCCGAATTCGAGCTGGAAGCGGAGCAAAGGAGGAAGTCCTTGGATGAGGAGTTGAAGAGCAAGGTAGTTGAGTTGGAGAGAAAGGAAGCTGAAGTCCAGCATTGGGAGGCTAAAGTTGCCAAAAGGGAGCAGGCTTTGGAAAAGAGACTGGAGAAGATAAAAGAGAAAGAAAAGGAATTTGAATCCAAATCAAAATCTCTCAAGGAAAGGGAGAAGACCATCAAATCTGAGGAGAAGAACTTGATGATAGAGAAAAAACAACTGCATTCTGATGAGGAAGAACTTAAAAACCTGAAAGCTGAGCTTGAGAATTTAACGGCTGCTAATGAGCAGCAGCTCCTGAAGATTCATGAAGAGAAAGAGCAACTCCAGATAAGTCAAGATGAGAGGTTTGAGTTTGTTCGTCTGCAATCTGAACTTAAAGAGGAAACAGAAAAGTGCAGATTTAGGGAAGAGGTGCTTTTGAAGGAGGCTGAAGATTTAAAGCAGCTGAAGGAGAACTTTGAGAGGGAGTGGCTGGAATTGGATGGTAAGAAGGCTGAGATTGAAAGAGAGCTTAAAATCATTGGCGAGCAGAAAGAAAAGTTTGAGAAGCAAAGGCAATTGGAGGAGGAAAAGATTAAGCACGAGAGACAGGCTACAGAAGATTACATCAAAAGGGAGTTTGAAACTCTTGAATTAGCGAAAGAGTCATTTAAGGCCAAGATGGAGCAGGAACAGTCAATTATGTCAGAGAAAGCGCAGAGCGACAGAAACATAATGCTGAATGAGATTGAGCTACTGAAGAGTGAAACTGAGAACAGCTTGCAGAAGAAGCAGGAAGAAACGAACAGACATCTGCAGGAGAAGGAGAGATTGTTTGAGGAGGAGAAACAGAGAGAAATGGAAAATCTCAATTACTTGAAAGATGTGGTTAGAAGAGAGATGGATGAACTGAAGATGGAGAGATCAAGAATAGAAAAGGACAGGCTAGAGCTTGCTGAAAACAAGAAGCATCTGGAGGAGCAACAACATGAAATACGAGAAGATATAGATAGACTTGGGGATATTAGCAGGAAGCTCAAGGAACACAGGGAAGTATTTGTTAAAGAGAAAGAGCGCTTCATCGCCTTTGTCGAGCAGCACAAGGACTGTAAAAACTGTGGTGAAGTGACATCCCAGTTTGTTCTTTCCGACTTAATCGCTTCCCAAGAAATTGAGAATGCCAATATCTTGTCTGCTTCAAAACTGGCAGCGTCAGGAGCTGGAAATTGTAAAAACTCAGAAGCCTCTGAAAGAAGAGAGGCTGAGAAATCTCACATGGTGCCCAGAAGCTACACAGTATCTCCAGCTTCTTGGCTCCAGAAGTGCACAACTAAAATATTCAACTTCTCCCCACTCAAACGGATAGAGCTTGTAAGAGACTTGGCTGATGTAGCAGAACCATCAAACAGAGTGGATATCTTTGAAGATGAGCAAGAAATATCTTTGGCTTATGGAAATGACTCACTTGGCGACCAGAGGGCACAGTATGATGGTACTGGAGAGGCTACTGCAGCAATGCAAGATCTGTCAGCAGATGGCCAAAGCGATGTTAACAGCATGTCATTGCAGCCTCCTCAAGAGATCTCGGAGTCTTCGGGTCTGAAGCGTGGACAGGGTCCCAATAAAAGAAGAGTGAATGTCCGCAGAACACGCGCTGTCAAAGCTGTTGCACAAGATGCCAAAGCAGTTATTGGAGAGGCCTTGGAATCAAATTTGGTCGCCGAAGACTCTGATATTTTGGCATCTGAAAGCCATCAGGAATCTAGCCATGCTGATAAGGGAACTCAAAGAAAGGGGAAAAAGAGGGGCCGAGGACAAGCTTCTCAGACCACAACAATTGAACGTGATGGCAATGAGAGTGAGGGGCATTCTGGTAGCACTGCGGCTGGAAAACGCAGGAAGCGTCAGCAGAAATCGAGTACCGTGCAAGCTCCAGGGGAAGCTAGATATAATCTCAGACGATCAAAACTGTAAGTTCCTCATCTTATCATCAGATTTAAATCGCGATGTCATTCGCCTAAAACATGAGCGTTTTTCGTTAAGGCGTAGTCATTGGCTACTGCCTTCAGCTGTTACCTATGCTGCATAAATGATTATAACAGAAAAGGCTGATTGGTCTTTAGCCTTGCTGTTTCATTATATCTAACTAATAGCTGCCATGCTAAATTGTTCTCAGCAGGGCAGCTGTTGTAGATGCCAAAACTTCTTCTGACCTCAAAGATAATAACAAGAAAGAGGATGACGGTGTAATTAGTTCCAATGATGGAGATATGTTGAGAAGTCATGCAGATATGCCAGCAGGAGGTGACGGTGAAAATGGGACAACCAGACACTCTGCTGTGCCAGTACCAGTATGTCTTCTTAATTGTAGCTTGCTTTTTCTTTGACTAGAAGAGGAAGCACTTAAAGCTAATGATTTTTGCTGTTTTCTTTTATGTTGTCAGGCTGAGGAAGTTGCAGAAGAACACAATGAGAGGCAGGGCAATCCAGATGTAAATGTGGCGATGAGCGAGGAGGTAAACGGGACCGCGGAAATGGAGATGGAACAAGGGTATGCAACTGAATCCCGTAGAGAAAGTGAAGATCGGGACGAGAAGGAAGACGACTGCGACGACGAAGAAGAGTCGCTTCATCCTGGCGAAGCCTCCATAGGGAAGAAACTGTGGACTTTCTTGACGACGTGATATGACCGTAGCCAAAGCAGAGCAGGTTGAAGGACGTCTTTGATTGTTTGTCCTAGTATATAGTTAGGACTCCCTTTCTTTTCTTTTCTTTTCTTCTTCTGGGTTTGTGGCGTGTAAGTTAAAAGGTGTAGACAAATTAGCGTTCAGGTAAATCAGGGCGTAAAAAAAGGGATATGTGTTTTGTTTCATCCCTTGTTTGTTTGTTTGATTGACTACCACTTAGGGGATATTGAATTTCGGAGCTGTTGTGTATTGAAAACTGATCGACACGGGAACAATAGGAGTCAATCATCTGATCTTTGGATGGATCAGATTCAGTTCATATTCAAGACTGCACTATGGTCTGTTGATGTCTCCTAATTGATTCGATTGTTGTACCAGATTGTGGTTTTCGCTTCAACATTCTCTTGATCGATTTGCTTGAACTCACCTATGCTGTAGAAAGGAAGGAAATAATTTGGTATTTGGTCTGTTACCAATACCGAATCAAAATATATGAAATTGAGATATCAAAATTATTTAAAAATAAAATAAAATTAATTTTATGACTGTAATTCTATATTTGATATTGTGGATCGTGATATAATGATGGCAATTTCAACCCGTTAAAACACCAGAAACGGGGACTACCCGAGCTAATGATAGAGGCAAGAACACTTTCCGGCCAAGTCCCATTAATTGATCATAACGATATCGTGGAAATGCTGCACGGACCCATATATATAGAAAGAGAAAGAGAATCACCTTGATACTAAACCAGATCGAGCCCGGGATCTTCTTGAAAATGGGAAGACCTGACCCGCGATGGAGAGGGTATTACCCGACCCGCAGTAGCATGGGACAGGGCATGGGTATCTACTTCCGACCCACCCTGTCCCGCCCCGTTCTAGACTCATTTTATCTCAATTTCTTACAATATCTATACATATTTATCTTATTTTGATTTTTCTTCAACTCGTTAGAGTCGATCTTTCAACTTGTTAGGCTCAATTATCTATTCTATTATCAATATTTTTTATTCTTAAAGTGTTTTTCCCTACTTTTTATTGTAAAAAGTAACATTTACTTATATTTTTTTAACAATATGTGAGAGTGGGTCGACCCGCCCCGCCTCACACCCTCAGGGGTTTTACCCGCTCCCACCCATAGTAGCGTGGGATGGGGCATGGGAATTGATGTACCCGCCCCGCCCCGCCCCGCCCATTGCCATCACTATCGTGATACCATATCTGACCGAGTTCCACTATACGACGGTATTCTTTTAACCGGTTTGACGGAACGCAAGCCCACAATTCTCGGATTTGGAAAAATCGGTTGAAGTCCGCTGTTAATAGGTTTCGAATCTTTATTCGGTGACGGCCAACGCCATACCTGAATCAGGGTCTCCACTGAGTAATTCCCCCCGGCGGTCGGAAGCATCAACCCTCCCCGCACCGCCATTTTGCGCCCAAGGATTTTGTCCTCCGTCTCTGCTCCCACATTGAATTCTCAAGCTACTTGCTTCCTTTCCCTTTGGCTCCTTTTCCGGAAAGGGTTTCGCTGTGTTTACGAATTTGATTCCAGGGGCCGTCAATTTGGTTCCTCTTTGGTAATTGAGGGGAAGGAACTGTGGGTAGATTTACTATGTCTACGCCGCAGAAGAGGTTTTGGTCGGAGGCGCACAAACCTGGGCGTGTTTTCCAGCCGACTTCCAATTCTATCGGCAGGGTTGCCCCAAGAATCGGAGATGGGAGTCTCCTGAGAGGGAAAAGCCTCGCAGTTACCGAAGGAATGACACCCAATGGGGTTGGCTATGATTTGGACAGTGAGGAATTGCCGAGCAAGATTGAGAGGCTTGAGGACGAGGTTTGCTGTTTCTTGCTACCCTTTTCTTGCTTAAAGTCTACATCTTGCTCTTTAATCTGTGTTTACTACTGCGTGATGCTCTGCGCGGTCAAATCTTGGTTCCTGCTTTGAAACTTGCTGATCTTGCCACTTGTTTTTTGGAGTAGCTTTTGGAGCTTGTTAGATTTGTATGGTTAACCAGTAAAATAGGTAGAGGTTGTATAGACACGGAAGAAGCTGGCATAGTGGTACAGAATATGACTCTCTGATAGAGACGAATTTAATTTGGAAGATATTGCAGGCATGGCTCTGACAGCTTAAAAAGCTTCGCTTTTGTATAATTTCGACTGTTGATCCTAAGACTTTGATTTTTTTATTTTTATTTAACTGTAGTTACTGTTTCATTTAATGATAACCATATATCATCTCCTTATTACACTCTACTGGTAGAATTATGTTTCACCACTGAGTGGCTTGAACCACAAGTTGAAGTTATCAGGTCAAATATATCAGGGAATACGTTGAAAAACCTTTTCTGGCTATCTTGGCGGGCTGTTTCTTTAGAAAGATTTGGCCAGTTTTGCTGTCTTCATTCCTTATTTAGCCGTGCTCTTGTGCTACATTCCTACCCGGCTGTTTGCGAGATCGTTCATGATTCCTTATTATTTTGAATTTGGTTATCATGTGTGATAGTTGTGTTCAGGGTGTTATGCTGTATTGCTAATGTTTTTTTTTTTTTTTACCGATTTATATTTCAGTTGTATGAGTACCAGTACAATATGGGTCTTCTTATTCTTGAAAAGAAGGGCTGGAGTGCTAAATTTGAAGAACTTAAGCAAGCATTAGTTGACACGACAGATAAGTTTAAACGCGAGCAAGCAGCACACTTGATTGCAATCTCTGGTGCTGAGCAGCAAGAAGAGAAGTTGAGAAGCACATTGGGCTATGAAAAGCAGTGTGCTGTGGATGTAAGATAATTATTCAATTGTGCCACTTCCATTCTTAAATTGCTATATCCGTTACATTATATGAACTAGCAATCTGAACTGTCTAATTTTGATTTTATGTTGGATGGAAAATTTGTAGAAGCTGAAAGAAGGTGTAATAATACTATGGTTGGTTTCCGACTATTTTGTGTTGGAAGTAATGGGTCATAGGAAAAGCTTTGACAACTTAAGTTATCCTGAAGATGGTTATTCTTGGGTTCTTATTATGTTTATACTTGTTCTCTGGGTGGCTTTAAATAAAAAAATAAGCTGTAAAGGCAAAGTCTAATGATTCGGATGTGGATACCATAAATCTTAGAGCAAAACTTAGCAACTTCCTCATTGTGATTACTTCATTTTGACCAAGCTTGTAGGCATGAATCTTTGTAAGCATAGCTTAGTTATTGGGATCTGTTACTTGTGCTCTGCCTTTTAACTGATCCAGTAGGTTGTGTGCAACATTGAGTAATCTACTAGGCCTCAGCCTTGAATATCTTAATGAAAGATGACTGTCCTCATTACAGCTGAAGGAGGCAGTTCAGGAGATGCGTTCTGAAATTGCTGAAATGCAACTTAGGGCTGATTCAAAGTTGGCTGATGCAAATGAACTGGTTAACAGTGTTGATGCAAAGTATCTCGATGTTGAGGCCCAACAGCGAGCAATTGAAGCTAGGCTAGCTGAAGTGAGCAGAAAGAGTTCAGAGCTAGAGAGAAAATCACGGGAGGTGGAATCCCAAGAGAGCTCTCTTCGAAAGGAGCGCTTATCTATAGTAGCAGGGTGTGGCTACACCTCCTTGTCTTCCTGTTTTTAGTTTCTCCTTAAATAATTTCGTTCTGGGTTGCACCATTGCTGGCAATTTATTGTGCATTTTGGTCCTTGTTCATTTCAGGAAAGAAGCACATGATACCAGTTTGTCCAAGCAAAGAGACGAGTTGCGAGTCTGGGAGAGAAAATTAGACGAGGAAGAAGAGTGGCTATCAAACGATCTAAGAATTGTCAAGGAAAGGGATGAAAGGGAAGGTCATAGTGATAGAATCTCAGAACAAAAAATTAAGGACCTTCGAGAGGCACAAAGGAAGATAGATGAAGCAAACTCAATCTTGAAGAGGAAAGAAGATGACATTGCTGGCCGACAAGCTAAAATGATCCTTATGGAAAAGGTAAGTATTTAATGATTGTGTATTGAGCTGTGCTAGTCCTGGATTTCATCCATATACTCATTTTGCTAGAAATGGATCCAATTATGCAGGAATTTGTTGCTACAAAAGAGAATTTGCTGTTGAAGGAGGAGGAGTTACAGACCCTGGATGAGAAGTTGAATGAGAGGGAAAAAGTACATTCTTGAAACTAATTTCTATTTTTCTGTATATATAAGATTAAATAAGTCCATATAGAAGGTTCTCATTTAACTATATCTTCACATTTATGAATCATAGTTCTCAACCTAAGTTTACTGATCTGAGTGTCTATCTGCAAAATTGCTGATCGATTCACTATGTCTATGTCATTACTTCCATAGTGTATACATCTCGTGGCCATATGTTTGTATGGAAAATTTTATACTAGCTCTTGTTAAAGAGAACTTAATTTTATACTAATCTCAAATTTGAGTATTTTAGCTTTGCATGCAATAGACAATAATATTTTCTTGGATTAGGTTGGATAAGCAACATGTTCCTTTTTTTTTTAACTATGTGAGATAGGAAGAGACAAATATTTGGGCTTGTAGTATATATTTACCTATGTTTTGAGATTCAGTATGCCTATGGAATCAATAGATAGTTTGTACTTAGACTTCCTTCATGCTTTTGTGGCGTCATTTGTTGGTTCTTCATTGGCATGTTACTACCGGCTCCTTAATATGCATTTGTTTTAATTTTCCAGGTTGAGATTCCAAAACTCCTTAGTGAACATAATACAATTTTGGATGCCAAAAGATGTGAGTTTGAGTTGGAAGCTGAGCAACGGAGGAAGGCTGTTGACGAGGAGTTAAAGAGCAAAGTAATTGAGCTTGAGAGGAAGGAAGTTGATGTCAAGCATATGGAGGAGAAATTTGCAAAAAGAGAGCAAGCTTTGGATAAGAAATCGGAGAAACTTAAGGAGAAAGAAGCTGAATTTGAATCCAAATCGAAAGCTCTCATGGAAAAGGAGAAGAGCTTGAAATCTGAGGTGGAAAACTTGGAGGGAGAGAAAGCACAATTGGGAACTGAGAAAGAACGTCTTCTAAATCTCAAAGCTGAACTAGATCATGTAAAGGCCGCCAATGATAAGCAGTTCCTAAAGATATCTGAAGAGAAGGAGCAACTCCAAATAAGTGAAGACGAGAGGTCCGACTATATTCGCTTACAATCTGAACTGAAAAAGGAAATAGAAAGGTGCAGGTCTAGGGAGGAGCTTCTGTTGCAAGAGGTTGAAGACTTAAAGCAGAGGAAGGAGAATTTTGAAAGGGAGTGGGACGAGTTGGATGAGAAAAAATTTGGAATTGATAAAGAGCAGAAAAGCATTAGTGATGAGAAGGAAAAGTTTGAAAAGCAAAAGCAATTGAAAGAAGAAAGGATAAAGCGTGATAAAAAGGCTATGGATGACTTGATTAAAAAGGAACTCGAGTCTCTTGAGTTAGCAAAAGCATCTCTCAAGACAAACTTGGAGCATGAGCGATTGCTAATGGTTGAGAAAGCACAAACTGACAGAAACTTATTGTTAGATGACATTGAGGTAAAAAAGTCTGCACTAGAAAATAGCTTGCAGAAAGCTCAGGAGGAAATGGACAGAGATTTGCAGAAGAAGACACGGCGCTTTGAAGAAGAGAAGCAGAGAGCTTTAAAGGATGTAAATCTCCTGCGAGATGCAGCCAAAAGAGAGATGGAGGATATGGAAGTGGAAAGATCCAGGTTAGAGAAGGACAGGGAACAGCTTGATGAAAACAAAAAGCAACTTCAACAGCAACAAATCGAAATGCGAGAAGACATTGATATGCTTGGTGATCTTAGCATGAAGCTCAAGGTCTACAGAGAACAGTTTATTAAAGAGAAAGAGCAGTTCATGTCTTTCGTTGAGCAACACAAGGGCTGCAGTAACTGTGGGGAAACAACTTTCCAATTCCAGCTTGCTGATTTGAGCTCATTGCAAGAAACGGGCAATGCTAATGCTGACAATGGTACTTTAGCTTCTGATGAAAGGCTAGAGGGTGAGAGGCCTGTTACTACTCCCAGCCAAAGAGTATCTCCAGTATCTTGGCTACAGAAATGTACCACGAAGATATTCAAGCTGTCCCCACTTAAGCGGGGGCAACTTGTAAAAGATTTGGATGAGGCTGCTCCAGCTACTGACAAAGTTGATGTTCTTGATGATGAACAAGAGCTGTCTTTCTCATATGGAAACCACTCATTTGATGACTTAAGCAACACCAACAGCAGGTCTTTGGAATTGCCCGAAGTCCCCCAGCCTTCTGATCTCAAGAAGCATGGTCAGCGTCACAAGAGAACAAGAGGTAAAGTGAGTAGAACAAGTACTATGAAGGCTGTTGTTGAAGAAGCCAAGGTGATTCTTGGGGAGCCTAATATGGCTGAAGATTCTGTGAGGTCTGAAAGCCATGGCGAATCTGGCCATGCTGATAAAGTTGCTCATCAAGGAAGGGGAAGGAAGAGAAACCGAGGACAGGCATCTCAGACTACTGCTAGTGAACTTGATGGCAATGAGAGCGATGGACATTCGGATAGTATAATCACTGGCAAGCGCAAGAAGAGTCGGGCAGGAGCTGTGCCTGTTGAAACACGATACAATCTCAGGCGATCGAAACGGTAGGATTTCTCATATAGTCGTATGTGATTTGTGGGTAAACTTTGTTCGGCCATCTGAGGGCTGTAATGCCACATGATAAAATTTTGTTTAGGGTTGTGTTTGTTATATATTTCGCTGAAAATAAGGATTTTTTCCCCCAGAATCTAGTAAAAGCAAAGAAAAAGTGTATTTGGTTTTGGAAAAAAAGTTATGTTACTGGGGTGTAGGATATTGTTTTGTAATACAAAATATATTGATGGGATGATAGATAGTTTGTTTAGTAGTAAAGATTTTGCAAAGTAACTATTATGGGTAGGTTGCTCTATATAGTTAGATTGGAAAAGTGTTATTGGTTTAACTTTTCAATACAAAAGCACCCTTAGCTTCAGCCCTCTCGTATGCTAACATAATTGTCAACAGGGTTGCTATGGTGAATGTAAAAGCCACGTCAGACTTGAACAATGAAAATGAACAAGGAGAAGCCACTGGTGTTGTGCATGTAGAGGACCGAGATATCGCAACAGTTAATGCAGGTACATCGGTAGGAGGAGCTGCTACTGAGCATGGCGAAAGCAGACAACATGTGAAGGTGAGCATGGTCTGAAATATTTTGGTCCTAACTACTTGTGGAATGAGAGATGTAGAGCTGTTTTCTTCACAACGTAACATTGGTTTCTGTTCTTCTCTGCAGCAGAGCGAGGAAGCTGCAGAGCATCTGGATGGTGAAGCTCATGAAGAACCAGATGTAACGATGAGTGAAGAGGTTAGCGGAAGGATGGAAATGCATTGGGAGAATTCAGAACAGTGTAGCAGCAAATCCCGTGGAGGCGATGAAGGTGATGATGAAGAAGAGTCTGAACATCATCCTGGCGAAGCCTCAATAGGGAAGAAGCTCTGGACTTTCTTCACAACGTGACTGACTAGTGCAAGCTTAGCAGTCCTGTTAACGGATTCTTGATTGATCTGAATATATAGTAGTAAGCTATTACAACCCTCAAGTTCATGTAGGGTGGTGTTATTGAGGGGACATTATTGTTTTACTTTAGTTTACCAGAGTTAGAAGAATTGAATTCAGATATCTCTGGGTGGTTTCTGCTGCAAAATGTAGCCAAATGTTTTCTTGGATCGACTTAATGCAATTTTGTAATAGTATTTCTACTTGAACTGCTTCATCCAAGATTTCTGAAAGTTGGTTACACTGTATTCTTGAGGGGTAGAAAGATCGACAAGGCTAATCACTACCATAACTTTTCTGATTATCTAAAATTTTAGGGAAGTATGAACAAACACCCAAGTCAAAATCCCTAAAAGAAGTCAAAACTAGGGTCTCAAAGGTAGAGTTCTGGACTCAGTCGTTCGATCTGCAACATCGTACTCACATTCTGTAACATTCCTACAGAAGTCACAAGTAATACTAGGAACCGTCAAATGCAAGCAATGATCAATCCTTTTCTCCAACCAGGCCAATCTCCTCTCCAAATTCAGGACCCCAATGTGCATGATCCTAATATCGACTTGTGCTACTCTCGCACAAGAACGCAGCAGGATGTAGTAGTCCGCATGTGCAACATATCTCAACACACCCTCATCCTGTTTCCTCGAGTACTGGAGGTAACCAGATCTCTTGATGTTAACCCTTGGTGGGATGTAGTAAAATCGATTCTCCTCCATGTTCAACTTAAATTTCGTGATTGCAGTTTGTTTGGAAGGGTCACTGTTGTCAGAATCCTGAAGTGGGCTCTCATGGAACGTCTCTCTGAATTGCCTTGTTCTTGGCTGAATTGGGACAAAACTGGCGTCATCGCTCCTCGATCTTTTTTTTTTGTCAGAAGTGCGGCCTTGCTTTCCAGCCACTTCCTCTGCAGGTTCATAATCCTGAAACACACGCATGTTCATGAATATCATGCATCTGGTGACAGCTAAGAGCAAGAAAATAATTAAGTTTTGAGTGTTACCTCTGCATTCTGATAAAAATCCCACAACTTGTCTATCAATTCTTCCTTGCAAAATTGCTTCTCTTGCAACATGGCAAGCCAACAAAAATATAGCCAAAGAGCAATCTAGTGGTATTACCTTTCTCAAACTCCTAAACCAAACCATTGCAGACATGCTGGCCATTCTCGTTGTGTAGTTCATCCCTGCCCTTGTCATGGATCTTACTGTCATCAAATTCTCCTGCAGGAATTCAAGATAAGCTATATAACACAACCCTTTCCACAGAAATTCATGACAATGCAAACCAACACGCGAAGCATTCAAATTGCCACAATCACAATCAGTAGACTGATAATTTCCCTCCCTAGGAAAAATCTCAAGCTCTTTTAATTCTCAGCGCTCACAGCAGATTGGGAAGCATCATTAATTTTTTATGCTTCACCATTTTTATTTATTGGAGTAATTATTTATGATATCTTTATCATCACTTCTGACAACAATAAATAATTAATTTTGAGGTTGTATTTTGTAATATTTAAACTTATAATTATTTTTATATTTATTTTCTATAAAAGATGTATTTTTCTTGTCATCTCGTGCTTATACTCGATAGGGTTTTCAAAACATTAGGCCCGACACGGCCAACTTATAGACCGTGCTCGAGGCCATGAAGTTCAGGCCCGACACGTCTCATAAATTATTCGTGCTTGTGTCAAACTGACGCGTATATTTCGTATCCGTGCTCGTATCATGATAGCTCGTGGGTGGCTAGGTTGGGTGCCTAGTTACAGATTAGACCATCTCCAATGGTAAATCCCAAGGTGCCAAAATTTGAGGCTAGATTTGATTTTCTAACTCCACCAAAATGAGGTTTTGCTCCAATGGTGAGCGATAGAATGCCAATGTCAAATCTCCCAAGTTGCACACATTCTCCTAATCTAATTTAATGTATATTTCGTCACTTTAATTGAATACTTTGTCCTTTATTTTTTGCATATGGAGTAAAAATTTATCAAGACCAACATTTTGATATATATACATATATTTTTTTTATTTGGAAATTATTACTCCATATACATAAATCATGACAAAAACACAAAATTGGTTTAGATAGTCACAAATTCATCACATGTTTGTCAGATTGAGTTGTATCATCATCTTCATTCACCTGTAATCAGAATAAGTTATGTCATCAATTTTTCATCAAACTTTGACCATATTAATGCTGAAATGCAGAATGAATCTTTTCATTTTTCTGTATATGAACCCTCAAACTTTATTATTCCACACATCCACCATACAACCTTCCGTCATATAACAAAAACATTCAACTTTCATATGACTTAATCCCATTATCGATTATAAGATAAATGATAAGACATATGATCATGTTACGTGTATTTCTCCGGTGAGAAACTTCACGCAATGTGCGTCGTCGTAATTCGATAGATAAATGTAAGAAATATATTAAGAACGAAGATAATTGAGACGAAAGAAGGATAAACTACAAACTACTATTGGATTCCAATCTTCTCATATTATTAAACAAAAGGCTAAGTACATATTTATAGACATAGAAAACCTCAAAATCTCAATCCTTCCCTTACAAAGTCGGCGGCCCTCTCACCCTTATCCTACCTAGATTATGAAACCTAACCCACGAGTAAATAGTAATTAACTCCTAAATAATAAACCAAATCCTACTTGAACAATGGAAATAATAATAAAGACAGTTAATAATAAAAATACTAAATAATAAGATACGCAAACCCAAATCGAGGCCCAATAGTTACGATGGCTTGATTCTCGTAACATTCCTCCCCCCCTTCACAACAACCTTGCCCTCAAGGTTGGTCATCTTCAAGAATGAATTTACCTTCCTCCTCGTCGGTGCACGCGCCAAACATTAGTAGGACATTCTTGTTGGTACAATGATGGCCATTCGTGAGGCGCTTGTCTCAATGGAAGCAAAGTCCTTGCGCTCGACGACGTGCTACCTCTTCCGGCGACATTATACGATCATTTGGGTTGCGTGGCGGTGAGACCCCACAGTGGTGGTGGCTCGGTTGTGGCCTGCAAGGGTGCTCGTCGTTGGCCCCTTTGCATTCCTTGATGTTTCGCCAACTCCTCGTTCTTCACCTTGGCAAGTCGTATCGCCTCTCTTACAATTTCTAGCTTGAACATGCGGATTGCGTCGAATATTTCCAGTTTGATTCCACCAATGAATGAGTCCACTAACGCCTCTTCGGTCCACCGAAAGCACCGTTACCCAATTTCTCAAAAGTCAACAAATAGCCGCTCAATGAAACGGTTTGCTTAATTTTGGCGAGCGCCTCGTGGCAAGAGATGTTGTCAGACGACCAAAACCTTGCCCATAACTCCTCTCGAATATGGGAGCCATGTCATGGTCAATCCCGACGTCGTGTAAGCTTGACCCAACCATTGCCACTATTAGTTGGCGTCATCCTCCATGTGATAAGATGCGAGTAGCACCTCATGCTCTTCCAGTGTTTCCTGAAATTTTAAAAATTGCTCTACTCGTGCGAACTATCTAGATGGACCATCAGAACTGTAGGGCTGGAAGTTTGGTACTAGTATTTGGGATATACCGAATACCGTACCGAATTTATCTATATTTGGTATTATCGAATGCACGTCTTATTTTTTGGGATTGGGATTGAGATTGAATTTCAATTGGAATTCGATATTAGGGATTACAGGATTGAGATCGGTATATACCGAAATACCGATCAATACCAAAATATAAGCTAGTGTGTATTTTATCCTCTTAACTAGACTCTCTCATTCACTACTACACAACTCTCAACCACCAAAAGTGTCATTTAATTATACATGAATAATTTCATCTTTGTTTCACATTAAAAAAGTCCCCATCCAACTCAATTTTGACTTTCGAATTTAAGTCACTCTCATCTCTCACCTCATAACTCATTATTTTCATAACACCAAAAAGCAAACACTAGTATTAGTTGTCTCTCAGCCTTCAATGCATCAAATTAAAGATTACCAATGACAAGAACTTGATATGTCACCTCTCTTTCATCCTCCTAATCCATATTCTAGCTCTAGGCAAACTCAAAACTCTTTACTTAGTCCTTTTCCCTAAATTAAACAATCAAATCTAATTTATATATATTTAATTATTTATTTCAAATGTAATTTATTTCGTATTCGATAATACCGATCGGGATACCGAAGTACCGATTGGGATACCGGAATATTTAGGGACTGCGATTGGGATACCGAAATTATTTAGGAATTGAGATTGATATTGACCTTCGATTATAATTTAGTATTCGAGATTTCAGTATTTGATATTGGGATACCGATACCGTATCGATTTTCACCCTAATCAAAAGAATACTTCCAAGGCTATTCCCCGTTCCTTCTCTACTAATACCGGGAACGCGGTGTTCACTGCTTTCCAAAAACTTGGCTCCCTCGCTAATCTCTCTCTCTCATCTAATTCTTTGGTTTATTCTAGCAAGTCTAGAAGCCTCTTTTTTCTAATGGGCCAAGTTGAAGCCCTTTTATATTATAAAAGAAATCTCTCCGCAAATGAGCCTGGTGGGCCTGGCTGCTGCTAATTAATATTCAAAAAGTCGGTACTCGGTCGTTGCTACTTTCTCTCCAGCAAATCAAAATGTTGGCTTTGAGACTCTAATTATCGACCAACAGAAAACATGGGCCGTGGAGCGAGACCAGACCGACCTCAAGAAGTGTTTGTAAAATCGTATTATATCAAGTATCAACAATCTCATTAAAAAAATAAATTGTTGAAAATTTAAGTTGAGAAGTGATTTTTTTCCCCAGTATGAAAACAATTTAAACACTAAACACTCTACCGTTCAATTATTCGTACGATTTCCGGTAACGTTTTACAGTTCTTTGATTGAAGATTGTCTGGCTGCCCCCAACTACCTTTGATTGTTTATGTTGAACAGAACAACACCAAGACCAACATCATTCAACTTCAAGTGGCTCCCATCACATGCCCCACACTAATTTGTTCTATCAAAAAAATATGTAACAAGTAGTAACAATGAGGCTATTATTTAATCATCGAGAAAGAGAGAGCCCATCATGTTCTGAAAATATATATTAAGTAATGCTATGATTTAAGTGTTTTCTTATTTTCCCCCCTTTTAGAACATATTGTTTCCCCCAATAAATATAAAGAGAAATGTTTGGAAAGATGCACAATTTCATCCCATAACATTCCTAAAGCAAACACACTAACTAGGCTAAAAACAAAGAAAGCTAACTCTAAAGAGACAAAAAAAAACATGGTTTTATACGTCGCTCTATAGGAATTCAATTTACGGCTCGCGGAACCTATTCAAAGACTATACAAAATGAAGCAGAGGAAATCAGCTAACGACACGCATAGAACGAACTTGGTGAATCGCCACCTCCGCGAATCACATTCTCCAGGATAACACGATGAAGACTTCGAGAAACAATGACCGAGAGGGTGACTCTAACAACATGTAGCTTGGCGATGTACGGATCCGATACCTCGAAATGGTTATATCTGATTGCCAGACAAACACGCCCTCGCCCCGGTCCACGAACCACCAGGGCCAGAAGCACAACCAAAATCACATACAACATCATCAAAGTTTGATCTTGACGAATTCGTCAGGAGGAGCAATCCAACGAGCTAGAGATGTAGGCGGAGGGAGAGAGACCAGATCCAAATCGAAACGAGAGGCAGAAGCAAGTATAAGTTACAACTAGGTTCAACATCCAACTATTTATACTTGAATTCGATATTTTTCCCCTTTTTTTTAGTTATCTATTGAATTCAAATATAAACATTTGGACGTCGATTCACGTTCAATTTTCGGTCATACATGATACATCACCTAATATAACCGATTTTTGTCAACGACCTTTTTTGTTTTGTTTGAGTAATTGGCTTATACAACAACTTTGAGTAGTAATAATGGCCGACGGCGGCTAGTGAGACGCTTCGTGGAACGGAGGGAGGAGAAACCTGACTCTCTCATTGCACTATTAATTTTTAATTTCTCTTCCCTTGTCGTAATCGTCGACCAACATTGCCTCCGACTCCGATCATCGGCACTTCACTGTCGATCAATCAGACCATGACTTGTTGACTTTCAACTTCTTCTCCCTATTCTTCTTCTTCTTCATCCCTCTCAAGAAAATTAGCCCCAATTTCCAGGCTATAGATACTCCCCATTAAGGAAAAAACTCCCATCCCATTCATGGCTGCTGCTCCGTCTTCTCCTCCAGCTGCAGCAGCTATCATGGGATTCCTATTTCTAGCACCACTACTTATCCACTTCTCCACTCTCCTCCCCGCCGCCAATTCCCAAAACCCAGAACCCACCAGCTTCACCTACAATGGCTTCCACAAGGCCAACCTCCTCTTCGACAGCCAGGCCAAAATCCTCCCCGACGGCCTGCTCCAGCTCACCAACCACACCCAGCTCGTCACCGGCCACGCCTTCCACCACCGGACCTTCAACTTCAACCCCAATTCCTCCGATTCCTCTCTCTCCTTCTCCACCACCTTCGTCTTCGCCATGGTCCCAGAATCGCCAGCCACGGGCGGCCACGGCATCGCCTTCGTCATCTCCCCAACCACCGACTTCACCCACGCCGTCGCCAGCCAGCACCTGGGCCTCTTCAATTCCACCAACATGGGCAGCGAATCCAACCACGTCGTCGCCGTCGAGCTCGACGCGATGCGCAGCCCCGAGTTCCAGGACATCGACGACAACCACGTCGGACTCGACCTCAACACGTTGATCTCCACCCCTTCCGCCCCGGTATCCTACGTCTCCGACGCTGACGGAGTCAACCGCACCCTCCGCCTGCTCTCCGGCGACCGGATCCAGGTCTGGATCCGGTACGACGACGGGGAGAAGAGGATGAACATCACCGTCGCTCCCTTCATGACAACTTCCAGACCCAAGAAACCGCTCATCTCCACGCCGGTCGATCTCTCCGCTTACCTCAACGAATCGATGTACGTTGGGTTCTCGTCGTCGACGAGCACCGTCACCAGCGCGCAGTACATCCTCGGGTGGAGCTTCACCAAAGGGGAAGAAGAACCCCCGCCGCTGGATCTCCGCCTCCTCCCCGTCTCCCCCCGGCCGAGCAAGCCGGCGAAGAAATTAGGCACCGCGCCGAAGGTCTTCCTCGTAATCTTATCCATCTCTCTAATCGCAACCGCCGTCGGAGCTTACCTTCTCCGATTGAGGAGGTACAGAGAGCTGAGAGAAGATTGGGAGAAGGAATACAACCCGCAGCGGCTCTGCTACAAGGATCTCTACCGAGCGACGCACGGATTCAAGGAGAAGGAGGTCCTCGGATCCGGCGGATTCGGGAAAGTGTACAGAGGAATCCTCCCAAAGTCAAAGATCGAAGTCGCCGTGAAACGAATCTCACACGATTCGCGGCAGGGGATGAAGGAGTTCGTCGCGGAGATCGTCAGCATGGGGAGGCTGCGCCACCGGAATCTGGTACATTTGCTAGGTTACTGCCGGCGAAAGGGCGAGCTGCTTCTGGTCTACGATTACATGCCCAACGGCAGCCTGGATACTTTCCTGTTCAATGATGAGAAGCCGATTCTCGACTGGAGTTCACGGTACCAAATCTTGAGAGGCGTGGCGTCGGGGCTTCTGTACCTCCACGAGGAATGGGAGCAGGTGGTTCTCCACCGCGACATTAAGGCCAGCAACGTCCTGCTCGACGCCGATCTCAACGGCCGGCTGGGCGATTTCGGGCTCGCCAGGCTCTACGACCACGGCTCCAACCCGCAGACCACGCACGTCGTCGGGACCGTGGGGTACCTCGCTCCGGAGATGTCGAGGCTCGGGAAGGCCACCACGGCGACCGACGTGTACGCATTCGGTGTGTTCATGCTCGAGGTGGCGTGCGGGAAGCGCCCGATCGACGCGCAGGCGCTTCCCGCGGAGGTGATCCTGGTGGACTGGGTGATCGACTGCTGGAAGCGCGGCGCGATTTGGGAGGCAGGGGATCCGAAGCTGGCAGGGGAGTATGCGAGGGAGGAGATGGCGGCTGTGCTGAAGCTCGGGCTGTACTGCTCACACAACATGCCGGCGTTTCGCCCCAGCATGAGGCAGGTAATGCAGTACCTTGATGGAGACTGCAACTTGCCCGACGTCCCGCTGGAGAGCTCGGGGATCGGGGCGTTTGCGATGGGAGGGAGGGAGACGTCGGAGTTCGCCATGTCGTCGTTCCCTTCCTCCGTCGTCGTCGGTAAGGACTACACAACCGTCGGCTCGTTGTCGAGTACGGATTCCATACTCCACGATGGCCGGTGAGACGCGACGGAGGAGGACCTGTGTCTGTGTGTGTGTCTCTGTCTACTGCAATTTTTTTGTTTGATGGCACTGAGCTTGATTCTATGTGTACAGAGTTTCGTACATACAAAATGAACCTCTTTAACGACCCCAAAAAATAGCATCACAGGAGAGAAGGGCTTTTTCCTAAGTCCTAAGTTCTGCACTAGCACCAACGCTGAGATTTTTGTTCTTCCTTTACAACCTATGTTGTCACCTTTCTTCACTTACAGGTCATATAAAGCTTTTTGCTATATTCATTCTTCTGTAAACCTATCATTTTCTCTTACTATTATGTTGAGCTACTTTACCTTCGGCCAGTGAAGTTTGCTGTTAGCTGAAGCAGTATGTACAAACTCTCTAGTACTTCTCATGGCCTCTAATGGTGTTGCTATTGATGTTGCTGTTGCTGGTTCTTCTTCAGCGCCACGTACTCCTTCAAATCCCTGCAAATTCACTGTCAATCGGGAAACTTTGGCGGTTCGATATACTGCTGCATTGCTAGATTGTGAAGCAGAGAATACGAGAGAGAAAAGGAACTAGATAGAATGGAAGAAGCGAGGGCGGGAAATGACTCACGAGCAGCGAGGCACACGGCAATTGGGTTCGCTACATTCCAGGGAGTGCAGCCTCAAGATGTTCCACACCGCACGACAAAGCAAACAACCACCGGAGGACCGAGTGCTACATTTTGTCGCGTGGCTGAACAACCGTTTCAGTACAGAGCAGTTTTTGTATGGGCAGCCGTTGCTACGGGTGACTGGACAGACTGAAGCATGTGGTAAAGCATCCAGAACACTACCCATCACCACATTAGACTGCAACTGAGCAAAACCAGTGCACCTCCAAGTCAGCAATGGCCAGAAAGCTTGAGATAGTACTTTGCAAGTTTTTAAACAAAATGATATGTGCGGGTTAGAGCTTTTGAAAAGTTCACGTTGACCACTTAAGATACGAGATGGCTGGCTGCATATGATTGCAACTGAGTTGTTATTACGCCAGAATAACAAAAAGGAGAAGAGGAAGCCTCTAACCTTTCTTTTATGGGATGTGCGCTGTAGAGGAAGGTAGCCAGCCTGCTCATGACTTGTGTGACACCCAGGATCAGTAGCTGGCAGAGATTCCGGAATTGCGCTATCAATGAGTTTCTTAGGTCCTGCTTTCTTGCGGCAGCAAGTGGAACAAACATCATGACCCCGGGTCTCTACATGGCAAAACTTGCAAGTTGTGGCTCCAAACATTGGTGACTCTGGGCTACGTGCATGGTGAAGAATCATCATTGAAGAATGCTTGGCACGGCGGAGTGTGTCAAACTGGTAGTGATTCTTCTGACAGAAACTCAAGAAAGTGTGCCTATCCTCAAATAACCAGCTGTCTATATCCACATCTTCATCCTTGGTATCGCTTGGTACATCATTTACCATAACCTTGGATAAAAGATGCTTTTCCTTGTTATTTAAGATGTGTGCATCTTCCAGATGGCTTAGCTTGGTGTCGCGGCACCTGTAAAATCAAATTCAATACCATTCAACAAACAGCTAGTTTAGTGAAACTGCAAAAAAAAAAAAAAAATCTAAGTTTGTTATCAATTGTGCATTTGCAATGCTGAAACCAAGTCTGAGAGGACATACCTTCCACACAAATTAAAGTTTTTACATTCTGCACAAAACCATCGGCATCCTGACACGATTTCTCTATTACAGTACGTGCAAACAAATTGCAAGTGCACAATGATGAAATCATCCTTAGCAGGAAATATGGCTTGCCCTAGCTGATTGAGGGCAAGAGACATGGAAAATTATGGAAACAAGTCAATACCGAGTCATAACTTTAACAGTAGCTGTGTATGAAAATTTGAAGCAGGAAATTGCAATTTGACCTTCAACACAAAATGCATTCCGCCACAGTATATCCTTGCCCCATTATCAAAGTAACGATGGTACTACTAGAAGACAAATATCCTTGCCCCTTTTTCAACTCATTAAGACAGCTTTAGGAAGTGATAAACGAACAATTTAGGAGGAAGAGAATATGACCAAAGAAAAAATCTAACTGAACAGTCCCTGAAATGCATCTTAGCTGATAGAGCATTAGTTCGCATCAATGTTGACTGTCAGACTCCACCCAGCATTCGACTCGGCAAGGCAACTGAATTAAGGGTCAAATATTGAACCGGTCCAGACTCCACCCAGTGTTCGACTCACAGAATATACATTTGGTAAAGCCTGAAATCTAAACGTAATACTCTAACTTGAGTCTCAACCATATCAATGAGAGAAGCACTAAAAATCACTCAAATCACACGTACTAAGAGAATGGAAGGAATACAGAGAAAATGAGGCCTTTGGAGGACGAGGGAGGTGGTGGAACGGCCAAGGGTTGGTCAATTAGGATTGATTCTTTAAATATATTTTCTGCCAAAGGACGCAAAATACTGCTGTTCAAATAGACTTCCCACGAAAAACCGGTCAAAACCAACCCAAGTCTCTCGAGTTCCTGGTCGACTTGGCCGAGTTGGTAGATATACCGAATGCACCGAACCTGGCTAGGCCTCTGAACCAGTTCAACCCTCCAGGCCAAGCTGGGTTTTGTAGGAACTCTACTGATTATTAGATTTACACCAGATTATTAAGCTAGACTCAAAAGAATTATGGACAAAACAAAATCTACCATCTACTACCAATGGATGATGTATTGGCTAACCACTTAAACGACATCCACATATTCAACAGTTCCTAATTAGTTAGTCGAAGAACTTTCAAACAGTAAGTGACAAACAAAATTTATAACTTGAAAGTGAATCGGAAATACCTTTTGCATCAACAGCATATCTTTAATAGCAGTTCCAGAAGGATTAGTATGTCCCATGGCCTTCATAGTTCGATTCTTCATTACTTTTTTTGCCGCCTTTGCTGAATAATCTCCACCTTGCTCTTCAATCTTCTTGAAGATATTCTCGGCAACAGTAGACCAGTAATCACCATCAAAATAAGGCAAACGGGCAGCTGTTATCTTGGAGTCTGATTGTGCACTAGGGATGAAGAAGTGCTCGTACAAGTTTGTAGAACTGACCACGATGTTCTCCTTCTCTGCTTTCCTTATCATTGAATTATACCTTCAAGATATCATTTGGTCTAGTCAGTGCACTTGTTGTCTTAGACTTTGGAACGAACTCCAGAAAAAGAAGGGGGAAAAACAGTAGTGATGAATTTGCAAGTAGAGAGAACAGAGACCATCGTCGGAGCTTATCAGGCTTTGGTGTCTTCTGATTCTCGGGATGACAATACAAGATATAATCTTCTCCTCTCTGGGGTGGGCAGGCCCACAGGTAGCAGGTTGCAAAGCCTCGTTTTTTACAGTAGTCAAGGTAGCCTACCTGTTGCAGGAGATAAGTGAAGTAAGAAAGAGATAAACCAGGAATGCCATCATCAAGTTTGAAGAATGAGCACAAGGAAGCTACTAAGGAGATTACCAGTATCTCATGGTAAACAAATGTACGCAGAGCTTCTTTAGATGCAGTCTCAGTCTCAGGTCTAAAGTACTTAACAGAATCAAGATACGAAATGTAGATTGATCGCTGATTAGGATAACTACATCTCGAGCCAAACTCTTGGACATACAATGCAAAGAGACATACATCTACGCCTTCAATCTTCTGGAACAATAGAATGACCTGAGTGTACATAGGTGTTAGTGATGCAACATAAACACCAATGTTTTGGGGAAATGAGTAACCACTATCCCACAATCCATTGGAATATCAGCACACCACAAAAGAGAGAAGTACAATATGATTGCACTAGTACATAATTTCCTGAACAAATTATGAGAGAAGAGTCGGAATAATGTTGCATGGCCAAGAAGAAAGTGGGTTTACCATCGCATAGGAGCTTGACACGATATCACGTACCTTAGATACATATGGGAATTCAACAGGGTAATTGCTGCCAAGAATTTCCAGAAACTGCTTCTTCACTTTCAACAGTTTTTTCACAGATAAGACAACTCTAACAGTAAGATCTTCTGCCCCTGGAACCTGCAGTAAAGAAAAAGACATTGCAGTACAGCCAAAGATAAGAAGACACTGCATAAATCACAAAGGAAATAAACGGTGGTAAGCAAATGAAAAATGAAGGTAGGGTGAGGTTTAGGGCGAGAGTGAGGGTCCTACTTCGAAATATCTCTCTTTATCTTACACCTTCTAAATTTGCCAAAGTACGTACTGAAAGCAAACCACCGGGGTAACCGGAGTCCAGGAAAAAAAATCGTAAATGATAAACAAGCTTTCCCTATTGAACTACCATCGGCTAACTTATGTATACTAATAATCAAGCAGCCCAATCTATGAAGTTGATATCTAACCTCTTCAAAGTTCTTTCCCAAAGCATTTGCTCTCTCTGTCCTCTCCTGTTGAAGTCGTTGACACAGCCTCTTCTCCAAGTAGTCGCTAAGCCTAGTCCTTGGCAGAGCATTTGCATCATAGAGATTATCCTTTGGCAATGGAAAAAGCCCGAAACAGGCCAAGTCTTCCAGGCAGCATTTTGGACAAACATACTCTGCATTTCCTTCAACATCCTTTTTATCGTTAAACAGAGCACATATTTGATGTTGCCATTTTTTACATTTGTCACATTGAACCCACTGCAGCAATATAAAAGTTGCGTAAGGAACTGATGCATGAAATTCCAAGGCAACTAATTCAGCATTAAATATTCGAACTCACTGATTCTTCATTTTCCTCGTCGTTCTTTCTTTTCACCAAATTCATCTTGAGAACAGAACGCCCATAGAATCTGATAGTGTTTCCTCGTGACTTGTGGCATGCATTACAAAAACAGTGTCTTATAGTTTCTTCCTCCAATGTGTAATATGTGATGCCATGCTTGATACGACCAGCACAACATGAACAATATATTGTAACCGGGGCGAGTAATAGCTTATCTAATAGACATAGCTGGCAAGTATTGTCATTGGTAGAACATGTTGCTCTGTCTGAACTGCTTTGGATGATGTGTGCTATACTGTTCTGCTCCTCTTCATTTGATGTTTTCTGCATAAAAATAAACCATAACGCCAAACCTCATCAGATTGCTGAATCTAAGAACTTCCAACACGGTAAGATGTGGAAAAGAAGAACGAAGAAGAAGAAAAAAAGAACAGAATATATGAAATTATCAGGACTGTAACATGTTGCAAGGGTACAGGCTGCAATACCATGAAAAATATACATCCCTGGTTTTCATACTAAATTATTTAAAAGAACAATACTTTAAACAAGCCCACAAGTTGCTCTGAAAAATCTAGCTAATCATATATTTGACAATCAAACTATCAGTCCAAGTGATACTCACCTTACTGACACGCTGCTGAAGACTGGATATGTGTTTCTTTATTTCTTGTGCAGTGAAAAAATCTACCAAGGACACACCTCTAATCTTCAGGCTCTGTCCCTTGACTCCTTCCTGAATATCTGCTGCATCTGGCCTATTTTCAAAATTTGATTGATCTGGGCCATCCACCGACATAATTTGTGTTGTTGGCTCTCCAATGTCACAACCCTTAGCAAGAGAAGAATCAAGCTTTGAGATATCTACATCATTTTTCATAAATTCTGTAACATCACTGACATTTCCAGAAGCAACCCTCACTGACTTATCGCCAGCAGTAAGATATCCAGAATCCATTTGATTGATGTGACAGTTTCTACCCAGGGAAACATCAGCATTTTTTCTACTACCTTGAGTGACATCCACAACATTTGCTGGCAGTTCTATATTCACTTCCATTAATCCAGGATCAGTACATAGAAGGGAATTGGGGAACTTTTGCATAGGAGGTACTTCATCAGGATCACCAGGAAGAGCCTCTGCAGATGGAATTCGGGCTCCAGAAGGCACCCGAGCTGACCCATGTTCCATCTTCAGACGCTTTAAAGGATGCAATGAATTTTCTAACAAGAGAGAGCCAGGTCTACCAGAAGTTTCATAGTTTTGTTGATATCTATTAGCACAAGAATGATCACGAACAGGACCACAAATATTGCAATTCAAGGAGCCACAGAAATCAAAATGAGATAAAATCTGGATGAAACTTGCACACATGCAACTAAAATTCTTGCACAGAATACCATGCAGGTATTGAAGAAAAGAAGGTAAGCAGTCGCCCATAGAAAATGCTGATTCCTTATAGTTGGCATAAGCAAACAGGACTTTACGTTCCATGGACATCTGAAATGTAGCACTTGAATCTGCCAGTCTGAAAACCTCATCTGAAACCTCGGAGCAATTTGAACTAAAATCCGACGAATGTGGTTGTTCTGAAGGGAGCTTGGAATCTGTACCCAGTACTAATCCAGACATTGAAGAAAACAATTCATGTCGTATGGGAAAAGAGTTGAATTCTTCCCCTAGTGTTGACCTCCTAGAATCCCCAGATGAATCATGAGGCTGGTTATGGTACTCCTGAAACATATGTGATCCAGTTTGCAGCGACCTCAAAAGGGCTGGATCCAAGCTGATCAAGCCAGGATATCCATCAGAGACTTCGGAGCCCCACAGTGGGAGATTTTCTACAGATGTTTGAGAGCCATTTCCCAAAGCGGATGGCAAGGCAGGAGCAATTGGGTTTCTTGTCACACAAGTAAAATTTACCAAGTCCATTTCACCTGTGAAAAAGTGCTGACTTGTGAGGAGCATGAGGATTATAATAACAGAGTAAAGGGAGAACAGAAATATTGCGAAAGCTGTAAGAACAATTAGACTACGTGTACAGACATCCAGATCCTTTAATTCATTGAATACCAATCTACCATTGTTCTCACAATACCAAGAAAGAAGATCAGAAAGGTTACAAGAATGGGTGGGGGATATGATTCAAAGGTCCACCGGACATGCAAGCCAAAATTCATAGACTGCCACTCCACTAGGAACAAGCACAAAAACACAATCGCACTGCTATAAGAGCAAACTACTCTGAACGCAGCAACCCGGTATTAGATAACTCATGAGATGCCTGGATATTAAGATAAGAAGCGAATTCATATCACTAGAAAATCAGTCCCACTTTAATCCTGAAAGACAAGTTAGACACCGTACCCAAATAATCTATGGCAGGCAAAAGCTCAGAAGACAATTTGGAGCATAATCAGTCACAAGAAAGTTTAGCAGGAAATTAGTAAGGAATATCCAACAGTTTTCAGGCCAGTAAGCACTCAGTTGTTTAAGGTCGTACTTGGTGAAAACATTCAATTCTGGGGAACTTAAGAAAGTATAGCCAGCACAAGTAAATATTTGTCAATCATCAATCAATGCCACTGGTTAAAACGGAAATAATATACCAGAAGCAACATGTTGCATTTGAGAGTTGACTTCGCTAGTTCCATGCTCAAAATTGCATATATTATCTCCTTCAAAAATCCCAGATTCACTTCCAAAGACTCCAGTTTCAGAAAACCCATTTGCACTGGAACAGGAAGTGACGGTAGAGTTCATTTCAGGAGAAGGTACCATCCCCCCAGCTATTCGTCCAACCTCACCTGCTTGAGCAGTAATTGGCCTTATGTTATCATACAATCCTAAAAGAACACGAGATCAACTAAGCTAATCAAAAGGAATAATTGGATCATCAACACGTATATAAAATCTGGAAGTCTTACCCCTTACTACACCAAATACGCCAGGGAAGTCCATGATAGTTGTGTCATATGTCTTGCTAACATTGTTCAAGTTTCTCTCAGGAGATTTTGCTGCATCTGATGATGAGATCAGCCAGAAGTTATCATTTCTATGCATACTCATAATAGGCTGTTAAACAGTTGTTGACTGTAGTTTGCATTAGCCATCTTACCATGGATTACTATTTGCAGCCGCTTTGCTAGCGTATCTAAGTTCATGTAGTCCTCCTATCATCATTTGAGAAAACAGACTGATAAGCAGACTGATATATCTTGCTATCAGAGAGTTTCTTGAAAATGATAAGCAATTGAAACATGTCATGAGCACAGCATACCATTGACTGAGATTCCAAAAAAATGATGTTTTCTAGAAGACCAACGAAGTCAGAGCCATCTGGTTGCCAGTAATAATGGGCCACCAAAATTTTCGTGCTGCACAAGACATTATTACGTCGAAACAAAAATAAGAACAATACTATGAGAAAGGTATTGACAACAATCCACCAAACCAATGCAAACTGTGAGAACTAACATTTCCGATTTGACGAAGTCACGGAAGAAAGAAATGCTGCCATCATTCCTCCAGTCAACTGTTCTATTCATGTCAGAATGCAAAACATTTCCGCCCCATGGAGATTGATCTGAAATTTTTGGAATAGGAAGGCTTGGTGTCTGCCTCGCCCTGAATCCCTTCACAAACATCTTGAAAACCCACGCTCAGGTGCTCATTGCTCTTTAAGCACTGCATACAGCCAGATAATTATATAAATTACAGCGGTCATAACTCATAAGCCTGTGCAAACTTTTCCAATTGAAATAGCCAACTTTATGGCCGTTTAGCAGCTCTCAGTAAGAATGATACCAACGAATTGCAAGAGATGGCATGTAACCTACATCCATACAACATCTAGCAGATCAACTCAGCCTACAATTTCCAGTATTCCCCACCTTTCCATTTTATCCACACGCAAAAAAAGAAACCCAATATGAACAAGCAAAAAAAGCACACAAATAACTTGACATAATGCTTGCAATTTCAGCACACCCTGGTTCCAGTTCCAATGAGAATCAAATCACGGTGGAGTCAGCCAGAGCAACAGAGTATACTAATGGAAACCTCACACGAAGTGCACATCAACGAACAAACCTCACTCAGACCACCACCTAGAACAACAAAGGATAGGTACATCGAAGGAAGCAAATTGCAAGTCAATTTGATCCATTCAAACTCTTAAGTTAAGCTAGCCAGCAGATTCTGCTCCACTGATAATAACAAGCTTCACTCGCCTGAATCAATTTAACGACGGCAAAATCATCTCGTCAACCTCCTCCGGCAGCATACCCCAGTTTTGCTGTTCACAAACAAAAAACCCCCCGCCACGTGGGGCGGTAGGGTTTTTGGTTCCATGCTCGCCAGGTGTTCGACGGCAACAAACAATGCCAATACGGCGCCGTGGCCACGAACAGTAGCCCCAAATTTGTCACGGCGGAGCACGGACCACAATGCACGGACAAGCTAAAAAGGAACTCCCCCCGTCCGGAAATCAACCGGAATTCCGAACGATCAGGTTCGGAACGTGTCATGCACAACAATGCACGTCGACGGAGCCGCCGTACGGGGACGGAAACGAAAACCCTAAAAAGCAAAGAAGAAAAAAACGAGGCGGTGAAAAGAGAGAGAGAGAGGGGAAGAAGAACCTGAGAATTGTTTGCCGCCGCGGCGAGTAGTTTGTTTTTTGGTTTTCGGTTGAATTCAGATTTCCGCGATTCGGATAATAATGTTATTGTGTATTTTTAGCGGTGGAAAAGACAAAGAAGACGATAGAAAAGGGGGAGAAAAGAGGGAATTTACGTTGTTGGCGGAGAAGGGTGGCGACAATTTGGTCGGAGCAGCGGAGGCGGAGGAGAGTCCTTGCTGATGTTTCGGTGGCAACCCAGCCCCTGTATTTTTGTGGTGGTGGGGCCTAATACAATTTCTGTTATGGTACTGTCTTTTTTATATATATAGATAATATATAAATAAATAAGAAATAAAGGACCCTGAATTTTGATGGTTTATTCCTATGAGTTCCAGAATTAACTTATTGCCTATTTCAGTCCCTCCATTTTGATAGCTTTCCCTATCGGAAAGTATAATAATTAGTAACCAAGTTTGTCAAACCGGTTTAAGTCGTGAGAAAGCCAGACATGTGATTTAAGGTTCCATGATCTGATCGGGGAGTCTAACCTGTTTGAGCCGTTTTGTACATTTTCTAAATATATATACTCTTTTTTTTTTTTTTTTGCCCGAGTAATATCAGAAAGAAAGTTAGAACAAACACTACCCAAACGCCCTCCCCACCCCGCTAACAAACCAACCTACAAAGTCAAAAGAAGCTAACTCTAGCCGAGACAGCAACAGGGCTTTACGCGCCACTCTATGGGCAGCCCAGTTGGCAGTCCGCGGAACCGCCCTAAATTCTATACAAAGAGACAAAGATCCAAGGAAACTCCTACAATCTCTAAGAATGGGGCCACCCACGGAATCCTCCACTGCACCAAGGCTAAACTGACGGATGACCACAGCCGCATCTCCCTCAATGATGACACGAGGCAGATTTCTAGACGCTGCAAGAGAGATCGCATCCCTTGCTGCAAGGAGCTCTGCAAGGTACTGCTTAGATTACAAATACTTTGGTAAATTTTGTCTAAAATGCAACAAATTCTACAATACATGTATAATATTATACATGCATTCACAACAATAGATATATTTAACAATCACAACTTTCAAACGACCCATAAGATTGGATAACATGTATTTGAAAGGACAACATGTACTTCTGACAAAGGTTGGATGTTAGAACATTGAGAATAAGACAATTAAAATGTATGGGAAAATGTATCTTCTTAGCAAAAAGTTACGTTCTTGTTATTTTATAATCATTTCTAAAATCTCAAATATCATCATAATACGTGTATGAATTCTTCAAACTCTCGAAATCTAAACTGAACTATCATTCTACAAATGACCGCTAACAGCTAAGCTAGTGATTCCTCTGAAAACCAACTCAACAAACGTTGTCGCTTTTGATATACGATTTTTCTAACGCTTAGTTCAGGAACGAGCCACTGCAAGCCTATAATATCAACATAATACATATACGAATTCTTCAAAATCTCGAAAACTGAACTATCATTCTCCAAATTCCTTCAGAAACCAACTCAACAACCGGTGTTGCTTATACGATTTTTCTGGTACTTGGTTCGTGAGTGCACACTGCAATCTGCAGTGTGCAAGCCTAAAATATATAGCATTGGTCATTTTTAAGGAGTCTGTGCTAGCAGCAAAATTGTCAAATCATAAACAACAACGTCAACATGCTTTCTATCAGTAATATTCTTCACATGAGGCCCAGACATCTTGTTTATTGTTACGACCTGGAAAAAAGAGGCACTTTTACAACACTACTGTCACAATTGGACATATGAGCTAAGCCACTGTTACAAGTCATGTGCTAACAATCCCTACTGTTTGCCCTCCTTTTACCTTCTAGACTTGTGGCCATCAAGTTCATAGTCCGATGGACGATCCCGACTACGCCCATCCCATCGATCATCCACTTCGTGCTCGCGTCTGGAGTGGTACGAGTGGTGGAACGACGAGTGACTACCGAAAGAATCTTCATACCTGGGAGGGCTCCTCCGTTCTCTATCAGAGTGCGACCTTGCAAAGGAAGGCATGAGGTCTCTAGGGCTGTCGACGCTATATTGGCTTGCATGGTAACTCCCATATCTTGGAGGGTAACTCGACAAGGAAGGGCTCGATACCGGGTCAACGCCAGGTGGCCCATCATCATCCATGAAACTTCTTCTAGGCCGTCTTTGTTCACTGCTGTGGTAATATCTGCCTCCTGAGTGGTCACTACTACGCTCTGATAGTCGGTTCTTATTAGTAGTATCGAAACTCGAAGACGAAGGACCACCAGCTGCCCATAGCTCTTCATCTGCATTCTCTGGGATTGGTGCATTTATTCCGGGAAATTCAATGGTCTTATTCATCTTGCGAGGAGGCTCGTGAGGCGGCTTGGGAATGTTGTTTTCCATTGTTATTTCTCCTTCTTCCTGTTCTTCACCGACGACCATGGCTTCTTCCTCACCAAATATTGTTATTCCTGACGGTTGCTCTTCATCGTCGGCATCTGAAAATATTATTATGTTGAAAAGGTTAATAAATGTATTAAAGTAGTCCATGCCCCAACTAAATGCAAAAGCTTGTGATATTCTGGATGGTAAATAACTCGATTGCTCTGCACAAAGCCCAGCTGCTTTAGTGGTACAATATAAAAATGGTGATAAGACTGAAGTAGACTACAGAATGGAAGCTTGAATTGAGAATGTAAATACTCCCAACTGAAGTGGTTCCATTACCTAGATATCCGGGTGGGTATCCCAGCTCTCGCATTCTGTTTAGCCATGGAGGTGGATCGAGCTCCTGCCCAGTTAAAATTCCAATTAGGGAAAGGGTGAAAAGATCAGTGAAACTTTTGAACAGGCAGGCATATGGAAATTGCCGTATGAGTTTTCTTTCTTGATTTCCGTGCCTACAACTGTCAAGGACCTTACCCCAATACCCAAAAGTCTGCGTGTTTCAGCATCAAGAGCACCTGGATTCAAGCCATCATACTTCCCACCAGATGAGCTCTGATAATAACGAATTGAACTGCGAGAATGGGAGTTCTGATTCCTTTTGGCCATATGTTGTTTGCGGGCACTATTAACAGCAGCAGCATCCCGAGGCTTGGTGCATTCTCTCATAGCATGGTTGTAAGACCCGCAGTTAAAACACCGGGCAGGATCACCAAATATCTCCAGGCCTCTATTAAATTCAGATACGAAAGAAAAAGAAACAATAAGGAATCATACCAACAGTATAGATAAGGCTCTTAATATGGGGACCAGGCGACATAAAGAAATCTGTCATAAGAGCTATTTAGTTCAGAATTGTTTATTCCATAAGTAACCTCTTGTTTGTCCGTCATCAAGCAAAACACCAAGTCAGAGGTCTACAATTAATTACTCAGACAGGCACAGCTGCTGGAAGCCGGGAACATACCATCCTTGTGGCCCGTGGCCGTAGAACTAGAAATCATGCAGCAACACTAGCATACTAAATTAGGGCGCTTTTCATATACAATTGTCTACTATTTTCCTGAAGTTGAACTACTTGGTGATTTTACCTGGGAAGTTAGCTAGTTGTTTTTACATTCACGTGCACATACCCATGTCCAGAGGGGTTTTATAGGTGGGTAAGCTTGTTTTTTTTTATAATGGTGATGAACTTTTATTAATGAAAGAAACAAAGAAGGTTCAGGAACAGGTTCCCACAAGGTGTTGGAATGCGAAGCAAAGGAAACAAACAGATGAAAACTCTCAGACAAGAGGAAAGAACAAAAGTCATGAAGCATAATCTGTAACCCTATTAGACACAATCCATCATAATGATGATGCCATGGATGTTATATCAATAATAACTAATGGTGATTGTACAAGTCCTCCTACCATCCAAGTTCACTAAAACAGAGAAACACTACCTTGAGGCTATCTTTGAGAGAAGATTGTTACCGTTCAGCATTGTTTGAGCCATCTGCCGATGTCAGACCCAAAACAAATCCACGATCATAAAGGGGCACGGAGTTGCTGTCAAGTGGCATGACACCGCTGGTCTGCTCATCTCTTGTTCGATTGTCTATGCAGAAAGACTACACATTTAGAAAAAGATGTGTCAAAAAAAGAGCCCACATAACAGACGAAACTGAAAAGAGCCAAAGAGTAATAGGTAAAGTTTCATAGTTTTTGCTTAGGGAAAGGCAGCTAGATGTAAACTATTTTACGATTCCAGTTACAATATAGCTATCATCACAGGATATGAGCACTTAAGTACCAAATTCAGAAAATGCCGCAGGTACAATTATGACCAATCAAAAGAAGGTAAGTGGACACACATACAAACTTGCAATGAGCTAGTGGAACTTTTAATCCCTGTAGTCTACTACACAAATAAATGAAATATGAAACTTTGGAAATAATCGTTGTGGGATAATGCTCAAGAAACAGCCCATACCAAGAAAACAAAGAAGGCTTATGTATCATGGAGATGTGCAGGGTAAGAGGAAGGCGACCGCAACATCCAAAACTCGAAGAGTTCATGAAAGATAATTATGCATATTAATATCAAAGATAGAAAATAAAACTTACAACTGTACAGGACTTCTCTATGCCAGTGCGTATGGCAGGAAAATATGTCTCCTCGCCAGATTCTAATGCTTCATCTGAATCCTGCAAGAATAACAACAGTTACTTATTATCCTGATTGTTACAGCTGATACTTAAGAAGGGGAATATGAATTAATTTGACAGCCTCCAACGTTCAAGTTCACTAACTGTTAGTTATCAGACAAAACAAAGGAAACTTAGAAACATCAACGAGACCCAATTGGTTAAATGAGATAGAGCAAGTAGTGTAATAATCACCCTCTAACAGCCAACAGATTAAATTTAAATATACTTCTGTAGTGAATGCCAGTATTTGTACTTGATTGGCACCACTATCGTCGAAACCAGAGGGTTGAAAATGCATAATTGCATCACCAAAACAACAGCTCCATCTCACCTCAGGTTTTAGTCTAGGCAACACGGTCCTATTTTGATGACCTATATGGCACGCAGTTAGAGAAGATTCATCTGATATAATGGACTCATTCTAGCACAAAAACCCAGACCTATAAGTTCACTCTATTTTATTAACTATTATTCCATGAAAGAGACCCACAATTATACACCTGAATCACTTTGAGATTTAAAGAGAAATGTTTACATTGAAAACTCATGGCTTTAAAAGGAACAAATAAATTTAATGATCTACAAGATAGAGAAGCAGCTTGCAGCATATCAATGAGTGACAAGGACCCACAATTCCTCAAGAACACTAAAACTCTTGCAATAGATATTTATTTGTGTACACAAGGGAAAACACAATTTTAATTATCAAGAGAGAGGGATCAACAGAAGAAGCCCTGTTGACAAGGTGAATAGTAAATACTAATGCTACTGTTAAAATTTGAAACACTAAGAGAAACCAAGACTTACTAGATACACGGTGTTGGTTGTGTGCCATTCTGACCAGCGTTGTAATAGCTCCTCAAGCTTTCTTTTGCTAGCTCTATAAAAGAAAAGAAGAAATTATCTAGCATAATCAACCAATAACATGCACATTACCACTAGAGACACAAAATCAGCTTAAGATGACGAACTTGGTTACCATTTTTAGAATTCATGAATGGTAACTACTGACCTTGTTAGAGAATTATACATGACTTGCACTGAAGGATGCTGTTGTTCGTAAGTCATCCTTGCTCTCTTAACGCCTGATCTAGCTGAAAGATAGAAGGAAGAAAAATTAAAACACAACCTACATTGAGAACAACTTGAACAATTAGATGTTAATAGAGTAGACAACCAGCATACCACAACCCTCCTTCATCACCTTTTAAATTCTCAAGTGGCATGTCAAGGCTACCATTTTCAGTGTTCAGCATGCTAACCACTTTCTCTTCAACTGAAATAACCTCCGTCACTTGAATATTTACATGCATCGGCGAATCAACCAGATCCATGTCAACTTCTGTTTCAACGTTAACCTGGCCATTCTTATTTTCGTTAACCTGACCATCATGAGTTTCAACGTTGCCTCCCAATTTATCACACCCTGATCCATCTTCAATTCCCATACTTGTACCAACAGCAGCTTGTTCTGTGCTAGCTTCAGCTCCAACTTGACCCCCACCGATGCATGGAGTTTCACTATTTGCTTTATCTTCTTTACCTCCAAAATCGTGAGATTGTAAACCAGCACTACTTGGTTGTAGATCAGGTTTGTTATCCTGACTCATAGTCTCCAAATTGCTCTGATCAGGGCTGCCACTGATTTCCCCAGGTTCCATTATTCACCAAAAATGATAGTGCCCCTCTTTCCGATAGTGTCCCTCTTAACAATCCCACTGACCAAGCTACTGCAGAACGTACCTGCAAAGAAACTTACTTTTAGAGTACAAGTTGGCATCAACAGAAGTTACTACAGTCACAGTAAAACTTAAGCTTCAGAACCTGACACATACGAATATATCAATATCTTTAAGCGAGTATCCATCTAGAAATTTCCAATCAGAACTAGGCATTTGAAGTTCATAACAAGTGATAAAATCCAAGAAAGCAGCAGACTTTAGCCCTAGCTGAACATGCAAAATGACAGCTCGCTTAGAGCGTTATACCAGCAAAACAAAGAAATTGGAATTGCATTGATACAGATTGCATAACCCAACAAGAAGAAAACCAAAATCCATTCGCTTCATTGGAAAGAAAATGGAACTTCAGTGCCAAGCCTTTACAGTCGAGATGCATGAGAGACCTATCAGTTTAGCTCAATCTTGAACCAATCGAGCAGGCTAGCAATTCAGGCTTTTGCCCCCCACCCACAAACTTAAAAGGAGAAAGAAAGAAAGAACGAATCCGGCAAATTCAGCTTGAGCAAAATCTTTTTGAACCAACAAAGGAAAATGGATTGGGGAAAGCGACGATAAAGAAGCTGCTTACCCAAAATTTCCCGGATACCAAACATACAAGCAAGAAAGAAGCGCAAGGAGATGAACAATTAGGGTTTTTCGAAGTAGAGAGTATTTACCTTGAACAGAACAGTGGAGTCCGGCCGCTCCCGCTCTCAGCCTCCGGGAATGAATCTGAAATCAGGAGAATCAAATGGAACGAGGGAGATTTTGAAATTCGCTGCTGTATTATTGTACTAGCTAATCTTTATTAGCTTCAATTTTCCTGAATTACATAGAGGATCCGAATCGAATCTCTTCACTCTTCACTTTTATCTCGTGCCTCTTTTATATTTTTCATCTATTTCACTAACGAAATGTAATAAAAAAGAGAAAAGTTACCTCACCGTTGCTCACACGCAACATAGTCTGATGAGTCATTTTGTAACACCTTAACCGAAGCTCGTATCGATAAAGCACGGAGAGATTCATAATTCATAATTGAGAAACTCACATTGATCAACAGTACGCATTTTGAGGTGAAACACAAAGTTCTTATAAGAATTCCAAAGTTAACCGTGCAACTATGGAGCACTGGAAGGATCCGTGGTTTTATGGGAAACCACCTTAATATGCACCCCCCAAGACTAAATCAGCGAGAGTCTAGGCCCAAAGTGACAACATCTTGTCGGGAAAAAGTTCGGAATGTTACAAGTGTCATCAGAGTCTCTATGCATCCTTCTTGAACGATGATGGGGGCAAAGCTCACAAAGGAGGTGTATGTAAACACCTTAGAAGAATCTCGCATCGACAAATCACGGAAGAGATCCATGATTTGTAAATAAGAACCCAGTCTCAACTGACAAACGTGTTTTGGTGTGAAATAGAGGAGTTCTTGTGAAAAATACATAGTTAAACATGCTCATTATGGATCACTGAAAGGATGCGTGACTTTATGAGAAGTCATTTTAATATGCACCAACAGCTAAAATTCGTGAAGGTATAGGTTCAAAGCGAACAATATCTTGTTAGAAAAAAATTCACGATGATACACGAGCGTTGTTGGGCCGAATCCCTTTCCCAAATCGACCTCTTCACCTTCTCCACCAAAGTTGCACTCTGAAAGATTCAGACCACGGTAAGGGTTTGTGCTCTTTTCTTTTTTCCCAGAATGGATGGGGTAAATCTTTATTAGTAAAATAGATGAAAAAATAAAAGGATGCTCAATTAATTGACTATAATTTGAATATAATGATTATTTGATCTTTTATTTGAACTAAAATGAGAAAGTGTTGTAAAATGTTATTTCACTCTGTCATGTGGTAAAAAAGATTTTTTTTTTTCTTCTAGCTCCTAGGTATGCTTAGGGGAGGAGCTAGGCACAAGCATAGTAATGGCAGAAAAAAAAAACCCCCCAAAATTGGTATTGTCCAAACCCAATTATTACGAGTAAGTTCAAGTTTGAAAATATCACTTTTGAATCATACTCATACCCTCCAAAAAACAAAAGTTTGGATCTAAATTAGACCCATTATATTGATTACCCAAAAGAAAATGGATGATTCTCATAAAAAAAAATGGATGACCAATTTGCATTTTTCTTTGTTTAAAACAAACATGAACGTGGAAACACCAACATTTCAAGGTGTGAATTGGTTGAAAACGAATAGTGAGATTATCGATGGTATTTTTTCGGGCATATCTACACATAATATAATACGCCGAAGGGAAAAACGGGAGCCCCATTTCAAATTTCCTGCAACGAGAGTGAAAGTAGGAAGGACATTTTGGTCTTCACAATTACTTTTTTTTATTCATTAAAAAAACAAGTACTGGGATTCGAACCATGACCATTTAAAAAAAAAACGAGAATCACAACCAATCACACTAAGTATATTTGTTGTATCTTTTTAAATTAAGAACATATAATAGCAGGGAGGAAATAACTCTTCCCCCATTTCAAATTCCCTACAACAGGAGCGTTCCCATTTCAAATTCCCTGCTCCAGGAGCATTTGTAGGAAGGGTATAATAGGGAGTGTCGGTTTTTTTCTCTTTCCTTTGTGGAACGGGCCAACTTATCGTACACATGCGGATTTGAACGGGTCTAGGAGTGTCAATCTACACATAATATAATACGCCGAAGGGAAAAACGGGAGCCCCATTTCAAATTTCCTGCAACGAGAGTGAAAGTAGGAAGGACATTTTGGTCTTCACAATTACTTTTTTTATTCATTAAAAAGACAAGAACTGAGATTCGAACCATGATCATTTTAAAGAAAAACGAGAATCACAACCAATCACACTAAGTACATTTGTTGTATCTTTTTAAATTAAAAACATATAATAGCAGGGAGGAAATAACTCTTCCCCCATTTCAAATTCCATACAACAAGAGCGTTCCCATTTCAAATTTCCTGCTCCAGGAGCGTTTGTAGGAAGGGTAGAATAGGGAGTGTCAGTTCTTTTTCTCTTTGCTTTGTGGAACAGGCCAACTTACCGTACACATGCGGATTTGAACGGGTCCAGGAGTGTCAATTTTTTTTCTTTAAGCCACGAGAGTGAAAGTAGGAAGGACATTTTGGTCTTCACAATTACTTTTTTGTATTCATTAAATAGACAAGTACTGGGATTTGAACCATGATCATTTTAAAGAAAAACGAGAATCACAACCAATCACACTAAGTACATTTGTTGTATCTTTTAAATTAAAAACATATAATAGTAGGGAGGAAAAAACTCTTCCCCCATTTCAAATTCCCTACAACAAGAGCGTTCCCATTTCAAATTCCCTACTCCAGGAGCGTTTGTATGAAGGGTAGAATAGAGAGTGTCAATTTTTTTTCTCTTTCCTTTGTGTAACGGGCCAACTTACCGTACACATGCGGATTTGAACGGGTCCAGGAGTGTCAATTTTTTTTCTTTAAGACCTTTTATTTCTCCGTGGTGATAAAATATATATGAAAAAGCAAAAATAATACTTCTTTTTATTGCTAAACATAAAAAATTTAACAATAAACTAATGCATGGTATCTAATGGGCTAACCGCTAACCATAAAATAAAAGAGTTTGATGGGTCTGACCTACACGGGATTTGGCCATCAAGTAAAACAAATGAACATCATTGGTTTGACATTCTAAAACAAGCTATTTTCTCTGGCATAATATATATTATGCGATTATTTTATATCTTAGTGGCTAAAATATAATGTATTTTAAAGTTATTCAATGGTTCAACCTCGACCAACCCAATTAGTCCAATTTTTATCATTTCAAATATATATTATATAATTATTTGATATCATAATGATCAAATTATAGTTTATTTTATAGGGAATCATCTGATATTTGTTAGTAAAAAACTAAACAGAAAGATCTATTTGGTTATTTTAAACATTAAAATGATCCTAAATATTTTCAGTTCCTTTTGAATTTCTATGGTTTTATTCGCGAATAAGTGATGTGCAAATGGCGAATTGCAGTCATATCTTTTCTTTCACTATTTTTTATTTTCAAATAGAAAGTTTAAAAGTAAAGAATAATTAGAATTTGACATGGGTCGGTCAAACAGGCTGAGTTTCAAGTTTTGGCCCGTTTTGATCAAGTCTAATTTATAATCACATGGTTCCTGATACCCGATAAAAATCTCAATCCAAACCAGTTTGTCAAGTGAGTCCGTGTTTACCACCATTTTCTAGGGATACGACAACGGCAATTCCTATCCCAAATCGTGTTGTTCGTTCTTGATTTCCTTAGATTTTATTATGGCCTGACAAAAACCATAAAGTCCAATGATGACAAAATGAAAGTTTTATAAAGCAAATTAATCGGCCAACGGACCGAGTAAAAGCTAGCAACGATTGTGAGATGCTCATTTCCCGAAAACCAACGGGATAGACGATTTTTTAATCGATTTTCTGGAATTCGGTTTCTATAAAACTTACTCCTCCTCATCATATTATTAGAAACAATATTGTTTCACAAGGTAACATGTACTTGATTTTGGTTCATAAGGCCGATTTTTTGATTCGTTGCATCATTCATGTCTCTTCCTACTAAAATTCACTATTTTTATCACGTGTTTCCCAAAAAAACTATGTAACAATAAGCTATACACCCCCATTACATTATCAAATTTCATACCTCACCTTCCTCCGGCCAACTGGCCGGGGCTCACACTAGTAATTATATAGACCACAAATAGATCTATTTAAGTCTAACTCAATCCAAACCCCAAACTATCAAAATTACATATAAGTCCATTTGAGTTCAACCCAATATCCGTATATGTCATAACAATTGAATTCAATTACCTAATATATCGACTCATTGTCATTCCTAACTAGGCAAGACTCAATTGTCCGCCTTATGCATATCACTTTCCTAATCTTGCATATTTGTAGAAAATGGAAATAATGTCTGCCAAGGTAACTAGAGTATGAACTTTACCAGAAAATGGAGGTGACGAAGTGTGTTTATTTCACCCCGGTTCCCCATCAACATCATTGTTAGAGTAAACAAAGATCTTTTCTTTTTTTGGGACGAACAAATAAACAAAAGATTAACAGGGCAAAATGCTTGGAGGCTATCAATATCATTACGCTAAAGTTGGTCCTATGATGTAGAAATCCGTTCCATAATTACAATTTATCACGAAGTTGACTCCCGCGTCCATACAAGATCCGACAAAATTGCGCAATTTTAAAAAGCGTCGCGAAGAAAAAACAGGGGGAGACTTGTACCAGAGACCACGTTCTAGCCACCAGTAGTTGCTGCTGTCCAAAATTTTCAAGCTTTCATTAACTCTCTCCCCATTTCGCAGCGACTAAAATGATAGCCATGGCGTCGGTGGCGTTGATGCTGGCGAGAGAAAGATAAAGAGACAGATTTGTAGAACATGCTGCGCTATCGGTTATTATTGTTGAGTTGAATTGAATCAAAAGCCCTCTCTCTGTCTTTTTGTGCCTGGTTGGATTTCCATTATGCAGAGGGAAGGGAAGAAAGTAGAATAAAGAAAGCGGAAAAGCTTTGCCTAGTTGGAGTTTGCAGCAGCAGCAGCAGGTACCATTACCAACCAACTGCTAGTCTAGTCGCCCCCACGTTTCTCTCTGCGTATTTTGTGGGTTAAACACACACTCCACCATCCTTCGTCGAAGTCCTTTCTTTTTCTTTCCATTTCCTCTGTTTCGTGCCTACTCTTCTCCACGACGATTACCCTCTCCCGGAAACTCCAGGAAGAGAATGAAATGTGGAAGCCATTATTGCTTTTGGACTTCTGGGTTTTGATCCTCTCCCCTTTTCATCTTCTGGGTACTCCTGCATTCCCCTCAATTCACTGCTGAAAGATTTTTGAAACCCTAGTGCTTCCTTCACCAGAAGTGAGCTACAACATTGAGGGTTTCCTCTGATTTGGGGTCTGCTGCTCTTGAGGTAACTTAATTCCCAATCTTTTGTCTAAGTTGTTGGGTTTCCAGCTGATCTGGGTGCCCTACTGAAGAGAAGTAATTGCTACGCTGCTTTTGCTTGATCCCCCCAAAATCTGGGCATTGAACCCTGAGATATGTTCATGTAGTGGTATTTTAGGGTTTCTAGGTCTCTGTGTCTCTCTAATGAGCAGTTCATGATGCAAAGTTGAGGACTTGAGGTAGTAGAACTATTGGCAGAGATAACAAAAGAGAAGAAAAGAAAAAGAAATGGCTTCATCTGCACCTGCACCAGACTCTTCTAGTAACTCTGCAACTCCACCATCGCCAACCATTATCCCATTGCCATCTCTTCTGCCTCCAACTCCCACTTCAAGCCAGCCTGATCAGACCACAGATCCTTCTTCCCCACCGCCTTCTACCCCTGCTGCTCCTCCTCCTTCCCCGCCGCTACCACCGCCGCCAACAGCAGCAGCAGCTCCACCACCGTCAACTCCGGCATCTCCACCACCATCATCATCTCCACCTCCATCATCGCCACTTCCAACCTCTCCACCGCCATCAGCTCCCGTTGACAATCCTCCTCCCCCTCCAGATGCCACTATTTCACCTCCTGCTCCAGATGCTTCTCCACCACCGCCGCCGCCGCCAGAGGTTATAAGCTCTCCTCCACCCCAGGCCTCCCCTACAACTCCTGATCTATCCCCTCCACCACCTCAAGCTGTATCCCCTTCACAACCACCACCATCACCTCCTTCGGATGACCCATCACCGCCAACAAAAGCAAAGCCTCCCAAAGGTCCCCATAAACGCCCCAAGGATTCTCCCCCACCTTCTTCTCAACCTGATAGCCCTCCTCCTACGGCCACATTGCCATCTCAACCTCCTGGGGTCCCTTCAACACCTTCTGTACTTTCTCCTCCAGCTCCTCCGGGGGATTCTTCGAGCAATGGCAGCGCTGCCACTTCACCTTTCCCCTCTATCCCTACCGAGAAACCAACTGCAAGGGCTACTACTGATGGTAGTGGTACAAATGTTTCTGGAAATTCGACATCTCCTTCTAGGAGTTCGAACGATGCAACCGTGGCAATTGGTGTTGTGGCTGGGCTGGCGATAGCTGGCCTCCTTGTGATGGCTGTGTGGTTACTACATTACAGAAAAAGAAGGCGTGATAAGGCGGATATTGGTTACACCATGCCTTCTCCATTTGCTTCTTCTCAAAACTCAGGTACATGGTCAGTTATTGCTCTGACTGTCTGTCTGAATTATGTAATTCACGCTTGTCTTGTAGATTGACCCTTCCTGAACCCGTTGCCTTGCTGCTAAAGGCTCTTCAAATAATTGCATTTGCTTGATGAATGAAGATACTAATCGTGGTCACTGACTGTAGAAGCTAGTCTATTAACCGAACAACATTTGCTTCATGATGGCAACTATGTAGCCTGATTTTCCATTCAAGATGTGAACTTGATATGCTTCTCTCCTCTAACAACACTGTTGAAACTACAAATAGAATGGATAAAATTCACCTAACTATGCCCTTAGTTCAGTTTCTTGACTGCCTCATTGCCAAGTAGTATTATTTTTGCATCACTTGGCTCCCTTCTATCATTCTTCTTACATGGGGATGGTTGGTTTCAGTCATTCATATAATGGTGACTAGTAGGACTAGTCTTATAGTGGAGAACTATTTCTTTATTTTCTGAGTTATGGAGGAAGCATTCCATTACTTTGTTTTCTATTCAAGTCTATGCTCATGAAAATGCCAGTTTCTGTGTTTGTATTAAATGTCAGCAAGAAGGTGTCCATAATTCATCACGTCTTGTTTTCCTTTATCAGATGCGTTGTTTTTGCGGCCTCAATCTTCTGTCCCCCTGCAAGGAAGCCCTTCAGGCAGTGATTTCATGTATTCCCCATCTGAAGCTGGCGGGCTAAACAATTCCAAGTCTTGGTTCACCTATGACGAACTGCTCCAGGCTACAAATGGTTTCTCAAAACAGAATCTCTTAGGTGAAGGTGGATTCGGTTGTGTATATAAAGGTGTTCTGGTAGATGGAAGAGAAGTAGCTGTAAAGCAGTTGAAAATTGGTGGGTCTCAGGGTGAACGCGAGTTTAGAGCAGAGGTGGATATTATTAGTCGAGTACATCACCGCTATCTGGTTTCATTGGTGGGTTATTGCATATCTGATCATCAAAGACTGTTGGTCTATGACTATCTTCCCAACGATACTCTGCATTTTCATCTCCACAGTAAGACACATATCCGAGATCAATATAAGTGGTAGTTGCTTGCTGTTAGTTTTTCTTCATGCCTTTGACTTGCAGCTAACTCCTGCGTACAAGTAGTTGGCAAGAGTGATTGGCTTCTCATATTTATTAATTGCTGGTGTATTTCTAAACCTTTCTTGGCCAACATGCTAGCGGAGGGAAATTATCAGCAGATTTAGGGGTTACTTTCTACAGTCTTGCATGTCATAAAGATGAAAAGAGAGAACTTCATCTACTCTCTATATCAGTCAGTCAATGATCACGGAAAGAAGCTGCTAATCTTCATTTTTACTGATTTTCTTTCATCTTTATGAATTATGTGCATGGCACTTGTCTAACTCTCTATATCTGTCATGCTTGGACCTTTTGCAGCTGAAGGCAGGCCAGTCATGGATTGGGCAACACGAATCAAAGTTGCAGCTGGTGCTGCTCGTGGCTTAGCCTACCTGCATGAAGACTGTAATTTTCTCTTTACCTTTAATCGCTTTCGCTGGGAGGAAATTAGCATATTAGCACTTTCCAATATGATTACAGGATATTATTATCATGAAAATCCATATTTTTTTACTCTGTTTGTCAGTCATAGATGCACTTCTACCTCTTCTACTGAAATGAATTTCCTTTATTTGTTGACATCTTATACTCCAGGCCATCCCCGAATTATTCACAGAGATATAAAGTCATCAAACATCCTTCTTGATGACAATTTCGATGCCCGGGTATAAATTTCTGTCCATCCCAGTTCTATTTAGGATCTCAACATTGTATAATTTGTTTAAACAGTGAACGAATGGCTTATGTATGATGCTGTGTACTAGTGGATGCCTCTTGTAACATTTTGCTTGAAAAGTAAGGATTTCACACAATCTCTAGCTGCCACATTGTTGCTTATGACAATCCTTTCTCTACCAAATCAGGTGGCAGATTTTGGACTAGCAAAACTAGCTTTGGAACTGGATTCAAATACGCACGTCAGCACACGTGTGATGGGAACTTTTGGGTACGTATGAACTGATTTGCTTTGTGTTCGACTCATCCCTTACTGGGAGCAAGTAAAATGTGGCCAATGTATGATAGGTAGTTGAAAAGAAGTGAACTTTGGCAGTGCCCTTGCTGTTGTCTGTTTGCTAGTATCTTCTTTTTTTATTGTCCATCGAGGCATCTATACTGCTTGGCTTTTGTAAATCATGCAATGCCAGAAGTATTCCCATTCATGTTCTCTGTTTCATATTCTTGTTTTTAGGTACATGGCTCCAGAGTATGCCCAAAGTGGAAAGTTGACTGAGAAGTCCGATGTTTATTCCTTTGGGGTTGTGCTTTTGGAACTAATTACAGGCCGTAAACCTGTAGACCCTTCTCAGCCTCTCGGTGACGAGAGCCTGGTTGAGTGGGTAAGCATTCCTCTTCGATTTCACTGATGCTCTTATTAAGATGCACGCTGTGGCAGCTTAATAATCCTAGCTTGTCAAACTACATGTACTCATCAGGCTCGTCCACGGCTCACTGAAGCACTAGACAACGAGGACCTCGACGTGTTGAGCGACCCAAGACTGGAAAAGAACTATGTACCGGGAGAAATGTTCAGAATGATTGAAGCAGCAGCAGCTTGTGTGCGCCACTCGGGTATAAAGAGGCCCCGAATGAGCCAGGTAAACCAACTTAGGAACGATCTCTAACACGGTTTTCGTATGTATGATGATGCAAAGTGATGATCATGTTGAATGAATTTTGTTTTTCCGACTGCGTGAAGGTGGCGAGAGCTTTGGATTCGATAAATGAGTTGTCAGATTTGTCAAACGGAATGAAACCTGGTCAGAGTGAAATCTACGATTCGAGGCAGCAGTCTGCGCAGATCAGGATGTTTCAGAGGATGGCATTTGGTAGTCAGGATTATAGTTCAGAGTATTTCAATCGCAGTCAGAGTAGTTGGAACAGTAATTCAAGAGAATACAGGGAAAGAGACCGGAGTTCCTTCATACCCTGAACTTACACAACCAGATTTCTCGACGTGAAAAGATTTGGTTACAGCTGATTTTGAAGGCGGGATGGATGAAGACGTCGACCCATATCATAATTTTTTTTGCATCACTGGATGTTGTTTAGTTCTGTTCAGTGTTGGAAGAACAGCACCATGTTCGCCTCACCATTTCAATGCTTCTTTCTCTCCCACAATCAGATCTCCACTGCTTTATCTTTTTGTCTTTGTAAGTTTTGGCCCTCCCATTGACGACATCATATTATTTTTGTTAGCACCTTTTTACTATCTTCCCCCCCCCCCCCTCTTGTTTAAAAATCAATTACTTCTCATTCATTTGTTTGTATGTATAAAAAGTGAATACTAATGGCAGGATTCCTTTATTGTTACACTAGCTTTTTTACCCGGCCTTTTGGCCGGAGAATTTCATTTTATCGTTGACATTAATTCAATTTATCTATATGTTTAAACTATTTTAGACCTTCTAAATTTATTATACTTTGTATTGATAAGTAAGTATGTGGTGTGTCTATATATTGAAAATTCTTAATACTTGGCACATTCACTTATAATGTTTGAATTCTCTAATCATAAACCATGTCACAAAGGTATACCACGTGCCATGTACAATTTTTTCTATCTTATATGAATCCACGTTGTTCAGATGAGGACATCTTAGTTAGAGTTTATTTGTACATATACTTCATTATTGGATAAATTTCTTCATCCCAATTAAAAGTTGACACTTTCGATGTTCATGAAGTTTACTGTAAGATCTTATTTGTATTTAGTTTCTTATACAATATGTATCAATTGCTAATTTCTGAAATTTAATTTGGACTAACTGAGACTCGTTGTCGTTGTTTATATAATATTTTAGAATCTCAATCCAAGATACTCACATACGGATTTTGATCTTAATATGGTGCGTTAGTGTATAATTTTACAACTTGTAGAACCTTCGTTTTCTAAAATTCATTTATGTTTGGTATTTGTTTAGAAATAAAAATTTCATTACTTATACTAATACATGCATTTTTCTGTATGGCCACATTTATTGTCCATATATAGCATATATATTAAAAAGAGTTTAATTATTTTTAAATGTAATTAATACTTGTTTTTTATCGGGATTTGTAAAATGTTAAGAAAATAAGGGGAAATATGAACAATTGTAAAAGAAAATAAGGGATGGAAGTACACATTATAAGTGAGAGAAAATTTATTCTTACTTATCATCTTCATTTATCCAATGAGGTGATCTATTCTTCCTCCATTGAATTTTTATCAAATTATTTTATTCCGTAAATATATTATTCGTTATGCATGTGTTTTATTGCAAAAAAAAAATGCATGTGTTTGCTAAGAAAGATCATATCGTTGATCAACTTCTCTAATCTTGCCTCATTTTCATGTGAATGTTCATGAAGTCTCCTAACGATCTTATGTTAACATATGTCTATCAAGAGACCCAAATTTAGTATATTATATAACAGAGTAAATACATTTTATTAACCAAATCTTTCAAAAAAAATTCAAAATACAAAGTATTAGCCAAACGTTAACTCCCCGTTAGCATTTTTGTTAGTAATGTTGACTCAACAACATGATGATGAGTTGGAAGAGACACGTGACGGTCTATAATCCAATTTAGTATTTTAATTAAAAAAGAGTTAAAAAATTATTAATGATAGCAAAAAAAGGTTAATATTTTGATGTGATACAAATATTTGGCTAATCATTTGTAGTTCGAAAGGTTTGGCTAATAATTTAAAAAACTGAAAGGTTTAACTATTTAAATGTTATTTACTCTATATGTATCAATTGCTAAGTTGTCTCCTCCCACATTTTGTCACGACCGCTACTGAAGTTCTATACCAGATATGTTCTGTCCAATCCTCACCTTTGTCCACCAATTCACGGCCCATATATTAACATCGCCAGCTAAATTTTAAATTGTCCTCCTACACCATTTCTCACATCACATGCGCCACCAAATTGTTGACATAGTTAATTTCGTCTACCCGGGTATCTCCACTCTCTATTGCATTTAACACCCGTTATTTGGTTTGCCTTCACTCAAAATTTCTTCTCCTAACGAAAAATCAAAAGGTAATGGCCTAACACCTACTTAGCATATGACGTAAACTGAAAATTTACTTAATAAGATTTATTCAAATATTTTTGTTTAAACAATCGCGATACATGTCAGCCTCTAAACATTGCTACACATATATATACTACAAAAGGTACAAATGAATTATTAAATAAAAACAAAAGGAAACATTAAATGAAGATAGAGATAGCTACATAAATTGAGCATTAACTTACTTTTGTGTTTGTAAAAAAAGTGTCAACCATGATAATTTGTAAATTTTTCAAGTGTTTATGTGGCAGCAAACAATTGTTGAATTGTCATAGATAGATAGATAGATTTTAAACCTTTATTTGATTAATGCATAGGTAAGTGGTTGATGAACACATTATGTTTAACATACAATTTTGCAAAGATTCATCTATGTTTAACATACAATTTTGCAAAGATTCATCTAACTTTCAGATGTATCATTTTTTAATGTATCTCGTGTCTCATCTTAAGATATGAAGTCAAGTTCATAAAAAATCATACCGAAGTCATTTTAAAAATTTTGATTTATAATCCTTGAAAATTTATTACTCCAAGTTTGAAAATTAAATTTCTTAACATATGACGTAAAACTCCAGTAGAGTTTGTTCAATTAACACGATCTAGAGCAAAAATGCAAAATATTAGTAATTTGTATTTAGGATACACTGTAAATTATTGCACCTATGATTCATAGGTCTTCACTTAATTAGAATGAATAAGGTTTTTGTTTAAGAAATAGATTTTATTGCTTGGTCAAGTTTCTATTCAAACGTTTCTTGTTTTCTCTCTTTAATTTCCATCTTTATTTTGTCGCGATAAAATGTTATTATGTATGTGTGTTTGTATAAATTTTTCATTAAAATGTAACATATTTGTAAATTATTTTAAAAGTGAGTTAAAAATTTACTTATTAGTGAGCTTTAATAAGATATTTTTTTGGTTGAGAAAAAAGTTATTTGTGTGACTCAAAGACATTAGTCTATTGTTGCGTACATCGATACAATGCAAAAGTAAAAACAAAAACATAAAGGAAGTATTGGAAAATAAAAATAAATATTAAAAAAGTTAGAGATAACAAATGTAATATGTCACTTTTCATACATTATTTATTATTGTGTACATTGATATAATACAAACAAAAGGATAAAAGAGAAATGAAATATTAAATGAAGAGAGAGATAGCTCCATAAATATATCAATAACTATTTTTCTTTTTGTAAAAATATTGTCCACCTTGGCAATTTGTTTGTAAATTATTGTAAAAGTGAGTTAAAAATGTACTTATTAGTGAGCTTTAATAAGATATTTTTTTGGTTGAGAAAAAAGTTATTTGTGTGACTCAAAGACATTAGTCTATTGTTGCGTACATCGATACAATGCAAAAGTAAAAACAAAAACATAAAAGAAGTATTGGAAAATAAAAATAAATATTAAAAAAGTTAGAGATAACAAATGTAATATGTCACTTTTCATACATTATTTATTATTGTGTACATTGATATAATACAAACAAAAGGATAAAAGAGAAATGAAATATTAAATGAAGAGAGAGATAGCTCCATAAATATATCAATAACTATTTTTCTTTTTGTAAAAATATTGTCCACCTTGGCAATTTGTGAACTCTCCAAGTGCTTAGGTGGCAAATAATTACTTTTGAATTGCCATAATATTATGTATAGATAGATAGATAGATAGATAGATAGATAGATTATGATGATTGGTGAAGGTTGTTAGGAAACTGATTTTGTACTCTTCGGTGTTATAAGAATAGAATTAGATCATCAATTGGGTCAGTAGAACAACTATACTAGTTACAATAACGGATTATTTGATTGTATGGTTAGAGATAAACCAAATAGATTTTAACGGTTTGACATGAAATCAGATTAACCATCTGGTTAAACTAGTCCATTCAACCTCAGTCACTATTTTTATTTATACTTTTTCCCCGATTTCCGAGTCTCCCTGTAGGATTTACTTGGTTCACTACGGATTGCCATCATGGTTATTGATTTGATTATAAAATAAAATTTATGATTTCTTTTGTGAGATAGTTTGAATGCTTTGTTATAAATTTTTGATGATAGATGATATGTATTTGAAATTATTTGTGATTATTAATAAATCCACTTCTAAATATCAGGAAAAATTCAAATATGAAGTTTTCGTGCTTCATCCAACTGAATCGACATCATTGAAAGGAGTACGTCAAGATGAACCGACGTCATCACATCAAGTACCGCTGAACTTTCTACCAACAGTTAACCGCTGAACCATCAACCACTAACTTTTTTTCAGTTCAAAATTCGATTCGGTTCGGAAAATATTGCTCTCTTCGGTTCGGTTCAATCATGCTTGTTGAAGAAGCTGATGGCTCTAGGCCCATTGAGCTCTTCGAGCCCAACAAGAATGTAAATAAACACACCTCTCAATTTTGGGCCCAAAGCCAACCCAACAGCAAGGCGGGAAGTTCCCGCGTGTTTTGTTTTCCTTTCCGGAGCAGGAATAGGATTACCGTTTGCAAAAAGGATATGGTTTTCCGTATCAATCTAGGAATCCGAATCCTGTGTTGATCATTAACTGTATAAAACCCCTCACCCGGCCTTCCAATTTCGCACTCACTCACTTACTTGCTCTGCTTAATTTCATCTCGTTGCTCTGCGTTTTCCCGTTGCTCTGTTTCCAAATCCGTCGTCGGCGAAGTAACGCTGTTTCTTTTCCGGCGAGCAGCAGCGATGGGGAAGGTTTCGTATAGGTTCGCGAGCAGCAAGGTGTACAGCGAGTTCGAAATCGGAGAAAGAGAATGCGTCTCTGTCGAGGAGTTGAAGATGGCGATCCTGAGGTCGAAGTTCAAGGCGAAGAAGAACGCCAATCCGAAATGGAACCCTAACGGGTTGTGCCTGGGAACCGACTACGATCTCGTCTTCACCAACGAGCAAACCAAGGAAGAGTACGGCGAACAAGAAGACGCGTTGATCCCTAGCGGCGCTTCCATTGCGGTCCGGCGAGTCCCCGGAGATCGTCGCCGGAGGTGGATCGACACCTCCAAGATCGTAGTCGAGAAAAACTCCGATCAAGAAAAGGAAGCGACTTTGATGGAGGAATCGAAAGATTCAGGAGAACCCACGACCTTAATGGAGAAGAGCAGCGTTACAGAAACGGAAGAAGAAGAAGATTTCCATGATTTCGGGGAAGATGCTCTGGGTTTAGAGAAGAAACAGGGGACGACTAGTGGAGCAGCGATAAGCAAAGAAGAGGAGGATATGAAGATCAAGAAATTGGTTAGCACACCTGCTCTGTCTCAGTTTCAGGGGAAGAGGAAACCCATGTGCGGCATTGGTGGTGGATCGTATGTGTGGCGGAGAAACAACGGCTGCGACGGCGGCAGCAGCAAGAGGCAGAGGTTGACGGTTCAGCCCGATGAGGAAACTTTCCGAAGGGAGATAGAAGCAATACTTCCCTCATCATCGTCATCTTCCAGCGGCAGCAACGATATGGAGGAGGAGGAGAAGAAAAGCACAAACAGAGGCAGAGTTCCGCCGGAGCTTCACTGCCCATTGTGTTCGAAGGTGATGAAAGACGCGGTGTTTGTAACAAGGTGCTGCTTCCGCAGCTTCTGCGATGGATGCATCAGGAATCGATTGATGACTTCAAGATCGTGTGCCTGTGGAGAATTGGATGTTTTGGTGGATGATCTCGTCCCCAATGTTACGCTTCGCCAAGTGATTAACAGAGTTGTCACACAGCCTTACAGTTGCTTCACCAACATCAGCAGCAGCAGCAGCAGCAGCAGCAGCATCAGCAATGGCAGGATGGCAGTTGTTTGAGTATTTACTTTGTAAAAGACTACTTACCAACCCTAGAAGTCAATAGGTTACAGGAGATGGTGGTGCTAAATATATTGCTTGATGGTGAGATGTTGTAACTCAAGCAATTCATTCGTTCAAATCAATGAGAAAAGAAACGGACTAAGAGCCCTAAGCTCTTCGTGGATTAGTCCTGCTCGCATCGAGTAGGGAAACCACGTAAAAAAATCGTGTGTGTGATTGTCTTTCTTTTGCTTCCGCGCATTTCATTATTTTACATTTACTTACTACTACCTGCGACACCCAAATTTCTATTTGACAAAACGTTGCAACTCTTCTGGAAATCGATGAGATCACTTTTGGCACTTGCCCTCTCCCCTGTTTTTGTTGTTCTTGCTGTTGCATCAGCAGGACGGCAGTTGTTTGAGGATACGAATCTCTGTTTGCCAATTTGACAAATTGATCAAAACGTGGCTTCCCCTTTCTTCCCCACTCAAGTCAAAATGTTTATATTATGATAGGGTCCGGATCGTGTCAGTAACTGATGGGTCAGTAACCCATCAGTAACCCATCAGCTAATCTCCACGTGTCAGTCCACTTTTTTATTTAAATTAAATGCGGAAGGGCAGTAAGGTAAAATGCACTTATCCCCTATTTATTGCTGACGCGCTGACTTTTGACCGACCACAGCAGGACCTCCTTCTCTCTCATCGAAAAACTTTTAATTTTCCTTCTCTTAATCTTTAACGGGCGATTTCTCACTCGTTTTAAGTCGAAATTTAATTTTTTTTGCACAATTAGATCAGATTAATTATGCTCTTCAAAATGACATCCACTTTGATATTTTTTTGACACAAATTTTTTTTCCAGTTATTACCAGTCTATACCATATGGTATAGTGTGGTAATATCAATATATATTTCGTTACCACCCAATACCATATGGTATAGTGTGGTAATATCAATATATGTTTCGTTACCACCCAATACCATATGGTATAGTGTGGTAATATCAATATATATTTCGTTACCACCCAATACCATATGGTATAGTGTGGTAATATCACACAATACCATATGGTATAGAGTGGTAATATCAATATATATTTCGTTACCACGCAATACCATACATTACCATAGGGTATAGTGTGGTAATATCAATATATATTTCGTTACCACCCAATACCATATGGTATAGTGTGGTAATATCAATATATATTTCGTTACCACCCAATACCATATATTTCGTTACCACCCAATACCATATGGTATAGTGTGGTAATATCAATATATATTTCGTTACCACCCAATACCATATGGTATAGTGTGGTAATATCAATATATATTTCGTTACCACCCAATACCATATGGTATAGTGTGGTAATATCAATATATATTTCGTTACCACACAATACCATATGGTATAGTATGATAATATCACATAATACCATCTGGTATAGAGTGGTAATATCAATATATATTTCGTTACCACGCAATACCATACATTACCATAGGGTATAGTGTGGTAATATCAATATATATTTCGTTACCACCCAATACCATATGGTATAGAGTCATAATATCAATATATATTATCTAAAAGGAAAAAAAAACAAAAGGAGGGAGAGGGGAAAAAAACTCTTCTTCTATTTCGTCTCATTTCCTCCACAATCAAGAACACCAAACGCCAAAAAAGGGAGAAAGACCGAAATTGAGGCCAACGAGTTGATGAAGAGACAAAAAACGCAATGAAAGAGGGTGGCTGCAAATTTTCTTCGTCGATTACTGGAGAGAAAAAAACGAAAAAAGAAGAGAAGGAAGCAGATCTAGATATGGAGAAAGAGATTGGAGAGAAAAAAAAAAATAACAGAGAAAGAGAAATGATAGACTGAGAGAGAAGAAGGAAGGGAGAAAGAGAAAAGAGAGTTGCAGAGAAATGATTGTCTCTGCTCCTTTGAAAAAACAACCATTAAAAGTGGTCTCCTTTTTTTGAAAAAGCGGCCATTAAACTTGGAATATAAAAAAAAATTCATAAACGGACAAAAATGCCCTTCTGGACCCCGCATTCAGCCCAGCCGCATGATTGATTCACCCTTAGATCTACGGTCCTAAAGTGGTTACTCACTGGTGAGTAACAAAGGGTTACTCACCCTATCTCAAGCCATTATGATATTGGTTATGTATGTTCATTGTTACACTCGTGGAAATTAATTGACTAGTTTTGGCAGTTAGTTCGTTACTCTCCCCTGTTTTGGTATTTCTTTCTTTCTTTCTTTTTGTAGTGTAGCTCCGTTCCAAGTGGAACCCTGGCCTTCTGTTTTTGGTGTTTACTCCAACTTCCATAGTTCGCTTCGCTTCTCCATGTAATAATCAAAATCCCAACCACGAACCCAAAAACCCAAAAAAGGTGAATGGAAAGCAAGCATGCTCTCACTCCCTCCCATTCTTATTCTTCTGCTACTGCTGCTGCTTCACCTCTCAGCAACAATGGCTTCCGCAGCAAAAGGGGTAGCAATTGGTCGATCCGGGTGCCCGACCCAATGCGGGAACGTACGAAAGCCACTCACAAGGGCTTGAATTTTGCACAGACTGAAGACAAGAATACCATGTGCGTAACAAATGGGGATCATCGGGAATCGAACACAATTACAATGCCACTGGACAAGGCCACCAACAATTACAATGCGAGCAGGTTGCTCGGTCAAGGTGCACAAGGCACGGTTTATAAAGGGATGTTGGATGATGGAAGAATCGTCGCGGTGAAGAAATCGATGATTCTTGGTGGAGGGAAGCTGAAGCAGTTCATCAATGAAGTCGTCATTCTCTCACAGATCAATCACAGGCATGTGGTTAAGTTATTGGGTTGTTGCTTGGAGACAGAAGTTCCTCTTTTGGTTTATGAGTTTGTACCTAACGGTACACTTCATCAGTTTCTTCACAATCAAACAGAGGAGCTTGTTTTGACCTGGGATGTGCGTTTGAGGATCGCCACTGAAGTTTCTGGAGCTCTATCCTACCTACATTCAGCAGCTTCGATGCCCATTTACCACAGAGATGTCAAGTCCAAAAACATCCTTTTAGATGCTAAATATCGAGCCAAAGTAGCCGATTTTGGGACTTCAAGGTCGATCAAGATCGATGCGACCCATCTGACAACTCGCGTCGAAGGTACCTTTGGCTATATGGATCCCGAGTATTACCAATCAAATCAGTACACCGAGAAGAGTGATGTCTACAACTTTGGAGTAGTGCTATTTGAGCTGCTAACGAGGAAGAAACCGGTGTCATCAAATGATTCGTCTGAGGAAGTGATGAGTCACATCACATCATTTATACTCTCATCAACGGATGAATCCAAATGGTTCGAGATGATTGACCCTCGAGTGTTGAAGGAATCAGGAAAAGTTGATGTACTGACATTAGCTAACTTGACAAGAAAGTGTGTATCTTTAACAAGAACAAGTCGTCCTACAATGAAAGAAGTCACAATGGTCAATGGTATTGGAAGGGATTCCTAGAGAGTCGCTAGGGAGTTGTATAAATGTTGAATACGATTATTATTATTAGAATTAGAATTATTATTATTATTATTATTATTATAATTATTAAACCACAAGTTTAAAAAAATTACCAAAAATACGAAATTACTGTTCCTTAAGAAAAAATCGGGACTTACTGTTCACAGAAAGGATTTATGATCTGCTGCGGGTGATCTTAGGTAAGCCCGAGTTCTGTCACATTGGGCTGGGCAAGTATGGCCATTGATTTCTTTATTATTTCTCCACATGCACGTGCTAATCTAGAAACAGCCACACCTGACACACACCACCCTCTTTTTCGTGCATCCCTCTCTCCTCTTCGTTCCTGTTTCCCCCATTCACCCTCCTTTACAATTGTGAAAAAAAATCCCTTTTCATGTCTTCCGCCCAATCTCAATCAAAGAACCCGCTCGCCATATCAACAATTCTTGAACACTTGATAAAGAAGAAGATCAAGTAAGAGCAAGAAGATCTTAGAAACAAAACCCTAAAAATGATTAACCGGCTGTTAGATGCTCACTGAAGTTACAGCAATCGCCGCGCCGCACAGGTAATCACCTGCCCGAGAAGAAGACGGATCGTGCGCTTGCCGGAGCTAGGCTCGGTCTGAGGGCAGAGATCACTTAGGAGGCTTCCTCTCTGAGCGCGCTCAACAGCTTTTGGAAGAAGATGAGAGATGAGTTGTTAGCTTCTTCTGTGAGAAATCGAGGGTTCCTCTTCCTCACCACCGAGAAATCTAATCGAAGCCATGGGAGAGTTGATTTCCTGGTTTCGTCGGCCGACCTCATCCTCTTTGAATAAGGACCCCTACGTCGTTGTCCCCTTCTGACTTCCTGAATCCTCGATCTGGCGCTGCCTCTTTGATTTCCTGGGTATCGTACAACGGTTTGGATGAAATAGTTGACTGTGGAACTGGCAATAATGATAGTGATGATGAAAGATCAGGAGGTCAGCAGTGAAAAATTGATCAAAGAAATCATGCATTTAACCCACCATCCTCAAATAGAAGCTTCATCAGTCTTCTCTCTCTAATTCCCTCTGTCTCTCTAAGTGCCAAGCTTTGGATTTGGCTGGATTAATTGCAATTTTGAATTGGAAAGGATGAGGTGTTGGATTTATGGACGTAATAGGTTGCTCTCCCGTTGAAATAAACGTGTTAGAACGGGCTATTCCGAATCGAAACAGATGAGCATGCATGCGACTTCTCTTCTTCACTCGAATCCAAAAGCAGAAATTGAGACCAGCTTGCCTAGCCGCCACTTAGTGTTCCAACTCTCCATCGGGAAACAGAGACAAAATTGGCTCGGCAGTTTAGCCGATTAGGAAGAGAAGAGTAGCCAATGAAATGAGGTAAATGGAGATACAAAAGACGTCTAGATGGGTTCTTAATTCTTTTCATCATTCCTTTGATTGAAATCATCAATGCATGTATCAACAATTTGGGATTGTTTAAATTTGAATGTTTAGTATCTTATTCTACTTGTATGGTTTCCTGTTGACTTTCATATATATATGTACTAATTCTTCCATATCTCGGGCATTGGTTCGTTCTTCAAAATGGAGTTTTCATTCGCATAACCAACAATCAACATTCATTATCTGCGTTACTTCTACTTTTGCATTCATCTTAGTTTAGAATCTTGGATTAGGCTTCCTGTTATTTAAAGTTCAGCTAGGCCATAGGGCATTCATTTTATTCCGAAGAATTTCTTATGAAATTAATGAATAATACTGGCAAGGAGAATTGCAGGTTGCACAACTGAAATATGAAAAGAAACATAGCTTTTGCAAGTCATCTCATGACAACTTTGTAGTTCGTATATATCAAGACTTGATATTTATGTCATTATTAAATGAACTTATTTGGATGAGCTTAGATATAATGGCTGAGACATTTCGAAAGGGCTTTATAACATTGATTTTGATGCACAGGCTGTTGTGTGGCAACTTATGAAACATGTTATTTGGTTACATTTACTTCACCTTTCTTATGCTCCCTATTTCACATCAGTTCGACATAGTACGATTGCAGTGATTTTCTAGCTCTTTTGCAATTGTGTCTCAGCTGCTTGCATCAATTTTGACTTGGATGCAAGCATGAAACACTCATGACATTGCTTTACTGTGCCAGTTTAGGGTGTCCATTCATTTTAGCTATTAGGATATTGTTTTTGAAGTCATGAATGGTTCTACGTGGATTTGAATTTGTGATAATGACTCAGATTGTGTTCTATACTTATATATATGCCTGTCCTTTTTGTTGCTCATTTACTACATCATGTAGTGTTGAATACGAGTTATATAAAAAAAAAACTTGATTTCAATTTGTTTTTGTTTGCCTATCCACTGCTATTGTTTAACTACATGCATAGCACAGTTTCTATTACAAAGCGGTAAACAAAGTTTGCAAGAGTTATGCATTCCCCATTTGTTGTGTTGCTGATAGAATAGGCATTCAAAAACAAAGAATCAGAGCTAAGCTTTCATTTTTGAGCATTTGATCTCATTTAGGTTTCCTTTGTTGTTTCTTTGTAATTGAAGAAGCTACATTATCTTGATTTTAATTCTCAACAATGCAGTTACCTATAAAAGTATAATGATAAAGAACTTCAATTTCATGGAATGTTCATTAAATCAACAAGTATATATGCAGAATAGGAACATATGAAGAATCAATTAAAATCCAGTTCATTTCAACTTGAATGTTACAATAATATGAAATCCATAATGGTGTCTTTAAAATTGGAAGTTTATACTGTACTTTTGGGTTATAGTATATAGATTAGAAAGTATACAAATACAATGGGGCAGAGCTATGGTATCAGCTGCTGCAGAAAAGTGCAGAAGTGATTTTATTTCAAATTAACAATTAAAAGTAGTTTCATGCCTCAATCGCTAACCTTCTAAATTAAGAACCATCAATCTATCATACAACGAATCATACATATTCCGCCGCAGAGCGCGGGCTAATTTTCTAGTAACAATTAACAATTAAGTACTTGTTGAACAAGAAAAACACTTGCACTGAATAATTGCAGTTTTGGTAGAGCACCTCAATATCAGGCTGACAGGCTCATGTTAAATATAATCATATTCTCTTCACTGTCTCGTGTTCATAAACTCATCATGTTATAGAGCATCTCAATCTGCATTTGTTCCTAGTGCCAGCTGCATATGGCTTTACACTCACTTCACCAGCAACCTAGTTTACTACTTTACTTTGATGGACAAACCCGAATTTCACATAAGCACGAGTGATGTGCAGAAGTCATCTAGAACGTGCTTATTGAGCTCGTTTGAGTTGAACCCGCTAACTTCGGCTGGAATTTCTAACAAGTGACATACATATTTGTAAAAAACCAGTAGCCACAACATGTTCGTTAATAATAGCAGACATCAAACCAAAGGCAAGCTAGGCGAACATTAAGAAGAGGCGTAAAACAGAACATAGCCCTTTTCCCTGCATAAAAGCCAACGGAAGTAGGCGCAAAGGTTTATTTTATCCTTTGAGTTGAGACCATGGAATTCGTTTTGGGAACGAGGATTCTTCTAGTTTGCCTGTCCTAACTCTGTCAAAAGTAGAGCAATTCAGTTCAGCTCTATCAGCACTCAGCACATCCATATCATAATATGAGCCTACTCTTCTACTTTAGACCAAAATCACCACTGTTCGTCGGAGTTCATCTCATCCATCCGTCCATTCATTCATATCACCAATTTGACGCTGAGATTCCTGCACTCTCTTGGTATGTTTACTATCTAAGCCACCATTTTTGCACAGCTGAAATTGGACCTTGCAGGAATGGACAGTAACGGCTCACAAGTGGGTTCACGCTCCTCCCGATCTTAGCCCACCCACTTTGATGATACCCAGCAGTAACTGGAGCATGGTACATCAGCTTCAATAGCTGCCCACAACAAAACCAAACAAACAACAAAGCAGCAACTGATTAGTAGTGTAAATTCTCCTTGTTCATTGCAAAATGAGAAAAATGGACTCATATTGATATTTATTAGATGATGCCAGGTTTGTAGACTCTGAAGTATTACAAAACAGTAAAATGCTTTCAACCCGGTTCATATGCACACAGGAAAGGCATAAAGTAATTTAAGATAAGTTCGATAGGGATGGATCATCAGGGAATAATTTTCCTTTACCTGCCAGTACATGAATGTCTGTATTATGTTTCGTTGCCACCTGGAATAGCACAAAAGAATCTAGGTAAAATAGTCCACAAAATACAGGACTGAAGAGGAAAGAGAATAGTGAGGTATCCCTCTTTACAGGAAGAGGGCATCAATAAAAAAACAGGCTTCCCCGAGACTCACGAGAACAAAGACAGAACTAGGAGGAACCCAACTCCAATCTCTGCATGTGAAGATAGAATACTGAGAGTGGTGGTGTTTGATTCCACCCACACACAAGGGTCTTCAAGGTACCTCCTATAGAAGTAAAACCAGCGCATGGTGGGTCAAGACTACATAAAATTCATAAAAGAAGATTGACCACAGATTCGACTGAAATGCACAACCTGGTCTCTTACCTGTACAAGGAAGAACTGTTGAAGTTACGCCTTAAGAACTTAGCAACATTCAGCAATGCCCGGCATAGAATAGGGATTAAGGCAACTGCTCAAACAACTACCACCGTTAGTGCAACATATCCAATGAAGCCAGTGAAACAAAATTCAGCACAAATCCAAAAAATCAGAATACTCACATGTCAGGCATAGATTTGAAGTGACAAAAGTCAAGCAGTAGATAAAGTAGATGAAATCTTTGGTTGCAATTATTGACTGCAAATAAACCTGCAAGGCCTGCAAGTTCCATGCCCTAGGCCTCTACAGAAAATCAAGCTTGTCAATGACATATGAAACAAGCATTGGTGGGCATAGCAAGAGAAAAGTAGGCAGTACCCCATATTGCATGTACAACGAATACAGAGATGAACAAGCAGTTCCCATGAATGCCAGACGATATGCTCTATTGGAAAGACTTCTAGGCACAATAGGGAAGATTGCCAGTACAGCCACAACAAAAACCTGCGCCACAACAACCATAAACTTGAGGTTACCAAATGCATGTGCAATGTAGTCAAAGAAGACTTGTGAACCTAATGCACTATCTTCACAATCGATAATCTGTTAAGGTTCCATTTAACATGAAAGACAAATAACCTTGTAAGGGAAGTTCGTATACACAGTCCTTATATCAAGCTAAAAAACCCAAAAATTCCCTAAGCCACAATTCTCTCCCCCTGTCTCTACATGATAAGGAGGACATCACGCTACAAAAGGCTTCAGAACCCCGGGAAATACCATCTTCAATAAGTGATAAAGACAGTGACTCTCCCTCTCAAGCATATGAGACTTAACTACACCCATCATCATGATTCGCTCATTGTACCCTGAAGGAACCAAAAATGAGACGATAGAGTATGATTCTAAAGCTATTTAAGAATTTGAGCATGTTCCTACATCTAATATTTCTGGTAACCATTCAAAGCCTTGGAAACATTCCACCATTAGATATTAGTAACCAAGCTAAGTCAAGTCCAATCTTTCACTTTACAAGGTGGCAATCCACTTCCATATTTAACACACTTTCTAGTCAGAAGAGATAGTATCTACTAGTTCACTTCTAATTAAGCAGTTTCACATTCGTAAATACCGGGAATGCCAGCTTCATGAGTTTTTTATTTTAATTTTTCCATGCAGAAAAGGCATCCGAGGAAATTTAAGGCTATTGTTTTAGCTAACTCTGAGACAAGGACTATCAAGCTTAGGCTCTCAGATTCTTCTAACTTCAAGCACCATTTTAGTTGGGATCAGTGCTGATCAAAAGACAATGTCCATAACTTCATCGCTTCAAGACACTTACTATGAAACCTGAAGCCTAGACTTTCAGATATCAAATATATATCTAAACACCCATTCCATTAGCGGATTGACCGATGATATTAATGACATCAACCATAAGTCAGGCACCCTACTTTGATAAGTAATGAGCAGTAATTGCCAAATGGATACAACATAGAGGCTACCATAAAAAAACAAGCATGCCACAACTTGGAATAGTATCGAATGACACTGAAATTGTATGTCAATACAAAAAGGAACAAGATATGAATCTTCATTTTCAAAACAACTATTGAACCATATGCTTCAAAAGTTCTGCTTGTGCGGAAAGCAACATGCATTACTGAAAAGTTACTGAAAGCAACATGCAAGAAATTAGAAAAGCCAAGCAATAGTTAAGTCCAAACTAAATAAATTAGAAGACTTTCGCATAAATTAAGAAACTAAAGGCAAACCCATAACAAAACAGTAACCTTTACATCACCGGTTCAATATTAGTTTTACTTAGATGCAAGACATTAAAGGTTAGAGAAAACAAGTACGACTAGAACCATAAATGGCGGATTTTGACTATCTCATGAGCATGGCAATAGTAAAGCAACGCAATATTTATGTCTAAACTAAATACATTACAAGGGTTTAAGGCAACCCCACAAACAAAACAGTAATCTCTAGACTTCTATCACGTTCTATATTTTTCCACTTAAATGTAAGCTGCATAAGGTTAGTAGAAGCAAGTAAGCCAGAAACATAAAAAGAAAAGCAATTTACCCAAGCGTTGACGGAAAATTGTATAGTTTGACGATCCCAGCGTACTGAAGTTGGATTTTGGGTAGCAGTTGGAGTTGCTCCAGAGTTTGTGGTAGTTGAACCTGAGAAATATTGACAGTATCAATTAAGTATGCTGGTCACTAGTAGCATGGCATGGTTTGTTGATTATGTAATCTTTTTTTACTGTTACACATCATTTGAACAGATATATGACCAAACTTCCAACCTGTGCTTCGCTGCCGAGGTTGTTCATTTGATGATCTCGATGGTGATGACGAGGATCCAGAAGCCGATTTTGTAGATTGAGAAGAGCCAGTTGAAGACATAGCCTCAACCACAAGATCAGGATCCTGCCAATGCAACATGTCAAAGTTATATCACCCAAAAGCAAGTGTAAACACATCAGCATAAGCATCCAATTTGTGCAAAACACCATAATCAAAGTACAATATTAGCTTAAGCCCCAAGCAAGTGGAACATCCAGCATGAACCCCAAATTGAAATGCATCAGGGCACCAACAACAACAACAGGATGATGCTAGAATTGCTAAATTTGAAACAGAAATGGCAGAGCACAGCGTTTATCGGACACAATCAGCACAAACAGTGAGCTAAGAAGACATCCAACTGAAGGCGACAGATCAACGAATGGCGATGCATATTTCCGACTCCAACACTAACAATTTACACAACCCACTTGAGATTCCACAATTATCACAACAGTCATTCAAGGGGCGCTACACAAACCTACCCAAAAGTTACAAAATTAGTAAAGCTAAGGTCTTGGATTCACAATTCAGACTACCAATAACAAAAGGGGAAGATAAAGATCGAGAAAGGGGGAGGTACGGACGATGTAACGCTGGTAGAACTTGCGCTTGAAGTGGTCGACAACGTCTGCACGAGAGGCCATGTGGGGAGGGATGAGGATGTTTGACCAGTAATCCGCCCATCTGGGGTCGTTCTCGTAATCGTAAGCCGCCGCCGCTATTCTCTTAATCTTCTGTGGATCCTCCCTCTCCTCGCCCATTGCTACTTCGTCGAGCTTTTGCCTACTACTCAATAAACTTGGTGTGGGCCTGTGAAGGATGATTCTGTTTAAATCGAGCCGAGACTCAGTGCGTCGGGAGAACTCCGGAAGCAGTGAAATCGGAGAAGGAAGATTCCCTCTTGCGCACTTCTTCGTTTGGTGAGGAGTCTGAGGACTCTTGTCTCGGGAGAGAATGTAGAGGAAGGCAGGCAGCAATTTTACCTTGGAGTCCCTCCCCAAAACGGCATCCGTTCCGAAATAAACGACATGCTTACTCCCCGGTTTCACTTTTTCAAAGTTGTCAAACCGGTTTATACTTATACGCTGATTTCGTAAGTAATATGATCCGACAGGATACGATCAGTTCATACTGGTTTAATAAAATGTATATTAAATGTGAGAAACCATCAACATCAAATTGATTTAAGTTGGTTCGGTGTTATGAGAGTGTCTCCAGATTCTTAGCTCTTTTTCTGCTTGTATAGAGTTTAGGGCGGTACCTAGATCCGCCAACAGTGCTGCTCATAGAGTGGCGGGTAAAACACTGCTTTTGTCTCTTGTAGAGCTAGAATCTTTTGATTTCTTGGGAGTAGCTTCAGTAGAGTCTTTTAGGGGTCCTGAGTAGAATTGTAAGCTTAACTATTATCTTTCATTGATATCACTCATAAAAAAAAAACATATTTCAAGACAATCTCCTTATAATTCATCATCATCATCATCATCATCATCATCATCATCATCATCATCATCATCATCATCATCATCATCTTCTAACCAACATAAGCAGACAGGGCATGACTAACATCAAAATTACAAAATTAATAATAATAATAATGATAATAAAGAACGATAATTCGTATGCAACCAGACTCCCAATGCAAGTCTTTTTTGTCACGAGGTTGACAACACTGTGAAAGTCCCAAAGAAGAAAAATACACAAAACTGACACAGGGGACAATAAGAGAGAATGAACTTCCCTTGGAATGGCTCAGACTTTAGAACGAAAAGTCTCATAATCTACATCCCTATTTAAATAAAATACAATATTTTAAATAAAATAACAATACTCATACGTAAATAAAACATTTAACGTCAACACCCAAACATTTATATTGAATCCATCAACATTTAACTTTCAAAATCATGAAATAAATTATAAAGTAATTTTTGTTGATTGAATGCACTAAAATGACATCATTTGTTTAGAGGTCGGAAATTAGAGATGACAAACAAACTCATGACCGGGGGTATCCGACTGGGTATGGGTAAAACCCGCAAAATATTTGATGGGTATAAGACGGGTATGGTTTTAACCTCCCCTGCCCCATCAAAAAATTTATTCACATGTACAAAATAGATGGATAAAATTGTAACCTATCAATGATAGTGAGGATAACTCAAGAAAATAAATAGTAGAAATGTAATTGAGTAGCCACCCAAATCAAAACATAATTCCTTTTTCTCAACTCTCCATTCACTCTTTCACTTTTTCTCACGTGTTAACAAGATTATGTTAGTTAGTTATTACTTTGTAGATATATTAGAGTCAGAGAATAATGATTTGGATTACATTGTACTCTATCTTATGGATTAATAGATGTTTTAGGATAAGATGTTTAACCGTATTAAGAATGATTGTCTCTTTGTTGACTTCATGATATAGTAGGTGCGTTTAGTGTTATAATTGAAAAATTGCATGTAAAATTTTAGGTATGATAATGTTGGATGTATGCGACGGGTATTACCCATGGGTACCCGAAACCCACGAGTATGGGGATGGGTTTGCAAAATCTCCCCCCGCATGGGTAAAGGGAGGGTATGGGTTTCAATATTTGAAAGCGAACATGGGGATGGTTTAGGCAAACCCTTCTCATTGTCATCCCTACCGGAAATTCATCATGCTTGTCGTTCATGGAGCATTCCAATCGGTTTTATGTCCGATAATGGTTGAACCCAGTTCTAAGGACTATCATGCCACCTGTTTGGCAACTATGGTTCACGCTAGTGGAATGTCGGCCGGTGGAACCGACGTCATTCATGAAACTAAATAGAACTCCACCGGTATCATCTATTTTCAACCTCTAAACAAAATGATGTCATTTTAGTGAATTTAATTAACAACATTTTTATTAATTTATTTCATGAATTTCAAAGTCAAATGTTGAGGTTGTTTGTAGAATTCAATTATACATGTTTGAGTGTTGATGTTAAATATTATCTTTTAAATATGAATATTTGTTATTCTGTTGGAATGTTGTGTCTTCTTTAAATATGAATGTAAATTATAAAAAGATGTCTTGAAATATATTTTGTATACATAAATTCATTAAAATATTATTTGTATGCATAATACTGTTATCCTAAAATTTGGAGGTAATACCACTTATCTTTTATATTACTTATTTTTATTTTCAAGTTTCTTTCCGTCTTTCCATAGGCAACCCCAATCCAACCAATAAGTCTCAAACCATTTCGTTTATAGGTTCGACAACTTAAAACTATTTGAGTGTTATAAAAATTGTAGAAATGGAGAAGAAACAAGAACAAAAGTAGAGAGGAAAAACACAATAGAAGAGGGGAGAAGTGTTATTCTTTTTATCCATCTTATTCCTTTGTACAATAGGATGCTCTATTTGTAGGCACATATACATAACCTTTATACTCTATCAATGCACATGAATGTGATATAATAATCATGAAGATGATTCATTTCTATGATCAATGTAGGAAGGTAACTTTCTCCTGATACAACATCCAATATGGAATCCAAAGTAGCATCCAATGAACATTCACAATACTACGGGGTCGTTTGGTAGTTGTGATTCATTACAATGCAACGATTTACATTCGCAACTTCCAAACGACCCAATATTGGAAGCCTTCATTACCATTATTTTTATGAATTGGGGTGCTCTAATCGTAGTTATTTTTCTTTTTAATTTTAGATCCCTTGTTTATAGTGACCGTGAGATTTGTTTATTGTGATGTAATGTTTTGTTGTACACATCAATTGCGACGAGTTTATTGTTTAATGATTTTGTTGTTATCCACCCAAGAGTTTTCTCATTTTTAGGGTTATATGTTGTAGGCATGTGTTTGTGGTGTCTTTTTCATCAATGCAGGATTCATTTGTTGAGTCCCTAGGGGATTCATGGCTAGCATAGAAAATTCCATCTCATTCCTTCCAAGGAATAATACAATGTGATTGGTGAAGACACATCAAAATCCAAGAAACCACCCTAATCAATGAATGAAATAGTGAATAAGTTGTTTAAGATGTGTCTAACATTGAGATGTTACTACGAAAACGCAAATGTTCTATACAAGTGGTTTCTTGTCGCTCAATCATGTAATTCTTATCATACTCAACACCAATGTCATTCCCTAATGACTCTTTGGGAATCCCCTCTAATATCATTGTGACTTCTTTCATTGTAGGACGATCCTTCCCCGTTAAAGATAAACACTTTTTCGTCAACTTAGCTATTACCATTATATCATCTTTTTTCGCTTCCTTCATCACTTGAGGATCAATCATGCCCAACAGCTCGTCGTCCTCTTTGGGCGTGAGTATAAATGATGTAATATGACTCATCACTTCCCCCGAGTCATTCGAGCACACCGGTTTCTTCCTTGTCAACATCTCGAAAAGAACTACCCCAAAGCTATAAACATCACTCTTCTCCGTGTAATGACTCGATTGGTAATACTCGGGATCCATGTAGCCGAAGGTACCTTCCACGCGAGTAGTGAGATGGGTTTGATCGATGTTGATCGACCTCGAAGTCCCGAAATCGGCGACTTTGGCTCGATACTTAGCATCCAAGAGGATGTTCGTGGACTTGACATCTCTGTGATAAATGGGCATGCAAGCTGCTGAATGCAGATAGGAGAGCGCTCCAGAAACCTCAGCTGCAATCCTCAGGCGCTTCTCCCAAGTTAGAACAAGCTCCTCCTCTGTCTGACTGTGAAGAAACTGATGCAGCGTGCCATTGGGTATGAACTCATAAACCAGAAGAGGAACCTCTGTCTCCAAGCAACAACCCAATAACTTAACCACATTCCTGTGGTTGATCTGCGAGAGAATGACGACCTCATTGATGAACTGCTTCAGCTTCCCTCCATCAAGTATCATTGATTTCTTCACTGCTACAATGATCCCATCATCTAACATTCCTTTGTAAACAGTTCCCTGTGCACCTTGGCCGAGCAGCCTGCTAACATTGTAATTGTTGGTGGCCTTTTCTAGTTCCTTTGAGGTGAACAATCTGAGCTTCTGAACAACACCGCTCTCCCCTGAGGAGGACAACTGTTTTTGGAGCAGGAGACCGCCATTTCTTTTGAAGAACTTTTGCTTGAGTTTCTTTTTCTTCCTCCTCTTCAATGCTTTGTACAACCACCATAATCCAAACAATGGGAGCAACAAGCTGAATCCCAAAGTTACACCTGTAGGAAAAGTGACTTTCCATATCATATTTTACTAAAATATTGACCCGCTCGCTTGTGATTCGTGTTGAACGAATGAAATATAAAACAGTAAATTAGAAAAGCAGCAAGAATAACCACAAAGATGTTGTGATTGAGCTCTATAATAATTTGCACTCGCGAACCAATGTAAATAAATAAAAAAGAATGATATACATATCATTGAATAAGATTAGGTTGAAGGTATACTTAGTCCATGTCTCATTAAAACAATACACTTTTGAGTTATTAAATTGGACTCCATTTCCCAAATGACCCCTCAAATTCAAAAATAGCTCTATTGGAAAAGAAAATAATTATTTTGATAACGATTACCTACATACGGTTACATAAGAGGATTTGAGTGAGCATGGAGTCGTGAATGAGAAGAAGATGAATTCAGACGACATATATACAGAGAGTAAATTGGACTCGATAGCTAATGAGACATGAGATTCCAAAATAGTATATTATATATAAAAATAAAATAATTATTTCACTACCTAATACGATGAGGTGAAACCATGAATGAGAAGAATATGAATTCAAACAAGGTAGAGAGGGAGATTGAATCATCCGAAAAACAAGATCGAAGCTCTTGCGATGGAAAATGGGAGGAGTACAGGTAAGATCCACCTTGGCCATATACATTTTTATCTTTTTCTATATAAAAAAAAAGGGAGGAGAGTTACCTAGTAAAATGACATTCCTGGAATCCTGTTTACCTAAGAACTTGGGAAATTTGTAGCTGCTGCACCTGTAACTCCCTTTGAGATTAATGCAAACTTTATTCTGCTGAGCACAAGGATTGTGAGAATCTTCACATTCATCTATATCTGCACAAAATCTCATCAGTCTCTCAACTCTCGCCATGCCATTGCCATTGCCATAGCAACCAGTAAACTAAACAACTTTCCATCATTACCTTGGCATCCTTCGTTAAGATAAGGGTTCCCCTGAAACCCATTGCTGCAACTACACTGAAAGATTTCCCTCTTCCGAGTAAGCAACCTGGCCGTGAAATTCGAGAACTTACAGTAATGGGTCGAAACTTGCTGCTGATCCGATAATCCACCGCCAGTTCGTCGTGGCCAGGCAATCAAACGGTAGTGTTTCTTATCAACCATCCACTTGAGCAAAACAGGGATAAACTTCCTCTGCCCCAAAACATCTGGAGTCGAATTGGAATCCTCCATCCACCGCTTGTCTACAAGATAAGCAGACTTGCACTCCCCGAGCTTCAGCTTCCTCCCCCTTCCTCTAGTGCCGTCGAAGCTGACATTGAACACCTGGAGCCGGGACGGGATCTTGATCTCGCAGCAGTCGATTCCGCTGCAGGATCGCCGGATCGGCTCCGAGAGGTCTCTTGTTCTGTCGCAGATGGAGAAGCAGCCGCAGACCGCCGACTGCCGCAGCGACATCAGGGCGAGGTTGCCGCAGCCCACGGCGGAGAATCGGTTCTGGAGATGGGAGAGGACGAACGGGCCGCCGGACAAATCGACCGTCACCCGCCGCTGCTTTCGTGTGGTTTGGTTGCCGCAGTGGGTTAGGGTTGGGAACAATGTCTGGATCGTGTTGTTGGGGACGGAGATTTGGAGGACCTCGAGGTAGGGTTTGGTGAGGAATGGTTTTGGTGGGTTGTTTAGGGTTTGGTTGCATAGGATTTGGAAGCGTGATTCGAGGTAACAGCCTGGACCCATTCCAAATGGGAATGGGATGGTTACGTTCCCGCATTGGGTCGGGCAGCCCCGTCGCCCTATTGCTTCCGATTGTGCTGCTGCTGCCGCCATTGTTGCGAGCTGAAGCAGAAGCAGAGGAATGAGTCGGAGGAGTGAAAGCATGTTCGCCAAAATTTCCCTTTACCCTTTCTTTCTTTCGTGATTGAGGATCCATTGTCGCATTACATGGGGAGGGAGGTTGGGGAAGGTTTGGAAACTATGGACGTTGGAGTGGCGGATTGGACGATATGGAAACAAAGTTATATTGTTAAGGGAGGCAATTGGCATGTGGATTTTTAGTGATTGATGTTTGAGGAAGTTGTTTGCTCCTTTCCTTTCCTTGTTTGACTAACAGTTCTTAGTACTGGAATGGACACAACGGGCTCTGTTGGTGTTTGGACTGTTGCTTTTGGACCCATTGACAGCGACGAAGAGGAGCTGTATGGATATGGAGAACTCTGTTTTGAGGTTGAGCTGTAAACAGAGTAGCTTTGGATTTGGGTTTTCTTTAATCTTTTACTGGAAAAAGGTCAAAACAAGCTTGCATCTGGAAGTCCATCCATGTAGATGACTGCTGCAGTTATCATTAATTAAATTTATATGGAATGCAAACAGCAAGAACAAAAAAAACAAAAGCAAAAAAACAGGGGAGACAGAGCAAGTGCCAAATGTGATCTCATTGATTTCCAGAAGAGTTGCAAAGATGGCATACGTATGATTGCAGCAGATATATACAAATCGCAGAAGCTCCGGAAGCAGCACCGAGTAACGAACACCGCGTCTTTCATCACCCTCGAACACCATAGTCCATAGACAGTGAAGCTCCAGCGGGACTCTGCTGCTTATATTCGTCGTCTTCTCCTCCTCCATATCATTGCTGCCAAGCCACTAGAAGATAGTAATGATGATAGGATCCTGCTTAGCGCCTAGGAAGCTTAGGCGTTTAAGCGAAAATAATTGAATTAACAATTTTATAGCACTTTCACTTGTGTTGAATTTCATGTAAAAACTCGGGTGTCGTTTAAGTTTGAGAATTGGGGTATGCATATCATTTAAATTTGCATAGGCGTTTGATACCACTGAATTCTATTATATGTGCACACGGTACCACTTAAGTTTACTTTAAAGTGCATTCCGTTAAAGTTGACATAATATTATTTGAATATTCCGTTTTCTAAATTTCATAATTGGTCTTTCAACTTTCTTATTGTAAGAAAATCATTTGGACTTATGAAAAATATATTTTTTATTGTTTAGTTGGAACCCTCTTTTTAATACTTGATACAAAACAAATTTTTTAATAGAAATTTTAGAATCAATTATCCTTATAATTATTTTCAATTATCATTTTTTTAGGTATTTTCAATTATCATTATGTGTTCTAATAATTGAATTATTCTATGAATGTTGTAACTAAACAATGTTGTAGCTTTTATAGTCATATTTTCTTTTCTATATTTTTATCGAATGTTGTAGCTTTTATATTTTGTTTATTACTTGGTTATTTTTCATCTCTTTTTTCGTTCTAAATTTTTCAATTAGTAAAATATGTTAATTCTTTCTCATTGTGTTCCATTTATCCTTTTATGATTTTGATGTATTGATGATCGATTAGGTTTTATTTTAACTATTTTGTTTTGGTGAAACTATTTTAACTATTTCTAATGGTACTTATAATTGAATTAGGGGGTTTAAATAGATATTTTAATATTTAGTATTATATTCTAGCATATTTATTATTCTTCTTGATATTCGTTTACTATTTTTACTAATTTATATTTTATTGAAAATTTTTGATTAGTTATTCTAGTAATAATATGTTTAGAAAGTTTTCTAATTATTATATTAGATAAAACATGTTGAAATATAGTTTTGGATGTTTTAAAAAGTTTTGGGTATCAAAAAGTAATTAAAATTTTGGGTTGGAGGGAAAAGTAGACAGTTGCACATTTTGGCAACTTTAATGGTACTCGACGCACTATTCAAACTTAAGAGGTATGTCTACCCCAATTCTTAAACTTAAGTGGCACCTGAGGTATTTTACCCTTCAATTTCAAAGGCTTAATTTGTTACTTTTTTTTTCCCAAAAAAAGACAATAGAGAAAATCTATACAATCTACCCAGGAACCCTCCAAAAACACTACATCAGTGAAGCCACCCTACAAACAATTTTATAGCACTTTCACTTATGTTCAATTTCAAAGGCTTAATTTGTTACTTAGCCAACCCTCAACAACCATCAAAATATGGCGTGATTTTCTTAAAAACATGAGTTTTAGATCGCAACTTCATAAAAAGTTCGAAAGACACAAGTTATTTAACACAGGTTATTTAAGCCACCATTATCGCTGTCATTCTCAAAAGCAATCTCCTCTCCATCCTTCTCTTCTTCCTCCTCGTCAGAATCAAATTCGTCATAGTGGAGCCCTCTTATTCTTGCACTCCTATGAATTTCAAGCGATTCTCCAGTTACCATTTTATCTATAAGAGTGTGGTATACGATTCATAATATGACATGGTATTAGAGCTGGTTTGATCAAGTGGTCATGTATTCAAATCTCCACAACCACCCAATATCAATAGTTGATTAAAACACAAGGTATGGTGGACTTGTGCAAACTTCAAGCTTATGAGTTCACTTTCATTTGTTGGAGCGTGTAAGAGTATGATATAAGATCAATTGAGACTAATTGGTTTATGACATTATCTGTCACTGTAATCAATGATCCACAATCTCTTTCCCCATCCTAATCATTCATTTGTCCGCCCAGCTAAGCACTTTTTTATGGAGCACCTAAGCACTTTTAAATTTGATTAATCACACTTCAGGCCGATTATTTGTGTTTAGAAGTCGCCTAACTACACCTGGCTCAGATTTAAACGCGTCTACATACTTCTTAAACCCAGTGTTTGATTATGAATAGGGATAACAACAAAATCCGAACCCATGGGTACCCTACCCGATCCAACTTGGTTAACGCTGGTAAAACCCGCGTTGACGGGTTTTGGATCGGATTCGGGTTAAACATGTTTACTATTCACCGGATTGGGTTGAGTTTGAGTTTAGGTATATTCGTCCCATGGATACCCGCCCACACCCATATAATTAATATTTCCGGTATATTTAATATTCTAAGCAACTAATCTTCTTTATGTTTGTGGAGACATGTCTAACTTTTTCTTTCTAATTGTGTAGAATGAAGTTGATATTATCGAGTAGATAGTGAATAAGCTTAATTGACAAAGAGGAAGAAACTTTCAATTAATCATATTGTTTATGAATAATTTGTGATTTGCTTCAATTTTCTTGAGCTTTCTAAATTGGTGTTGAACAATTTGTATGGTTAATTTGTGATTTGCTTGAATTTTCTAGAATTATATATAGATAATTTGTATTGAGAGATTGATATTTGACTTTTATTTTGATAGAACTTGTTATTGTAAAAATTTTACGACAAAACCCATGAGTATCCATGAACCCTCGAATACCCAGCGGGTTGGGTTGGATTTGAGTTTTCCAAACCCAATGAATTTTACCCCATTTTTTTCATAAATAAATCCATGAGTTTGAGTTTGGCAAAATCCGACCCAACCCGACCCATTAACATCCCTAATTATGAGAGGGTTCTCCCACTCGAAGGTTACGAACAACCATGGTCAAGTTTGTGATGGGAGAGTTGAGTCCCTGCATTGTTTTTCCCCACTCGAAGCAGAAGCAAAGGCGTTATGGTTGGGTTCTCGTTTGGCTGTTGAGCTCTCTTCTCCTTGCATTGTTCTGACTGACTGCCTTTCCTTGGTGAAGGCTCTCCGAGGACAGTTTCAGAGCTGGCCTTGGCGGGCAGCAGCATGGCTTGGCCGCATCAAGGTTTTGACCGCTTCTCATCCAATGATCATGATTGACCACATCAAGAGGAAAAGGAACTCCAAGGCGAACTGTGTAGCTAAATCTTGTGCGAGAAAACAATTACCCAATGATTGGATTCATATCCTTGATGTTGGTGCCCCTCTCCTGTAACGCATGGCTTTTGCCACAAGTAATGAAAACTAGTCGCATTGCCCGCGCTCCGCGCTGGGACATGAGATTATAAAGTCGTACTTATTTGGGTATCAAAATACAGTGTTGAGACATAATATTCACTTTAATGACACTATGATTACTTTTAAAGCTTAATACTGAGGTTATTTGACCGACTTAATAGAATGAGCACAAATTAATTTGATTAAGGAAGAAAAAAAATTGAAAAATGCACTTCTTTAAGTGAAATTTGGACACTCAATCAAATAGTGACTCTTGGTTTGTACAATGCGTTGTACGTTTATTTTTGACACTCATTCAAATAACTGTTCACAACGCAAAATGAATACAATGGCAGGTTCACACGTATTTCGATCATTGATGACCCTGCTAAACATTGGCCATGGCTTAATCAAGGAAAACACTTTAAATATAACCTTTTTTGGGGTGACTTCAGACATAACCGAAGAGAACAAAAAAGTAACTTTGGTAGTTAAGCAATTGCTCAGAACACTTAAGTCTACACATAATATAATACGCCGAAGGGAAAAACGGGAGTCCCATTTCAAATTTCCTGCAACGAGAGTGAAAGTAGGAAGGACATTTTGGTCTTCACAATTACTTTTTTTTATTCATTAAAAAAACACGTACTGGGATTCGAACCATGACCATTTTAAAAAAAAAGCAAGGATAATAACCAATCACACTAAGCACATTTGTTATATCTTTTTAAATTAAAAACATATAATAGCAGGGAGGAAAAAATCCTTCCCCCATTTCAAATTCCCTACTCCATGAGCGTTTGTAGGAATGGTAGAATAGGGAGTGTCAATTTTTTTTCTCTTTCCTCTGTGGAACGGGCCAACTTACCGTACACATGTGAATTTAAACGGGTCCAGGAGTGTCAATTTTTTTTCTTTAAGCCATTTTATTTCTCCGTGGTGACAAAATATATATGAAAAGGTAAAAATAATACTCCTTTTTATTGTTAAAAATAAAACATTTAACAATAAACTAATGCATGGTATCTAATGGGCTAACCGCCAACCATAAAATAAAAGAGTTGAATGTGCCTGACCTACATGGGATTTGACCATCAAGTAAAATAAATGAACATCATTGGTTTGTCATTCTAAAATAAGCTAATTTCTCTGACATAATATATATTATGCTATTAATTTATATCTTAGTGGCTAAAATATAATGTATTTTAAAGTTATTCAATGGTTCAACCTCGACCAACACAATTAGTCCAATTTTTATCATTTCAAATATATATTTTATAATTATTTGATATCATAATGATCAAATTATAGTGTATTTTATAGGGAATAGTTTGGTATTTGTTAGTAAAAAATTAACATAAAGATCTATTTGATTATTTAAAACATTATAACGATCCTAAACATTTTCAGTTCCTTTTGAATTTCTATGGTTTTATTCCCGAATAAGTGATGTGCAAATGGCGAATTGTAGTCGTCTCTTTTCTTTCACTATTTTTTATTTTTCAAATAGAAAGTTTAAAAGTAAAGAATAATTAGAATTTGGCATGGGTCGTCAAACAGGCTGAATTTCAAGTTTTGGCCCGTTTGTTTTATGCATTGCAAATTTATTTGCATTTTGATGGAAATGGCTTGGAAAAAAGACATATAAGTTGTACCTTTGCAGAAATGTCCTCAAATGTTTTAATGCTTTGTGAATCAGGTTCTGTGACTTTTGTGATGGTGTATGTGCTTGACAATTGCTCGATGTTGTAACTGCTTAATTTGAGAGTAAATCTTTTGATTTTCCCTATGAGTTGTGATACCAGTTCTGGTGGTTGCAGCATGTTGTCGTTGTTGGCCTGTAAAAGTTGTTCCGCCGTGGTGCTAAATACCTTTCTTTCTTTTTTAACAAATTGTGTAGTAGTGCTATGAAACAGACCACCCATGAACGCTACGCTTATTATGGTCTGTTCTTACTTCCGGTGGTGAGAAATTGTGAATTGAGAATCATATTCGCCTACCGCACTGTGTCTGGCTGGTGGCTGCTTACTGTGCTCTCTAGAGTTATGAAACTGACTACCCATGAACGTTTCCCTTAAGAGTCCATAACTTTTGCGAAAAACCAAATTTAGGTAATCAAAGGTGGTGGATGTGTGATGATTTTTTATGGCTTAATTGTTTGTGAATTGGATATCTGATCTTTGTATGATTGGAGGGGATGTTTGCTTAATAGAATTATCCATTTTAATTCATGTTTATTTTTAACATGAACTTTAGTAACTCAAAACCTTCGAGACACATTTAACCTACTACATTGTATCATTTTGCCTGGGTGCTTGCTGTGTTGTCAAACTTCTTTGTTGCTGCTGCTTTTACACTAACAGGGGAGTTAAGAACCCATGAATGTTTCCGTTTGACACAAACAGTAGGACTTGCTTCTAAATCGTGCACTAAAGATGATTGGAGGAAACATCTCTATTGCAGTTGATATACTGGAGACCAGAACAAAAGCAATGTATAACATCAAAACCAACCATCTGAACTATTAGCATTGTTGCTTTACTATTTTTTCGTGGTTGAGTCTCCTTCAAAAAATTTAGTTTGATTTTAGAAAATTTTGCTTCTGCAGTCCTGTCTTGCCACCAACGCGTTCAGTAGATGGAGATGGCAGAGGCGAAGGCTATTTTTGTGCTTTTGTTGCTGGTTTAGGGATCGGTTTGTGAAGAAGAGGGAGAAGAGAGGGGGAAAGGGAAATGCGGGAGAGGGGGGTAACTCTTTTCTCTGACAAAAATGGAGTGAAGAAAGGAATTATGATCAGTAAGGATATGGTTATCTTACATAACGGTCTCTATTCTGTTTGAATTGAGCTTGAGAGGCAGTGATAAGACGAGCTGCAACCAATTCATAGTGAGAAGAGAGCTATGAACTGTGATCATGTCTTATTTCAAGTTAGAAGGTAGTTTCAGTATAAGGATTATTTAATTTGACAAGTTGTTTCGTCCATGATTCTTGGTAGTTTCAGTGCCATTCTAGCCATTGTTTAGTCTGTAATTTTTGAGAATTGATGTGCGAGTAATGACTTTCACTTAGCTTCAACTATTATGTGTGTATTTATTGGCATGTGATAGAAATCTCTTTTCCTTTTCTTTAAATTCAATTTCATACTCTAATTGTATCATTTGTACATAGGCAAATCATGCTCGAGATGACAACTCGCTGATAAGGCTGGTGCAAGGAACAGAGCCATCATTAGAATTCATACCGACAACGGGGAGGGATGCCCAGGACTAATTCAATGATGATTGATGATGGTATAATAAAAACTGCAGTTTGCATCAACACTAATTTCTAGGCCTAAGTAAAGCTATTCAACCCAGAACTCTGCTTAGCGCTAAAAATTTCCCTCACCCAACCTTGATCCTGTTTGACCCACTTCTGAAGAGTCAAGATATATGAATATGACTAATCCTCTCCGTTCGTATTTTCTTATTGACTCTTTCTGACCCTTTAGGTTGGGGCGGGTCGGGAAGAATCGGATTAGTGGGTCGGTCCTAATCAAGTGGAATCCCAATCCCTTCACTCTCACTTGCTTTCTCTCCTATTCCACAAGTGAGTAACATACAGTAATCCGGCCAACGGGCCGGGTAATAGGCTAGTGTATTATTATAGAAAAGGTAAAAGATAATCGAGTTTAAGAACCTAACAATTAGTGGATCACTCATACACCATCAATTATATCAGAATGTAGAGAAAAATTATATATTTACATGCATCTGACAACTCACCATAATGGCAATTCATATCAGCAAACATTTAATATGTCTTGGATAAAACCCCAAGCAGCCTATTCCTACGGATTCTGCAGACTCTCTGTGTACCAAATTCTGGAATTCATCCTCTATTGGGCCTCTTAAACATTATGATCGAATTATCTTAGATGATACTGAAAACATTATGCTAAAGCTCGCCTTTAAAATTGCTAAATGTCGCCCTAAAAAACATTAAAGTTACAAATTTAACTTTTTAGCTTCTTTACTCTTCCTTTAGCAAACAAACACCACTTAGTAAAGAAAATAAAACATTATTCAAAAGAGAGAATCCATCATCGTCATTCTGGAGTTGGAATCGTCGATATGATGTCTGGATCATGACTAGCGACTCTAAATCGGTAAAGTTCACTAAAAAAATTGGAAAAAAACAAAAAAAGGGAACCGTAGCTCATTTGCGGTTGCACCATGGGCCAACCGCAGCTCACTTGTGGTTGCACCATGGACCAACCGTAACTTGCCTTAGGTTGAGCGTTTTTTTGAAAATTTCGTTAGAGAATGGGCGACGACGACGACGGGAAAGACGCCGACGAACTGGTGCGTCGAGAGGGATTCGCGAAGAAGGCAGATGAGGGGTTAGGGATTGTTTGGTTTGTTAAAATTTTGAAATTTTATTAGGGGTATATAAGTCATTTATCATTAGAGTTAGGGCGACCGTTAGCAATTTTAAAGGCGACATTTAGCGATTCAGTTCTAGTGTATAGCCTCTCACCCCCATGGCAGCAGGTGTCATCCATGGTTGAGATTACAACTTGCAATCAAATCCGTGGATTCATACACAAACATGGCGCTAAACTGAAAGAGAGTACGCTCTAGAGTAAATGCCAAAGTTAGCAAATCCAAAAGCACATCTGCCTGAACTATTTTCCTTGTAGTCCAAAACCCAAATTCAAAAATCAAAATAGTGAAGACGAATCAGAGTACGTCAAGTACAAATTATAATCATTGAAATGACCTTGTGAAGACAACAAACCGAAGATGTTAAATCTCATAACCCCGTAGATAAAAGTATAATTTTCAAACGCAATTCAGCAGTTCTGGCCGTGTTCGAACTTTTGCCTCCCAAACCCATTGATAAACCTGGGTTCAATCAGTCTCCAAGTGGCAGGCAAAAGAAAGAAGGACAAATGAAAAGAGTGAACCTTCATATTCAACTGATTTTCACAAGAAAAAGAGGAAAGTATAGAAACCGGTGACCGTCCGGGCGGAGACGATGGTGGTACATCAATAACACCAAAGAATGATTTTAGATTACCCTTCCGAGCAGAGGACATCTATCTTCCCGATATACAGTGACCTTCTACTTCTATTTGATACTGTTCTTTCCGAAACGTCCATGGAACCACCCTCTCTGATAAAAAAATAACTTATGATATTATAAAGTATTATTGTCACAACAAAAGAGAAGAATTTGGTCATGATTCATTAAGTCTAATTTTAGGAGAGATTAAGGAACTAAAATATATTTTACCCTGATTTATGATGATCACCCAACCTCCTTGCCCTGCCGGCCTGATCGGAACGCTGCTTCACCTTGGAAGTCCTCATCTACACAACAATCACAAACAAACCATCTATCTAAACATAAATTTAAAAACAAATTTAGATGATTTGGGCTGCCCATTAAACACATACCACGAAGACCAGCAGCACCATTGAAAGTTATCTGTTAAAAACCCCATTGACCCGTCGCTGGCCTTTCAGATCTGGGGAAAAGAGAAGATAAACGTGAGATACTTGAAAGTTGAAACAGAGCAAAGAAGAATAAATCTTGACTGCTTTCCTTTGAGATCCTAGGAGACAAACGAATTCCTCGAAACTACGACGTATCTATAGTTTAAGATTGTCTTCGCCAAATGAGGCAGCCGAACGGGGATACGCTCTCGGAAAATTGGGCTCAAGATAGGGTGCATAACCGTGAGTTATGCACCCATCAATAACCAAATATGGACCCTTCATTTAGAAAATCAAGATCTAAGGATGGAGAATTAAATGTCATTTTTATTTTCCATAACTTTCTTAATTGGCTCATATCTTCTTCATTTTAACTCGGACTTTAATTTTTTTTTTTGCATAGATGGAACGAGTTCATCGTGCTCTACAAAATGAGATCTATTTTCAATATTTTTTGAGAAAAAAAATTCTTGTCTCTCGGTACCAACTGTATACCATATGATATCTTCTTCATTTTTAATTCGTTTTTGAAAACGTTTGCACAGAAGGGACGAGTTCATCATGATCTATTGGATCTACAAATTTCTGGGTGAACAAAAAAAATACCACACAATACCCCCTGGTACGGGGTGGTATCTTGTGGTACACAATGTTAAAAGTCGTGAATGACAGTTAATATACTTATACTATCATGTATTCAACCATCTTACAGTCCTGGTTTGTTCATACCACCATGGTACGCTTTTCAAACCATAGGTATGCTCTTATTTCAATGCCAGTCAATATCATATAGTATAGACTGGTAAAAAATGGCTCAAGTTTTTTTATTCGAAAAATATACCAAAGTGGATATCATTTTGAAGAGCACAATTGATATGATCTAACTGTGGAAAAAAAAATTTCGACTTAAAATGAGTGAGAAATCGTCCGTCAAATATTAATGAGGAGAAAATTAAAGGCTTTCCAGGAGAGAGGGATGCTGATGTCATGTTGATGTGGACAAGTTACTCATGGTTACTCACCATTAGGGATAACAATGGGTAGGGTCTGGTGCGGGTTTACCCTATACCAACTCCTAACCCGCCGGGTAGAGCCTTCTAAAATACCCGACCAAATAATCACCGGGTATGAAAATTATATAACCATACCCTACCACCGTGTAACCACGAGTATTCGGGTAACCATGGGTACGAATCCTAAACTATGAACTTATACACATATATGCACATACATACTGTTGTCCATTAAAAATTCTCAATACTTTTAACTGTTCTAGCTTCAACAATCCACACAAATAAAAACAACAAACACATAATAATTGTTCTTGCTTCTACAATCCACACAAACATAATAATCGTCTACATCTTCATCATCAATAATGGTAGCTAAACTAAATTTCTCAAGGAAAATTGACCCTTTGGTTAGCGGGGCGGGTATTATCGATTACCATACCCGTACCCTACCCTTTATTTTGAAACCGGATATCATCCGTACCCGCCCCTTAACCCGTCAAAGCGAATAATTACCCTCGTTGACCGGTTACGGTCGGGTAGGGTATCCATAGTTACAGGTTGGATTGACATCCATACTATCATAAGGTTGTTGACCTAATCCGCTCCAAAAAAATTGGGGGAAAAGAGGAATACATATAGAAATCGTGATTAAAAGAGTTGCAACTTAACTTGGAAACCATCATTTGTGCTTTTATTCCAAATGATTAAAATACCACGATGGAATCTCTATATGAAACAATGGTATGTTGCATCCCATGTAATTTAAAAACCCCATCGAAGAAGGTTTGGGTTACAGACTGACTTACAGTCACTGCAAAATAAGTTCTGGTTAGTGCGGGAACGGATCAGGTCAGTAACCTTATGTTGAGTAACCATGAGTAATCCGTCTACATCAACATTCGTCTACATCAACATCACTCGTTTTAAGTTGAAATTTAATTTTTTTTTTGCACAATTAGATCATATTAATTGTGTTCTTCAAAATCATATCCACTTTGATATATTTTTGGAACAAAAAAATTGAGCCATTTTTTACTAGTGTATACTATATGGTATTGACTCGTATTGAAATAAGAGCATACCTATGGTTTGAAAAGCGTACCATGATGGTATGGACAAACCAATACTATAGGATGGTTGAATACATGATAGTAGAAGTATATTATCTGTCATTTACGACTTTTAACATTGTGTACCACAAGATACCACCCGGTACCAGGGTGGTATTTTGTGGTATTTTTTTGGTCCTGTAATTTGTTCACATAGAAATTTGTAGATCCAATAGATCATGATAAACTCGTTCCTTCTTTGCAAACATTTTCAAAAACGAATTAAAAAAGAAGATACCATATGGTATGTAGTTGGTACCGAGAGGCAAGATTTTTTTTTTTGTTCTAAAAAAGTATTGAAAATGGATTTCGTTTTGTAGAGCACAACGAACTCGTTCCATCTGTGTAAAAAAATTGAAATCCGAGTTAAAACGAAGAAGATATGAGTCGATTAAGAAAACAAAGAAAAATAAAAATGACTTTTAATTCTTCATTTTTAGATCTGAATTTTCTAAATAAAATGTCCCGATTTAGTTATTGATGGGCGCATATGCACTTTATCCTGAACAGGTATCTTGAGCAGGTTAGTGCCAAGAAGTGTCCAAATTTAAATATGTTGGGTGACAAAGCACACCTTTAAATTATTGCAATTCAACAAATCATGAAATCACATAAAAAAGGACGATGAGCTCCATAGCTGTCGCCTTTATCCTGAAGTCTGAAGATGCTCGAAATCCGTTCCGTGTTTCCCTTAAGCAATGACGCTACGCAGAACCATGGTCTCGATCGTGAGCCCAGGCCCAAACCCAAGAAGCACACCCCATCCTTCCGAGGTCTTCAATGCATGTTCGGCCCAACTCTTTCTGATCTCATCCAAAACAAACACCACACTACCACTCCACATATTCCCATACTCCGCCAGCACGTGCCTAGCGGCCCCTAGTTTCCCAGGCCCGAGATCCAGTCTCGCCTCAATCTTGTCCAGAATCTTAGGCCCACCTGGATGGACAGCCCAAAAGATGGAATTCCAGCTCGACACGCCGAGGAACTCGAAAGCTTCAACCAGACACGCCTCGATGTTTTCCGCCACCAGGTCCGGAAGACCCTCCGACAAGTGATACATCAGGCCAGCTTCACGGGTGCGCCCTACGATCGCACCCTCCGAACCGGGCACCGTGGTCTGGGCTCCTCGGACCAGCTCAAACAAGGGCTTCTCCACAGTGCTATAGATTGGGCCCGCGCCCACGATGACTGCAGCTGCACCATCTGCAAACAGGGCCTGGCCCACCAGGATCGAGGCGTCCGGCCATGTCTTGTCGGATGTCTAGTGAGGGAGCCGTGCAAGAAGCCAAGTGTGGGTATTTTAGGATGAGCTCTTCGGTCAAATAGAAATAGCGTTTCTTGATCATGGACTTTTCACCTAGCAGCAAATCACAAAATAATAAATGAACAGCGCCAAAACGCATGTACCTCCTATAATTATTGATTAATAATGACAAGCGTGCCTATTATGTTACAAATTAACATTAATTGTGGTCAAACCATTGAAATAATAAAGTCGTCAAAACGAAATGTATTCCTTGGTTGGAGGTAGTACTGTTAGCACCATGTTAACAAATTGGGTGTTCGCACTCACTCAAACCTCTGCCTATTTACTAGCACGTAAAGGGTGTTGAAGGGCGATATGCTATTTACAATTACAATGGTACTGTCTTCATTGCTCAGTAAGGAAACAAAAACTCGCGGATGATATGTTTTTTTAGAGGTGACAAATGGATTGTATTTATGGATTGATATAGTGGATTGGATTGGTGAATTCGTGGATTGGATCAAATTGATTGGTGAATTGGATCATGAATCCAAGTGGCATCTAAACACTGGACCAATATGAAAATTTAGAAAATATTAGGTACTAAAAATGTCACCATAATAAAAAACTTAGGTACCAAAATATAAATTTTCAATGAACTCTTTTGTTAAAAAATAAAACTTAGGTATTAAACAGAATATGAAAAAGGTTAGGCTAATAAATAGTCATTACTCTTGTAAAGGGTAATGTCTATTTATTACCCAAACCTTTTTTGGATTCTTTTATTGTAGCCAAATCTATTGAAATACTAAGAATTATTCAAATGTTTTGTAACTTGTCAAAGTATTAGTCATTTTTACGTGATCGCAAATAATTTTGAAACTTTTTTCTTAGTTAAATAATAAAATTTTGGAATGTTGACCTCCATGTGTCTCTTCCAAGTCCGTATCATGTTGCCAAGTCAATATTACTGACAAAATTGGCAATTGGATGTTAACATTTGGCTAATTATTAGTAATTCAATAGGTTTTGCTAATAAAAAAGAATATGATAAAGGTTAGGCTAATAAATAGTCATTACCCAATTGTAAAATATAAAAAACTATAGGTAATAAACGGTAATTTGTCAACAATCCCCAATTTGGTCTGGATCACATGAATTGAATTTAAATGGATTCAATTAATTGGATATTTAACTTGATATATTGGTCTGAATTGGTGGATTGCATACCAAATTGCCACTTGGACTTATCACCGTGGTGCAAATGAACTGATCTGACACATATTTGTTTTGCTGACGACCTCTTGATTTTCACTAAGGGATGATCGATGAAAATAGCCACATAGATTCGGACTAGTAAAACAAATTACCAGGAAACGTTTAAAACGTAACAAACAGGTCATCCATGCATCACGATACAACAAACATGTCGTTTGGTCTCTTTTTCATCCATATTTGTTAGATGGATCACATATATGTAGATCTGAGGGGGTTCTATTAATTCTTACAGATGCGTTCGAACTTGGCCTTGAGCTCCGACTGGTGCTGGCTGTTGGTGATGCGAAAATAGTAGTCAGGGAAAGTGCTCTGCTGAAAGCAATTGGGAGGATTTGCTGTTCCGATAGCCAAAATGGATGCCGGCGGGCTCTCAGCGGACATCGCGTATGCACCGAAATTATGGAAACAAAAGAACTTTGATGATTAGCCACGACCATGTACGAGAACACAGGTCGTAGTACAAGATGTCCATGTAGAAACAACATTATATAGGAAAGGACTGACACAATTATATCTGGACCCGAGTAAAAGCATGTTCATTGTGATCGACAAAATGATATTCATTTTCAATATATTGGAAGAAAAAAATTGTAATACCCATTATCACTCTTAGAACGTGATATCACCTTCGCATTTTACTCAAAATATACCATCATATATAAATGATGGTAGACAGTGATGAAATGTGATAAACGATGGTTCAAATATTCCTAGCTACTGTTATGGGTACGACCATCTCAATTCCAGAAGGTTGATTTTCTACTTTTCTTTGATGTTTCTATGTTTGTTTCTATATATTTCAAGGAGAAATATTTGTACTACCGGTTACCAATCATTATTATTACTCGTTAGCACCTGGTACCATTTTGTACCATCCTTTATCAATTTCATTTTGAACTCAAATTTTGAATTTTTGTTTTGCACATAAGAAACTATTTCATTTTCATCTACAAAATTTGATATGTTTCTGAATTTTTTTCGGGACGACATATACCACCCTATACCATAATGATAAATGACGGTAGATGATGATTAGTATATTTATATTATTACATATATAACTGTTCTACATCCTGGATATTCATACTACCATGATATACTTCCACACAACCATGATATAATCTTATGTAACTACCAAAATTTACCACCATGATGCACATTGGTAATATACACCGCGAATTTTTGTTCCAAAATATATCAAAATAAACAATAAATGTAATTTTGAGCATCATTAATATGATATTTTTATGAAAATAATTGAACTCCGAACTATAACAAAAGAGATAGAATGGGGCAAAAGGGCATACATGGTTAGTAACCTACTGATTAAATTCCAAACACCTCTCTGGTGGGATTTTTTTTTTGCAGAAGTCTGATTTTCTATTCGAAGAAGCTAGCTTCCGTCCTTCATTTTCGTGCAGTCAGGTGATGGCTAGTTAGTACTCTTTCAATACTTTCAATGAAAACCGATCGGTAGCAATAAGTACCACTAAGTTTTGAGTTTTCGTTTATATTAAACTAAATTACAAAATATGCTAACTAAAAGTTAAATAAAAATCACAAAGCATCCATTTTTGTAAAATTGTTTATAATAATAAAAAGTTTTGAGTATTCAATCCCAATTCATTAAAAATTTTACTACAACATTTTTGGGTTCCTACTAAAATTTTGGGGCCACATAGTGTAAAAGACAAAATGATGATGTGCCCTGAAGCCAATTTTCTGTTTGACGAAGCTTTCAAACTTTCCCCAACTGGCCAACTTACCAGTTTCAGGGGGCCTGTTTGGTTGTACTTGTACCCTAGCCAAAGGTAACATGTTTGATCTTGGTACTGTCTCCTTTGATTCCATTTTCTGCTAGCCAGCCAAAACCAAACGACAACCTAGCTTTCCCCAAATTGGTTACTTAAACATTTCAGTGTCCAACTTATGTCGAATGATTTAATTTCGAGCCACTGAAATGCCACGACGTCTACGTGATAGTAGGAGGTCTTGTCGGCAGAACAGATCGATAAAAAAGGTAGAGAATGGAAAGCCGTTCAGTGGGCTCTTCAAGAATCATGGATGGCATAAGTGGTTCGACGCTGAAGTTAGCTAGGTAGTAGTAGTGAATAGTGATGGCAATTGGGCGGAGCAGCGGTACCACAATATTTATTTCCGTCGCTCATCAAATATGAGTCAAGTCCCGCATTAAAAAAAAAGGTCGGGTAATATTCTCGTGGGTACGGTGCGGGTTGGGTTGACCAAAACTTTATATGTTATTTAAACAAAGAACGTCGATACTTAACTGTTTTACGATAAGACATAGAGAATATATAAAATAATAATTGAGTCTAAATAGTTGAAATGTGCAGTGTTATAATTTTTTTGGGATGAAAATGTGATTTTAGAAAGGCAAAAAGATGAAGTGTACATGTAGAGTTTGATGCAAATAATGATAGAACGAGTCGAGAACCCAGCAAGCCATGTGGGACAGGTGGGAAGCAATAGCCAAGCCCGTCCAACGCTACTGTGAGTCGAGTAATACTAACCCCAAATCAATCGAAGTAGATCAAATTGTACAGATCAGATCACAAATTGCCATCTTTTTTTTTTAACAAAAGATAATCATGTATTGATTGATAGAAGAAAGTTACACCCTGGAATTCAGCCAGGTCTGAAAATCAAAGAAACTACACAAAGTCGGGTACAAGGAGAGGGCCTTTCTAGCTACCACATGAGCTACCCTATTATAACACCGACCAATGAATCGAACACTAAACCCAGGATGAGCAGCAAAACACTGAACTACTTCATGAAGAACAACCCCCATCTGGTTATCACTAGTATCACCTTGCCTGATCTTATCAATAATCACCTTGGCATCCCCCTCAAACCGAACCACCGCAAAACCATGTTCCACACACCACAACAGTGCCTCACGGAGAACTAACAATTCCACCACCGCAGGGTCATCAATTCCCGGAAACTGGACACCCCTAACTAGTAAGATATCCCTAGCTGAATTCAAAAGTACCATCCCCCCTGCCGCATGAGATCCACTCCTCGTAGCCCCATCCCACATACAAACAACCATGCCTTCGTCAGCTGGCTCCGGCTGATGTACCAATGGACGCACGGGTAGACGATCAGGACTTCGCGGCAACCTTATCCATTCCTCATACTGCTGATTGAACTGGCGCATTAGAGCCGGGAACCCATATTGTTTGCCTTCAAAGACAACCCAGTTCCGAGACCGCCAGATTCGCCAAAGGATGGCAACAACCCTCATGACTAACTCGGGCTGCTGAATTAAGGACAACAGCCTTTTAAGGAATAAAGGAAATGTTTCACGAGGCAGCCCCTCCCCGAGGTACTCCAACCCAGAATAATCCCAAAGAGCGCGGGCCACCGGACAGTAAAGGAACAAGTGCTCCATTGTTTCAGGCGCATCCCAACAAACCGGGCATCAAGGGAGAACCAGAGCTTTCTTCTCAAGGAGAGCCTCTGTAGTAGGGAGGATCCTATTCAAAATCTGCCAGACGAACACCTTAAGTTTAGGCGGAATAGGGGCTCCCCAAACTCGAATCCAACTATGCTTATCCATCCAACTGGTCGAGGTTCGCCATCGACCACTTCGTTTATCCAGGGAGACAGCCAGATGATAGGCGGACTTTATCGAGAAAACCCCATCCCGCTCATAATGCCAGATCAACCTGTCCTCCACATTCTGTCTCAGGAGGGGGATAGCTTTAATAGCTTTACAGGTAGTAGGATCAAACCACTGCCCCATCTTAGCATCATTCCAACATCCTTCACCTTGACAAATAACTTCCGCAACAGGCAGATCACCCCCATCCGGCGAAATCCGGGGATTGAACCTTGGGGAATCAAGTTGGAGGTTAGGAATCCAATTGGAATGAAGTAATGACGTCGCCTGACCATTCCCAATCTGCCATCGGAGGCCCTTTTCCAGGAGTTGGCGCCCAAACAGGATGCTCTGCCACCCCCACGAAGGACGGGAACGAGCCGTAGCACCAAGGAAAGACCTGTTAGGGTAATACTTCCCTTTATAGACCCGGGCCAGAAGGGAATGGGGCTCATTGAGGATACGCCAGCCAATTTTAGCTAGCAGCGCTTGATTAAATTGCTCAAATCTACGAAAGCCCATTCCCCCCTCATGTTTACTACAACACAGTTGCCGCCATGACATCCAATGAATCTTGGCCTGGCCCTCCCCCGCTCCCCACCAAAAGCGGGCCACATGCCTATCCAACAGCCTACACAGAGAGACGGGAAGTTTAAAGCAGGACATCACATGCAGCGGCAAGGCCATGGCAATTGACTTAATCAAAGTGTCTTTAGCCGCCCAAGAAAGTGTCCGCTGCTTCCATCCCTGGAGGCGTTCCAACAACTTGTCTTCCAAATATCGAAAGGTAGCTGTTTGAGATCTGGTAATCAGGGTAGGCAACCCTAAATATTTATCATGGACCCCTACCGCCCCAACCCCCAGAATCGCTGCTAAGAACTCCTGATCCTGATGGATAATATTCTTACTGAAGCAGACTGCCGACTTCCCCAGATTCACTCGCTGGCCGCTGAGTTCCTCATATTCATTCAGGACCTCGATCAGGTTTTCACACTCCAAGAGAGTACCCCGCAAGAATAGGTAAGAATCATCAGCAAAGAACAGATGCGAGATCCACGGGGCACGAGGGGCCACTTTCACTCCACCAAGTCTGTCATCTGCTAGAGCCTTACGCAGGATTGCTGCAAACCCTTCAGTACAAATCACAAACAAGAGCGGAGATAAAGGGTCACCCTGTCGAAGCCCTCTGGTCGGGGTGAAATATCCTGAGGGATTACCATTCATTAAGACCGAGAAAGACAAGGACCGGAGACACTCATGAATCCATCCGCACCAGGTAGAGTTAAAACCCATTTTCGTCAAAACGGCAAGAAGAAAGGACCATTCGACTCTATCATAGGCCTTTTCCATGTCAACCTTCAGAGCCATGTATCCCTTCTTTCCCCGCGTTTTGATTTTCAAATAGTGCATTAGCTCATGTCCTAGGAGGATGTTCTCAATTATCTGACGTTCCCGGATAAACGCATTCTGTCCTTCCGAAATGACTTGTGGTAGAAAACAGGCAAGTCGTTCAGCCATGATCTTTGTTATAATCTTATAGACAAATTGGCACAGGCTGATAGGCCGGAGCTGGGTCATATTCTCCACATTATCAACTTTTGGAATTAAGGTTAGCCATGTGTGATTAAAGCTCCTGAGCATCCTGCCAGTAGAAAAAAACGAGCAGACTGCCTCAGCTACCGAGCTACCCACAATATCCCAGAAGGATTTAAAGAATTTCCCCGTGAAACCGTCCGAACCCGGAGCCTGCTTTGATCCCATGGAGAAAACTATTCGACGCACTTCCTCAGCAAGGACAGGGGCAGTGAGAGAGGCGTTTATCGCCGGCGTCACCTTCTGAGGAATGGGCAGGCCCGCCACCCGGTCCGACATATTATCCACCTGACTCTCCGAAGTAAACAGGTTTTGATAAAATGTATCCGCAATGGTAGCCTTCCCACAAACCTCCGTGATCCATTCACCCTTGTCATTGCGCAACCCAGGCACAAAATTTCTTTTTCTACGAGCCCTGGTTACTATATGAAAATAGGCCGAATTTTGATCGCCCTTTTGCAACCAGCGCACTCGAGATTTTTGCTGCCAATAAATTTCTTCTGCTTCCCAGTGCCTATTTAATTCCTCCTCTAAATGACGGACTGTATCCCAATCAATTGGATACTGGGCTTTGATTCAATCAATTTCAGCCTGGAGGGTCTTGATGTTGTGAAGGGAATTTGTGGTTCCAGCTCGGCTCCAATCATATAACAGGTGACAGAGTTTTTTCAGGCGTTCCCAGAGACCAAACATAGGAGTACCCTGTATTTCCTCCTGCCAAACATATTGAACCATAGCCCTGACTTCCGGGTTATCAGCCCATATGGCATCAAATCGAAACAGGGGACGACTATGTCGAACATAAGGTTTGTACGATAGAAGCAACGCCCGGTGATCGGATCCCTGGTCCGTGAAGTGTTTCACAAGAGTATCCGGGAATCGGTCAATCCAAGTTTGGGAACATAAGGCTCTATCCAATCTTTCACGAATGCAAGCCGGACCCAAACGTTTATTTGTCCAGGTAAACTGATCCCCCTGAAACCCAGGGTCATGAAGACCTAACTCCTGGACAAAACCACGAAGGCTAGCAGAGTGGGCCGCATTCCATGTGAGACCCCCATCTTTCTCACTCTCGTGCAGAGTAGCGTTAAAATCCCCAATGATGACATAGGGGAGATGGAAAGCGTCACAAATATCATGAAGCTGAGCCAACTGGGAGGCACGAATCGAAGCATTGCAATTAATGTAAACAAACACCACCACATACTCAAAATCCACTTCATTAATCCGAACACAAATACAAAAATTGGAATGATAGAACACCGAAGCGTTAACTCCGGGGGACCAAGCAGCTACAAGACCACCAGATGCTTCAATTGCATCAACAAAAAGACAACGAGAAATCTCAAAACCTAAGCCCCTCATACGACGGGTAACTATACGCCGGCTCGATCGAGTTTCAGAAAAGAAAACGAGATCCGGTTTATTGGAAAAAACCAAACTAATAGCAGTTTGGAATGTGAGGGATGGTCCAATTCCTCTCACATTCCAGGCCAGAAGCCTCATTTAACGGACTGGGGCCACTCACGGCTGGCTTCCTCCACCGAATCCAATCCAATAACCTCTTCAATAAATTGCTTCTTAGGGGGTAGGAGACTCCGCAACCTCCCCATCAATTTCCAGCAGCTGTCTTTTTTTATTTCCCACCACTGGGTCACTCAAATTGGAGCCATACTCATCAATTATAGTGCCTCCCCCCTGAATTTTTCCCACCGTCGGCCCTAAAGGATCCTCATTTGGGCTCGGCTAGCCCATATCCACGTGAAGCACTGGATCCGCCATGCTGAGGCCTTTTTCAAATGCCTTAACCACCTGGCTCACTCGGTTGGGCTGGACCACCTTTTGCTGGGCCTCCTTGGGCTTATTCGGGCCACAACGGCGAACCTCAAACAACTGAGCATCCTCCCCAGAACTCTCCCCATCTGCCTTGTCTTTCCCAATCGGTTGGTCCACCCCATCAGAACCCTTCGGAGCCACCCCGAGCGGGTCTTCATCACTCCACTCCCCTATCGAAGTACGATGTTCCACAATCTCCTTTGGCATTCTTCCATCGCCTTTCGCCTTTCGGTCGGATCTCTCAGCTCGCCCTCCAGCTTTTTTGGGACCAAGGCCCTTCGTAGCAATGGTTTGAAGCTTGCGACGATTCTCATTCGGAATCCCCCTCTGCTGCGTTTCAGTAACCAACAACTCTTTTTTGGCCTTGCTTTTGCTACGAGCAGCTCCCCTACGCAGCGTCACCACTCCCATTGCAGGCTTCCCATCACCAGCGACTTTGGTTGGCAGGAGCTCACAGTTGGGGCGTGTTTGCCATCACTTACCATTTTATGCCATCACAAATTGCCATCACTTACCATTTTATGCATATAATTTTTTGAACTAACTCAAATAGTAATTACATCCTAGCACGGCTCCTAATTACTGCAATATTCAGCTTCTAATTGTAATGGTTGGTTGTCTAAGTTTGGGATCACTCATGTTGTAAATACATCAGTTACTTGTCGTAAGGTATATTCTTTTGTCTTTAGATTTTGAGATAACTTTCTCCAAAATCTGGAATAGAGACAGTTTTTAATAAAGAGAACATCTTTTTTTTACAAGCTCACTTGTATTAACAAGAACACAAAGTTACACAGATCCAGACCTTGACCAGAGCCATGCTTGAAAACCAAAGCTATTACAACTCATATGAAACAAAGACAAGGTTTTTCTAGCCATCTTATGGGCTACTTTATTGTTCTGCCTATCCACAAATCTAATCTGAAACCCAAGAGAAGACAATAGGAGATGTCGAATTTGTTCAAATAGGGCGCCACCAGCAGCATCACGAACTTCACTGGCATTCACCTTGTCTATAATGACCTTCACATTGCATTTGATCCAGACCACGTCTAGCCCGAGCTTGACACCACCTGATTGCATCCCGTAGCGCCGAAATCCCTACACACGGATTTTGAAGACCATAGTAGCACATCTCGTGAGCACCCACGACAATACCTGCCGTATCTAGTAACACCAGCCCTCCTGTCGCATGAGAACCGTTCATACAACCCTTTCAAAGGAACAAACACTATTCGTCGGAGAATCCCCCACCTCTTCATCATTACCTGCCAAAGCTGTCGGAATTGCCAAGCCAAGTTCCAAACCATTGCCCCGCTGGAACCTGTAAGGCTGTAACCATTTTTCCACCTGAAACAGAAACTAGAGTTTGAGGATTCTAGGGAGAGTCTGTTTTCCCAAAGACCACCTCATTCCTAGCCTTCCAAATTCTCCACAATAGGCAAAGAAATCGCACAACCCGCGAAGGGGAAGAGTCTCGTTCCAAGAACAACATAAGAAGATATTGAAGCATACAGCCGATACCAATTGTAGCTCCGCAGAAAACTCACTCGCCTCCCAAAGAACTCTAGCCACAGGATAGTGCAAAAAAAAGTGCTTAGTACTCTCCTCCATATACCAGAACACTGGACATCGGAGAAGGACCTGTAACTTTTAGTCACACAACACCTCCACCATAGGCAAAAGTCTCTGTAAGAGCTCCCATGCAAAGAATTTAAGCTCCAGTTGAATTGGCAAATCCCATACTTTAATCCAGAGGCCTCGATCCATCGTGCTACATTCCTGTCTGCATTTACCCACCAAGCGAGATTTTCGCTCAGCCAATCTATAACCGGACTTCATCTTATATTACTCCAGACGAGTCCTCGCGTCAATCGTGCCTATCTGGTATAGCAAACTGCGGCAAAGGTATTTCCAAAATGTCACGTACCGTCTCCGGGTAGAAAGCCGAATGCAAGCACTCCAAACACCATTCACCATGATCCCGATTAATTAACCCATAAATCATCTAATTTCCATCACAAGGAGCCTCCAATCGGATTAATGGACGATTAGGGTAAATCAATGGGATCCAACCCTCATACATTATCGGAATGTAATCTCCCAAACCCAATCTGACAAGGCATGCCTTGCCTGAGTAACTGACAGCCATAGAGTACCCCCTGCCAACCCCAAAAGGGTAGAGATCTCTTAGTAGCCAAAAAATTGGAGTCATTGGGGAATTACTTTCCTTTGTAAATCTGCACAAGTAGTTAATCAGGATCCGTATGAACTCGCCACGCAATCTTTGCCAATAAAGATTGATTAAATAGCTCAAACCGACAAAATTCCAATCCACGCTCATGCTTGCTCCAACAAAGTCCTTTCCATGACATACAGTGGATCTTAAGCCTGGAAGGGAAAGATCTCGGCCGAGACAGCAGACCGCGAAGTAGGAGAGAAGATCGCGGCCCGAGACAGCAGACCGCAAAAAAGGAGCCCTTGGACGTAAACGTTGTGAGGATGCCACCTAAGAGAAAACAGAAAGTTTCGACAGTCAAATCACGGTCACTGTCTTCCCTGACCGCGAGGATTGAGGAAGTGGCCGTGACCCATGTATCGCGATCGTGAAGTCGGGCTGCGAACTCCCCGAAGATGAAGACCAAAACAGTGACGCCTAAATAGAGATGACAAAAATATCTGTAACCATGGGTATCCACCCGAATCCGGCCTACGGGTAAAATCCGAACCCGAATATTTCGGGTAATGGGTGGGCATGGATTTCTCACTATCCAACCCGAACCTGCCCGATTATACACATGCATATGTATTTTGTCTAGAAATAATCATTATTTTCTCTAACATATTTTATATTTTTCTCTAACATATTTTATATTTAGCACATAAATATAATATTTTCATGAAATTATGTTGTTTTAATTAATTTTCTTCATTCTAGTGAATTATTGTCATACTTTTCCTCTTACGTAATCTAAGAATACGTGTGAATGTTAACATATTGGTTGGAGTTATGAAGAGAAATTATTACCCATGGATAACCATGTATACTCAAAACCCGAACGAGTATGGGCATGGTTTAATTTTTACCCATTTCACATGTGGGTATGGGTAAAACCCAAACTACTTTGGGTAGGGTAACGGATATGCACTATCTGCCCCTGACCCAACCCATTGCCATCCCTACGCCTGAAGATCGGGGTATCGAAGGGAAATATCACGACCGTGAACTCCCCGATGATGAATTCCAAAACGGCGACGCCTGAAGATAGCGGTCTTGAAGGGAAAGATCACGGTTGCGAATTTCCCCTGCTCGGCCGTGAACTTGTCCGCCCTCCTGAACTCTATAAATAGAGGATCTCTTCCTACATTTTAAGAGAGCTCATTTTGAGATAGAATTTTTTTGTTTAGAGAGAGAAGAGAGAGAAGATAAAGTAAGGAGAAGATGAGAAGAAGGAGGAGAAGCTAAATTAGAGGAGCCATCTTCTTCAACATCAATTCTTCTCCAAATTCTTTCATGTATCTTCTTCCATCTTTTATGGAGTAGTCACTTAAGGTATTGGGGGGTTTTAACCCCCCCAAACCCTAGTTTTAGGGTTATTTTGTAATGGATAAATATGTAAGGGTTCTGAATGAATGTATTTGTCTAGTTGATTTTAATGCTTCATCTAGCTTTAATTGTGCTTGGGTAAATCGCCCTAATCTTCTCAACTAGCCTATTTGAGCTTCTACGTTGGGTATGGAGTTTTAGGGTTAGACGAGACGAGCATGCGTCATATGGCAGATTAGGGTTAGATGAATGAATAGGGTCTTGTGGTGGACGAGGCGACCGAACCCCTGCCACAAGAACTCCTTCCTAGATGGAACCGGGATGAAACCACGGCGTGGACGGTGGGTAGTACCCATTGAAAGGATCTAAGTTCTTAAAGCCGCACATATGTGAGCCTATACCAAGGTGACAATGGGGTAGGTAGGGCATACTCAGAGGCGTGCGGATAATCACGAATGCCCATGAAAAAGAGCTCACTCACCACATTCGCTTAACCAAATATGTTTAGACATTTGCATGATAGACCTAGGTTAGGGCAATGGTTAGTTCCCCGATGTACCTGCTTTTTAATCTCTCTACTAGTTATTTCACTTGATTCCTCCAACACAACCCCTCAAACCGATCGGCTAGATAACAACAACGTTGGAAGTAGGCTAGGGTACCGGGACCCGAGTGAATACGACCTGGATTGCCACTATATGACAACACCATTATAGGTTAAACTTGGCCTAAAATTGGGTAGTTATTGATAAGCGCAAACTACTTACAATGACCTGCACAGAATGAATCGATCAATTCACTTGTTGTGGTTGGTGGCATGCCTCCATTTTCATACAACCATTTTAGCATACTTGTCACAAGCATGTGTGTCTTGGAGTTTATGTGGCCTCTTAGATGCCAAATTAGAGTTCACCTTATGAGGCGGTGTTGTGTCCAACACCACTTTGGAGCATGGCAACTCAATTTTGGAGAAGTCTATATTGACTGTGTTGACGCCAAGCACACTGGGGATCAGATCAGTATCCAACAACATGACATCCATCTTTGACTAAGTAAACTTTATGCATCCCTTTTCAATAACATCTTGCCACTTACAATATTTTTTTCCCTTTTAATTTCTCGGGTGGGGGAATGACACGCCCCCCAATCAACTTCACTTGACCATCCTTATAGATTTAGTAAAAACCAAGTCTACATTGGAAACATCAAATGGGTACTTCCTTGGTTGAATGGACACATGATTGGGTCTTCGACCTTATGGCTCATCTTCAACTTCGGAAAATGAAGCACACATATTGCTTCCCTTGAGCTATCTCAGCCAAATCCACCTCGACCTCATTGGCCTCATGGTCAACGTGCTTGATGGTGTAGTCTATGTTTGGGAAGTACAACCCCCTTGAGGCACTCCTACGATTCACTTCTTCATTTAGAAGAGACTCATATCTCACGGCACAAGACATGAGTTGAAACAAGTCATAGAACTCCCTGTCTTGGAACTTTTTCCTTAGTTGAAAATTCAAATCCCCTTGTGCCAGCTTGACAAACTCCTTCTCTATCAAATTGACAAAGCAACGGTTACGAGCAATCTTGAAAATAGTCAAGAAATGCTCAACCAAATCCCCTAGATGTTAGTGCATACGTGCCAAGTCTACCATGGACACCTCAAGCTCAGATCTATAAAACTGAGCGTGAAAGACCTACTCCATCTGTTACCAAGTCTGGATGGAGTTAGACGATAAATTAATGTACCAAGCAAAGGATGTCCCTGTCAAAGAGTTGCCAAACAATCTCAACTTAACATAATCTCCCACATCGCCACATTGGATAGTGAAATGTCCACAGTGGACTAGTCTCCCATTCATGCGAATGCGGCAAACTCGGGAACCCTGAATCCCCTTGGGAATGGGTGGAGCCTGTCTACCATTGTGGGTACGGCTTCTGGTATACATGTAACATGGTGGTTCTCGCTCCCATGCCAAACTGCTCAGTGAGAAGTTGAGCCACCTAGTCCTTTAGGGTCTTGGCATCATGCCCCCATTGTTGCCCCCTATGCGAGCATGAAACCAATGGGGTCTATGCCATCCCCATTAATATGGGGTGTCATTGGAATTTGGTAGCCTCGTGGTGGTGGGACTTGATCCATGTTATCACCTAGACCCCCTCATACTCCCATGTTCATGGGAATAATGTAGGGCTTTGTCTTTGGTATAAAGAGACAAGTACCCCCTGACCTCACCGGTTGCTCAACTTGAATGTTAAACATGGTGGCAAGGTTCTTGCCACGTGGGGGTACCACTTCAACTCCCACACGTGCATGTGATGATTTCTCCACTTGAGTAGTGCCAGGAATCTCGTCGTGATCTGCGTGACATGGAGGTGGTTGGTTTATCGTCCAAGACGGCAAAATCTCTTGCTATGGTTGACCAATCCAACCACCGAAGGGAGAAAAAAAGACATTATTTGGAGTTGGGTTCGTGTCATCAAATGGTAACCCTCTTGATTGTACCACTGGTGTGGTCACAAGTCTCCTAAACTCACCACTCATTCCTATTTTTGGTGACAATCTCAAACATTTGCCCAAAACATCTATCTACGCAGGAATTAAGACAATCAATTTGAGAATTCACCTGAAGTGTGTTGCCTTCCAAAGCTTCATCCATGAGTTGGCAAAGTAACCCACTGGCGGTGAGTACGTCTACATTCATATTTGGAATCGGCTCCGATAGAACCTCCATCGCTTCATTGTCTCCGACACCAACTTCCGCAACTTGGTCATGTTCAATGTTGGCCACTTGCTCTTCCAAGAACACAGGTGGAGCATATCCTTCCCGGTTCCTCCGTCTTTGAGCCATCAACTTGAACACAGTTTCCCTACTGGGTGTGCCAAAAAAAAAATTCATGCGAGAAAACTTGCATTAAACAAACGATTATTAAGACACGGTTCAAACCTCTTCCAACACAGTTCGAGCGAGGATGTATGATTGATGGAACTTTTGGGAACATATCTACATTAAATTACCTCTACTCATATGGAGAATCAGTGAGAGCTCCATTTCATATCGTGCTTCTTCCCTTTCCCTCTTTTAAAATGTCTATTTTTCCCTTTTCATGTCCAACTTTTCATGCGTTGTTCTTTCCGTGCTTCGTACTCCCTCCTATGTTGTGACCTCACTCAAAAGTCTTTGCCAATCTCTTGGTAAACACTACTACAAATGTCCTTGATATTCTTCTTCCTTTGTTCTTTGCTGCTTTCTGGTTGTCGCAACCAGCACGATAAGATAAGACGAAAGGAGCACTTCCATCTTATGGTATATCGTTGAGTCCACTTGGTGGTGTAGGTTGTGAATCAAGGTCAATGGGAGATTCTTCACTTGATGGGGTGGATTGAGAACCTTGGCCCTTTTGTCGAATGAGAACAACAGTTGTAGGTTCAACATAGAATTTAGGGAATTTCTTAGTATTCACCAACCACGACCCGTATATCCCTCAATATTTTGAGTGGCTTCTCATACCCTTTGCCAAAATCTTGCTTGTTTTTTTTATAAAAATTTTGCCAATCGTCCCATCTTGCGACATTGAAAGCCAAGCTCATCACAACACCGCATCTTCCATCGGATTCGGTTGCCAGTGAATTTTTTTGCCAGACATTTTGATGTTTCGGAATGAAAACAAATGGGAGAAAAAAGATTGGAATTATAAGAGATTTTGGGATAAGATGTTTGAGAGATTTTTTTTGCCCACTGAAATTAAACTCCAACCTACAACTATTTCTTATGGGCCGATAATTAGTAGTTAGGATAAATGAAGGGAGTGTTCAATAATGCTTAAAAAATAGTGAAATTTTCGATATGGATTTAACAAAGATTTGATGCATTTAACTTGGCAAACATGTGGCCTTAAAAAAACTTGGCAAATATAAAGTGTTTGCTAATGATTACTTGTCAACGTAAATGTAGAATTAGTACACAACAATTCAACAACCCTATAATAAAGGAGCAGTAATCAACGACTTAGCATAGGGTCAGTAACCAATGAGTAACTAAATCTGGGCTTTTAGATTTAGGTGGGTCCAGAAAATTCAGATCTAAGGGTTGTCAATTAAAGACATTTTATTTTCCCTAGTTTTCTTAATCGACTCTTATCTTCTTCGTTCTAACTCGTATTTCAATTTTTTTTGCACAGATGGAACGAGTTCGTTGTGCTCTACAAAATGAGATCAATTTTCAATATATTTCGAGAAACTTTTTTTTACCAACTACATACCATATGGTAACTTCTTCGTTTTTAAGTCGTGTTTGAAAACGTTTGCTCAGAAGGAAAGAGTTCATCATAATCTATTGGATCTATATTTCTAGGTGAAAAAAATACTGGATAAAAAAATACCATACTTTACCACTATGGTATGTGGGTGGTAACTTGTAGTAAACAATGATGAAAGTCGTAAATGATAGTTAGTATACTCCTACTATCATGTATTCAACCTTCTTACCATATTGGTATGTTCATACCATCATGGTACGTTTTCTTATCATATGGTATTAAATAAGAGCATATCATATGGTAATGACTGGTAAAAAAATATTCAATATTTTTTGTACTAAAAATATATCAAAGTGGATATCATTTTAAAGAGCACATTTAATCTGATCTATCTGTGCAAAAAAATCGACTTAAAACGAGAGAGAAATCATCCATTAAAGATTGAAGGGGAAACGATAAAAGATTTTCTAGGAGAGAAAGAATAATGATATCATGCTGATGTGAACAGGTTACTCTTAGTTACTGACCATAGAGTTTCAAACCTGATCCGTTCCCGTAATCAACATATACGTAATCAAGCGGGTTAACATTTCGTTTGTAAACGTACATAATGACATTTATATAACTACCACCAGTACATGTATGCAACTATCAAGATTTTATCCAAAAAAACTATTGAGATTATGGGTCATACTTATATTAATTAACACTTACACATACCGACATTGTAGCAATGGTCCATTGATTAGTGATAAGTAATGTAGTCAAATCGCGCTTTAAAATTTAAAAACTTACGATTTTATACTTTCTAGGTCACTAAAATGCTTCTACACAAAATCTCAGTTGTTATAATTTATATAAATAAAAATTCCGTTTTAAAACTTAAAAACTTATGATTTTACACTTTCAGAACATCAAAACGTTTCTACCTAGAAACTCGCTTTTGACTACATTGGTGATAAGATATATAAATGAAGGGAATTTTAAGTAATGATAAAAAAGACGAATTTCCAACATGGATCCAACAAAGAGTTGCTAATGGTTACATGTCAACATAAAATGAGATAATCGCACAACAATTGGACAACTATACTAATAGAGGAGCAAATATCAACACATATTGAATTGAGCGTGCTAACATTTTTATTCGTAAATGTACGTGGTGATATTTATATAATTACCACCGGTATCTATATGCAATTATTGAGATCATGGATCACACTTATACTGACACTTACACATACTGCATTGTAAAAAAATTCATATGGCCAACCTAAGCAGTCAAAATCAGGATTTTACGTAAAATCAAAATGGGGTTAAAATTGTAGGATTTTAAGGTCCATATAAAAATGAGATGGAATAATATTAATAAGAAAAATTACGAATAACACAAAAACAAATAACACTTATAATGATAATTTCTCAAGGTTAATGTTCCAATTTATCAAGGTTATTGTTAATTAAGAGGTGGTGAATCGATGATGATTAATACGTTGATATGAATTGATGATGGTTAGTGTGAGAGAACTAGATGATGTTGGTGAAGGAGAAGGAAAAGGAAAAGAGGCGTAATTTTGCAAATTTTGGGGAAAATAAGTAAAATTTACTCAAAGATTTAAATCATGAATAGTATAGGATTTTAAGGTCCATAGATTTTATAGTGAAATCAGTATTAGAATAGGTAAAGTAAAATCGCAGGGTAATAGAATTTAAATCGGGATTTGACTACTATGCGGCTAACTGGCGGAGTAAAATGCTAGTCATCAAATTAGGTGTTATGACCCTAACCCATCCTTGGTTGGGACTCCTTTGCAATCGAAGAATGGTGCATATCTGGATGCTTGTTGTACTTGTGTCCAATAACCTAAAAGAAGGTACAGTGGTCTTAGTTTGAAGGGCATGATACACATTCAATCCGTAGATATATTCTTCCGTACAAATATTTTTATCGGACAAACCACAAACTTGTACATTTAACATTATTGCACTGTCGTAATAGCTCCGTTCGAAGGCATGGAATAGGAATTCGCGTAGCAATCATTCCACAACAGTATGGGACAACTCGAATAAATCGTACGTACATCAAACACACATAGAATAAAGTTACAAGCCAAAGAGTAGTCTAACACTCGACTCGACTCTCTTCAATTTATTCATCTGATCATGACCTTTGATTTTAATTTAATGCTTGGGAATCCTCATGACATCCATGTACGATTTGCCGACGAGCTCTTTCCCAAAGTAACCCTTGAAGTAATCTGCCACGCTGATCCTCCTGAACTCAGGGGGGCTCTGTGGCGTAATTAGGCTCGGCGCTGGACCCAACTCCCCATCCAGCTTAGCGCTCAGGAACGTCGCCAAGGAAATCCTTTCGCGCTCAGAGTTGACCGTTGCTCGATGTTCGATGCTCTTGTAAATTCCATTGCTCATTATCTGCTTCGTAAACTATGATTACACTCGGAAGAAGAAGAAGAAAAACTCTGGATACAATGTTAGAGAGTGGTATAAGATCCAACATAACCTTCTCACAACAACTCGAGTTATTGAGATCAACTGGTTCATGACATACAGAGCACATGATTTATTATCATTACTTTTTTACCTCCAAGATGTCGCCAACGTTGACAATGAATGCATTGGGGAGAGGCACAACGGGAACCCAGTTGCCGTCTTTCTTGATCTGCAAACCTTGTGTGTCGGTGGTGATCTGGAGGAGGATGGTGAGGCCGACGGCGTCGGAGTGAGGGTTGAAGCCCATCGCCATCTCGGGCTGCGGACATGGAGGATAGTAGTTCATTCGAAACTGCTGCAACCCTTGTTCGAACAGCTCCGTCATGTCGTCCTCGTCCATCCTCAGAGCTTTCGCCGTTTGGTAGAGAATTGTCATGGCCGTGGCCTTCTGTGCCGCTGAATATTCTTCTAAAGTTTCCCTGCATCCATATCCACCACTCTTTTGCTAGTAAGAATTGAATGCAGGTAGAAATAGTCAAAATCGGGCTTTAAATTTTAAAAATTTGTACTTATATATAGGTAATCAAAATGCTTCTACGTAGAATTATGTTTCCCTCTTACAAGCAAAGCAGTCAAAATCCCGATTCAAATCCTACGATTTTACGATTTTACTTACCTATTCTTATCCTGATTTGACTATAAAATCTATGGACCTTAAAATACTACACTATTCATGATTAAAATCCTTAAAATCATTCAATTTTACGATTCAAATCTTTGGATCAATTTCCCCAAATTTTGCAAAATTGCTCTTCTTTTCCATCTCCCCCACCAAGATTATCTAGTTCTAGCACACTAATCACCAACAAGGCAACAACCATCTTCAATTCACATCAACGTATTAATCATCATAGATTCACCATTTTCCAACATTAACCTAATTGATAAATTGGAACATTGACCTTGAGAAATTATCATTGTGATTGTTATGTGTTTTTATATTATTCATGATTTTCCTTAGTAATATTATTCCGCCTTCATTTTTACATGAACCTTAAAATCCTATGATTTTACGATTCCGATTTTACCCCCATTTACGATTTTACGTAAAATCCCAATTTTGACTTCTATGCTTACAAGTGCAGTCAAAAAATAAATTGTAAAGTTAACGTTTTTACGCTTCAACGTCACCAAAACACTTCTACGCAGAATCACAATTTTAACTGCATTATATAGAAATATGTTATGGTACAATTCAAATAGCATGTCAGAGATATATACAACGAAAAACATCAGTCCAATTACTACGAAATTTTTTGAGAAGGAACCCAAGAATAAATCTATGCAGCAATCGAGCGGGATGATTGTTTTAATAAATTCAAAATTTTCTTTTTTTTTGGGTATGAGAATGAGATGGATATAGACCTGAGTGGAAGAGGCAGCTTGGGAAAGAGATGAGGTTTCCTGAGGTGTTTAGGGAGGGCGGTGACGAAGAACATATCTGCCCAGTCCAGTTTTTGTTCCTCGGACTTCACAAAGGCTTGCCCGTACCCTTCAATGTCTCCCTGTTTCTGCGAGTACTTTTGCTTCTCCTCCAGTGGGAGGTTGAAGAACTCCACAACCTCCTTCTTTACCCTCTCCACCAGCTCCTCGCTCACTCCATGATTTACCAACTGGAAGAAACCCCAATTTTGGCAAGCGTCATGGAGCCTGTCTAGCTCTGAAACATGACGATGATGAGATGATGATGACAAGAGCTTCTGCAGATCAATGACAGGGACTTCTTCCAAGGGCAGAGCAGCGTTTGGAGGTGGTTGTTGATCAGGGCGGATGTAGCGGGGAGGGATGTCTGCGAGCGGCTGCTTCGCCAGTTCTTGGACGTTAGCCACAGGGAGAGTGCTCCCAAACTTTGGTAGCTCAACATCTTCCATAGCTACTTTCTTTGATCAGCTAATTGCCTTGAGTACTCTGTCTTTGCTGATGATATTTTTTCCTATTATTGTGGTTCTCCCATGCTAATATTCCCTGCTTATATATTAGCCACGCCCACAAGTAGCTTGCAAACGTTAGGCTGCCCAAAAAATAATCAGATAGAGGTGCTAGCTAACAAGCAATCTACATCCTACCACCTAAATCCAGACACCACTCTGGTGGGAATTATGGCAGAAGCCTGATTTTCTGTTCGAAGAAGCTAGCTTAGCTTCCGTCCTTCATTCGTGCATGTACGTGGGATCGGGCCGTGCCGTCCACAGGCTAGCACGGTACGACACGGTTAGAGCACGAGCACGAAATAAATGGGCCATCCTGGTACGAGCATGAATAATTTATGGGCCGGCCCTAAATTTCATGGGCACAGGCACGAGCACAGACACAACACGGTATATAAGTGGGCCGTGTCGGGTCTAATATTTTCGAGACTTTATTGAGTATAAGAACGGAGATGGCACGAAAATAATATTTATTTGATAGAAAATAAATATAAAAAGAATTTTAGGTTCAAATGTTACAAAACACAAGTAGAAAAATAATTATTTGTTGTTGTTAGAAGTGTCGTAAAGATATATACGTAATTACTAACATAAGTAAAAATGGACAAAAAATTAAACAATGCCAAATCACATTTGCTATACTTCCAATTTTCTTTTCCCACTGATTTGTTACTTTTCTCAAACATTATCGGTTAATACTATCTTCCTCCGTCCAATTTTCACCTTCTTTTTCATTCTCTCTTTTGTTTTCGTCCTTTTCATTAAACACGAATACGAGCATGACACGAGCACGAATAAGTACGACACGATTCGAACCGTGCCCAGGCCTAGGCCGGGCCTATCAAAGTTAACAAATGAGTTTGCATGGCACGGCACGAAAACTGACGGACCGTGCCAAGCACGGCACGAAATAAATGGGCCGAACCGTGCCCGTGTCGTGCCGGCCCAAGCACGACCCAACACCCATGTACATAATCGTGCATATGGGTGTTAGCTAGCTAGGACCCAATTAATTGAATAACTCATTTCTTATTCTTATTGAAGATCACGAACTCATATAGTCATGTTGTGTTGTGTTGGGAATATGATGTTGATTTGTCCTGAAGCCTAATTTTATGTTTGATGAAGCTTTAAACCTTTCCCCTAACCTAGTTGCTTAAATTTTCAGTGTCCCATTTATTTCGAGTGATTTAGTTTCGAGCCACTGAAGCATTACGTTATGGTTTCGGCAGTAGGACGATTTTGTCGGCAGAACAGATCGATCAAAGAGAGGTAGGGAATGGAAAGCCGTTTCAGTGTGCTCTTCAGAAATCATCACATGGGTATATGGCTAGAAAGAGCCATGGAATCCAACTAAGGGAATACATCGATCAGGAGAATTTTTTTGTTTATTTCCATAGATCCGGAGGGATACCGACGACGTAGTTATCGGAATTGAAATTAGAGGTGGCCAATAGATTGGATTTATGGATTGGTGAATTGATCCATTGATCTAAATAACATTCAAGCCTTGGACCATTATGTAAATTTTAAAAAGTTTTGAGTACTAAAATGTCGCAATGAAAAATTTTAGGTACAAAAAACCGTGAATTTCAATGATATTTTTTGTAAAAAATAAATTTAGGTACCAAAATATAAAATATAAAAAGTATAGGTACTAACTCGTAATTTGCCATTTGGATCCATGGATCAATCCATAAATCTACCAATCCAATTGGATTAGAATCAAATGGATTAAATAGTTGGATATTTTAGTGGATGGATTGGATTGAATTGGATTAGTGGATTTGGATACTAATTGCCACCTCTAATTGGAATTTATAACATCAACCTAGACTAGACGGAGAGTAATACGTACCGCTCACTATAAACTATAAAAAAAGCCCTAAGGTTGTAGACAATATGACAGGGAAGGTTCACAATAGTCGTCTTTGGGGCTAGACCTGCCAACTGGACCTTATGACTTAGTCGTCCCGACCTAAGGCACGACTTGATCAGTCAGTCTTAAGAGGACGTATAAGCGTATCAATATTTGCGAAAGCATTATTAATCATATCTACTATTGGTGACAACCATTAGATCTAGTCATTATCAATGATGTTGTTTGCGTTTTACACGAAGCACAACTTAGCTATTAATATTTTTATATCATTATTAATGTTTATTAATAACATGTACTATTATCAATAATTGTGCTTGTATTTTCAATGCCAACACAACTTAGTTATTATGATTAATAGTGTCATTACTAATGTTTCAATATAAAATTTTATAATTTTAAAAAATTAACAAGTATATTGAAATCGTTGATAATGATGAATATATAGTAACAATCCATTTTTTAAATGTTAATAATATCATTGAAAAATTAATAAGATATTGCAAGTTGCTAGAGAGAGGGAGAGTGAACATTTTGTATTTTAAAATTCCTTTTTTTAAACACTAAAAAAATTAATTTCAGATTTCATATTTTGAATTTTCATATTAAATAGATGTCAAATTTAGGAGAGGATGAGTTGATTTTAATTTTTAAAATAATCTCTTTTTTTTTACAAAAGATAATTCTCAATGATCGAAACAAAAGATAGTTACACCCTGGAGATTAGCCAGGCCTAAAAATCAAAGAAACGACTAGCAGTCAGGTACAAAGAAAGGGCCTTACGAGCCACCAAGTGGGCTATCCTATTACTACGCCGACCTACAAATCGAACACTAAACCCTGAGCGGTCCGCCAAATGTTGAATAATCTCAGCAAGAATAGCACCAATCCGACTATCTCTACCATCCGCCTGGTTGATTTTATCAATAATGACCTTAGCATCACCCTCAAAACACACCTCCATGATACCCCGACCTAAACACCAAATGATAGCTTCCCGGAGCCCCAACACCTCACTGACCATGGGATCATCAATGCCCGGGAACTGAAACCCAGCAGCCATAAGGACCGCTCTATCCGGGGTCATAAGAACAATCCCTCCTGCTGAATGGGAACCCTTCCTAGTAGCCCCATCCCACATACAAACCAACCTATCATCCACCACCGGAACCGGCATAGGTGGGGGGAGTTCCGCGGACCGGGAATTCCGATCCACAGGCAGCCCCACCCATTCCTCATACTGCTGGTTGTACTGGTGCATCAGAGCAGGGATCCCAAACTGCTTGCCCTCGAAGACAACCCAGTTACGAGAACGCCAAATTCTCCACAAGACAGCAACCAACGCCATGAGGATGGATGGCTGAGTAATAAGGGACAGTAACCGCTTAAGAAACAGAGGGAAGGTGTGTTGAGGCAACCCTTCCCCCAAGGAAGCCAGCCCCGAATAATCCCAGACTGCCCGAGCCACCGAACAATGTTAGCCTCCCATAACCTGATCCAACTCGCCTTATCCATCCAACTGACCTCTTACCTCCACCGGCCCTTCCTTATATCAAGGGTGACAGCTAAATGATAGGCCGACTTCACAGTGAAGATGCACTCCGGAGTGTTATGCCAAATCAGCTTATCCTCCACCAGCAATCGCGGAAGGGGGATATTCTTAATGGCCTCACAAGTAGGAGGGTGAAACCACTTACGCAACTTCTGATCACACCACCGGCCCCCTTCCGGGCTGATTACCTCAGCAACTATCGGGCCTCCCTCAACTGGCAAGACCTGGGGGTTATACCTAGGAGGATCCAGCTGAAGCTCTGGAATCCAGTTGGAATGGAGCAGGGAAGCAGACTGTCCATTTCCAATTTGCCACCATAGCCCTGCCTCCAAAAGTTGACGGCCATACAGAATACTCTGCCATCCCCACGAAGGTCGAGATCGCGTCGTGGCCGAGAGGAAGGTCCCATTTGGAAAATACTTTTCCTTATAGACTTGGGCTAAGAGAGAGTGAGGTTCCTGAAGGATGCGCCAACCAATTTTTGCCAAGAGAGCCTGGTTAGCATGTTCAAAGCGGCGAAACCCCCTACCTCCCTCATGCTTACTTCGGCACATATTCCTCCATGACATCCACCGAATTCTCAACAGGTCCTCCTCAGCGCCCCACCAGAATCGTGCCACATGTTTATCTAGTAATCGGCACAGCAATAGGGGAAGTCTGAAGCAGGACATCACATGCAATGGTAATGCCAAGGCAATGGACTTGATTAGGGTTTCCTTAGCCGCCCAGGATAGCGTTCTCCGTTTCCATCCTTGGAGGCGATCCAACAGTTTCTCCTCCAAGTACCGGAAAGTATCCATCTGGACCGAGCAATCAGCGTAGGCAAACCCAGGTATTTATCGTGAACCCCAACCGCCCCAACTCCAGAACCGCAATCAGGAACTCTTGATCAGGCAAAGCAATATTTCTACTAAAACACACTGCCGATTTGTCCAAGTTCACTCTCTGACCACTGAGCTCTTCATACTCATTTAGTACCTCAATTAAGTTCTCGCACTCTTGGAGAGAGCCACGCAGGAACAAGTACGAGTCATCAGCAAAGAACAGATGCGAGATCCTCGGGGCCCGGGGAGCAACCTTGATTCCGCCAAGCCTTTCGGCAGAAATAGCCTTGCAGAGAAGCGCCGCAAATCCCTCCGTACAGAGCACAAACAAGAGCGGAGACAAAGGATCCCCCTGACGGAGGCCTCGGGAGGGGGTGAAATAACCCGAAGGGGTACCATTCATTAAAACGGAGAAAGACGAGGACCGAAGGCATTCTAGAACCCATCCCCGCCAGATGGAGTTAAAACTCATTTTTTCCAAGACAGCGAGAAGAAAAGACCATTCGACTCTATCATATGCCTTTTCCATGTCAACCTTCAAAGTCATGTACCCTTTCTTTCCGTGTGTCTTAATTTTCAAATAGTGCATTAACTCATGCCCAAGGAGGATATTCTCGACAATTTGTCGGTCCCGTATAAAAGCGTTTTGACCCTCCGAGACGATCTGAGGTAAAAAAAACCTGCAAGTCTCTCAGCCATGATCTTGGTAATAATCTTATACACAAACTGGCACAGGCTGATTGGCCACAATTGCCGCATATTTCCCACCGAATCAACTTTTGGAATCAAAGTAAGCCAAGTATGGTTGAAACTCCGGAGCATCCTGCTAGTCTCAAAGAAAGAACACACTGCCTCAACCACCGAGGCTCCGACAATATCCCAGAATGATTTGAAGAATTTCCCCGTGAATCCGTCGGACCCAGGAGCCTGCTTTGATCCCATTGCAAAAACCGTTTTGCGAACACCATCAGGGGGAACTGCCGCCGACAGGACGACATTCATAGCTGGGGTAACAGTGCGGTCAATAGTCAAGCCTGCCACACGCTCAGTCATATTAAAGACCCGATTCTCCGAAGTGAAGAGATGTTGATAGAACTAGGTTGCAATACCAGCTTTGCCAGGCTCGTCTGTGATCCAATCGCCCTCATCATTAATGAGTCCAGCCACAAAATTCTTCTTACGGCGCGTCCGAGTCACTGTATGAAAATAAGAGGTATTCTTGTCTCCTTTCTTTAACCAGTGGACCCTAGACTTTTGGGGCCATTCATGGCTGGCTACCTCCACCATTTCTTGAGTTTCATTGCTTTCCACAAATTGTTTTTTTGGTACAGGTGGGTCCCCCACCTCACCCTTAATCGCGTCCAGCGGACGTTTTCGCACCCCCCAAATCCGGGTTCTGAATGTTTGACCCATATTCATCAATTTGAGGGACAACCTCAATCACTCCTTCAAATTGGTCTCGCCCAGTGATGTCATCACCACTCTCCACGACTATCTTCACAGAGGTCTCTTCCTCTTTCTGGTCAATTGTCAACCCTGACTCGAAAGCCGCAACCACCTGACTCACCCGATTCTTGGAGGTGAAACGCAGCGTGTTGGCTTTGGGGATCAGTAGCCTTTTCATGATTTCAAATCTTTGCGGTTCATCCTCCGAATGCGAATCCTCCAAACCCAGCTCCACCTGAGATTCCTCCATTGCTACTTCAATGCTGATAGGGAGGCGAGTTACCTCCACTATAACAGGGACGCTGGAGGTAACACTCCCAGCCCCTACTGCCTCTTCATCCTGGTTCGCCATACACACCGAACCAGAGCAGCCTCCCTGAACAGTAGGGTTTTGCCGCAGCTTCCTCCTACCTATGGGCCGAGGTTTTAGGGTCGGCGCAAGAGTAGTGTCAGCTTCGTCATCCGGAGGAGCCATCCTTGTGCGAGAGGGGCGCCAAGCAGGCTTGTTCACTTTGCTACCAACCAAATCAACAGTCGGAGGGTCCCGCAACACCGCTTTTTGCACCTTCGGCTCGACCAGGTCAAGTTTGTCATCATCCGGGTCGGCCTCGAGGATGAGACGGCGCCTCCGAGACTGCTCCCTTACTTCAGCGATAGGAGTATCCTCATCCGAATGACTTTCGACGGAGCGTGCGGAATAGCTCGCCGGCACAGGAGCATCCATTACCAGCGTTGGTGGGATAAGGGATTCGCCGACCATTTTTGACTCCCGCAAACTACGCCCCCCCCCCCCCCCCCCCCCCCCCCCCGATTTTAATCTTGGGAGATTTATTCAGAACAAAGCCTTTGGGACTGGGCCTGCGGTTGGGCGAACGCACGAGGCCTTTCTTCGAGCTGGGTCTAGGCATGGATGGACTCGAAACCTCCCATCCCGCCTGCAAAACTAGCTCCTTCTTTCCGTGGTCAGGCACGGCGTGCTGCTGGGCTCGCCCACGACCTCCCACCCCACCCCTACATCAGGTGCCATCGTACCGATCATGGGACCACGAGCCTGCCGGTTTACCCAAACCGAGTTTCATGAACCCCGAAAAGTACGATTTTTGCCATCCTCCTCATAGAGCTGTCATCCAAATTTCTTTGTTGTCATGTGAGGGCCGAAACGCTCTTTCCCCTGCGGTGGATCAAAAGTACAGATCCGACGCGGGTGGCCTACTCGGCCGCAGTGGTAGCAGAAGCTGGGCAGTAGTTCGTACTTAAGACTCACCCAGAAGCTCTCAACCTCCTCACTGACCGCCAAAAGTTGGGATCGGAGAGGTTTGGTGAAGTTGATGAGCGTACGCACTTTGATGAAGCGCTCTACCGTGTCTTTACAAGCAAACATGGCCGACTCCAAAACCTGGCCAAAGGTTGAGGCCATAAATTTACGGCCAAAGCTCTTAGTGCAACAGATTTCATCAACTCCCCAAAGCTGAATACGGAATGGGGCAATGGCCAACCCGTCAAAGATTTCCTTGGTAATCGATGACGTCCAGGAGCGCAAAGGTAAGCAATCTGTCTTTGATGACCCAAGGACTTCGATTTAGAGCCCATTTCTTAGCCTCTTCATTCGGCATTGTGATCTCAAAGAGGTCATGTTGCGTCTTCGACACCTTGAGCAACCCCTTGATCTGCCAGGCTGAACGCAACGCATCCCGAAGCTCCACCATTGTGAACTGGTCTGTGGTAAACAGCCTGCCCAGAAGGGTGCGGGTAGCACGAAATTTGTTTGACTGGACTTCTCCAAGTGAGAATTGAACCACCTGATCCTCTGACACGTGAGCCATCGTCGTAACCTGGCATGCAGAGACAGGGGCAAGATTAAATTTTCGGTGTTATTGAACCCTAGCAGCCCGTCCAAGGAAGCAAATTCCTTCGAACAGATGGGTGGATCAGGCTGCATAACAGGTGATTGACTAGGGCCAGCCGATATAAACGAGCAGGTTATGGAAGTCGCAGGTTTTTTAACCATACCTGAGAAGAAAGCGACCGCTGAAGATAATGCTTGGGGGAGTGCAGAGCTAGCTTCACTACAACAAGAAAGTTTCTGATTTTGGTGAGCTAGCAGTCATAGCACGGGGGTGGTATTTATACCCACAAGACCTGTGTCCCCTTTTAGAATTTGATTAGAAGCGGGAGTCCATTTAACGGCACGATTAGGGAAAATCAGATTTGTACGATACGTTGGGTACTTCCAAGATTCCCCTAACAACCCCACGAAAACCTAGGGATAGACCCGAGAATCCCTAATCTTCCGGGATTGAGACGTCACACTCCGGGGAGTCGTGAACAGGTAGTCACCGGCGACACGGGCGGTACGACGAGTGTAGGGCAACTCCAAGAATTGCGTCGGACATTTCTCCACTGCCATTTGAGTCTCAACCCGAAGCCTTGGATTTTCATAAGCATGTTGATACTGCTGTTCTGACATGTCCAGCTTCGGAGCATGTTCAGCAGACGAGTTCGTTCCAGACGTGGTTAACAGCGATTCATCGCCTTCCACATCAGACGGGGGTGGGAGCCAAAATCGCCACCCTTTCAAATGTATAAGTCTGGCTCATTTCGAGCGCAGAGCAAGTGAGGGACGAATCTCCTCAACCAAATCATCTCTCTTACGTTTGGGTGAAACCCCAAGAACACCGGTGACAGTCCCACTAAGGTTCTGCTCATAAACAGCCTCGTGGACCAAAGGCTTTGCCAATAGCTTTTCATATATATCGATACCCGACCTACAGGACACTACCGGCGTGGTAAATCGTCGATCCCGGCCAAACTTCTGTTTCCTCAAACTGGCGGCGAAGAGGATTACGCAGACTTGCAGTAGTCGATCCCCTAGCCATAGCGAAAACTCCAGGAGAGAGGAGAGACCTCCTCTCATATTTTTTTTTCCGGCGAAGAGGATTCTTAGTCTAGGTTTTCCCACCCTACTTTTAAAAAAAAACTCTTTAATTATTAACGACATTATTTTCTCAATTCTCATAATAGTAATAACCTATTTTTCCTTTTGGCCATCAAAAATTTAAGATACTCTTTAAGCATTAGAATTAGTAAACCACAAGTAATGAAAAATTACCATAAATCAAAGTTACTATTCCATAAGAAAAAATCGGAGGTACTGTTCACTTGGGAATTTGGGTTTCCTACGACCAGTTTTAACTGAGCTCGAGTTCACTAATTTTGGGCTGGCTAAGTTAAGTCGTTGATCAATAATTATGTTAGCCAATCTCAACCTTTGAATTCTTATCCCTAAATCACGTGTCTGTCTTCACTCTCCTATTGAACTCTGTTTCTTTTTTTGGGCCATTCATTCCTGATTCCTCTCTTCTTTTTTTCAGTCCTTTCTCTCTGCGACCATCCATTTACTTCTACTCCTATTTCTTTTCCATGGAATCGAAACAAAGTAAAGGAAAGGGTTGTCGTGGAAGATGGAGCTAGAAGGGGAAGAGCTTGTTTTGCCACCAATCTAAATTCCCGACCTCTGTGAAGTTGGAAATCTCAACTCCTCAAGAGTTTGTTCGAGTCCGCTTCTTCAGATCTTATAGCTAAATCGTAAGGGAAGGTGAACCAAGGATGCTACTAGCCGCCAGTTGGAGCTAGACCAGAATCAGTTGATGATCGTCCCAGTCATCGTCTCTCTTTCTTCCCGGCCTTTCTTCTTCCCCCAGATGTGCACTCTTCTTCCGGCAACCGTTAAGCATCTATGGAGGAGGAAGAGAGGAGGGGATCTTGCAGCCCTCACGGGCGTAATGGAGGTTTTTGGGCTTTCATCACTTCTTTAATTGTGATTGGTGGTCTTGCCTGTATTTGTGTTCCGTAAGTACTGAAAGCCCACCAAATACAGTACTTATCAGGATGACTAGCTTAGCTCTCGGTTGATAGATCAATGAATTTAGTTGGGTGAATCATGGTGTTATATTAATAGTAATTATAATCCAATTCACCCTTTCCACCATCTAACCATACTTATCAGGAGGTTATGAATTCCATGTTTGTTGTATGGGAAGAGAGATATACTTGGGTGAAAACCCAAATGATTTACTACAGTTTGGTGGCTCTTCGGCAAATGGTTGTTGTTACTAACGCTTCTACTTCTACTAGGATGTTCTCTACAAACTTGGTGCTTCCAATGTAATGGCGGCAGTTTAATGTTAAGCTGTGATTTGAGGCAGAAATAACAACATTGAGAATTTGATAACACAAAAAAATTGCATAGATGTTCATTCTTTCATGCTCATTGGTTATTTTAAGTTATGTCAGCATAATATCGTTTAGTTGATAACCCCATTTCTTCCTCATAAGGGTTCTGCCACCCATGTAGCCAGCAGTGTTCCCAAAAACGCAGTTGTATAGAGAAGTTGCTTCAACAACTAAGTCAATTTGTGGTTCTGGCACAAGCTGGATGGTTGGTTGGGAAAACACAATAATCGTGGCATTACTCCCAGCAAAATGCACTCTCAACAGTTTGATTCATTCCGACGGTGATATGGAGAGGCAGAGGAACGTAAGAAGGTCATGTCATTTAAAAATTTCTAATTTCTTGATTACTACCTTGAATTAGAGTAGGACCATGAATTAGCTTGCCATGCATATAAGTTGAGCTTGAGGATGTTCCTTTTGGGTTTCATATGATAAAACGAACGGTTGACAAAAGCTTGGTTTGAACACTTTAGAATCGATTGTATAGATGTTAGGTCAATGGATGCTTTGGTAGTATGCCCCTTCCATGAGATTGGTATTCCAATTTGAATATCTCTTTCTAATCCTTCCATGAGATAAATGGGAGATGGAATCTTCCAAATGGGAATCACAAAGTTAAGCAGGTTATATGTGGGATTTAGATTGTATTGTGTGCAGATAATTCTTCCATAGAGCTCAATCTATCTTGCAGTTTTTTTATTCTCCACTTTATATCTTCAGTTACTACTCATCCACTTGATGAGCTGTTAATGGTCTGTTTCAAATTGGTATACTTTTCAATAGATTAGATTTATTAAGTGTTGTATAGTTGTTTATGGTATTCTCCATAGTTTGTCTTCTACGTTTTCTCTACACTGTCAACTTCTCCTAACATACTAAACATAACCCCTTCCTTTCATTGGAAGCTATTTAAGTGGCTATTAAGCTAAGACTCATGCTAATATTCTTTAATTGTCTTGATTGCAGTATGTCACTACACTTTGGACCTATAATGTTTTTCTGAAGCTGGAAAAAAGTGATATCGAAGAGGTGTTGATTCTTGCTTCGTAGCTATAGTTGTGATAAATTCTGGTGGGATTTTGTTCCCCTTATGGATAGGTAGAATTGAATGGACTACAAAGTTATGAAGTGCAGGAAATGTTGAAAGTGGAATGGTTAGTAGGCATTGCAGTGTATAATTACACCTTGAGACAATATACACTTATGGAGAGCTAACCTAAATAAAGATAGGATGTTTTCTTTATTGGATACCAATTATTCGAGTTCAAAGCCTTTTAAAAATGAAATTGTAAAAATGATAAAAGGTCTAATATCTTCTGGACTTTGATAGTGTTATTTGCAGGTTTTTTTGTGTTTTCTGCAGAGGGGAGAAGCCAACTGCAAAATGTTGTCGATGTTGGAAATTGAGCCGAAGTTATGTATATTCAAATTCCACAAATTTTAATATATCTTTGTCAACTAAAAGACCAACCTCATCTTTAGGACCTTTTAGCTGTTGTTAGTATACTTTTTTTGTTAATTGATTTTGATATCTTTAGTGTCAATTTTTTTGGGATAGTTAATTAGTGAATTTAGTTGCTTAATCAATTAGGAAATTTTCTCAGCATTAAGATGGAACTTGATTAATATTAAGGCGAACTTGATCACATGGAAATTTACTATTAATTAATGAATTTAGTTGCTTAATCAATTAGTGCACTTCTTAATCTTATTTTCTCCCAGTGTTTTAAGGGTTTAGTTGTTTGCATATGGTACACTGTATAACTCAAGGGTTGTTCATTCTCCCCATTAAAATTAGTTCAGCTTCAGTTTCATCTTCAGTGATCGTTCTCATTATATAAACAATCTTTCTCATTATTTCGTACAACTTAGTATCTTCCATGTTTCATACTATGAATTATCCCGTCATATTCTAGTGCCATCTTTTTAATTTCTATTATCTATAATCTTAAGAATTTTGAATTGAATATCGTATATTGGGATTGTTATGGAAGGTCTTATATATATTAAGGATAATTCACTTACATTTTATTGAGATGACCAAATTTCAAATACTATGTTCAATTTTGAATCAGGCTTCTACGGTTACAAAGAAGACAACACGCTTTGATTAGTTTTGTTAATTCATAGTTACATACCAAAATAAATTGTCCATATCAAAAGCACTAGAATTTGGAGTTTCCACTTTGATTGTTGGCACCATACCATGATCTATATTTTCATAATCAATAATTCAATCCCATATTATTTTGGTATTTCTAAAGATAAAAATTTTAAAACATTTGTTTGATCTCTAAGAACGTCCAAAACAATTTAAGAAAATGAAACTCTTTAACACTAATTAACTGGTATTTTTTCCTCAAAAACTCGCTGCATAGCGCGGGCCATTTGTCTAGTATAGACTTAAGCATGGGATCTCACCCGCACTTTTTGGAATGATAACAAAGACAATAAATGCAAAAACTTCTTTTATTAGATTATCATTAAACAATAATTACACTCTTATTTAAATAAATCCTTCCCCTCTCTCATGTAATTTTTCTTTCTCTTGGCTTTTAGCCTCCTTCCTATGAGAAAAAAAAATCCTTCCCCAAACTAGATAGACAGCTAGTATAGAACTAAATCCTGCTCATCTTTCCATTATCACCATCATTATCATCATATATATGCATTATACAATGAAAGACCAATAATTATTGTCTAGTTTATGTAAAGCCTTTTATAAACTTGACCAATCTCAAGCAACTCCATAATCAAAGTACTTATAAGATGGCCTATTTCACCATAATCCTTATTTCATCTTATAGATGAGATGAACGCATGCATGCAGAAGCACATCTTTGTCATCAAGCTAGCATCAAAAGCGGCAGTTGGTGAGAGAGACAATGACATTGACCACTTGAGGCTTCTCCTTGGCCATCCGCTCCGAGATGACGGCTGCGTACCTCCTGAAAATCTCGTCGATGACTTCTTCCCCTGATGAACCAAACTGGCTGACCAGCAGCGGCTCCGCCACCGCCCTCATGCACTTTGCCATGTCGCGGCCGACGTTTTCGTGGGATAATTCGTCGGCGGTAGTACTGTTGCAGCTGGCTTGATCCCAACTCACTGTCGAGACCTCGAGGCGATTGATGGCGAAGGAACCCTGCTTCACGACTTGTGCTTCTACTTCTGTCGGCGACGGTGTATATTGTGGGATGTTGAAGCTGTCCAGCTTCTCTTGATCTATGGTTCCCTGAATATCATAGGGATCAAAAGAGACAATCACGTTGTCTTATAAATATATAGATATTTTACAATGCTATATAGTATTGATGCTACAGGTTTTTGTTTTTATGGTACAACTTAAAAATTGTACATTTACGTTATGGTACAACTTTAGATTATACCTATACTTTTTGTACAAATTCTTTTATGGCATAACTCGAACTTGTACCTTTATGTGATGGTACAATTTCAAGTTGTACCATAATATAATGATACAAATTGTTTTATGGTACAACCTAAACTTATACATTTAATGTTATGGTACAACTTTGAGTTTTACATTAAAGCACCAATGCTATATAGCATAGTAGAAGTGCTCATCTATATATATGATCATGAATACTTTTTTCATAAATATATATAGATAACTATAAATTACGATGAATCCACTTGTCCTGTGCAAAACACTTTCAAATTTTTAGTTAAAAGCAAAGGTGCTACAAAGTGGCATTTAGGGATGGCAATTATCCATCCATGGGTAATTTTATTCAAACCCAAGGAGACCCATTGATTATGGATTAGGGTATGAGTGAAGTATATATGGGTTTGAGGGGTTGTAGATGGGTTTGGGTAGGATTTGAATTTTGCTTGTATAACCTAAATGGGTATGGGTTGGATATGGATATCCATTTGGTTGATAGTGTTTTAACTACACGTAGAAAAATTGGACTTACTTGTAAAATTTTAAAAGTTTAGATATCAAAATGTCATACTAAAAAAATTGAGGTACTAAAATGTAATTTTCCATCGATAATTTGAAGACTTATATGCAAAAAAAAAACTTAACTTTAGGTACTAAATCTAAAGATCTAATAAGTTTAGGTAGCAAACCGCGTAATTTTCATATGGGCCGGTATGGGTAAAATCCAAATTCATGAATCAAAAACTCAACCCAAATAAATGGGTATGGGTACAACTCATCAAACTCTACTCATACACCATTTATTTGGATTTCATGCTCAACCCAATTCGATTGGATAGCAAAATACTCATGTGTATGGGTAAAATTGTCATCTCTAGTGGTAATGGGTGGCACGAATAATATTTACCTAAAAAAACAATATAATTTTTGTAGATCACTCGTTCCATCCGTGTAAAAAGACAATTACAATCTGAATTATAACAAAGAAGATACAAGTCGATTTACGTACCGACGATGCCATCTGGTTGAGGACAATGGACAAGAGCTCCCAGAGGTAGCAACATTCTCTGCTGGCACGATCTTCACTTCTCCTGCCCAGGAACGTCAAAACCATTCGCCCTCCGACGACCAGTTCCCGGGAACGACAGCTCAGGAACGAGAAGAAGTCTCTCTGGAACTGCTCATAGTATGCTTCCAGGACACTCTCTGGGCTACTGCTGGCCATGTAAATGTTCCCCTTGTTTTCCCCCTCCAGCCCTGGAGGAACCTGGGACAACCAGTGAAGGCTGTAGGACGAGTGGACCAAGTGAAGACTGTTGGTCGGGAATAGCCTATCGTAGAAAGATCCCGTCACTCCGTTGAAGAATACAGAAAAAATTTGTTGCTGCTCGTGGTTGAGTCTTCTCAAGTATTCTTTCTGAAACCTCTCCGTGAACCTGAAAACAGTGTTGAAGTCGTTTCCAGAGAGGTCATTCAAGAAAATCTGAAACTCGGGGAGATGGTACCCTAGCTCGCCGCACATTCTGCTCACGGCCTTCAACAGTTCGGGCGCCACCAATAGAGCGTTGGTGCCTGAGGAGCAGCCCAAATCCGCCATGGCTAGTAGTGCTCCGGGGAAGCTCGCGCTACACAGTTCACTGATCGCCTCCTCTATCACCGGCAGAGTCATCAAAATCACCCGGTGCTGCAGAAATAAATAAAATGTGAGATTAGTGATGGCAATGGGGCGGGGCGGGTATCTCAATTCCCATGTCCCGCCCCACGCTATTATGGGTCGGGACGGGTAAAACTCGCGCGGGTACGAGGCGGGGCGGGGCTACTCACTCTTACATATTGTTAAAAAAAAATACAAGTAAATTTTACTTTTTACAATAAAACGTAGGAAAAACACTTTAAGAATGAAAAATATTGATAATAGAATGGATAATTGAGCCTAACAAGTTGAAAGATCGACTCCAACTAGTTGAAGAAAAGTCAAAATAAGATAAATATGTATAGATGTTGTAAGAAATTGAGATAACATGAGTCTAGAACGGGGAGGGTCGGAAGTAGATACCCATGCCCCGCCCCACGCTACTGCGGGTCGGGTAATACCCGCCCCATCGCGGGTCAGGTCGGGTAATACCCGCAGGGCGGGTTGAAATTGCCATCACTATGTGAGATCCTAGTACGAATGGCAATGGAGGCAGGTCAGGTCGGGTATCTCGATTAGCTATGGCATGCAATTACCCACTCATGGGCAATCATACCCAAACCCAATTAAGTAGACCCATTGATAATGGGTAGGGTATGGATGGGGTATATATGGGTTTAGGGGTTTGTAGATGGGTTTGTGTAAGGTATGGATATTACTTCCATAATCTAAATGGGTATGGGTTGGGTTGGGTATATAGATATCCATCTACTTGAGTTTGTTTTAACTACGCATATAAATATTGAACCTATTTGTAAAATTTGAAAAGTTCAGGTACCAAAATGTAAGACCAAAAAAATTTAAATACTAAAATATAATTTTCATTGATATTTTCAGGACTTATATGCCAAAAAATAAATGTAGGTACTAAATATGCATATATATTAAGTTTAGGTAACAAATTGTAATTTGCATTTGGGCATGGGTACAAATCCAAATCCATGTGTTAAAAAATCCAACCCAAGTAAATGGGTACGGGTACAAATCTATCAAACTCTATCCATCTACCCTCTATTTTGATTCCATACCCAACCCAATTGGGTTGGATAGTAAAATACCATTGGGTATGGGTAAAATTATCATCCCTAATCTCGATACCTATACTTGCCTCCTAGCAGGTCGACTAGAGGTCGGGTAATCCATTATAGGGGCGGGTTTGGGAAGGCCGATTCAATGGGTACGTAGTTTAGAAGGAAAACATTAGTAATATTCATTTTTTTTATCAAAACCCTATAAACAACTAAAATATGATAAATTTAGTTAAATTATCCAAATATTAAGGTTCTAGCATATTTACAACTTTATTATAGCTAAAATAATATGTAATAAAAGTAAAATTATAAGTAATTTTAAGAAATTACATGTAATTTACGCAAAGCAGGTCGAAAATGGATCGGGTTAGGATAGGGCTGGTCGAAGAGAGTACTCATGCCTGCCACGCCCTGCCTACGGGGCGGGGCGGACCCACCCTAAAACAGGTCAAGCAGGTCAGGTAAAACGATTCAGATCAAAATTGCCATCCCTAGGTACGAGACATCTGCCTCTTCAGCTAAAGCTCTGCAGTTTGTGACTAAAAGAGGGAGTAAAACAATTGGAGCTGGGAGGGGAAAGGCTAGCATGCTAACAATTTTTTTGTTAGCATGGTGCTACCACTTGTTTCAACCAATAGCATGCTTTGAATTATGAAAAATTGGGAGACCACGAATCATGCTACAACCTCAAAACTTGCCACAACCTCTTCAAAACATGCCACAACCTCAAAGCATGTCACAACCTCCTCAAAGCATGTCATAACATGAAAGCATACCACAACCACAAAGCATGTCAGAAGTTTATAAAAGCATGACACAAGTTTTTCAAAGCAGGCCAGAAGTTTCTTAGCAATGCACCTGTGCGTAAATTTTAAAAAATTTATGTACCAAAATGTAAGAAAAAAATTTCAGATACTAAAATGTAATTTTTCATCAATATTTTTAGGACTCGAATGTAAAAAAAATCATTTTAGTTACTAAATATTAATACACGTAGCAAAACTATAATTTGGGAAAAAAATATACATGAATAAATAAGCAAGAAGAAAATCCCATAACAAAGAAGATAGATAGAGCATTTATAAACTGAGTGGCTAACAAAGATGATTAGTACTACAGTTCCAGGAACCTACTATGATTCACTGTTTGACAATAAATCATAATTTGTGGCATTCCGATGGAAATTATATATCAACTCACAACAAAATGTTAGGGAGAACTAAACTAGTTACCTGAAACAAGGAGTTCATAGCGTAGCTGGTTTCTCCCACCCCGCCATTCATGTGAAGCATGGCGCCAACCTCCATTGATTTTCCTATCTCCAGCTTGCCTTGATCAGTGGGAACTTTGAACTCTCGAGATACAGTATTCCCTATGCGTTCAGGGAATATTTATGCAAAGCCGAAAATCAGGCAGAGCAATAGAGATCACAAAAAGACCGATAACCACCAGGAGGTTTGTTATAAGGACGATATTTGCCTGCATACCAGGCTGTAGGGTGAGCCTGCAACCTTCCCATGTGCGTTCACCTTATTGGTTATATTTTCATTTATTTTTCTTTTTAATCCTACAATAATAACCGAATTTAGCTAAAGGAATAACGGATGTATCTTTGGCTAGGAACTTCACTGCAAACCATGCTCCCTTAAGTCCCTTTATTCTTTCAAATCCTCACCGTGGGGCACCTTATCTCAACCTGACAACGAGGAGCAGGATAGATCCTCCTAAGCTATGTACTTGCTTCGCCCTTTCTGTAACATAGTTAGTAAAATATGGTACAAGTAAGTTATGTATAAATAACGTACAAGTAGGTTATTTCGCTTTAAAATTCATTGTACGTTTAATAGTATGTCAATAGTTCTCAAATATACAAATGTATTATTTTAAAAATAAATTAATAGATAAATTGACATTTTAATTCATTAAATACGAATATTAAACGTGTTATATGAGTTTTATATGTGTTTAGTACGAAAGTCGTCAAATGAACTGGAAAAATGAATCGGTCTGACAATAATACGAATACAAAAGTTTTAAATAGATAAAATACGTACGATTATTTATACTTGTATTAAACGAAATATTTACTAACTATGTTTTACTTAAATCCTCCATCACATATGGCATCTGGAGGGAAATACATATCCCTCTCCTCAACAATAAAAAAACATAAGTGATAGTTTTATTAAAAATAACTAAATAATTAAGTTTAGTCGACAGAGGTCTTGTTTTGGGGGGTTGTTTTATTTTTATTGTATCTCCGTTAGCTAAACTAGAAGATTTATTGTAGGATTAAAAAGGAAAATAAATGAAAATATAACCAATAAGGTGAACGCACGTGGGGAGGTTGCATGCTCACCCTACAGCCTGGTATGCAGGCAAATATCGTCCTTGTTATAATGGGGCCTTTAATTAGTTGCACCTGTTTTATGTTTGGGTTGGGTGGGTTGTAAATTAGGGATTTCTCTCTGTGGGTATCGAAATCGGATAGCTTCATTAGTGTGTGATATTATCCGCTTTGGAGGAGGTTCTCTCAGATTTACTTTTGGGTTTTTTCTCAAAAAGGTTTCGTACAAATTGAGTTAATTAGGTGGACACTTATATATAAAGGTGTCTTCCCTTGTATTCTCGATGTGGTACTTGGATTGTCCCCATAGCAAATCCTCCCCTGAAGACAAGAACTACGAACCCTGTGTCCCCTCCTCAACGATTATATTGATCCACCAGACACCTTGTATCGATGAGCTTCTCGGTACAAGAATTTTCCCCAGACGCGGAACTCTCTTTGATCCGCCAAACATACGTGGATCTATCATGGATCCCCAAACATACGCTGATCTCAAATTTCGAGGTCACTGAATGAGGGTCCCACCAAACTAATGTCCGCCACCCTGCATCCACCGAACCATGCTCTAATACCACTTGTCAAGGACACAGAGTGAGGGCCCACCAAACTGACATCCACCATTCCAAAACCAAACTCTGATACTCCACTTATTGAGATAGGATAGTTCTGTTAGTATGATATCGTCCGCTTTGAGTCAAAACTGCACAAATTTATTATTGCATTTCTTCCCGAAGACCTCGTACTAATAAAGTATACTCGACACTAAACACTTATATACACACAAAAAAATCTTTATATTTTTTAGGGTCGTTTGGATGGGTTAATTGTCAATGTGGTATTTGTAGAGTCAAATAACTCATTTATTGTTCATGTGGTATTTCAGTGTTATTTCAATGATAATTGAAATAAAGTATCTCGTTTGGATGAACCATGCAAATGTGGTATTTGACATGTGGTATTTGGTAAAAGTGGAGTGATAAAATGAGTTATTTCGAAATAACATATGAGTATGAATTATTTCGAAATAACACATGGGTATGGGGCATGAGTTATTTCAAATAACTCGTAGTGAATTATTTGTAAATAACTCACTATCCAAATAAGTCATTCAATAAAACGCTACCAAACAAGTTATTTATATCCAAATAACTCATATATAAAAATATTAAATACTAATCCAAATGACGACGAATTATTCCACAGCAGCCGCATCCTCAAAGTCCTACCAAATCCAACCCAATCCTTTTCTTTTTCTTTTGAAAACGAAATGGCCAAGCCCAACAGAAAAATACAAACATTGTTTTACAACAGAGATAAGAAAAAAATGTCCGAAGGCCCACACACAGACCTGACTTGTGTAGAAAGCCCATGACAAAAGAGCCCAAGTGCCCAACAAATTGACAACAGTTTAGGAGCAAGCAACTCCGACGAAATGATGATCAAGCAAACTTTACAACAGCAAAACTGTAACTAAACAGATCCTTAGCTTTGTCTTAATTTGTTGCTCTCATGCTCTAGCACACAAGGGAGGAGTTACGGTGTTAATTGTACAATAGTTAGCACCGTCCTAACCAAGGGAAAAACTACTACTAGTTTGAATTAGTAGTGATTTAGCTTAGATGTTGTATTGATTTTATAATAATCCGTAGTGATTTCGTTATTTTTAGTAGCGTTTTTTGCTAGTTATCACGATGCTTACCCCTATAATGGTTAGCACCTAATCCCATCCAGATAAGATTATAAAGTGGTCGAAATATTGAAGACAACTAGTAGTGGATCTTCTTTTCCCCCTTTCCTTTCCTTTCCTATTTCGTCTTGCTTTACTGAACTTCTTCCTTTCATTTCTTCTTTACCTTTTTCAAAGCTCATATACCCCATTCTTGCCGACAGTATCCTCAACTTTGCTTGGCATTATTTAGTTCAATCACTCGAGCCAGCGATTTGCCCGTTGACGGCCGGCCGGCGATCCGAGGATGTACGTGACGAGGCCGCTCTCGCTGTTCAGAAAACACCCGAGCACTCTGTCCATGGACCCGCCGGAAGGTCCGTACACAGGGTATTTAGTGGTGACCGACGAGGAAGCAGAAGCTCAGGACAGCTCCTGCTGGGGAATTTGCAAGGACAGGAGGATAAAGAAGCTGCCTCTCCCTCAGGACAGAGTCATCAGCTTGCTCCACATCTCCGATTACGGCGAGGAGATCGATCTGGTGAAGAAGCTCTGGTTCCTTCCTGTTCTTGATCGGCCACTTTCTTCCAACTGCTACTATGTCATCAAAGCCAACGGCCGCTCCCGCAAAGGGTATGTGATAGAACATAATTTCTAGTAATAATAATGCATGCCTGTCCTCTGTTTTTCGTGTCGGTTTCGTGTCTTTTTTGCTTCTTCAGAGGTTTCATAGAGCTGCCCGCCTTGTAACATAACGGACTCTTTCATTGGGAATCTGATTACACACGAACTATCGGTCTGGATTATGCTGATGCCATAATCTAGGGGAAAACTACAAAGAATAATCGGCAATGCGTCAGACATTAACGAATGTTTAGAATAATGCTAGATTGTACACACTTGTTGTTGTTGCAGGTAAGCTTATCTAGTAATGCATGCATGTCCTCTGTTTTGTGCCACTTTTGTGTCAGTTTCGTGTTTTTTTGCTATCGGATAGCTGAACACGTTTTGACATAATAGGCTCTTTAATCGAGAGTCCACTAGCATACAAACTACCGTTCTTGATTATCGTCTGTCATGTATTTATGTTTTACGGTCATGCCTATGATTTAAAAAAACTTGATGCTGATGCCGGAATCTAGGAAAAAACTACAACTGGCTTCTACTTTCACTTACCTTCTGGCCTCAGTCGTAGACTTTGCCCCTTCCGCTCCTTCATTTAACAAGGAATTTTGTGGTTGTTCGCTCCTTAACGAATTGAGACAGTATCGTGATAGAGCTCCTATCCGTGCTTTGACAAATCCCTCTCCGGCGTCATCTACTGGCTGATTGCACACTGCCTTCTGCCTGACGAATAATCGACAATGCGTCGAATATTAACGAATGTTTAGAATAATGTTAGATTGTACACCCTTTGTTGTTGTTACAGGCAAGCTTACAGAAGCTCGAGAGAGAGCGACATGGGTATATGCTGCTTCGAAGGAGTGATCAAAGACAAGAAACCAAAACCATTCGACTACACAAACATATACACTCAATTCACCATCCACCGCCACCACAAGCACAGCTTCACCTCCAAATCGCTCGCCATCGACGGCCTCCCGCCGCAGTTCCTTCGGAAAAAGGGGTGGAAGCTCAGAGCATCCAGAGTCCACAAGAAACTACACCTCACCGAAGCGTCAGGGCTCGACGCATCCCTCAGATCACATCTCCCGAGCCTCCTCGACTTCCCAATCTACAAAACCACTTCGCCTCCCGTCGCCGTGGGGAAATGGTACTGCCCTTTCGTGTTCGTAAGGGAAGATCAAGCCACAATCAAAGAGCAAATGAAGTGTTCCAGGGTGTACAGAGTGACCCTGGAGAGGTACTGGCAGGAGATATTCTCCTGTAACAACGATACGATAAATCGCGGTTTTGACTGCATTGCGCGTGACGGTGTGGAAGAAGAGGAAGAAGGGAGGAATGTGGTGGCAGTGGTGAAGTTTAGAGTGGCGATCGGGAGGAGGGCGGATTCGGTGTACGGGAGGGAGGCTATGGCTGCCGCGGCGGCAGTGGGGGATGAGGGTGATGGGAGGATGGTGTGGTTCAGAAGCAGGGGAATGAGAAACAGGGGAGATGCAGGGAGGTGTGTTGGGTTGAACATGGCGGTGGTGAAGAAGATGGAGTGGGTGATGGAGGAAGGAGGGTGGGTTGGTGGAGGAAGGGATCGGGTGGTAAGGGTGGAGAAGGAAGTGGAGATTGGGGAGAGTGATGGGTGGAGGAGATTCTGTTGCTATGTGCTGGTGGAGAGCTTTGTGTTGAGGAGGATGGATGGGACTCTGGTTCTGAAATCGGATTTCAGGCATACCAACACCATCAAATGGAGATGGGAATAACATTACCCCGTAGGGATGGCGATCAAACTCACCACCACGGACACCTGATCGTTTTATTTTAAGTCAATGTGGTGAATTCTCGTATTAGTTGGGTATATGACGAGTATGAGTAAAACGTACAAGAAAGTTCGATGAGGATGGGTCGGATAAGATATTAGACTCCCCCATTCCATCTTCCTATCCGTCTAATTAAGAGTATTTCTTTATATACAAAAATACAGCGCTCATATTTTAACAATGATAGGAAATGTAATTAAAAAAAAAAGAGTTTAAATGTAATTGAGTGGCCCTCCCAACTCCCAACTTAATTTCTTTCCTTCCATTCACCCTTCACTCTTTCACTATTGCCCCCTTGTTGACAATATAATGTTAGTTATGTGTTGATAAAAAGATGTGTCAGATTCAAAGATGAATGATTTGAATAGTATTGTACTTTTCATGGATTCATTCTAGTATTGGATGCTTTTAATTCGTATTAAAAGTAATCGTAACTTTGTTAATTTTATGAATTAAGTATGTTTAGTGTTATAAATGAAGGTTTGCATATTGAATTTTAGATATATTAATATTGGATACACGATGTGTGATATTACTCACATCACACACCGTATCTGACAACTGTGAGTGAGTATGTGACAAAAGTAATTAGCGAAATCCACTCTAAACCCGTCTCATTACCATCCCTACTCGTAGTGATGGCTATTTCAACCCGCCCTGGCCCACGATGGGGCGGGTATTACCCGACCCGCAATAGCGTGGGACGGGGCATGGGTGTCTACTTCCGACCCGCCCTGCCACGCCCCGTTCTAGACTCATTTTATCTCAATTTCTTACAATATCTATTCATATTTCTCCTATTTTGATTTTTCTTCGACTAGTTAGAGTCGATCTTTCAACTTGTTAGGCTCAACTATCCATTCTATTATCAATATTTTTAAGTTTTAAAGTGTTTTTTCTACATTTTATTGTAAAAAGTAAAATTTACTTGTATTTTTTTTTTTTGAATAACATGTAAGAGTGGGTCGACCCGTCCCACCCTGTACCCGCGCGGGTTTTACCCGCCCCGACTCGTAGTAACGTGGGGCAGAGCATAGAGAATTGAGGTACCCGCCCTGTCCCATTGCCACTACCTACTCGTTTTATTTATAAATAATTAAAAATGAATATTGACAAAAGTATCCATTTCTCTTTTTTTTTTGGCATATATGACTTTAAAAAAAAACAAAAATGGCATCATCTAGAAAGGGCACGCACTTTTGCTCTGCTTCAGGAGTGGGATTAGGTGCTAACCGTTATAGGGGTGAGCACCGTGATAACTAGGAAAAAACGCTACTAAAAATAACGAAATCACTACAGATTATTATAAAATCAATACAACATTTAAGCTAAATCACTACTAATTCAAACTAGTAGTAGTTTTTTCCTTGGTTAGGACGATGCTATGACGGTGTTAACTATTGTACAATTAGCACCGTAACTCCTCTTCAGACTTCACCATCTGTCTTCTAGTCAACTTCCAAGGTTCGGTTCTATCTACTTCCACCAGGCAAATCTACTCAGTACTCACAGTACCTAATCACAGAAAGCTTTTAATGGCGGCTTCTCCATTCCCTGCGAACTCACCGCTTCACTTCTCCGCACCGTCCACCGCCGACGTCAGAAAAGGTTGCGCCTTTTTCCCCAGTTCACTGTGTCTGTGTCTCATGCCTGTGCCCTGCTTTTTTGCACCCCTGTTAATTTCTTCTTTTCCTTCAGCTCACAATCACCGGCGGCTTGGCTCCATCTGTGTTACCCAGAAGAGAAACAATGTCGCTTGCAGAGTGGAGATTCCTCGTCGATGGTACAACCTTGTCGCGGATCTTCCCATTAAGCCCCCGCCGCCATTGCATCCCAAAACTTTCGAACCCATCAGCCCTCAAGATTTGTCGCCGCTCTTCCCCGATGAATTGATCAAGCAGGAAGCTTCCACCGACAAGTTCATCGACATCCCAGAAGATGTCGTCGACATTTATCGCCTCTGGCGGCCGACTCCTTTGATCAGGTTGGTTCCCCCCTTTTTTTCTTCTTGTTCTGGCCAATTTGTGTTCTTTCCTAATCAGAAGCAGTTTCGCTCATCCCCTGTTCGATTGTAGAGCAAAGAGATTGGAGAAGCTTTTGGACACGCCTGCAAAGATTTACTACAAATATGAAGGTGTCAGCCCAGCTGGATCCCACAAACCGAACACTGCGATTCCTCAAGTTTACTACAATGCGAAACAAGGAGTGAAGAAGGTTGTGACGGAGACTGGTGCTGGCCAGTGGGGAAGTTCCCTTGCCTTTGCTTGCAGCCTCTTTGGCCTCGATTGTGAGGTATGATAAGATTCTTCGAAGACAATGCAGTCAAAATCGCAATTCTGTGTAGAAGCGTTTTGGTGATTTAGAAGTGTAAAAATTTAAACTTTTAAACTTTAAAGCGTAGATTTTTACTGCAATTGTAAGTGAAAAGCGCGTGATTTTACGTAGAAGCGTTGGGATAACTTAGAAGTATAAAAATTTAAACATTTTAAGTTTTAAAAAGCGATTTTGATGACATTGTTTCGCTGTGAATAATGATTCTCAACATTCATACCGGAAAGAAAATTGCTTTACCGTTCAAGTCACCTTCGACCCTGATTTTTCCCCCTTCAGATTTCAGTGATCTCGTTAGTTTGATTTCCTTTGTTGCAGGTGTGGCAGGTGCGGGCTTCCTATGATCAGAAGCCATACCGCAGGCTGATGATGGAGACATGGGGAGCAAAGGTGCACCCTTCTCCATCAACTGCAACAGCCTACGGGAAGAAAATTCTCGACATGGATCCCACGAGTCCAGGAAGTTTAGGAATAGCAATCTCAGAAGCTGTGGAAGTTGCAGCAGCAGATCCAGGGACCAAATACTGCCTGGGGAGTGTGCTGAATCATGTTCTCTTGCACCAGACTGTGATAGGAGAGGAATGCCTGAAGCAGATGGAAGCGATTGGCGAGACGCCTGATGTGATCATAGGGTGTACAGGTGGAGGGTCTAATTTTGCAGGCCTGAGTTTCCCCTTCATCAGGGAGAAGCTGGAAGGGAAGATGAACCCTTTGATACGAGCAGTCGAGCCTGCAGCATGTCCTTCGTTGACGAAAGGGGTTTATGCTTATGACTATGGTGACACAGCTGGGATGACTCCATTGATGAAGATGCATACTCTGGGGCATGACTTCATTCCTGACCCCATTCATGCTGGTAAAAAAAGAACTGCACAGCAGAATGATGTGCGTTTATCTTTGCTTCCAATTTGGTGTCATCAAAGCTTTGTTTGTCTCCAGGTGGGTTGAGGTACCATGGCATGGGACCTCTGATATCTCATGTATATGAACTTGGGTTCATGGAAGCAATCTCCATCACTCAAACCGAGTGCTTCAAAGGTAAATTACCGAACACTTGTTCCAGGACATAAACCAAAAGAGAGTTTCTGATGCTCAAAGGAATGAATAGCAAATTAAAGAGTTGATGATACTCATACCCCTATTGCAGGTGCCATACAATTTGCTAGAAGTGAAGGGCTGATACCTGCGCCGGAACCAAGTCATGCGATCGCAGCCACCATTAGAGAAGCTCTCCGTTGTAAGGAGTCTGGAGAAGCAAAGGTCATTCTCATGGCAATGTGTGGACATGGCCATTTTGATCTGACAGCATATGAGACGTACTTGAAAGGAAGTATGGTTGATCTGTCGTTTGACGATGAGAGAATACAAGCATCTTTGGCTAAAATACCTAAAGTTGTGGCATGATCAGCGACAATCGTAACTTCTACAAATCTACCTCTTAAGGAGTGATCTCTTGGTGCATCCAAGTTTTGTCTAATAGAGGACTCTGAGAAAACAGCAAGAAACCCAAACAAATGATCGAATATCAATAAGGATAAGGATGTCGTGATTCGATTTGTTATTTTCTTTTTTATTCAGTCCAAGATTCAGAGCATGGCCATAGACATGCAACAGTAGTACAATTCAGCTTGGAAAGGTAGATTCCAGTTGGAACGAAAATGACTTGTGCGAAATGAGATGGAAGCAGCGAAAATGTTCGAAAAGGTCCCCAGGAAGGGCCCAAAACTTTCTATGTACAGTGATCATGTCAAATGGTTTCTGCCTTGCTATCTTGAGCTAATCCGACAGAGAAGATGCTCGGCTTCTGAAATCCTGGCGGGTACCCCAAAGGGCTAACTCATGAGTTTAGTGCAAGAAATGATTTAATGATACCCATCATTTCTCCACCTGGAAATCGACCAAGACACCCCCTTGCTGCTGCTATCTCACTGTATTCGCAAACTGAATCACCTTGGAAAGCCTTGAGCTGTTGTTCTCCAGATCTCTCATTGTGCAAGTCCTTACTATACTCTTCACCGTGATCTTTGACGATTGGAAGAGGAAATGAGTCGAGAGACGTTTCCAAAACCATGGATTCCCCGCCCCTAGCACCCACAAAGTCTTTCAACTTGCAGATTGCAAATGGAACTGGTTCAAAGCTATGATCACCGTATTCAACTGGGGTTGAGTGATCTCCCGTGACACAAAGGTAATATTGAAAGTCTCCAGTGCATTCTGCTTGCCAGAGGAGCTTGGCCAGCTGCCCTATTGCTTTATCCACAGCTTCCAATCCCTTCACTTTGAAAATGCTCGCTTTATCATGTCCTGCATCATCTATTGCCTGAAGAGGGAACAAAGGCAAACAGAAAAAGAGGGAACGTACTGAGATTCAGCAAGTCATATTTGAGAAGCAGACAAAAAAGAAATTCCAAAAACTAGAAAATAAGAACATTTCCAATCCAAACGAAAGGGCAATAGGTTATTCGAGTGAATTTTATGCTGGCTGCGATCAGTCAGAGCCTAGTCAGCAAGGTGGGAAATGCTTGCGATCTATTGAAAATTTATTTTTGGGGAGCTTGATGAGGAAATGTTGAAAACAAGTGGGGATTACCATAGGAAGGTTCCATTGACATATAACTCAATCAGCAAGGAGAGAAAGGACAATCATGAATTATCTTGCCAAATGAGGCATCCTAAAGAAGCTGATTTGCAGGTGAAATTTATAAAACGATAAACTCAGAAATTCAATACCTTAACGTGGAGAAACCCGAAATCGTACCCATCTGATCGGCCTGGTTTGTGTTCATCCTCTCCTGGTACAAATACATTGGGAGTTGAACTAGAAGGAGCACTAAGTGCCTTGGCTATAGCAGTTGCTTTCGAAGTCAACAGTGTTCTATAGTCTCCTGTTGCCCCAGGAGCTTCCAGAATATCAATATCCAATGACATGCCCAAGCCAGCTATAATTTTAGTTGGAGCCACCATGCACGGCCATAATCCATGCTTCTTTTCAAATGAAGGAACCTGCACAATGAGGATAAAGGTGCCACTATTTTAGCATCTATTATTTAGCAGAAGCAATCAAACAAAGCAAAACTAAAATAATTATCATAGAAAATCAGATTTTAGTTCACTACATTGAAATTAGAAAAATACATTTATGGATCCGAACTTCGGCCCCCAACCAACAAGGGAACAACCAGACTTCAGTTTAACCTCATCTATGAAAATCTACATAAAGAATCCAAGGGATATGAAACACACCTGAATTCGGATACCACATCCTCGTAATAGGACAAGGTTGGCAATGTTCTTCCCTTCTGCAGCTCTTTGGGAATTCAATGGGTGAGAAACTAAGATTTTCGAGATCTCCCTAGATAATTCATTAACAACAGCAGCTGTATGCTTCGCCTCATCAGTATCATCTAAAGCTTCAGCCTTTAGAAGTAGACGGTTGTCCTTAAGTGGGTCAGTTCCGGATATATTTCCACTCAACTTTGGCCCTTTGACAACAACTCCACATCTATGTTCTGTGGCATACCTGTAAAGTCCATTCTTAAGTTTTTGTATTCATGGATAGGCATTGAATTTCTAAACAACAATCACAGATTGAATATCTCGGTTCTGGAAAGAAATCAAACTATGAAACAAGACAGCACTGCAAAACAAATGGTTACCCAACAAGTTTTTTTTCTTGAAAGTGCTATTATGTCGGAGAATCTGTGCCACTGACAAAGCAAAGAATAAATGCTGGAATTTGAGATTTGGATAAACATCAACATCTTGGAAGCTCATATGACTTACATTTACGGTTTCCACCAAACCAACAACAACTACGATGGGATACCGCGGAGGGAAAGGAAAGCAAAAAACCAGTGGTTTATGATATTGTCAAGTAATTAGTTGCATTGATATGGCATTTAAAGTGGAAAAAGAAAACAAAGTTGAAACATCAATCTTGTAAGACCCAATAGGACCTGTTTTTCACTACGTTCAACGAGCATAAAAGTTTTTCAAATTAAGTGTATTTATAGCTCCTATTACTGTGGCTACACTATGTTATCTAGCGTTACTCAGAAAGCCTTGCTAAAGCAATGCAATTGACAATGAGTTCAATTTCACTAGCTTGAAAAGCAGAGAAGATTCTCAACAAGCCAAACTGAATGGTGAAAACGTTAAAAATTCACCACTAAATTCATCAATTAGAAAGGAAGCTGGCCCTGGTGGAACTGCTGTACCTTTCATTCCAGATAAAGCAAGAAAGTTCATACATGCAGAAGTCCATACCTAACCCTAACCTCATACTCGGGGAAAGATGGCAACTTCATGCCATCCAATGCTTCACATAGGATTGGGCCTTCTTCTTCAAAATGCCTGTCAGCTCTTCTACTGGTAACTATTCCAGTTTTCTCATCCAATGTTGCAAAGTTTGACTGAAGATAAAAAAAAATACAAGTGAAGATGAATAAGAAGCAAAGGATAACTTAGCACAAGTCTGTTTTAGAATAACCAGATCCCACATGCCAGACAAACCAAATGTAAAATAAGATAACGAGAAAGTGGTTGCAAATGAGAGAAAAATCATCTGCACTTGCCTTAAACGCAATATCACCAGGTGACATTGCCAATCCAGCACCCATAGACTCAAATGCGCCTCTACCCCTGTAGTACACTCGAGGATCATAACCCAGTAAAGAAAGGTGTGCAGTGTCACTCCCGCAACCAAGACCGACTTCAACAGGGTCCATCAGACCATTTATTCCAGCCGATGCAATAGCATCCAAGTTGGGAACACAGGCTGCTTCCAGAGGAGTCTTGTAACCCAACCTTGGCAATGAAACGTCACCTATTCCATCAATCAGCACAAATGCAACTCTCCTCTTTGGACTACCCATGATTCCAATAACAGTATCTTCCACTACCTTCTACTGAATTTACACAGTTCAGTTGCCCTATAAGGAATTTGAAGAAACAACAGAAAAACGAAGACATTGATAATTGATTAGCGAAGCCGAAAATAACTGATAAATTTGCCTTCTTGAAGACCTGATGAGCAATTTAAACATTTGTTTAATCCTGGCAGAAGGCATAACAAGAACAGACTCGCAGACCATGTTCTTCAATGCGAACGCGAAACAACCAGATGGGTAATATGGGTTGCAACCAAGGTATCAAATTTCTCAACCATGGGAACAAAATGCAAATAAATCACAATGTCAGTCGCATGCATGCCTGCCAAGAATATGAATTTGAACAATCCCTCGCTAGAGAAGTGGAAATTAGACCATACAACAGTTCGTCGATCAACAAATGAAATCTCCACACGCAAAAGTCCAAGGAAAAGCTCTTACCTGAAAAGAAATCTGGAAGAAGAACTGGGAAGCGGCTTATGCACGAGATGGCATCTGATTGCTCATCAAAATTTAAGAGACCAAAGGAAAAGGAATCAACAAAAAAGCTCGATGCCCATCCATTCCGCTGCCTTTAGCATTGAAGTTGGTAAAGAGAAAATTCGATTTCCCAAGTAAAGGATACATCTTTCTGTACTGATTTATTAGTTTACTTTATGGGCACTTGTTTGTTTATTGCGGAGGGGGAGTGTATAACTGGGGCTGGTTTCATTCATGGTGTTGGGCTTGGAAAGAAGCCCATGCGACTTGCCCAAAGACGGAAGGAAGAAAATGCGGTGGAAAACCTGCCATGCATTATAGGTTCTACTTGTCTACCACGTAGTGGCAACTGGCAGGGCAGGGATGGAACACCGGTAGTTGTGCACCTTCTGACGCCATTAAAACAAGAACGGGAAACTTACCCTTTTCGGATTCCAATCGATCTCTGCAAGCAATTCCGATTCTTTCCCCTTCTCTTTCCAATTTTCCTTACTTCTCGTGCTTAGCGCCATTGATTCTCGCGCCATTACAGAGCAAAACTGAAGATGAAGACAATGGCGACTCGCCTTGTCCACTACTCAAGCTCCTCCTTCCCTAAATTGCTGTCAGTTCTTCTTCTTCGTCATGCTTTCTTTCTTCCGCATTCCGGTTGTTCAATTCTACTAGAATCTAACAGACATGGGATTTTGATTAGGTTAGAGTCGCTTTCTAGATTGTTATGGCATTTGCCATTTGTAATGGAAACTTCTCTGTCTGCTCTTTCTGCTGGTTACAGACCCACAGCAGCGAACAGGAGATTACTGTCTACGACTTCTGAGAAAGTTGAAGGATCCAGCGCCCAAATCAAGGAACCAAGAGATCAGCAAAAAGTACATCTATTTTCCTAACCATTCTTCCCTTTTCCATGCCAGATCAATTTTTATGCTCAGATTATAAGTTTGTTCTCCAATGAAATAACTTACGGATTGTTTTCAGCTTCTTGTGCTCGGAGGAAATGGGTTCGTTGGTTCACATATGTGCCAAGAAGCTCTGGCTCAGGGTCTGAGTGTCTCCAGCCTCAGTAGGTAATGCTCGGTTCAAATATTAGTTCAACTATTTTAATGTGTGGGAATGTTCCATTGTGTAAGAAATTTGAAGCATTAGCTTAGTCCTTGGTGTTGGGAGCTCATTGCTGTTCATTTCCTTAACTAGGTCTGGTAGAGCATCTCTTCCTGACTCTTGGGCTGAAAGTATAGTGTGGCATCAAGGTAATTGTTTTCCTCCTCACATACCAACATAGTTGTCTTCCTGCCTTATTGAATGTGGAACCTAATGTTTTCCTGACTCTATTTGCAGGAGACTTGCTTTCACCTGATTCACTGAAGAATGTGTTCAATGGAGTGACTTCTGTGGTATGCAATCTCAAGCATTTATCAATATCGAGACTGTATAGCTGGAACTGAAACCATTTTGATACTCCAACATCATGCTGCACTTCACTTTTGTGACCCTTAGTACTCGTGTTATATGCTTTTGTGGGTAAAATTACTGTAAAATGGATATGTTATGTATGACTAAACCAGTCTAAGGATGTGGTCATATTTTTTGATTTCTCAATGGGGAACTCTTTTATGTTTAATATCTCAGATGTAGAAATTATCACTTCACCTGGGATCATTATTATCAGTTTCATGAAAGGGATCCGTGTAGTTTAATATCTTAACTGTATCATTGAATAATGAATCCTGTCTGACTCTCTTTTTCAGTCTTCATCAGACTTTTATACAACTTAATGTATTCTTATCTTAACTCTGTTTCATCATCTAAAATGAACCTTGCAGATCTCCTGTGTCGGAGGTTTTGGATCAAATGCTCACATGTATGACATCAATGGATCTGCAAATATGCATGCTGTTACAGCAGCTGCAGAACAAGGTAGCACATTCTTTTTTTCTTAAGGAATTCCCGTTCTTTAACTTGTGTTCACAATTTTATTTTATTTTTGTTTAATTTTTTGCTCTTTGACTTTTGTAGTCACAGCCTCGGTTTATTGATGCGATGCATATACAATCTCTAGTTTGAATTTCACTAACATTGCTGTATGAAATAGTGCACGGGGTTCCAAGAATTTTATGTTTTATGGATGACTTCTAATATCGAAATTCCATTATTAGTAATTTATCTAGAGACAAGATTTACGATATAAATCAATCATGAATGCAAGCCATGCTCTGTCAACGATGGTTACTGAGCCCTATCTTACAGCTGTTGGAAATTTTAAAGCTTTCTTCTGACATTTCAGGCTCCATTTGATACTGGTTGGAAATTTTGAGTTAGCCTTCATCTCCTTCAATATTTGCAGGTGTGAAAAGATTTGTATACATCTCTGCCGCTGACTTTGGCTTGATCAATAAGTTACTTAGAGGATATTATGATGGGAAGGTATTTACTTCCCATTAATAACACTCTTTTCACCTTTCTGTCAAGGTTCAATGCAATCCTAGCAAATAGTTTCCAAGTTGTGTTAGGGCTGTATTTTTCTATCTCTAAGGGGAGATTCGACTTGTTGCTGTTATTCGAAATGGTCTATCTATAACTGCAGCTTGTTAAAGAAATATTTTATTTTCTTCGTTTTCTTAATAATTGTTTTTTTTTTTTTTTCAGAGGTCAACTGAGAAAGAGCTGATGCAGACATTCCCACAAAGTGGTAAGGTTTTGCTGATGTTTCTGCTTTGATTTATATTCTATTTTGGATGAAGTAGCAAGCTTTTATATGGTCATAGAAGTACCGAATTCAATCTGAAAATTGATTTGTCTACATATGTTCTGACATCAACTATCACCTACTTGCCGGACATCATTATCTTATACTTGTTTCTGCTAGTAAAGGAATAAAGGAAAGCAGAACTTATGAGTGGTGTCAAAGATTGAAAATCCCCATCTCCAGTGAACTCAGTATTATTTCTGATTGATCTAGAAACCTTTCCCAGAGGATACCAAATAGATTTATGGTTGAATGTCAGATATTCACTGTTCAAAGCAGGAAACATGATTTGAAACTACAATCAACAAAGATTGTGAAGCAGCAGTTTGTCTATTCATTTTTCCAGGAGTAATTTTGAGGCCAGGTTTCATCCATGGTGTTCGTAGGGTTGGGAGCCGGAACCTGAATTTGAGTATAATCGGTGCTCCTCTGGAGAAGGTACCTTTGCATTCTTAACTTGCAAGTTGTATGAACTGATGTCATAGTTTGATATAGTCTTCCCAGTTTAAGGCATATTAACAGAAGTCTACCAGCCATGTCCTTCTCATGGCCTTCTCCAATGTTTCCTTGTAACACAAGGAACATACTAATACTTGATGTGTTCAGTACATATATGATATATCGATTTTGTATATGACAATATGATGCCATGATGATGATGGTGCAGGCACTTCAACATGCAAAGATCCTGACTAAGATCCCACTCGTCGGCCCTCTTTTTATCCCACCTGTCAGTGTCGCGTCGGTGGCAAAAGTTGCTGTGAGAGCAGCAACTGATTCGGACTTCCCTTCAGGCATTCTTGATGTATATGACATTCGGGAGAAGGGCCTAGAAAAGTTGGAATGAAGGGTGGGGGCACTGAAAGCATTAGAAGTTACCTTCCCTTCTCTTTTTGATCATTCCCATCTCGAAGGCTCGTCCTTTATCACTATGTTGCAGAATGGCAATGGCTGCTTCCTCTACTGAAGAATTTGTAGGTAGGATGAAATTTCTTGATTAATTGAACAAGTTCCATAGGAAGTTGCTCACTGGAATATTCATCATCATTTGAATACCCGGGGATGCCAGAGAGTTGTTCTTTTCTTCTATTGCACATTGGTCTGCGAGAGCCTAGGTTCGTTATGCCTGCAACTAGATGGCTTAGTTAGTACCAAAGTTAACCAAACCTATTGAATTCCTAAAAATTATCCAAACGTTAACTCTCCGTCAATTTTTCTGTTAGTAATGTTGACTAAGTATGACCATAATGAGTTGACTTCCTACGTTGGGTCAGAATACTATCATTTACTATTTTTAATAAAAAATTATCACAAAAAAAATCCCACTCCTCACGTGGACAAAAAAAAAATATCCAGACTTTGATAAATTATAATACATTTGGATAATAAATAGAATTTCTATAGGTTTGGTTAAAATAAAAGAATCTGAAAAAGGTTTGGGTAAAAAATAGACATTACCCTAAATAATATCTCGGATGCTGGATTTCTTAATTGATCGACTGTGTGAAGTAGATGTACTTGAAAATAGATTGGAAGAATGAACACAATACTATAAAGTGAACTGATGGATTCTAGAATCAGTGTTTCTTAAACTATACCATTTGTTCAATCGAAAAACTGCCTACCGGAGTCCAAGTCGGTATTTGAAACTTCTACTTGTATGAAACATTTGAACCGCGATTTAAGCACAATGTAGTCCACTCTCGGATATATACAATTCTTGCTTTTCTGTGAGTCAAATCATGCAGAATGTACTAGCTCATAAATTATGAGCACATTTCACCACTCCAGTTACACTAATTTCCCTAATTTAACATAATGATTCAGTCAGAATCCTACTCTTATCAGCTATCTTTTGTTTCTTAACAAAATTTAACTAATTGAGGACGGTGTCTTTCTTCTCTTCAGCGACATGCTTTCCATGCCACTTCCTTGTGCTGAGCCTGATCCAGGCTCTGACAACCACCTCTGATACTTCGCCATCACTTCCACTCCATCGTCACTCGAACTTTCTGCTGCTTCTGAGTCTGCTATGCCTTTTCCTTTCTCTTTAATGGCAGATGGCTCCTGGTAGTAGTGTTGCTCTTCTTCGGTAGTCCAGCTGGAATCTTCCTCTTCTCCCTCACTGCTGCTTCTCTCTGCTTCTGCAGAAGACGACGATGAAGTGTCATGGGACGCAGCAGCATCAAAGATAGTGACATTCTCTTTCTTTGCACTCTGAAACGAGTAACTTCTTCCTGCTCCATTATTATACGTTGGAAGCAGAGTTCCGGGACTGCTTGTGGCAATTCTTCCACACTTGTCTCTCCCCAAGCTGTAAGTTGTTGAGAGCTTTCTCTCCAGCTTGCCCCGCTTCCTCAAGAGGTTGCCTATCTCTTCAATGGTTTGGTGGCCAGTTACTTCTTCTGCAGCAGCAGCTCTTCCCTGGAGCTTAGTGATTGTCCTCTCCAATGCTTTCTTCCTCCTTTGAAGATACCTCTGAAAACGAGATGAGAAGTTGGGAAAAAGCGGAAATTAAAGGAGCAAAATGGATGTCCAGAAAATGGATTTACCCTTTTACCAAGGAAGCTTCCCAAGCCTTGGCCCTGAAGCTTCTCTTTGTTCCAGAAGATGCAACAGAATCTCACCAGTCCAGCAAGTATTAGCAGGACAATGGTCTCAAACAACAGAAATAACAGCAGGGTTCTTCTGTTACCTGAAACATTCATTTGACAGAATCCATGGGTCATGGTGGACTTCTTGGTTTGGAACTAATTCTTTTGCGTGTGAGAGAAAGATGGAAAAAAAGCTTACCAGGGTAGTCAACTATATGCTTGGGGTTTGCTTGTGAGCAGGTGGACACAAGCTTCTCAACTAGCGGACAATCCAAAAATATATTGACAGAAATAGAAAAACAATTAGAATAGTTTATGCTAGTAGAAAAGATGCAAACTTGGACGAAGTTTTTAGAAAGAGGAGCTACATTTGGTACGGCAAGGAAGCCTACTCCCAGACTCTGCATCATTTCGCAAACATTTGGGTTATTTTTCACTCTGGTGTCACAGGATTCATCAGATGAATAATTTAGGTTAGAGCAGTGGAATCTCACTTGAAGCAGCGATGAAGGCAAGCATAACACCCTCATCAACTACAAAACGATTCAGATCGCTTTGGGAAAATGGAGTTGGTAACTCTCCTGAAACTCAACAAGGTGAGAAGGACCCTAGAACTCTAGGAAAAGCAACCATGGGAAGATCAAATGCACGTTAACAGCAGAAATATTTTTTAAAAAAGATTGATGCCTACCAGGATAGCTTTCTGACCAATATACAGTCCCAGTTGCAGGAACCAACAGGGTGAAGGTCACACCAGTAGGCCTTATTGCTGATACATAATTGTATTCACCAATTACACGATCAACTTTCCCCTCCATATGCGTCTGAGATATGTAAACTCCATACCCAGAGCAATCAACAACTGGGCTGACTTGTATAACTGAACTAGATTTGGATGCCTTCATGAATTTCTTCACGACACCAGCTGGTGAGATTGAGTACAGGAATCCATCCAGCGAACCAAACGATATCCACCCTGTCATGCTCACAACATAAGGGGAAAATGGTAAAATTATCCACTTCTTCGACGGATGCTCACCAAAATGCTGAAACATGTAATTGATTCATGAACTTGGTTGCTCTTTTACCATTTGAATCCACAACAGGTGTAGTATCCTCAGTAGGCAAAGGTCCAATCCCTTGCTGCCAAAGGATATTGCCCATGTAAACATCCAGAGCCAAAACAAGCGCCTTGGCAGGTACAGTAACATACAAACATCCATTGTTGCCAGGCGTGATGGTGAAAACTGTATCAAGGAAGCTAATATCCTGGACCCAGTTGAAGCGTGGATCGCGAAGTGACAAGGAATAAACTTCCCCTTTAGTATTTGAAATCTGCAATTCCCATTCAACATTTACATCCTTTAATACTTGTAACTGAAGCAAAATAACAGCAGGCATGGTAAAAGTGGGGCGGGAAGCCTTACAAACAAGCTAGCTTCACATTGGTCAATCACAGGTACTGAAGCAAAATAACAGTCCTTGATTCCACGCCTGCATCCCAACCGGTAGCCGGACTGAGAAAGCAGCGGTCCAGCACTCCACACCAGCTTCGCATTCATGTCGCAGGCAAACAAACCTCGGTTCTCGACATTGATGAACACGGTGGAACTCATCGTGCTGACTGCAACGCCGATGATCTCACCCCCACCCTTCTGTCCAAAGAAGACTTCCTCAGCAGGCACAGAAGTCCCAATGTGCTTGACATTGATCTTGAGAACTCTATCATCTGCAACCAAGAACATCTGCCCCCACCACCCAATTGGAATTTCATTATCAGCAAGCAGCCATGAAAGGAGATACTAGAGAAAAAGGAGTGAAAACTAGGGCTTGCCAGTCCTGGTCCGCCATGGACAGGGGCCATGCGGAGATTGCACTCGTAAGCCAAATGTAAAGTCCAGGCGAGTGACCCATTGCTTTGGAATGCCAAGAGGAATCTCTGGGAACAGGTATAGATCGTTCCGTCGTCTCCGATTAGAGGTTTCGAGAGCCGCCTTGGGGCTGTTCTTGTTGTCCAACTTCCCTGCCCTGAAAAAACCCTAAACAAATTAAAAGCAGAAAATATAACGAATTGAAAGAAGGAGGGCGATTTCTGATGAAAAAGCAACCTGGGAAAGCCGGGTGTAGTTGTGCGGAAAGCAATTGAAGCACCGGAAGGAAGAAGAGAATGGATTGGAGTGGCATATCTCTTCCTCTTCGATATTCGGTGGGAATTCTGGTCGTGACATTATAATGGTTCGCTTACTTGAAGCAGTGGACTGGCGAGAGCAGTACCTAACTGTTGACGAAAGAAATTTGAAATCTTCGGGAAAAAACCGTCGAGTAACCGTCGGTGGTTGCCGGGAGTCAAAACTGCCGGGAAAGTAACTTTCGACGGTGGCGATGGTGGCCGTGAAGACAAAATCTAGAAGGAGGTGTGTCGTAAATCGTAATGCTGATTGCTGAGCCTTTGGTCCGTGACGTCGGCGGAAATAAATAGATTGTGGCGGGAAGTCATTCCATCAAATCGGGCTGGGGTGTTCATAATTAGGATGTTTTTATAAATTTTTTACAAATGGCATAAACTTTGAAACAAGTTATTTGCAAAGACACGTGTTACTGTTTGTCTAGACACAGAATTCCTGTTCATTTAGACTCAAAATTACTGTTCACCCTCCTTTGATTGGTTCATGGTCTGCGATTGGGCCCGCCACTCTTTGTTTATCTTGGAAGGGGTGATATTGGTTGGGCTGCCGTTGAGTTTATCCAGCCCCGTGTCAGCTTTGTCTGATGCGTTGTTGCTATGGCCTATGAGTGGCGAGTTGCCCTCAAATGAGCACTCATTTCTCCTTCGCTCTCTCTGCTTTCCTATTTTTCTTTCTCTGCTTTTCTCAACTATTCCCTCTGAAACCTTCTGCTAATCATTACACTTGTCAATCTGTACGTTTCTCTTTGCTCTTTTCTCTTGCCCTCTTCAACTATCATATCGTATCTTGCCATGGATACTGCTGCAGTGTTCTTCGGGTCCCGAGGGGTTTCTCGAATACTGTGATCCTTTGCAGAGAAGTTAAGGGTTTTCTCCACCACACAAACAATAAGTAGAGAGGAGAGAGAGTCAGAGGCAAATTAGAAATCCCTTTCTTTTCATCTCAGTTTCTCTCTCCTTTCTTTCTCCTCTCTCTCTCTCTTCAATCTCTCAAAATGGCCGCCTCCACCACCGCCACCTACTCTGTCGCCTCCTCTACCTCCACGGCTGCCGTCGCCACCGCCTCCATCATCGCCACCTCCTCCGTCGCCGCCGCCTTCACCATCCCCACCGCCTCAACAGCCGTCGTTGCCACCTCTTCCACCTCCGCTTCCACCGCCTTCACCGCCTCCACCATCTGATCTCGCCCCGTCAATTTGGGATCCAATTCGGGATTTTGCTTGGGAGGAAGGAATTGGAATGTAATAATATCGATTCGGAGCCGGCGTCATTGAGACCCTCTCTGGCGGATCCGGTAGTAGCCGGCTGATCCCTCTCGCTCCTCTTCTCGCTTATACTCGAAACGGTGATGTTGGGAGAAGAAACACCCACTTCCTCCTCGCAATCGGTCGCCGTGTTCATTCTTCCTTCCTCGGTTCGTCCATAGACCTCTCAATTCGTCTGCTACTCACTGCCCCCGCACTGATTTCTGGGGTTCTGCTCGATTCATGGTGAGATTCGATTTGCTTGGTTTCTATCCTCTCTCTGTGTACTCTGAAATAAGGCCGGTAAAGCAGAGAAATAACTCACGCAATCCATCTTGCTCTCTCTCATTCTCTCTCATTCACTATCTTCTGTCTATTCTCTACTCCATCGCAAATACGTTTCTCCATCCGACCCCCATCAATCACAATCAGATCTGCGGCAGAGCGTTCATCGGATCTGCGGCAGCAACAATGGCCTCTAAATCCATATCTTGAGAATCTTTTTCGATGTAGATCAAGATTTGGAGTAAGTATTAGAGGGTTCGTTTGTTGGTTCTGCATCCTTTCATTCGACTTCTCCCTGTTCTCTCCTTTCTCACCTCCTCTCTTTGTTGGTTTGCGTTTTCACCGTAGCTCATGTCGTTCGGCTGGGATCAGATCCGGTGAGTAACCTTGTGGTGAGTAACCTCATGCATAACCCAATAAGAATCTGCCACATCAGCGCCTCCTTCTCTCTCCTAGAAAAATCATTAATTTTATTTTCTTTAATTTTTAACGGACGATTTCTCACTCGTTTTAACTCGGAATTTAATTTTTTTTCCACAGTTAGATCAGATTAATTGTGTTCTTCAAAATGATATCCACTTTGATATTTTTTGGAACAAAAAAATTTGCCAGTTATTACCACTCAATACCATATGGTATAGTCAAATACTATATGGTATTGACTGGTATTAAATAACAGCATACCATATGGTATGAAAAATACCACCTCATACCAGGGTGGTATAGTATGGTATGGAGTTGGTAACGATTCAAAATTATATCCACTTTGATATTTTTTGGAACAAAAAAAATTTGTCAGTTATTACCAGTCAATACCATATGGTATTGAATGGTATTAAATAACAGCATACCATATGGTATGAAAAATACTTCCTCATACCAGGGTGGTATAGTATGGTATGGAGTTGGTAACGAGGGGTATGGAATTTTTTCCCCATAAAATTTTGAAATCCAATAGATCATGATTAAATCGTTCCTTTTGTGAAAAAATTTCCGAAAATGACTAAACAACGAAGGAGATATCATATGGCATGGAGTTGGTAAAGAGAGGGATGAAAAAAAAATTCTCAAAAAATATTGAAAATGGATATCATTTTGTAGAGCACAACGAACTCGTTCCATCTGTGGAAAAAAAAAATTGAAATCCGAGTTAGAATGAAGAAGATATGATCCAATTAAGAAAACTAGGGAAAATAAATTCCTTTAATTCTCCACCCTTAGATCTGCAGCCACTTAAAAGAAGGGTCCAGATTTGGTTACTCATTGCTACTCACTCTAAGATTACTCACCCTATCTTGAGCCCCCATCAGTAACTCTATGGTGAGTAATCATGAGTAATCCAACCAGAATGCGCCACATCAGCACTCATCTCTCTCTTCTGAAAAGTATTTTAATCTTTTCCCCTATAATTTTTAACGGGCGATTTCTCTCTCATTTTAAGTCGGAATTTACATTTTTTTTGCATAGACAAATCAAATTAGTTGTGCTCTTCAAAATGATATATACTTTGATATATTTATTAAACAAAAATATTGAGACATTTTTTACCAGTCTATACCATGAGTAAAATAAGACTATGTCATATGGTATGAACAACGTACCATGGTGGTATGAACATATCAAGACTGTAGGATGGTTGAATACATGATAGTAGAAATATACTAACTGTCATTTATGACTTTCAACATTGTGTACCACAAGATACCCACCTCATACCAGAGTGGTATTGTGTGGTATTTTTTGTCCTATATTTTTCCACCCATAATTTTTTAGATCCAATAAATAATGATGAACTCGTTCCTTTTGACTAAAATTTTCAAAAAATGACTTAAAAATGGAAAAGATACCATATGGTATGGAGTTGGTAACGAGAGGTAAAAAAATCAAAAAATATTTAAAATGAATATCATTTTGTAGAGCACAACAAACTCGTTTCATATATGAAAAAAAATCAAATCCGAGTTAGAACAAAGAATATAAGAACCGATTAAGAAAACTAGGAAACATAAGATGTTTTTAATTCTCAGTCCTTATGTCTGAATTTTCTGGACCCACTAAAAAAGGAAGGTCAGGATCTAGTTATGTTTGGGTGGAGGTTCTACAGTTGAGCCAAATTTTCCCATTGGCTGAAAGGTAAAAGCTATGTTTTCATAACTGAACTGGATGCTGAACCGGAAAAGAGAGGGGTTTATAGTTCAGTGGTTAACTGTTGTGTTGACAGAAATATTCATAATATATAACATACAAGACTTGTATAACACACTAATTTCACAACAAAGTTATCATTGATCATAAATAATTTCAAATTCATATCATCACCTATCTAACAAATCATTCAAACCATCTCACAAAAGAAATCATAATTATTTTGATTCAAGTTAAAAATTATGGTGTAGGTCGGTAGTGGACCACGTAAATTCGACAATGAGGTTAGAAAATGAAATGAGGAAGCAACAATAAAATTAATAATTATGGTTTGATGGTCTTAGTTTACGTAAAAGTATTTAAAAAAAATTGTAGTGAAAATGAGTCAACCAGTGGACCAGTTCAACCGTGGTGATTCATCTGATTTTATGTTGAACCGTGAAAAACTGTTTGATCCATCAATAACCATCCAAATAATGAACCGAACCGCTATCGTAACTAGCTTGGCGCTTTCACTGGCCCACCTGTTGATCCGGTTCGATTCTTATACCAATTGCTAAAAGTAAAATGAAAATCGTGAAAAGATGCGAAACCTAACTTCCTGGGAAGAAGCACGACGCCGTTCCCCAGCGAGCAATCGCAGATTGGTTGTCGTCTTCGTCTTCCTGTCTGGAGCTGTAGCTGGTCTCTGATTTTGAACTGTAATGTAACGCAACCTCTTCTGCAGCTATCCCTCGTCAGTGGTCTTCGGCTCCGCCCTCCGCATTCAGGTGACCCGGCGCTTGGCCGCTTGCTCTAACCTCCGCTTTCTTCTTGCTTCAAATTTTATTATCTCCTTGTCTGATCACCACCCTAGATGTTAGGTTTTGTCAGAATTTCTCAATCGTACTATTCCCCAAGTGATTCCAACTTCTGTGGCTCCGATTATCGTTCAATTTTAGCTACTGGCGATCAATTTTGATATGGTACCTATTTACCCCAGAAGTTAGCCAATTTTGGGCAGGTTATGCGTGCGTAGTTCGCTTCGTAATCATAGTTCATACAACTAGAAGATCGTAACTAGGTTATATGGAATAATGCTTGGGTTTTGTTATGTTTACTGTTTAGGTTTCTCCTTCCTTGGGTGCATTACAGTTTTGGATGTTAGTTGACTTTTTCAGATAAAAATTGAATCTTTCTCCCTCTTATTGAAGCTTGGATTATATGAACCGCAGTTCTCTGGAACTAAGACGCTGCTGTTTATTCTCTTTCAGCCGTGAATTGCGAAATTTGGGAATTTGTGGCGGCCCTTCTCTTGACTTGGAGGATAGAATTTCGCAATGGCAAGTAAAGGGCGGATTCCACCTCCTCATCATCGACGCCCTTTTCCGGGACACGAGCCCTTGCATCCTCCTGACCCATTTGCTCAGGGAATTCGACCTGCACCGGGTCCTTATCCTCCATTTGACATGCTGCCTCCCCGAGAAGTCATGGAACAGAAGCTTTCGGCACAACAAGTGGAGATGCAACGACTTGCCACGGAGAACCAAAGGCTTGCTGCTTCTCATGGGAACTTGAGACACGAACTAGTGGCTGCTCAACATGAGCTGCAGATGTTGCATGCTCATGTACAGGCTATCAGAGCGGAGAGAGAACAAAGGATGAAGGGTCTTTCCGATAAGACTGCAAAGATGGAAACTGAATTGAAAGCTGCTGAGCCTATCAAGAAGGATTTGCAGAAGGCACGGTCAGAAGCTGAGAAGTTGGTTACAGATAGGCAGGAGCTTATGTCTAAAGTGCATCAGTTAAATCAGGAAATTCAGAAAGCTCACATGGATGCACAGCAAGTTCCTGCTTTAATGTCTGAACTAGAGGGTCTGAGACAAGAACAACAGCGATGCAGGTCCGAGTTCTTTTTTTTTTTCCCCCTTGCTTCTTCTGGATTAAATAAAGAATGCAATCTAAGTCACGGAAGGAAAGATCTGTATGCCACAAAATATGTCTCTCTAGAGCGCTTTATGATTGTTATTGTGATCTGTGAATTCAGATGAGAACATTCTAGATCCGTCAAGATGGACTCGCCTTTGTAGTAAATTGTCAGGTTTCTAAACATAAATTCAGTTGTTTTGTTCAGCTGTCCTGTTAGTTTTTAGTGTGTTACTGAAGTGCTTTCTCTGATTCGAAATTTACCATTGCGAAGCATTAAGCTAAATTCTGTTCGACTATATTAATCAGAGCAGTGACATATTGTTACTTTTATTCTGCAGAATTTCGTACGACTATGAGAAGAAGCTGTTTAGCGACCACCTTGAATCACTTCAAGTAATGGAGAAGAACTATATGACAATGGCCAGAGAAGTGGAAAAGCTCCGTTCACAATTGGCTAATGTAGCGGGTAACAAATATTTTCCACTTGCTCCTTTATCAATCCCTTCTTCTGCAACTCTAGTTTCATGTTGTATTGCCTTCTGCTCTTACATTTTGTCTCAGGTGGGCACTATCCTGGCACCTCTGGGAACAATGAGAATGAGGCTACTGGGCGCGCTGGAGGACAAAACATGTATGCTGATAGCTATGGCCTACATCAAAACCAGGTTCGGCAAATAAGTTTATATATATATAAGTTTCTAAAAAAGTTAATTGTGGCTTCAATATTGTTATTGGTATGTTCTACAGTGTCCTACACAAGTGATATACTTTACCATTGTAATTCCTTCTCTCGTATCTGTAACCAGTACTTGAGACTTTTAGGTCAATAGACAATGAGAAATGATAGTAAGAACAATAACAAACTATGAACCCATAGCTACATGAGAGTTTGCAAACCAAAACAGTACTTGCTATAAGAGAAGCAGAAATTAACCATGTTAGTGGAAGTGACAGTCGTTGCCAAGCTGCTGTTGGCTGAACTCTATATTATTGATTCCATGATAATCATGAGTTACAAAAAGAAAGCTGAAAATGATGGCATTAATTAAATTTCTTGAAACAGGGTTATTTGACTGCTTCGGCTGCTGCTGCTGCTGCTGCTAACTCTGGAGCTGCTGTGGTCGCCGCTAATGCTGCTAATGCAGCTGCCGTTAGTGGTACCACCAACTCTGTAGGAACTCAATCTGGGTCTGGAGCTGCAAAACCTAGTTATGAAGCAGCAAGAGTTCCTGGTTATGATCCCTCTAAAGGACCCGGCTATGATGCGCAAAGAGTAATGCATGGCTATGATGCTCAGAGAGGCGCAGGTTACGACATGCAGAGAGCACCTGCATACGATCCTCAAAGAGTGCCTGCATATGAACCACAGAGACTCCATGGGTATAATGATATGCAATGGGGAGCTAACTATGATGCAGCCAGGAATGTTGCCTATGATGCACTGTCGAGAGGGATGGTTGCTGCACAACAAGGGCAAATGGCACCATCTGCTGCTGCTGCTGCTGCGGCTGCTCGAAACAATGTGGCCTACGGCTCTGCAACGCCACCAACTCGTGGAGGAAGTGGATATAATGCAGCAGCAGCTCAAGCTGGAAATCCAGTCAAGAGATAATGCAAGAGTGCATAGTTTCAACAGCTCGAGTGGTAATTGATATAAGATTGCACCTGCCGGGATTTTGTTCACCATTTCTGTCGAGAGAATGAGATATGTACCCACTCTGTGGGTATACAGCACACCCGTCCAAGTTGCTTTCTCGTGGAACGTCAGAGGGCTTGTATTGTAATGCACCTGTACTAATTGTCAAGGGTATTATTATTATAGGCCTCATTCGCTAATTGTCAGTGGCATCCGATCATTTCCATGGCTACTGTCTGATTGATAGCCAATTCAAATGCAAGGTTTTATCCTTTAACCGAACATATTCTACCATGTACGAAACAGGATAGCTAGATCGTATAAGGGTTGATCGAATTGCTGAACCAGAAGGTCTCATGTTCGAATTTTTTAAGTATTATTAAATCAAAAAAATTAAAAAATTTCGCCCTTATAAAAAATCTAGATAGCTGACTCAGTCTGATCAATTCTCTAAAACTCAAGTCCAATCCAGCAGGCCGCAAGTCCACTAGGATGTTACGAGTATGGCTATATATTATTTCTTCGAATGAGCACATGAGTTTACGAGACTTGTTTTGGGCGGTAATACTCGCCTCGTAAACGGGAGGGGGCAGACATGTGTACTCTCCTCGACTTGATCGCCCCATTCTTGGTACTTTTTTCTTCATAAACTACATGTAATTTTGCTCAAATTAGTTAGGATTTTACTTTTATTATCTCATATTTTAGCTATAATAAAGTTGCAAGTATGTGAGATTCTAGGTTCTGGAATAATTTAACTACATTTAACATATTATAGTTTTTTTTTTATTTTTATGAAAAAAATACATTATTTCTAATATTTCTCTTTTAAATTACATACTCATATGAGTCGACCTGCTCAAATCATTGCCCCATGATAAATTACTTGACTTACCATGTAGAGGGTATGAGTATCGAGAATTCGAGATACACATATCGATCTACCACATTGTCACCACAAACCAAACAAACCCTTTTTTACTGCGATTCGACTCCAACTATTTTCTCATCCTTAGTAATGGTCAACACCAAGATTGTCAACCCGTTGGTCGACCCGCCGGTTGTCCCATTTTGACCCTGATCAGGTGAGAAAAATAAGCCACACACCCGTGGGGCCACCCCTTGCAAGGTTACCAGGTTGGAGATCACACACCATTGTTTTCTCCTTTGCTTTGCGAAATGCGCCTCTTTTCCGGTTTTCTGTTTTGTCTAACCCTAATTTTGGAGTTATAAATTGAACATTGGAATATTGATGTTAAGTGTGTTGAACTTTCACTATATGTTGGATATAATATGTTATTTTTGTAATGTTATATGTTAATTTTTTTTATGGTTAATCAAAAATTGCACTTAAGCCCGAGGAAGTGCAACTAGCATCTTTTCTCTCAAAATGTAAATATACTATATGTTATATGTCATTACTCATATGTTAGATATAATTATATATTTGATATAATTTATAAATATATGAATTTATAACTTTTTATATATTTTTTGAACTAAACTAGACTAACACGATTGATATTAACTCTCAACCCACTTATTTAACCGGACAAGCAAACTAAACCGTGACAATCTTGGTCAACACTCAACACTCATGAGTCACAAGAAAGAGAGCGTAAATTTTTTTTAAAAAAGGAATCAGCCGGGGAGGGAGGAAATTCAAATATTTTCATTTCCCGGCAAGCAGAGAAGACGAAAATCAGTCAGCTCCTCGCCGCACCTTGCCTTCTCCTCTTGACCTCACATCTCTCGTCGTCGTCGGCCGAGTTTACGGTGAGGCTCCATCTTCTGGGCACGGCTTTTACATTCGTCAATAGCTCGGTTGGTATGGGAATTACTACTAAAGGAATTTAGGTGTTGAACAGCGTTAAGAAGCCTTGTTCGACAGTTTCACTAGAACAGGTTGATTCCCGGTTCTAATCGATGAGGGCAGGAGAAGAAACGGTTTCTGAAAGCAGTCCCGTTCTAGCTTCATCGGTTTTCTCAGTAGAGGGAGTCTGTATTTGATGTTCATAGATCGTATCTCGTGGTCGTACTTTGATCTTGTTTTCATCGGAAAGGTTTAGGGTTTCAGTGTCGGATTGGAAGGAGGATTTTTTCGCCTGACGTGATTGCCGAATTTCGCTTATGCATTTTTGTTTTCAGCTTGATCAGCAGTAATTTGCAGTGGCAAGATGAATTTTGCTTCATCTTCTTTTTTTGTTGGGATTACCCTAATGTGAGAATTACTCCGTATAACTGAATTTCTAGGGAACATGGAGTCTGCTATTCCAGGTATGGAATCTGTGGTAGCAAGTGTGAGTGGCTACCATGGATCGGAGAGGTTCAAGCTCATCAAGCTAATATCGCAGGCTGGTGCAAGTTATGTAGGCTCAATGTCTAAAACTACAACACACTTGGTGAGATATGCTCTTTAACGTCATTTTGCTGTTCAGTGAAGAGCCCTTTTGCTAATAGTTTTTGAGTTTTACATGGGCATTAGTTTTGCTGGAAATTCGAAGGCGAAAAACATAATCTTGCCAAGAAATTTGGAGTTAAGGTAGTTAATCATCGGTGGATAGAGGATTGTATAAAGCAAGGAAAGCTCGTACCGGAGAGGCCTTATATGTTGTGGAGGTATGGCAATATTTGCGGCTTTGTTTGTGCAGAGCACTAAGCCTGCATTTGTTGCCATTGGTGCAACTTTTTCTTATCATTCCAATCATCTTTGCATGATCCAACTACATTTTCCATGTCAAAGACTCACAGATGTTTCTGATTTGCAGCGGAAAAGAGGTAGGACCTCTATCATCAGAAGTTCCTATATCTGATAAGCTTCCCTCAAACCAGAACCCCGTTGTTCTGTCCAATATCTCCAACACATGGGAGGGCTTTGGTAGACAGGGATCTAGGAGGGACTCTGAAGATCCTGCCCTTGTTTGTTGCACTGATTCAGTTTTCTTGAATAGGGTTAGTGAATGAACTTCTCTATGTCTTTGCCTCGGTACTGTCTTTCCATATTCGAAACTCCAACCTATCAACGCACATATCACTGTGAACATATGGGGAGTTTTAATTTTCTGGCCCATCTTGCAGGTATAAATGATTGCAATGCATACTCAACCATTTCTATCAATAGTCTTGGGAACAAGTTTCTGGAAATTTGCATTGTTGAGTTATGCATATTCGTTTTGATGGAAACATCAGTGTTCTAGGTTATGCGCTTCTTTCTATCAGCTTATAGCAATACCAGTATGAAACAGTTAGAGTGGGCCTCTGTATAATTGTTTATTAATTTATGAGGCTCCTGTTACTTATTTTTCACAGTTCAGGGCTTCAATATATGATAACTGTTGTCAAATAAGATGTTCACGAGATGTACCACTTATCACTCTGACTTTCACAAATATGAATAATTTCAATTGAAGAGCTGGATAACATCTTTATAAATAGTGGCTTTTGACCTGAAGTTATGTACATGTGTGGATTTGAAGCTTCTGCAGTTAACTTGCTCAGAAATATGATTCTGGAATGTCTCTACTTTAAGCTTGAAGATAGGAGAATGCATATTTATTGATGTCTTTAAACTCAACTGCAGGATCTATTTTCTGAGGGTGGCACAAGCAAGGGTACCTCCAGTAAGTCAAAGCTTAAACAGGTGTGTGGAAGTTCAAAGCAACAGAACAGGTCAAGTAGTAGGAAACGTTGTCAGGATCCTTCCATGGTGCTATCTCTATTTGAGGTAATAACTTATAACTCAGCTTATGCTTTGTAGTATTTTAAAGCTGGCTTTCTATAGTGCCTATATATTTTTAAGTATATTTTGTGTACCCAAATTCTATTCTATGGTTTTAAGTTGTTGAGTTTCATGGAGTCCTCAGAAGCTTCCTGCGTTTTAGGTGTAGTGCACCTTTTCTGGTTTGTCATTTTGGTCAACCTGTTGGTTCCTATATGTTGGCATGTCTCTGTGCATGAACTATTAGCTATTCATTAGGGCGATTCAGATGCAACATGCACTGGTTTATTGGTGCTTTTTTCACTAGAGCTCAAAACTGTTGTGAGGATGATCTTCCTGTGTGAAGGCTTCTGTGTATAATACTAGCCACCAGGATCTAGTGACCAGAGTCGGAAAAAAGTGTCACTTGCTAAAGGTTCACATCTGGCAATACCATGCTATAATAGTCTGATTAGCTTACGAATTTGAAGCCTCTTGGCATATCTTGAATTTAAATTACTTGCTTCCGTTGTGAAATGACAGTTTGAGAATCCAAGTTCTAGCTCTTCTCCTGATTCAAGGAGAGGGAAGAGGATGGCTCCTGAGCACGAAGAGTTGCAGACTCGTTATAAGAGACGTTCTCTTAACAGAAAAATGAATAGTTCTGATGACACAGGAGCCACTGATTTTGCCGAACCTTCTCATAAAGGGAGGATACGTCCGAAGAGAAATGCTTCTAAACGGAATATGAAAACTATAATCTTGGACTCTGACGAAGATAGCTCTCCAGTTGAGTCTCATGGTGGAACCTCTAATAGCTTCCCCGAGTCACCAACACCTTCAGGGAGGCCAAGCGAGCACAACACTCCGGAACACTCGATTGTGACAATCAACGATGTCGATGAATTGCCACCTTCCACGAGACCGGAACCTTCAGTTGAATTGTCCTGTGTTATATGCTGGACTGAGTTCAGTTCAACTAGAGGGATTTTGCCATGTGGACACCGTTTTTGCTACTCGTGCATTGAGAGTTGGGCTCGACACATGGTATGCTTTGTCCCTCCAAGTATTTTCTTGTTTCACACGTCATACAAGGGTTTATTTAGAAAATCAACTGCCTTTAAGTTGATTAAATGGATCTAATGATGGCTGCAGGATTCAGTGAGGAAAGTTTCGAAATGTCCCTTATGCAAGGCTAACTTTGCTAGCATCAGGAAGCTGGAAGATGCAGACTGTTCCGACCAGAAAATTTACTCACAAACCATTCCTGATGCTGCTGTTTTGGCTATAGGAGGTTTTAGACAGAGGTGTGGTGGCGCCATTCCTCTCGATTCATCAACAGACGATCAGGGATTTCGGGCTGAGGTAAATGGTTTCTCTTATAAAATTCTGGTAATGGTTTCATTAGCTTGAGCATAAGATTTGATCTGGGGCTTTGTTCATTTGCTTTTTCGTAATAGTCATTTCAAAGATGGGGTTGTTCCAAATGCCGGAATTGGGAGCCTGAAGAACTTCTGGTTCATTGTCGAGTATGCGAGGTTCGGGTTATTCATTCCTACTGCCTGGACCCTTATGTGTCACCGTGGACATGTCGTCACTGCACAGAGCTTCAATCTCTTCTCCGCCGCAGCTACTAGTGACTATTCATTCTCTCGTTTAGCGTATTCAGATATTGTCTAGTTTAACAATGGCAGTCTTAATTGGTGGATTGGTGAAGGCTAAATCCAGTGGTTAATTTTGTTACTTTCCATGCGGCCTAGCCGAGGGAGCTAAACTTGCAGCAGCATGATCGTATGGTGGCCAGTTCGGTTGATGCATAGTGCTCTCACTGATCAACCCCATTGAGTTTTCGACCCTCTTGACATTTTGTTACCAGACCTCAATTTGAATGCAGCAAGTCTTTTGGGTTGGTTTGGCAAGTGGTTTGAGATTCAATGGTCAGATGAGAGTTCAACCAGTGTAAATGGATTTTAATCGGACATGTGAGCTGGTTACTGGGGAAGTCATTAACATCAAATAAATTATGCATGTATATGACATCTCAAATGCAATTGGTTAGAAACATTGAATTTTGTATCATTTTGCTATTTGCAATACTTTGTCGGCTTATTTATGTTTTGGAAGTGTGTTTTAATTCTTCTCATAAGCGCTAATGAAAAAAAAATCTGGGTTTCTTGAAGAGCCTGCATTTTATGTTCATGTAGATTGAATCTCTTATATAATTTGGTAAAAAAAAAAAAAGATTGAATCTCTTATCAATGTACTTGCATAATGCACTTCATCAAAGATTTTTTTTTAACAAAATATAATCATATTGATTGATAGAAAGATCATACGTTACACCTTGGAACCAACTCAGGAACAAAAATAAAAAAATAGACATGAGGTCGGAGACAAAGAAAGGGCTTTTCAAACCACAAAATGGGCTACCCTAGTGCTAATCCGACATACAAATCGAACATGAAAACCACTATTCAGAGCCAACACACGCAGAATTTCCTCAATAATACCCCCAACACGGTTGTCTCACACATCCTTGGCATTAATCTTGTCAATGAGCACCTTAGCATCGTCTGCAAATCGAACTTGAGCAAGGCCAAGGTCTTGGCACCACTAGATAGCTTCGCGGAGGACAATAGTCTCAAGTCTCAACCACAAGGAGGTCAACCATATTCTCAAAAACAACCATTTGGCAAAGACAACAGAGCCTCCTTCATCCTTTAGGATCAACCCTCTAGGTGAATGTGAGTCAACACATACCTCACCATCCCACATACAGATAACAGAGGACGAATCTCCTACATCCGAACTATGTTGTAAAGGAAGCTGATTTAGGGCAAACCTATCTTCCGACAGGTAAATCCATTCATGGAGTTGCTTATGGTATTGGCACATCATATGAGGAATTCGAAATTGTTTTTCCCTCAAATACAACCCAATTTCTCTCATGCGGGATTACAAGCACATATATACCTCAATATAACAAATTGTGTGTTTCAATTTATGATAATGAGATTTTATCGAATTCAACCTCTAACCTTGTATTAGAGGGGGATTGAGTGTCCCATGATAAGAAATTAAATGAACTTTAAACCATCTCTGTCACAGACTTGTCTAACAAGTCTCTAGCTAATCATTTCCTCAAATGATCGACTAAATTATCTCGAGTGTCCGATATTGTGTAGACAAAACTTCATGAGTGATCAATTCACGTATTTTATCAGGCCTAACTCCCACATAACTGCACTTTCCATTTTCACTTGACTATATGCTTTATGTCATGAACCAGTTGATCCCAATAACTCGAGTTGTTAGGAGAGGTTCAATCGTAGATCATATACCACACACTAACACGCCCCCTCAAACGAAAGGCACTCACAAGGGGTTGAAGTTTGCACAGGTCCACATACCATGTGCTTAACAAATGGGGGTTACCAGGATTCGAACACAAGACCTCTCGGTCATATAAGGCTCTGATACCATGTCATGAACTAGTTGATTCCAATAACTTGAGTTGTTGGGAGAGGTTCAATCGTAGATCATATACCACACACTAACATCCAAATTAGCATTACTAACAAAGAGGATAGTAATATGTGATATTGGTTTCAAATAGAAAGGAATTACATAAACTAAGTCTCTTAACCATCACATATTTTGAATCCATAGTGAAACTAGTGATGCAAGTATGCATTTTAAAGGCGTAGGAGACAATATCTTCATCTCAATGTTGAAGTATGATCTTTAACAACATAATCAAACTAGCATCGGTGTATCCTTCCAAAATGGGTGGGAATCCACTATAAGTCAATGCATACTGCATTGTGCCTTTGAGGTATCCTAGTACACGCCTCATTTCATGCTTGCCAATGATGAGCACTACGATTACTCATATACCGACTTAATTGTCCTACTGCATATGCAATATATGGTCTTATGCAAATCATTGCATACATCAAACACCCAATTAACATAAAATACTCAGGTTGTGAAATTATTTGGTCAGTATTAACTATAAGTTCCATACTTGAATCCATTGGGGGTCTTTAACTCACGACAATTCCTACTATGAAATTTAACAAGTACCTTCTCAAATCTCAATGTAGAGACATTGAGACAATGCATGCAACTTTTTTGTCGTTTTGCTTGATTTAGTCCCTATAATTGTATATGCATCTCATGTCCTATATGGAGAATTTTATATGACAATAACTTTTTAATAAACTCCACTTATCTTTCATTGATCCCAAACATAAACATGTCATCTACATACAAATATATATACCGACTCTATTCCCAGAATGTAGATACACTTTCGTCATCTTGGTTTAACACAAACCACTAGAGAAATCCAAAATTATCTAAGACTTTGTACAATGTCAAATAAGGAATCAAACAAATTAAACCATTGAGTACGAGCATTCGATATAAGATTTTTACCGGTCAAACCATTAATACGACTATGGTACAATTTCACAAACAAAATTAAGAGTACGTGATAATCATCACCCAGTATCAACCAACAACAACTGAAAAACTTAACGCAGAAACGTGAAATAAAACACAATTTTACGTGGTATCATGACTGACTTATCGGCACTAATCCACGGGACCGGTCCAATAACAACAACAACCAGCAACGGAAGTCACTTTTTCCCCTGTGAATAATGTAAAGCCAAGTGTCTCTTTGGTCCGCAGACAGAGCCTAGTCATCATTCGTGTCTTTTCCCTTTAGTAATCTAACTAACGTCAAATCTTTTCATATGTCCCGTTCTTCTTCTATATGTCGATTTGCAAATATTAATTGTCAGCAAAAGAGGCTTTTCCTCGGCCCCTTTGTAGCTTTACTACGTGGAAAAGATCGAAGGTTGTGGAAAAGTTGGCAACTTTGTGGCTGGATATCCTTTCCAAGGTCACCTCTTCAACGTTAATTGGCGAGTTAGATTAGAACTCATGAAAATGAAGTTTTATTGGCGGCCGATTGGTGGATAAAAGATTTGGGAAGGATTACGTTACGACTGTGTATGGCTTTGATTTAACATCCGTCTGAAACAAAGAAAAGAAAGAAAGAAACCCCGTCTTAATTTTGGAAGTTTATTAGAGAGAAAAATTAGATTGATAGTAATGAATAGGGTTTGACCAATGAACCGCAAAACGCTTCAGCATCAAGCCGAAATAGACTGAAAATTAAGAGGGTGGCGGTCCGAACTTGGTTGGTTGACTTTATGCAAATGCTCAACTAGGTTGTCAACCCGGCGGACTGATCCGAACCCGGTCGAGCTAGTGGGTCAAGGGTTAATGGGTCACTCAGTTTAGCATGAAAATATGGAAAGAGTCATTATATTGTACTAATTATCCTGATAAATTATATCAAATCTCATCTCACATATGAGTTATAACATATAATATTTCACCAAAATAACATGTCGTACTTAGATCCAACATACAGTGAAAATTCACACACACACTTATATAACACATATATATTCAAATGTTCACCTCAAGATTTCAAAGATTGAGTCAGGAGAAACGAAAAAAATCGGAAAATAGGCGCATTTCGAAAACCAAAGAAAAAAAATGAAACAATTTGACCTCCAACCTGGTACCTTGTAGCGGTCGACCGACGAGAAAATGTAAAAAAAAAACCATTTGTGAAACAAAGTAGTAAACTACACATTCCTTCCCATGCATTTTGCTGTCCTAACCTTATATATATACAAAACAACTTGATATGGTTTCGAGGGCGCATCCCACGTGGAAGTGGTCTGCACCGTTTGTTCTTTCATCCATATTTGTGTGGCTGTGTGTAGAGTGTCTTTAGATTACTTAGCAAATATAATTCATACAATCCCTTCTTTAATCATATCCTCAAGTAATTATAGGTCGAATATTGACCGGAATTATGGGCAATTAGCGACATGAAGGAAAGAAACAAAAAAAATAAAAAGGTGGTTTTCACTTTTGACCCCCTTACTAAACCATTTGGCACACTGCTCTCCAAAACAGAATGATTCTCTTTTTTTTCTCCACCAGATCCAAACATTACAGTAAACCCTTAAAAAAAAAAAAATACTTCTTCCATAAAGTATTTTGACGTGCGCCTAACATGAAAGATTCCCTTTCAAACTATACATTATGCAACCGGAATTCAACTATATGGGAACTATTGTGCCTAGACAGAACAGCTCAATCAGTACTACGATATCGTCCGCGTTCTAAAACAAATGCGCACACACAAATTCGTACTAATTGGACTGGATGGACACTCATATACAGGGGACGACTTTCCTCTCTCTGTATCTCAGAGGGCATAGGTTCTGGTGGTGGGAGAATCGGCGATCTTGAGGGTGTCTTGGATGAGCTTCTGCGCCTTCCGGCTCCGGATCTCCACCCTCATGCTCTCGCTCTTCTCCATCTTGTCGTAGTAATACTGCTCCTCGCCGCCGGCAGAAGAAAAAGAAGAAGCCTTCTTCCTGTAGCTGTGCGTCGCCTTCATCAGCCTCGACTTCAGCCTCACCACCAGCTTCTCCAACCCCATCATCATTGCTGCAATTCCAGAAGCAACAACAACAGAATGAAATCTATTACTTTGGAGCTCTCAAGTAAACGGAGACTACCATAGAACCACGAAATTAGTGCCCATATATGAAGAAGGAAGAAAGAGAGAGTCTGTTGCTAACCGCTTCGCTGCGCTGTGTGGAAACCCTTTGATGGAGAGAGAGAGAGAGAGATGGAAATGGTGAGTGGTGGAGATTACAAAACGGATGAGCGTAACAACTTCCCGTATATATAGTGTGAGGCTATAATATACAGAGAGAGAGATTGCAACTTAATTAGAGCACGCAACTCAAAAGAGTTTTCCCACTCCGTACGTACTCTTTTACACACAAAAAAAAATCCGTTGATTTCTGGTGGTTCACAAATAAGAAACTTCATAGTCAATGTTGGGTTTTGATTATATTGAATGATATTCGAATTATTTTTATTTGAATATTGTTTGACATTTGATTTCGGAAGCACTTTTACTATTTTATAAAGCATTGGTATTTTACCTCCTATTCTCGAAAAAATAGAGAGAATAGAGGAAAATGGAGGGGAGGGGAAGGGATTAGGAGGGGAGGGAAAATCTGGAGGTTAAGAAAATTGGAAGGACGGGTCAAGAGATTAATTGTGAAAAATCAGCAATCTCCTTCAGTCACAACACTCCTGATACTATTAAGCAGCTCATCTCAGACTGTTTAGGTATCCCCTTGGCAACTGGACTGGGAAATTATTTGGGGGTCCCTACAGAATGGGGTCGATCAAAGAAAGAGGTCTTTTCGGTGCTTATCAACAGAATGGAGAATCTGGGTCAAGCATGGAAAAGTCTGGCTCTTTCACAAGCTGGGAAGGAGGTGATGTTGAAGTCTGTTTTCCAGGGTTACCCAACTTACCTTATGTCATGCTTCCTACTTCCAAAAGGCACAACAAAGAAGATGAATGCTCGTCTCAAGGCTTTCTTCTGGGGTGGAGATATGGACAAGAAGGCCATTCCATGGAGAAAGGGAAGTGTGTTAACGGCTCCAAAACAAGAAGGGGGTATGGGATTCAAGGATTTCCATCAATTCAATATGGCACTACTGGCTAAGCAAGGCTGGAGAATTTTGAATGGCAAGGACGAGACATGGGTTAAACTTCTCAAGGGTCTCTATTTCCCAGATTGTGACTTTATGGAAGCTGGGAAAGGAAGGAAGCCATCTTGGATTTGGTCAAGTATCTGTGAAGCAAGATCAATTCTTAAATTGGGGGCAAGGAAGAACATGGGAAGTGGTCGAACGATTTCATTGGAGAAAGATCCTTGAATTCCAGGTCTGCCCACTTTTAAACTTCAGCCTGGGATTAGGCAGCAACTGTGGGCTTTTCAATGGATCATGGATGATGGTTGTGAGTGGAACCTTGATATCATTCATCAAAGCTGCACAACGGCTGAAATGGAGGCTATTAGGAGGATCCCAATTGGGAATGAGGATGCTAGGGAATATTGGGTTTGGCATTTCGAGAGATCGGGGATTTTCACTGTGAAATCAGCTTACCATGTGTTCAGAGAGTCAGAAAGGAATCGTCGTGGGACTCCGAATCCGAACCACCCTGACTGCACTTCCAAAGCCTGGAAGTGGTTATGGAGCCTTTCTTTGCCCCCAAAGATCATCTCCTTTATTTGGAGGATATCGAGGAATGCAGTGGCTACTAAGAGGAATCTTTGGTCGCGTAGATGTAGCCCATCTCCGATGTGTCCGATTTGTGACTTGGGAGACGAGGACGTTAGACATTGCCTCTTTCAATGCCCGCACGCGGCTAGGGTGTGGCAGGTTAACCATCCTTCTCTTACCCTCCCCCAGGATGCGAGGCCTGTTGTTATGTGGCTTCTGGATATTCACGAGAACTCTCCTGCCTCTTCTATCCCGGCTGTGGTGGCCTGCCTATGGGCTATCTGGCTGGCTCGGAATGAGAGAGTGTTCAAAGGGATAATGCCACGTACTGCAGTAACCACGGCTAATGCGGTTAGGGATTTCACTTTTTGGACGACTCCTTCTCAGCCTCCAAGCACCGTCGATCTCCAAGCCCAACATCGTTCAAACCATACTCCACTTAGCCTACCGCCTAGTTCTTCCCATTGGGAAATTCACTGTGATGGATCTTTTAGATCGGAATCACAGGTGGCGGCATATGGGGTCATCATTAAGAATCCTCATGGGCAAGTTGTGGATGGTTGTGCTGGCACCTTTTTCTGTTCTTCAGCGATAGTTGCGGAAGCAAAAGCCTTGTTGACTGCTGTGAGAGTTGCTGCTTCTCTCCATTATCCAGTTTCTATCTTCTCGGATTGCAAAGTGCTTATTGACATACTACATGATCCGAGGAGAGTTGGCCCTTGGCAGGTGAGGGCTTGGATTCAAGGGATTCGCAGTCTTCTCCATTTGTATCCAGGAGTAGTTATCTTCTTTACACCAAGATCAAACAACAAAAGTGCTGATTGGGTCGCTAAGGAAGCTGCTAATGAATCTCTTCCTCCGGATTGGATCCATGTTTTGGATATTGTTTCTCCGTTGTTGTAATGTGGCTATGCTTGTACGGTTATCGTTGATATGAATGGAAATCATCTATTTGTAAAAAAAAAAAAAAAAATTGGAAGGAAAATGGTTTTTTATGGAGGAAAGTAGGAAGGAAAATGTGTATTGGAAATTGTGATGGATATGTTATTTTATTGGGTTATAATAGTAAAATAATTTGATTATATGTTAATATTATTTTCATGGGTTATAAATTGTGAATTAAAAATGTGTACATTCTTACTAATTTTGTTCACTATTAAAAATCAAAAGTAGATGGTTTGAATTTTTTTTTTTTTGTGAACCTATTGTTAAAATTATGTTCTCTATTTTTTGGATTCATCGACATAAAAACTACAAATGATGGGTGGGCATTATGTTACCCAATTCGCGCAAGTTGCCCCTGCGCTCCCGCGCTAATTCGCAAAAACGCGAATTTTCAGTGAAACGTTCCAAATTCGTGAATTTTGTATCGCCGGAGCGCGAACTCTTGAAATAAGAGCGCGGATTCCACCGTGGTTGTTATCGGCGATGGTGATATACTGGCAGGCAGGGGAGAAGACAAATATCTTCTCCTTCCGACAACGGTTGCTGATGTTATTCAATCCTTTGAAGGGTTAGAAGATCTGGGCTGCATTGTTGGGGATCAGCAGGTGGATCAATCTACTGGAGAGAATATATGTATCATCCTTGACATGCAGTCCAAACTCTGATTGTCTCTCTCCCTAGGTTTTCTGAGGAATTGGGAACGGTAAAGAAAAGACTACAAGGAGAGTAGCTTGGATCTGATTTCGATGATCTCCTACCAAGAGCTACTCTTTTTCGTCTACGCCGTCATGACGGAGGAACAGAGGCGGCCGCCTAAAGCTGTTAAGCGGAGATGAAGTGATGAAGGAAGCTAAAGAGTTATGGGGCGGAAGATGAAGATGAAATCGAGGCGCTGGCGGGTAATTTGGGAACAATGAGTGATGACCGGCGACCTCGGAGGAAGGAGAATTGGGAGCGGATAAATCGAGAAGGGGGGAGATTGACAGTACCGGAGGAGGAAGATAGAGACGGTTATTCTTTTTTCAATGAAAATATATTGTATTATTTTTAATGGAGGTGGGATATTGGTTTTCATTTACAATATAATTTATAACTATATATATGAGTTTTTTCCTCGGGTGAATATAATTAGATGGGTTCACTGGAATTGATTAGTACTATTAATTGGTAATTGTTCACTTGTTCTCCACGAACTGCAATTGAACAGGTAGTGGTTTTTAATAGAAACAAGAAATTTTTTATGTAAATATTCACAAATTACATTAATATAAATATTTAAAAATTCCATTAATGCTAATTGCAGGAATTAAATGTGATAATAGTTCATATTGTATTTAATATTTTACAAAGATATATAAATTATTAATTAAAATAATTTAATAATGACGTTTTATTCACGCTCTCAATATTGAATTCCTACAAGATTAACGCTCTGACGCTCTCGCTCCCGCTCCACGCTCTGGTTACCTAAGGTGGGCAATGAGACGGGATTGGGTACCCATCCCATTTGAAACGGGTACCCAATCCCATTTGAGGAGTAAACTCTAACCCATATTCCAAACTCGTACGGGTTAACAGATACCCATTACTCGTACGAGACAGATAACCCATATATAATCCCAAATTATAAGACCGAGAATTATATTCACTGGAAAGCAATGGGTCTGTTTGTTGCCATGAGTAGAAATGGACAACACTGGTGGAAAAAACAAACGTTGGGATGGGCAATTGGGCATCCCGTCTGTGGATTTGTTAAAATGGAAAGCAATTAAAAAAAAGAGAGAGGACAGAGTTGGCTGAATAAAAATAGGTTAGTGGGTTTGTCTCTCGCTTTTGGAGGGTAAGATTATACAGTAGATTTTCTTTTCTTTTTTCTTCCCTTCTTCTTTTCTTTCAGAAACAACGGGAAATGTATTGGGAATTTAATTTTCCTTAAAAATCTTTTCTTCACCCTCTTTTCCTCTCTAAAAAAAATAGGGGTTAATGTATAACTTGAAATTGTATCATAACGTTAAATGTATAAGTTCAGCTTGTACCATATAAGAATTTGTACCCATAAGATGGTGAACTTTTTGAATTTTTGTTCAAATTCATTACAAGTGAAAGCAGTGGAACATATGGTAAAATTCATTACAAGCAAGCACGTTATAAATACTCCGGTTTAGGACACATTTATAATGTGAGGCCTAATAGAAAGAACCCACTTTTGGGATGGGCGAATTACCATTGATGCGCTTGCTAGGTATTTGATGAATTTAGTCGGGAACCAAAATGTCGCTCAAATTGGTTTTAACAGGTGTGCAAGACATGAATAAATGACATAGCACCTAGACTGAACATTATTTTGGCTTCAAAATGGGTTGTGTTCAGTTCAGTCAACCGTAGCAAAATAAGAGCAAAAGATTAGAGCAGCTTCTTTCTAATTCTACGTATATTTTAGTTACTATTCACAGGAGAGTTGCTTTCATTCTAACTAGAAAGTAGAAACCCAAACCGCCGACCATATTTTGCCCTCCTTCCGTCACCAACCGCTGCCGCCTCCGCTGCCCCATCCACTGTCCGATTGCGGCGGTGCCGACTCCACCCTCGAACCTCTAGCCCACCCTGAGTTTCCATCATCACCGCCACTAGGGGTGTCAGTTCGGGTCGGGTTCGGTTACCCGAACCGAAACCCGAAAAAATCCGAAAACCCGAAACCGAAAACCACTAAAACGAACCCGAACCCGATAAGGAATTGTGGGTTTCAGTTAACCGAAACCCGAAAATTCCTTATCGGGTTCGGGTTCGGTTAAAGCGAAACCGAAACCCGAAAACCCGAACTCCTTAAAATACGGGTTGAGTTCTATTCATTGGAGGTTTTTAGCCGGAACCCGAAAAACCGATAAGCAAAACCGAACCCGAAACCGAAAAACCCGAAACCTGAAACAAAACCGAACCCGAAAAACCGAAAATGTATATAATCGGGTCGGTTTCGGGTAAACCCGAAAAACCGAACCCGAATGGACACCCCTAATGTCCGCCACCCCAGCCGGAACTGTCACGAGCACTGTTTTCTCTGGTAGGTGAGTTTTGAGCTCTGTTGCCTGCAAAGCTGCCCCAGCTACTAGTATCGTTGTTGTTGCCACCACCAGAGTCCCACTTGGGACGATCGTAACCAGAATCCTGCCTATCGTTGTTTCTTCCCCGTCCACGACCAGCATATGGCCTCGGCACCCCACTCTCACCACCACCACCACCATTTCGATAATCATTCCGTCCTGACAATAGCAGAAAACATGGTTAGTAGTCTACAAGTAGGGGGATCTCGGGAATAAACAAGGGATATGCAGGGCAAATGGGCAATACTGGAAGAGCGATCTCCTCCTTTCCATCCACCACCGTCATTGTTCGAACCCCAGCCACCGCCATCTCCAGAAGACCTGCCGCCACCTGCTGGGCTACGCATTGGGACCATGGCAGCAACCGATCGAATGGACGGCCCCGATTCGTGGAGTTGATCGTTTATATGCCTCTGGAAGTAAGCGACGAGCCTATCGATGTCCTCGAACATCCTCTTGCGGAACTTGAATCCTTTCGGGTACAAGCCCACGTACTCGTGGTGTGGATTCGTGCTTCGGATGTAAGTTAGGATGAACGTGCCAGGATGCTCGTGGGAAATGCCGAAGGAATAGACTATCCTCATGGGATACTCTGATTTCTCCATCTTCAGGAGTTCGTCTACCTCTGCCTTTGTCCCCCTTCTGAACTTGCGGTAGTTTAGCATCGACTTCAGGTGAACCACAAGAGGATCTACATACCGATCGATTACCTATAGGCAACAAAACAAACATGCACCAAAAACCTGATGAGAAAATGGAACAGAGATCAATTCACATATGAAACGTGAGAAGGTGAAAGCGAGAGAGAGAGAGAGAGACCTCGTCCAAATCCTCGAACATGTCCTCCCCAATCTTCAATGTCTTCCCTATCCGGAGTAGACTTGTGATGTCCTTAACCTCCTTGCCACCTTCGACTATGTCTTTGTGGGCATAAACTCCATTGTACACTTTGAGTGTCAGAGCGAGGAAAGATGGTCCACGAGAACTAGGGCGTACAATGCTTTCCCCCGGCTCCTTGTTGGACAAGAACTGCATGGAAGAAAGAAAGAAAAAGATATCAGATTCCATTGCAGAATATATGGCATAAATTCCTCATACCGCAGACAAAAACTTTGGGGGCTAAAATGTATGTACCTCCACAGCTTCATCAGCAGTTATATTCTGGAACCTAGGATGGACAATCATCCTCGGCTTGAAATGCTTCTTTGCGAGCTCCTTCCCTTTGCGAGCCTTCTCCTGATCACTGTGCAAATTGACTGTATCCTCGTGGTAATACGGGTCAAGATCTTGCACCTGCTGGGACAGTCAGATTGTTCCTCAATTCGCTCTCTTTGCAAGCCACATTTGCCTGGTACCTGTTCATATCGATCGCCTTAATCCTGCAAGTGAACACATCCCCCTCATGAATCCTCTCGGACAACTCGTGGATATCTCTGTAATCATCAGCGTAGTCCTCCCTTGTCAGAATTCCAGTCAACCCAGACTCCAGCACGCATATTGCCTTCCCAGGTAGCACCCTACGCACAGTTGCTTGGACAATTCTACCCTCAGAGAGCGTCTCCAAGGTCTCCCCGGAAATCATGTAGAACTCTTCCTCCTGAGTTGGCTCCTTGTACCTTTTCCGCCAATCGGTAAAACCTTGCATCAGATCCCTTTTGATATCCTTAAACGTTTCCTTCTTGTTCTCCCTTTTTTTATCTTTCAAATATTTATCGAGATTGAGGATCTTCAACCGAGTAGGATGCTCACGAACATGCTCTATCGCCATTTCAAGATCATCGTCATCATTTGCTTCACCATTGTCCATTTCATAAATATCTTTCGCCATCTCCTGAGCGAGGCCATAAGATTCTGGATGAATTCGAGTGTCATCCAGCAAATCAATGAACTGGCTGCTGCTGCCTGCAAGGCCGCTCCGTCTAACGCGCAAGAAACCGACTGCATTGACAAACACTTTTTTCCCTAGGCTGTGGGTAGTGACAAAGTCTTTCCTAGTGAAGATTGCTCCGGCCCTTACGAGTGACCTCTGAAGAGATGCCGCTTTTCTTGGGCCAAGACCTGATATGAATTGCAGGGGGCCAAACAACCATTCGTGGCTTATGGCGAGATTGATATCTACACCGACCTGGCTAGTGACATCGACCAAGACTTGTTCAACCATACTGTACTTTTCATCTGGGGTTAGGAAGCTCTCCAGTGGGTTGAGCTTCCAGGACAGGATCTCCCTCTCAGGCCCACACAGTGTCGCAACCATTGCCAGCGGGTTTTGGAGATAGCGTCCAAGAGCAACAGCTCTCTTCACGATTCCTGATCCCTCACAATAGATTTGGAGTCTCAGTTAATTAATGAGATATGGGGTCAGTTTGTTCCAGCTTAAAAATACACTAAAAAGTGCAGTTAAAAGTTGAAACCCCTTATTGAACATACTACTCGCGCAAAATCTGCAAATTATTAGAATCTAAGCCATCTACCATTAGAAGATAAACAAAATGTATAGGTATGCCTGATCGTTTCACGAAAGTTGGATATAAATTTTTCTTCACACTTCCTATCACTTTCTTTAACAAAAAGTTAAATAGAAACACACCCATAAAACGAGTGGCCAGTCAACTGTATTCACCTGGCTGAGATGGGAGTTGATCAGAGGAAATCCGCGAGTTTTCATATAGGCGAGGCAGAGACTCATCCCCGTAGACAATGCTTAATTCATCCATATCATGTCCCACATCTCTGGGATTATCTTCCACCATCTTAAAAATGATCTGGAGATTCCAAGCAAAAATTATATGAGCATCAGGAAAAAGACAATCAAGCAGCTCATCTAAATAAAGCATTTGGAAGTATGATCTACGCAAAACGAGATTCACAAACTTCTTTTGCAAACTTGGACATCAAGAAACGAATCTTCACAAGTAACTTCCAAGTAGCGACGGGGCCGAGAACTGTTCAAGAAGTGATGCAGAATTCGACCACAAACAGGAAACCGAAACTCAATCCATGTAAGCAGCACTAAAACCCCGCATGTTTGATAAAGCACTTGCTATGAATAAGACAGGTTCATGAAAACATGCAGTTCCCAATTAAGGAAAAACAATATTGATCCCTAATTATTGAAGACGGAAATCACATCTAATTCTCATGCCCTAGAAACGATAAAGAAATAGAATGTGAGAAAGAAAGGGAATTAAAATAATAATAGATCTGAGTGGTACCCCCCTAAACAATCAATGGGATAGAAAATAACAAATATTTGACACATACCTCGTACATGTCTTCCTTAAGCCTTGTACAAGACAAATTCACAGCCCCTAGTATGACCACATGTGGTTGGTGATCCATCATAAATCTGAGAACTCGTTGTTGATCATTCTTCTTTCTTTGCACGTCATCAGCATTTTGCGAATGCAATGTAAGTGACCCAGTAGAAAGCACATCCAGCACCTCCCCTGAGGAATCTAGCATAACAAAAGTTGTTGCAGGCTTTCCAGGACCCCAACAGCATGCCATGACCCTCGGAGCAGCATCATCATCAGACGGGTCACTTTCTTTTCTTTGATATGGGCCAACAGACACTTTATTCCACAAACCTTGCCCATATTCCCAAAGTAGCCAGCGCTTAGATTTGCTTGTCAGCAATGATCTCGCTTCTTTCTCCATTGAGGGCAAAAGAAACCCAAAAAGAGCATCCTGCACTATTAATTGCCTTTGCTCATTCCATAACTGGGCAGATTTACTGACCCCATCACTACAATAAAGCTCCTTGCATTCATTGACCAACAACTCCATACGTTTTTCTGGAAGCTTGAAGGTCACTTGAAGAAGCTTCTCCTCTTCAGCCTTCTGTATAAGAAGCCATTGTGCATCTTTGAATTCACTCATTGGTTTTTCACGCAGCCATTTCACTCCATAAAACTGATGAAAAGAATCTATTGTTGTATTCCCATCAGGAGTTGGAGCGGTGGATATGACTGCATGCTCCATGTAAACACCACGGATGTGTTTTCTGACATATGGCTCGCAGCTTATCTCAACAGCAGCCTGAAAGTAAAGGGGGGGAAAATGAAAACGAGAGGTTCTAACACATCTTATAGTAGAGATCATATTCAATCTTGAGTTGCTAAAAGCTCCCCGAACTAAGGTACAATGGACAAAGAGCTAGCACCCAGAGCTTAGCCGCACTCAGCTATTGGACATAAAAATATCATCCATACCATGTGCCTGGCCCCTTTAAGAACAGCCTGTGGAGTTTCAAACATTGCACATGTAAAGTTTGAAGCCATCTCTTCAGGTGTTTCCTTGGCATCCTCCAAAGCTGAACTCTGTAGAAAAGAGAGAGTGTGGAACAAAAAATCAATATCGGAATAACTCTTAATGGTCAATTTTTCCACAATATTCAGTCTCCTCACTTTATATTAAGTAGATAAGCAACAAGAAAAAGCAAGCTCACCATCGCTAACAATGACAAGGTTAAGCCGAGCTGCTCCGCACTAGGGCCGAACTTGCTAGCAACTTCCCATAGACCAGCTTTGTTACAGATACTGTATTGTGATCTTCTTTTAGGCCTCTTATACTGCCCTTCATCCACACCTACCTCACCTGGAGGAAAATGCAGGTTAAACTTCGCATCAACATCGTCGACCTCCCGTTCTGATTCTGCAGCCTCCAGCGTCTTGATAATAGACTTGAAAAGGTGGTGGTTCAAATTAAGTCTTGTCTCATCATAAATGCGCCTAGATTCTTCGTCAAATCGCTTCTCGTAGTATAAGTGGAGCGCACTTTTTCTCTTCTGCAGGAGGAGCCATTTCCTGTCTAAGTCCTGAATTGCCCAAACCACCTACAGAAAAGTAATCTTTAAGTCAGCGGAGAAGATCCTGCTTTTGTTCTTAATGTGTTAGCCTTCACCAATCACCAGAGGAGGATGGGGAAAATGTTGAATTCCTAACCTTGTGCCACTTCAATTTTGGTGTTTGGTCATTATCCTGATTATCATAGTCATTCTCAGGTTGCCCAGAGTCTTTCAACAGGCTAGAGCAGTCTTCCTTCCTGTATGTGGCAATGAAAGGAACCTAGAAGCACCAGTAGCAGATGTTGTGAGGTGAAAGTAAATTGAACAGAAATTGAAATATCAAAGAGATCAAGAATACTAACATCTAACTTCTGCACATGATGTAGCTCCAAAAACTGGACGATATCATCTTTATTAATGGTTACACCCTGCAGAGATGTTGCGCCACTAGCAAGCTGATTATATATCCAAGTGCTCTCATCATCGATGAGGACTTCATCAGTTGGAGGAGAACCAGTACTCTCCTCAGATATCTACAGGATGTAACAGTAATAGCAACATGAATGGCGGATCCTCAATAACAAAAGAATGATAGAAAGAAACCAGATACATGTACATTCAAATGACCTGCATTCTTTCAGGAATATCACTGAGTCGAACTTGCTCATCTTTCTCAGTCATATATTTCTCAGAAAGTACGGAGGGTTCAAATTCATCTTCCAATCTCCTTTCCCTCCATTCATTATTCGAATCTAATCCTTGTTGCTTACGCAGTTTGATGAGCTCATCCACATCGCCAAATATATCATGAGCTTCCTGCAAAGCAGAAGATGAAGCTCCAGATGATTGCCTTGACTTCTTTTTCTTCACCTTCTTATGCCTACAAATTAAGCACACTAGTTCACAAACTTAACACTCTGACAAAGGGACAACATATGGCATGTGTTTGATTTATATGAGTTACATACCTCACAGGAACTCCATGCTCATCGAGTTCTTCTTCCTCCACAATGAAATCTGCCAAATCATCATCTTCTCCAACTTCAACTTCCTCCTCCTCTTCCATCTGTTCCTCTTCTTCAGCAATATCTTCAAACCGTTGTCCTGAAGAGACGCAGTTGGGTTTGATTCTATTGGGGGACGCTGTAACTAACCAACTTCAACCACCTCCAGGAATCAAAAGTAATTTTATGCCACTTACCTTCATCATCGTCAAACAAGGTGCGACTCAGTTTTTCTTCAGGCCCACCCTTACCAGATCCATCTCCCTCCGCAAAAACCCCATCCCGATCATCATCTGCGTCCCGTCGAGCCTTCTTAAGCCTCTTGAACTTCTTGGTATCCTGAGGCTTTCCAGCCAAACAGAAACAGGCAAATCCCAAGTACAATCAAAACAGCAAATTTGGAAGGAGAGAGGGTAACAAATTGCATTCCCATATCAGAGGAAAAAGAGCATAAGATATGTCACGACTTTGGGTCTCTGAGGGTAAACGTTGTTGTCCCTTAGGAGTTCATAGTCATCTTCATCTAGCACCTCAGCTTCTCTGTTTGCACACCGCAGAAAAAGAAAAAGATGAGCCATCGAAACAACAAGCAAGTAGTAACGCGAAGAAGAAAATGAGAGATTATTCACCTCTTCTTCTTTCTCTTCTTCTTCCTCTGCCTTTCTTCGTCACTATCCGCCCTCCCTTCTTCCTCGGGCTCTTCCTCGACATCGTCCACTATGAAATCATCCTTTTCGTACTCATCCTGCCCTTCTTCTGCACAAAACCCCACAAGTTCCATGCAAAAAAACTAAACACGTCAAAAAAGTTGCCAAGAAAAATAAAAACGCTTCCCCCCGATCGAACGAAGCCAACATTGCTCGAGCAGCAAAAAAAAAAACCCTAGAAAACTATCCCCACTGCAGGAAGAAGAAAAAAAAAACAACAATTCCGCCGTGGGACAGAACCATAAGGGAAGAAGACAGAGTTCAGAAATTCGAGTGATCGCGTACCATCGTCTTCCTCCTCGTCATCTTCTACTGCATCTGCGGGTTCATTCTCTTCTTCCTCGTCGAGCTCCACATCTTCTGCAAGGTGCAGAATTCGAGTTCAACCAAATGTAGAAGCGAGGCCGCCAAAAAGGGAGACAAATTAGGGTTCCAGGGAGGCATTTGCATACCTTCTTCGTCAGAGACGACGTTCCTCGCCATGGCGGAGCAGGGAATTAGGGCTTTTTCCTAGAGAATACTTCTTCTGCTTAGCTTGAGTGGCGGAAGGGATTTATGGGTGTGGAGAATTTCAGCAGCGCGAACTCTGTTGAGAGATTGGGAGGGAAGGAGGGGGGCTTTTTATAGTGTTGGTGGAAATAATAAATAATAACGGGACGGGTTCAGTTTTAATGCGAGAGATCCTTATGAACCGTCCGATGTAGTTGCATTAGATGTGCACCGTTTGATTTGGATTTGGAGGACGGACAGATCAGCGCTTTTCGCAAACTCGGAGTGTACGTCACTTATTAATCATTTTCATTTCTTTTCGGTGAAAGAAGTCGAATCCGTTACCGTTTCTTTTTGTTCTTGGGAGGTATAGGAAACAACTATGTTGTGACACCGTGTATAAATTTCACATCGGCAAAGCGTAAAAGAGATCCATGATTGATACGTAAGAAATTGTGCTTACTTTATAAGAATTGTATGGAGGAATGGAGGAGTTTACAATAACTCCGAAGTTAAACGTTCCCGGTATGAAGTACAACATGGATGGGTGACCTTATGGGAAGTCACATTATTGCAACCAAGGCAAGAACTGTGAGCGTTGAGACCCAAAGCCGACAATATCGTAGTTGGGTAAAGATTCGAGATGTTACATATATAAACCACAAAATAATAGGACTTTTGCAGGTCAAAATTACAAGGGAAGAATTAAGTAAGTGTGGTTGGTCGACGAACCAACGACGAGAGGGGTTTTTTTCTCCACGAGATGGACAATCATATTATACTTACGCGACGCGAAGTGAAACGATGGAGGCTACATTGAGGCGCGAAAAACCTAAACCTCAGAGTGAAGGATGCAACCCAACGTGTGCCTTGAATTCTTTTCGTTAATCATATGGATGATCATCTGCGCAACCCCAGAGAACTGAACATTAGTTACATAATGAAAAATACACTATCGAAGAAGACCGCTAAGTCCAAGGAGGTCAATGATAAAGGCATCATATTCGAACAATGACAATATTAAATAGTCATATATTCTAAGAATCTAAACCTTTTCTGATAACTTGACAAGCAAGTTAAGTGGGAAGTTAAGTCCTCGAAGTCGCTAGAGTGTTACCTGTGATATAGCGACCACCAATAACATAATATCTTCGATTGACTCGAAAATAACCAACCAATTAATACCAAAGAATTTCTTAGTTACCTTATTATTATTAATTAGTTTTATCATTATAAATTAGTCAAAATATCCATAATTCAGCTTTTCAATATTGTTATTCAATATTTTACATAACTTACGGAGGTAACCAAAATCATGAGAATAGCGATTAAATAGTGAAAACATCTTAGGATGAAAGACTAGACATATAGTGCATCGGTTTAACTTGGTCGGACTCATATTTCAATTCAGTTAATTTTTCTTTAGTCCTATGATATTCATGGGATCAAGGACCGGGCTACATTATATTTGGTTCGGTATGGTCCTATCCAACCGTTCGGTTCGCTCCACTGCAATTTGTAAGGATTAAATCATTTCACACCCCTAGTCTCCCACCTGCGCGCCCAACGCCATACAAGGGGGTGTCCAACGGGTCCTGTCCAATTCGGAATGGACCAAACTCATGAGAACCACGTACGGTCCATATATAATTAGTTCCAAACTCATGGTAAACACAATCCATTAGTGAAAGACATCGTAATTAATTAGAACCAACGACCGTATACCACTATTGCATTCGATCCCATTTATTCCGGTTTGGTCCGATCCATATGTAAACTCAATCCATTTTTCTTAAACGATTATAATACTCATCAGACCAAGAACTAGAACCCATTATACGAACCAGACCATTCCACACCCATTACACACAAGATATGTGGTGATTGTCATACTACACACATGAGTCAAGTCCTATAAATACTCCCCTCCCCACTTCATTGCCTTTCCCTCCTTCCCATCCCCTTCCCAACCCAAAAAGATATGAAGCTACTCAAAGGCGCCATGGAGTTGAAGCCCCAACTAACCCTCCTCCTCACCCTAACCCTCGTCGCCGCCTTCACCGTCCTCCCTCTCTGCTACCGCTCCCTCGGCGGCCGCCACCGCCACTTCAACAACTTCTTCTCATCACAACCACCGCCGCCTGATCACGGCCAGGCAGCAACACCGCCGCCGGTGGCCGCCGCCGGAGAAGAAGACAATTATGACTCGCTGGGGTGCGACATCTACGAGGGCGAGTGGGTGCCGAACCCCGACGCGCCGTACTACACCAACTCGACCTGCTGGGCGATCCACGAGCACCAGAACTGCGTCAAGTACGGCCGCCCCGACGGCGGGTTCATGCGGTGGCGCTGGAAGCCCGACGGCTGCGAGCTGCCCGTGTTCAACCCGGCGCAGTTCCTCGAGATCGTGAGGGGGAAGTCGCTGGCGTTTGTCGGCGATTCTGTTGGGAGGAACCAGATGCAGTCCTTGATTTGCTTGCTCTCCAGGGTAACTATACTTGCTAAACTTCATATATGGCTGCAAGCTCGTATTAAACGCTCGTCGACTCATCGTACGAAATGGAATTCACTTCGTATAAAATAACGATATTTTTTTAGGTACGTGAGTAGTAAGAGAATAAGAATACGTTGTTTACCGTCACGTACGTTGTACATGACTAAGTTAACGATGTGTCTAGCGAAATCAAGATATTGGGTGACCACTAAGTTAACGATGTGTCTAACGAAATTAAGTTGTTGAGTGACCACTTATTTATCTGCATGTGCATACATATAATATAATTAGCTTGCTATAGCTAGCCATATGATGTATCTTTGTTACAGACTGTTAGATTTGGTTCAACAAACATATATAGGCTGTGTTTTGTGGAGTTAGTTGACCTAAAGATGCTTTGTTTTCTTGACAAGGAGTAGGCAAACTGAAACGAGCTTCCACGTTGAGCTCCAATCAATAATTTGCATAATACAGAGTTGTTGGCATATGCATAAACTGGTAATGGACGTGGTGGTGGTGGGAATCTTCCGAATGATAGGGTTTGTGAAATCGTATTGTATGTGTTGTCTGGTTAGAACAAAAAAAGATTTTAACGATATAAAACGATTGAAATCATAGTTAAATTGCGATTTCGACATAAGTATCATATTTCTATATCAAATTCTTTTTTTGTGCCACCTTTTCGATATCGCTTAATAATACAGTTTTTCAATTATCAAGTCAAAATCTTTGCTAAAAAGGTAAATAGGGCCGATATATCCGATCACATAAAAAGAGTAGCTGGGCCCATAATTTTGTATAGTCCGTATTGCCAGCCCAGCCAAATATATATATATTTCTTTTGTTTTATGTCATTTCACATTCTCATATAAATTGACATCCCAACCGGTATTAGGGAAAAGATTTGCTAACCACCAGACTGATTAAGTGATTATGCTTAAATACGCAATCAATCTATACACTACACAACGAAAATTCGTCCATTTTATATTAGACAATACTAATTTTAGATAACAAATGGAATTAATTGCCTCCAATATCCCTTCAAGTCCCATCAATAATCTTCCAACTTTAAGCCGGTTTAGGGATAATCACAAACTTACTATTGAATCGCTGAAGGAAGAGTGAACCCTTCACCAACCATTTGATTGAATTCTTTGTCCTATTAGCGCCTCCCAAACTGTTAATCTTCATTAATTAATTAAAGTATTAATTACCATGAAATACTTCTAATTCTTATAAATCATATATTTGTTTAATTTCCAGGTGGCGTATCCAATTGACGTTTCCACCACGTCAGACGAAAACTTCAAGCGCTGGAACTACCCATCCCACAATTTCACCATGGCCTCATTTTGGGCCCCGCATTTGGTGAAGGCCGACGAGGAAGACCCCAACGGGCCCACACATACGGGCCTGTTCAACCTCTACCTGGACGAGCCCAACACGGACTGGACGGCCCAGATCCACGAATTCGACTACGTCATCATCAACGCCGGCCACTGGTTCTACCGCCCGGCACTCTACTACGAGAACCGCCGCCTCACCGGCTGCCGCTTCTGCCAGCTCGACAACGTCGCCGACCTCCCCATGTACTACGGCTACCGAAAAGCCTTCCGCACAGCTTTTAAAGCCATCAACAGCTCGCCGGGCTACAAAGGGCTGACGATCCTCCGCACGTTTTCGCCGTCGCACTTCGAGAACGGGGAGTGGAACGAGGGGGGAAATTGCGTCCGGACGCGGCCCTTCCGGCGGAACGAGACGAGGCTGGAAGGGATCAATTTGGAGATGTACATGGTGCAGATGGAGGAATTTAGGGTTGCTGAGAGAGAAGGGAAGGAGAAAGGGTTGAAGTTCAGGGTTTTGGATACCACGGAGGCGATGCTGTTGAGACCTGATGGCCATCCCAGCAGCTACGGCCACCTTCCCGATGCGAACGTGACTCTGTACAATGACTGTGTGCATTGGTGCTTGCCCGGTCCGATCGATACGTGGAGCGACTTCTTGCTGCAGACATTGAGGATGGAGAAGGTTAGATCGTTTCAGGAGAGGCTGCATTCGAGTGACAGGAAGATGAAGTTTTAGGTAAATTGAGCTCTTTGTTACTGCATTTTTTGCAGATGATGATGATGATACTATGTATTTGTGTGTTGTAAAATCTGGAAATCAAATTGGGTTATCAAATGGCTATATCAGTGTAAAATTGGAAAAGGACTGCAAGGAACTTAAAGTGTATAAGCACTTAATCAAATCTATTACAACAGTAGGGATAGCAATTGTTCAAGACAACAGATGAATCAAAACCTTTATCTTGTAAAAGACAGAGAAACAAATTATACAAATGGTATGGGAAATCATTATGTACAACGAATACTAAGAAAAAGAATTCATTGCACAGTGTTCCTCTCAAAATGAAAGCTTGATGAACACTACAATGTGTAAGAACAAAATGTAGAGCACAAAAGCCGACCTCAGTAACACAAGTCGTTGCTGGTACTCAGTCCGACCGCCAGTGGAATGAGGAAGCTTGTCAGACATGTAATCTAAGGAACCTGCAGATATCTTAAATGAGTTGCTCCTTCCGTATCGGTTCCTAGCTGTGTAATTGGATTCACCATTGCTGTTGCTTTCAATCTGCTTCCACAACCCACTCAATCTTTCCAACTCCATTTCTTTGAGATGAATTTCACTCACCAGGGCTTCTGCTTGTGACTATAATCAACAATCAAAGGCTAGTTCAGCATGTTTACCCATTACTTCATGAGAGCATTATTATTCAGCAAAAGCTTGCCAGGCCAGTTGAAGTTGCAGGATGTAATGTACCTGCTTCGCTGCCAGTTGCTCGATTAAGCTGTGAAGCTGTTTATCCAATATCTTCTCTCTTTGAGCTGCATGATATATACATAATTGGAGTCAAATTCCCTACAATGAGTTGCCAAATCCAAAGATTGAAAATGGTGCCAGTATTCTTATCAGGGATTAACATTGTAAAGCACACTAGATGACATATGCAGATCCTTTAACCTTAGGGATGGGTAAACTCCACACAAACATATAGAGGATTCTTAATAGTTAATGGATTCATCTTTGTGATAAGTTACATTTGGTGTGGGAAGAAATTGAAGGAAGATGTACATGGAGAGGCAAAAGGCTTAAACAAGTTCAAAGGAAGTTGTTTACTTGTTTAGGAAAGGACACAACTTAATCCAAAAAAAATGCACAGAGAATTCAGTTCATGGATGTATAAAATGTTAAATAAAGAAAGGGTATTAATAACTGGGAGACTATCAACAATGTCTTTGCGCATCACAATTGGAAAGAAAAAAACATGAGAAGATACATGAAATACAACTTTAGCAGGATTATGGAAATGTGAACCTGGAGTAGGCTGTTTTAATGCTTTCTCCTGGGTATGTGCCCACTTTCTTTCTAACTCTTGAACAATTTCTTCCATAGAGCTCTGCAGATTGAAATAACTTTCAGCTCGGAAAGCAACATGGGGAACACAATTTTACAGAGAATGGCCATAGTGCATAGTTACCAGTTCCTTTTTCTTGGCCTCCAACTTCTCAAGCACAGAAACTTTGGCAGCTTCTGTATCTGAACCTTCCCTAACCTCCTTTCTCAGTACAACAAGATCACTAGATTTTGCTGACTCACTAAGTTTTGCAGCTTCTGCATTTTCCATCTGCTCTCTCAAAATATTCTCTGCATCATCGATTTCCTGACATTGATGATGACCCATAAAATAATAAGTGTAAAGGTTTCAACTTCGCAGAAAGTGAGGGGGAAAAAACATCAACAGATTATATCCCCTCAAGGACTTAGCTTGATAATGAAAATCTGTACCCTATCAAGTAGAGATAACCCAAGAACTGAATACATATTGACCACTGTTGCTCCTATCAGAATATAAAAGATTATCAAAGAACAGCTGTAAATAGTAAATTTAGCCCTACCTTCAGCTTCCTTTGAAGTAAATCTGCTTCCTGAAGTTTCTCTTGTATCTTGCTTTCACAATTTGAAATAGCTCTTTCGTATGCAGCATTTTCTTCCTGCAATGTCACTTCTCTCAACTGGGTCTGCAGGTACCAAACAAGTTCTGGATCAACTAAAAGCCCCTAGATTTCCAGTAAATCTGAATCCCCGGAGCTATTCTTCCTACCCAGCTGATCAGGGATCTCAATTCATGATCACAAATACGAAAATTAAACCATGGGTAAGTGCCGCAATGAGTTTCAGTTCTTGCAGCGAATAAGTACACAAAAAATTGATGACAGTCCCCTTTAATTCGATTCCAAAATTGTACCTGCTCCTTGGTGGCAGAGTGAGCGTTCAACTGCATCGTCAGAGCGGCATTGGAGGCGAGGGAGTGGGCAAGAAGGTGAGGCAGGCGCTGGGAGATGTCGGCAGGAGGCAACCTCTGTCGCAGATCTTGGATCGCGCGGGTGAGAGAAGCCGACTTCCGATCCAATTCTCGAACGTAATTCTGCTGCTCTTCCGTGAAGAGAATCGGGATGTCGTCGGCTTCGTCGCCGTGAACGCTTCCGTGGCCGCCTACCACGTCTGCCGCCCATGCTAGTAGTCCCGCCATGGCCTCCGCCTCTCGACGTCGACTCTGCTCTGTGATGGAGGAACTACTACCGTGGCGTCTGCTGATGCTGCTGGTGGAGTCGAAATGGCAGCCGAACCGGATCGAGTTGGGGGAGAAGAAGACTGAAAGGGTGGGTTCGGACTTCGGACTTTTATTTTAGAGGTAATGTCCTTTAAGTCCCTCTATTTTTGCCCTTTTGACAATCATTCAAGATCCTCAACAAAAAATACATAACATTTAAATTGTCGAATTTCTCTGAAGAATCGTTTGTTTCTTGGATTTGAGTGATGAATTTATAAATCCCATCTTTTAATTAGGGATTTGATTGATGGAAGACAAATATGTGGGGCCCTTGGTACAAAAAGCTGCAAATTCATGATAAAAAACCATCAACACAAGCGATAGACTCTTTCAAATCCGTAATACAACAAATCCATCACAAATGCTAAGGTTTTAAAAACTAAAAACCTTCGTTCTAAAATCCAACAAGAAAACGACCCATAAATCCAATTCAGCAATAGGGGTGCTAATCGGTTCGATGACGGTTAACCACTAACCGATAAGGCGGTTTGCGGTTAACCAATAAGCAAAAAGCTCATCCCGATAAGCCTTATCGGTTAACCAGCTTTTATCGGTTCGGTTAGCGGTTATTTTGGCGGTTAACCAATAACTACTAAAATACATTCTAACAAATACGGTTATACCTAATCGAACTAATACCTTCAATTTTCATTCACAAAATATAATAAAACGAAACAATAACCACTTATAATACACAAATCAAGAGTCCACGAGCATAACAATAACCAAGAGTACAGAGTACCAAATATTAAAGACGAATAATCATACAAATAATTCAAAATAATTTGTCTACATTTCTACATTATTAACATAAAATAATAATTATAAGAAATAATATCAACATATACAAAATTCATCGTGATTCAGTAACTTAAATCAAAATTCAAATGCGCATAAATAAAAAAATAATCAAACGCATTCACCCAATTAGTGAGTACGAACTACCATGGCATCAAACACAAGCACCACAAGATCATCATTATTCACAAACATCAAAGAAATAAAGATGACTAGAGTGTGAATTTCGCTCTAACGACTGCAAAGGGAGTTAGAGGGGCGACTTTTGGGTTCTAACTCTTACATATAGTTGTGACTCTTGGTGGAGGGTTTTTTGCAATAGGCAAGAATTGAGATGTTTGAAATTGTGACTTTGGTTGGTTTTGAACCTTGGAAATTTATCCCTCAACCATTGTCCAAAACTGTGTAGTTATATTAGTAGGCAGTTATCGGTTAACCACTAACATATTAGTCGATTAGCGATTAACCACTAAGCAAAACACTACTAACCGAAACTGAACCAATAAAAAATTACCGATTATTGGCTAACCACTAACGGCCTTTATCGATTCGGTTATCGGTTGTTTACCACCCCTATTCAGCAGGTGCAATCATTAAAAAACTCGATAAAATATCTATTAGGTGTAAAAGAGCAAACACGACCCAATTCATCGAGTACCTACCAGTCCATGTATATCTATTGATTTACGATCATATTTATACTTTACTTCTCCGAGCATCTATATTGTCACACTATCGAAATTGTTCGTACAAATATCTCTATAAAGATTGAAGACTAATAACATTTATAAATTATCAATATTATTAGGTTCATCCAAAAAAACACTTTTATTCATAAATTCACTCTAATATAATGTGGCTCGCTTGGACTCCCGAGTTTTGGCAGGATCAATTGCGCAACCGTACCACTAGCCACATCGGCATAAACATCGAAATCCCTCAAACCACTCAAAAACCCCGCCGGCGGCAGCACCTCCCCGCCGCCGACCCAAACTTCCCGACAGTCAGCTCCGTCACGCGCGGCGGATTCCAGCAGATCCCGTGACCCCACGTAGCTCCCGGCCCTGCAGAGCCGCAACGCGGCGGTCACCTTGCCGGTCGCCGAGCCGAGCTTCTTTTCGCAGGTCGCGTGGGGGTCACGCTCCGGCGCAGCCACGGTCACGTTGCCGACGTAGCTGGAGAGGAGCCGTTCCGCGGCCGCCGATTTCGCCAGCGCGCAGCTGACGGTCGACGCGGCCAGGCCTTTTAAATCCTGGCCGTCGGTTCCCGGCGTCGAGTCGAAGCACGCGGCGCAGGCGGCCGGCAGCTTTGTCTTGGCGCAGGTGGTTTGCTTGAGAGCGGCGTCTCCGTTGACGAGGTGTGATGAAAGTAAGTGGGGGATGAGGATGGCGATGAAGAAGAACACAGGACGGCGGCCGGCGGCGGCCATGGTTTTCATGCAAATGATTTTTTGTATTTTTTCCTTGATGAGTAAGAGGCTTTTTTTTTTTGGGTTATTAGAGAGTGTCATATTTGTGTATTTATAGATTGAGATTTGGTTGAATAATTAATACTCCTGTGATTTTGAAATTTCAATTAATAATTTTCTATTACCATCATTTATTAAGAAGGTAAAGTAGTTAAATTTTTTTTTTTGTCCTGCCCCTCTCCTTTTTACCATAAATAAAAAAAGAGCAAATCATAAATAATTATATTGCTTACAAATTTATTAAATCTCTTTCCTTAAATATAATTATAAAGCTTCTCGTTTACTTTAATGATAACCGCTTGCGGTTAAAAAAATAACCTACGAACAAGGGCGTGGTCAAGTGGTAATATCACTAGTTTTGAATCTGGAGGTCTCAAGTTTTAATCTCTCTAGTAGTACTTAATCTTAAAAAAAAAAAAACCTTATTAAGAGTTATACTTATGCCTTATCTTAAATCTTTTTAAAAAAAATTCTTTATGACCCTCTCGGTCCCGAATGACAATAAAACCTACGAACCTGGTCCTCAAACCAGTCATTGTGTCTAATCTCCGTATTAACTAGATATAAGTAAAACTTTCAAAAAGTTATATAATAAATGGAGTGGATATGATTTTAGTCTCCCCACTCCATGCCTATACTCATACTTATTGAATTGTCACGGTAACACTCTGTGTCCTAATTTTTTTTTAGATAAGGGTGATATAGGTTATTTTTTGAAATTAGGTACTACTGAAGGGATTCGAACCTGGGACCTCCAGGTTCAAGGCTAGTAGTATTACCACTAGACCAATCCTTTGTTCGTCTCTGTGTCCTAATTTAACTTAGAAGATCTAAAATACCCTCACTTAGCGAGTGAGGTAAAACCTAAACCCTAAGCTCTGCAAGCTCATCCCACCCCCACCGTATATTTATATGCATGGTTTTGTTTTTTCACTCACTTTTTTAGTGCGTTCAATACACTAGTTTCATAACCGACATTCTAAGGAGATGTTAAAATAATGTCAATTAGCACTTTGATATGATGACAAAGAAAGTGCATGAATTAGCAAAAAATTATTCATGATTTATTTTAATTTAAAGAATTTAGTGTTTAGTAATTTAGGATTAGAGTTTACAATTTGAGACTGAGGGTTGTGTATATATGATTTTGCTTTAGGTTGCATAGTAATCTGGAGTTCTCTTCCTCACAAGCTTTATAGCTAAAGAGACCACTCCCACTCACAAAGATGCTCAAGCAATCTTAACCTAGCTCTTACACCAAGAACTAAACCATTACTAATTCACTGAGGACTCTCTGTGTTTGATTTCTCCACCTTCTTTCACTCTCTTAAACACACAAACTAGTTCTGTTGCTATCCTCTCCTGTTTATAGTCTTCAGTCTTTGACTTTGAGAATCCCTTCAAGGATAAGATAGCAGACTTGAAATGGTGATAGTTTAGCAGGACAGATTTGAGAAGAAAACACAGCACAGGGGCTTGAAAGCCATTTTAACTCTCTTTCAATATCATAAAACTGGTAGATAACCATTCCATATGTGGAAGCTTACTAAGAAAACACTCACGCATACACAGTTATGATATGCGAAACCGCTAACCTGATCGAACAAACACTGCTCGGTATTGAAGTCAAGCGCGTACCGATACATTACAAGACCATCACAAGCTACTGAGTTCCCCTTCCATGTGGAAGCTTATTATGCAAATACACATACAGACACCCGAACGAGGTAAGGGCACAAGGCTTTTCTTATTGAACAGAAGAACACTCTAAATCAGAATTCCAGTAGCAGTAGTGACCAAACCTTGCATTAACTTCCCTCCTCGTCGTCAACTGATCGCGCTTTTACCTGCTGTGGATCCACCACAGCATATTACTAAGAGAGTTACCATCATCATGTTCATTCAACCTCCTTACCTTCTCCAGTGCTATCCCTTTGTCATACAACGCTTCCAGTGCGTACGCAAATCCTTTCCAGCCATCTCCGACGTCTCCCCTTTCCAAAGATGGCACCGTCCAATTCACGAGCTGTCTCGCGTACTCGACATCAGCGAACAAAACCTCTGTAATTGGCAGCAACGGCAGCAGGTGAATGCCAAGCCTGCACTCTCTCTGTTCCGGTGGTGCAAACCATAGCCTAGTCTCCCTCTTGTTAGCCCACACGAGACCCACCACTCGGTTCTCGGCTGTGAACTCTTGCGGGTATAACTTGTCTTCTTCTCTCACATGCCACCACATTTGTGCTGCCTTGATCTCCATTGCAGCAAGGCAAGATGCAGTGGCGACGAGTTCGGTGTCTCCATATGCTAATCCAATCAAAGCAGCTGAATAGTAAGCATTCACAGCCTCACTTGTGCTCTCCTGATTACGTCCATCAGCATACTCAGTCATCCCTCCACCCCAAGAATGCAGCTTGTACAGATCAAAACACCTCAAACGAGTGTAACTCGAGTAATCAGGTCCGAAGTTCATAAAACTAGCTATCAAAGAGTACGCTTGTGGCTGATACTTCCTCCCCCAGGCCGGGTCGATTTTGGCAAGAACAGCAATGCTGTAAAGATAATAACTCAGGTGGAAATGGTGATCATTGTACACACCAAACCCAAAATCGCCACTGGAATCGGTTAATCCCTGCTTGGAAATAATGCCACCCCATTTTCGATCATACAAAAACCCATTCCCGTTGAAGGATCCTTCCAACCATGGCTCAATCATCTCCTTCAAAAACTTCCCCACAGCTGGAATCACGTCTGTGCAACCAACTTCCTCAGCTATCACCGCCAATCTAGCTCCTCTTGCAACCGACTTCCCGTAAAAATAACAAGACGTCGTGGTTGTAGCTGATGGATCCAACCCTTCAACATCCTTGCGAAGGGCAGCAACAATTTCACCCAAACAATCGTCTTTGATATCACCCTTGATCGAATGCCAAGTAACGGGAACAGGGTCCGATTTCAACACCCATGAATCACCAACAACCCCAATGAGGTCGCCGTCCACACTCCTATACTTCAAGTCTTCCAACACAGTAACACCACAATCGTTGGGGGATAAAAGCTTGAGATGCAGGGGATGGGCGAGCATGAGTAATTCCCCCGCCCCTTCCTTCCCCCATTTATAATCTAAAGAGAAGGGTTTCGTGAAAGCAACTTCACCTGAAACTGGGTAGCAGGAGCTGAACCGATCGAGAACGGATTCGGACTTCGGGTCGGGCAGAATCGCAATCCTCAATACGCCAGAGAACTCGCCGGAGCTGACCGATGTAGGGCTTTGGCTGAAATTGACGGGAGACGAGGAGTAAACGAGCCAGGTCTGGTTGTTGCCCAATTTAACGGTGTGCTTGTCGAGTGAATCGTTGGAGCTGCAGGAGACGACGGAGTGGAGTGTGGAGAGTGAAATCGAGGTTTTACCGGCGGTGACAGAGCAAGTGATGTATGGGCTTCCCCGGACTAGGAAGAATCGGAGATTGGAAGAGGGGAAATCGAGAGTGACGCTGAGGTCGCTGTAGGAAGTGATGAGATGGGTCGCCGCGGAGGAGGAATTCGGGTCGGGTTTGAGGGTGAGATCGGGGGTGAAGATCTGGGAAACGGAATCGGAGGTGTGGGAGAGGGAAGGGTAGCAGAGGGAGACGGCGGAGCCTGAGGATTTGACGAGGTAAGGGTGAACGTACTCCGGATTGTCGCCATTGTTGAGGGTGAAGTTCTGGAAGAAGGAGTTGGTGGGGAGAGGGGAAGAGAGGAGGGAAGGGGAGAAGAAGGCGGAAGGGTCCGGGAGGACTGTGGAGTCCGCCGGCGGGAAGTGAAAAGGGGGAGGCGGCGAGGGACGACGGTTGTTGTCGGCGGAGTGCGAGGAGGTGGGAGGTGCAACGGTTGTGGCCATAGCTAGTGCGAGGTTAGAGGAGATGGAGCTGTTGAGTTTATGGAAGACGGAGCGACTCGACTGCGCATATGTTTACTTGTAGATAGCGTCTTTGTCCAGCCACCTTAGCATCTAAAGCAAGGTTGTATACGACACTGTGCCAATTTTGCAAGTGGAATCGTCAGATCGTGTGGAACAAATAGTAATCCGACGATTATGAGAGTTTTCTAGATGACGGATTTAATGGACGTTTATCGAAGAGTTATTTTTGTATAACCTTGTCGAATCACTTGGTTAACGATTATCCGATTAACCGACAAAATAACTGAAAACCGACTATTTAAACAGTGTGGAGACGACGAGTAGATGAGTCACTTTGTGACATATTTTGCTTGTTGTTAAAGGTTAGTTAATCAATTAATCATTTGAATCTTAGTACACAAGTTCTGCAAAACTGTTATATCTACTAAAAATTGTTATTTCTTACAACTCCTGGACACATTTAAGTGTTGCGATGCTAGAAAAGACTACAACACGTGCGTTACGCCTAGCGGCTTATTGAATATTGATCATTACGAATATTTCGTACTAAAAATGAAACTTTTTTAAAGTTCTGGGTGTATTAATGATATTTACCTTTATTACGATAATATGATCCCGTTCGCTATGTTTATTTTTCATTTTATTAGCAGAGCAAAAAAACTAAAGTAAAAGCGAAAAAGAGAAAAAAAAGACATGTCGTCGAGCAGTCTCTTCCCCTCCCAAAGCCCTGCACAGTCGCCGCCCTTGTTCTTCCCGATTTGACGAAATCGCCGCCGTCGCCCGCGGCTGTCTTCTGTCGCCGGATTTTTTCTCCGCCGGCAGCGGACCGTTCTTTGTACGGCCTTTATTGCCACATTCCCTGCTGGCCGGTTTCGTCAATACCCGCCGGCCTTCGATTGTTTATCCGCGCTCCCGTCGAAGGAAAACATGCTCTCAATCAAACAAGCTACTGAATCAAAGAGGATTCTCCTATCTCCCCTTTTCCTCCTCAACGCTTCTCGCATCTCCTCTTGTGCTGCTTCTTCTTCTTCTTCTTCTTCTTCTTCTTCTTCTTCCTCTCCTGCTGAAAATCGCACATCTCAGCATCATCCCCGCTTCTCCAATTTTTGCTCGGTCTCTTACCATTCGACCGCCGCTCTCCCCGTTCAAGAAGGTCTCTCCAGTTTTACCATCAGCGCCAAAGACGTCGCCTTCTCCTTTACAGAATGGTTCAAGAGCGGGAAAGATGTTGTCCTGGATCGTGTTTTCGAGATTCTCAAGGTTCAGGGTAAGGAAGATGAATTGGCTTTAGCTTTTGCCCAATTGGGTCTTCGACTCTCGGAGGCGCTGGTGTTGAAAGTGCTGGATTACGGCAAGTCCAAGTACGATGTCTTGACTTGCATCAAGTTCTTCGATTGGGCTGGTCATCAGCATGGGTTTTACCACACTCGTGCCACTTACCATGCCCTATTTAAGATCCTTTCCAAGTCGAGAAATATGTCTACAATGTTCGATTTCCTTGGTGTGTACAGCAGAGACCGCCTGTTCCTTAAACAGAACGCCTTTCAGTCCATTTTGGTGATGGGTTACGCCGTGGCAGGGAAGCCCCAGATTGCACTCCAACTGTTTGGTAGAATGCGGTTTCAAGGGCTGGACTTGGATGCGTTTACTTACCATATCCTTCTCAATTCCTTAGTGGAGGAAGGCAGTTTTGATTCTGTTAACGCAATTGCTGAGCAGATTTCAGCTCAGGGTTATGAAAGAGATGTCACTCACACGATAGTCGTGAAGAGCCTGTGCAAGCAGAACATGCTTGATAATGCTGAGGCTTATCTGCGTCAGAAGCTTCTTGAAGACGATGGACATGCTTTAAGTGTTCTGGTCGACGCCCTTTGCCGTAATACGCGCTTTGACAAGGCAGGAGAATTGCTGGAGGAGTTCAAAGAACTGGGGGTTAGGCCAATGGAGCCAGCTTATGGTATCTGGCTCAGGGATCTTGTTGAAGCTGGTAATGTTGATGGCGCTCTGGAGTTCTTGCGAAATAAGAAGTCACTAGAAGGGTATGTTCCCGAGATTTTTCGGTATAATTATCTGCTGGATAGACTGTTAAAGGAAAACAGGCTTGGTGAGGCATACGATTTGTTGACAGAAATGATGGAGGATGGGGTTTCACCAGATAGGTTTACTTTGAGTTCTGCATTGTGCTTCTTCTGTAAAGCTGGAATGGTGGGTGTTGCTCTTGAACTGTATAATTCCAGGTCAGATCTTCCATTCTCGCCCAATAGCATGGTATATAATTATCTCATCAATTCTTTGTGTGGGGATGGGAAGGTCGATGATGCATATCATGTCCTGAGAAATTGGACACAAAACGGTTCGACTCCTGGGAGGCAAACGTTCTACACACTTGCTGACACTTTATACAGGGAAGGGAAGCTTGATAAGATGAAGAAGCTAGTTGTGATGGCTTTGGAGCGGAATTTCACAACGAGTATATGCGAGAAGTTTATATCAGCTATGTGTCAAGCTGAAAGGGTGGAAGAAGGTTACTTGATACATGGTGAACTCAACAGGATGAACAAAGTTATTAAGGGAAGTACATACTCTAAGCTAATTTCTGGATTCAGTAAATCGAATAGAGGAGATATTGCTGCAAGACTTCTAATTGAAATGCAGGAGAAAGGGCTCAAACCGAGTAAAAATGTGGTCAGAAATGTTATTTGCTGTCTATGCAATCTTGAAAATGCAGAACAACAAGTTCTAAAGCTGCTAGAAATGCAAGCATCTCTTCATGAACCGAGCTGTGATATTTATAACTTGTTCATTGATGGGGCAGGGCATGCTCAGAGGCCCGAGCTAGCCAAGAAGTTATATGAGATGATGCTGAGAAATGGTATTCAGCCTAATCTTAACTCTGAGGTTCTTTTGCTTAGGAGTTATCTAAAGAATGCTAGGATTCATGATGCTGTAAGCTTCTTTGATGCTATAGGTCGAAGAAGGAGTGTCGGGAGAGTGTTGTACTGCACCATGGTAGTTAATCTGGCTAATTTGGATAAAGTCAATCTTGCATATAGTTATTTTAAGGAAATGCGGACTGCTAATGAACTGCGGCCTTTTGGAATTATTCCTAGCATTGAATGCTACGAGGTACTTGTACAGCAGCTCTGCGACTCTGCAAAGTATGATTTGGCAGTGAAACTTGTGTATGACTATGAGAGAGTTGGGCGCCATGTCACTTCTTTCATGGGCAATGTGCTTTTGTTTCATTCCCTTAAGGGCACAGGGCTCCATCAGGCTTGGGATAGTTTTAGATTGACAGAGGTGAAAGATGGCGAGATCAGTGAGACGTCATCAAACGAGAAGCTTTCACTGTTTTGCCAGCTGGTTGGTGCATTTTCTGGTTGTGTCAAGGTCGGAGAGGAAATTGAGGACTTGGAAGAATTGATTGCACAATGCTTCCCCTTGAATATTTACACCTACAACTTGTTGTTGAGAAGGCTTTGCATGATTGATATGGAGAGAGCCTGCCAGTTCCTGGAAAAGATCCTCCAGAAGGGATATGAACCCAATCGATGGACTTATGACATTGTAGTGCGTGGTTTTCTGAAGATAGGGGATACTGATAAAGCAAGAGTATGGTTGGTGGAGATGTTGGAGAAAGGATTTGATCTCACCGAGAGTACTTGCCAACTGATGAGCAGCGAAGCAGGAGTGAACAGCAGAAACTTCATTTTTGGTGGTGGTCACCAATTTTACTTGGAAAACAAGGAAAGAGTGATGACTTGAGGTATTGGAGCTCACTTCACCCTGTTGAGTTATTCTGATAATCACCACCCCTTTCCCCTGGATTACTCATTTGTTTATTGATTGTATCCATTGGCAAATTTTGTATCAACGGATCTTGCAGTCAAGCATTCTGTACCTCTTTTTCACGAGAATAATAATCGGTAACAAATGACAGACCTCAGGTTCGGGTATACGAACTTCTGTTATTGTTGTTATTAGGAGTTGTCCTTGTGTCATGGTATCTTCATTTTCTTTAGAAGTTGCCAACTAGGTTAAGGTTTTCAATGACTACTGAGGTCCTGTTTCATGTGTATGATCTATAGAGAAGGAATTTTGCTGCCCTCTTTGTATATATACAATTGAAAGTCATAGGATGTCCTCAGGATAATTTGTATGATTGTAGACATTGTTGATCTTAAGAAATAAGAATATGCTATTATTGTTTTTCATCAGCATTTCAGATCTATTCGTGTTTAACCCGAGCCTAGCCTGTTTGTAAACGAACCAAGCATTACAAATGTATCAGTTATGGTGGTTTCAGTTGACAGCGGTTCTGCTGGCTGAGTGAAGCTGTTGCTACGAAAGGAGGCTACATGAAACCAATCAATGTGTGAAAGGAAACTCAATCCTATGTTTCCTCATGTTTCATCACCTCATTTTTTGCAGCATCGTTGCTGGGGGCAAATCGTTCCTTTCCGGCTTCCAATTGCAGAGGAGAAGAACTGCACCGGTTTCCAAGTGCGGAGGAGAAGAACTGCAGCATAACATTATCCGAAGCTGCATGCGCTGAAAGAAAGACAGATGTTGGTGCCGTTTATGATTCAAGCCATGGAGGAAAGGGAACCCAAGCTAGAGATGCCAGCAGGCTCGTGATGCTTCGAACATACTGTGGATCTCATACAACTCCAAATGGGACTTCAGAACCAGACTGAGGGTGTTCTCTTTCTCAGAGCGCAAACCATAGTAAGTGGCTGATTCTCCAGGCAATTCGAAATTTAACTAGCTGATTGTGTGAACAAGGGCGCTGGGATGCGAATAACCAGTCCTGACGCTAAGAAACACATCTGTGGTTTAAGAACACTAGTCAATGACAAGTGATGCAATGTCCTGTGGACGACATTTTAGATAGTGAGAAGAGAATTTGGAGAAGTTAAGGAGGTCTCTCAAATGATGCAACTGAGGTAGAGTTGATTTGGTTTCAAACTTTATCCCGGAACTTGATTTTGTACATCGACTCTACGAGAATAAAAATTTACCGCACGCTTAATACCAGAGGAGACTCTGGGTGGCAAAGAAAGAAATGAACAACATGACGATGGTAGTCAAATTCGCACTCAATGAAGTAGCCGACACACTGAGCTTAAAACAATGTCCACTGCATAGGTTTCATGCCACCCTCTCGCGCCTAATCTTTGCATTCTCATTGTAAATGTGATTCCTATTATGATGAGAGTTGTATTTTGTGTTGAGAAAACTCAATGGCTCACCTAAGTATGTGTTATTTCCATCTACATAATGTCTTTTTTCCAACTCCGTGAGAGAATTCATTTGGTTGCATCCTTAAAAAATAAAGCTCCCAATTATGATTATGAAAATCCCTCGTCTCACGAGGAATATCTTTCAAACACTAACGATTCTCTACTTTCAAGAGCCATCTGTTAATGATGGTTGCATTGTCACTCTGACATGGCAACTCGACTTGCCTGACTTCAAATTAAAAATATAATATTTAGGAAAAATCATCTGAAAAATTTGTTAAGGGGTCGTTTGCTTTTGGTGATAGTTTGATTTCAATTGTTACAATGCTTGTATTGTTCACAATGACTCGTTATTTTGAATTTCTTGCACACATAATACGAACATTGTTTGCTTGACGTGACATAAACTATCACTCAAAATTAAACATAGTTAAATCTCACATTTTAAATGAATTATTGAGATTATATGATTGAGTTTGTTGTATTTAATTTTGTTTCAACTATATCCTGAACTTTTTGTATGTATTGCTCTTTTATATAAAAATAAAATAAAGGAGAAACGTATTATTTCACCCCGAAAGTAATGTAATCCATTCAAATAGTACAATAACTAACACGAAATTCCAACGATATAAATCACAATAAATCAATTTCTTTAATTTACGTGTATAATTAACAATGTATCCACGATCATCAAAATCGAATCAACCTAAGAGTAAAAAATAAAAAAGAAATTTGTTTATGGCTTTATGTCAAAGCGAGGAGACAGAGAGAGATTTCGGCCAAAAAAAGCAAAGATTTTACGTGTATAATTACCCATGTATCCATTTAACTATCCCTTAATTATTTGTTCCTTTATCCTTCGCAGAGTCAGCTTCTTCGAAATTCCCTCTCCATCTCCTCTCTGCGTCTCGTTTTTTCCACTTGTGGGCGGAGGGAAGAAGAAAGTTGACCCTTCCAGAGATCTAGCGGGGGAAAGGGCTTTGCTTTACGTTCTTCGTTCATTCCTCTCAGCGGAAAATCTGAAATCAACCCAAAAAATCCCAGCCTCCAAAACCAAAGAACAGGGAAGAAATCAAACCCAGATTTATCATTCCTTTAGCTCCCCCCAATCCCCATTTTCTGATCTTTTAAGATCTTGCCCAGGTTTTCTCAACCCCCATCGTATTCAATGAAGGAGGCCAAATACACCGCCGTTCCCAAGAACTCGTATGTGGAATTGCAATTGCACAACGACTCTGAAAACCCAGTTTCCTCCCGAAAAGCCCACTCCAAATTGCACGCCTACGAGGATGGTGCTAATGTAGATCCCCATTTTCGAAATGTTCATAGTTTGGATGACGACGACGGCGCCGACGACGATCTGGATATCGACGATTACCCGTTCGTCGTCTCCAAACCGGGGAATGGGTCTGGAATTTCCGGGGCCGTTTTCAACCTCACCACATCAATTATCGGCGCTGGGATCATGGCATTGCCTGCTACGATGAATGTTCTTGGATTGGTTGTAGGGGTTGTGCTCATATTCCTAATGGGTCTTCTTTCCGAGGTAAGTGTTGAGCTGCTGATCAGGTTCTCGGTGCTCTGTAAGGCTTCTTCTTATGGTGAAGTTGTGCAGTGTGCTTTAGGGAGGACGGCCAAAGTCCTCTCTGAAATTTGCATCATTGTGAACAATGCAGGGGTTTTGGTTGTGTATTTGATAATCATAGGGGATGTTATGTCTGGATCTCTTCATCATGTTGGGGTTTTTGATCAATGGCTTGGACATGGGGTGTGGGATCACAGGAGATTGGTAATCTTGGTTGTCTTGGTGCTTCTTCTTGCCCCGCTTTGTGCATTGGACAAGATTGATTCTTTGACCTTAACTTCGGCTGCTTCAGTTGCTTTAGCCATTGTTTTCGTCGTTGTTTGCTTCACCGTTGCAGCCATTAAGTTGATTGAAGGCAAAATTGAAACACCTAAGATGGTCCCTGATTTTACCTCAGAAAAATCCATTCTGGATCTCCTAGTGGTGATTCCTATCATGGCAAATGCATATGTTTGCCATTTCAATGTTCAGCCGATATATAATGAACTCGAAGGGCGGACGCCTCAGAAGATGTACCGGGTTGGGAGGATCACAACCGTTCTATGTGTTGCAGTCTATGCTTGTACTGCAATATCAGGTTATTTGCTTTTTGGATCAGGAACAGAATCTGATGTCTTGACCAATTTTGATGAGGACCTTGGGGTTCCTTTCAGCACTGCTTTGGATTACATAGTTAGAGTTGGGTATGTTCTTCATTTGGTTCTTGTTTTCCCTGTGCTTCATTTCTCACTGAGACAAACTGTGAATGACTTGGTATTTGAGGGGTCAGCTCCATTGACAGAGAGTAGGAAGAGGTGCTTGGCAATGACAGTTGTTCTACTTGGGTTGATTTATTTCGGTTCGACGATGATCCCAAACATTTGGACGGCCTTCAAGTTCACAGGGGCAACGACAGCTGTTTCACTTGGGTTTACATTTCCAGCTCTGGTTGCATTGAAGCTAGGGCAAAGAGGAGCAGAATGTTTGACCCTGAAAGAGAAGTTTCTAGCATGGCTGATGCTGGTGCTTGCTATCATAGTTAGCATTGCTGGAGTTGTTGGAAACATATATAGCCTGGAAAGCAAATCGGACTAATCAACTGTGTTCTATGGACATATTATAAGGGTGGTTTTTACAACCTGGCCATAGGAGGAAAAACCGCCATGCACGAGTTTAGTTGGAGTTAGTTTGTCTGACATCTTTTTGTATGATTTTATCCTGAGAGGTGAATATACCACGGCAGGTGCTCTCTACTATTGTTTGTCAACGATACCTCGTACTCTGCAGGTTTTGTTGCAGGCTGTAATACCGAATATTGGAGGAGACCTCTGCACAATGTAACATCGTGCCCTGTACTATTGTTTGTCAAAGGGGATGCACTTCTACCAGCTTCATGGTATTTGATGGAGAGTTAGAAAGTCATCACTGTGGTAGACACTAGAATGCACCCAGGAGAAGAAATGCAGAAGGAAGAAGAGATATGTATTTCTTATGAAAAAGTTAGGAATTCAGTATTGGCCGTTGCCTATATATACACTATTTGTCAGGTGCATTTAGAATCCATATATTCTGAGAGTTGGCTCTCTAGTCAACTATGTATCTTATATTAACTGCAGTCTGCATACAATAAAGAAAGTATCACGCTTTTGGTTCTTACCCTTCTCTGTATATGGGTTGAAACTTGAACTGCAAAATATCAAACACCTGTCCTGAACTGCAAAATATCAAAGAAAACGTATCCATACTATAAGTTTATATAATAAAAAGGGCAAACTGAAAATTGGCCGCCCTCCTCCGGTGTCCCGGACATAGATAAAAGGCTTCTCCATTCTCATCTTGAGCCCAATTCCCGTTCTCTCATCATTTTGCTTCCTAGGGTTTTTTCTCCGCCGCTCGTCCGCCATGGGAAGAAGTAAGTTCTCCCTTCCCCCAACTCGTTGAATGACTCTGTTTCTGATAACCAATCTGTTTTTACAATCCACTTCGAGGATTTCCGAAACGATCTTTCAGTAGATTTCATTGCATTGTACGGTTGCACCGCCATGAGAGTTCTTCACATCCGTGCAACATTGTTGGTGGCATTCCTCTGGCTGATTATGATTTGCACCCAGAAGATATCGCTTGGGCAATAAAATTGTAAACTGTGTTAACCATATGATGCATGTGTAGAAATCTGATATCTTTATGTTGTATATTTCGATTGGTTACCAGGACCTGCGAGGTGTTATCGCCAGATCAAGAACAAGCCCTACCCTAAATCGCGATTCTGTCGTGGTGTCCCCGACCCCAAGATCAGGATCTATGATGTGGGCATGAAGAAGAAGGGGGTCGATGAGTTCCCGTTCTGCGTGCATTTGGTGTCCTGGGAAAAGGAAAACGTGTCCAGTGAAGCGCTCGAGGCTGCCCGCATTGCTTGCAACAAGTACATGACCAAGAGTGCTGGCAAGGATGCGTTCCATTTGAGGGTCCGTGTTCATCCGTTCCATGTGTTGCGTATCAACAAGATGCTTTCGTGTGCCGGAGCTGATAGGCTCCAGACCGGAATGAGGGGTGCTTTCGGGAAGCCGCAGGGTGTCTGTGCTAGAGTCGCCATCGGCCAGGTTCTGCTCTCTGTCAGGTGCAAGGACAACAACAGTCAGCATGCGCAAGAGGCTCTCCGCCGTGCCAAGTTCAAGTTTCCTGGCCGTCAGAAGATCATTATCAGCAGGAAGTGGTAAGTTTCTTATTTTAAAGGGTCGTTTTGATTCAACGGGTGGGAGGTTTACTAGTGACTTTCGCCAACAAATAATGGAACTGCAAGAGTGTTTCAAAGGGAAAATATGCGAGTTTTGCAGAAATGACCCCACAAACAGAGTTATATTGAATTGAAACGGTAGAATTTAAAATGTAGAATAAAAGAGTGAACTGGGGTTAACATTCTAATTTAAACTTGGATGTTAAAACTATAAGTTGGAAGATTGTATTTGGTGAATACATGGGTTACTGGATGCACCAACTGGAGTCAATGAGTTGCATCAAATGGAGGTCGATTTGTGTTGCAGTTTCAAGCTGTGTTTATACAGGTATTTGGCTTGATGAGCATGACTTTGCTTCATATGTAGAGAAAGCTAGCTTTAGATTGTGGTTTTGATAAATCATTATTTAAGGGCGACTAGCTTTATTACACAACACAAGGACTACTGAGCTAGTGAGCTAACATATCTGTTGTAGACTTTTCCTTTGCAGCTTCATGCCCTTATGTTTTTTTCCTGCTTAAAGATCATCATGGATCCTATATGCTCTACTGTCGCAATTTGGTTCGCAAGTTTTATTGACTACATTGTGTCTGTGGCAGGGGCTTTACAAAGTTCAACCGTGCTGATTATGTGAAGCTGAAGCAAGAGAACAGGATTATGCCGGATGGAGTTAATGCCAAGGTTAGTTGAACTATCAACCTAGCAATGTCATTCAATACCGATTTGTGTTTGTTTTGGTACCGTCTTTTGGTATTCTGAAGCTCGAAACTCATTGCAGCTTCTGGGTTGCCATGGACCACTTGCAAACCGAGAACCAGGAAGGGCATTTTTGGATGCAGCTGTTACCTCATAAACAAGATATGATTTGCAGGAGTACAGGAGTCTGTCTCTTTTTTTGTGGAGGTCGTTGCGTTGTTTTTAATTCGAGTTCATTCTAGTTTATGGCCAACTGGTACTGGATTACCGTTGCAGGAACCAGTTTGTTCTTTTGATTGTTCTCTGTTCCTTGATTGTGTTCTCTTTCTATAAATTTCCGCTGAAGTAAAAGACGATCAGTTCTCTCCTATTTGGTATATGACATGTGATTGTTGTTAAGATAAAACCCTAATCCATCCTTCAGAATCAGAACCTGCACATCACCACAAAACTAAATATTAGCAAAAAAACATAATCCATCCTTCAGAATCAGAACCTGCACATCAGCTCAAATGGGGAGAGATGAATAGCAGTAGAGTATATTATCATGTCCACCAAGATTTGCAAGCTGCAGCAGTCAACGCCACCTTGGGGACACAGAAGAAACACGGCTGAAGGCTGAAGCAGATGGGCAAGTGGCAGGAGAGACAAGGCGACGGTTGTGAGAAAACAACGACAGAAGGAAATGGAAGAGAAGAAGGGAGCAGAAACAACAGCTAGCAAATAGCATGTGATGTGATGAGGAAGATAACATTTTCTTTTGGTTTATTGGAAACAAAAGAGCATTGAATTTGCATGCGCGTTGTGGGTATGGGTGGAGATTCGCTATGCTCACTCACCTGCTTGTCATTGCTGACCATGAAACGCCAAAACACACGCCATATCTCTTCCTTCTCTCTCTCTCTCTTTCTGGAAACGATGATAATGAACGGATACGATACAAACAAGGTAGGAAGAAAGAGATGCCCTTTCGCCTTCCTTCTTTTATTGCACGGATTCCATCATCTCCGTACGTTACAAGATTTTTACTTTCTGCCATTATTGTATAAGGATGAAGGATGAAGGATGTAGGAAACCCATACATAGAATGAAAAAGGGGTGGCTAGGTAGTTCAGGGGAATTTTTTTTTTTTTTTGGGGTCTTATAACATATTATTTATCATCATTGTGTGTGATAGAGAAAAGACACTAAATTGTTCATTATCGACCGTTTGTATATGGAATATCCTCGAACAATATCAGCCGAAGTAAATTGGAAGAACTTGTGATTAAGGTTCCATTGGTTGCTCTTTTGTATGAAAGGAGGTGTTCAGTCCAAGTACGACATAAAAAATACAAGGGAGAAGATACTTGTATATAAGGGTCTACCTAGCCGAATTGGTGCGTGACCTTTTGGAGAGTATACCCAAAAGTAAATCCGTGTCGGTTTGACATAAAAAGGATAAAACATCATACCGATGGAGCTATCTGGTTTTAACAAGTGGTATCAGAGCCTAATATAGAGTTTAGATTTGGGGCGGTGAATGTCAGTTCGTTGGACCCTCATTCGATGACCTCGAGATTTGAGATATGAATGTGTTTGGCGGATCGAGAAAGATCGGCAATTCATAAATTGAATAAAATCGTACATACTTGAACCAAACCAGACAATATCATACTAAGGAATCAACCCAATCTCATCAGTTCAGAAGTCTTACATATTGTTCCATCTAATTGCCAAAATTTGCGTGAGATTGGAAGGAAATCCTCTACCACATGATCGTCGACATCTTGCGGGCAAGATTGGCGGGTGGAAAAAAAAAATGAATCGAACTTGCAATTTGGTCTAAAAGAGATATATGATAGGCATTTGGTGGTTGAGTTCAGGATGGATCATTGAATTCCATGGTTTAAGTGGGAAAAGGAGGAAATTGACGGATATGTTTTGAAATTTATTCACTTTGGGCTTCAAATTACAATTTTGCACGCAACATTTGATAACCTCTTTTCGGTCGTATGTATAGTTTAGGTGGAGATACACTTTATGATGTATATATATATGTGTTGAGCAAATTTGGAAAATGATACCATAGTAGGGGTTTACGTCCGAGTTTTGTCGATTTCGTGAGTTACTTTTCGAGAAGACCTGTAAAAACGGGACACTCTTCAGTGCTCAAATTAGAGAGATAGGTGAAAGAAGTGGTAATTACAGAGCGATGATGGGTAGTTGCGCTACCATTAACTGTCGATGGGAGAAATATTTGTAGTTTCTTTTGATACTGGTCTGGTCGGTGCGTTTAATGCAGGTTCAGACGTCTAAGGACCTTAACCAACCATGGACAAGACTTATGACCAACATTAATTGTTGTGTCAGAAGCTCTTGCTTTTGTGAATTGTTTTGTGCATTAAGTTAGTCATTGTTTGTGCCTCTCCTTAGGCGTCCTACGGCTCATAGTCTAGCGTCCGTATGCTTGACGATACTTCTTGGGCCTATTTGTTGGACCCGAGCCTTTGTTGGTTGGGTTTACGTTTAGCCCAACCAACAGAATGTCATTCCTCCTCCAAAGATTCAATTCTAATCGATGTATAGTGAATTCTAAAGTCTTGATTTTGACACGTTTAACAAGCAGAATAGAAAGCAAAAACAAAATGTAGGACGTGATATGATGTGGTGCCTATTCACTGTGATCATCCTTTTAATCATGAGATGAGAAGTTGGATTTGTCATTCACGAGAATTAACCCCACTACTTTGGAGCAAAAATGAATTAGAAAATATTTGTTATTATTATTATTATTATTATTATTACGGAACCGAATCACAAAATCAATGCAGAATATATACATATTTAATCGTTAATTACCATCGAGGGGGGACTAATTAATATCTGTAAGACTGTAACTAAAACTAATTATAACTGAGTAACTGAACCCTGCCCCTGGAAGAATTACCAGAAGGTTAAAAAAAGGGCGTGGGAAACAAAGAAGCAAACTGTAAATTCGGAATTCAACGCCAGATCCGTGAGGAATCAAACTGTCAAAAACCAGGCTGTCAAAAAAAACAGATTCCATCTTTCCCTATAAATCTCCCTTCACTTCCGCTGCTCCTTTCCCATCACCAACACCAAAGATTCATTCAGATTTCAGCCCAAAGCCAAAGCGCAGAATTCAAACAAAAAAGAAAAAAAAACAAATACAGAAAGAATATTCTCGATTTTCCTCCCCCAAATCCCCCAACCTTGAATGGCCACCGCCATCACCACCGCCAAAGCTCTCCGCCGCTCCCTCCTCCTCCGCCACACCTCCGCCGTCGTCCGCCACCTCAACTCCTCGCCTTCCTCCCTCTCCGCCGCCCCGCCCCTCTCCCTCGGCCACACCCTCCCCGAACCGGAATTCACTCCTCCCCATGCCTCCGCCGCCCTCCTCCAGCTCGACGACCACCGGCAGCTCTTCGGCTCCCTCCCGGCCTCCAAGCTGATCCACGCCTCCCTCGTCCTCCAGGCCTCGGCCGCCGAGGCCGTCGTCGACCTCGGCACCCGGATCATGACCTCGCGCCTCGCGGAGCTCGAGCCGTTCCGCGGGATCGTCTACGGCGTCGTCCGGCGGACCTTCTACGAGCACTTCTGCGCCGGCGAGACCACCTCCGCCGCCGCGGAGAAGGTCCGGGAGGTGAACGCCGCCGGCCTCCGCGCCATGCTCGATTTCGCAGTCGAGTACACCGCCGACAACGACGCCTGCGATCGGAACCTCGAGGGGTTCCTCGACACCGTCGATTGCGCCGTCTCCCTCCCCCCGTCCGCGGTAAGTATAATCATCATCTTTAATTTGTTCGTGTTCCTGTTCAATTCGTTCATTCGTGTTCTTAGAAATTTCGTTCTATATTTGTTCGATTTTCAGCCTTGAATTCCATGTTTTTCTTGTGCCCGTCGGCCGAATTTAGTTGCAGACTTATTCTACATAAATCTCTGGTTCGAAAAGTATGCCCTGTATTGCTCTGTTTTTTTTTTCTTCCTTACAGAGTATGAAATGGAAAAAAGTAAAAACCTTATTTTTTTTTAAATTGGAAAAGAAAAACGAAATAATTTTAGAAAAAGGGGAAAGTAAATGGACGGAGGAGGAGAGTGCCACGTCGGATTTTGGTTAGGGGTAGTTTAATTAGGAAGGAATCCTAGTCGGATCCACGCAAGATCGAGTAAGCTTGAGTGATAAGTACAGAAAGAAACAGAGATTAGACCTGCCAGCTGGCACTAGAGTAGTACTAGCAGCAACTACCAAGCCAGCCCTTTTACAGCTAAGCAAAAGATTTCAGCCGCCACTTGTTTGGAAAAATCCATATTTTTCTAGTAATTTTTGTTAGTGATGGATGATTAGTCATAGTCCTAAAAACAAATCCATTTTTATAATAAATACATTTCCACCAAGTGGGAGATTCCAAGAAGCCAGGAGACAGATCCCATCAATCCAAAGATTCCTTACAAATCAACGATGTTACTTTTTCATGTGTCTAAATTCCCCCACTTGACCAAAATAATAATATTAATTTCTCTCCCTTGCTCTGTTTTTTATTTATTTTTGGTTGGATGAGTATCCGTCCGGTTTTTGGGTAGAAATAAGATTCAACCCAATCCAATTTCCGATTGTAAATTTGGCATACTTAGCATCCGAAAAACCGAATAATACTGGTCCAGTTTAATCGAACCGTTGTTTTCCAGTCCTACTTTCAGGTGTCTAAATTAGTAAATTACTAAATTCCCACTTGGCCTTAACTTTGTCTCTCTGTTCTTGCTCTTTTTTTTTGTCCTTCTGCAGGTGAGCTTCGTGGTGGTCAAAATCACAGCCATAACCCCACTCTCCCTCCTCCAACGAATGAGCGACCTCCTCCGCTGGCAGCAATCCAACCCATCCTTCCACCTCCCATGGCGAAACCAACAAACCTCCATCCCAATCTTCTCCAAATCCACCCCGCTCTACCACACCCAAACCGAACCTCCCCACCTCACCGAGCAAGAACTCCACGACCTCCGCCTCGCCGCCCAACGCCTCCACAGGCTCTGCCTCCGCTGCTCCCAATCGAACCTCCCGCTCATGGTCGACGCCGAGGACACCAAGCTCCAGCCGGCAATCGACCACATGGCGTACTCCGCCGCGGTCGAGCACAACACGCGCTCGACCCCGGTCGTGTACAACACCATCCAGGCCTATCTCAAGGACGCCAAGGAGCGGCTCGTCCTGGCCGCCGCGGCGGCCGACGAGATGGGCCTGGCGATGGGGATCAAGCTCGTCAGGGGGGCCTACATGTCGAGCGAGCGCCAGATCGCTTCGAGGCTCGGGTTCGAGTCCCCTGTCCACGACACGATCGAATCGACGCACGCGTGCTACGACGATTGCGCCCGGTTCATGATCGACCGGGTCGGTTCGGGTCCAGACGGGTTGGTCCTGGCCACGCACAATGCCGAGTCCGGGAGGCTGGCCGCGAGGAGGGCGAGAGAGGTCGGAGTCGAGCAGCAGGGCAGGATCGAGTTCGCGCAGCTGTACGGGATGGCGGAGTCGCTGTCGTTGGGGCTGAAGAACGCCGGGTTCCGGGTTAGCAAGTACATGCCGTTCGGGCCGATTGATGTGGTGATGCCGTATTTGATTCGGCGGGCGGAGGAGAATCGTGGGATGCTGTCGACTTCGGGGCTTGACAGGGAGCTCATGAGGTGAGAAAAATCTGGTTCTTACCATTTTCACCAAACCATGTCATTTTTGGGGTTTGTTCTGTTTTTTTAACTGGTTTCGGGTTGTTTTTCTGCAGGAGGGAATTGAAGAGACGAGTGAAAGCTGCGATTTTCAGCAATTCCAACGGCCAGGAGTGAATCCAAAAACAAAGGGGGGATGAATCCAAATCTGTAGATAGTGTATGTGTGTTTGTAGTTCTCTCCTTTGCTGTTCTGTTTTAAGAGTGTGTCCTCTGTTTGTTTTGTTATATTGTGTAAGGTGCTGTAATGGTAAGTTATGCAATGTAATGTGATGGCAATTGAAGGTATAAATGAAAAGGAAGTTGCCAAATGTTTCCTCCAACCTCTCCCTGTGTCATCTCATCATCAATGGCTGCTTTTGCACATATGAAGGTGGGGGGCATGGACCCTTGGGTTACAAAGAGAGAAAAAAAAGTTAGGATATACAAGTACAACTATCCCCAAATTAAGTTGCCCATCTTCACCCATTCATAAAAAATAAAATAAAAAATTTTGAATTGTGTTGTGGAGTTGTTGCGGCGAAAGACGTTGTTTTTGTCAGCGTGTTTCGAAGTTGTTTAGGCATATGAAGGTGGATGGTGACTCCGAGGTGGTCGTCCATAGGCATCGATTCTTCAAGCGTGCTATCTTTTAGCTTCTTTCTGATTGCATATATTTTAGATAGATTCTACGAGAAGCAAATTACACTGCTCGAAAAGTAGTGTGGTTATTAAAGCTATGTTGTTACCGTCTCATTGACAGTTAAGCTTCATTCGAAACTTTAAGAACCGGCTCAATTAGTATGTTGTTTTTGGAGGATCGATCCCTCCGTACTTTTCTCTCTTCATATATCCTCAGGGAAAATACATCGACAATGAAAATTTTTTGTGGATGAAAAATGGACTACGTTCCAGCTAAAATTAGTATTCGTTAATTAAAATAATTGACTAAATAAATGTATGTTATTGCTTCTTAATATATGTTTTTTTTATATAGAAATGTGAACGAAAAAAAAAGGTTTTAATTTCTAGTATTGGTTATATCCTCTCTGTGTTTTAAATGATTGTTATCATGCCAATGGAATGTCGGCCAGTTGAACCTGGTATAATCGATACCGATCGTGAAATCATATGGAATACAAGCTAATTAGTGGTGTTGATCACTCCATAACTTTGTGCTAACTAACATCATAATTAAGGTCTCAGGAGAAAAGACAATTACCCACCCACTAAGCCTTCTAGTACGTCCGGTGGAGGATGATGGTTTGTCCCCATTTGTGGCCCTCACCCCTAACCTAATTAAAATGATTCTTCTCCCTAAATAGCCAAACAAAACACATGTGCTCGTCGTTGCAATTTGCAACCGTATCTATGTAACAAGCCAATTTTATACATGGCCAGATTTAGGGTTTGGTTTGTTTCGGTCTCCCACATTTATTGAAACAATTAATGAGATTGAAAAAGCTTTTTAAGCTTGTGAACTCCTTTTGTATTTCAATCGTTTTTAATTTTTCACGTAATAAATGAGTTCATTGTAACCAACAAAATGATATCTACTATTACAAGAATAAAAAACAAAAAAACAAAAAAATTCTCGAACCACCCCTTTACCAATCCTACTACTTTCATTTTTAACTCGAATTTCGAAAATTGGTTTGCACAGAAGAAACGAGCTTATTGTTGTCTTCTACCACCCCCTCTGTAATAGTGGTAGACGGTGATAAATATGTTACTACAATCATTATACATTTTCATACCGCCCTGAAATGCAATTTAATGGATACAAATAATGCACGCTCTGGTGCGAGGATCACTACTATGGGCATCGTTGCAACGACCTTGTCTCACAGACTCCTCTCGTAGCTACACCTGCCAACTCAATGATCATGCAATTGACTTCTTTAGCTAAGGGTAAATCATATATCTTCTTTAAAATGGATTTAACATATAGGCAGACAATGCGAATATGGCTCAACGATCATGCAGCCACTCGAATAGCATCAATTGAGTTATCCCCCTACTTGACCCTAGTACACCACCAACACAGGATTGGACGAAACATTCTATAGATGAGACATGAATACAACATTCAAGCGACTTAAACACGCGGCCTCTCGGAATTAATAGATGTTACAGGGGAAGACGCAAAGTGTCTATCCACTACTTTTGGATCTTTTTGAATCAAGTGGGCTGAAGTGGGGATTATTGCAATTTGCAATTGGCAATTGGCGCTGCTGCTGACTAGGAATTCACTTTCACACCTCGTTTTCCATGTTATTCATCCACAAAGAGTGGAACAATGAGTCGAAAATCAATGGAGAGAGTGTATGTAATCGACCACCAATCAACCAAACACAATTTCTCTTTTATCATCTTCCTCTTTATCGTCTCCCACATTTGACAATTGAATCGGCAAACCATGAATTAGTTGTAATAATTATTATTGGTGGAGTGATCATGGTTGCTTTGCTGGGAACAAGCCAACCCTTATAATGTGGTTAAGATTCAATACTTTTAATATAATGCAAAACGTCAAATCAAACTTTGTCATAATGTTTATGTCAAATCAAGGGATCGTTCTCTTGGAAAAAATTAAGGGGTTTGGAAGGTGTGATCGTTAAATAGATATATTACTATATGTATAAAATTTTGAAGAATGTGATAGTAAGTGTGATTGTGTATGTGAAATCAGCAAGATCGATTTCAACTCAATTATCTCAACAATCTTAATTAAAAGCTGAGATATAGCAATTAGCAACCAATCATTTTGAGTGATAGTTTATGTCATATCACATAAACAATAATCCATGAATTGTGTACAAAAATAAAAATAAACAATATAAGTGTAGTAACAATCTCATGACAACAATCACAACATCCAACCGACTCCTGCTAAATGGAGGATGTGAAAGATATTGTTGATTGTTTGTATGATTTAATCATGGGATTTTGTGGATTGGATTTGTGGGTTTAAAAGAAGATTTACTTTGCTACACTTTTAGAGAAAAAGTAGTTTCATTTTTTAAATTACCTTTAGGGGTGGTTTGGATGGATGTATTATAAAAAATGACCAATTGTCTCATTTTACGAAATGAGTCATTTAAAATGAGTCGATTGGAATTGTTTGCCCTCATCCCATACAATTGTACGGGTCGTTTGGATGCATCATTTTGATTCTATGGTATTTCGAATCCAAATGATTCATTATTTTGCTATGTGGCATTTCATGTGGTATTTCATTTTGAAATGTGGTAATTGGTGTAATTGTCTTGTTTGGATAAAACATTCAAATATTGTGGTATTTCACCACTTAAAGAAGGGATGAAGTGGAACAAGAAGTTGGGAGATGAGGTATTTGAAATAACTAGGGGGTGGGTAGGTATTTCAAATAACTCACAATGAGTTATTTCAATTGACTCATGGACAAAATACCACATTCTACTTTATTTTTGCCAAACGAGTTATTTTGATTGAAATACCTCATTCTGAGTTATTTCAACCAAATTACCTCATCAAAATACTGCATCCAAACGACCCGGTAATTGCCTCAAAATGGGTTAATTTAAAATTTCCCCAGCCAAAATTGCTCCATCTATGTGCCGTCAAACGGATCAATTTGTCCAAATTGACTCAAAATGAGATAATCTGGCCAAATTAATACATTAGAATTCCTTATCCAAACGACTCCCTAATCTCTTTTGTAGTTTCTATCCAATTTCAATGGTGTTCAAATTGAACAGCCAAGATTGCACAACGTAATGATCAGCACGATATGTTCGTATTAGAGAACCTGGAACTTACAACTGTTACTGTTAATAATGCCAGAGATCACAGTAACCAGTCTGCAAAAGGAAACTACTAAGCTCAGTACCTGGTAAACCTAAAGGCTCTTGCAAATCATCACCTTTCTTCCCCACACTCACATGAGATTCTGTATCTCCTTCCTTATTGTACTAGGCCTCAGCTTCTTCATCATTGTCGCGACCTCTTTGGTGCTTTGGTAAGTTAAGTGATGGATGGGTTGCAGTTGCTGGCTCCCAAGGGTCCTCTGCCATCTGCCTGAGTTACCTGAACTGCTTGGTCCTTTGTTTTTGGCTTGGGAACCTGCAGCTTTGCTCTTTCAATGGCTTCCAGTACATCCTCCCTCACCACAGTCTCACCACCTGTGGACAAACCAACAAGAAGTCCATTCTCTTACAAATATGCATTCTTCACTTGTGGCATTTGAAATGTTCAAAAAGTTCTTCCAGGCGAATATACAGAATGAACCCCAACCTCTGCTGGCAGCAAGTAAAACAGCCTCATTGACAATGTTGGCAAGATCAGCACCTACAAGTCCTGGAGTCAGAGGAGCAATCAGATCACAGATGCGACCGACGTCTTCTTCCAGGGGAACACCCTTCAGATGAATGGCCAATATCTTTCTCCTCCCTTCTTCATCAGGTTCCCCTACAAAACACCTTCCTCGAGAACCTCCCTGCGCGACATAGCGCAGGGTCCAGCGATTTTGGCCTGTTGGTGGCTGCAACCACCACCACTCTCATCTCCGAATCGAATCCATCCATTTCTGTAAGCAACTGCAGGTGGGAAAATGTCGGCGGAACAGGACATTGTTGATGATGAGTTAGCAAAGTGGACAAGTTCAATATAAGAACTTGGGAGAGAACAATGGCTTACATACATGACTTGTTAAAGTTTATACCTGATTTAGTGTTTGCTCACGTTCTTCGTCGAAGCTGCGCCCACGTCTTTGGTAATTTGCAGCACCTTTAAGGCATGAGACTATCTGGAACCATGCATTGCACAAGATTTCAGGACATCTACAAGAGACCAGACTCCACACATGAATCGAGAAATCGACGGATGCAAGTTCACAGGCAAATCAAATATCAAGAAACAGAGATCGACCGTTGAAGCATGTTTACTAATCAAATGTTAGCTCGGTAACAACTCGGAAGGAAGCAAAGAAATGCAGCTATTTCGCAACCTGGATCGTTTTTTACTAATCAAATGCACCAACAAAGCTTTTCAAAACTACTGAACACGTGAACAGAAGAACTGCTTTTTACCTCAACAAGCTCCACCTTAGCAGCATCAACACCGTCGACATCAGCAAAAGTTACAGTTCGATAACTATTTGGTAGCCGCTTCTTTGCAGGGCTATTGGCATCAGAAAGATGATGATGCAGAATCCATGCAAAAGGAGCTAAAAGGACTCCATGTATTCAGAACACTACCCAACAGCAAACGCCAGTTGGACATTCCACCCGATTGTGTTGCAGAGCCGTAAGTTGTCCCCTTTTCTCTCGACAGGCCGAGCACAAATCCCTCGTCGTCATATGTTTTCCTCGTTGCAAACTGCTACTTGGATCTAGGCACTTGTACTACAGCAACTGCAGACTTATCCTCCGAGCTTCGATCGTATACAGTTGCTTGGGATTTGGTGTTGTAGATAACCCGATGAGACCCCTCTTCGGACGATACTTCTGTAACAGAAGAACCATGTTGGAGGCATGGTATCGAGTCGGAATAAGGAACAACTTCTGGAGATGGCACAGCTGACAGTTTCAGAAACGATGATCCCGCTGCAGCAGAGGAAGAAGCACAAAGCGCCAGCCTTTTGGGATTCTTTCCAAGAAACAAAATGGAGTTTCTCAAGGCCGACCACCACCTCATCATAATCCTCTTCAACACCATGGCCAAAGTCTAACACAACAACCGACGCTGAAAACCTTCTTATTTCTACTCTTTTCATAGATAAATCGTAAAGACAAAGTAATCTCGTAAATCCTTTTCTTCTCAAACACGGTAAACTAATACTAACCAACTCCTAAACAATAACTTCTTCAACAAGAAACAATTAATAATAATAATAATAACCCTAAAGAGAAATTAATTCGAATTTCCATAATAATAATAATAATAATTAATGATGAGCTGACTGACCAAGCATAAATGCATCACATTGTTATATCCTTTGACCAATGGCCCAATTCTGTTGCTACAACTTACAAGAAGACACACGTCGAGGGTTGCCACCATTAGGACACAATCCCGGCATGGAAACTCCATTGTTCCCGCCATAAAAGTGGCTCAACTCCTTTTCAGTGACTTACTGGGTCTTTTACGGGTTCCTCTCTCCTCTGTCACCTTCTGCAAGTGTTGCGCGCCATAAGACGCACTGTAATATTCAGCACTCTGGATCACCTCAAGGGAATTGCTCCCCGGAAACAGTGACCAGGGAAACTAGAGACGACAGATGCTATGTGCTCAAGTCACATAGTCTCGAGCAGCTGTTACTGAAGAGGAGGATGGGGATGGGTGAGTCACTCAAATAACGAAGTCGTTACAGTCTCTCCGAAGGAACAAACCTGTCATGCACCACAATCCGAGTGTACAGATGGGGGCAGAGATATCCTTGACAGAAACACGCCAAGTTGAAAAATTGGACAAAAAGTAAAGGAAAGTTGAAGACTGAGAAGGAAGGTCCCAAGTAAAGAAAGCAAGAGGCCTCGAAAGAAGCCACCATATATGTACATTCATATTAAGGAATCGGAAACTACTTAAAATTTACTAGTAATGCCAAGATCACAGTACCAGCTGCAGCAGCCAGTGTAGTTATGGTGGGATACTGTCTCCAACAGTGTGGTCACCTATTTCGAGCATAGGCACTCTCTCTCTGTCTCTTGCGGCCAATACAAAACCAAGATCACAGAAAGAGCTCTGAAAAAGAAACTACTTAGCTCAATGTCTGGTAACCTAGAGGTCCTTGCAAATCATCGAGTTTCTTCCCCACCAAAGTTGGCACCCATGGGAACAGCTTCCCTATTTCCTTGCTTATTGAACTAGGCCTCAGTTTCTTATCATTGATCCCAAACTTTGCTCTTTCAATGGCTTCCATTACGTCCTCCCTCGCCACGGTCTCACCACCTGTCACAAACCAATGCAAATTCTTGTTAGAACTGGCAGACAATACTAGTTATCTAGAATCAGTTATAGGCATATGAATTGTTATAGGTGCTTTTAGGAAAGTATATATGAGCCCACCTCTCCTGGCAGCTAGTAAAGCAGCCTCATTAACAATGTTAGCAAGATCGGCACCCACTAATCCTGGAGTCAAAGAAGCAACTAGATCACATATGAGTTCTGTATCTTCTTCCAGAGGCACGTCCCTCAAATGAATGGCTAATATTTTTCTCCTCCCTTCTTCATCAGGTTCCCCTACAAACACCTTTCTCGAGAACCTCCCGGGGCGACATAGAGCAGGGTCCAGTGCTTCTGGTCTGTTGGTGGCCGCCACAACCACCACTCTCATCTCTGACTCAAATCCATCCATTTCTGTAAGCAACTGCAAAGGAAAACACAATATTTAAGACCGAACTCAGAGCAGGATATTGTGATAATGACTAGCGAGTGGAGAAGTTCAGTTATGACCTTCAGAGAGAATGCATAAGCATAAACTGAGAACGGTCCACTTTATTAAAAAAAAAAGAACTTGGGAGAGAACACCGGCTTACAAGATTATTCGTTCAAGCTATACCCAACAACAGTAACGGTTGCAGAAATTGAAGTGAGCGTTAGATTTATACCTGATTTAGTGTTTGATCTCGTTCATCGTTGAAGCTACGACCACGCCTCCCACCAACTGCATCCAGTTCATCGATGAATATGATAGAGGGAGCAGATTTTCTGGCAGCGTTAAAGAGATCCCTGATGCGTGCTGCTCCTCTCCCAACAAACAGTTCGACAAATTCACTGGCCGAGACACTGAAAAACGGAACTCCAGCTTCTCCTGCTACTGCACGAGCGAGTAATGTCTTTCCTGTTCCAGGTGGACCAACCAGCAAAACTCCTCTTGGCAGCTTTGCCCCCAATTTTTGGTATCTTATAGCTCCTTGAAGGCATGAGACTATCTGAAAGAACGAATTTTGAAGAACACAGACTGACTGAGTGATGTAATTGACTTGGACTAGGATAATAGGGATACAAATTACAAACTGGGCTGCCACAGGAGACAATACATCAAATGTCGATTTCATCCCAAGCTATTAGCAGTAAATTCTCTTATTTTACCTTTTTCTATGAATAGCAGTACATTTTTTCTAAAGACTAGAGATCCCAGAACCTTTACAAAACAAGACTTCTACATAAATTAATAAACTTGAACTGGCGTAAATTATATAATCTTGACAATTACATGTCACATATGGCAAAAGCCAGAACAAAGAACTATGTGAACAAACACATTCCCAGAAACGATCGTGTGATTAGTCGGGGAGGTAGTCCACGAATGAATTATACGTTCAATTAGCGACACGAGGGTAAAAGCATGTCCAAATCCTCTAATGCATAAATATAAGCTCAATTATATCCATAAAGCATTCTAAAGAAACAATGCCGAACCATTTTGGTGAAGGTGTTATCCAGTATGTGTGATGAGATTTATACAACTACTAACCAAAAATCGATGTCTAGGTTACACTACAGTTAAACTTATAGCCAACTATCAGTCAGATGTGGATGTAAGGGATATACCGACTGTGTATTTAGATTGATATGCAACAAATAGCACTTAAGAATCAACCATGCATTGGAGCACCATAATGGCCACAAAGAGAGTAACTAATTCCCCGTTATCTTTTAGGAGCACATTGAAGCTTTGAACCCTTAAATTCCCTCATCAGAATCATACAAACTATACTGACTCCCTTGGATAAACTGCAGTTGCAAAGCAGAAAAGAAATACAACAATACTCCAAGCAATAATCTAAGGATGAAATACTATTTCCCAAAGCACATTATCGTATCACATGCACTTGCTCTCACAATTATCAGTTACTACAACAGAGGAGCATCCTTACCTCAACAAGCTCTGTCTTAGCAGCATCAACACCGTCCACATCATCAAAGGTGACGGTTCGATTGTTTGGACGCCGCTTCTTTGCTGGGCTATTGGCAGTAGAAAGTTGACGATACAGAAGCCACATCAAAGGTGATAAAGGAATCCATAGAGCTATAATAGTTAACAGCAAACTCCTCATCGACATCCAAACCGATTGGGGAGCAGAGCTATAGGTTGTTCCCTTTTCTCTCAATAAACTAAGCAGAAATTTCTCATCATGGTCTATTTTCCTTGTCGCAAACTGCCACTTAGGTGTCGATGCTCGAGGTTTCAGTAGCTTCCCTAACCGAGTAGCACCTGATGCTTGTGGAACAGTGACACTTTCTACAGCAATTGGAGAATTATCACCATTCCCAGTTCCTTGCGATTCAGTGTTGTAATAAATCCGACGAGACCCCTCTTCGAGTAGAACTTTTGTAACAGAACCTTCTTGGATGCACGATATCAAGTCGGAATAAGGAACAACGTTAGGAGATGGCACGGATGTCAGTCTCAGAAACAAGAAGAGCATTCCCAATGCAACAGAAAAAGAAGCATAAAGCGCCTGCCTTTTGGGATTCTTTCGAAGAAACAAAATGAAGTTGCCCAAGGCTGACCTAATCAGAATTCTCTTCAACCTCATGGACAACAGCCGCAATCTGGGGCGCAGTCTCAACGAGAACCTTCTTCTCACATCCCTATTCCTTCTTTTCAGCTGAGTTTGGTCACCTCCATTGTTATCCTTGACCAATGCCCCAATTCTAATGCTACAAGAAAACCCATGACGAGATTTGCCACAAGGACATAACCCCAAGAGGGAAACTCCATTGCGCTCGCTATAAAATGACCCTAATTTCCTGCTGTTCGGGGAATCTATCTGGGTTTTGCTAATTCCACAAAAATGTACTGAAGGAATCGAAAAATGGGACACAGCTGCGCCATATCTCCTCAAAGGTCTCGACTTCACGCTGGAAAATCCCAAGTTCTTCTCTTTGGTATATAAAGATGGACTATAGCAAACCAGAGAAAAGGCAGACATACTGCCTCGCAGAACGAGGGAGACAAAGCTGCTGGAGAAGCAGAGGGAGGAACTACTATCCCGTGCTAATGGGTTCCCGAGGCCTGAATCGATCTTCAAAAGCAGCTCCTAATCCGGTGGAATTTGAGGAATAATTTACGAAATGTGAGAGGAGAGTACCTGTGTTTTCCTTATCTTCTTCTGCTGTAACACAAAACTGGAGTTAAATAACTAGCTGGATTCGTAATTTGTATCTTTCTTTTCATTCTTTTTTCATGCGAGTCGGATATTTTCAAGCTCATGTTAGAGTTGAATGAAGGGTAAATTGTAAGTTTGAACCTATCACTAGATTTACTAAAATGTTTCATACTTGTTGAATAGAAATATTTTTTTTATGAAAGTCACTATTTTTTCCCATTCGGATGATTAAAATTAGCTTAATATTCTAGATTTGATCATTGACCGTCCTCTCTATCTGATGTGATAATCAACTTTCATAATTATCTATTAAATTAGTAATAACACTTCAAATTAAAATAAATAAAATATAAATAAGAGAAGGAGGACCAGCATTCTCCTCCTCCCACGGCCGCCATCGATTCCGAAGATAAGGAAATCTCCCCTCTCGAATAAGCAAAAGAACTCGCCCTCCCTGAAACCAACTCCAATACGAGTTTGGGCATTCAAACAACGATCTAAATCCTTCCAAGTCCAATAGATCAAAAAGCTCGAATTCTCATGTTAAGGGGTTCGACTTTGAGCTGGGTATTCAGTCTTTAGACGGCCTCTTTTCCTTAGCTTGGTTTCCTGTGTATCTATTGTGAGCTATACTCTTTGAGAGTGATCTAATGACAAAAAAAAACCCAAAATTCTTTAAACTCCACCCGGAGCCTCCCGCATTTGTTCGTCGCAGACAAAGTTTAGAAGTCCCGGGGAGCTTATGTTCCTAGTGATTGGTGGATCGATAAATTACGGGAGTTTCCTTGAAGTGCGGCAATTGCGGCGCCCTGTTGAGGTTCGTACATGAGGCCTATAAGCACGTCGAGCTGACATCGCACTCCAATTTGTCCGAGTCGAAGGAGGTCGTTCTTAACCTCGTTTGCAATGCTTGTGGAAAGCCCCATCGATAAAAACAATAGGTTTTTCGTTTAATGTTATGTTGTGTTGGTTAACCGATTTACCTCTAGGTAGTTGGTTGATGAGTTAATTTAGGGTCGCTTGGAAGTTCATATATTAATTTTTTTTAACCGAGAAATGCCAAGAGAAAACAACAATAGACAGGAGGACCCTCCCCTACAAGAATCCTCCAACCCCAACTACAACAATAGTCAAGCTAAAAAATCAAACGATTCCAACTATAATAATGACAATGAAAGGGTTTTATGTGTGACTCTATATATGTACAACCCAATTGATAACTCTAGGCACCGCCCTAAACTCTACACCAAGAGGTATGGCCGAGACCATATGGAGACAATCGCGAAGTACTAGCCCACCTGAGGAATCTGACAAGAAACTCTTGTGGAGCTGACGGAAGAGCACCTCTGATTCAATCACCACTCTTGCAATTTGGCGATCTACCACAATAGAAATCGCATCTCGAAATGCAAGAAGTTATGAAATGTACGGTTTGGCTATTCTGAAATGATGGAAACCTGACACCAACATAGTCGAACCACTCGAGTCTCAAATAACTACTCCAGCAGAACACGCATTAAGTCGAATGATCGCATCAAAATTAATATTTAAACACCAGAGGGAGAGGGACACCAGACCAACCGGGGGGAGCGAAGAGCAACACGAGAAGGGGGAGGATCCTAGAAGAAGATTATAAATTTGGAAATCAAACTGAGCAGCGAGAACCCATATATGTGGTTAATAATATTAAAAAAGCATAGTGTTTTGAGCTTTCCAAACCCTCCAGAAAAGATCACACACATTGGAGAACTTGGGATTGCGAGCAATCAGATCGCAACAAATGACGCTACCAGAGACTAAAGTTGGATCTCGGGAGCGATTGAAAAAGCTCTTCCATTCCCGCTAGTGAACAAAGTTTGATCGCTAAGGAACATCTACAGAAAAGACGTTCGATAGTCTCACAGTACTTCCAACAGATAGGACACCGGACACGACAATCCATCCCACGAGATCGAAGAAGCAAAACCAGTGGGAAGGATAACTCTTGCACATTACCAAATGAAAAATTGAAGTTTAGGAACATGCCAATGCTTGCTTCCTTGGAGAATGAAGGAGGAAACTTTAGGATTTCCATTATAAAATGGGCTCTCATATGTTAAATTCTTTATTGTAATAAATCACTATACTATAAATACATGCATTAGTATAATATATGCATTTTTACATGACTTTGTTTGGTTTATGAGATTTTTGTTTATTTATTGATTTACATAAATTCAATTTATGAGAAAATATTACACTTACCCTCTATTTTAATATAAAACAAAACTACTAGGAATATAATGGAAAGAAAAAGAGGATCCAAATCTAAATACAACAATATCAACTTTTAATTGAAATTATATAATCCAATTTTTTGTTAGAAAAAAATATAATCAATCATTTTTTTTTTTATGTTTGTAAGTTGGACTTATACAAAAAAAATGCATACATTGTTTTACTATCCGACACTTCTAAACACTATATTATGAACAATACATGCATTGATTAAACATAACGCTTACAATCACAACTTATAAACGAAGCTTTAATAAGTTTGATTAAAATATTATATTCAAGGAATAGTAAATTTTAAACTTATTTGTTGACATGATCATCATCTGAACACCCTCCTTTTCCCACTAAAGAAAAACCATGATGGTTAATCATGAATATTGCAGGGTGGAAAATGGGAAATGGAGAGTTGTGTTGGTTGGGTTGGGCTCGTAGTTTCTTCTTTCTTCCGCCAGCTCCTCCAATCATTGTGCCCAATCCTTGCCCTCGATTTTAATATTTGACGCCCAATTCACGACTTTTCTGGTTCTGGAGCCGTAATCCGACGCTGCTATCCTTCCAGGAGCGGAGCAGCAGAGGCCAGAGCAGGTTGGATTCTGGAGTGGAAGCCATGCAATCCTTCTCCATCTACCTGCCCAACAGTTGCTGCCTCCACACGCAGTGAATCATCAGCCCAATCTTCGAGAGAAGAACGAACAAACAAAGCGTTTCATCATCTCGCTCTCCACTCCTCAATTTAACTCCAAAGCAACGATTGTGGAAGTAGTACGCAACTGTCCGTCAACTTCAGCGGGGAAGAGAATCGGTGTCCGCACCTGTCTGCCTCCGAAGCGTCGCTTCTCCGTTAACACTTCCGCCCATCGCCGTCTCCTGAGTTGATTTCGATTTGTTGCCATTTCCCATCGTCCTCCGACGCGACTTTCTATCGTGTTGAATTGAATCTTCACCCTTTTCCTGGTCTGGGGGAGGCAATTGGTTCGTGGAAACTCCCAACCACCAGTCGCAATTGGAAAGAGGTGATCGCTTCCGGGATCGAGGTTCAGAGGTGTGCAAATGTTATCTTTATTATGCTCTCCCTGTCTCTAATTTGAATCGTTAGTTTCTGTTTGCAGATTTCTGCTTTCCATTTCTTTGGTCTTGACAATTCAGTGAGGAAAGCTCTCATTTTGTGATTGACCCATCAAAGTTTCGAATCTGAAATTTTCTGGGTTTATGACCACTTCAAACATATAAGATTGTATCCAGTGGCTGTGTTTCTATTACGCTTCCTTCACTCGGATTGCTGTTATTTGGGTTTTGTCACATGGAATTGTTGCTGCGGGTACTCGCGACTTCAACACATAGTCTGGTGACATTATGTTATTTCGTTGTGCTCTTTTGATGATTCAGGTCTAGATGTTTTCTCTAGTCATGCCTTTATTCGCTCTTTTCGGGAAAAAGTTGCATTTTTTTCCGGACTCCTTTTGTTGAGGTTGCAATGCACACTTTTAAATGCTTCCTGCAGTAAGCTCTCTCGTTCATTTGAACCAGAAGGGTTACAGATCAGCTTATCGTATGTAGTGCAGTAAAGTTTGATTTCTATGAGGGGAGAAATGGAGTTCCCTTGCCATATTGATCTAATTTCGTTAAACAAGTGCACTAAGTTTTATCTACTTTCGCAGAGTTTGGCACTTTGTACATCATGCTGTCCCTGAAGCGAAAACTGTATACTCTGCCTGTTGATGCTGTAGAGTTTCCTTAGTATTGTATTATGGAAAAGAAAAGTGCAGAAGACCATGAAGCAGGGCCACTTCCTTCACCAAGACTCATTGACAGATTTAGCTGTTTAAAGCAAGATGCATACCATTCTCCCGAGAGTTTGAGCAAGGGAAGGTTGGTCTTTTAGGAGTTATTTTTGCTATTCCTTTCAAAATATTAGTCGCCAGTGATATATGAATAGCAGTTGAGTTTCTCTTATGTTTAATTGACACCTCTTGCTATTCAACAGTGAAGAAAGAAGGATAAGGAAATGGAGGAAGATGATCGGGGTTGGAGGAAGTGACTGGAAGCGCTATGTCAGGAGGAAACCTCATGTGGTTAAGAGGCGTATTAGGAAAGGAATTCCTGACTGTTTAAGAGGTCTTGTTTGGCAGTTGATCTCTGGAAGTCGAGACCTTCTGCTGATGAATCCTGGGGTTTATGAGGTAAAACTTCGCCTTCTTCCTGTCTCATTAGTCTCAAACTGCATTGTTTTTTAAACCACCTCTGAGTTTGAAGTTGTTTGATATAATTAGTTAAATTGATTTGTGAATACCTAAACCATGCGCCATATTCAGTACCATATACCATCTTAAATACAATGGCTTGAATGAGTTCAGCTGTTTAAAAATGCTAGGTCGTTGCACTTCAACGATTCTTTACTCTTGACCGCCCAAACTTTTGTAGTTTGATTTGTTATATAACTTGAGTTTCTGAATTAATACCAGGATTTATCTGTCTTCTTGGTTTCTGAATAATCAGTTTGATGTGTTCAAAGGAACATTTGCATTTAGCAGGGATAGCTCAATGCTCATTGTTCTTTAGAACATTGAATATTCCAAGGTAGTTCAATCTGGAAAATCTTACCACACAATATACAACTTACGTATTCCATATGCAAAAAATGTGGCACCTTGGCTGTATACTACTAGCCCTTTAGTCCTCTTGATGGTAGCCTGGAAAGGGTTCGGCAGGATGCAATGGTTGGGGACCTATGATTGTTTTGCATCTTTTATCAGCAAGCTTCAGGGTTTCTGCAAAAACAATGTCATCTTGAAATGGAAAACATGATGAAAAGGAATGCAGAATCTTTTATTTCCTGAGAAATTGTTGTCCTAAACTTGACTGTACGTTCATATTGGCTTTGAAGGCTGGATTTTGCTCAGTAGAACTATGCAGAATCTTTCATTAACACAGCCTTCTTGTGCATTGGTTACTGTCCAAAGCCTGAGTTACCATTGATTAAATTTATTTCTTTGTTTCTGCAGCAACTAGTCATATATGAGACATCAGCATCTGAGCTGGACATAATCCGTGATATATCTCGCACATTTCCCTCTCACGTCTTCTTCCAGCAGAGACACGGTCCAGGTCAGAGGTCCCTTTACAATGTATTGAAGGCATATTCTGTTTATGATAGAGATGTTGGATATGTTCAGGTTGGATTTCTTGTTCTTGATGCTTTCTTTGATAATTGGCTTTTTTACTGAATGAAAATGACATCAGTAAGATATAAATTTGTAGGGAATGGGATTCGTAGCTGGTTTGTTGCTTCTTTATATGAGTGAAGAAGACGCCTTCTGGTTATTGGTTGCATTGCTAAAAGGTGCTGTCCATGCTCCAATGGAAGGGTTATATCAGGTAATGTCGTGTTCAATCTCAATTCCAAAGTGTTTGTACTTAAGGTAATTGTGGATGAATATGTTCAACCCTCCTGCAATTCAAACCTAGGGCCTACTGTTTACTTATGCATAACATTAGCTATATAGTAAGCTCATTGGCTATGCTATATCATACGCCAAATCTAGTTGTTTGATTGAAAGCTTGGATTGCTTTCCTTTCGAGCGGCCTTTCAGTGTCCATGTTGGAATATTTAATATTCAATACGTGAGGAATCAACTAATGTGAGCCGATAATGAGTATACAACGTTCAATTCAAGGATCATTCATTTATTACTTCCCTATTTATTACTGGCGTAGAATCTTTTTCTCAAAAACTAAAGATTGTGTCAGATTTTTAGGGTTGAATCACTTTGTCCAATATTGTATATAGGTTATTATGAAACAATACATATGACAAGTGCTCTTAGGTTCTTTGAACTTAAGTGTCCGACAAACTACTGATTGTTACCCTACGCAACTTTGTGGTCATTGTCAAATAAAGCTTTCTCCTGTATTTTCGGGAAGTTGGATGTTTTATTGTAAATATTCAGAGCAGATAAGGGGCGTAGAAAGTAGATTTTTTAAGCCAGAGTAGAAGCAACTGATCAGATATCTGAACTTTCTATTGTTTCAACATGGTTTCTGTTTCTCTTTGCTATGATCTGAAATTACGAGACTTTTGCGTGATCAATTTCGACACTTATGACTATAGATTACCAGTTTTTGAGCAACTAGTCACTTTCTACATCGTCTCCTGATATAACTTACTAGTTCCATCAATACCATTGTATTTCCTGAGCATTTTCCCCTATAGTTCTGATCCCATTTATGTGGTTACCCCACAGAAGAGCTTTAGCTGATGTTAGTGATAATTGTATTCTTGTTATAATTTGAATCAGCGATCACGCCCTCTGAGGTTCTATTTCAGGTCCTCCTTACTCGTGCATATCCTTATCACCATACACTTAGAAGCTTTAATCTTAGTATGTTCTTCTCTCCACAAACGATCTCTGTCTAGGTGATCTTACCTCTATTTGGGCTGGTGAGGGTGATTTCGTGTAAGAGAACACAAAGTTATTCCTTGCCTGGTACCCCTGTACTAGGAAAAAGAACTCTTTGCCCTTTAACATGCCTCCTATTTCGGTTCTATCTGCCTCTGCCGACTTGAGGTGAAACCAGCTTTAGACTGTATATCTTGCATCTTCATCAAGATTGCCTTTTGTTCTGCAAACATTATTGGACAGCTTCTCTAACACCTAGACTGATTGGTTTTATACATTTCTCGGAATAAGGAAAGAAAGGGGCTTACGGCCATCCAAATGAGTTAGATTTGAGGCTGATAACGAACAGCTGTTTCATACTTTTTACCGTAGGTTGGGCTGCCACTTGTACAACAATATCTATTTCAGTTTGACCAGTTGGTAAGAGAGCATATGCCAAAACTTGGAGAGCATTTTTCCGGAGAAATGATGAATCCTAGCATGTACGCGAGCCAGTGGTTTATTACTGTGTTCTCATACTCTTTCCCGTTCCACTTGGCGCTTCGAATTTGGGATGTCTTTCTTTACGAGGTTTGTGGTTGCCTTTAAGCCCTCCCCCCTGGCAACATGTGATTGCAGCTTCCCTTCAACTATCCGTATTAACTGGGAATAAAAAAAGTAACATGTTTGCTCAAAATCTGTTTCCAGGGTGTAAAAATTGTTTTCAAAGTGGGTTTGGCTCTGTTGAAATATTGCCATGATGACTTGGTAAGTACTCCCCATAACAGCTTTTTGGTGGAGTAATTTCCAGCTTGTTGTCGTCTGCTTTAGCTTGAGAATTGACAGAGCTCCTCTTGTTGTGATCAGGTCAAATTGCCATTCGAGAAGCTAATGCAAGCTTTGCGTAATTTCCCTGAGGACGCCATGAATCCGGATGTGTTGTTGCCAATGGCCTACTCAATCAAGGTTCCTTTTTTCCTCACATGCTCCGACTTTGGTTGACTGTCTATCTTGTTTTTTTCATAGTCATGTTTCTTTGGTTATGAAATCACTTAATATACGTTTCATGGTTTGGCTCTTAGTCAAAATTCTGCACTGCCTGCTGTTGATCCCATTTTTGGGTTTTGATATGCTGAAATCTGGGATTTCAATAACAGGTGTCAGGTCGATTGAAAGAGTTGAAGCTTGAGTATGACCTGAAAAACGCTAAGGCGGTTCAACCCACAGAACTCTGCACAAATGGGAATAAGTAAAACAGAGGAGAGCCAAGGGGGTACTTAGTTGTTTATTCTGTATCGTGGAAGTGGGAGCACAGCATCCAGTTATCTGAGTGTACAGTGTACACCATTTATTCTTACACTACATATTGGGAGGATGATGGCCATGCCACCGCATCAATTGTTGCGTCTTAAAAGCGTGCTTCACTGCTTGATTGGAACCAGCTTAAGTTCGCATAGTAAAAACTTCGAGACTCTTGGACGGAGAAAGGAGCACAGGGGCCAGACTCTAAGCAGCTAACAGATTGATGTTCTCCAGTTGTATATGGGGTGTGTTTTGTCAGTTCATTTGTAAATTGATGGGTATCGTCTTGATTGCCGTCATGTGAGGTGTATTTACAGAAACAAGAGAGCTCTACTTCTTTTGTTAAAAGGAACAACAGATAAGTGAAGGAAGTGTGTTTTATTGAGAACCATCAGGCTATGTCATTACACATATATCGGCAGAAAACTGAAACACATTGCAGGGCTTTACAAACATAAGAGTAAGATCGATTTGGAGCAGTATTCAATTGAAGTCCAGAAACAGCCACTTGTTTTAAAGCTAGAGTTGCTCATCCTTTTCAGCGTCCAAGAAGAGCATATAGGCCACCAACCCGACCACTGGCACAAATCTAAGGTATTTCACAACATCAACTTTGCTTTCTTCCACATTCTGCAGATTTTCACCAATCAACCAAGGCTGGAAGACGATGTACAGGCAAATATCCCAGATGAATGCATATGCCAGCCTCTCTGATCCAAGATAACTAACCAAGAATTCCAATCGTTCTGTTATCCCCCCGAAATCCCCACTGTCCCCTCGCCCGAAAACAGCCCATATTGCAGATACCAGACAAGCAGCAGCTCCAATCACTCCAACTACGGGTGCACCTTGTGTCATTACATTGCCTAGCTGCGACTGCTTACTCGGAGCAGCGTCTGCGTCTCCCTCGTTCATTCGGATTGCCATATACGGTATCAGAAATGCTGCCATTAAAACCGAAGGTAGATGAATCACTTATGTGTGGAAACTGTGTCTGCATTGGAAACAGAAGGGGGAACAAGGTAGCGTACTGTTTGTGAGGAACATCTGGCATCCCCATAGAACATCTAGAGACCATGGATATCGATTCCTTTTGTTATCCGTAAACAGTAACGGAGCAAACATGAAAGTCCACCCGATCACAAAGTTGAATAGCCCTTCAGCCATCTGAAAAGAGAAGCATTTGGTGCAATGCCAACAAAAGCGAAACAAACCCATGTAGATGAATTAGTACCTGTGGAATTGGTATTAGTTTGCAGGAAGATGTGGTTATCTTACAGCCTTACAGGGTGGATAACGGGGGCTTCTATTACATGTATACCGACTGCGCTGCCAAAATGTTCATTGCAGAGATAGTGGATCAACAATCAACCATTATCAATAGCTCTGCCGAAAATGCATACTTTCGGAATTCAGATTCGACGTACCAGAATTGAGGAAGGGCAAGATGAAGAAGAAATTCAGGGAAAGGCCAATCAGTGAATTCACTGTCTCTGAACTAATAGCCCACACGGGATCACCCTGCCAAAGGGACAAAAACAATCAAGAATTCCTCTTTTGAGTCAATTCCACAAACGGCTTGCCTGCGCGCAAACTGGAAGAATCACTTACGGGGGCATAAGGAAGTAGAAACAGCCACACAATGTAAACCCCTTCGAGAACCCACAGCGCTACTTGGACGGCTTTGGAACTACCGTCGCCGACCACCTTCTCAGCGGCAGGTACGGCGCCGGATTTTCGCCGGGGAGTGGAGTGGCAGAGCAATGTGCGGGTAATGGGTGGTGGTTTCCGAGTTGAGACGAGCGCCGGTGAGGTAGCCGACCTCCGTGTCTCGGTAGAGAATGCTGGAAGGCGCCGATTTGGATTCAGTTGTTTCCGGCGTGAGGAAACTGGGGAGGCTAAATTGATGGCCTTGCCGGCGGAGAAGGAGAATCCATGGCGGCAGCATAGCGGAAGAGATAGCGCGCTCATTTTTTGCAACCTCGCTTTCCGAATTCAGTACACAGCTAGTCAGCTACTATAAGTACTAACCCACTGGTTCACTGGCTCGAGAGAGACCGTTAAGGACTAAGGAGTAGGACCAGAAGAGCATGCCAGTGCGACATCGTTTTACATAGGAAAATCGGCAGTCTATTCCGCTTCGGACCTGGCCCATCTTCGCGGGTTGGGCTGGGTAGTATGTAAATGGGCTCTAGCAGCAGCCTAAAATATTGAGTGTAAAATATTGACTCTACGTGTGCAAACACTAAAGCGTTTATCAACCGTCTGATCTAATGCTAACAGTCTTAGTAGATGAATTCAATGCAGTAAAAATCGCGTTTTAAAACTTAAAAACTTACGATTTTACGTTTTTAGGTCACCAAACCATATAAAAACTTCAGTATATAAAATCGGACTAAATTGCGCTTTAAAGCTTACGGTTTTACGCTTCTAGTTCTCCAAAACGCTTTACGTTTTTACGCTTTTAGTTCACTAAATGAGTATTCTTTTCATGAAATTAATTATAAAAAGTATATTTTAAAAGTAAATCACCAACAATATGATACTTTTGAGATTAAAAGATACATATAAGGTACTTGTATGCATTCTCAACTTCGATAGAGTAATCTAATTCACCCGTTAGGCTTTTCCCAAATTCATTAGCATAGTGGGAAAAGGGCTTATTGTTAAAATTTATGTTTACAAACTTATTATTAAGATGCTATAAGTTGTTCTACTTTAGGCATGAATCGCATGTATTTATTGACTTATCTAAATTCCGTGCATTCATATTTTGCATAGCATATGTCCTACTTAATACATTTTTAGTTATTTTTCAGTATGCGTAAAAAACTTACGCTTTTACGCTTTAATTCTACGTTTTACGAGTTTACCTCTTTTCCGCTTTTAGGTAGAATCGGTCTTTTGACTGCATTGGATGAATTAATTTGGTCTCACAATTGGTTTTAGGGGTGACAAACGGTAAGTCGGTAAACGATTTACCGTTTTACCAAACCGGTAACCGGGGTAAACGATAAACCGTTTATCGGCGGTATCGGCAGTCGAGGGTCAAATGGGGAAGCTCGGTTTACCGGCCCCAGTATCGGTAAATACCGACGGTAATTCGGTAATACCGATACCGGACAAGTTAAGGCATTAACTAATAACATATACTTCATTATTCACAAATATTACATACATGAATGAAAGTAAGTAAGTATAGGCCTAAAAAATATTATAAATAAGACTTAATAATAATTTATTAATTACAAAAATGAAGAAAAAACTCATAAAAATCAAAATATTACAACATCACTCTATTGTCCAGAAATTCGGTTCGGTAATTTTCCGGTAAACCTAAGCGAAAAACCGTCTGCAACTACTCTTTACGGTAAGTCGGTAAAACCGGTTTGTAACCGTTTACCGGTAATTCAATAACCGGTAAACCGGTTACAAACCGGTATCGGTTATCGATTCCTACTTACCCACACTCGATATACCGTAAACCGGTTACCGACCGAATATCACCCCTAATTGGTTTCACAGTTCTTACTCTTCTTAAGTAGTTTAGAATAATTTCTCCAAAAAAAAAAAGTAGTTTAGAATACACCATTAACGACGCCCAATGGGACTATACCTAATTGTTACACTCAATGTTGTACAGAGTATGACATATGCATATGATGGATCCGATAATCGAAGCACATGTGATCATTACCATCGACTTCTCTTCCAATATGTGTCGTCATTGGGGCTTGTAAGACTTTATACCACGTCGCATAAGTTTCATCTCATGGACTCTTACATTATATAATTAAGTACTTTGGATCAGATAAATGCATCGCCAAGATTTATCTATATAGTTTTCAGGTACAGGCGACCTCATCTAAATTTTTCATGAAAAAACATTTCCCTAACCTAATCTTGGAAGAAAGGTTTATCCTCATAATTATTTTATGCATACACCCATTTAGTCTAATCAATCTTGGTTCTTGTTTACGTATATAATGTTGTCCAAAGATGTTATCATCAAATGCATCGTCGCAACAATGCATCTTTATCTTCTTCTTTTTTTTTTATCGTCAAATGACGCATTATGTACACCATAACTTATTGACGTGTCATCTTCTACACATTATTTCATCTAAAATTACCCATCCAAATGGTCGTAAACACTTTGTGAACGAACTTTTATTCCTGATTTCTGTATGACAACCACATTTCAGATCATATTTGGCACAACAGAAATCTCTCAATTGGATTATAACGTAACGATAAATACTAGTGGTCAAGCAGCCGCCACGACATCAACACAATAATGTTTTTTTAGAAAATTTCAAAATGCGGAAAGACGTATGCTTCAACAATAGACGAAACGATGAACCTCCAGAGAAGGTATAAAGGAATGGTTGATGGTACAACCAAATCTCACCACACCTGAGAATTCCCTTCGATTGAATCAATTCCTCCCTTGGTGTTCAATGCCTGAAGCCCATCTTCCTAACAGTTAATATTGTTCTTCTTCGAGAAAAACATTGGTGCTGTTATTGGTGGGTTCGAACCAGATTTTGTCCCATTTTTTTTCAATCGGTAATGATTACAACAATAATATAATTTTCCTTGTTCTTGTGTTTGATTAGGATATCTTCTTTAATCTTTTATGTTATGTGATTTCTCCAATATGCATTTTGAAATGAAATAAATTTTTTTCCCCTCAGGGTTAATTGGATATCTTCAATCAGAAACAGATAATAAGATAGAAAAGAGAGGATTGGTTCCAGAAGAGTGTGGCGGGTTAACATTTCGATTTGTTAAAACACAGGTGATCTACACTCCTTGCATTCATATACTTTTTTTTAACTCGAATTCTTTCGAAATTGCCTGCTTCTTAATCTCTTTAAATTCATTTCATGATTCAAATGTCAATCGCAATGGAGGATTCTTCAAATACTAGTTATATTTGGTGATTTGTGTAGGAAAAGACTGTATGAAGTAATGGAGGCTAAAGGTGGCAAGAAGAATTCCAACGGCAGTAAAACAATATTCTACGACGCACCTCTCGGTTACAGCATTGAAGACCTTCGACCCCACGGTGGAATCAAGAAGTTCCGTTCTGCTGCTTACTCCAACGTCAGTCATCTCAATCTCTCCCTTGTTTCTTCATTATTGAAATTTTCGCCATGCAGAAAAATAATTATTTCCCTTTTTTTGTAATGTTTTCTTTTGTTTCAATGCAGTGCGTTCGAATGCCATCTTGAGTTCCCACAACTAGTTTACATATAACTAACATAACCCCTACTGCCTTCTGTTTCCTCTATTTTTTTTTTCTTTCTTTCAATTCATTACTCTCTACAAAAATTCTCCCTCTTTCCTTCCTCCTCCTTTCAAGCGAACCATAATAAATAAAAAAAATGGCCTTCTCAGCCTCAGCAATCGGGTTCGAAGGCTACGAAAAACGACTCGAGATATCGTTTCACGAGCCTCGTTTCGATTCTTATGATCACGACGGAGGAGGATTACTGACGAACCTCCGCGATTTATCTCAATCTCAGTGGGAGAAAATCCTCGAGCCAGCACAATGCACCATCGTCGACACCCTCTCGAACGATTTCCTCGACTCCTACGTGCTCTCGGAGTCGAGCCTCTTCGTCTATCCCTTCAAGCTCATCATCAAAACCTGCGGGACGACGAAACTGCTGCTCTCCATCCCGGTCATCCTCGAAACCGTGCCCCTCGACGTTCGTACCGTGAGGTACACGCGAGGCACCTTCCTGTGCCCCGGAGCTCAGCTGTTCCCTCATCGAAGCTTCTCCGAGGAAGTATCTTTCCTCGACGGCCACTTTCGTCGACAGCTCGGCCTCCAGACCCAAGCTTGCATCTTGGGCAGCCCCGACGAGACGCAACAATGGCATGTCTACTCTGCTATGAGTACTACTCAACATCGTCATGACGATGGAATCGTCGCACCTACCTACACTCTTGAAATGTGCATGACTGGCTTGAACGCGAAGAGAGCTAATGTGTTCTACAAAACTCGCTCGTCGTCGGGAACTGAGATGACCGAGAATTCGGGTATCAGGGAGATTCTTCCAGGGTCGGAGATATGTGATCACGATTTCGAGCCGTGTGGGTACTCGATGAATGCACTCGAAGACGGCGCGATCTCGACGATCCATGTGACGCCCGAGGAGGGTTTCAGCTACGCGAGTTTCGAAGCTGCGGGGTATGATTTTTTCGGGGCGGGTGTGGATTTGAACCGGTTGGTTGAGAGGGTTTTGGGTTGTTTCGAGCCGGCTCAGTTCTCGGTTTCGTTGCATTGCGATCCTGCGGTGGTGGATGATGGTGATGAGATGGGGATGATGATGGTGATGAAGTTTGGGTTGATGGATTTGAAAGCGTATTATTGTGAGGGAAATAACTGTGAAGTGATTGGAGAAGGTGGAGGAATTGTTTGTTACCACAACTTTGTTAGGAAGAATGGTTTGGGATCACCCACGTCTATACTGATGAGAGGTTGCTGGAGCGAGGATGATGAGAAGGAGGATGACTTCGTCGAAGAGAAATAAAAAAAAAAAAAAAACATGTATTTTGTGGTCTGTTTTGTACTGAAATCTGTATGCGCGTTTTGATTTCAAATTGTGAATTTATATGAAAAAAATGTTGTATTGGGGTTATGATTATGAGTTAAGGTCAATTGTTTATGTATATAACTGTGGCTTGTGACATTTGTTCAATTTATTTTTTTTTTAAAATTTTTTTCCTTTATGAATTTCACATCTTTTGAAAAAAAAAAGAATATTTGTGCTTTGATGAGCACTTGTACCAGGTGATTTTCCTGGATCTTAAATGTTAACCCGATAATTCTAATGTATCAGGATTCTCCAGTTTCATATTTTTTTAGAACTCAGAATCCTCTACTTCAGTAACCATGAAGTAGTCCTTCTACTAGCACATGAAGTGTTGATTATACCGATTTGATTAATTTATTGGAACTTTACCTTCTTTTGATCTTTGTCTGGATACCTTGTGTTTCTATTTGCTTTAATGAATTGCTAATTTCAAATGTCTCGTTTTGCCAAGCTCAAAATTGTAGAAAAGAAGGATGAAGATAAGGGGGTTGCCAAAAAGAATAAGAAGAAATGAAGGTTAAAATTGTATTTTAACAATCTAACAAAAAACAGTTGCAACCAACAATGTCTTATGCCAAGTATCGAGCCAAACGAGACATTTGAACAAAGTTCTCATGATAAAATGTTCGGTTTTGTGATGACTGATGATACATTTATGAAACCCGATATAAACGGTCCGTTAAAGTTTTACATTGAAATTAGGGCAATGTTAAGAACAGTTTTTTCTTCTTAACATCTCGCTTATTTAACAATGGATAATTGTATCCCCTGTGGTAGGGATCAAGAAATGTGGAGTGTTGTTGTTTGGTTAATGTGATTTTGAGTTTTCAGTTATCTCTTATGGTATAGATAGATATATAATGATTTCACTTATCCGTGTCCGCTAAGCACGATACTCAAATGACACTTCATTCGGTTGAGGGATTGTACGTACTAGATAAGAAACATCGTACAGTTGCGAGTCAATGCTCAATTGAACCTTTCTAATTACCCAATGTACGTGCACCAATGTGCAATAAGAGATTGTCTCACACATTGACATTCTTTTACCTCCACACTTTATTTGTTATGGAATCTTTCTTTCACTTGCTAGGCAAGTGTACCAGCTCCCAAGCGTTCCCAACACGTCATGGTAGTTCTTCAAAAACAAGTTGGCCACAAGTCGAATGTGATCCTGTCTCTTGTCCATATAGAAGAAAAAACAATGCAGCATCTCCACCTCGAATAAGACCACACATGTCAACCATTGTGGCGAGTCATCCCTCAATAATGCTCCGTCCACTGGAAAATGGAGAATATAGTGAAAATCGTGTGGAAGGATCGACATCTCTATGAATGGCATGTGGAATGTGTTGGTGTCCAACCTCCACCTCTCCACGAAGGCCGTTAGTAGGGTAGCATCAAAATGGGGCATTGTGCATCCGATCAAGCGAGACAAACCTGTGGTCTGAACCATCGCATGAGAACCCTCTACACTCCACTTGTATTGCTTTGACATCTTCAATGTTGCACTTCCATTATAGCACTCAAGCACCCCACGATCCTACTCATGCGATGTCCACGGTATATGGGGCCACATGACCACCAAAATCAAGGATCATATCTTGGATGATCAGTCCGACCGCACACATCACTGAATCCTTTGTAAGAAGCCAAAAACCTGTCTTTGTTGGCTACCTTCTTCCTCTTCTTAGGATCAACACACTACTGAGCACCAGGTGCTGCCTGTAAGCGTCCATCAGGCCCACCACTTCTCGTCGAGGAAGCGAAGACATCAAAGCTCCAACGATCCCCTGAAACTAAGAGTGAGTCCCCCCCCCCCCCAAATCGTCGACTAAGAGACATAGGGTGGCCGTCGGGACGCTCTACTTGTGACTTCTTTTGGCAAAAAGTCTACAACCTCTATCTTTCATTCGATCCTTATTGGTTTCAGGATTTCCCACTCCCAACATCTTCAAAAGCATATAAAACTACTATCATAGTTTTTGAAGACATATTTATAAACATTTAGAATATAATTTAGAATTTCTATCCAATCAATTTTATTCTAAATACTAATAATTATTCAACTAATCTCAATACATTCAACTAATCTCAATACATTCAACTAAAAATTCAGATCAGTTGAATTTCTAACATTGCTAATTTTAAAATATTTCAAATAATCTCAATATACTCGATGAAAATTTTCAACCGGATCAATTTGATTCTAAATTTTAAACCAAAGAGATCAATCTGACATTTCATAGAAGCTTATGTAAGTTTCAGTTTGTACTCAATTCTTACTTTCGTGTTGTAAATTGAACCTTTTAATTATTATAAACTTAGAGTTATATTATTAGTTTATTACTGTGAAATGGTACAATTTCATTGTGGTTAAAAATGGGTTAGCCCCTTCGATCGCCTGGTTAAATGGCTAACTTGCACAGTGCACTCCACAACCACACAAAAGAAAGGCTATTTTTGATCGTCCATTTCTTTCCCTCTTTTTTTTTTTTTTTTCTCGAGCAGTAAGCCAATAATAGAATAGATGACCGGCACCATGCAAAATCCATTCTACCTTGAACAATACAAAAAAACTGGGACGTCGACACGTGGCAAGCTTCAATACACGTCAGGATCTACGGACACGCGTCAAGTTTTGAGTCGGCATCTCCCATCCCTATAAAATAAGCTCCCTTTTCTTCTGCAAATCAAGCAAACGTAACAACAACAAGAATAAGAAATGGCAAGCAACACCGAGAAGATGTCATACAACGCCGGCGAGGCCAAAGGCCAAGCTCAGGTACGCAATTACTCATCATCGCCTCCGGCCCGGCCCATTTACCGCTACAAATAAAATAAAATAAAAGTGTTTCGGCTACCATTTTCTCAATGATCATAGAAAAAATAGTTGCTTATAATCAGGTTTTCGACAATTATTATTAGTAAAATGGTCGTCAATCGATAAAAAAAAACTTTAGCGACAGGACGCGCTGCTTTGCGTGTTCTGATTTTTTACTCTCGATTGGAGTACGTTGTAACGTTTTCGTATATTCTGATGTGGGGGGGACGACACAGGAGAAGGCGAGCGGGATGATGGACAGGGCGGCGGACGCGGCACAATCAGCAAAGGAGTCGGTTCAAGAAGCAGGAGGGCAGATCAAGGCCAAGGCTCAGGGAGCTGTTGAATCGGTCAAGGATGCCACCGGGATGAACAAATCTAACTGATGATGACCAGATCCCATCATAATTCGCCCTCGCGCCAAAAATAAAACAAAATAAAATAGTAGTATATATACGAGATTGGATAGATTAATCACATATGTTTTCTTTTTCTTCTTTTTTTTTTTTCCTTCTTATTTCTCCTTCGGCTTCTTTTTTCGGGCATGATGATGATGATCGGTTTACTTTGCTAGTACTGGTTTGTTTTTCTTTCTATAAACCTCATTTTGTACAACAGTGTAACTAAGAAGAGACTACATAATTCTCAGGTATGAAAAAGAAAAGTTGAAAAAATGACTTTCTTGCTTTCTTTTATTTTAAGATCAAAATAGTCACAGAATCATAATAAATATGGAAGTGGATGTGATCTTGATCTTGATGTCCATACTAGTATGTAACGCTTTTAGCACTCCCTTCTCTTCAATTACCACAGTTCGTATCAACTCGCCTCATTCAGATTTCTGAGCTGAGTGACTTAGTTCCTTTCCTTTTGGCTTGTTAAGAAATAAAGCTTGGTACGTAGTAGCAAGCAACTCTCCCACTGTCTAACGAAATGAGTATATGGTTAGAATATAAAACATACATATAGCACAACGAGGCTTGTATAAAGGCTGAAATTTATAAGTTGATGGCTTAATAGCTCAAACGAGCATTAGCCTACTTAACTAGCACGATAAAACCCTTGTTATTAGGAACCAAAGTAGAGTAATAGTGGATGGTATCAGTTACATTGATTAGTTTATTGATACACAAATTAGGCTGAAAACAATGTTGCCATAAATGTGTTGTTATTTTATTTATGATGTATATATATGATAATATAACTCAACTAAATTACTACGTACAGAAAACAAACCCAAAATCAATCAACCCGCTCATCAAGTTACATCCACCATATCTCTATTTATTATTTGGAACTAATTAATTACCACACAAATATAATATGCTACAATGTGACTGCATATGTTTGGTCAACATGCATATGTTACTGTATTAATATGTCCTGAGTTTTATACTTCGTTTTAATATAATAGTATATGAAAATATATTAAAGTATTTGTGGTGTTAGACACAATTAAGGTAAGAGAAGCAACCAATAAATGATTATGTGGATAATTGGAAAGAAGAGACAAAGGTATAACAAAAATGAGAGGTTAATTTAGATATGAAAAAAGGATTGATGACATTATTGAAACAAAAAAGACAACAACCTATTATTTGGAGAATACCAATCCTTTTATAATTGTTTGAGTCAAGTTCCTCATTTCTCTCTCGTGAGGCTCTCTAGCCGCTTCCCTTCTTTGTGACTGAGACGCGAAGGTCCTGACACACGAGGCGCACCGTGGACCCTACCGGTCCGTCAGCACTCCGACGGTCAACTTAGCACAACAATTTTAGAGAGAGAAGTTGAGTAAGATTTAGTGAGAGAATCCAATCTGAGTAAATGAGCTTCACCTACTCGACTATTTATGCCTCGAGGTTGGCCGACCATTGCCCCCCAAATTAGCCCCATGTCATCACCACAATAAATGCACTGCACCTTCACCTTACCATGCGCCTCGACCACATAACACTGTGTTTAGAGATTTGAGGCGCCTGACCTCATCTGTTGCGCCCTCCGTATATTTTAGGTCATTACACTCTTTTATCCTATGCACCTTGTATCAGAGGTCGGACCCACTTCTCCAGATCGTTACTTGCTCCACATTGGGCTGGGCCTTGTTACCGTTGGGCCCTCACTCTGGGCTGTACTTTATTCCTTGAGCCCTATTCTTGGCTTCCTTCCATACTCATGATGATTGGACCCTTTATTGAGCTTCTTTCCATACCCCCTACACTAATATTTGTCAAATAACATGTTGGTGATATTTCACATATTTGAGGGAAAAAAACCAAATAATACATTTTTTTCAATCAAACATAATATTTAGCACTAGTGTCTGGTATCAAGGATTGAAAACAGTACCATATCGACGATTTGATAAAAAAAAACTTCATACCAGTAGTTAAATCGATAAACGATATCTAACAGTATGAATTAATCAAATCATAAATACACCATAATTTCATTATAAAATACCATTCAACTAATTTTTTTCGATACGTCGATGCGATTTTACAATTCTTGCCAAAAAAAATATAACACTCAAATCCCATATTCAAACCGACCATTAGTTACACCTATCCGCCAATTACCGAATTCCCGTCTTCTATGATGAAACTAACACACGCAGTACAGTCGTAATATATCATTATCATGGAGGAGAGGGGAAAAGGAAAAAAAACAAGAATAATAATCCTCACCGACGCGGAAATGGGAATGGAAATGGATCCACTCTCTCTAGATCTCGATACACTCCTCCTCCGACTCCATAATCGATCTTCTTAGCTTCTTCTTCTTCTCTCCATCTCCCCAATCTCGCCCTCCACTCGTCGGAACTTCTTCAGTATCCCAATTTCAGATTGCCGTCACCGTCGGTCGGGATTCCCATGGCGGTCGCCGTTCGAGGTGGCCGAGGAGGAGGTGGACTTGGATCCGGCGGTGTCAATGCTGGCCTCCGAAGCTTCTTCTCCTACCGGGTCTTCCTGTCCGCCATGTTCACCCTTCTCTTCGTCGCCACGCTCTCCGCCATACTCACCACTCATCCGTCCGCTTCTTCTCAGCTCCCCTCTGTAAGTCACCAACCACTGTCTGATGATGATGATATTCTAATCAATTCATACACGGACTGTTGAATCGTTCAATTATTTTGTTTGTGAGAATAGAATGAAAAGAGGATTACGGATTGGAGAGAATCTTGCCTGAAATGGACTGACTGTGTACATTAATGGATGGTTTTTTGTGGGAATTTGGTTTTTGATTTAATTGCTGTACGGCTTTTTGATTGTTGTTGTTTGGAACAGTCATTTCATAGCGGGGATGCGTATATGCACCGAACATTTTTGGCAATCAAGTCGGATCCCCTGAAAACCAGATTGGATTTGATATACAAGCAAGCCACTGATCACATGACCCTGGTGAACGCTTACGCGGCCTACGCCAGGAAGCTGAAGCTCGACATTGCGAAGCAGCTGAAGATGTTCGATGATTTGGCCAAGAATTTATCGGATCTGACCACGAAGCCCGGTTACTCGTTCCAAGGGCAGGATGCGGTGGACGAGGAGGTGTTGAGACAGTTCGAGAAGGAGGTGAAGGAGAAGGTGAAAGTCGCGCGATCCATGATAGTGGAATCGAAGGAAAGCTATGACAATCAGATAAAGATTCAGAAGCTGAAAGACACGATTTTTGCAGTGAATGAGCAGCTGGGCAAGGCCAAGAAGAATGGTGGTATAGCTAGCAGCATTTCTGCCAAATCGATACCCAAGAGCTTGCATTGCTTGGCTATGAGGCTTGTGGAGGAGAGGATTGCACATCCGGAGAACTACACGGAGCAAGAGCCCAGCCCTGCAATCGAGGACCCGAGTTTGTATCACTACGCTTTGTTCTCGGATAATGTGATTGCTGTTTCTGTGGTGGTGAGGTCGGTGGTGATGAATGCAGAGGAACCGTGGAAGCACGTTTTTCATGTGGTTACGGATAGGATGAATCTTGCAGCTATGAAGGTCTGGTTTAGGATGAGGCCCGTGGAAGGAGGTGCTCATGTGGAGATAAAAGCTGTGGAAGATTTTCCTTTCTTGACTTCTTCGTACGTCCCTGTTCTGAAGCAACTTGAAAGCTCTTATATGCAGAATTATTACTACAAGAATCAAGGTGAGAATGGTAGTAGTGGTGATGCAAGTAACATGAAGTTCAGGAACCCAAAGTACATATCTATGTTGAATCATCTCCGCTTCTATCTGCCGGAGCTGTATCCCAAGCTGCACAAGGTGTTGTTTCTGGATGATGATGTTGTTGTTCAGAAAGACTTGACTGGGTTATGGAAGATTGATTTGGATGGAAGGGTGAACGGAGCTGTTGAGACTTGCTTTGGTTCGTTTCATCGTTATTCACACTACCTGAACTTTTCACATCCACTGATTAGGGACAACTTCAATTCCAAAGCTTGCGCTTGGGCTTTTGGAATGAACATATTTGATCTGGATGCTTGGCGACGCGAGAAATGCACAGACACTTATCACCACTGGCAGAACATGGTAAGCCTTGTGCTTCTTTACGCTTTAGCCGGTTTATTCGTGAATGGTAACAGTGTAGCTAATCCATGATCAGATGTTTTACCAATGTGTGTGTGTGTTCGCCCGTTCTTTGTTTCCTGTTTTAGAATGAGAATCACAGTCTATGGAAGTTGGGCACCCTCCCACCTGGTTTGATCACATTTTACTCGAAGACCAAGTCGCTGGACAAATCGTGGCACGTCCTCGGGCTTGGCTACAACCCTGGAATCAGCATGGATGAGATCAGGAATGCTGCGGTGATTCACTACAATGGGAACATGAAGCCGTGGCTGGACATTGCCATGAACCAGTACAAGCATCTGTGGACCAAGTATATTGACGGCGATATGGAGTTTGTGCAGATGTGCAATTTTGGCCTTTAGATGATGAAAACCAAATAGTCCCCTCTCCCTTTCTCTATATCTTCCTCTCTCCCCGACTCTTTCCAGGCCAGATACGCTGCGTTTAAGCTGGTAGGTGTCCATACTGAATTCGCCATAGTGAAGATTTTGGATTCAGTCATTGGTTCGGTTCGGACACTGATTTGGTTCAGCCAAAAATTGGTTATGTACTATATCCAAAAAAGAAAAGAAACAGTTACCGAGTTACGTACACGGTTGGACAATAGATTCTTTTATTGAAAATTTCTTTGTTCTGCCAAAATGTTGACATTTGTTGGAGATTCCCACCCATCAGTAAGGTTGTCAACCGGCCCGGTTTCCCGGTTAAGCAAGTGAGTGAAGGATTAATGTTCCTAGTTTGAGATCAGTTTAACCTGGATATATAGAAAATCATACGTATGTAAATTATCAAATCTTATTTAACACAGGAGTAATAACATAATACCAAAATGATAGTTCGTACTTGAATCCAACATATAGTAAAAATCATACAAATTCAAATCCACCATATAAGTTCGTGATTGACACTTTAAATGAACTGAAACCGTGTGTGGAATATAGATATAAGTCGTGATTAGAAGAGTTGGAATCCATCATTTATGTTTTTACTCCAAAGGATTAAAATCCCAAGGTTAGGACAAGTTGGCAACAGTGAAAGCCAACCAACGTGGGTTTTGTAAGGTTTTGACCGGGTAGCGGGTTTGACGAATCGGGATAAAGTCCCTATATCTGAGTTCTGACCATCGGGTTAACAAACTTGTCCGTTGGACTATCTCCAATACAAAAGTCCAAGAAACCCCAAAAATTAGACCTATATTTTTGCCTTCTAGCTCAACAGAAAGTGAAAATTGCTCCCACGCGGAATAGCAAAGTGTCAAATTTCTCAAATTTAACCTTTTGTTCTAATCTAGTTCAGTGTCAATTTCATTATTTTGTTTACATAACTTGTGCGTTATTTTTATGTAGGTCATAATAACTAGTTAAGACGAAAATTTCAGTGTACTTCTTCTATTTGAACATATATTTTTCCATCAATAAATACGGCATAATCAATGACGAAAATATAATAATTAATTTAGATTGTTGCAAAATCTACATGTTTTGTCAAGATAAGTTGCGTAACATTTAGACTTCGATATTTAAACAAAACTACAAAACACGTATCTTTGATATTAGAACTTGTCTTTTACCGAAACATAGATATTAGAATTTAGAACTTGCCAAAAATACTTAACCAAAACTAATTTTATTTACTTTGATCTTTCTTTACTTAACAAAGCATAATGTTAAAAATACATGTAAAAGAGGTTAATACTAGAGTTGTCAAAACATAACCTGACCGAGTAATTCGCCCGGTAAACCCAATTGCAACTCGAATTGACTAAAAGTCAATGATTCGTAAGTCGCCCAATCCGTAATCCGATTGATCCGCAATTCGAATGTCCTGTAACCTGATTTACCTACAACTTGTTCAAATCCGTAACGCTATTGACCCGAACCTGACTAACACGTGACCTGCTAAATTGACTTGAATAATTACTAGATTATATAATATATAGTCTTTCATAATAATGTTTTTTGTTCTAAAGCTAAGTAAACCATTTTTATTTCGTAAAGCTGATTGACGGGAAGAGCTGGTAATGGTGACAAAAAAAAGAGATATGCATAAGGAAGAAGGATATTGTAACATCACGAACCTTTTCTCGATAAGATATTGTCTGCTTTGCCGCTTTGGGCCTTGACCCTGACGGATTTTGCCTTGAGGTGCACATCAATGTGACTTCTCATCAGGTTACCCATCCTTGCAATCCTTCAAAGTAAGCATGCTTAACTTTGAAGTTCTTACAAGAACTTTTCCATTTCATCCCAAATGCGTCTTTGTTAAATAAGATCAGTTTCTACTTATGAATCATGGATATCTCTAGTGCTTTATCGATGTGTGATTCGCCAAAAATGTTACAAAAATGTTTGCCTTTGATCAATTGCCCAACTAAAGGTAGTTTCATACGACTTGTTGTATAAAATGAATGGAAAAAATAATGAGAGTCGAGGGCAATGTGAACTCAAAAAAATAAGAGAGAGGTATGTAACTTTGGTCTGATTCTAATAACATAGGTATCAGTCTTTGAGTTTGTATATAGTCCTTTTATGTCAAAGAAGAACAACTACACACTAACCTAAATGTTGAGACCAATGTTGTTAAAATCCAATAGGACTATGAACTGATATAGTGAATGGTTCACACTCAGGGGTAGACCCATGTGTAAGAGTGGGTTGTCGGCCGACACACCTTCGCTCTCAAATTTTAGGGTTAATACCTTCTTTTGGTCCGAACTATACACAAACTTTCTACTTTGGCCCGTGG